GATCGGGCTCTACTATCGAGGGGTCTGCTGTACTGGTGCTCAAGCAAGCATACAGAGACTTGGGCTTCGTCGCTCTCATCTCTGATTCTCACTCTCGCAGCACCAAGTACATTCAAGCACTCGTCCTCAATGTTCCGTGTCTGCATCTTCGCTGGATTCATGACTCGCTGAACGCATCTCGCGCCGCGCCCTTTACGCGATACCTTCTGCCCGCTGGGGTTTCCAAGTTTCTCGATCCGAACGGTGTTGTGCGGTCCCGTACAATGGCTCCTTACGACCCCGCTGGTGAGGACGTCTCCTTCGCCCAAATCATACAAGATCGTGATCTTCTTTTCCAAGGCCAGAGCGTCCTCCTCATCACCGGCAAATCGAAGAAGGAAGTCGAAAAGCGACAGCCATTCGTCTTCCTCTCCCACGCTCTGGGGTCTGCTACAGTCGGTCGCTGCGCCGATCTTGCGAGCGCATCTGATATGCTCACTAGCGGTAAGTGGGACTGGGTGTATGTGGACAACGGCGAAGGCGGTGTCGCAGAGGCTGCCGCAACGTTGCTCGGTACCGAGAAACCTGCTGGCAATGGCAAAGCTAAGAAGGCCAAGAAAAGGAAGAGGGATGAGACTGAAGTGCAAGAAGAGCTTCTCGTCAAAGGAGAAGTGAACGGGCTTAGGGTGAAAATTACATGTGCGGAATTTGTCATTCAGAGCTTGATCTTAGGCGCTCTCATTGAGGAGTAAACGTTTTTGTTTGTTCAATTTGTTTTTGTCTAGGGTCTCCTTCTTAGATGATGGTATCAGGCGTTTGACATGGCACATACATGCATGTAGCATGAAGTCACGTGCAGGAGGCGTTTGGGATACATGTACCAACACCAGCTTCACTTTTCGCCTGTCACACAGCGCGGCGCATGGCCCGACCTTTTTTTTTCCCTCTTTTCTTTGTCTATTCATCGATGATTGTCCAGCCAGCGTAGCATACACAGTACGAGGGCGCTTCCACTACCTTCCCGGCGTTGAGACATCATGTGAATAATCAAAAGCCTCGTATTGGCATATTCCATCTTAATTCTCGTGCATACCTGGGTACGTGCTTTGAGAAACTTCTGGTATCATACTTCCGTGCACCAGTAGGACGCATTAAGACAAGTGTATGAGCAAGTGTGGGTATCATCAAAGATTTGTCCAGTTCTGGTATCGTTCTCTACGAGTACCAGCACCATGCATCAGTGAGCTGCACAAGCATGCGCCACCTCATTAGGCACAGTGAAGTATCTGGTATGCTGAAAGTGAAGAAGATTGTCATTGCCAAGACGGATCACATTGATGCATGTTATCGAACGGAACGACTGCGAAGCATGCGTAGCAGTTGCTGTCATGGTAATCCCCGTGCAAATTTGTTTACGGCCCGAAGCCTCTTCTTGCATGCTACGCAGTGGGCAGCGCAAGCACGGCTGTTTGTACGTAAGATCACTCAATGAGCCCAAGAGCTCGGGAGCGTGTGCACAGAACTTTACTGAGAAGACGCGCCCCTCTTCCCGCTACGTCTACAGCTCCAGTTTCACAACCCGAGTGGTTTCCTTAGTGAGAACAAGTCGCACATCAGTCTGTTGCTGGCTTTTCTGTTTTGATGATAGTCAGATGGGGTCACGGTCGCCATCAAACCCAATACGCAACAGAGCAAATGATGGGCCAAGGCAGAAAGACAAGCAGGGTGACAAGGAGCAACAAACCTGAATCGGATGTCCCGTTGATGGATGTCACCCGTTCCTTCCGCTAAGGCACTGCAATCACGTCTAACACAAGTGTAGCTGTCCTGCTAAAGCATGTTGACGCCCCTTGCGAGACATGCGACAGTATTGGCATGTGAAGAGCAAGCAGTGCGCATGTCCATCCTTCGTATGAGCAGAAATCCGTGGATGCAAGCACACTCTTCCGCAAGCGAAGGATCGCGAAGAGCGCTTAAGGTCCCTGTCTATCCATGTCCCGCTGTTGAGATCATGCAAAAGCTTCTATGCCGGTCCGCTAGATCAGCGCTCATCTGGGCGCACCGCCGTTTAGAATTAGCGTTGAACTGAATGAAAGTGCCTTTGTTGTGGAGCTATCATGACTCCTCTTCAAAGATGCGATTTGTTAAGCGATCGGAAGAACAGAGCCCACGATAGTCCGAGTCATGTTGAATAAGAGAGGGGGCCTTATCGGTAGGATAGGCGGTAGGAGTAACTCCCGTCTGGCTGGCAATGACGGTAGTGACAGCCGCAGTGGAAGGGTCTTGCCTTCGGATAGCATGCCGTGGCTAGCTCATTGGCTAGCCAGCAAGGGAGCTAGCGTGACCCTACTCCGAGAAAGAGATATTGCAGGATCTATGTCAAGAAAACCCCTCAGACTTAAGCGTTGAAGACATGGAACCCGTGAGCGAATTCTCTGAAAGTCTGGAGTGGATGTTCTGGAATGGTACGTTGTCCTTCTCAACAATTTGAGCAGCTAGCGCCACCCGAAGCCGGCCTATCACACCGATCGACGTCTGCGTAGACGTTATGGGCTTACCGAGCCTCAGTGGAGATGCAGCATACTTTGCCCATGTATGACACGATGTCTTGCATAAGATATAATGCGCTGCTGACCTTCAAATTGGCCACAGAGGAAGGATTTGGAGGCTGGAGGCGTCGAAGGAATCCTACAGCTCCACGAATCTTGTCGACAAACGGCTTGAGGTGTTGGTATTGATGCAGCCACGCGGCGCAGCAGGGCAATGTGAGCCGAGAGCTAATGTTGCGATACCCACACCTCCGAAAGGTGATACGCGGCTTCCCTTAGTCGAGCATCGGTACATTCGCTGCACCAGACCAGATGCAGGAATTACTATCGATGTAGTGGCGTTCAAATGCCGCTTCTCCCCCTTGCACAGTTCTTAGCGCAGGCGTCGCTACGAATTCCACGTCCGCGGGGTAACTTAGTGTGCGGCGTGAGAAGCCTAAAAAGTAAAGTAACTTTTGAGAACGTCCTCGAAAGACCAATGGCACCTGTACCTTAAAGCGGCGGGGGTTGAAAGCAGTGCGGGTGTATTTATGGTGCCGCTCTGGAGATTGCTCGTTCGGCTTCTGCCGCGTGCGACATCTCTGCGACGTACTCGATTGTTGTCATCTTGGTGGAAAGTAGGTAATTCGATGTGAACATTCCGGGTTCTTATGTGACCACGCAGGAAGCTCCATATCAGGCAATGACTGCGAATATGGCTATCTTCATGAAGATCTATTCTGTTCCCGTTTACTGTATGTGTATCGCATAGCGCCGTATGCCTTGATGGACGTTGCCGATCCAGGATCGCGGCTACGCTGTGCACTAGGGTAACTTCTCGGGCGATGTCTGCTTTTGGCAAGCGATACGCCAGATTGTTTTCAACAACTGAAGCGAACAAGCGAGCGTTAAGAATCCGATGCGGAGTACCAAGTGCGGAGTGTCTCTGAAGTTAAAAGCCTATTCATATCAGCCTGACCTGAGTGGTTGTAATCTTGCATGACTAGGTTCGGCTCTGATCCGAACGGACAATGTTCCAGCTTCATCTAGGTAGATATTAAGGTCCGTGCCGATCCCAGTGACAATCTCTCCTTTCAAATGTCCAGGCCTTGATCACAGGAGCAACCTCACAGTGGTACAATTCCTTCCGCTCTAGATTGGACATTGGAAGATTTCTGATCAGACGTTCGTGATCGGACCGATTTCGTCGAGCGCGATTGGTGGGAATCCGAGTTGAAGCTCTGAAACGGCCTCGGCAAGACGCGTAGTGCAGTCTCCGAGGTACTTGCTTGCCCAGGCCTGTTAGGATCTTGGATTTTCGCGGGAAGACCAGGTTCAGGGTACAGCGGACCTTGCGCAATCTATGCTTGGGCAAGGGTTAGCGGAAGGATGAAGGTTTGAGTGGGAACACGTTCAAGCAGTCGAGCCGACCTGCGTTGGGAAGCTGAGTATTAAGTGGCAGGTGTAGGCGAGCCGACACTTTCATGACGTACGCCGCATAGGTAGACGTTTCTTTCTGCAGGTCGCAGACGAATGAGACCATGTAGGGAAGAAGCGAAGCCGGGAACTCCGTTTGCGTGTTAGGTCTGCTTCAGCTCGTCTTGCTTCTCAACAAAGTAGAATAACCAAAGTAGGGTCATATGAACCCAGTTTACCGCTCCGACACAAGACGGCAACCGGGTAATTCCAATGTGGCGTGGGAGCTTCCCGTCCCCATTCCAATGTGACACAGCCACACGTCCGAACGCTTAGCTCTATCAAATGCAAACCGAATCGTGAGTTGGGTGCTGGAACAAAAATGCCCATAATCTTCAGAAGTAGCATCATACACTTGAGTGCATGCGATAGCCATTCGCTGTTTGGTTCGCAAACCCTTTCCTACTAGTTGAGGAGATGGTACGTAAGGAAGGTTTCGAGAGTAAAATCCAGAAAGCACCGTCCTCTCGTTTCTGCTGGTGCTAAGTCGTTATGTCAGTCTGTCAAAGCCGGTGTGGGAACGAAACTGTCAAATGCACAAGCGAGCCAGGGGCAACTCCGAATATGTAAGTCGGTAGACACTGACAGTCAAAGACAAGCTAGAGCATATTGCTGCACGTCATCGTTCGTGCATGCGTGTTGACCTTCTAGCGCTTCCATAGATTGATTGCTATACCTTCTCATTAACAGTGCAGGATCTGCGGTAAGGGTGCAGTATCAAGTAGAGATTTCGGTGATGAGAGGAAGATAAGGGAGTAAAACCGCTTGTTTGAGTATAGTGCATGACCAGGAAGCGTGCGCACTTGCATATGTAGAGTGATGAGAGGGCAGGTGCAGCATCGGTCTCGGACGGTGGATTGCAGCCCCGAGAGGTCCTTCAGAAGCTACGGCCTGTTCTGGACTAGCAGCTAGCAGTCTCACTTGCACCCCGCCCCCGCTTTCCTCATTGGGCAGACTTGTCAGAAAATATTTACTCGGAATCACTGAGGTCCCCAAAGCGCAAGCCGACAAGCAGAGATGGCAGGACTAGACGAAGATGCTATAGACGAGGTCTTGTACCTGGCGCGCGCAAACGAACCTTCCGAGCTTGATTCGTACGTCTCCGAACTATCCACACAGACCAAGCGATCGAAAGCGGAACTGTTCGCTGCGGCTACCGACCCATACTCGAAGAATAGCGCACTGCACTATGCTGCTGCCAATGGTCATAACGGTGATAGTTCCAGTTGTGCATGGTCGAAAGCCATTCTGACTCGCATAGATATCATCAAGTTGCTCTTCTCGACAAGCGCAGAGAAGCCCGAACCGGCATTTCTCAACGCGGTCAACGATGCAGGAAACACTCCCCTTCACTGGGCTGCGTTGAATGGCCACCTCGAAAGCGTGAAACTCCTAGTACAGTCCGGCGCCGACGTCACCATCATCAACCGAGCGGGCCACGATGCGGTCTACGAAGCGGAGATCAACGACAAGAACGAGGTGGTAGACTGGCTGCTCGGAGCCGTGGAAGAGCTGGAGAATGGCATTGGACAGAATGGCCAGACGGGAGCCGGAGACGCAGATGACAACATGGATGATGCGGATGCAGAAGTGGAGTGCGCCCAAGACAGCAATGCATCGGCGCAAGGGGTCGCAGCCGAACCGACAGTGGAAGGCGTTCGGAAGCAGATGGCGGACATGAGTACCCAGGATGTCGTGTCGAAGGGTGGCTGAAGCAGCTGTATCGTTGGCCGCAATATACGTATATTAATGACGGCGTGCGACCTGCAAGGAACCTGATCGCATCGGGTTCATGGCAAGGCCGGGCTCCACGTGGCACGAGCCTGTGCAAGACAGCCACAGTTCCGGGGCAAGGTCTAGAAAGATGGACGCGGCGCATAAGAGAGCAGTATTGGTTGATGAACAAGGCAACAAAAATGCCATTGTATCTATGGGTCATGCACTGAAGTGTACAAGACCTTGCTAGCTTCCAGTTATGACTACGAGCAATAGAGGCTTACTCCTGCTGGCAAAGCCACCTATATCCAGACGCCTAGTCAAGAAAGCAGACTGGCTCTCATCATTGGTCATCCGCTCGAGTACACAATGAGCGGTCATCATGCTCATGTAAAGCATGTGGTTCATACCACGACGCTGAGCGAAGACGCACAGTCCCATCATGCTATACTATCGCATCCAAAGGCACCAGAACAGACGTGAGACCCTACCTTGACAGATAGACATGCAATCATCAATCCAAGGGTGTTGCCCATGCCTAGCTTGCATTAGTACACGCTGGAACCTGCACTGCTTTTCTCTCTTTCTTACCGCCCACACGCTCAGTCGAGAAGCCAGGCCCGGCGCTTCGCGTCCTTCGCGGCTCGGCGCTTTTCGTTGTACTCCTTGAGCTGTTTCTTGCTGAGGTGCTGAGAGCGACGCTCTGCCTTGAGACTACGTCCGTCATGGCTATTGGCAGCGGCATCAACATCGAAGAAGGCATTCATCTGGCGATGACTCTTGTGTTCATCGTTATGCATCTCAGGACCTTGACCAGCCTGTTGCTGCTTGCCGTTGAAACGGTTGAACTGGGCAGTTGTGGTGTAGTCATTGCTAGGGAGGAGCGCGTTGCGAGCTGCGGAGACTGCAGCAGCGGTGGCCTGCTTTGCATCCTCTTCCTCCTTCTCTGCCTCCTTGGCGTAGTCGGCGTTGGGGTCGTAGCTCCCATGAATCTTTGGGTTGTATCCGCCCCACTTGCGCTTTGGTGGTGGGCTGGTACCCGGCGCGCCAGAGCTTGATGACAGTGCAGCGGCGCCACCGTAAGGGTTTCTGTAGAGTGCACGTATTAGGCTGGGAAAGACACGAAAAGAAGATGATAGTTAGCAAACCTGTCGTAGCCGAGGCTGTGGGTTGGAGCGGTCGGAACGCGTGGATTCTCCCACTGCGAAAGACCGGTCTTGCGATTTAGGAAGTACCAGGCGCCTGCGTTGGGCTCCCACCTGGGCTCCCAGCCATCGTCCTCCTCGTCTGGGACAGGCTCGTCGGGGAGGGGAGGCGCGCCACCATCGTACGGGAGAGGCGCAGAGGCGTTTAACGTGTAGCTAGTTTCCCTATCGGAAGGCTTGACATATGCGACTTCCGGGGTACTTGCGCGGCCGTCGCCCGGCTGCGCAGCGGCAGATGGCGAGGACTTGCGCTCCTTATCTTGGTGGCCGGACTGGAGAGCCATGCTGCAGAGTTCCTGTACACGTGTAGACGTTAGAAAGGATATGCCTGGATTAGAGGCTGGTTGCATGCACGTGGTCGACAAAGAGGTTGCCGGCACGGTCAGTAGCGTTGGTGTTGTTGTTGTTGTTGTAAGTCGCCTCGGTCGCACCTGCACAAAGAACTTCGGAGCTGGCTTGGCATGGCGCTAGCAACGTAAGCAGACGGAACGTGCATGTGACTTTGGCACTCGTTCCCGATACACTGATACCCCATCATTTGCACTGACTCGCAAGCCGCTTCGCTTCGGTCCAGCTCAACGGCGATCCGCTTGTGCCTGCGCCTTAGTCCTTGCCAGTTCCCGGCCGCTCGCCTGATCACTCGGTCCTTTCTCATAATAAATACGGGCGGTGCGAAAGTTTTATGGGCGTCATCGCCGAGAACGGGAAACGACAGCCGATCCTGCATCGTCGTTGCAGCAAGCCTCGACGGCACGACAAGCACGCTGCGCACGCGCTTCCATCGCTAGGCCGGATGATGTGACAGACCAAATCTCATCTGCAAGCCACCAGAGCATCCGGAGAAAGCCCTTATTATATGGAGTCTCAAGGCGCCCGAAGATGTGCATTGACTCGGGAGCTTGCAGTCAAGAAACCGACCGCTAGGCTTAGAGCCGTTCGGAGCGGGCCAAGTTGGCTTCATGCAAGCAAGGCCAGAGGCGTTAGGGGATCCGGGACGTAAGAGGATCGAGATGGTCTCAATCGCCCGCTCAACGGCTGCTGTGAGCTCGTTCCGATCGGATTCTGGTGCCGCTTTAGCTAGGATTTGTCGGCGCCTTTTTAGCTGACGACAACGGCATCGCTCGTGTCAGCATTTGGCACCAGCCAGTCCATTGTCGAGCGGGGACAAAAGGCTGTTTGTGGGCACCGTAGGGCCGGCCGCCGGGACACCTGTCTTTCTGTTCGCATTGTTGACGGCGGCTTATTTGCCCTCTTTTCTCCTGCAGCGAAAGGCGTCGTTTATGGTGGCTGCACGTTTTAGCTGTTTCCAGCCCTTGGCCTCAATCTAAGTGAAGCTTATTGGTCGGATCCGCTCCAGAACCTAACGCCAGGTCCCAGAGTTTCGCGGCAAAATAGCAAGGACATGTTCGCTGCATTCCGAGCCCACGCTGCATGATCTGCACAGGTCATTAGCGGATTAGCTGCGGTTGGCCAGCTGCCAGTTGGTACGATCTGGGGCTCACTTGCCCACGCGCCATCCACGACTGCAGTAACGTGCATCAGTCTGCATCTGACGCAGCACGCTATGTAGCCCGCAGAAGGTGGTTGACTCGATATCTGCAGCCAATATTCCGGCTGGCTTGCTCCATACCCTGGTAGGTTCCAGCATCTTCGGGTCTCAAACAGCAAAGGCTCCACGACCATGTCCCTGGCGGTCCGTCACTGCACGCCACTGGAATAATAGCTGACCTACTTGGAGGCCGCGGTCGCTCCTCCTTGAAGCCTGTTCTTGCAAGGGCCTCCTGGTAACCTCTTGACTGGCCGAGCACGGGGTCCCGCTGTCGTCCGCCCACCCTCCACTTTTGCTACCCGGCATTATTGTACTTATTACTATTATCCTTTGCCTTGCGTTCAAGCAACCAAAGCCGTGCTCGCTGCGTGCTCAGTGTCAATCGCGCCCAGAAGGAGCGCTCGCGCCGCATATCTTAATCCCTGCATCTGTAAGTTCTTCCCGCGTCGCCCCTACATACGCTCTTACATGCACTGTTGCTTTGTGCTTCGGTTGCGGTTCATACGGAGCCGGAACAGCGGTGCTCGGTCGTCAGACGTCAGCCCTGCACGGACTGTTGATTCTTTGGTCTATTTTCTAGACTGCAACGGACATCCTAGTCAAGGCCAGACGCTTCTGTTCGTTGGCCACCTTCCTGACTTCTTCACGTACCTTTATGTACCCGTTAGGTTGTCTACTAGCTGATGCCGTGGCTGCATCAGTGTCAAGCCTTGAGCAGTGCCTGGATCCCTTGAGCATCCTAGGCAGTCCATAGCTCCTACTGTTCCATATTCCCTCATGTGGTCGGTCAACGGGGTGCACCGTGGAACTCATCCCACCTCAAGCGCCGAACATCAAAACCCATCTTACCTGCTATGCTTCTCAACATGAGTCGTCCACCCAGCATACCCTCACATTCAGGTCCTCCGCCATCCTACAGCCCTTACCCAGCACATCATGCTTCATCGTCTCGACCAGAAATCATTGCCCCCAGTCAGCACGTTCGCCCCAGAGATTCCAGTGGAAGTCATAACAATGCGCAGCAATTACCAAGTCTTCGCACGCTTCTGGAACCAGAGCTACTGGACAAAAAGTCGTCTGATCCATCGTTGAGAGCGGGCGGCGCTCCGGTACCTTACAGTCATTGTGGTCGTTACGGGTCGTCAAGTCCGACACTGAAGAGACGGCATGAATATGATGGTTACTTCCATGGTTATCCAGAGCATAATGCTATCGCTTCTCAAACACCCTACCACCACCGTCAACCTCTATCGACCACAAACGCCACCACATCCACCACCTCCTCGACTCCTGGCTCTGGGTTCGGTGTCGGTCGAGTAGATCTCCAACGGCGCGAAAGTTTTGCACACCCTTCACAGCATGAACTGGTGGGAAATGGGCACCGGCAGGCTTCGCTCATGTCTGATGCGACGGGAGCGATGACAACTCACTCCGTTCAGCAAGAATTAGGGTTTGACCCAAGTAGGCCTGTCAGAATGAGACGACTGGAGGGTTCCTCACGGGCTCCGGTACGATCGTCGCGTTGTGTGGGCCAGCGCGATATACCTGGCGAAGGCCCATGCTATGTCTACGAGGATGGCACCTACTGTCGGGCTATAATAGACGGCGAAGCCGTGAACCCTTCGTGGGGCATAACGAAGGCGGGAAAGCCTCGAAAGCGACTCGCGCAGGCTTGCCTTACCTGTCGAGAGAAGAAGATTAAGTGCGAGCCCGGATATCCAAAATGCCAGCAATGCGCCAAGTCGCAAAGAGTATGCAGAGGGTAAGTGGATCTCCCTGTTTGCAGCTCCCTTCTTTTCTCATTCGAAAACGTGGAACGCATTGACTTAATTGACTTGTTATACACTTCGGACCAGACAGGACTATAGTTGTATTATAGAATGACAAATACTAACCAATGGTAGAGGACTCAACCAGAGCAATGCATCCGGCGAGACATCACCGTCAAACTCCGCTCCGCTATTTAAGAACCACTCGTCCGAGGTCTTGAGTCCCACAGCCAACTCAGATAGAAACAAAGCTCCCGGAGAGCTGCGAGACTCATCAAGAAAGGTTGACACTTGGAACGCCGGAACCCCGTTCAGACCTCGAAAGTACCGCCACCATACTAGTACGGACCCGAGAGACATGTCGGTACAGTCGTACGATTCGGATTGGAGTGGTTCGGCAAATGACCAGAGCCTGGACGATCCCGGACGCGGCTCTTATTCCGACCAACTTGCCCTCCAATGGGAGCAGGATCCTTTCGAAACGGATCCTGGTCTGACGATGCACCTACTGGATCTTTATTTCAACCAAGCGGGTCGCGCGACCTATGGCATGTTTCCTCGCAGACCCTTCCTCATGTGGGTAGAGGGTAACCGCGAGAAGAACCACGATCACTTGATGCTTCTATACTCAGTCCTGGCTATAGGCTCACTGTTCTCAGCCGATGGGGATAAGAAAGCCCTAGGAAAGAAATTTGCTTCGGTCGCGTCATATGCAGCAGAAAAGCGGTTCGGGAAGTTCAGCCTGCAGTTATGCCAGACTCGGCTGATGCTCGCGCTCTACTATTTTGCCCGCGGCAAGTCACAGGAAGCGTGGGACTACTGTGGTGCTGGTCTGCGAGCTCTCAGCGCCCTGAAGCTGAACTCCGAAGAAGGCGTCAAAGAGTTGGTTGATAGCAATGCCGATTGGGACTATGGACTTGATCGTCAAATGTTCGCGGAGTGCTGTCGTCGCACTTTCTGGTCCGGACTACTGATGGATGTAAGTCACGACGTCATCAAGTTTCCAGCATCCGTTGACTTGATGCAACAACAGCGATACAACGGCTTCTTCGGAGGGACTCTTTTCGTCCTCAACTTGGAGGATGTCTTCGTTCAGCTCCCCTGCCTGGACAGCATGTACGATACATCAACACCATGTAACGCGCCGATCCTGGATGAAGAGCTTCTCAATGGAAGTGCCACCTCCGGCCCCGTTCTGGGCCACATGGCGTATCTATGCCTGATATCGACGCTATGGGGCGAGGTCCTCACATTCACTAGCCGAGCTGCGCGTCGACCCGACAGTGTATATGAACGACACTACGACACGTTCTACACTAGAACCAACGATAAGCTGGACGCATGGCATGCGATGTTGCCAGAGGAGCTACAGTATAGCCCACGAAATCTCGACAATAGCATGGTCGGAGGATATGCTGGCACTTTCGTATCTATACACGCTTTGTATTACGCCACAATCATCCGCCTTAATCGCCATGTCAGAGTCAACATACTGCCAATGGAAAAACAACGCCGAAATCTGGAACGAGCCCTACGCATGGCATCCAACTTTCTGTCGGTGATGCTTTCCCTAGCTCCAGCTAGCCGCCAACGTCTTTCGCCCACTGTTGTCTCGGACCTCTCGTTCTCGACGCCTTTCCCTGGTTACGCGCTCATGCTTTCTGTCGACGTATTGACCTCTGCCGGGCTCTTATCCTCATTGCCGACTTTAATCGAGACCCTCAACACTACACTGACCTGTATCGACGAATTAGCAGGCGTTTGGGCTTCTGCAAAAGCGCAGCAGAAGACAGTATCGAATCGGATCAAGCAGCTCATTGACATTGCCGCACAACAGAGCCAAGGCATAAGCAACGGAAGTTACGGAAATTTCTGGAGGATCGGCAACAGTCTTGAGACTGCCTTCGGAAACGATGATGCATTGTACAAGACCGAAGACCAGTTGCTTTTCGGCGTTGTGGGTAAGCTTACGAGTCAGTAAAATGCTCGTCCATCTATACTTGCTACTCCACGAACCAATGCCGGCTTACGTCTTTTCTTTGGACCACATCAGTTTGTATGCGCTTTTTGTATTTGTCTCGGATCTTAGGTTATGCAATGGCGTCGCACGCTGCATAAACCTCGGCCCGATCTCCAAACCGCGTTTGTCTGGCCAACGCGTCCAGCATCAGCAAGGATCCGCTCTGACAGAGTATGCATCTGCAAGGGCTAAATAGCGATTCATTTACCTATGGCCCGTCGGGCGTGCGTTCATGTATGAACGATAGTCGCATGTTATCCCCACGACGCTGCCTTGGCTACAAGTTGTGAACTCACGAGAAATTTGTATTCGTACTACTTTCAAAAGCCTTAAATGGAGAGGGAATGCTTTCGCAAAGGTTTATGCAGTATTGGTTCTCTTGTCTTTCCAGTCTCATTCTCATTCTCATTCTCATTCTCAGCCATGTGTCATGGAGCGGCTTTGTACAATTATCATTTACCAAGATCATGTGCGCATAATGATTGGCACCTTGTACCATCAAACGATTCTATAAACAGAATCTTTAACTTACTCGAGGACTCCATACCATCTGTCGCAATGTTACGAGAAAGCAGACATCTCACTTCTCAAAGCCGAGGCGGCGTATCCTGCTCATGGTGAAGCAGCATAATCACAGCATGATCGAGCTTCGCTGCAGTACTCCTTCACACAATACGTTTGCTTTCCCCGAAATCCGCTTTGCAGAAATACCCGTACCTTGCACCTCGGGTGCTACACTTGCGCCGTGACCGCAATAAGCAAGCAACAAGGTTGACTCATGCGGGGGCGCGGGACTTTCTAAGCCACAATGTCTAAGATCAAGCCAAGGGACCGTATGTGTGACTTGCAAATCGACGATTATCGCCCTCTTCCCTGGTCAATTGACGCTCCACACCACCACCGGGACGCCTTCGGTCCACACCCATCATCAAACAACAGGCAGATGAGGTATACGAAGGAGGAGGCCCGCGGATCGAAGCTCGAGAGTGGTCGGCTAAGTGATGTACAGCAAGGAGATAATCATGACGACATCATATTCACTTGACGACCGATCATCATTGGTACCAAGATGCATCGCCCAGGCCTGTGGCACTGAAAGTCCGAATACGTGCCAGCTGATCATAGCACAGCCTACACGGTATGTATGTTACGGCAGCGATGATCTGGATGCGAAAGCGCAAAGAGGCAGTAGCTTATCCCCGCTAAGGGTAACTAGCAAAAAGTCCACGACTACCGGTAGTACGGGAAAGTACCGACCACGCGCTTCTCAGAGGCGGAAACGTAACACACGGCCTTGTAGCCCACAACTAAAATTTTGGCGTACCAACTCCCGCTCTAGACTGTCCCGAGGTCGGTACTTGCCAGCGCACTTGAGCGAACAAGCAAATAAGGTCATTGTTCCCTCATTGTTCGAGCAGCAGAAGCAAGCTATCGCAGCTGAGATCTAGCCAAAGTCTGTTTCGAGCGGTCCCAGAGTAAATACGAAATGACATTGTCTACCTGGGCAGCCACCACAAGTTCGACCAAATGCCCTAATCAAACGTGCCAAACTCTGCTACTAGTACAGCACCCTTTTTTTCTCCATGATTACCGGGCGGGACACGAACCGACCTACTATCTACCCGAAACGTAATTTTGCGGAAACCAAAAGCAACTTAGCAAGCGGAACCGGCGAATTTTCAATGTCCGGTCCGATTTCGACAATGTATCTCGGAAAATGCGTTTCAGTTTGTCCTTGCTTTTGCGGCATCATCGTCGTCGTCTTGGTGTCATACCAAGAATATGTTCAATCAGCCGCATAACCGAACAGACATCATTAGTGGACCAAATTCCACAAATCTAGCTTTTCAACACGACACGTCACGCGAGTACAAACTTCAGGGCCCAGGTGTTCCAGGGCCGATCGTTCATGCACGTGCGCACCTTCCGCTTCAGGGTGCAAAACCCATCGCTAGAGTAGAGGAAGTCACATTGCAAAAGAAGGCGGAGGACATTTTCAGAGTTTTGCCAGGCTTTGCTATGTTCCACAATTTACTTCCCTATCAGGTGCAATTCATTTGAGAAGGACAGCAAGGAACTAAGTTTCTTTCACTGCGCTTTGCTCCGTAGAATAAAGATGCAGTGGATACTGAAACGTTCGACGGTCACTCGGCATGACGCAACATATCTATCTAGCTGGCTGCTGGTGGCCGAGGCCGAGGCCGTGATGAGGCAGCACCACTACCGTTTTTTTTTGTGCGGATAGAACGGAAAGAAAGCGCGTTCGAGGAGGGACGAGCGGTTGGGTGAAAGCGCAATGGTAGGCCCTTCCGCTCTTGTAACCAATGTAGTTGCCGAGATGCTGCAAGGTGCCTAAAGCTTACAGTGAAGACAGAAGGAATTAGGTATGAACAGTGCAGTGGTAGTGGTCTACTGCCCCTGTTTCCCTGCATGCGTAGATGCAATTTATCACGGGACTCGCACTCATGGCACAGCTGCCTTCGTGACCACTGAACACCCATATCGACTACACTTCGGATAACTCAAAAGACATCCGGTACGTAGATGCAAAACTGATATGCGTGGTAAAAGGTCTGAGTCGATAATTCGGCTGGTTCCACAATGCAGTAACGACGTTGATGTAATCTTGAAGAGTTCAGAGCGTTTGAATGGCATGGCATTGTCGGGCTGTTTAGACAGCGGAACAATCCGCTCCATCGACGTGATGTGCACCTAGCCCCCTCTTATGTAGAAGCAAAGGACATCAAAGCAGCCCATGTGGTTATTCCTTGAACCTTGTAGTTAAGCAAGCAATGCCACGTAAGGCACAGACGGAGTGGAGTGATGAAGGAAGAACGTCGGGACCGGTAAAGCGAATATGTCTCTTCTTCACTGATTAATTCTTCATCTCAAACGATTGAAGTTGATATGCTCTAGATTCATCATTGTGGGATACATAGATAAATCATAGATTGTTATCCGTCTTGAACTTATCCCACGCCTCGTTCAATGTGGCGAACACAGCTGCACTGATCATCTTCTGCTCTGTGGTGGCCGTTTGAGATAACTGTAACGAAGTCAGGTCAGCAAACTATTGTGTTTTGGACATGGAAGAAGAGATAACTTACCTTATCAGGATGTACCTTGGCAATAGCCTTCATGTAGATGATCTTGACCTTGTTCGGCATGACCAGATCGCCCATGTTGACCTTCTTCCACCCTGCATCCTCCCAGAGCACTTTATCTAAACTACCCAGTAATGCACGCAGGTTATCTGACTTGGTACCCTTCCAAGCAATGAGTTTGGCATCAACTTGGTCGGTAAGGGCGAATTTCTCATCGTCTGCACGTTCAGCGGCGGCGTTGGCGGCTTTCATGCGTTTAACGGCTTCGGAGTCATTGGCGGGTCCACCACCGAGGTCTGACATGGCAGAGGGTCTAGGAGCAGCGGGCTTGCGGGCTGGAGGCGGGCGTTTAGTAGCTGCCGGGGCGTTGTTATCCCCACTTGCGGCCTTCTCACAGCGGTTGCGACCAGAGATGGCGATTGCACCGCCTACACCATTTTGAACAGCTTCTTTCCATACGCCATATGCATCTGCCCACTTCTCCATGTTCTCCAATGCTTCGGCTTTTCGCATGAGAGCTTTGCCATAGAATTCCTTCATGTCTTTTTCGCCTTCCATTCCACCCGTAGCGATCTTCTCGCCTTCTCCTCTTGACACGCCAATTATCGCCAAAGCTGAGTCGGCATCAGCAATTGCTGCCTTCGGATCACCAACTTTGATGTTCGTAACGGCACGATTACAGAGTACAATTATTGTGACTGGGTGGGTACTTGGAAGAGGACTCAATGCAGAAGTGTATGCAGTGTGTGCAGCAGAGTAGTCCCCACGTTTGAATGCTTCGGAACCTCTTTGCCGGTCGGCTGAAGATGAGCTGAGAGCGGAGGATGACACTGGAGGTATTTGCCGGGGCGGTGCTTTTGGTCTGGGTGGCGTTGGCGTCGGAGCAGGACTTCGAGCTTTCTGTGATGATGTTGCCTGGAGGAATGGATTCTTGGATTGAGCAGGCGTTGGTTGGCGCGAAGACTGCTTTGGCGGTGTGGGGTCTGGAGAGAAGAGATCTACTTCAGGCTGCGGCTGTGGCTGCGGTGTGGTCTTCTTCCGGCGAGCAGGGCTGATATATGCTTGAGAGCTCTGCTCCTCAACTTCTTGGCGGGTCAATCGCGTCGCTGGTCTCTTATCCAGACTTAGTGATTGCGGTCGCTGTGATGGCGACTGAGACGACATGCGATCTGGGTAACCGTTCCGTCCAGTTTCTTGCTCTTTCTTCTGTCGTACAGGTAGCGGTTCGGCTTGGTGGCGCATGTCGCTCGTCCGGGATGGCTTCGTGGGACGCCCACCAGCTTCCAGCATCATGGCTTCGTCTGTAGCCGACGCCTCGGCCTTTTGCTGTCGACTTGAGCGAGGAGCAGCTTCCGCAGCCTGAGCGTCTCTCATCCACTTTGGCATGTTTGGATCACCCTCCTGTTGGAAATCGGCCATAGCCTTTTGTACTTGCTTGCGCCCCGTCTTCCAGAGAGAATTCGCCGATTTGAACAGGTTGTTGCCAATCTCTGAAGCCATTTGCGTAACGTCCTTTTCTTGACCTTCTTGCCTACGTTGTCCTGAACGGCTTCGCACTTCATCTTCTTGCATCCACGCGGGTCTAGAGCCGCTAGCCCGTGGTTCTCTTGACGACTCCCGACCATTGGACCTGCTGTTACCCCGCCTTGGGCGCTCGTCGGACTCATCAGGCTCTCGACGTGATCTGTCCTGGCTCTGAGAATGCGTTTTCTGTTTCGCCTCGGCATGCGCCTGGTTTAACAGCCATCCCACAGCAGCCTGCACGTCGAGCCCAGAATCAGTGGTCGCAAGAGCAATTGCCGACCTCTCAGCTGGAAAGCCCATGTCCACAAGTTCAGCAACAGCTTTGTCATGCGCGTTCTGAGGGCCTGGAGAAGGTTGTTGTCGAGATTCCTCCGCGGGTGCTGTCCGAGGCTCTTCCTTGTGCTGGAATTCGGAGACTGGCTTTCCTAGCAAGCCTAGTATATCGTCGTCGGCATCGCTAGTCGTTGGTGGTGGAGCAGGCGACGCGGACTTTTGCGCCATCTGCTTGAGACCAAACATATCGTCATCGTCGTCGAGAAGCGCGTTGCTGCTGGAGGAGGGCTGCGGTAGTGGTGTATTGCCTCGGGAGACATTGGCACTGTAAGCAGGTGTGCTCCTGCCACTGCTGTGAGTGGGGACGGGAAAGTGGCTTGAGCGGTCTACGGGAGCTGCCGAATTGAACGCTGCTAGAAGATCAGCCTCGCTGGGTGAAGACACTTCAGGTCGTCTCGAAGAGGTGTCCAAGCCTGCGAAGGGCTTGTTGATAGTCTTGGATAGGCCTTGGTTGGTGAACGGATTGTTCGAAGGACGCGGTGCGCCGAATGCCGCAGGTTCTGGCGTGCTCTTCCCATTTCCCAACGTGTCCCAATGCGTCGACTCAGCAGCTCCGAAGGTCGTATCCCATTGCTTCCTCTTCTCCGCCTCTTGTCTTGCCTTCTCCTCTTGTATCTGCTTCTGTCGTTCTTGTAGCGACAAATTGTTGGTCGGTGCTTTGGACTTGTTGGAGGACACGAGACCAGCGAAGCTATCGTTTGCGGGGGTCGCTGGTTTTGAGGGCAGCTTGAACTGCTGCGCGCCGCCGGAGCCAGCTCCTGAGCCGGACTGTTGCGTAGAAAGCGTAGAGAGGGGTGTGGATCGACCAGAGAGCTGAGGCGTGGGGCTCTGGCGGAAAGGTGGGAAGGCCGCGGGGGTGTTGGCGGGCTTTTTGGCGGGCTGCGACCAGTCGAGGCCGGCTAGGTCATCCATGGTATTTGTTCTGCTGAGTGAAAGGTTTCAATGAGTGTGTAAAGGAAATGGTATCATAATGGCGGGTCGGGTGTTGAGCATCGGCATTACGTGTATTGACCGCTTCACGATGGTCGGTCGCACTTGCTCGCTACGCGCCACAAAGCACAGCCACATCACGTGATATATGCAGGGTCTAAGTAGCCACGATACTTTTTGGGCTGCTTTGATTTCCTGAACATGTTCGGCTGGGTGTTCGCAGCTAGCTCCCTGGTAAGGATAAAGCGTCGATTTTTGCAAACACGATATGTTGGAATAGTGCAAATATGGCAAGCGACGCCTCTGTCACAGAAGCAAGAAAGATCTTCGCCGTTGCAATGGCAGGAAGAGCCGACATAGATGTCGCAGATAGAGTGCTATGGAGCCCCATCTTCGCAGCTCCCGCGGGCACGGACTCCTATGGCTCGGATGCGGACCTCCCTGCCTTCTTGGACCGCATGCCTGTAACGATACCGAGTACCCTGCCAATGCATTGGTGCGAGCAGTTCCTCCGAGCCGACTGGCTCAGTATCGATTGCTGGGTAAACAGCAAGGCAAACAACCGGCAAAGGATTCTTACTGCGGAGTCGGGCAACAGGCACAAATGCAGTGTGCGTATCCGGGTCCACAATTGGCAAGTTATGATGCGGTCAGTGGGCTCTGTCGAACCGCGACCGCGGAGATGGTGGCAGTAGCACGTCCTGGCGCGGGCGGACTGTCCCGACTGTGCGACCCCTGAGCAAAGCTTTGCAAAGCTTTCTTCCCCAATGGCCTCACATCAGGACGATTTGGCTCCGTGGTCTCACATTGACTCGGGCCGAAGGGATCTAGTCATTCATTACTCGTAGACGGCACGGTAACCGAAGCCGCGAGGCCTTAGTGGTGTTGGTTCCAAAGGATGTCAGATGTTTTCGGCAGTTGTGCAGAAGAATGTATGGTCTCGAGAAGGTTCTGTCGGACTGTGCACGCAGGGCGTCTTATTAGGCTGATCATAACAGCCAGCTCGTGCCTGGACGGGAGACAGTCGACACTCGGCGCTCAGGCACAGGCAACATGGCGGATTTGCCGAGCCGCGAACCCGCGCCCACGGTATCAGACTTGACCACCCGCCCCTCCCCGAAGGAAGCGAGGGCCAGATGACTCAAGTGCGCGCACTGCTCGTAAAGAATCTTATGCCAGGAGAATCTGCGCGAATCTAGGTTTGGGAGCGTATCCATAGTGATGCTGATCGTGCAGAAATGAAGCAGTTGGCCGATGGGAGACAGCACAAGTGGTAATGAGGTTGCATTTGATATATGCAAGCGGTTCGCTGCCTAGCCTGAACAGGGTCAAGACCGGTACCAGGTAGAGGTATCTTGTGGCTAACCACAAGGGGGATGTGGTGCGTGCCGCCAGGCTCGCGGTTGGAGCGAACGGCTCAGGTACAAGGCACCAACTATGCCTGGAGAGGAACAAAGGGCGAAATCGCGGTCGCAGCTACTCCGTGTAGACGCGACGAGAACGAGCAGTCGGGACCCTGCGGTGTGGAGCGGACTCCGATACGCATGGAGAAGCGGGCGGCCGAGCGAGTTTACACGAGAGACTCAGGAACAGGACGCTCGAGGGAGGGATGATTATTGCTAGCGTCGTCTATCGTGCCGTCCATTGACGCGGAAGAGCCAGGGGGCAGTCGGTCGGCGCGACTATGCTGGCCAGGGTGCACACGAGGGTACTATACAACTGCAAGCGACGCGTCTGTCTGGCTCAGCTCCCCCAACTCGCAACTCATCTCTGGCCTGGACTGGGACCCGCCTGATTTGCAATTCATGACTGCCCGGGTAGTAGTCTCTACACAAGGTTTTGCTACCAGCGCACGTGTCGACTCCCTTGCATACTAAGCTCCACCAGCGCAGTCGCTTCCGGATTGTTTGTCCAGGGATCTCCCGGCAACGGTTCCGCACTGCCAGTAAGCGCGGGCCTTGGACAGAACCATCGCTCTCGAGCATCCTCGCCCAGCTTCGACGTGCCTTCCTACTCCCCAGCAAACCTCGCCAGAAACGCTCCTTCCGCCAGCACCTCGCGCCCTCCGTCGCCGCTGCCTCCGATGCGTCTCTTCAATCGCAAGGGCTCCAAGCCCCAGGTTTCTCCCAACGGCAGCCAGCCGAACAGCTCCAATGGCTCCCTGCGCTCTCCTGGACCCACCCCAAACGGCTCTCGGCCTACAAGCTTCCCAGACATCCCTCTGCCAAAGGCCCCGGATCCAACCCTCGACCCGGCCGGCTATCTGCGCAGCATCTACGCTGTCCGCGAGCGCTCCAAGCTGGTGCTTGAAAAGGCCAAAAAGAACCAGCTCAAGCACTTCACTGTGGACATGAGCAAGTTTGGCGATGTCGCCCGCTTTGTTGTATCGATAATCAAGGTAAGCCTCATTTTGCGAGCGCAAGGATGCCATGTTGGGCCGCCTCCCTCTAACCTTGCCTGCAGCGCGACTATGCGCCCGACTACGCCTCCATCCCGCCCCACGGCCGCTGGCAGCACTTCGATGTCGGTGGCCGCCCACGAATCGATCAGCTCATGGCGTCGTGGCCATCAACCGTAGACAACCAAGAGCGCACCCGCCGCCTCATTGATCTCTTCCTCGTCTCCGTCCTCCTCGATGCAGGTGCAGGCACCAAATGGCAGTACAAGAGCAAGGAGTCGGGCAAGATCTACCGCCGCAGCGAGGGTCTTGCCGTAGCCAGTCTGGAGATGTTCAAGTCCGGCGCATTCAGCAGCGATCCAAGAGAACCCTTCCAGGTCGACAGCGCGGGGTTGAAGAAGCTCGACGTTGCAACAGTGGCGCGTGGCCTGCAAGTCAACGCCACAAACCCAATAGACGGTCTCGAGGGTCGCACCAGTCTGTTGCTCCGCTTAGCAGAAGCCTTGCAAAATCAAGAAGTCTTTGGTCTCGAGGCGCGGCCAGGAAACATGCTCGGTACGCACACCATCTACATGTCATGATGTTGGCTAACACTCTCAGACTACCTCCTCTCGCACCCCACCACACAAGCATCATCAGTCCCCATCATACCCCTCCCCACCCTCTGGAATACTCTCATGGACAGTTTGACCCCCATCTGGCCTGCAACGAGGACCCAAATCGACGGTGTACCCATGGGCGACGCCTGGCCGTGCTCCGTCATGCCATCGCATCCTACTCACCCGTGGGAGAACATTGTCCCTTTCCACAAGCTGACCCAGTGGATGACCTACTCGCTAATGGTTCCAATGACGAGGCTACTCCACGTCCACTTCCCTGGCGCTGAGCTTCTGACCGGGTTGCCAGAATACCGAAACGGTGGACTTTTCATCGACGTCGGCCTCCTAACACTGAAGCCCGAGGACCAGAAGCGCGGTCTCGCACAGTACCAACGCAACGCACAGGTGACAGGGCAGCCGAGCATGGAGGTTGTGCCGATGTTTACCGCCGACGATGACGTGATCGTGGAATGGCGCGCAGTCACTGTCGGGCTACTCGACGATCTCCTAGTCGACGTAAATCAGCTGTTGGGCTTGAGCGGCTCTGACAAGCTCAATCTGGCCCAAATGCTTGAAGCTGGTAGCTGGAAGGTAAGTTTGACATGATTCCCATGTTCTGGGATGTAGCTGACCCACAATACTAGGGAGGTCGAGAGATTGCTGAAGTGTCGCGGCCCAACACTAAAGAACCGCCAATCATGATCCTCTCGGACGGCACTGTTTTCTAAGATACCCCTTTCTTCTTTTGTTCCGCCCTTCCTTCGCTTCCTTCACATACAGACATCGTGCAGCGAAAGCACGTATCCGATACCCACAAGGAACCCTTATCCCAGCCGCCCCAGTACCTTCTAATTATGGCCAAGTGGATGGGATTTATGATACACGATCTTGACGGTCGCATTTGGTGGACAGCTTCTTGTTTATACGTTCTGCTTTGTCACACCAGCCACGTTTACGTTTCATTCTATTTTGAAGCGCTGGCGGCTTGAGATTCATTTCATGTGTTGTAATAATTCCTTACCATGACTTTTGGAATCTTCGAATATGTAGCCACGTACCAGAGCCTTTTGAACAGGAGCTGGCGCCTTGACTAATCTTCACAGTCGGGCATTTTGATCTGACTAGAACACCATGAAGATAATACAAGAAATACCATGATGCGCGCCGCTTTGACGAGACTGTTGATGACAAGGATGGCCATCGCGTTTCCCAGTAGGAGGAATGCGGAGTGCGGAAGTGCCCCACTCACCTGCCAAGAAGAGACCCAAAACCGCGCTGGGACGCCAAAGCTCGCCCAGGCGTGCTGTTTACGGTACGTCATCCCATCACCAAGTCCCGCGCGACGGCTCCATATTACTAGAAGCTTACCTCTCTGCGTTCGCTACCAAGCTTATCTTTGCCGCTCGGCGGTCTTCGCGCAGCGCACGTTATCGCGACTCGCACGTAGCTTCTCTCCACTGTCGGAACACTATCACCATGAACTCGATCAAACGGCAGAAGCAGCGCAAGGTGCTGCTCATGGGCAAGAGTGGCGCCGGCAAGTCATCGATGAGAAGCATCGTGTTCAGCAACTACGTCGCCAAAGATGTCCGGAGACTGGGTGCGACAATCGATGTTGAGCACAGCAATATCAAGTTCATGGGAAACCTCATGCTCAATCTCTGGGACTGTGGAGGGTGAGCCCATCAGCTATCAGACCACACGATAACACGAATTAATCTTTCGCAGTCAGGATGGCTTCGTCGAGAACTACCTCAACCAATCTAGGAACCACGTCTTTGGCTCCGTCGCCGTCCTCATCTTCGTCTTCGACATCGAATCGCGCGAGTTCGCAGCCGACGTAGTCTCCTACTCCAATATCATTCGCGCCCTCCACGAGTGCAGTCCCAACGCCAAAGTCTTCTGTCTTATACACAAGATGGATCTTGTACAAGCCCGCCTCCGCCAAGCCATGTTCGACGAGCGCGCCGAGTACATCCGAGAGGCTAGCGAGGGATTCAAAGATACAGTCGAGTTCTTCGCAACAAGCATCTGGGACCAAAGCCTGTACAAGGCCTGGACAAAGATCATCTACTACTTGATACCGAATGCGGGAACGATTGAGGCACTGCTGGAACAACTGGCCGACGTTATTGATGCTAGAGAACTCATTCTGTATGAGCGTACAACCTGTCTCACAGTGGCACATGTCACAAGGCAGACTGAAGAAGCGAACCCCTTCACGGATCGGTTCGAGCGCATCTCAAGCATCCTGAAGACGCATAAACAGAGCATGGCGTACGTATCTACTCCTTGCCCAACCAACCTGTCAAGACCTGGCTGACACTCCACTCTGTATAGGAAACACACAAACATTCCCGCCGGTAGCGCAAATTTTGCAGAAATGCAAATCAAAACCGGCCGCTTCATGTTCTTCATCACACGTCTCACCGAAAACACGAACCTCGCAGTCACCATTCCGCCTTCCGAACAGGTCTTCAACGCCGCCCGCGTGAACATCTTCCAAGTACGACCGAAGTTTGCCGAACTCGACATCGCCGCCAAACCTAGACCTCCGATTCAGACTGCGTTTGCAGGGAGCGCGGATACGAGTGACAGCACAGATAGAGGGAAGCAGAAGGAATCAGGATACGGATCTGGGGTCTAGACGACGCCTGAGCACAAGAGGAAGGTGAAGAGGATCGAAACCCTAAAAGATAGCTTTACGCGGGACTTCGAGGATAGGTTGGGAAGCGTCGACCCTACAACAGAATGTTATGAGGAAACGCTGGATCAAACTAACCGGGCGAAGACATTCTTACATGATTATCATAATTCCGAGGCCCTGCGGGTTTCAGAAACGTCGCCAGCACGCGAAGAGGTAGAAAAAGCCTCAGATACTCCCCCGGTGAACGGACAGCCGACGCAGGCAGGAGTGGGTGGTTCTGGAGATTTACCTTCGGCCGCGAGTTGAAAGTTCGTCTTTCGGCGCCGTTTTCCAGCAAGTAAATCATGGATGTTCAGAGACAAATTCTACGAAGTCTTGGAAATCCAGTGCTGTAATAACTCAGCTGAGTTGGCTAGTTCAGAGCTCGGTCCGATATCGAGAGGTAGCAGATGTAGCTGTATCCCGGGCGGTTAGAAAGGCATGTTGAAGATACTGATTCTTGAAGTTCCTCAGATCCCTATCTATCTGGGCGTGGCATTACTCCTCTTCTTTCGCCAGACGTGTGACGATGGTAGGATTGCGACACATGTTAGCCTTCTCCTCGACATACTGCGTTCGGCAATGGTCAAGAAGAACGCGTTGACCGGTATCCGTGGATCCCATGCGAAAATACCCGACCATCGTGATCGCGCTGAGAAAACGTCACATGCAAATCTACACAGAGCGAGCCAGGTGCGCCTTGTGCAGGTGCCAAAGCGAAGAGATTGAGGCAGCCATCACCACCACCACCACCATCAAGACTCAATCCCACCGCAGACGTGCATCGCGCAGGTCTCGATCTACGCTATCTTGCTAGCACACATGCTGCAGATCCAAGAAATCACAAGAAAGCACATGTACGAGAAAACGGTTGGCGCACAAGCAAGGCCAAGCGAAAATGCGGGGAAAACAACCGTTGCCTTTGTCTCGTCTTGATCACGCAAAGCCTTGGGTAAAACTCGGGGCAGGACGGCTTCGCCTTTCTTGATTGAGAACAGCAAGGGAAACCCTTGTAGCGCCAATGTCTTGCTGGTTTTCACAGCAAGTGAAGTACTCATTGTAATCTTGGAGTATGGTACCGGCGACACAAGTGACCGCAGCACTGGTCAGAGCATTTGCTGGGTGGGCTGGTATATTAATTCCAATCCCTCGGGATTTCCCTGGACTTGCAATGCATCTTTGTGCATGTATGTATGCATGCAGATATGGCGACGAGTCTTGTGTTGCATTGCACCATGCCGTCATGTCAGATCCTCGTTCGCTCCAGCTGAGTAGTGCGCGTGGTTCGTGGCTTGGCCTCAGGATACCAAGATGGAATGATTGGGGAGATACCAAGGCGCATGTAGTGTACATGGCTGCCTGGCGGGTTTGTGGACGGGACACAATAACTGTGCCTGTTCTGTTGCTTCTGCCGTTACTCTGTCGGTTGTGAGCGCACGATACTCCGTGGTATCGAAGAAGCGCCGAAGCCGCGTATCTAGAGCCTTGGGTTTATATTATCCGGATGGTCTCACGGCTTGTAACATCGGCATCAGTCTTAACCCCTCCTGGCCCTTGCTTCACCGCATCAAGGAAATTCAAGACATGCAAACAACAGTCAAAGCCGGGCCAAGCCCACTACCCAAGAATGACCAAGTGCTCCGCCTTACCATTTTGCAGCCACAAACGTTGGCCAACTCCCAGCTGGTATGCGGTGATTACTTACCCTGGCCTATCGCTTCATGACGCTACTGGCTGATTGCATTGCACCGCGTGATCGTGTTTGAGCGTTTTTTGCTGATGGATGGCAATGGTTGCATGTGTGAGGACCGGTATTGGCATTGTCCCAAGACGGGGGAAACCGCAGCATTTGGCAATGAAGCAGTAAGCCTTGATGACACGGACATATAAGCATGCCTGTTCGCTTGGTCCCGTATGCTGAAGGTCTCTTGTGCGTTCTCTTCTTGTTCTCGCGTCTTTGCTGGAAGGTTTCCTGAAGCTATTCTCACCTGAGCTTGAACGCGACGAATACATAAGCTCTAGTGCGCGCGTCTGACTCCATTTTGGCCATGGCAGAACCCGAGAAGGAGACTAAAATTGAGTAAGCAATTTGTCGCAAGCTGAATATGGCCATGATATGAGGCCCAAACCTTACTAACAGTGTTTCTTCCAGTCCAGTAGTCGTAGATGAGCAACACGAGCGCAAGGCGTCCATCTTCGACGATGAAAAGAAGCGCAAAGAGAGTGTCGCTCGTCTAACAGCCAATCTTGAAGGCGAGTAAGTAATCCTCCACCTGGTCAAACCCAACAGATACTAGCGAGCTTTATTCTCCAACTTCTCAGATGGTATGCTCTAAACACCCTCATACTAACAAGTCCAGAATCCGCAACCCGCTCGTCGACATCCCGCGAGAGCAGCTCCTAGCCAACGTCCACGACTTCGCCACAGAACACCAATTAACTGACGTTGAGCCCCTCCTCGTCAAAGGCGCCCTCCTCGCCCAGTCGCCCGGACTCTTCGAAGACCTCGAAGAACTCGATGAAAACGACCGCACCGCCATCCGCGAAGAAATCACCCATCGTTTCAAACTCCCTCGTACACTCTACTTTACCATCATTCTCAACTCCGTCGCAGCAGCGATCCAGGGCTGGGACCAAACGGGCTCCAATGGGGCTAATCTGACTTTTGGCCAGGCCCTTGGTATTCCGGATTCTGGCCCGGTGTGTGAGGCGGCGGGGACGTGTGAGAAGAATGGGTGGATTATTGGGTTTATCAATGCTTGTCCTTATATTGCCATTGCTGGTGAGTCAGCGATAATGAGCAGTTGTGTGAGAAGTATGCTAACTTCTCATTTTCACCTTTACAGTATTCTGTGCTTGGATCTCTGGTGAGTTGGCTTTGAAACTCCTATCATCTCACATTTCATTTCTCGCTAATGGCTCTAGACCCTGTGAATGAGCTCTGCGGTCGTCGTGGTACCATCTTCATCGCTGCCGTATTCTCACTCTTGGCGCCCTTTGGTATGGGTCTGAGCCAGACATGGGGCGAGCTTGCCGTTTGCCGTGTGCTTCTGGGTGTTGGTATGGGACTCAAGGAAGTCACGGTGCCTGTCTTCTCCGCAGAGAATGTTCCAGCTAGTGTGCGTGGCGGACTTGTCATGTCCTGGCAGATCTGGTGAGATATGCCTGTGCGAAATATGTATGAGACATATACTGACTTCGTAAGGACGGCATTCGGTATCTTCCTGGGAACGGTCGCTAATCTGGCTGTCATGGTGAGTCCGTGAACATGCTCGTAGTTAGCGACCACTGACAACAGACAGAACACTGGATCAATTTCCTGGCGCCTACAATTCGGATCAGCATTCATTCCTGCCGTTCCTCTAGTCATTGGCATCTGGTTCGTTCCTGAAAGTCCAAGATGGCTCATGAAGAAGCGAAAGTACGCCAAAGCCTACCGGTCGTTTCTTCGCCTACGCAACACCCCTCTTCAAGCAGCGCGCGACCTCTACTACACCCATTGCCTTCTCGAGCAGGAAGAGGTTCTGATTCGCGAAGCTGGAATCAACCCCAAGTCAAACTTCTTCACGCGCTTTGTTGAGCTGTTCACAATTCCGCGGGTTCGTCGCGCAACGCAAGCTTCTGGTATCGTGATGATCGGACAACAGGTGAGATAGTGAGAAGTCTCTCACTATGAATGAGGCTAACGAGAGTAGATGTGCGGCATCAACATCATCGCATTCTACAGTTCGACTATCTTCGCAGAGGGAGGAGCCACAAACAAGGAAGCGCTCATTGCGTCCTTTGGATTTGGTCTTGTGAACTTCACCTTCGCTTGGCCGGCAGTCTGGACAATCGATACTTTCGGTCGCCGCGGCCTGCTCCTTTCCACGTTTCCCAATATGTTCTGGACACTCCTTGTAGCGGGTATGTGTTACTACATTCCCAAGGACAGCGATGCACACCTAGGCTTGATCGCCTTTTTTGTGTATCTATTCGGCGCCTTTTACTCTCCCGGAATGGGACCGGTGCCTTTCACGTACTCGGCTGAGGTATTTCCGCTTTCACACCGAGAAGTGGGTATGTCATGGGCTGTAGCCACGAACAACTTCTGGGCGGTAAGTCAAGTCGAACTGATGAATTCTATGGTGCGACATGTACTGATTCGATACACCGACGCTTAGGCAGTGCTGTCGCTCACACTCCCTCGCATGCTCAAGGTCATGAGACCTCAGGGAGTATTCGGCTTCTACGCTGGTCTCAATGTCGTCGCCCTAATTATGATGTAAGTCACTCTCGATCCTACTAAGAGAGTCAGAGAACTAACATGTTTTCAGCTTCCTCTGGCTACCCGAAACCAAGCAGCGGACACTTGAAGAGCTCGACTACATTTTCGGTGTCCCTACGCGCACTCACATGAAATACCAGGCTGGCAAAAACTTGCCTTGGTGGTTCAAGACGTACATATTGCGTCGAGAGGGTCTCTCCAAGCCTCAGCTTTACAAGTTTGGTGATCAGCGTCCACCTGTGAGTGTAACAGCGCAGATGAGCTACGCTTGGAACACGTACATTCTTCGAAAGAAGGGGCTGGCTAAGCCGGATGCTTATGTTCGAGCGGCGCCTCGAGGCGAGAAGCAGGTCTAGTCAACTTTGGACCGGAATGTAGCGCGAGGCGAGAAGAGGTGGTGATGCTGGGTACATAGTTCGCAGCATGTTGGAGCTCGTGGAAAGCACTGATCGGTGACCTAGTGGGGCGTGTGGGTGATTGTGGTGGCATGTGGACTTATCGCTATTTTGTTTATACCCTCGAACTCGCTCGACTGGGCATCATAGTCTGTCACTAATCACGATGGATACCGCAGAGTACCTGGGTTGTGGTTTTAGTCGCATCCATCGCTTGTTCCGCAATGCTCCCTCCCCCGTCGTTCGATATCTTATGAGGTCCACAGCGGTATGATAACGGGATGGCATCAGACAAGACTTGGCAAAGGTACATGGCGATGTGAAGTCGTCTGTCGTGGAGACGGATCGCCGTCAGATTCCCCACTACTCAAGACGACGCCTATCGTCATGCAGCCCCACAAAAACGCGCTTCTCAAGCGCAGCGCGCGTCCGGATGCTAGTGAAAACCACCAACAACCACTTTCACATGCGCCGGGAAGCATCGCAACGGCTATTCGGATGCTACGCCAAACCCCAAGGGGCCCTGACAGCAGGTGCCTCGGCAGTCAGCCTCGGCATGAAGCTAAGCATCATGCATGCACCCAGCACAGCTATCGCGACGGCCGCCATGAGGGTGGGCTGATCATCAGCAACCCATAATTCCAGGAACCCGACGATCCCGGAGTATATCCTCTTACTATCCTGTCTTCCGACTTAAAGTTGGTGCACCCCCATACGTTACTCCCCTGACTTGGATGTCGGATCCGCTTCTCGCAGCCTCTTCCCCGCATCTCCCGCACGCTCTTATACAACGCCTGCGCCGCCGCCTCGCGAATACCTCACAATCGTCGCCGCAAAACATCGCGTCTGCTTGACGAATATCTAAAATGCCAGTCTTTGACCTGAAGAAGAACCTCGTCTTCGTAATGGCGCCTGTACAGCCCCAGAGAGCGCTCGCTGGCTAATGCGAAGAGCAGTATGGCGCATACCACCGCGATCCAACAAACGTCGCCATCCACATAGCATGCGTGCCTGTCTTGCTCGCAACAGGAATCCTCTTTGTGCGTCGCCATCCTGTCTTTCCGTCCTCTCGAGCCCAATTGCTGACCAGACCACTTAGGGCACCAATACACCCACCCTCCCCATCCGCCAGCACCCGCTGCTGACACGCCTCAACCTCCCTTTAAACCTAGGCACCATCGCCGCAGCCACATATTCGACCTTGTACCTTATGCTCTCCCCAAACCTCGCCGGCGTGACCGTCACACCCATGATTCTCGCCTTCGCATCCCTCTCCAACCGCCTCACGCAGCGCTACAACAAGACCAAAGTCAATAGCATCGCCGCCGCCATCCATGTCGTGAGCTGGATACTACAATTCGTCGGACATGGAAAGTTTGAGGGACGGAAGCCGGCTTTGCTAGACAATCTGGTCCAAGCCCTGTTTCTGGCACCGCTGTTCGTGTGGTATGAGATCTTGTTCAAGATGGGTTTCTACAAGACACTCAGGAGAGAAGTCGACATGGGTATTGAGGTGGAGATCGCCAAGTTGAAGGCGAAGAACGCTGGCAAGGGTAAGGGCAAGGAGACTGTGATGGATGATGTGATTGATATTGTGGACAATGAGAAGGAGAGTAGTGATGAAGCTTGAAGGTGTAATAGGTTTACGTTTCCGTATATCTGAGCAATGGTAGGACAATCCCGAGTATGACATGGTGTGCGAATGGTCACCATCGCTCCCAGCATCGACCAGCCGCACAGGCAGTACTGTACAAACAAAAAAACACCCCCTTTTTATCCACACATCCGTAGCACGCAACATAATTTAGTATCCCAGATTCCCAGCTTGCATCACTCAAAAGCCGCTTTGATGATGCTCTCACGCTTCAAGACAGCGATCAATTCCTGAAGTAAAGATGGTTAGCACGTGTTCAGAACCACAGTCATTCCCTTGGCTGAAAGAGGCACTCACTTTGAACGGATCCTCATCAACCTCAACCAAAAGCGGCATGGTAGCCAGCTGGGATAGTGCGGCAGGCTCCTGACCTTCTTCTTGCACTATGCTCACGCATTCCGGAAGCTCCTCTAACAGTAAGTCTGGCACATCAACAACAGTAGTGTCCGCAATCGCCGTGTTGATCGAATCGATCGCGTTGCTGAAGGCTGTGGTAGTCGAAAAGACGGGCTTCTCAGCCGGCGGGGTCACAGTAGATCCGGTGGAGGGTCTACCATACGGCAATCTAGAAGCCTCCGTCTTCCTCTGTGTGACCTCAGCGCCCTCAACAGCAGTCTCATCCGTATCATCAGACTCCTCTTCTCCCTCATCTTCACGGATCTTAAACTTTCCCTCTCGAAACGCCAGCTTTGCCGTGCCGAAGTTGACGATTAGCCGGAAGCGATATGGTTCGACATCAGACCAGTACGTGTAAGAGAAATGGATCCAGCACGAGAACTCAGCAACATAGTCTCGAGCCGCGTTGAGGGAAGAGAAGGTTGGACGCCATGCGGGGATGCGGCTGATAAGCTTTTGAATGTCGCTCCCAATGGCTCCTAGTTGATGAGTCAGTGTAGCACAAATTGTCCAAAGGTGAGATGGCAGACCGTTCATCGTCGTAAACTTTCCCACTGGCGCTTTTGACACTTTGGACTTTCGGCACCGCCAATCCTCACCAGGGACATGCATCTCAAAGCGACCGTCTTCGAAAGCATGCCTCACAGTGTTGTAGTTGACGTAACGCTGAAATTTGTCCGCCGAAACTCCTTCAAATTCAGTATATGCGAAGCCTTTCCAGCGTGCAACACCGTTAACATGGACGAGGGCGTCCTTCACACCAGCGAAGTGGGACGGCCAATAAGGCACCAGGGGGAGGAGGCGTCGGATATCTGCTTCAACGGCCGCTAAAGCACGTACACATCAGTTTCATTGGGTAAAGGGAGGAAAGTTGAACGGACTTACCTCTCAAAGCCGACCGGTCCAACAACCCAACCCCTAGATAAAATTCTCCTTGCCTGAAAGCCTGGCAGGCTACCACGAAGCATACCTTGTCCTTGATATATGCCAGCTCCTCTTTTGTCAAATTTTGCTTGCTAGTGATGTATTGATTGCCGGATTGCTTGCAGGTAGTACTGATGTACTCTTTGACTTCTTCGATATCGTGGAAGTGTGTTGGGTAGGTGTGCATGTCGGCTTCTACTTTCGCCGCTGCACAGAAGACAATGCCTGTAGGTGTCAACAGAAGTCCTTGTACACAGAAGGAGAAGGGATCGTCGAACTTTTCAAGCGCTTGTTGCTGGGCATGATTGTTGTGTTGGACGTATGGTCTGGGTAGTGCCGTCTGTCAGGTCGTAGATGAAAACAAGTTTTGGTAATGAGTCGAGATACCGATGCAAGAGGAGAAGGTGAAGAGTTTCTGTTCCATTATGATTTGAAATGACTCCGGCATTCTAACAAACGCACATAATCCAGCCTAAGGCATCGAGGGGGGCGTTTAACGTAGCTAGACGCTTGCAAACGATGGCCGGCGGATCCTGTCTCTAGATATCAGAGGTTGAGAGCCACTTGGCATTAGGTAACTCCAGGCACCGATTAGACTCCTATGAAAGGAATCAGCTGGCCCAACAGATACCGCTACGTATAATGTACAGTTTCATGGTTGTGCACGCCCGCATGGTCGATCGCCATGCCACAACCAAAACGTTCATGATAAAACACTTTTGGCACCCAACATGTATCCTGCCTACTCTTCATCGTCACTCTCATCATCATCCACCTTATACAAGAAGTACTGCACAAACACCCCGGCATCCAACAACAATGTTCCGAAGCTACCCAACAACCAGCTCATATTGACCGCAATGTACGTGCCGTACTCGGCACGTCCCTCACCATCCTGGCAGATGTGGCCTCCGCACTTGGGCTTGTATACTAGGATACTCAACACATATGTCAAGTTACCCAGGCAAGCAAACAGAAAGAACAACATGCTGATGCCTTCGGTCGACTTGCGGCGGTAGTTGAGCAGGAGCTGTGGGACGCGGGACCCGAGGTAAAGCGCAGCACAAACGTAACCAGAGACCTGGCCCCAGAGGTTGAAGTGCAAGGTCGATTCGGGTGATGAGTCCTGGTCGTCGGGTTGGCTGGGAGCGGTGGAGTTTCGTGCGCTAAGGTACCAGCCGAAAACACCGGCCGCGCATACAAGGACTATGGTCCCAAGATTGAAGAGGATCGTTTGCAAGCTGGACTGGGCCAGTTGAGATCTGGCTGCAACCGCGCCATTTTGGTGTGCAGCAGTTGAGTCATCGTGTAGCGGTGTGACAGGCGAGAGATGCGTGCCATCAATGGAGAGGTAGCGCTCACGGAATGAGCCTTGGGAATGGCCTGAGCCACGGCGGTCAATGTCCGAAATGCGCGGTCTCTGGACTTCGATTCCATGGCCGTTGCCGTTTGTATAGGGTGAGCCGCTCGACTGAGGTCTGCGATGAGGCAGAAGCGGTGACTGCTCACTAACTTCGCTATCCTCGTCGGACTCATCGGTGGGCTTCTTAAACTCATCGCGCAGTGTAAAGCCCTTGTAGTAGAAGCACTGTAGCAGCAGCACGATGTCGGCTAGAGTATAATACACCGCCAAGATGGTCATCGTTGGCAGGACACCTTGCAGCACCGCCCCTATGATGTTGAAGAAGTCACCGAGTAGCCATACTACGATGAAGACCACTGAAAGACCCTCCGCTGAGCCCCTCTTCCAATTCTCGATAATCTGAGGTGAGAAAACAACTGTCGCACAAGTTAGCTCCGGCGTGCCGAGGTAATAGCCATGCAAAAGCAACACAAGGCAAGCGCGTTGTACACCAGGTAGCAGTGCGAGAAGCTGTATCTCACGTACCTATCCAGCATGCGATACTTATTGAACCAAATATTTGGCTGATGGCATCAATGTCCAATCGCAAGCCTTGCGATGGAGGAAACATCTTCGCTATGACGTAACCACCCAATTCCTAGCTCTTTCTCAGTCGCACAATTTTGGAGCAGCTCTCAAAAGTCGGAGGAGCCGGTCTAAAGTCCTTGCGACTTGACTATTGTTGACAGATGTTCGCAAGCTTGCAGCTCCCTTCACTGGCGATGAAACGCGACGTGAACGTGAACGTGAACGTGAACGTTTCTCTTAACAAAGACCGGACGACTATAGCTATGCAAGCGAGTCCCGGCTCAGCCGCGTACGTAGGTAATGGATGTATGTTGTAGGACGATGGTGAAGATGTTGACTGGGTAGTCTCTGATGAGAGCAAAGAATATGAGATGGAATCTAGAACGCAATTGCTTCGATGACTGACATGTGGAAAATCTCGGGCGAGTACGTAATCCGGGGTTACAGGGATGAGCTTCTGCAGGAACCAGAAAGAGCCGCACTAAGCGAGCTGCGAACGTGTGCCTCACGCGACGAACCAATTCGAGCAATTGCTTTTTCTTTTATCAATGCCTTATTGCATGACTATGATCATTATAGATACATGTATGTATTTTGATGTCCGCGTAGCTCTGTGTATTTCACATATAACTTATCTATTAACCAGTGCCTTCCCAGAAGGCTGCCGCTGCCGCAAGATCATCAACGTTAAGCAGATCGACGCCCTCGTCCCATAGAATGCGCCAAACCGCGTTCCTCGTACCAATCGGGTACGCTGGCTGGTTCCAATACCTGGCCATGATGCCCTTGTCATGTGCCATGTCAAGCTGGCTCCTTAGCGTGTCCAGCTGGGTATCGTTGAACTCCCGCTTGCGCACTTCGCCAAAAGACGAGGCAAAGTTTGTGGACGCAATCGGTGATTCGTTCGCTGTGAGGTCTGCATATTTGGAGTCGTTGAGCTCCGCAAGTGGCGCGTCGAAGAACACGTCACGTGGAGACGATGCAAGAACGTCCGAAAGCTGTGTGTTTCCAGTTCCAATGACGGTAACTGGGTTCTTGCGCAGGTTGGTGCCATCATAAGTTGTCAACCAGTCGCCGCTTCGCAGAGGCTCTAGGGCCTCGAGAACAGCGGGCCATGTCTCGTCAGCGGCAGTTTTCAAGTCGATGAAGAAGTAAAGAGTCTGTCCACTAGAGGTGTCGAACACACCATTCTGCTCGCCCGGCTGCACGAACCGAGTCTTTGGGTTCAGGCGATGCAGAGTGTCGAGGATTGGCTCCAGATAGAGAGACTGGAGGGTGCGCTTGTCGGTCAGGGCAGCAGGCTCATGGCCGACCTATTCTTTATTAGCGAAACCGAATGTATTCGCGACGCGTTACTTACGTAGAGCGTGCCATTCAGAAGCCACACATCAGCTTCCGTGGATATGGCACCCTGACTAAGTCCTGAATAGAAGGGTACGTCGCGCCAGTAATCATTATGGCTGTGGAACGGCTTTGGGATAATCTCCCTCGTAAAGTCCGTTGGGTATGTGTATTTATCGCTCTTGTCTGTGTTCTCGAGTATGTTCTTGAGTGGCGTCTGCTGCCCATATGGTGCTGCGCTGCAGAGCGCGGCCAGACTGGCGGTAAGAGCGAAGGAGCGCATAACGAAGGCGACGCGGCAAAAATGGTGCAGAGCGCACAGCAGATGTAAATGAGCAATGCGAAAGCTTTATGGAGCGAAGCGCAACTTCACGAAAGCGATTGAAGGGTGACAATTGACGGTTGATGAGGGTTCGCATTGAAGCTTGTCAACGATGTCACGGGTGGGGACAGCCGTGGACATCCGGCCAATCCGGGCAAGCTGCTCGGCCCGTGGCAGTATGGCTTGCTTCTGGAGGTCCTCGTTGCATGGCGACACGTGCGGGGAGAAGAACAATTATTCGCCATTCTTCTTCTCGCGAGCTTTTGTCGGCAAGAAGAATTTCGGAGCGTTTGCGATATCGGCTCGGTGGTTGTGAGCCCGAAGCTTCCAAGGTTTTGTTGGGCTATGGCATTGGCCTATTGGTTGCTGCGTGGAATACTGCCGCAGCGCGCTGATGTTTCGCAAATGAGCATGATAAATGTTCTTCTTGTATCTCCAGATAAGTCACTAGTCCGACACACGTCAGCATCAAAGCAGCGTGGTCATCCATGAGTGCAACGTGGTAGAGGGAGCGCGAGTAGAGCCCAACCTTGGAAGGGTCGTGCTGGAAGCAAAAACACGTGTGTATGCAATTGCAGGGTACAAACCTGAAAACGGCGTGCAATTATATTCTCTTGCAATGTTGTCCAAAGCTTAAAGATACTGTGAGGCCTTGTTGACGGGGTCTCCAATGGTGTATGATTGCAAGGAAGCTGGGGGTGCAATGCCTTGTTGCACAACGAGTAGCGGATCGAAAGGCCATATTATTGCTCTACTCATACTGCGCCTCTGTAAACAAGACATGTAGTACAGTGATGCTTACATCAGATGGCCATGATGTGAATCTTGCTCGCATTCCCCTGAACCCACACTCCATTACCACAATCTTGGTGTCTTTTCGGTCCTTCCGCCCCACCTGCATCTTCCTTGCAAGATCCAAGCTTCACACCATGCATTTCCCTGGCCCTCATCGGGACTACAGCGGCTTTTCTTCCCGTATCACGGGATTCTGGACAAGATCCTGCAAGATGCTAGTGCATTTTGTAAAATCAGGGTCTAGGGCGGGGCTAGTGAAAATGATTGGTGGTCGTATGAGGCGTTTCCACATGCAGTAGCCGCTGCAACCACGGTGAACTGTGATCAAATGGAGCGGCAAGACCCTGTAGGCGTCTGCGTTCTATGAAGGTGCATGCTGCAGAAGTAGGGAGTGTCATGGCTTGATGGCTGGCATGAGAAAGCTCGTGGCCGGTGGAATGGCGTGATGAGGGGCGTTAAGGTCAGTGCGTTGTACCGAGTATGTCTTGGGTTAAGAGTCCACGCGTCAACGTTGCCACGGGTACAGGACGAAGGGAGATTGAATGAGCACAATGCAGAAGTTGGAAGGGGCAGCTGTAAGGAAGGATGCATGCGTCACACAGATAGGGCGTTGGTGTATGATGATTTAAGTCTCCTGATAGAGACGTGGAATTGATTGAGATAATGAGGATATCATTGAATCGATCCAACACCGTGCCGTGCATGCCATTGGCGAAAGCCATATATAGAATCCCAAACGCCAGGCTCTCTCGTAAATAAAGGTAGATCAAAATGTGATCTTTAACCATGCATCGCTAATACAAATAGCGTCTCGGACGCTTGAAGTGAAGATGGTTGTGCAATATACAATCAAAATGATTGTTATGAGCTGGTGGAGCTGACGGAGTCGGAAGATGAAGCCCCGCTTCGTCGACGAGCAGAGTCGGTAGCGGTAGTGAGCTGGCGCTTAGTGTGCTCGTGCATGATCCTGGTATTGTTAGTGACTGATACGAGTCATGTGCGAGAGTAATAACATACCTCTGGTAGTCGGTCATGGCCCGGTCGGGGTCGTTGAGGTCGAAATGGTTGGCAAAGTTGTGCTGAGCGCTCATGGGCTCTGAGAAGCCGTCGGAGACGTAGACTTGTTGGCGGGACTCAGTCATGGCAGACATTGTTGTAGATGTGTAGTTAAGGTTGTGGTAGAGGTAGGATAGTATAGGCTTAAGTAAGATAAGATGTGTGCGGAGGGTGTGCTGGAGATCGAGGAATTGTATGTGAATCGATGAACTGAGTGCTGCTGATGGGATCTAGAGAATTAGGAAGCGGGGTGCGAACTATATACCCTCCTGCGTCTCACAACGCACGCACAACAGAGGCGGACGGAACGACTTGGCCCATCATGACTGCGCAAGGCAAGAGATCGGCCCATGACTGTCGGCTCAAAGAAGTGATCCACCATGACCAACGCGCTAGTGGGCCGCCAGCTTCAAGGCTTGCAATCAGAGATCTACAGGGTCCTTCTATGTTGGGCTGTGGTGGCCTCGGCTGCCAATCAGCAGCTTCCGATACAGACATCCCCGTTTGCGGTGGGTCTGGTACCTGGGCATCACGATTTCAGGGCTTGCTTATGATGTCTGCAATGACGGGGGTCCTGGGACAACTGTTTAGGGGACTTTCTAGCAGCAAGGCTGGCTGGCCATTGGAAGCGGAGGACAGGCGTACCGCGTCTGTTGACTGGTGTCGCGACTTAAGGGTCAGGCGGTACATGGCAGCACATGCCCAGTGTCCTGTCTGAGAGCCGCCGAGCGGCAATTGTCAATTTCGCATGTTGCTTGCTATTTTCCCCATAGTAGTCCATCGACTTCGGACTCACCGTGAGGCTCATCCAGCTGGCATGACGCAAAATCTATGTCAACATTCCAGCGGCACGGCTGTCTGCACGCCTCGTGGAGCTCCGAGTCCGCCCAGCGACGTCACACCTCCTCCTTCGCTCGACTTCGAAACTCGCATTCCGCAAGGGCTGCGGCCCAGCGAAGTGGAAGATCCCTCCAAGCTCCAGCGCCCCAAAGTTTCCGTGCACCAGAGAACGTCATCTTATCCTAGTGCGGCAGAGATTGGCCCGGCGCTCCTGCATGGCTATGTATAAGCGGGTCTAGCGGAGGTCTCGCAAAAGCAGGGTCTCGCGCTACCGCATACCCGTTGCGTTCATAGGCCCCACCCCAACTGCTCAGCGCAACATGTTTTGGCGCAACATCGTCACTTCTGACGTTCGTCCGTGTGACGGCTTCATTTCAGCCACTGCCATCGTCATGCAGGGTCTTTACCAACCGCCCCGGCCACCAACGACGCAGGTACCGGCCGGTCACGATGTCTTCATTACGCTGCCGCCTTGGGCATCTTGGAGCGCGCCGTATGACTAGGATCCGGAGGCTGGAAGTCTCTGGGTTTGGTTGTGAATTCTGGGCTTCGTACGCCCACGGCTGGAACGCTCGCGATGGGATATCCACGCAGAATCTTCAGAGGCCAGATGTCCATCCAGGCTTGTGATCATCATCCTGCCCTCCCATTGTAAATGTGCAATTAATCTAAGCAAATTGACAGAGGTTGCGACCCACGAAAGATGATCTTCACGTTGCGTTATCTGCCTGTCAAATCAGAAGCGGCTGCCTATTTGACACGTTCGAATCGAATATGGGGTCTTCGTTTTCGAGCACATTCGATCCCCTGGCCAAATTCTCGATGCCGCTACCTTGCGTCTAGACCATTCCTGCCAGATTCGCATCTCAGTTTTCCCATTCGCATCATCGCTCTTCGACTGAGCGTGCACAACACATCGCGAATCCGTATGAAGATCGAAACCACGTCGCTTCGACGGCTCTAGTCCTATTACAACCGCGCCTAATGGACGTCATGTCAACCCGCAGATCTGCATCCACGTTGACGGATTTGACCACCCCACAACGGTTCCTTTCAAGAGCCCCATGATGATGCTCGCTACGTCTTCACAACAATGCAGAGAGGTGCGGCTGTTTGCGCTTTTTGTGGGCTATGATGCCGCTCGTGGGGTTGCGGCTTGCATCACCATGGATGCCAAACCTCCAGTGGATCTGTCCCGGGAAGTAACGTCAATCCGGAACGTGTGCCGAGTTCATCGTCATCGACACTAACTGACGTTTCGAGTCAAGGGCACGCGACTGACGCAAGAAGCCTCTTCCCTCCAGCTCGCTGCTACAGCAACTGTCACGTTGGGAACGCAGCTCGTGCCTATCCAGTATTGCCGTAGGATTGTTCGAGACTCTCACCCGTCAATACAGCGCTGACCACCCCCCGTTGTTCAGACGTGATGTCATGTCGCTTATTTGTGAAAACGTCGGCAGGACAGTGGTTCTCGAAATAGATCGCTATCGAAAACGATCGACAAACACACCACCACATCTGACGCCCTTAGCAGACTTTCGTCATCAGGCGAGGTTCCCGCTTCGCCAGAGCAGCCGCAGCGCCATACCCACTTACGACATGACATAACCGCTGGGTCTTGAGGACAGAAAGCCACTCAGACATGACATAACCGCACATCTACTGGGATTAGGGATATGGACAAGGTGCATGACGCTGCTGCATTCAGATCCTTCTGCCAGGGATAATGCAAGCCACCAAATTGTTTTGCGCAACGCAAAGGTGGGTTTGCGTAAGTGTACAGGACCGCGAATGACGCATAACGAACGGTGTGCAACAGGGAGCGATCAAGCCTCTGTTGTTGCTGCTCTTACGGTCTTACGGGAAGGAACTCCTCAATTTTTGGCCGTTGCAATCAGACATGTCCCATTCCCCCTTGGGCGTCAAAGATGTACCGACCCAGTGTCGTGGCGATAGTCATTGTACGAATGTCGCATACGCATGTCCAGTGAAGACAGTATTACACCTGAGCACTCTGTCAAGCCGCTGGAACTCCACGCCTACGCCGAAGTCCGCATGACCCGATACCCGCAAACGTACCTTTAGCCCACGATGTCCTCGTCCCAACGATCATGCCTCTCGATACATTCCAGTGGTGCGCAGCAACGCGCCGACCGAATCTCACAATAGCACTACGGCCTGTCTCATCGGATCACAACACATAACCACCCTCAGGTGCCGCTTACATGCGGCTACCCGTTGTGTGGAGGGTAGAAGACAGTGTTGCAGATTTGCAATGTACAAGCTACAACACGATACACGTGAGAATATTAGCAGGCTTGTTGAAGACACGCATCACTGGTTTCTATGTGCCACATATGAGCGTTGCTACCGGAAATAGCCTTGGTCGTTCGTGGACGATATCAAAAAGTCATTCGTGGTTATATCCTCTGTTTCCGAGTTGCTTCAAGCAGCAGCAGCAGCAGCAACAACATTGCTCGCCTTCTTCTTCGCCTCAAGCGTCCCCTCTCTCCACTTACCCACTTCTTCTAATCGCCTTGCCTGGATCCATCTTTTGCATCAGCAGATAGCCCTGGACCTCCGCCGGCGAGAAGACCTTCTCCGGTAATGCATCAGCAAACTGCTGTGCCATCTCCGCTAGCTTACCCGGTTCGACTACGGCCGCGATAGACTGCTTGGGAAGGAGAATGCCGCAGAGCTCATCTTTCTTTGCTCCCTGTGTAGGTATATGGCTGTTCGTTGTGACATTGGGTGCCAGAGTAGCATCGGGTGTGGGGTTATCGTTGCTGAACATGCGCATGTACGTATCGCAAATCTGGTTGCGTGTGGCGAGCGTGAAACCCATCTGCATGTCGACGCGACCTGGTCGTGTCAAGGCGTCGTCCAGCTTCTCTGGGGTGTTGGTGGTCATGATGAGCACGTGACCTTCGTGAGAAGCGGCACCATCGATGACGTTGAGGAGTCCGCTCAGACTGATCGTCCCTTGTGCTCCCCCTGAGGCTTCTTTTGAGGTCGCCTTCGATTTAGATGATTGTTCTTTGCCTCCCCCCTGCGCAGGCTCTTTGGGAGACTCTGGAACAGTACACTCTTTCGCTGGTTCCTCGTGCGTCGCACGCTTGCGAACATAGCCTAAGTCAAGCACCATAAGCTTGAAAGGCCACGCGAGAATATTGAACCCCATCGATACGACACTTTTGGGGGGTTCCTGTGTTTCGGTTTTGGGTGCCTTGGTACTGGACGTAGCATCCTCCGTGGCCACAACTGGAGGCGCGAAGCAGGGTTGAGATACTCGTTGATATCTCCAAGGATTCTGCCTTTCTGCTGTAGGTCTAAAGATACGGTACTCAGTGGTCGCGATGGACGTCTAGACTGGCGTTTCCAGTACCGCTCGCCGCCCTGCTTCTGCGCAGGCGCTTGATAGATTGTCGCAGTTGTACTAGCTTTGTTAAGGCTCCACCTCTTGACGAACACGAGGAGATCCTTGATTGGCACCGCGTTCCTACCCACGCAGGTGATCACAATCACCTCATCGTAATCGCTGACCTTTCCATTATCCTTCTTCTTCACCCGCGCGAAACGGAACCATCTCTCTCTTCGTGGTAGAAGTCATAATCACCATAGTTAGGTTGGTACACTGGTGGTATATTACCCGACCACTTCTCGTAGTTGAAAATTCCATGTTCATCCAACACATTGTCGTCACCATCTACGTCGTCGACTTCACTGATCCAGTGTGTAGCTGCAGTCAGATGTCTACTAGACGTCGTCATGCGCTGCACCGCTATCCAGCTCATGACATGGTCGAACAATACGTCGGATTCATCGATTGCGATGGATGACGTGTAATATATGTGGAACCATTCGCGTAGTCGGCCATAGGTAAAGACGCCTCCGTGGTACAGCCCGAAGAGGGCTAGCCAGCTTGTGACGAGGACTCCCATGTCGAATTTGAGATAGCGGAATGTCAAGTGTGCAATAGTACTGTAGCCTGGAATAAACAACTCTAGAACGGTCGATGGGATGCTGCCGCTAGTTATGTTGCTGCTAGTAGAGTTTAACTCAGACACGATGGCCTGGAGCCGAGAGAAGTCCATTGTACAGTTTTTATGTGAGTATTGTGTCCTGGGGTGTGGAACTTGGTGGAGGAAAGACAAGAGAGTTATGGCTCGTTCGTGCTTTTATAGTAGAAGGTTTCCATGTGCGTTGGAGGAAGCCTAAAAGGCAGTAGCCACGTTTAGCCAGTGCGCTTTACGCAACGTAGAGAATGAATACAACGAGAGAGGGAGAGATTCTATCTGTGGAAACAAATCTCAGTCAAGCTCAAAAAGCTGTGGTAGTTTGCTAAGATAGGAGCAAATGCTTATTACGTGTGGGGAAATTGGTTCACTTGATAGCGACACTGCAGCGGATGTATGTAGAGAAGTCAGCTTCCCGCAGTTCATTTCCATGGCTCATAGCGGACAACACATCATGTTTCAAGATTCCTCGGTGGCCGAAAAGTGATGCTGGACATATTGCTTAGAGAGCACTGCGTAAATGACCATTGCCAGAAGCTGGTCATCTCGATCTACATGAATAGTGGATAAGTATAAAGCTGTCGACGCAATTGCAAGTCAGAGGATGCAAACGATGTTCTATTGTACACTAGTGCCGATCTATTCGTATGCAATGCATCATGGGTGGTGAAAAAATGTATGTCTGTGGTCAAGTACTGTGATTTGTAATTAGTGATGAGGTAGTCGAGCAAGTGGGACCGACGTTAATACACAAGAAGCTTCGACTGAATGATCAAGTCGCATTGACCTTAGGCAATAAGAGGGTACGTAGGTGCATAACGGACATATACGTAACTTCGCACAATGAATGATCAACCAACAGTCACAAACAGGCATCAAGTCAAGACATCACTACGAGCCCAACAGGCAAAAGTCAACAAACTCACCAACCACCACTACAAGGCATAGATCACCAGACACCCGACGTTTACAACAAAGCAAAAAACAGATTCAATGGTATCGTGCGCAAATCTACATCTCTCCTTTGTTTCTAAGATCCACTTTCTTTCTTGTCCTTACAGGGGGGGCCACAAGCTGTGATCTGGCTCAGCCTTCCTACAGCCTTCCCCAAACACACACCAACCCAACAGTTCAAAAACAGAATGGTACAGAAAGGTAAAGGGAATCAGACAAAGAAAAAGGTGTTTTACCCTCGCCATAGCTACGTGTCTTGAGAAGTGATGTTAATCCGCGCGAACCTCGGTCGCCCCAATGGAGGGCCGAGAGGAAGGGATGCTAGAAGCTAGGCAGGAGGGACCAAGTGTCTCTTCTATTGTCGTCGTGTGCTTTCGTAGAAGAACGCCGATGTGCATGCAAGAACCGTTTATGCTTTGGGTGCTTATCGTCAAAGTCTTTTTTTATTTCATTGAGAGAAGAAAAGACTTAGTTGCGGCCCATGTGACCGTGGTCACGGCGGTGCTTGTGTGCGTGTCGGCGGCGGTCAGCACCAACAGTGGTGGTGACGACAACCTCAACGATGGCGACCTCGTACACGACACCGTCCTTGGTGTAGGTAGAGGTGGACACAATCTCGTCGTCCTTCAGGGCGTTGGCGATGTCGGCAATGGGGGTGACGACAGGCGCGACGTAACCGGCCATGGAGGAGGAAGAGGAGGACTTGGTGACCATGGTGGCAGGGCTCTCAACGTTGTAGACAGAGATGCCTCCGCCACCGAGGGAGTGGGCAGGAGCGTAGGACTGAGTAGGGACAGGGGCAGAAGCAGAAGAGACGATGGGCTTGACGGGCTCCTCGTCGTCCTTGTCGCCTCCCTCGAGGGGAGAGGCGTACTCAGGTCCGTATTGAACCTTGACGTTACCGCAGAGGCCGTTGGAAGGACCAGCGCAGTCGTCGACGTCGAGGATCTTGGGCATGTCCTGGATCTTGCACATGGCTTGCTCGGCCTGGGTTTGGAGGCTTCCGGCGAAGACAGGGCAGTCCTCAACGCGACCAGAGAGGTTGGTGCAAGTCTCGACGGCAGATTGGAGAGTGTCGGTGTTCCAGCCGTTGATGAAATCAGCGTGGTATCCGTAGCCTAATTTGAGTTAGTGAATGACTAGAGATAAAGCTCGCATGTGAACTTACCAGTGGGGTCACCGTTGGAGAAGGTGAATTGACCGGGCATGCCCTTGAACTTGTTGGTGTTCCAGATGGTCTCGTAGAAGAGGGTAGGGTAGCGCTTGTTGTAGCCTTCAGGGCACTGGCCACCGTCGACCATGTTGGGGTAGGCCATGTGGCTCTTGTGGTCATCAGCGGTCTTCTCGCCGTTGCCGCACGAGGGGAACATGATCTCGGCACGGATACCGTCGGCGCAGTTCTCGTCCATGTACTCCTTGGTGGGGAGGAAGTGGCGGTAGCGCGAGCCCTCGGGGGCGCGGCCGTAGTTCATGCAGTTCATGCCGATGGCCTTCTGGCCGAGAGACTGCTGAGTCATATCCTCCGCAGTCCAGGAAGAGGTTGGCGGGTCAGGGACGGGACCGCTGAAGTTGCGGAGACGAGAGTCACCAGCGAGCATCTGGAAGCCCTCGGGGAAAGCCTCCAGGTTGTCGCCGATGAGAAGGTAGTATGCAAGCATACCACCGATCTGGGGAACGATCTCGGTCTTGCCATTCTCGTGGACGAAGTGCAGGGAAGGGGTCCAGTAGGCGGACTTGTCGTCGTCGAACTGGCACGAGGTGCACTCCGACTTACGGAGCATGTCATAGGTGGTCGTCTCGGCGAAGTCTGTCGGCTGTTAGTAAACTGTGTTATCCGCGAAACGACCCCTGCCTCAAGCGCCCATATGAAGAGTCGCTGCATAGATGATTCACATGTACCCCAGTCATGTTGGGATCCCCTTGTTTAGGGGCAGCCTGACGGATCCAGAATAGATGCTCATTCATCATACGCCTTGCCAAGAGGGGCGAAGCAGGAGGGGGCAGTTTTTACTTACTGCTTCCACCGTGGATGGTGTGGCTGTGAGAGGAAGCAGTTCCCTCGTCCACAATGGGGTCGAGACGGGCGAGCGCAGTGCGGTCGGTGCAAGGCATGCGCCAGAAGGCGTTGGCAGAGCCGGAGAGGACGGCCGTCGCCGCGTAGAAGGATGCGAAAGACCTCATGGTTGAATGGTCGGTCGACTTGAATTGGGAGGGGAGTCGGTGGTTGAGTACTCTTGCGAGAGGGTCGGTTGTTGAGACAAGGTGAGTGCTTTTTCCACTATGTTGGTCGGAGAGGATTCGAAGTCGCTTCCGGGTACGTTGACGAAGTGAATAGCGCGGGCGCCAGGACTCTCCTGCGCTTCAAAAAGATAGACCTAGAAAGGAGTGTAGCGTTGTCACGAAGACAACTAGTTGGATGGGTAGCGAATGTTGCTGGCGGTGCCAAAGGAGTGACAGGGCGAAGGAAAGGACGCAGTAAAAGAAGGACGGGAGAGATGGGGAAACGGGCGGTTATCACGCTGGAACGGTGCTAGAGGCTTCTTTTAGGGGAGATGAAGGCATACTTTGGTTTAGCGAGGTGAAACCCTAGATTAGTACGTGGAGCATGGGACGTCCTGGGAGCGTGCTGCCATGCTCTCGTTGGACCGTGAGGCGCTGCGCACCGGCCGCTAGTCCGAGAATAGTAAGCTGAAACATGTCAGTTAGGGGATCTTTCACATGGATATGCTGAGTACCGGCCGGCAGCCTTGCTGGGCCAAATGAGTCGGGCACGCTGAGGAGCCGCACTCTGTGGAGGCGGCGCTGATGATGGTGGTGATCGTGAAGCATCCGCGCCGCTCGCGTCGTCGACGCTGCTCCTTCAACGTCTCATGTCCAAGCCGATCTACTCCACCCTCGCGCACCTGGCTCATCTGCGTATTCGGTAGGTCGTTGCACGTAACACCGGCCGGCGTGCCACAATGAGGCCGGATCATCGCTTTCTGTCGTCTTTGTTTGGTATAGGTAGTCTGGGTACCTGAATTGGCGGCAAGCCGTGGCCCGTTGCAGCATCGCAATCTCACAGCCCGCCGCTCCTACTGGCAGACGGTCCCGAAGTGCTGCACTGGCGGCGGCGACATCATGGCGACCCACTGAAATGGCACATCGCAATTGCAATGCGGGTGTCGGCAGTGGCGTCTATGTCATCGCGATAAACCTCCTTTTCTTTTACGATAGGGGCGGCTGATCAGTGGCCACTTGTTGTTTTGCGGCTGTTTGCATCACGGCAAAAAACGCTGCTATTACTGACTCCCTCTCTCTTGTCGGTGAGCGGCTGTCTGCCTCCATTTGCGCGCGACCCCGGGACAGAGAGATTACGCCAAAAGGCTCCAACCGGCGCGGCAATAACGCGGCGAAGCGTAACTCTCGTTCGCCATTTCGCTACTCTGCTTGGTTGCTTGGTGGTGACTTGTCACGACACGGCGTCCTGCGTGTGGTCCTAAAGGAGCCTCCTCGTGCGGCACAGCAGTCGCACAACCTTCTTCACGACTCCTCTGCTCACGAGCGCACGCCGTGGTTGGACGTAAGGCATAAGCGCCACGCCCCTCGCCTCGTGCTGTAATTCCCGCCCCGGCTTCATACAGCCTATCGATAGTGAATTCTCGTTCCTGCAGTAGCGCTCACCACGGCGTCATGTGCTGCGCCTGGCTAAACTATCTCCTATTCTGTGATTTGCCGGTGCTATTCTCGCACGCTCATGCGAGGCTGATCCTCTTCTCAGCCTCCTTGAGCTAGGACATGAGACGAAAACGCACCAACTACTCGGTGGGACTGTGGGACAAGAATAGTGCAGGAACCATATTCGTGCTTGTATAGCTGAGCACTATGCCAGCAGGAGCAAGGCACTACACCTGCAAGAGCTGAGCGCAGCGCCCCTCCCTCACCAAGGGACATCGCAGCAGCACGAACGAGGCTGCTCCGAGAAAAACCTGTCACTCGTCTCACACCTCCCCCTCCCCCTCCTGTCCTCGCCTACAAAGACAACACTGCCCCCAAACCCGGATCCTTGATGACATCTTCAGGCAAATATGTAAAACACGCCTTCGCTCAGGTACCCCGCTTCTCCCATTGGCCGAAACCTCGTAGCATGTCCGAAATGTTTCAAGGCATGAATTTCTGGAACAATGTCAAACTCATGCTACCCTCGACTTGTGTTGGGGGTTGTGCGAGGCAAGGATCAGCATGTGTAACTCCACCGTCATGTCTGTCGGATGTGCCAAGATTTGTCACCCAAGGCACGCAGATCAAGCAAGGAAAGCTGTGTATCGATAGGGCACGCCTCGATGATGATCCACGAGCCCTGCGCCCGACTGTTCCACAGATAGTGTGACTAACTGCGTTGCTCCTTGCTGCTACTTGCGCCGCCGCCACATGCGTTGCCCGAGCCGTGGATCTGCGACACCTGGAGAAGACTATATAGTATACACCAAGGGGAGAAGGGATGCATGCATGAGCGGCCCGCACAGCACATCACTCACCGTAGCATCGCACGTCGCCCTTCTCCCATGCCTACGCTGGTACGCATTGATCGTGGATCCCCAGGCAGGAAGTGGTCTTTTAATATCTCTGATTCGATCGATCGATCCAACGTAGCGTATACCGCCCTGTGAAAAGAGCTCGGACTGATCAAGGAGAACGTTGCATCGGAAGACGTGCTTCCCTTCCGTTGACGGTCGCACTGACAACGCGCCTCATATGTCTTCCAAACATATGCTTCATGTAGGGCTGCTGTGATGAAAGGAGGACAAGACGTCATCCCCAAGGCAAATCGCTAGGGCCGTGCCGCGAGGGGCAGACATGGCATTCATTCTACTCTGTTCAGTGTCGCAATGCACATCCCTATCTTTCTGCAAGTGATCATCCACCCTCTTAACCCATCACAACTTAGCCCCATCCCTCAACGGAATCTTCTCCCAAGCTTTCGCAAACCCACAACTCCTCACCCAATGCGGCTCACCCGCCTCCACACTGTCCACAGCCATATGCCCCAATTTCCTCCACATGTTTCCTTGAACCAACATGCCCTCTCTCCCCTCCCATTTCTTGCAAACCGCCTCGGCATTAGCAATCGCTCTCACAAGCTTACACGCGTGGCCATCGTCTTCCACTTTATTCACCCTCTTGATAACTTCGTCGATGCCGCTATCTTTTGTCGGCGCGTAGTCGGTAATCTCATTTATGAGGAGAGGTGGACAGCCGCGTGACACATACATTATGATATCCATCCAGATCTTCCATTCTAGAAGCCGGCGTTGGATCGCTGGGGAGAGGGAGGAAGAGGGAGAAAGGAAGGCGGAGAAAAAGATACTGGAGTTTAGGCAGTGGATGAAGTAGAAGTCAAATTTGACTTGATGGGGCGGGCGTTGCGCGGCGGCGGTGTAGTATACTGTTGTTGATTCGTATTAGTGGGATATTGATGGAAAAGCATTTGAACGGAAGGAGGAAGGAGATGGACTGCTGACGTACCCACGGCGTTGATCATCTCAGCAGTCTTTTCCTCTAGTTCGTTTTCTTCAACAGTATACTGCGTCGCATACTTGGTTATCTCCTCGGGCGCTCTTTTCAAGATTCCGTCTCGAACCTTGTTTCCATCGTCCCAGTGCGCGGCCTTGCTCAATTTATCGTCTTTCCTGCATTCCTCCAGTATCTGCACAATTGTCTTTCTCGTCCCGTCTTTGCTTCTGCTTTCTTGAGCAGCCTTTTCGCACCCAAAGAATAGCGATGCTATCCAGTTATCATGTACGGCGGCCTGCGCTAGCGCTTCCGCTATAATGGCGGGCTGTTGGAACTCGATACCAAATCCAAGATGTATGATGGGATGCAGAAACCCAGCAAACATGCGCGCCAGCATGTCATCTGCAAGTTCAGTCTCAGCAAATAGATGCTCCTGCAGTACGTTTTGCCACCCGCTCTTGTCTATCTCTTGTTGGAAGTAGACAAGGAAGTCGTGGTAGTATTTTTCTTGTCCGAGATAGGATTTGAAGCGCTCAGGCTTGTGCATATCATTCACAATGGCCTTTTCGAGCGGTTCCGACGGGCGTTGATAGGATACATTCGCGTCGTATGCTTGTTGGAGTTCTTCTGGCGAAGCGTTGAGCGCGAATAGAGTGAGGAGATGATGGGCGATGTGGTTCTAGATGGACTGGTAAGCCTTGACACATGCTGATGTCACTGACATATCTTACATGGAATCCGCTCTGGTTGAAGAAGATGTGATGTTTCTCGTGATTGACTTGCAAAAGCTGGCTCGCCTTTTCTGCGCTCTCAGCCTTTAGTCCTTTGACGAAGAACTGGGGCTGCTGCGAAGCCCCGAGAAGAACTTTCGAAGCGGTAGCCATTCTTCTCAGTGAACGTGCAAGGTCGGGCTGTTGTAAGCGTGGAACGCGATTGGATCGTGACGAGGAAGAGAAGCTCAGTTTGTGGATGGTCGACAATGTGCGTGCATTCTTTGCGAACATTTACAAGAGAGCTTTTCAGTCTGCCTCAGAGTCCACATACGTAGCGAGGCGGTTGACGATTGCAGGATGTTGCATTCTTAATTGTTTAGATGTTGCAGGTGTGAGAAGTGCACAGGCAGTTGTCATGCGATGACTATGACGTCTGTGGGGAACCTTGTCGTCTCTGCGGCCACCCCTCTGTTGCGGACCTCCGTCCAAACGTCAGCTCGGATCTTTCGGTGCTTACGCAACGCGAGATTACGAAAATAGTTCGATTTCCCCACATTTGTTCCTAATGCTTTAGTTTGCCAAGATTCTTACAATGTACGACCGAGATCGTGCGAGTATAGGTGCTTGGAGGAATCAGATGGGACGAGTCAGATACCCTCTTATCGTTGGTGAATGTTTACAAATGACCCCGTTGTCGAAAGAAGATGTTCATTTATATTTCAGTACAAAATTCACGTATATGGCTTCCTACGTGCGCTCACTCTCGTGGGTATAACTCCTAATGCCTACCCAAACACCCTGCTATGCATCATATCATGAAACGTTGTCCTTTACCTATAAGGCAAACACTCGTACTCTTGCTGCGAGGCAGCAATTATCCCGAGTATTTCTTCGCCTCCATACCCTCGGGTGGTTCGGGAGTTATAGTCTTGTTGCCCACGTTACTCCAGTCGGTACTAAGGACTGTACCGCCACTTTCCGAGTAGCTCTTCATCATGGCTCGTTGCTGCTCGGGGGTGGCGCCGCTGTACAGCTGCTTGAAGAAGTGTGATGTCTCGTCGCCCTCAATCTCGTCTTTGTCGTCGAGATCGTTCACGACAACCTTGTCCCAGTTCTTCGCACCTGACTTGGAGGACGTTGGGTATGCAGGGGCGGTGTCCTTGGTTGTGCGGACGGGCAGGGGAATAGTGGATGCTTGGGCAGTGCTAACGTCGCCGTCGGGGTGCTCAAGATCATGCCATTTCAGCCCCGTGGTTGCCTTGCGCATTGTTATCTCCAACTTGGTGGGTGTGACTCGGTATTTCGATTGTGAAGGGTCGATCTGTTCGTATAGAGGGTCGGCGCTATAGCTGTAATCTGAGGAGTCGGCAGTGGGGAATGAGACAGACACGGATCTCCCCTCAAATTCCACGCTGACTTTGTCTTTGTCCACGCCCTTGGCCATGATTGTGAGGGTAACAGTGTCAGGCGACTGGTACCAGTCTGTCTTGATCTTGTCTTTCGGGGTCGGGGCGACAGGCTTCGGGGCCTGGGACGGGGCAGGCTGCTCAGCCTTCGCTGGGGCGGCAGAGACAGGTGCGCTGGGCACATCGACCTCCGGAGTCTCCTTGACGTTAACTTTCCTCATCTCGCCGTCTTCTGGTATATCCTTCAATTTTGTTGCAACCTTGGACTCCCAAATGGGCAGCATCTTGTCCTTCTCGTCAAGGCCCTTTACGATTTTCAGCAGATAGTCGGCATCTGCATATCTTCCGAGGTGGAACAGAGCGACGGCGCGTCGAAATTGGGCGTCCTTGATGAGTTCGCGCGAGCCGCGTTTCTTTGCAAGGACAACGGCGACCTCGGCATCGCTGAGGGATTCGGCGTATTTGGCAGTGCGTTGGTAGGCTGTCGCGCGGCCGATGTAGTACTTGACGGCCGTGGTGTTGACGGAGAGAGCCTTGGTGTAGTGTTCAATCGCTTCGTCGGGTTTGCTTGCGCTTAGAGCAGCGTCGCCTTTACGGGCATCGTCCATGGCGGGGTAAGGTGTAGTTGAGCAAAAGAATAGGCGTGGAAGTAATGGGAAGCGGGGTAAGAGGTGCGACGAGCTTTATAGAGGCTTGCTTTCAAGCCTTGGAGTGGTGGTGAAAGTAGTCGGTCTTGGTACAGTCGCAACCATGGAAGCTTCCATTGCTGCCGTCGAAAACCAGGGTCCACATGCCACTAGCCTCTCTGCATCGCATCCGCATTGGCGGGGTCATTTCTGACAGGCACACTCCGCCAACGCTAGCAGACATTACCTAGTCACTACTTGTTATTCATGGTCACACAGATGCTTTGGAACGAGGCCGATGGTCATGTATGTATGTATTACTACACAAAAGACCCCGCATCTGTGACGACCGAGGTATATACAATGCCGGCTATGGCAGTCAAAAACTCCAGAAACAAATAAAACGATTCTTCTACATCTATCCCATATGCATGCTCACAGAAACACAAGCTTTGCATAACTCAGCAACGATCAACCTAGAATACGATGACAGCACCGAAGAGAGCGCTGGCAGCGATCATAGCGACGAAACGGAGGGGTACGTCAAGACCAGCCGCAGCACCCTCGGGGTTACCAGCACCGCCGCTGGAGCCGGGAGTGGGCGAACGAGTGGGGCTTCCAGATCCGGGGGTAGCAGTAGACTCGCTGGGTTCGCCAGCGAAGTGCGAGCCATCACCCTCAAGACCAGGACCCTCACCGGCACCGTCATCCATGAACTTCATAGCCTTGCTGGGGATAGCAGGGAGGGTGGTGCCCTCGACTTGCCACTCGTCAGACTCAGAAGGGCACTCGGAAGCCTCGCCGTTCTCCTTGAAGCCACCAGCGCCGGAGGGGTTAGCAGTCTCCTTGTAAGCATCAGCGAGACGCTCGAAATCCTTGTTGGGCGAGATTTTGCCATCGTCGCCGACCTCGACAAGACCGTAACCGTTAGGCTCAACGGTGTATTCGTAAGCGAGACCACCAGAGTAGACACCGGTCATGTTGGTGGAGTAGAGAGCCGCGATCTCGCCCCATTGGCGGGTGTTGGTAATGCAGCCAAACTCAGACAGGAAGATGGGCTTGCTGTAGTCGCTGTAGGTCTTGACCTTCTGGTCCCATCCAGACTGGGTAAAAGACGAGGGGTCGCACCAGGAGTAGTCGTTGAAAGCAAAGAAGTCGGAGCGCTCATCGTCAGTACCGCAGTTGAAGTAGAGAGCCTGGAACTCGATGTTCTCGGAAACATCAGCGGCAGAGTATCCCACGGGAATGACACGGTTGTGCCTGTTGGAGATGTACTGCTTCATGTCACGAGTAACAGCCTTGATGTAGGGAGCAGCGTTGGTGTTGTTCTTAGCGTTGATGACCTCGTTTCCAGAAAAGAAGAGGAGTAGGTTGTTGTAGTCGGCAAATGCGTCGATGGTAGCAAAGACGGATTGCAGGTACACATCGTTGTACGAGCGGTGGAGGGTGTCCTCGTTCTCACGGTTCAGAGAGTAGTCGGGCGTGTTGGCATCGAGCGCCAGGTAGATACCGGCATCGTCGAGCATCTTCATACCCTCATCGTGGTTCTTCGAGTTGTCGATGGTGTAGATACGGACAGTGTTGATACCGAGTGACTTGAAGTTCTCGACATCGCGTGCGAGACCCTCGAGGTCGAGCAGAGGGTCTTGTGCGTCGGCGGCACCACCTAGACTGTGTAAGTACCGTGGTTTGTTATATCCTGTTTCACAAAGACGCACCTGGCTGGTAGGCAACACCACGAACGTAGAAACGCTCATCGCCGGCGAAGAAGGCATTGCCCTTGACGGTGACGGGTGGCAGGTTTCCCTTGGACTGTCGGGCGACGACGCTGGCAAAGGCGGGAGCAACCGCGGCTCCCAAGATGGAGAAGACGACACAGGCCTTCATGACGGGCGTAGGAGAAGAAGTAGTAGAATTAAAAGGCAAATAGAAGAGCGATTGGAAGTCTAACGAGTGACTGGTAAAGTAGGAAAGGTAATTCTCACACAGAGGGCATGCAAACGTCGAGGCAGAAGCCGGGCTAGCGAAAGTATTTGAAGCGGCAACAGAGCAATTTCTTGGTTACCCCCGAGTGCTACATGTGGAACTTGCCAACCCTCATGGGTTGTCTGGCGCTGCTGCGCGCCAAGTCGATGGGTGTTGGCGGGCGCGCAGGAATCGCGGAGACCAAGCAGCCAAGTCCATAGTCATGAATTAGCAGAAGCCCGCCGAGCCTTGGTCAGGGGCAATAAGTCCAATGACTGGCAGGCGCATGCCTGGACGACGTCTTGATCGCGAGTGAATTGCGCGTCCGTCCATTTCCCGCCGCTCTACACAGCCTCGTTGAGAGAATCAAGACTTTGTTCGCTCCAGGACAATCTGCTGGTTCGAAGCGATCGCGATGTGATGAAACCACTGAGCGCTTGGTCCTCACCAAGGAAATGACGGCCATCGCATTCCGAAAGAGCTTGGTGGAGGTTGCGGTACCGTGGAAGGCCCTTTGCTGACGGCATCATTGCAGCTATGCACAGACTTCAGCTTCACTGCGATGCCACTGTTAGTCCTAGTTCACCATCGTCTACGCGACGGCATTGTTTGCCGGCTTGTAGTCACGCTTTGTCGCGGCCCGTGGAGATCCGAAGTGTAGCTGCAGGCGGCAAAAAGCAGCTCAACCATCTATTCGCTCAGTGCGGGCATATGGATTGTTGAGATTGATAGGCGAAGTATGGTTCTGTGGTGTTTGTGAGTTGCTGGTTGCGGCGTGACAGCTGCCGCATCCGGGGCCCCAGCCCCGTTGAGATGATCCGCCCGGTCGCATGGTTCCGACGTGCGTTCGCTCTTGCCTACCACCAACACTTACATATCACCACCATCTCACCATCATCTCACGAACAAGCAGATTCTCACATTGAAGATTGATGCGTCTTCAGTGTCCGGGGCTGGTCACCGACTGTCTCAGACAATCTGCCAAGCTCGGCCACCGCACTCTGCCGTAAAAAGCAATGGCACCGAAGATTTCTGCGACGAGAAGTAATGCCTCCGCCAGCCGTCAATGCTCCAAGTAGCCGACCTCGATAGCTGTGCTCTTCATCTTTCGAGGTTTGACTACTGCTTGCGTTTGAATTAGCTCTGCGTGCTGACGGAGTTTCTTTCGAGTCCAAACCATGTTGAGGCCGGAATCAGCCCTGCAAAGAGACAGACAGGCTTATTCGAGACAATCAAAGCTACCACTATCACCTTGACATGACGGAAACTTGGTCTATGCAGGACTACATTGCTCTGATGGGGTTGTAGGTTGCGGCTTCATGATTCGCCAGGATTGCAATTAATACACGCAGCTGCAGACGTGTATTTCTGGTGTTATTTGCAGACCCCATAAGTTCATGCCATGATGATGAACCAAAAATACAGCCGTGTCTGCTGCATCGTCGCGCCAACTATAGTTTCATGTGCTTGCGCGCCCCCCAGAGAGTAGCCGCGCTGCATGCGCACCCTGGTCGCATCGTCACTGGCAGCGAACCACAACGGAACTGCAGGCGCCACACGACCCATCATCCAGCGGCGAGGTTTGCGACCCCAATAATATAGCAAAAACGCGCAGTCGGATTAAGTGAAGGCAAATGGGCGCAATATATTGCGGCGAGGACAAAGGATCCGCTTGGGCGGATACGACACGATAAAGAACTTCCTTGCCCGCGCCTACCTCTGCAAGTCACTCACCAACTGCCAAAATGCTTCGATTAATGCCCTTCACGTCTCTGCCGCTTCTGGCGGCGGCCGCGTATCTAGATCCCTCGCTACAACAGCAAAAGCCGTTGCTAGACTCCAAGCCAGCGTTGTCACGCGTACTCCCTCTCACGGTATGTCAAGAACAACCGATCATATTCTGGTCTCGAGCTGACACCTCAGTAGTTGGACCGACACCTTCACTACACCTTCGCTGCCTCCGACGATGACTTCACGCGTACCCGTCTCGACCAACTCCAAGGCCCATTAGCTGCGTGCGGCATCAAAGACGTCGCCGACCACGCCATCACCATCAACATTCCCCTCAACTCTTCACTCACGGGTACCGCTACGTTCTCCACTCGATATCAATCAGAACTATGGTCTCAGTCTACCGATCAGTTCACATGGACCCAAGAGCTACCACTGCATGCCCTGTCCATGCTAGGCGCGCGCATCCCGTTACTCGACATTGGCATCAGAAAGGGTGGTATGCTTACCATGCCTGCTGAAGTCGCTTCTCTCGATCTAAGCACACCCCACATCTACGTTCCGAAGGGAATCTGGGACGTCTTGCTGCTAGCTACGACTACCGAACTGCAAGCCAGAGACGGTGAGGAAGTGCTGTACGTGGACTGTGGGGCTTTGAGCGTTTTCCCTGATATCGTTTTCGGAATTGGGCCAAGGGACTGCGGAGGCGATGAAGAGATGGCAGAAGATGACGAAGAAGAGGAATATGGCGAGGACGAAGAAGAAGATTACGGAGAGCTAGTCATTACACCCGAACAGTATGTTTTACAGACTTCAGAGGGGAAATGCATGCTTCTGGCTAGGAACGCCGACTCTAATCCTATTGTACCAGGAAGAGTCAGTCTTGGCTGGGCGGCGGTGAGGGGTCGCGAAGTCTTACTGGATCGGCATGTTGGACGCATTGGCTTTGGAAGGTCAGTATGAGAGTGCAGAAAGCGGAAGAAGAACTAGCGTTAAATACCCACATGATGAGATCCATGTCCGCAATTCTCGTAACCAATGTCAGAAGAGAGTAAACGAGCTTCAATTTGAACGCATGACGACATTGATACTGTCTGTGGTGCCCTGGACATGACGGCATGGACGCGTGAGCAAGATTCGCATATCCTGAATGCGAATACGTAATATTGTGTAGCTCTACAGAGTCGTACTCTCTACATCAAACAAAAGCTGAGCGTGACAGCGCCAACAGTCGCAAGCAGACCCGTCCACCCGACCCTGAGCCCACTCGCTGCATCCTCATCGTCCCCTCCTTGCGAACTTCCATCGCCTGTGCTCTCAGGGTTAGAATCCCCCTTGCCCTGCTGCTGATCCGAAGTCGTCACACTTCCCGCTACACAGGCACTCTCATCCAGGCCTCCATCATTGCCAAACGCAACATTTGCCGCCTTCTCCCATAACCTCGTCACATTGAAGTAATGCTCCGGCTCGTACCAAATCCGGCAACTCGCCGTGTCGTTCAAGAACTGTGTTGGCACGCCCGCCGACTCAAAGCCCGCGCGGATGTTATCTTGGAAGTTCACGCTGGCGTCCATTACGGCAATAGGCGGGGCTATGGGAAGAAATTCCGCCCAGTCACTTGCTTCCGAGCGAGAGGAGGCGAATTCCGCGGTTATGTATGTGGTGAGGGCTTCCATGTAGAGTGTGGGGAGCACCAAGGTTCCCTTTGTGCCGCCAACGGCTACCATGGGACCGAGATTTGGGCGGCCACCAATGGCGAGACTGCGTACGCCGGATTGCTGAACCATGAGTTCGGTGAAGATGGAGCAGGTTGAGGCGCAGACGCCGTCGGTCAGTAGAATGATGTCTTCGGCGCGGAAGGGGTCCGTGGTGAAGTTGCTGCGTTCGTTGTATCCTGTGATGGTGATGCCGACGGCGGTGCGCTCGCTGCTTGTTGTCAAGGGGTCACTGAGGTTGTATTTCAGTAGAGAAGTGAATTTGTCGTTGTTGAATCGCTCGGGTGGGTACATCGCGTTCCAGTCCGAGAATTCATCGCCAGTGGAAGAGAGGTAGGCGTCATTGCTGAAAGGGCTCGTGAAGAGTTCGGCATTAAGAATATTGATCTCCTTAAAGCTCGAAATGTTCTCACCGAAGACCTCGCTGGCTCGGTGTCCACGATACCGGTTTTGGGTTTGTGGTTGTTGGGTCGGGAAGAATTGCAGGTACATGTCATAACCAGAAAGTACCTTACCGCCGTTGTTGGCACGTAGATCGATGATAATCTTCTCTACGCCACGGGACTGGGCTTGGGAAATGTACTCCTGGACTACGGCTTGGAACTCCTGGGCACCTGCAACATCTTCTGTGTTGAATGTCGTCACCACCAATACACCAATCTCGCCAATACCGGTGTTGACGAAGAATCCAGCCAAAGGCACCTGATCTGCCGAGTGAGCAACGACTGGTTCCGGGTAAAGCAACGGCACGGAAGCATGTTGTTGCGCGAAAGTACCCCTGAACTCGTAGTCGCGCGGATTCTCTAGATGTAGAGGCATTTTGGTGGGATCCCTCTTCTTGATCCTCATCGAGCTTGTCTGAGGTATAATGTAGGTCTTGTACAATGACTCGGCATCGCTAACGTAGCCCCAAGACTCGGGTTGGAGGACAAGAGCACCATTGGTGTAGGTATTGATGGTACCGTTCTCGTAAGTTACGTTGGTAGTAGCGCCGGGGTAGAACCGTGGACTGGTGAAATACCCATAGTTCTCCGCTGCCTGCGAGAAGAACATAGCGTTGTAGCGTGTGTCCGGGTCATGGTAGGCGTTCAAGTTTGCTTCGTCCTGCAGAAAGCTCTCGACATCTCTTCCGTCGATTTGCGTGACGGGCGAGGGATCATACCCAACTGTGCCGTTGAAGTCCTCCAAAGCCCAGACTCGGGGTACGTCGCTGCCATCTCTCGATGCAGAAACGAGAGCAAAAGCGCTGCTTCGTCGCCATCTGAATATCCCTGCGTACGCCATTCCATTCCAGCCCAAATGTCCGTCGTGCGCTTTTACCAACAAGGATGCAATGTCGGTCTCGAAATCAAACTCGTTGTTGTACTGCCCAGATCCGACTTTGTTTTTGATATCATCCAGACCAGCGACGATATCAACAGCGTCATTTGGCCATCCTTTTGGCGGGTCCTTGAGATAGCTGAGAGTCGATTGAAACTCTACTACCTTCTTGATCTCGTCGACTGTCGTTGATGCATCGTCTGCGTAGAACGGCAGTGATTTGAGACAAGCGTGTGCGAGTTCAGCATCTACGGCCGGAAAGTCTGAAGAATCATCCGATACCAGCTGGGCTATCTGCCCACAAGCTTCGCTGGTCTCTATTGGTCCAGAGACGTCCTCTATAGTTGTGGGATTGACTTCGATGTCATCTATTGATGATGGTGTTGGTGTTGATGTAGGTACGATGTCGAAGGTTTGTGAGGAGTCGCTGAAGTCTATTGAGCTTGTCTGTGCTGTGGCGACTACCAGAAGCGCTGATAGCGCAATGAAGGACCTCATAATGCCGGAATAATGCGGGGCGTATAATCTGATGTCCAAAGATTCGGGATTACGAATACGGAACGATGAGGTGTCTGATCGTTCAACACGTAGGGCGTCGTGGATGTAACGTGTTCAAGTCTTGCGTTTGATCCCTCTCTTTTATCGTCTTGTTCTAGATATAGCAACAGCTTGGAATACCACCCCAATTCGTATATCGTGTCCGATTTTGTTCGTTGGTGTTTTGTGAACCGCCGTTAATATGTATTTTCAGGAGCCGCCAAGATCTATCCCGGTATGCCTCAATATTCTGTGATACACGCTCCTCAACCCAACTCTTTCCATCCGACTTTGGAAAAAGTCGCAAGTAGTCTCAATACGTGGGTACCGTCGCCATCTTAATCACAACGCACATTGCATAGCCTTGTCACCTGTTAAGGCCGTAAACAGTAGCGGCCGCTGCCTAAACAGCGCCCCCATCTCGTGTACGTCTGCCGCGCTTTGTTTAGGTCTTGGCTGTAAGGGCCCTGCGCGTTGCACGCCTTACGCGTGTCGCTCAAAGTAGGCTGGCGTTGTGGCTTTTGGGTGTACTGAGCAAATCAGATAAGGGAACATGGGACGGAAGTGGATATCTGCGGGTAAGCGGAATACTGTAAGTGGATTCTCTCATAGCGGCTAAATTCTGTGGCTGCCCTCCTGCGGCGCTGCAATTCGATATGAGAACCCCGGTATTTGTGTTTCATACTTGTCAGATTCGTGATTTCGTTGGTGTTGGTGCTCGTGAGGCTGAATGTCGTTGTGATCGCTTGTACATCCTGAGTGCTTTCGGTAGCGAACTGCTTCCTCCCAAAGTCTGCCACGCGCACCACGCATGCCAAGCATTAGGCACACCCACTAAAAACGCATGATCCGGCCACGATCCGAGAAGGGCTGGACGCCCCAACCCAGCCATCCGGCACAACCTCAGCCGACTGGTGAGGTCATGTCTTGCGGCGGCGCGCCGAATCGTTTATGAGCTGAGAATGCGCGCAATTCTCCGGTCAGCTTGGGGGCCTTGGATTGTGACGTCTAGTTTTTGTGGACGCCTTGCACGCCCAAGGCAAATTGCTCATAGGGGCCCACCACGAGAATCGGTGCCAGCAGTGGCTATGCCCTGGTGTTTCGGAGAGAAGAGTCTTCATAATTGCAATGCTTGCAGTAATTTCAGTGACGACTCATGTCGATCGAATCGTGCGATTTTGACTGAACCAGCCATCTCATTGACTACAGCTGTGCATGCCGCTCTGCTTCTTGATACCTACGACGACAAGGTTGCGCGGACTGTACTTGTATTCAAATACAGGCTCAACCCACGCATGTTCAACTTCTCTCTGCTCCTTGAGCCACAGGTATCGATCTGTCACGACGACAGCTTCGACTACGCCAGCGCTGAAGGCCATCAAGCTCCACATGACACTCAATTCCTTCTTTCTCTCAGCATAGCTGATTTCGTAACTCCTAATGTCTTCATCTGTCAAACCATCCATCTTTCCTTTTATGAAGTTGGGATCAACCTGACAGAAAGAGTTCTCCGCCGTAAGTTTTGCTAGCGCAGCTCGAACGTAGGAGACGAAATCGCTGTAGGCAAACTTGCGCAGCGTGCCTATAGTGAGGGGCGTTGTTGTACCATCCGAAGACAGGCCAGGGCCACGACCGTTTGGTGGTGTCCAGTTCACTTGCGAAGTATGACCGTTAGCTGAGACTGCACTACCAACAAGGCCCTGCTCGTCCAAGGGTGCCGAGACTACGCCACGATCCAGGAAGATGCGCTGAAGCAGAGCTCGATAAAAGTGACGAGTGAAGAAGAGCTCTGAGTCGGCCACGCCCCAGTTAAAAGGCGCCTGCACAGCCATCATGCGGGCTGTAATATTGAGACGTATACCCTTTGGCTGTTCGGGTCTGCCAGTATCTGTTTTCGAGTCGTCTTCTGCCGGTTCCAGAGGCGTATGTGGTAATGGGTATCTTGCGAGTCTCTCTGACATGGGGAATCCGTTCGGGTCGAACGCTTTGGAGGTAGACTCGAGGCGTGGATGATTAGGACGAAGCGTAGGTAGCTTATAAGTAGGAGGTCCAAGACGCTCTGTGACCAGATTGTAGCAACACCCTACCATGGCTACTGCGGAGATATGTGGGTTGAGAAGCATGGAGCGTAGTCCGTAATGAACGAGATTGCCGCATGAGTGCAGCGAAATGACCATTGCGTTTACATCCTTTGGTTTTGGTACAACGTTCAAGTCAGTAGCTTCGGCGACCACGGCTGTCTCCGAAGTCACCGCCTCATTGGGTACGTTGGAGCTGTCAAGGACTTGATCAATGACAGGTGTCAGATCACCACCCTTGATGATGTGTTCAACGTACTGTACGCTACCATGGCCTTCATTATATATTTGTAGAGTAGAGGTTTTGGTCGTCGAAACGGGATCTGAGATGGCTTCCGAGACTGGATGTAGTGTGCAGCCATCCTCATTGCAGTTCACGCCGTTCGATAGTGGAGGAGCAGTAGCAGAATCCTGAGTACCTGAAGCGGATGTTGCTTCCTGATCATGACCGTTTGTCGCTAAGCCTTCCTCCTTAGCATTGGCTGAGATGGATTCATCAAGGAGAGTTGTTTCAGACTCTTCGGTCTTGTTGCCCTTCTTCGACTTGCCCATCTTAGCGCGGTACTCCTTCTTGTTCCTCATAACGATGGGCTTGGCTACCAACTTGGCTAGGATATCCATGTTTTTCGCACCCTCTATGTTGTGCTGTTTACTTTCCACAGCAACGATGTGCTTGGAGTAAGGTGGAGCAGCAAGTGCGCGGCCAAGATAGTTCTGACCGGAGCCGAAGTCGACAAGATGGGAAATAGGTTTCCTGTCAGACTGTGCTATCTCGGAGGTGAGTCTGTCAATGTAGCGCGCAAAGTTGTCAACCTCGTGCACCTTTTTCACCTTCATACCGGTTGCGATGTGACGTGATATAGCAGCTTTCTGAGGCTCAAGGCCGGAGTTTGGTGGAGGGAAGTCGCGAGCCAGCAGATGCTTTCGCACAGTGCGAATGTACTCTAGCAGTTCCTCAGGAGGCGCAGATCCATCCCGCCAGATATACTCGCCAGATTCCCCTTTAACATCGAATTGACTGAGGTCTTCCCTCATCAGTAGGTCCAAGATGTCCATAATATCTCGCGTCTTGAACCAGTCTCTCCATGACTGTGGCAGGATATGGGAGTAGAGATCAGGTGAGCGAGTGTAGAAATCCAGTATGTGAACGCCTCCGCAGAGCGTCTGAAGTAGCCATGAGGAAGTCGTCAAATTCAGCAATGACTCGACGTATTCCTCAGTATTAGTGAATTCGGCAGGAAGCGGAAGACTCGTGTCCGGACCCATGGTAAGTCCTGGCTGTACGAAGTGCATATGCTGTCATCCAGGTTCTTGTAGATAGACGGTGTGATTTTGGGGTATCGGCAATCTTGGTGAGGGATGCGCCATCGGGAAGGTGTAGTGGAGTTGACTGTACTGTGGGCGATATTTTTTGGGAAGGTGGGTCCGTGCCGAGGTGTTGTGGCGCGTCATCGCTCGTACTGGACAGCTTATCGACACGCTCCAACATCCTCACCCAAGCTTCCACGCGCCCGTTTTGCTTGCTCGCCAGATTCTGGAGGTGCAATTCGTGTCGCATAGCCCAGGATGATGTCATCACAGACCGACGAGGATCCTTTCCTCCAAGTGCAGGCGTAAGACGATCCCGTTCGCGTTTAGGCATCTTCATTGACACTTGGCCCAGAGACGTGCTTTCCGCGCTCAACACCGCGCGCCCGCTATTCAAATCGTATCTGCGTATTCGCTCCTCGGCATCGTCGGCAAACAGTCCTGAGCTCCGTGAAGCTCGCAGTGAACTTGAACAGACACTCCAGGACCTCAGCCAGGATCTCGAGGATCTAGTGGAGAGCGTCAAGGCTGTGGAGCATGACCCCTATCGCTTCGGTCTTGAGATTGACGAAGTCGAGCGTCGCAGAACACTCGTCAAGGATGTCGGCTACGAGATTGAGCACATGCGCGAGGAACTGCAGGAGACGGTCCAACACGCGAAGAATAAAGGCAAGATCGCAGCCAATGGCGATGTTCTACCTGATCCAGATTCCTTCGAAGACGAAGACAACTACGCGGCATTTGAGCAGGAAAGACAAATGGAGATGATGCATGAGCAGGACGAAGCGCTGGATGGCGTCTTCCGTACCGTCGGTAACCTCCGACAGCAAGCCGACGATATGGGCCGAGAGCTCGAAGAGCAGGGCGAACTACTTACCGACGTCGACAATGTGGCAGACAGGGTGGGTGGCAAGCTGCAGACAGGCCTCAAGAAGGTTGGCTGGGTCATCAAGCAGAACGAAGGTAAGATACTTGGCCATCACTGGACAGGCGTTGCTGACCCATCCCCCTAGACACATGGTCCAGTTGCTGCATCGGCGTTCTCATCTTCGTCCTCATTCTCCTCCTCGTGCTGCTCTTGTTCCTATAAACACACAGAAATACCCACGCCTACCTCAGGCACACACGGAAGCCGCGTTTCCGAGCCCCAACGCCGAAACATCAGCACCGGCCATTATACGTCTCCCCTCTCTGCACGAGCCTCATTACTGAAGGGACCAGTCAAGCGCCAGGGAACAATATACCCGCAGCCTCTGATTGCGTAGATGCGAGCATCGCCATCGCTGCTGCATAGCTGAAGGTACATGTGTGCCGAAAGCGCCAGGCCGTTGTCGCAATCCTGCCGGATCTCGGCTCTTGCTTGCATTGCCGGTGCTACTGTGCGGGCACTCTATCTGGGTATCCCTCCCTCGTTAGCGCTCTCGCATGAATGCATTGCGTATGCCATGAGGGTGTTCCACAACAACAAACACCCTACACCGCTTGCGCGATGGACTAGGAATCTTCCATGTTGTGCAAATGCAACACACTACGCAAGCAAGCCTTATGGGGATGTGACACACAGTGGGCTGTCGCGAGTGCGCCACGGATCCAGAGAGTCTCCATATCCTAACAACAGCCTCCTCAGCGTCCGGTCGTCATGCGAGGCCTTACTCACTTCGATGAACACAATAAAACTGAGGACAGAACTGGAAAGCAGGAACAGGCCAGCCGCTCAACGCACATAGCGTTGTCTCTGAGACATTGCATGTTTGGGATGTGCAGGCTCTATCCAAGAACCTTGACAACCATCATCTTCATTGCTTTCTTATTGAGCCATTCCATACGCAGAATCTACCTTGGCTAGGCATTTTCAGAATTCAATTAATGTTTTCACAATAACAACTCGGCGTTCGCCTCGCCTGTGGATCGTCACATTCCGGATGACTAAATCAAACAGCAACAACAGTCAACCTGAACAGTCGCCTATCAAGCCCGAGTCCAAGGCGGTTGGAGTTAATACCAGAATCTCACGTCGAAAATTCACTCTTCTTTCCATTACACTCCTGCTTAACGTACTGTTTTGGAGTGCTCTTATCTGTTGCGTCACTTCACTCTATCAGATCGTATCAGATCCGTGGGATGCAGCAAATATCGCACCGGTGGTCTTGAACTTGACTTCTGTATGTGCTTCGAATCTTGCAATCAATGCCAACGCTAACTAATCGCCCAGGCTCTCGCAACAATCGCATACGTATGCGTCCACACAATATTCTCTTCAAAGCAGAAGAATTGGGAGCAACAACGGCGACACACGTCTGCCGCCAAGAAGACTTCCTATGTTGCCATCCGTCTAGTGGTCTCGCTATGTGTTCTCTGGCTACTAACTTCTGGATGGAACATGATTCTCGTTGCAAGAAGACCTATTTGCCTGCAACAGGCACCCGGACTTCAAAGCTGGGAATTTGGTTCCACTTGCTTATGTGGCCGTGTGGGTATTACCTTCGCCGCCATATCGTTGTATGTAAAATCAGTGTGTAAAGCTGGTTCAAGAGCTAATCAGTCAATCAGAACTGCGTCGTTTGTTCTGTTTGGCGTACTCTCCGTCGTCAGTCGTCCTTTCGAAGCTCATCTGTTCAAGCACGGTTACCGAAAGCCAGCAAATGCATGGCATCCGCCATACGCTTCTCACGTGTCACCAATAACTAGAGATCGCATATCTACATGTGAGAAGAGTATCCACTACCGTCACATGCCCACGTCGACACATAGGAGCAGTTCATCCGACCCGATGGCACAAAACAGAAGTCGCTCACCAGGATCGGTGGTCTTTACCTCGCATCATGCGCCGCCACCCATACCCTCAGCTTTTATGACCCCGCATCGCAACCCGTCTTTCGATGCTTTACCTTCTGCATCATATGCGTCCACAACTCGTGGGGTCTTGACTGGCCCGCCTCTTTCGTCGCATTCAGCAAGTAGACGTGATTCTGCACCTGTATCCACACAAGCCCGGCATTCAGCATCTATATGGCGCGCCGTTCATCCAGAGAGCCCGGAGTTCATACTGCATTCATCGCGTCCGCGCCTCTATTCCCGCGATCTTGATCTCTCTCATCGTCAATCCTCACGTTCCTCAATATCTCTCACCCGTCCAAGCCGCCTGAGCTCTCTGAACTCTATCTCTCAAAGTGACTCTACCGTCTCAGAGAGTCGGGACCATTGCTTTGGGGTAACTGATGAAGGCGACAGAGCTACTCCTGGTGAGATCGCTTATGCTATCACAAACGGTACACCTATACCTGGCACTGAACCTGTCAAAGGTCTGGACAGACACCATATCCGCACCTTCAGTGCCCCAAATCATAGCTCCGCTGCTCAGAAGAACCATGCCTTAGTTTTCGATGCGATTGTCGTCACTCGGAAGCCAGTGCCGGTTCGGCGACTGAGATCTGCCGACCGGAAGCGAGCCTCAGATACTTCCAATACAGAAGCCGAAAACTACATGATCAACCAAAGGTTGAGAAACTTTTCGTACCCTAACGGCGGTTTAGCAATAGCTGAATTCAAGAGAAGCAGAAGGATGACGTTTGAGGAAGTGAAGAATAAACCCTTACCGAAGATTGCCGTCTTCTAGCACCGAGATTGAATCAACCTTCACTTCAACTCAACTTCACAATCACGGTTATGTATCGAGACCACCGATAGTCGTATTTAAGTCTCTTTACAAACCGTCTCGTGGGTACGAAGATGAACTGAGCGCTTGCCAACAACAAAAGCAAGCCGATGTTCGCTCGGAAAGTCTCTGGTCAAGCACAAACGGTGGATCGATCCGTTCGTGCGTTTCTCGGTTGGCACCACACGCGCATCGCTGATCACTGCTGACAGGCAGCTGTTGGTTGTCCGTGGGGTCAACAGCGCCACCCGTCAGCTTACAGCAGATGGCGTGTGACTGACTTGTCGTAAGGCGACCGAGACACTTTTACTAGCTATGTGTGAAGACGCAAGCGATACTTCTCCAAGTTGCAGCTAGGACACGAATCGTCAGCACCGACCTTTACCGTCTATAGTTGTTTTGTATTGGCAGACCCCGCCAGCGAGCTCTGCTCCTGTACATGGGACCGAACTCTTTACCTTCCAAGCACTAGCCGACCGGGATGTCCGGCCTTCTGACATGTATCGGAAGAAGACATCATCTTAACACTGGAGTGTCGTGCTCGATACAACAAGCAACCGCCAACATCACATCGTTAAGTCGACAAGAATTTAACACTTGGCGGCTTATCTCACCTTTGCAAAGGCATCAGCAAGGTCACCTAGCATGAATCATATATGGCCTACCTGGAAACGGTATGCGCCACCAACCGGGAAGACTAGGAAGACTCCGAGCTTAGAGCTTCTGTGACACTTGATGGGAAGAAAGAGGCTTGCTATACGTAACAAAGGGCAAGTTGGAGACGGTATGCTGAGGCTATCAGAATGGATTGGGACATAGCTTCCATGCTATAAAGCAGAGCTCGACTGCTGTCCAGAAAGATCACCATCTTACAACCAGGCATCCATTCGCTCAAACATACTACAGTATCTTACCCCAATACCCAAATCGCCAAGATGAAACTCACAGTTCTCGCCTCTCTTCTTGCCTCTGTGGCTATGACCGCTAGTGCCGCACCTGCCACCGGCATTGAGGCTCGTCAGGGAGTCCCCCGTGTACGCGCCACCTGTAAGTGATGATGCTATGCGATTCAAATCACACAAGATACAGGATTAACCTCAAACCCCATTCCAGTCTACCGCGACACGCAATGCGGCCGCGACGGCCGCCCTTACGGCGATGACTACGTCCCGCTCCAGAACACCACCGCCACCGGCCTGAGCACGTGCATGAATTTCCCCCCTTCGTTCAATTTCCCCAGCACCTACTTCAACGAGACCATGCTCACGAGGACAAGTAAGTTTTAGTTGCATGCTAATGACCTTTTGGTTCGCAAGAGCTGATAAATGACTTGTAGTCCGTTTCTACGACCTTCCTTGCGAGCAGCTTACTAGCGTTGACAGCGGACATCACATCGACATTGCGCCTGGCTTCACAGCTGGTTGCCAGACGCTGACGCTCAAGTCTTATGTCACTTTGTAGATGCTCTCGCTGATGAAAGGCATGTTAGTGGACAGATCAAGGAAAGCCTTTTTGTATGGTAGTGCGGTGTAGTGTGTCGGGTCCAACGCTCCGGCTCATATCACAACACGTTCAGGACTTTGGAGGAATTTCCTACACTATTCTAGTCACTCATTTATAGTAGAACACAGAATGCGGAGCAATCCAATATCTAAGAGCGTGAAAGTGTTTCGACATGACGGTTGATGATCGTGTTCTCGGTGCTTTCGACGTGAAGTCAAGATGAAGAATTCGCTAAAGGTATGTAAGCTTGCGTGCGGTCACGGGTAGCTGGAACGCTCCACGTGCATCCAATCACTCTGCACGTGAACGTGAATGTATGCACGCGACCGGCTTACCTCCAAGATTCCATCGAAGCACCAAATCGGGATGATTGCAAAGCCACGTCATTCTAAGAACGAATGAGGCCATATGAACTTCGGATTCATAAACATGGAACGAGCGGTATCGCGAGCTTACGCATATAGCATTCATGTAAGCAAAACACACGTTTTGTGGACTGACCGAAGGTATCTCGCAACAAGTACTTGCAATCTGACCTCACGTCGGAGTCCTCGGATGGAGACGTTTGCATTTTTTCCTCGTATATACTCACTCGCCACCAGCCACCAACGTTGGAATGATCGTGTTTCGGTGGTTCTCAGATCATGAAACAGTCTTGGAAGGCTCGGCCCACTCAGAAACAGTATTGCAACAATGGCATATGTCCTATGAGTGACTGATATCGACTGGGCGAAGCAAGCCACCAACCGCGTGATCCGAGTCGTGCTTCATACTATAGTTGGTAGAGCAATACAACGCGTAACACCTACTTTCCTTACTCCCATGCAACGCTCGGCAGATTAGCAAGCCATATAAAGCCAGCATCATACATCCCATTTCGATTTCATCTCACCACAACATCTCAGCTCGTCTCCCTTTTTCCGCATCTATCTACCTTTCAATCCCCTGGACGAACTCAAACATGCATCTCACCACCATCATCACCCTGTTCGCCACTGCAATCGCCGTAAGCGCGACGCCCGTCGAACTAGAGGAGAAGCGTCAACTCGAAGGCGCTCCTCGCGTCTACGCCCGCTTCTTCCGCGACAACGGCTGCGGTCCCACCCCCTGGGCTGAAGACACCGTCTTCTTGCAGTCTGAGACTGTAGGATTGGCTGGATGTCAAGATCTAGATGTTGGGCCATTTGCGAGCACCAGCTTTGACATCAACAACTTCAGCAGGACTGGTACGTGACAATCTGTGTTATACTAAGGAAGTGGGGGCTTTGCTAACGACAGGGACAGTGAGGTTCTTCAACTTGCCTTGCTCTCAGCTCACATCTGTTACGAGCGGAAACTTTGTGGACATCGCACCCGGTCAGGCTCCTAGCTGCCAGAATCTGGCGATTCGGTCTTGGATCACTGTCTAGGTAGTATTTGGTCGCAAGGCGCTGGATATATGTCTGCTATGAAGGTCAAAATATAACAATAACAGTGGGTCTGAAGTATCTGGTCGGGGGACGAGAATGGAGCGGTTGAGTGACGTGGGGAGAAATGTGAGATGAGTCGGGTCCAACACTCCGGTCTCATCTCGCGGGTGTTCTTTCATAGCCTTCTTGTCGCTCCTTTAGTAAGAATACAAGATGTTGGGGACGCCCCCGCGCATACCGATACCGAGTGCTTTGTTGTAGCGAATGTGCACGTAAAATCCAGGCGTCAGCCTTTGGATGCATTCTTGCAGGAGATATCCTGAGCCTGTTGTCGTCATACATGTGGGGTTGCGGAAAGCCTCCACTTATTCTGAAGTCACGTTGGGTATTGTTGTAAGCACGGGGTCAGACTGTAGTGGCTCGACTAGGTAGTTACAGACATGGCAGCCGCGCTGGTATGCCCATAACATTGACTTGCAAGGTTTGCAGCAGGCCGCATATGGAACAACAGACCACGAGCTGACCCAAAATCATCGTGACGTTCCCTCTAAGCTCTCGCAACGCGTCAACTTCACCAAACAGGAATGTGCGCATCCTTGTCCTGACCGGAAACTGACCGCAGCGTCAGCAACAACACACCGACAAGAAACAGCTTTTACAGCATGAGCTCATACCACAACTTTACTATCATGACTGATGGCCCATACAGTGGCGATTTGTATCCATACAGCATTATTTTCATTACTGAAACGATCATCTTGGGCGATGTCTTACTGTCATGCGTCTGACCTCACCAAATCATTCATTACCTATGTACAATCGAAATGGACGTGACCTTTGCAAAATATTTTGGGCGAATAGACTATACTGTTGGAGAGTTCATTCAGGGAACATGGTGTCAGAGGACGTGTAGAGCCCATTGCGTGTAGAGCACGGCGGCGATAGTCCTGCCGCCAGGTGAGTAGAAAGGAGACGTCCTCCGGCATCTCATTCCTGTTTATCTCCGCATTCATCGCAATCACATTCAAAATCTTCAGACGCTTTAAGCCAAAACTATCAAAAATATCATCAACATGCAGTTCACCGCCCTCGTTGCCCTCTTCGCGGCCGCCGCTAGCGCAGCTCCTGGCACAATCTCTTCACGCCAGACTGCAGATGGAAGCGTGCGCGCACGCTTCTACGACGAAACCAGCTGTGGTGGAAATGGAGTAGGCGTAGCCAAAGCTGAATTGATCCTTACGCCAAGTGCTACTGAGGGGAAGGCAGGATGTGTAGATTTGACGATCGGGCCATACCGTGCAACCTTCTTCGATCAGAGCACCCTGAAAAAGACAAGTAGGTTCAAGCGCAGCCTTCCCGAGATAGTCTTCCACCGACGAGTTCAAAAATCGTATATATGCTAACATCCCATCCCTCAGTTCGCGTCTTCAATGTAGCCTGCTCTGAAGTTGGGGAGAACCTGGACCAGGGAAATTGGATTGACATTGGGCCTGGAAACACAAACTTAGGGTGTAAGACCTTGACTGTTCGTTCTTACCTTACCAAGCCGTAGAGAACTTATCTCTTTGAGAGATATGCACGCATTCTGAGGGTCTGAAGTGAGGGGAAGAAAGGGATGTAGTAGATTGGGTCCAACACTCCAATCTACGTACATGAGTGTTTAGATGCTGTTCCTATTTATTGTCTTTCACCAAATTCCTTGTCACTCGTTTAGCTTATAATTCTGGAAAACTAGGTCACAACCCACTTTCTCCCACGACCCGTGAATAGGATGCGGTGATTTCGCGGCATATACGCGCAACTTTCTTACCAAGGCCAATCAGCACTCACCTGTATTCACATTCCGATTATAGTAAGCGTTTGCTCAATCGCTCGTTCCAAGCTCGGACAGTCACCTCGACCTGACTCACAATTGGCCCACTGACCCCCACACCCTTATAACGCTTCTCACCACCGGGTAGTAAAGTATTACCCCCAGGCTCACCGCACTGCTCCTTCCACCCATCGCGCAACAAAGTCATTCGAGGAAACAACTACCAAAACACCCAAGATGAATCTCTTGAATCTCCTGCTGGCGTGCATCTTCGCGCTGTGCGTCATTGCCGCACCCACAGACTTCAAGCTACACTCTGCGCTCGCCATTCCCGTCCCCGGCTCTGCAACCTACGACGCCGACCTCGCTGCTGCCCTCGCCTACGTCCGTTCCCACAATTCTTCCTCCGTCCAGACGTCCGCCGCCGATCCCCCAATTACTAGATTATGCGGCTTCTACAATAGTATTCCAGACTCCGACCCCCTCTACAAGGAGATGCGCACAGATGGGTCGTTCAACTACCGCAGCTTCGAGCTGGATCCGGGCTCCACTATCAAGAGCGTCCTCAACCGCCACTGCGGATTCTGCATGTACTTTGACGGTAAATGTGTCTGTTTTTCTACTTGCAGTACCTGCGGCGCTCCCAGACTGGATGCTGATTAGGAAGGAAGCAACTGACACGTATTACAGAAAAAGGCACTCTTATCCAGGGCGTAGGACCCGATCAACAGAAGTGGGTGGCTATTCCGGGTGGCAGGAGCTACATCTGCTGGCGTCCGCCGGTACATGGCTAGCATATGCGGTGACTGAAGATGATCAGCGTCGAGGGTGTGCATGTCGATACCGAAGTTGTCGATACTGCTTTTGGACGGTGTGGTTATCAGTCGCACTAACATGGGTCTTCCTTCTTCTCTTCCACAGAAGTGGAATGCGGTGCGTTAGGATGGTATGCGTCATGCAGTCTGTCAATATGAAGAATTGACAAGCATAAAAATCCAACCAGAATTTTCCAATGATAGTGATGTGCACTTCACATACAGCTCAGTGTCAATGACACATGAAGATCTGTGATCTTTGTATCTCTAATGGCTCCTACAACCCCTTTCCCTCTCTCTTTCTGACATTTTCTCCTTCCCAAATTAATGATGTTTCCCCGGCCTCGACGCCATACAAGCAGAAAAGTTGCGATCAGCGGGTTCAACACACCATTGCATATCAGACTTGGTATTTCAGAAGCAGAAATGAACGCGCATCTAGCTCTGCAAGCGCGTGTGCACGACTACGAGGAACGCGACAAGGAGAGAGCCACCGAACTGGAGACCGAAGCAGAACTACGTACGGACTCACATACCAGCATCGAAGAAGGAAAGTTGGAAGAAAAGAGCGTAGTAGTACATGGAGACGAGAGGCGCAGCGGGAGCGGGCATGGTGACTGTGCGAGGACGACTTCGGAAAGAGATGAAACGGTGGTCGTTATGGGTAGCGGCGGTGACAGAGACATAGTGGTGATAACAATTAGGCATGTGCAGGCCGCTGCGACTACTGGAGAAGGAAGTACAGCCGATGAAGATGAGCAACAAAGAGAGGGCGGGCACACATCGGGCGAGGTATGGACAGAGAGTCCGCATTTCCTTTGGGGGCCTTGAAAGATCATGATTCTTGAATGGTATAGCAATAGTATCTCCTCATCCCTTCCCGCAATATCAAACGTTATCCAACGACACTTTGCCCCGTAGTGACCTCTCTTCTTCTATTACTCCAGAACGCCTTGCTGGGTGGTGATGATACATGAAAGGTGACATGCGGGTGAACATGCGTGTAGTCGTCGGCAACTTCCATCATAGTACTCATCGGGGCCGAATGCACACGTAGTCCGGAGGTGATGTGGTGAGGTCAGTGAGGAGTAAAACTCCCCTTGCAGCGGGACCATGTGATCCGCAAGTGACCATCGCAGAGCCGTCACCTAGTCCAATGAAGCGTATGCGTCGTTCCGTAGTAGCTGCGACCGAAAGCTGGTTGAAGTGCTAATTGACTTCAAGTCGCTTCTGTGCTCAATTTCTCTGCCTCTGCTTCTGTACTCTGCTCCTTTTCCTCGCTCTTCTTCTCTTCAGATTCCTGTTTAGGCTCCACTTTCGGTTCCGCCTTGGGCTGCGCAACTGTTTTGCTAACGACGAGGCCGATCAGATGAGAGCCAACGTTGCCAGCACCGTCAATAGGCCCAAGCTTTGCATCGAATAGCTTCGCCTCACGTAGCAATCTGAGTGCTGTTAGCTATGTATTCACCCAAATTGACTTGGTTACGTACCGTGCTTTACCACCAGGCGTCTTCACTGCCGCTTCCTTGATAACACCACCCACCTCTTCCCTGTAGCTCTCAAACACAGGACCCATAATCATGCGGACCTGTATGTCGCTCAAATACTTGTTAATCACCTTGTGCATGGTCACAGTGTCCTTAGTCAAGCTCTCCATGCTGGGGCTGACATCTTTATTGACTTCGGCCTCAGTGTCCCATTCCACTTTCTTGAGACTGCGCATGTGAACCTTCGCTCTCCCAGCTAAGATGCCTGTGAGCTTCTCGTGGATTTGGTTCTGTTGGTCGTACAACAGGCGCTTGACATTGTCAAACTCGCCAATCGAGGATCTGTTGGAAGCTGATGCAGTGCGACGCCGGAAGCACTCGCGGACGTAAGGTAGGATTGCGACAAGGAAGGAAAGTGTCTGAGAAGCAATGGCGAGATGTTTGGTGTTGATATTCTTCAAGCCAGCTGACTGCATGGCGCCCGCGCCGAGAATCAGTTGACAAAGTCGGGAGTTGAAAAGCTTAATGTAGTCGCAAAGGGAGTTAGAGACTTCGGAAGTCATACTTGGCATGGCGGAAACTAGGATTTCGAAACGCTCGATACCTCGGAGGACGACTGTTGATGATTCTGAGATGGTGTACTTCTCCTCATCCACAACAGCGGGAATAGTGGTTTTGTTCTTCTCCTTGGGCTTCTCTTCGGATACGCCGTTTGTTTGTACTGAAGTGCCGTTTGTGGTCGGCTTTTCGATCCCTCGGAGAATGTCGCCAGTTTCGGCCCAGCTTGGTGGATCACTCTCCATCCCCTTCAACAACCGTGCTAGGACCTCAGTATCGCTTGCGTCAAAGTCTTTCGGTTCCCAACGATCTGAATCCATTGATTTTATCAGTTCTTGCTTCTCGAAGTCTGCAAATTTTGATACAAAGTCGTTGATGTGGGTGTTCACCACACCCTTGAGTGCAGCGCCAGAACGTCCCGAGACAGCTTCACACTCATCCGCAAAAAGCCTACACATATTGAAGTACCGTAGGAAGCGTTCCAATGGGAGATTAGCTGTAGCTTCTGAGCGGACTTTGAGGAGCTTGGTGATCTGTGTTTGTGCTGCGTCGACAGCCTGACCTAACAAACTTGACATGTCCAGAGCTTGCATAAGTTCCATCTGCAGGTCATTGGAGCTTGGCGCTGGCACGTTATTGCCTACGTAATCATCGATACTGTGCATATACGGACTCCTTGGAGGAGAGCGAAGCCCGCCAGCAGAGGCGGGAGGGGTAGTCACGCCGCTTGTGACATCAAGAAGCACCTTGATCAGTGTGCTTAGACGGCGGAGCGCTTCACCAATGTTGGTGAAAATATTAGCGAAAAAGACCTCGGCATCCTCAGGATCCATTGCGCGCAGATTTCGCGCAAGGATCGAATTCTTGTCCTGTTGACTAGTTCCTCGGCCGCCTCTTGTAGACACAGAAGCCATGGAACCAGTATCGTCTTCTGATGAGCTCGGCAAATGTTTCCGGATGAGGACTTTCATCTCTTTGATCATAGCCTCCCTGAAAGTTGCGCTAGCTTGATTGGTGAATTGCGCTCCGCTCAGGCCATACAGGCTAGCTCGTAACTCTGCTCGTAGCTTTTCATCTGTCGTCATGTAGGCTGGTAAAGTCGTCTTTGGTTTCTGGTTGCCCCCGCGTGCTTTTTGCGATGCAGCAGTCCATCGTTCCAGGGTATCATGAGCCGGAACTCGCTTGACGTGCTCTCGCAGGTCTGTGAGCAGAGTGTCGACAAAGCGTACTTCGAAGCCTCTGCCCACGCGGAACTTGAGCTCGGTGATGTTCTCGAAAACCCCGTCTAGTGCTCTCAAGTGTCGCAAATCGATCATTTGCGGAGGTAGTCGAGAGTCGAGCCATGAGGTGCTTTGCGTATCAGTCGTGTCCAGCGCGCCTGTTATCAGTCGTTCGATGACTTCTATCCGAGCCATGGCGGTTTCAAGGTCACCGTCGACAACGGCTTCATCGCAGTGCGAGAGTCCGACGATGACAGCCTGTAACTGGTCGACCGAGTCTGTCAGCCTCCTCAGATTCTCTCTCCGCCTCTTCATTTCGACGACCTTCAAGCCACCTATTGCCATCTGCTCATCCAGCCTCTTCAAGTCTTCCCTGAGACCTTTTATCCTTGCGACCGAATCTGATGCTTCCGTCTGAAGCTCGCGGAGGGAGCCGAGCGCGGCGAAGAAGGATGTCGATGCTGTGGATATGGCCGAAATCAAGTGCACCTCCACCGTGTCCATGTACCACGACAGCTTCTCTTGTAGAATCGCATTTGTGGCCAGAGCTTTCCGCCCGGGAGGTTGTGGGACGTCCAGAGAGCCGTTTGCCCCAAAATCATCGTTGCTTGCTGTTCGTGCTGGCCTGACCACCTCGGATCGCTCGCTCACCACGTCAAAGGTTCGCGGGTTTTCTAGGTGGAAGTTCTCGTCGAAGTAGATGTTGGGTATTGTGGACAGCGGCGTGATAGCTGGTAGGGCGCGCTTGGATCCGCTCGTTCGACGCTTCGGTTTCGGTGGGCCACTGGAAGAGAAGGGTGTACCTGCTAGATTAGGTGTCCCCGCTGGCGACTCAGTACGTAGGCCCCGTCCAAGACTCTCGGTCGCGTCCTCCTTCTTCGACCCTCTCCTTACCGGCTGGGCGGCCTCTGCTTCAGCTTCGGCCTTTGCGCGCTGAAAAGCGTCGTACAAACCGCCAACTTGCGACAGATATGGATTGAAGGTGGAGGGCTCGATGTGGGGTACATTTGCGAGAGTTACGGGCGGGATGTCTTTGGTAGATGGAGGGCGGTGGCCTGCGGTCGCTGTGGCAGTGGTATGCGGCACCATGCCAGTCCGCATGATGGGAGGCGTGAGCAACGTGGAGATGGCTAGGCCATGGTTAGCTTCTTGAACAGCTGTGCATATAATCACCGTGAATGCCCACCATTGTTGCTCTGCTCTCTCACCGCGCCCATGGTGCTCTTGAAGCCGCTATCGAGTGCGCCCCCAACCGAGTGTATCGAAGACGAGGTAGAGCCACGTCGCGGCTTGTAGCGCCCGCCCGTGGAGCTGGGCCTGTTGGTCCAGTCATGGTTCGCTGATGGAAACGGAAAGGAGCCCTGCGGCGGGTTCGGCGACAGGAACTCGAAGCTCTCGGTCGATCTCCGTGGGGTATCGGGGGAAGACATGATGGCGGCGCAGGTCGGGGGTGGTGAATAGGCGGCGGCATGGGTGGACAGGCGGACACATCTATCGCATGCTCGAGGACGTACGGACGGGAATCAAGCTCGGAGTCATCAATCAGAGACAGCAAGCAGAAGGCGCAATGGGGAGACTGGTTGTGTCAAGCGTCACTTGAATGTCGTGGCTAGCCAAAGTTCCACGCGCTCGGTGGTGACGGTGCATGGGCCCTGGAGCGGCTTCTGGAAGCTTGACAAGGATCATGCAGCCGAAACACAACCGCCGACGGCTCCACCTACTTCAGACCCTTATGTAAGCAACGGCTCTCATCTCCCGAACCATCCACGTCCTTGCGCGAGAGAGCCATGCTTCCACTATTACATCCGAGAGATGCTATTATGCTTCACTCCAGCCTCTCATATCATTCACAGCTCTTCTCAACATAGACACCATGCCACCAACTATGCCACCTCTTTCCCCTTCGTCTTGCCTGTCTTCAGCAGCCGGCTTGTCAGCATCCCTACTTTCCTCTTCCAGTCCATACTTGTTACGCACAGACTTCCAGTCAGTGGACATGATCAAGTCTCCTCGGCAGAAATGGCATCGCATCCGTTTTCCATCGCTCCACGCAATCCGGCGCAACTGATCAAGGCACGGTTGGCACAAGACATGGCCGCACGGCACGATGATGGCAGGATTAGACATAGTTTCGAAGCAGATCGGACATTGGAAAGGTTTGCTGGCTGCTCCAAGTCGCTCGAGTGCACTCTCGTAGAGTTCGCCGAATGCTTGGTCAAGGTCGAGTCTTCGAAATAGTTCGTGCATGGCTTCCGAGCCTCTGGATGCATACCTTGGTCGAGCATAGTCGATACCTCGCCCAGCGCTCTCAATAACTCGCCCTTTTCCCACCGCACCTGGATTGCGACTTGCGCGTTCTCGCCTAGTACGTGCAGCAGCATCGCTGGGTGCGCTAGAAGACATGGCGTCCTGCAAAGCATCCCATACTGGGTGCTGATCAAGAGCGAGTAGTCGATCAGTCTCTCGCGAAACCTCAGAACGTATCAAATTAGGAACCGGTACATTGAGAAATTGCGGCAAGGTTTCATCAATGTCGGTTGTAAGAGATCGTATACGAGGAGGGGTTTGCGCCGAGATTTGTGAAGGGCTCATAGACCTGCTGGAGCTCTGCGTAGGCGTTATGATGTCTTGATACTCAGCTTGCGCTGCAGGCGTAAGAGAGGTGGATGTAGATCTGAACCTATATGCCGAGTTCCTGGCAGGCGTTCTATCGGAAAAAGAATTGGGGTCTCATGGTCGCGATGTGGTCCGTCCTTGGGGTGATGGAAAGGAAGATGAATGAATTAGATATCACGAATGATGTTCGTGGATCTTACATGATACTCGACTACAGTAGCGAAATTCTGCAGGTACCTTGGTTGACATTCTCGCTTCTGTAAATTTTGACGAAACGTAATTTGCGGATTAGAATCACATCAATGTAGACAGACTCATGAACGCACCAGGTTCACCATTACGACTGTGAACCCGGGAGCTCCTGCCTGGAAACTGCCCAAAGAAGAGCGAGAGATCTCAACATGCGGCGATCAGTAATATCATGCAAACCATCATATTCATCCTGATCCACGCCCATTTCCATAAAATTGCGAAACTGCGCGATAACAACTAGCAATGATTGAACGGAGCAACGAATTCAAGACCATGCTCTCTTAGCTACCCTTGTCCATGTCTCGAGATGCGGCATGTATTTGTATTTTGACTCCTTCTTTTGCGTAAATGTGCACAACCCCCTCTTGCGAGTCATAATCGAAGTGGCCTAAATGGCGGTTATTCGCAGAACATTGTAGGGGAACCAGTGCTTTACTCCGCTTCGCATTCGGCGGGCTGATAAAGTCCACAAAGTTGCGCCTCTTGCTTGCAATCGGAAGGCTGCATGCCGCACTAGATCTGGGTGGTGACGAAGTGGCCGCTTCAGACACCGTCGACATTGATCTGGGAAGAGGCAAGTTATTCAGACGCTCTGATGTGTCCTCCCTCACCAGAATGCGTATTCCTCGAGATGCCCGTGTCCCTTTACCTTGTGTGCTACCATCAGCAGAGCCTTGAGAAGTTGAGACTGTGGTGAATGTATACTGCTGCTGTGTTTCCTGCATTGTAGCTTCATCGGGAAACGCTTGAAGAATAGCCGGTATGGCCTCTGGGCAGGGCGTGACTGGCGACGAGCGAGGATTAGTCCGCTGAGTCGTCTGCTGCGTAGTATCGTCGGTTGTTACAGTCGCCTGAGACCCGTCCATCTCTTTGGTGTACTTTTTAACCAACAAAGCAACGTCACGAGCATGGCCATCGAGCTTGTCAGCATCGGGCACCTCCCACTTCTCCTCAGCCATACGTTCCAAATCTTCCAAAGATACAGCATCTTCCCAAATTCTGTCATGGTGTATTTTCTTGACTCTGGGGTGTCGCAACATTTTGAAGGATTCGTTTTGGAGCTTCTCAAAGCCGCCGCCAAGAATCTCTGCTACGAATGGTTTCTTGAATGCTGCGGTCATCCGCCTATCATAGCCTTTGGAATGTTGGAATTCGAACTCAAAGGTCGACCCGTCGTCTCGTAGTGTAGTCTGGCGAATATAACCTTGAATGTTCATGTATTTCACATCAGACTTTGGTATGCACTTGTCGAGGCTGAGGCTCGCGACGATCGTGAACTTTGGCTTTGCACTCGTACGTTGTACTGCATCTCTATTCGTACAACATCCCAGATGGAAGTGCGTCCAGTGTAAAGGCCTGAGGTCGCTCTTTGCCGCGACTTGCGCATCAAAGCTAGCTCCGACGACAGCAAAGTCGCCCAAATCCCTCTCGCCACCCATGTCACCGAGGTAATCTTTTTTCAATTTGATAAAGAAACTTGCTTGACGATGCCCTTGCTCCGACAAAAGTGGGAAGTACGGCGCATGCAACGGTTTCAGAACTAGTCCTTCTTGGTGTTCGGCTAGGTTCCGGGCAAATATCTGTTTAAGGTCTGTTATGCCATCCCCTGTCTTAAAGTCCAAAAGTGTCCACTCCGATCGCATTGACCGGCCGGGGATTACACGGACAAGGTCCCTCAAGATCTTGCGACGGTCTTGAAGGCAGTGACGTAGAATAGATTCGTCATCTAGCACAAGGATGTCGAAAAACACGAGCATAAGATGCTCCCACTTGTACGGCAGTGAATCTTGAAGCGTGCCGATGAAGGAACCAGAGCGGGTGATGTGCTTCCTGATTTTTGAAAACCCCATTATTTTCTTTGTATTGTCGCTGTAGAGTACCATCTCGCCCAGAATGACGCACTTCTTCTTCAAGATGCAGTCTGGTCGACCGATACGGAGGGCTTCGCGAATCGTGGCATGCAAAGCCTTTCGGTCCGCCGTTGCGTCTTTTCCATTTTTAGAAAAAATGCGGATGTCATTAGGTGCGTTGTCCAAGTCAACGTGTATCTCGCAATACTCGCCGTCGTACTTCACTTCGGCAGCCCAAGCGCGCTGACCCACAAGCTGCATGCAGTGCTTGAAAGACCAAGCTTTGTGGAACGTCGGTCGCCCCACCTTGATTCCAACAATAGCTCTCAGTCTCTGTGCCGCGTCGATACGCATGAGTCTTTGCTTTGACGGCTCTGGTACTGCGGGATAACAGCTCAGATCGCCTTTGAGCATCTTGAAGACGGCGTCGAAGTCATTTTGGAACATCAACAATTGTGGTAAGAGAAAGTGGTAGCGCTGCAGGACAAATTGCTCGTCAAGCTCCACGGTACAGTGATGTCGCAGAATGAGACGCACCAACCACTTTGCTTCCCACGACTCAAGTCTCACGAGTATCTCCTTCAGCTCAGTATCGCTTTGGAAATCTGAGATACGCTTCTTCCTGATGACCTTGTCGGAGAACTGATATCTTGCTGCTAAATGTACCAGCAATCGATCGATTTGTGCAATCGGAAATGCACGTTTGCTGGCGAATGTGCCATCCCAAGGTTTCATTGCTCGTTCGACATATGCCCCAAGGTCACCGTATTTCCCTGTGTGCCAGCCCTCGAATAGAGCCAATTGACCGTGATTGAAGGCAAGTAGGCTCGCGAGTTTCTTTGCGAGTAATGGCGATTGCATTCCATAGACTCGATCTTTCCTTCGATGTGGAAAGAGAGCAGACAAGACGGCGCCCCCATTTGTATCGGGATCATCGAGGGCTTCTCTCTGCTTGAGAAACCACTGCGAGGTTATCTCGCGAATATGGGATTTCTCTTGCTTCGCAAGTAACCGTGGCCGCCGTGTCGTGACGGTCTCGACGCTTTGTAGAAGACTGCAAATGGCACCGAAGGTGACGGTCATCGTAGGCGTACCGATGTACGTACAGGTGGAATATCGTATCGTGCTGGGCCTGCTAAGGCTTTTTGTGCTTAGAATGAGTATGCGACATGCCAAAGGCAGTAGCAAGTGATGTGCTTGCTTCCAAAAGCACCTGGCGGATATCGTGAACGGTGCCGACGATCTATGATATCAAGCTATCAATGTTCGAGCGTAGAAAGGCGAGAGAGAGTTGTGAGGGATACCATTTGCGTACACAACGCAGGCGGACAATTGGTCGGTGCGCACGTTCGAGGCCTCAATATCCTCATCATATTCGAAAGAACGTTGCCGAGCTTTTGACGTCGGATTGGCACTCGAGGCTTGTAAACAAGAGCAAATCGAGAAGTTGAAACGATGGCTTCTTTAGGTATATAAGAAGACAATAAGTAAATTGATGATGCGGACCAAAGGAAGGCTTGGCCGCGTCCCAACAAAGTCAAGATGAATGGAAGGAGGGGATCATGAGCGCGCACGCGCTTTCTGACGCGCTAATGCAAATCGTCACGGGAACACGCGTATGCTAGGCTTAATCTGCAGAGCCACGGAACTTGACCATATGCTTCGAGCTGCCGACGGGGTTTCTTCGACATATATCGTCGCTCCATATCATTATGGCGAAGAGGTATCAACAGCAGGATTTCAGGATGCAGAATCGAGTAGATTTCCGTTTTCACAGACGGCATTCGATGAGCCCGAGCAAGCGGCTAGCGTGTACGTCATGACCCGTCGTCTGATGCTTCATCAGACATTGATCAGCCTCGCGCTTTCAAGAGGCCGAGCACACTTCAACTGGCCGAGGAGACAAGACCTATTTCATTGGCGGTGTTGGACTACAAAATAACCACTGATTGTACTTTAAGTCTTGGAGTTCAACGCAGCGCAGCCAGGTAACCCCGCTCTAGCCGGCCTTGTGACGATTGTCCTAACATTGACAGTACTACATAACTAGACAATCGGCACAATGGCGCCAGGTCAAGGCCAGAAAGGCAACCCGAACGACCCTCGGTCAGAAGAGTCGAAGAAGAAGGACCTGAATGCACGCGGCGATTATACGCCCACACCAGCTGGCAAAGCAACCTTCTTCCTCCTGCGCGGCATCGAGCCTGTCCTCCAATATTCAATCCTCGCCCACGGCCTCGGCACATCCGCCCTACATCGCATAGGACTGCGAACACTGCCTCCTGGACTGCCAACGCGTACAGGCATATCTCTGATCGATGGCTTGGGCCTGTCGCCGTACCGGTTGGTATTGCTTGGGATGGCGGTTGGCGCAGCTGTGAAGCAGAACATCTGGGTAACAGCACTCTCTGGAGAGCCAATGCCAGTCACAGGCGCCATCGCGGTGGGTCTGTTCAACGCTGTCTTCAACAGTTTGAGTACCTACGCCTTCCTCACATCAGCTACCTCCGCCTCGACCGAAGCCACCTTCCCACAACCTGCGCTCCTCATCGGTAGCTCGCTATACGTCGCAGGCATCATGACGGAACTTGTTGCAGAAATACAGCGCAAGCGCTTCAAGGCGGACCCGAACAACAAAGGCAAAGCTTATACGGGAGGGCTGTGGAGCCTTGCACGCCACATCAACTATGGCGGCTACACGATCTGGCGAGCGGGTTATGCCATGGTCGGAGGAGGCTACACGCTGGGTGCATTGGTAGGAGCCTTCTTCGCGTGGGATTTCACACAGCGGGCAATCCCCATACTTAACGAGTATTGCGAAAAGCGCTATGGAGCGCAATGGGAGGACTTCAAGAAGAAGACTCCGTACCAGCTGATTCCCTACGTCTACTAGATCAGAGCGAGCAGTAGTGTATATCATCTAGTGGGGTCACGATAGGGAGAACCGAGGCGCATGTACATAACATGTTATCTCCGGACGAGCTATGCAAGCTCCATCTCATTCGATGCCCCACCTCATTCGACGTTCCATGTACATAGTACGAGAATGCACGACTTGTGCATGCACAATTTCAGTCGTACGATGCTGTTGTCTGAGACATCGGAGGACCCCTCATGCAGTCGGCAATGTTCATCACACCAAGGACCACAACTTATCGTACCGATGACAGCGGCACAAGACCGACACTAAGACCTAAATGCCGGACCAGCTGCTTACCGAGCGCCCAAAGTAGCGCTTCACGATAACAATTACCCTGTCTGGAGATACGACACCCAGTCGTCGTAGCACGATGCAGGTGCGATTCTCGTCAGCACGGCAGAAACTGAGCCTTGTGCTGCGTTCGTGCTACCGTGACCAAGGGGCATTACTCGTACACAAGCCGCCAAAGAAAATGAGGGCAGAATTGATGGTGTGAGATCTGGTATGCAGGTGAGAGATCTGCGGACGTTGTGTAACCCTCCAAACCAAGGGCTTGGGTTTTACTGGCATTGTGTATTGTGATGGTGTGTAGAAGGTGGGTAGATACGAATCATGTGCCGTTATTGGGACTTTACGCCTCCGGATGGATGATGCTTGGTAGCGGGTCGTCGGCCTATTAGGCGTGCGACATCATAACGGCTGCCGAAACAAAAGCCTCATCGAAGCTGAGAGCAGGTCGACAACGCACGGCTCCTGTTCGGAGAGTTGAGGTTGGCGATAACGACATACGACCGAACGCGGGGTGACAAAGATCCGAGAGCACAATCAAGCAATGATCTACAATTCAGCTCTTCAGGGTCCTTTTCCGTGGCGGCGTTCGCAGCACGATGTCGCTCAAGGATGCCGCTACGCGATGCTACGCCACAAACGCAGAGTCTGGTACACTTGCGCTTTGTACGGGCTGTTCTCCAATTTTCCTTCTATGAATACCCACCGAAAGGCTCGTATCTCCACAGAAAGTGTTTATTGATGGGTATCATCAGAAACGCAGGCTGGTATTGACGATGACGGTCAGGAGGTGGCAATGCCTGTTACTAGAAGTTTCTCGGCGAAGACCGAAGCGGATCTGCCGGGCAAAATTGACCGAAGACGGCAATGGTGGTGATGCAGGAAAAAAGAGCCTCAACATTTTTCGGATAGTCGCAAAGATCACGATCTGGAGGAGCTCGGCTGGCGTTGCAGCATGTCCCATGGTTGAGTGCGCAGTGCTAGAGAGCGGGGAACGGCTGAAGGTGCATCGACGTGCATGCAACCCCACTCTGGAATACAGACAAAAGTAGCGGACGAGCAAGGCCTGCGAGCGGGCTGTTCAACACATCACGTTAGATGAAACGGTATCAGGGCCTTGGTTGCATCCCGGTCAGATGTGCGCTGGGGTGAGGTCTCGCGATGATGGCCCCGGCAGTCTCGCTGGCGACGGGTGCGGGCGACAATTAGACAGTGCTCGCGGTCATGGCTTCATAATCCAGATGGCGGCACAGGGCACGCTTGCCAGAGGATGAAACACTATAGCCGGTGTCACGAGCGATGTGTCAGACGTAGCATTCGCAGCTCGTAAAAAGTGAGGTTCAAAAAGAAAGGCGGGATGCAAGCAGAGGCGATCATGCACAGCTAACTGGGGCCTGCAGGCCACGATGCTCGAGCCACGTTTGCCGATGATTCGACGCGGAGAGGAGCAGCTCGGCAGCGAGCGGGATTCGTGAAGTTGGCGACATGTATGCAGCAGCGCAGCCGGGATGCTCGGTGCGCAAGGCTCAAGGTAGTAGTCGGGAGCCGTATACGGACACGACTCCGCTTGGCTGGGGCGGCTGTTTTGACTTGAGGGGCCTCTTGAGCGCGACGGATTCAGGTTTTGTGGCGTTAGCAGAGCCTACTATGGACGTGCTGGATCGCGCTTGAAAGATGGTATAGTAGAAGCGCCATGGCGACACTTCAGAGGAGGCCTTTCGTCATTGACACTTGCGCGGTGGAGACGTGGTTCCCAGGCGTCGGCTCACCCATTTCTAGCGCGATCGCCCTCAACGGCAAGCACGGAGAGTACCCAAGATACTAAGATACAAGACACGGCCACTTCCTCTTGCGGGCGCACTCGTCCCGATTCTGCTGCCATCAGTCCTGACCTGCTCCATACACACGCCCTTCCCTTTGTTCCCCACCGGCCTGCCCACAGTGCCCGACGTTTCTTTTTGTACTTCCCTATTCAAAAGCTGCGTGTGCCGCTGCTGCACTCTCGGGTGGGCTAGTTCGCGACCTCGACGCCGCATCCATCTGTAAGTCAGCAATTCGCGCGCCTCGACGCCATGCAGGTGCTACGCTTGATCCTCGCAAGCCAGCTGGCGTCTGCTCGTCTTCCCAAACTCTTAAACCGCGCGTGTTGACCTGTTCTTTCTTTAGAGTAAGCTTTTCTAGCGTCTCTGGCTGGACTGGACCATTGCTATTAAGGACCCTTCCCGCCCACGACTCGACACGGCTGCCAGAGCACCACCAATCTTCGCAAATCATCCCTCCAATCTCGATTCCTCCCGCCGGGCCTTGACTGCCCTGCCGCCGTTGCCGCTTTCGCTTGCTCCGTGTGAGGTCCGCATATCATCAGCATCATCAATTTCCGTGCCCATTGCCTCACATCAGCCCATAACCGGAAGCAGCGGGGAGTCAGTGCATTGCTTCACTCGCAACGCCGCAGCACAACTTCATCGCCGACCTCCCTTCACTGCCAGCCAAGAATCCGCTAGTTTGCCCAAAAAGAACGTCATTGTCTGTTCTTCAACGCCGTCGGTCCGACGTCAGCGCGCTGATCTGTGTTTCACTTCCCGTGATTCGTGACGCGAAGAAAGCAGAGTCAATCCATCATGCAGGCTGTCATGGCGCAACCCCCACAAACCTCTGCCTACGGGGCTGTTCCTCTCCGCCGTAAACCCATAGCAAACCCCGGCATATCGGTGCGACCCCCGCAACACCAATACCATAACGACGGCCAACTAGGACATTCACGAACGCGCACTACGAGCTCAGGCATCTTCCCCGCCCAGTCACCCACAGCAAGCACCATGAACTCGCAATATCCAACCCAGTACCAGAGCAGTCTCCGCCGAACCCCCACCTCGTCAACGAGCTCTACCACTGGCACGCCGAACCGCTCCAACAGCGGCGCCCTCCGTCGCTCTTCGTCTACCCGCTCCGGCGGCAACTCGCCCACCTCGTACGTTGCACTCATGCGGAAACAAAAGGCTACGGTGTGGTGTGACCGGGCCCAATACGAAGACCCCCGCATGCTTGCACAGCAACGGCAGGCCAAGATGCGGGCAAACATGGAGGTAGCAGGCGGACCCCACCACGTTCCCCCGCGAAGTGCTTCAGGAGGATCTAGCATGACCGGCGGCGTGCGGTCCAAGATCGGGCGTCACCACGGTCTGCCAAAGGCATCGCTATATGCGCCTGTCACGTATGCAGGGTCTGGTGTTCCTATGCGCCTCAGTGCTTCCGAGGTGGACGAGGGCGACGACGAAGACGCAGGCTCAGTCAAGAATGGCCAGTACCACCACCGCACAGGTTCAGGCCGTTCCTCGCTCGGTTCAGGACGACGCATGTCCTACGCCAACCCCACCGGCCGCATATCCTCCAACAGCACTCCCCCGCTGAACTCATCTCCGGACGGCGAGCTCGCCGACCTCAAAGAAGAGCCCACCCCTTCACCAGCCGAATACGACGTCAACGCGCCCAACGACAACAGCTACTTCCAACATACCAAAACCAACACAAGCACAGGCAGTGGCAGTAGTGGGGAACGCAACTTTGGCGACGTAGGGCAAATGCCAGCGCCTGGAATGTTGAAGCCACCCGCTGCCACAGATAAAAAGGGTAGTAAGGATGACCTGGTTCGGAGAGGCAGTGTGGACGAGCGGACCATGACCATGGGGACGAGGCTCTTCGTCGCAAACCCCGATCTCAGCGACTGAAATCACGCCAACCCAACAGGCGCGGATGGATGAGAGGTTACCTTTTCTGATATACCCGAAACAACGAATTTTATTTTGCCACTACCACTTCAGCACACGACTACCGCATACACAAGACCACGATTCACCGCCTTCCCTCTTTTTGCCACTCGAAGCATGTTTAGCATTTCATGGCCTTGTATTTGGCACGTTTTCAAGAGCAACTACCCGGTGTTTTCTTGTTTGGATGGCACACGCGTTTTTCCCTATCTTGCTCATGTCTCTTTTTTTCTTGGCGGATTCCTCAGTCTTGAACGTGCAGAGCGGTTGCCCTGGAGGTTCTCGCTCGTTTGAATACTCGACACGTAGTATCTGTAAATACAAACCACATCATACCCGCCGCCAACTGAATGCGAGCATTGAATACAAGCACGAGTAATCGTTCACACTGCTCATTGCCCACGTACACAACGATCCCATCCTTACATCGCTTTTACATCACCTCGCGATTTCGTCACATGTGCTGATCTTCATTTCCCTTCAGCATGTATGCCTCTCAGACGCAAGTCCACGTATGCGATCAATGAAGTCATGGCTCTATAAAGCTCATCGTCGATGCAGAACTTCGGCCTCGGATCCTCCCTCATCCCGCGATGCGACGATTGGCGATCTGTGCGTCACATTGCGCACGAAACTTTGAAAGGGGGCGGGAATGTAAGCCTTGTGTGAGCCGAGTGGTCAGCGTCTTGTCGATCGCGCGCTTCGCCGCGGGAGTGCCTGCCAAGACTGCCGTCCCGCTGTTGAGTCAGGGGCGACAAAGGGCAAGTGGCTGCATGTGTGATGGGGATGATGGTAGATCGGGAGCGCGCGCGGGTTTCGAAGAAGTAGGGGATGCTTGGACAGTCGTTGACATGCGTCTTTGCAGTGGCGTCAGGGTTTGGTTGATGGACGTGGCAGGATGTGTGGGCCTGCGTTCAGGGTCTACAGAATTGTTGAAGCAGAAAGTTTGCGAATGCGAACTTCGCATCGCATTCAGACAGTCTGAATGTAAATACCTACTAGTTCATGATTGTAACATGATAGTAAAGTTGATCTGCATGCACATCGATGGCTTCCTCATTGATTGGCAAGATCGCTCTTGCCTCTACTCATGCGTCTTTGCCAAGACGTCCGACCCAGGGTAACTCACCGCAGCACAAGGCCAGGCCACCTCCATCCCGCCTTTCCAACATGAGTGGAGAAGTGTAGGACAACATCGAAGACTCTGCAGACCAAGCATCCATAATGTCGCGCCTCAATGGCACTACTAACGGCGCTACAAAGCGCAGCGCAAGCCAGAAGATACTGAACGACGCAGTAGGCGTGACAAAGAGCAACGAGGGAGATGAAAAGACGGACTACACAAGATGGAGACTCAAGGACGACCGAGGATGTCAGACATGGCATTACCTGCAAAGCGACGAGGAGATCAAGGCGTGGCCACAAAGCACAGCGGACAAGTATTTCCTAGGCCTCGACACGGTGCGTCTGCATTACCTCTAACCATTCAGACACCAGTAACTGACTTTTCCCTTAGGAACAACCAACTCTTGCGCCCGCAAAGACACCCCTTGAAGCTGCCCACAATGGCCTCACCTTCTTCTCCCAACTCCAGCTCCCACCTGGCAACTGGGCTTGCGAATACGGCGGTCCCATGTTCCTCCTCCCTGGCCTCGTAGTCACTTGGTATGTCACCGAGACACCAATACCAGCGTCGCATGCGATCGAGATCAAGAACTACCTCTTTGCCCGCGCGAATCCAGAAGACGGTGGCTGGGGGCTACATATTGAGGGAGAGAGTACCGTGTTCGGTACGGCAATGAACTATACCGTCCTCAGGCTGCTTGGCGTCGATGCAGAAGATCCCAGAATGCGGAAAGCGCGAGACACACTTTGGAAACTGGGCGGCGCGCTCAACGGTCCGCATTGGGCAAAGTTCTGGTTGAGCGTGTTGGGTGTGACGGAATGGGATGTTGTCAATCCCTGTCCACCTGAGCTATGGCTGCTGCCAGACTGGGTCCCTATTGCGCCGTGGAGGTGGTGGATACATATGCGACAGGTCTTTCTGCCCATGTCCTATGTCTATTCCAAGAAGTGGTCATACCCGCTCAACGACCTTACACGTCAATTGCGGGCCGAGCTGTTGATGGAGCCATTTGAGAAGATCAACTTTGGCGCACGGCGGAATACTATTGCCCCGACGGACAATTACCATGCGAAATCTTGGATGCTCAAGGTCTTGTTCTGGTTCCTGGCCGCTATATGGTTCCCATACATCAGGCCCACTTGGATGGTAAAGCGTGCTGAAGAGCATGTATGGTGGCTGATCGAAGCCGAGGATGAGAACACCGATTTTGCTAATTTGGGTCCTGTCAACGGTCCCATGAACATGTTGGCTGCTTATGTCAGAGAAGGACCCAAGTCCCATGCTGTTCGTGAGCATCTTAAGACTCTTCCGGAGTTCCTCTGGGTAAAGGACGAAGGTATGCTTATGAACGGCACAAACGGTGTACAGACGTGGGACACCGCATTCCTCATTCAAGCCGTTGAGTCTTGCGGCTGGGCAAAGGATACGAAATGGAAGCACATGCTTACAAAGAGTCTTGAGTTCTTAGAAGACCAGCAGATTCTGGAAGAAACCCGAGATCAACATGCATGCTATCGTCAACAACGCAAAGGTGCCTGGGGCTTTAGTACACGAAAGCAGGGGTACACAGTCAGCGACTGCACATCTGAGGGTCTCAAGAGCACGCTTATTCTCCAGCGGGATAACGAATTCCCTGAACTTATCAACGAACGCCGCGTGAAGGACGCCATTGACGTCCTGCTGACCATGCAGAACGCGTCTGGTGGCTGTGCTTCCTATGAGCCGACACGGGGCAGCGTGCTCCTCGAACACCTTAACGCAGCAGAAGTCTTCGGCAACATCATGATAGAGTATGACTACCCCGAATGCACGACCGCTGTCGTTACCGCACTCGACATGTTCCAACACCATTATCCCGATTACCGTGCCGCGGAAATCTCTGCCTTTCGCGATCGGGCGGTGGCATACATTCGGGCTGCCCAACGCCCAGACGGGTCTTGGTACGGCAGCTGGGGTATATGCTTCACCTATGCCGGCATGTTTGCTCTTGAGTCACTCAAGTGCTCTGGTGAGCAGTACGACAACTCTGAACGTGTGAGAAGGGCGTGTCAGTTCTTCCTAGACAAACAAATGGAAGATGGAGGCTGGGGCGAGACATACAAGAGCTGCGAGACCGGTGTCTGGCAGCAGCATCCGCGCAGTCAGGTTGTCCAGACTGCTTGGGTGGTCATCGCAATGATTGAGGGCGGGTTTCCACACAAGGAACCACTTGAAAGAGCTGTCAAGCTCATCATGCAGAGACAGCAAGCAAATGGAGAGTGGCTGCAGGAGGCTATTGAGGGAGTGTTCAATAAGTCTTGGTAAGTCGCCACATTGTTGAATGAACATGAACGGTGGCTAACATAAGAACAGTATGATTTCCTATCCGAATTACAAGTTCATCTTCCCGATCAAGGCGCTGGGAATGTATGCAAAGCACTTCGGCGATGACGCGTTACTCTGAAGCAGTCTATACGAACTTAGTCCTACAGTTGATAGGCTAGGGAGACGAGGACGAGTACGAGTGGACAGGGCTGTATATATCAACTCAATAATACTAATATCATGATCAAGCTCCTGTATATACAGGGAGCATACAAACTGGTTGCGACGTAAATTTGCTGTTGCAGCAATACTTACCGTGATGATAGCGTCCCCTTACGAGCCTGGCCATCATGCGGAATAGCAACGTCTTCGAAATCGGGGCATCTCCCATGACAAATAACAGCTGAGTCTCGCTTTAGACCGGGTTTTGCGCACACACGATCAGTCTCTGGTGTTCCCCTCCATACCCGCAAATAAGACTACGCCACTACCACTAGCCGCTTGAGCGCGTCAACGACAAACTGATTGGTACCTATTGCTACCAGAAGTATGAGTATACACATGTTTTGGTATCTAGTTTAAAACACCATTCGAAGCACGCGAATACTTCGGCCTTCTACTCATCAGATGGATCGGACGCACAGCGATTGCAAAACGGCAGCGATGGCCTCCCACCTGGACGAGCAGAAGACAACGATACTATCGACGATGGCGAAGAGCGATCTGATTCTATATCACATCGTGGAGGAGGACTTCTTTCCAATGGCATTGGTACACGGGGGTCGTATGTGGGACAGTACTCCACTCCACATGAGAGGACAGCTACTGGGAGAGCAATTACTGGAACGGGTGGTTATATTCCTTTTGGCAGCAACAACTCCCACAGTAGCGTTCCAGATCATTCATCTTCTCGCGACGATGATAGAAGCGGTGCTGTCTATGACCCTGGCAGCTTTGAGGATACGGATCAATTCTATGTTGAGCCGGCTCCTAAGCCCGAAAACAACGATCCTAAGGCTATGGCGTCTCAGTCGGAATGTTAAATTATTGGCAACTCCAATCCTTCGAAGCGCAAGGACGGTCCGGATGATGAGCAGGGTGGAAGAGGGTCGGGCGCGCCGGAACAGGCTAGCTGAAAGGTACCTCTTGCATGTTACGGAACCGCGCAGCTGTTTAGTAAGAAATAGACATGGAAGTGGGTATGACAGCATCTCAACAAGAGTTTTGCCCAGACAGAAGTGCTCACCACGAGCTCTTTCTAGTTGCATGTGAACTTCTAATTGTACAGATGCGACTAAAGCGAAGAAAACGTAACAACCACCTCGTGACTCTGAGTTGTCTTGTTGAAGTCACGCATTGAAATGGCGGAGGCACTGCTCAGTGTTTGGAGGTGAGTAATCACATCCATCTCCGCACTAGCGATGCATCGAGCGATCACCCCGCATCTAGTCGTCTTCTTACACTCTCAACTTCAGCCACCTGCTCTGTCAGCTTCCCTTGATGTTACTCATCGGATGAGGCCTTCCCCCCATCCCTGATTCACGATAAGTAGGCAGGTACGATGGTACACGATATGCACCCCGTAGTATCGTTGTCCGCATCGGGAAAGACGATTCGAGCGGATAGGACTATATAGAGGACAGAAACATCTTCATATTTCCTCTAGAAGCTCAAATAAATGCTTCGGCCTTTCAATATGACCAAACTCATCACTGTTTTCGGCTCTACCGGCAACCAGGGTGGCTCAGTCGTACGAGCTATCCTGAACCATCCGCAGCTGAGTAAAGAGTGGAAGGTGCGCGGAGTGACGAGGAACCCAAACAAGCCTGATGCGCAAGCCATGGTTGCAAAAGGAGTAGAGATGGTCGCTGTAAGTCGCTTTTCGCAAAACCGAAAGACAGCTAGTCGAGCTAATTGTTATAGGCGGACCTCAACAGCAAGGACTCCATCTTGACAGCCATCACCGGATCAGATGCAGTCTTTGGCGTGACGAATGTATTGCTTTCCAATCCACCTATTCTATTCTGCCGATCTAACAGTCAGAGTAGTACTGGGAAAAGGCTTCGTTCGCCCATGAAGTCCAGCAAGGCCACAATCTTACCGATGCCTGCGTTGAAGCCAAAGTGCCACACCTCATCTGGTCCTCCCTTCCCCATGTCTCTAAGATTACAAAAGGGAAACTGCCAAACCTACATCACTTTGACAGCAAAGCCGTGGTGGAGGAATACATCAACAAAGTCGGTCAGTCGGCTTCTTTCGTACTACCCGGGTTCTTTATGTCCAACATCCCTGGGTCCATCAAACCGACCTCGAATGGCAACAGCTACACACTCTCGCAGCTCTTTCATCCTGATACCCAGATACCCATGCTGGACGTACCCACCGATTTCGGCAAATTTGTAACTTCCTGCCTCGCGAAGCCTGATGACACTATCGGGAAGCATGTGCTAGCTGCGAGCGCGTGGGTCACGCCGCTTGAGATTTGCGCGGCTGTTGAAAGCGTGACAGGAAAGAAGTGCGAGTTCAAGGAGATGGAAGACAAGGATTGGAAGGCAGGTCAGGAGTTGTTGGAGAACATGGTCATGATAAAGGAGTGGGCATACTATGGGCCTGGAGCGGAGGATGGTGTGATATGGAGCAAGAGGGTTGTCGATGAGGTAGGTGGGTGGGACCGGTTTGGTAGTTTCGAGGGGTTTCTGGAGGGAATGGATTTCAAGTAGTGACCAATGTTTTCATCAGACAACAAGGAGATACTCATAGTAACAGCAGCATAGAGTGGCTCCTGATGTGGGTGTGATGTCTTCAGGCGTCTCTTCGACAGCTGGCAAAGTTCCTGGGAGCTGAATCAAACGGCAAGAGCACCGGCAATCGATATGCAGCTCGCAACTTTGACAGTCCGGTTGCTCCTGCACTTTGATGGCGCGTAAGGTGAGATGAGAGGGGAAGCACAGCATTAACCCGATACGTTTTAGTGTCGGCGCCGGCCGACCAAGCACGCTCCGATCTCGTCACCAGCTGGGAAGTTACGACCGTTAAATACTTTGCAGCAGTCCAGGGAGACATTAGTAGCAGACTAGCCATCACTGCGACACCATCCCGCAAATCTGGAGAGGAATTCGGCAACAAGGTCTCACCATCGGCAATATCGATTGAGTCTTGCGCTATTGTGATCAAAGAACGCCTTGGGTTATAGCCATGGCTGCACTTCTAGCACCGGTAAATGTCATACTCCTATGTTCGGTAGGTACTACCCCGCTGGAGCGACCCCGCAGGACTCCACGTGCTATACGATGAACTTGCGTGACATCTCTGGGTGCTGGCGATGCACGACATATCTTCGATTTCAGAAATTGCATATGCTCGCGGACCCTTTGGACTTTCTTGATTTATCATGACTTCCAATTCAACCATTCCACACCTCCGACAACATGGGAACACCAAGCAACTCATTGTTGATGGCAAGCCATATCTTATGTTGGGCGGAGAATTGCAAAACTCGTCGCTTTCGTCTGCCGAATACATGAGCGAGATCTGGCCCAAGATGGTCGCCACCAATGTCAATACTCTACTTGGTTCTGTTAGTTGGGAGATGGTCGAGCCTGAAGAGGGCAAGTTCGACTTTGAAGAGCTGGACAAAGTCATATTGGGCGCTAGAGACCACGGCTTGCATCTGATCTTGTTATGGTTCGGATCCTTCAAAAACGGTATGTTGGTATATACTTGCAGCTTCTTCCCACATCCTGACACGTGCATGGCTAGGCAGGTCAACGTATACCCCATCATGGGTGAAGACGAATCCCAAACGCTTCCCTCGCGCCGAACTTCGAAAGGCGGGAGGTGTGATTGAGGTTGCGGATGTGCTGTCTCTTTTCCACGAGGAAAACGTCGAAGCTGATGCGAAAGCATTCCGAAAGTTGCTTAGTCACCTCAAAGAGGTAGACGAGAAACATAGTACTGTGTTGATGGTGCAAGTCGAAAACGAAGTCGGCCTTTTGTTTGACAGTCGCGACGGAAGTGCCGATGCCAACAGAGTCTTCTCCGAACCTGTGCCCGCAGAACTTCTCCAATTCTTAAGCCGCGACTACGATCAATTACACGCCGATCTAAAAGCCAACCTTAAGACTTTTGTCGCACGATCGAAACCACAATCTGGCACTTGGGAAGAAGTGTTCGGCGTCGGTAGCAGGACTGACGAGCTCTTCATGGCATATCATTATGCACACTACGTGAACCGTGTAGCAGCAGCTGGAAAAGCGGAGTATCCCATTCCGCTATACACAAACGTCTGGCAAAACTATGCGGGAGATGATGCCGATAACGATACTCCTATTGTAGTTGGTGGTGGCGGTCATCCAGGAGATTATCCGTCAGGTGGCGGCACAGTCAATGTCCTTGATATTTGGCTGCAGTTTGCGCCTGATCTTGAATTTATCGCGCCCGACATCTACCTCAATGAATACACTAGCTTATGCGGCAAGTACCGACATCGTGGAAATACTCTCTTCATCCCGGAGCAGCGAAGAGACGAATACGGCGTTCGGCGCATCTGGATAGCGTACGGAACATTCCAGGCTCTGTTAGCCAGTCCCTTTGGCATCGATACTCTGGAGCCAGCAACCAATCCTTACACAAAGCACTATGGGCTGTTATCACAAGTCTCCCAACTCGTACTGGAAGCCCAACGTAACTCGGGCTCGTCGGTTGGTTTTTGTTTTGACGAAGTCACCGGCGACAAAGATCCATCAAAACCCATCAAGCAGCGTTTTGGCGATTGGGATATCACTATTGAGCGTTCTTTCGTTTTTGGCAAGCCCGGGGCCGGTAGCGGCATGGTCATTCATCGTGGCGGAGCACGCTTTTTACTTATTGGTTGGGGGTTTCAGGTGATGGGTCAATCTACTAAGGCTGACACGAAGTTCAATGGCATCTTGAAGAACGAAGAGAAGGTTGTGGACGACATAGCGACAGGTAAGTTACGGACACTGAGGACGTTGGGTGGCGATGAGACGAGAAGTGGAGCCAACGCGATGATGCCGAATGAGGATCCCGACTATGGAGGATTTCCCATCGCTATAACAATTCCGGCCAGAACGGGGATCGCTGAGGTGGAATTCTACTCTTTTTAAGCTTTAGTGCTAGATGAACTCGGTGTCGTTAGAGGGCGATTGGGGATTTCCCATAAAAGAAGAGATCAACACCGTGACCGGCCAGCTGGGCGCCTAAGCGGGAGCGCGGCAGGTTAAGATTGCGAAGGATCTTGGCCCCTGAGCATAAAGTGCAACTCACTCTTGTATCAACACATTCAATGAGTGACGCTGTCGTCTGCGTCCTTCAAGACTGCTACCAAATTCTTACCCGAAGATGGCCCGTTATTCTTGGTGTTTAGTTGCAGCTTTGGCAGTCTGTCGATCAGCCTTTGCCCAGACCACGGCAACGGCTGTCGGGCCCTCCACGTCCGCATCATCAGCACAATCGACAGCACCAACAGCAAACCTTCCAGCTCTCGAAATCGACGTCATATTTCCTCGCGAAAATGAAACGTACGACTTTACTTCGTCATTACCCATCGTATTCGCATTTCAGAACTTCACCGCAGCCGCAGAACTTGGCCCCTTCACTTTCGCATGGGATATCATGCCGTACCACACCATCGACGACCCAATTCCAGGAGGTGTTCTAGAAGATCAATGGTCGATAGACTTCACCTCGGATAATGCATCCACGTTTACAACGTCAGATGGATCGCCATTTATCCTTGTCAACCACACAAATCCTAAGAATTGGATGCATGGACCAAACTATGGAGGAAATGCATACTCGTTGAGGTGGTACATCCAATGGGATGAAGTGGATAAACAATGCGACCGCCCTCGGCCTAACATTGGTGTTTCGCAGGACGTGCAACTTCTCTTTACGCTTCTTCCAGCGTGGCCCAATGAGTGGACTGCGCCCGACCCAAGTACTCTCGGGAATGTTACAGGCAATTGTGCGCAACTGGGCACTTTCGCTATGGTTGACGCAAATGAGTCGGACGTGTGCTCTATGGATCGGTTACAGTTGGGAGATGGAACCCCATGTGCCATCAAGCCTGATGGACCCATGGTAACCAGCATGTCCAATGCGGTGGCGAGCTTGTCTTCTGCGCAAAGCGTGGCTACTGCGACTCCAACTACTACGGAGTCGTCTACCACATCGAACGCGGCGTTCGCAACAGGGGTGCCAATCCAGCCAGCGCTCGCTGTGGCCTTCGTCATTGGTGGATGGGAGTTGTTTCCGCTGTAGGGGTGTTATTGTACACAATGTTACATTCATGGGGTTTCGCGTTACTTTCTCGAGGGTCTACTTGCAGTCCGAAATTCGGTCGTAACCTTGGAATCATGAACGAATGCTGCAATGCATCAGGGGCCCAAACTGCTTGCTCATAGGTGCATCAAATATGCGTAAGGCAAAAGATATGTGGGTGTCTGCCTGCTTTCCTATGCGCTTATTAACTCTGGCATTGCTGCTTACGCGGTGTGTACAGCCCCGCCGCCTCTCAAGACGCATCACAAAAGGCTACCACGTCGCAGCTTGCCCAACGTGAATACATATGACAGCTGCTGTTCCAATGGCTTGCTTTACGTTCCTAGCGTTAACCCCCCGAATTACGCGTCAGGGTCTGCTCATATTTCCTGCTTACGAGCGATGATGAAACCCCTTTCAGTCTTCTGCGCAAACGCCCTTTCGTCGGCCTTCGCTGGACTTGTCAAGCCATCAAACAGGAAATCGACTATGAAGTCTTGAGAGTCTCGTGTCGCCTCATTCGGAGTGAAAATCCAGATTACGCATTATTAGTCTATACTCTCGACATGCGGCAACTGAACATGACCATACGAAACAAGGTCGCGCAGCCACTTCGGAACTTTGATTCCCTAAATCTATCGTTGTGGAAATATCTGCGCCCATACTCGAGAGTTGATATCGTATACGAGCCCTGTGGTCAGCGCGGCGTCGATGACCCGGCATTCGCCTCGATTTGTCCGGTCATCGCTCGACAATTCGGAGGACACTATTATGTACGAAATCCCACGTTGTTTTACGTCAGGTTTCGAAAGGCTGGTGAAGAGCTCGCTTCGTGCGCAGACGATTAGTTCCTATCATTCTTTCGTCTTTCAAGAGATGCGCCAGAGTATATGTCTACAACGGCACAGTACTATGATATGGATGGTTCACTCATGGCCTGCGAATGGTAGGACAGCTCATGTTCAGGGGAGATACTAATGTTCCTCTTTTATTTGGGACTGATGCTGTTCCATTTGGCCGCCAGCCTGTTTCTGGCATCGGTTGTGGCATGTTTAGTGTGCAACGCCGTCATGCGCATGCTGGCCCCGGTCCTGGTCAAATTTACGAGTCTGTTAAGACGATGATTGTCCGTAGATTATTAACAAAAGGATGTTGGAACCCCTTGAAAGAACTACACAGTGGCTAGCAGATCAGGTATCAAAGCTGTGCGATGACTTTGTGGGATTGCGCTAGTTTTATCGATTCAAACAGTCATCTGTCGAACTACACGTTCATTACCACCACTTCATGATCATCTCCCATTCCTTGACAGCCCCTCTGTCCGTAAGATCATTTTCCTCTTTCCTCTGGCCGAGTACTTGTTCGCGGTAGTTCTAGATCAGTACCAGACTCGTTTTGAGCGGATTCGCGAAAACCCGTCGATCGGTCTATGAAATGTCGCTTGTAAGCTATCAGCCGAATCATATATGGGGTACAATTACCTTCTAAGGAGTTGGAGCCAGAAGGACCGCCGCACATGCAGCTTGGCAGGTACCAAAAGCAGTGTTGCAGGCGACGATAGTGGTATGAGCATGAGGAAGGCGGCTGCCGCCGAGATGGGAATGATGGAGATCTTCATTGTGAATGTTGTTGTGGCTGTTTTGGAATCTGTGATTGGCTTAGCGACGGCCGGCGGACATACTGAGAATCTGAACTTGCTGGCTAATTGATCAGAGTGTGCCGTAGTTGGTGTAGAGAGCAATGGCGGGGTTGTGGCTTGATGAGCGTTTGATATAGCCCTGCTGCACGTCCTTCTCATCGGCCTAGTTCGTGTTACACAACAGCTTGCCACGTCTGTTCACCGGTCACCCATCCCCTCACATCCGCAGAGAAGACGAACAATGTGGAATGACAAAGATAACCCCTTCATGCCTGGTCACGGATGGAAAGATACTTGCTGCAAGAGCTTCCAATGTGGCCGTAAATCTCGAGCATCGTTATTGACATATCGTATGCTTCCAAGGTCCAGTCAAAGGGCTTCCAAATGCCGATAGCAACGCGGAAACGACCCTTTCCTTACAAGATAGAAGGATTGCCTTCAGCCGAAGTCAGTCAGCAGTGAAGGCATCTACTGCTGCTGCACTTAGATTTGAAGCAAGCGCAGTCTGGAGTTTGATCAGCAGCTCTGAAAGCGGTCCACGATAGATGACCTTGAACTGAATAGTATCATTTTTAGGAAGTAGTATCAATAATCGACGGAGTGGCTAGGACGTTTCAGTAGATCTGAGTACACAATAGCTATAGGAATGGATTACAGACAGCCCATCTCACTACTGCACCATATCGAGCAGTCTTCATCAACCCACCGGCTACCTAGTAGCAGCGTCACCTCTATTCCATCAAGGTGGTTACCACGGCTGAGATTGAAACGATCTGAAGACTTGCTGAGCACTCCTGTTCGTCTTTCTGAAAGAGGAGAGAGGTCGAATTATGAAGATCATGCGTAAGCCAAACAGATGTGCGGGGTTTAGGCAGCAGCTTCCAGAGTCGGTGTATATAATCGCCGTATCTCAAGCAATTGAAGCACCCTATCAATTTACAAATCATCTTTGAATGCGGAGCGACTGAACATGGCGCCAAACGAGATTAGCCAGTCGTCCTCATCTCTCTTCAGACTTCCTGCTGAGATCCGCATCTCAATATACGAACTTCTGCACTTTCCGCCTGTTGACAACGAACAATGTCGTGGACTGATTTTGTCGTGTCGACAGGCAAAGCGTGAGTGCGAAGGAGTCTCGATTCGTACGACAAAAGCGTGGTTGCTGGCTTACAAGGGGGACGCTCTCCCACAAAGCGGGCTTGAGGTGCGCATCTTGCTACCTCTTGCAACAAGAACACCTACTGGGATTCATGCCAAGTTCCACACGCTTCGGAATTTGACACTGGTAATTCCTGGACGGGCAATCCATGGTTGCGCTGACCAGCGCCGAGAGTTCTTTGAGAGTTTCCGACCCTTAAACGCTATTTTCAGCTTGTGGCTCGATAACTTGGCGATACAATTCTCGGGTCCGGTAGGAAGGAGTAGCGAAGGATTTGGGATACGTGGATCAATCACCGAGTGTTTTAGACGCCTTTTCTTCGTTCTGGAGAGCGGGTTGACGTATGCGCATGATCCTGTCGGCCAGAAAGGCGATCTCAAGCTCAACAAGTACCGCTCCCTGGTAAAATACTGGCAGCCGCAACCTGCTTGGATTAAGAAACTGGTTGTTTCGTGGGATTTGACTGAGGAGAGTTTGCGGAGCGAAGATTTGGTGGCGGTCGATGGTCACTGCAGGAAGCGTACAACGGCGGCTTGTCCCGGGGTGCGGAGATACCACGTCGCCAGCACAGACGGACTCCTTGGGTCGGAGTCAAGGGAATCTTTCTGTCGATTTCGCCCCTCAGAGCTGGAAGATCGAATGGCGGGCCCGAGTATCAAGCACAAAAAGCAATGTCTCAAGTGTGCATGGCGTGGATGGGACTACCGTCGCTACATCCGGGGCCTGCCGGTCGGGGATGACGAGCGCTGGCTATAGAAGTCTTCGCGAAACAAGCACGATAACACAACTGAAGATGTGTGGAAGACTTGAAGTAGTGCTGTTGGAAATCCGAAGATGCCGCCTGGAGCCGCGCGATCTGGGGCGATCCAGGGGCATCCACTAGCACCTAAACCAGTAAGAAGCGACGCGGGCTTATCAGGAACGATCAAACCTCATTGAACGATCACTGCTACGAGTTTCGTGCCTACGTCATGTTTGGAAGTATGGCCGGTCTTCGGATCAAAAGATATGGGGAAGCGCTGCACACTCCCTCCTTTTGGATCTCTTGGATCGCGCAACCATGTGTGGCATCACTTGTGCGGTCGCATTGCGGGGTCATGGACAGTTAGCGAAGGAATGTGATGAGTTGAGCAAAACACTGGAAGAGAGTCTGAACACTATCAAGCATCGTGGACCTGATGCAGATGGTCATTGGATTAGCGAAGATTGTCGCGTGGGTACGTCAAGAAGTGACTGCAGGTACGAGGAGAGCACGTGACTAACATCCTCATCACCTAGCTCTCGGACACAATAGATTAGCGATCGTCGACTTGAACCCGGAAGGCGAGCAACCGTTCCACGATGCAGACGACAACATTCATGCTGTAGTCAACGGCGAACTATACGGCTATGAAGAGATCCGGGATCGCCTTAGTGCCGAAGGCTACAAGTTCAAGAGCCAGTCAGACTCTGAGATTGCACTGGCGCTATACAAGAAGCATGGACTATCGTTCCTGCCTTACTTGCGTGGAGAGTTCTCACTCTGTCTATATGACTCCAAAGCTCAGGTCTTCATTGCCGCATGCGATCGGTATGCCATCAAGCCCATGTACTACACAATTTTGGACGGCAAATTGCTGGTATGGCCACTCTTAGCTCTTCGCGAAAACTTCGGACTGACAGTTACTGGCTAGATCGCTTCCGAAATGAAAGCATTCCTTCCCTTTGGATGGAAACCTGAGTGGGACGTGCAGAGCATCAAAGACGTGGGCTGGCTGTGCGATGGGAGAACCATCTTCCAAGGGGTTTCGAAGATACTACCTGGTCACTATCTCATCTGTAGATCGTTCAGCGCTGTCTCGCAAGACAAGTATTGGGATGTCGACTTCAAAGACAAGGTATATGCTGTGGCATGTGCATCACGAACATCGCTGACAAGCTTAGCGGGAGATCGAAACGAGAAGTGAAGATGAGATGATCCAGGGTGTTCGAAGGCATCTTATTGATGCTGTGCGTGATCGACTTCGTGCGGATGTACCAATCGGAGTATTCTTGAGCGGCGGCATCGACTCAAGCGCAATAGCGGGAATGGTCAAGCATCTGATGGACACGGAAGGCGCGAAGCTGGGCACTGCTCCAGCATCAGAGCGGATCAACTGCTTTAGCGTCAAGTTTATCGGTGAAGAGCACGATGAAGAGCCCATCGCACGTCGCACAGCTGAATGGCTAGGAGTCAAGATGCATCACTGCGAAATGACCGAGGAGAACTTTGCCGCCAACATTGAGAACGCAGTCTGGCACAACGAAGCAGCAGTAACTGATCTCGGTACTGTTGGCAAATTCTTGCTTTCCAAACTTACCAGCGACGAAGGTATCAAGGTGGTCCTCACTGGAGAGGGATCAGATGAACACTTTGCGGGATATCGGGAGCTGCTTACGGATTTCGTTCGCGAACCAGATCTATCAAGACCAAATTCTGGACTTCCGGAAGATGAGCGCATTTCAACGTTCAACAGCTTAGAGGGCTCAGAGACCTCAGGTCCAAAGGAGCCTGCAACATCGGCTGCAATCCGGGCCCAAGTAAACAACACTTCTTTCCTTGGCTTTACGCAAACCGCTTCTCTTCGTGACCCACTCTTTGCGCCTTGGGTATCTAATGAGTTCGGAATAAGCGACAAGCGTCTTACGGCTGTGAATGCGGTCGATGGTCGTGTCCGCGAGCTCATGGCCAACAAGTGGCATCCGCTTCACACATCACTATACATTTGGATAAAGTCATCTCTCGCAAATGGCCTACTTACCGTACTAGGCGACCGCTGCGAGATGGCCCACAGTGTCGAAGGTCGTCAGCCCTTTCTCGATCATCGCTTGACAGAATACGCAATGAAGCTTCCACCCTCCGTAAAGCTGCACTACGACGCTCAAGCTCGCAGTTTCAGCGAGAAGTGGATTCTCAAGGAAGCCATGAAACCATTCATCACGCCTGAACTCTACGCTCGCAAGAAACACCCCTTCTCTGCTCCAGTCAAGTATAAGCCCGATGGCCCTGTTCACCAGTTGTTTCAGAGACTGATCACGAAGGAGAATGTCGAGGCTCTTGGGTTTCTGGAGTGGGACAAGTGTAAGGATCTGTTGCATGATGCGATTTACGATGGCGATAGGCCAAAATGGAGTCAGATGATTCTGGTGGGTCAGTTTGTGATTCTGGGTAAGAGGTTTGGGGTCAAGAAGGCTGTGCCGGAATTTGCTACGCTGGGAGCAAACGGGGCGACGAGGTAGTCTTGGGTGCTACAGTTTGTAACGCTCTGCGCCAATATATCTTGTTCGGGTTCAAATTTGCTTTGGGGGCAAAAGACTTGTCGCTGTTATGAAACGAGCACGGTGTAGCACCCGCCCCCTGGGGATTTTCCCAACTCATGCCCACCAGACAGAATAGCATCAGTACACAGCTTTTTTCAGATCCTTCGGGCTATTCGGTGGCTGTTCACCTATATAATGAAGAGCAATGTTCTGGATCTCAATACAAACTAAGTCCTCGAGACCAGTGCGAGGACAGTAATCTTAATGAAGATCGAGTATATGAACAGGTGCGTTGGTAATCAGCGTCAATTCTGTCAGTCCAACAAAGTCTTCCATCTTTCTCAGCTGACGCGGTAGTTTCAGCCTATACCCCGTGCTCTTGATGAATCTTCTGCAGATATTCTGGCCATACAGCCACAGATGACGCACGCTTTCCTCTTCGGCTTCTTGTTTTGCCTGTTGACATCTACCTTTAAAGCCAACCCATTGGGTCGCGTCTTTGGTACGAATTTGACCAAACAACATGTAATTGTAGATGAGGCTTCGGACGTCGCGATTGAGGAGGCTGAAGAAGTAGTTGGTCCTGTTCGGGCCTTGTACGGGAGGGACTGCACCTCGTGGAGTCATGATGTCAGCGGCACGACGATAAGTTGGCGTTGTGATCGTCGATGTGGTATTGAGTGGAGAATGAGCTGTGAGTCGTTGAGAGCTTCGAAAGACTATGTGTGTGTGTGTCGTCGAGCTTGACGGGTGGGAATGGGTAGTTATATATGGGTGATCGAATCAAAAGTTAGTGGAAGGTAAGATCTTGGTTATGTGCACTAGAGTGCCCTGGGAAGATCGAGCCCGACTGTCATGGCCGTGCTGATTTCAGCTTTTGATAGAGTGTCGAGAGTGAAATGTCCGTAAATTCGAGTGGCCAATCTCCTGTTCTCCTGTCCAGCTAGCACTAGTCGAACGTATACATTTTCCTGAGGCGGGGCGGAAATGTGCAGCCAACCCGAGCTATTGCAAGTGACACGAAGTCTTGACCTGAGTAAAGGCTCGGGTGTTCACCGTGCTTCGCATATGATATGCACCCAATGTGAGTTACTGGGATGATTGAGTCTATGTTGTAAGTATCAAGCAGAGCGTAAGCAAAAGCAGGCCTGGGCGTGTATATGTATGTGTATTCATCGACTTTCGTAACTCGTACAGCTTTGTCCTTCTCGGCTTTGGACCTCGTATTCCGCACGTCAATCCCTGTTTCGGCTTGGACTCCACCTCTTGAAGACAAACTCTCGGACTGTGTACTTCTTCAAAACGCTACCAATGTCAAGCTTGAACCCATCCAAGCTCATATAATCCGCATCCCATGGCGCTGGCACTTCAACGTAGACGAGCATCAATGTCTTCATGACCTGAGTTTGCACTCGGTTCACCCGATGGAACCACCACCAATCCCTGCGCTCCTTTTCCGCTGCTCTGGCTTGGGTTTGACGGTCCGTTTGCTCGGTCCAGTACGGGGCTGAGTAGGAGGGAATGATCATGATCGCAAACTCGGCGTGTGTGAATGCAGGTCCGCGAATGTAGAGCAGATAGTCGACAGCAAATTTGACACCAGGCCGCACGACCCAGCCCAAGGAGCGGAAATGGTGGAAGACAACATATTTCATCAGAAAAGGATTGTCGGGTGCAATAGGCGGGATGCAAGTCATAGCAGGATCCACTCGAGTAGCGCCATTGCTCATACTATACGCAGTACGAAGATGCGTCAACGCTCTTCCGAGATCATCGGGTTCGCTGGAACTTGACGCATGCGCGCAGTATACACGCAAAAGGTACCATGCTGGATAATGTTGTGAAACTTCCATGGACGCCTGAGTGTCCACGTTGACGACTTGCAAAGCACCGAGGACGTATGTTAGGAAGAAAGCTTCCTCGGGTGTGAGTTGAAGATGCTCAAGATCTATAATGTCAACCTCTAGATCAGCTTCAGCGTCTGCCGGTGCGGCAGGGCCATCTGTATTTTCATTGATTGCGGGAGTTGCTGCTGCACCTTCTGGCTTGGTGATATCCTTGGTGTCGCTACCTACGAGCTTGTTTATGTTGGCGTCGGATACGATCTTGCCTTCTTGCCGTAGCTGTTGCTCAATAGCTTCGCGCTGCGCCTTGGCTCTCTCTAACTTGAATTGCCGGCGCTCTTCCCGCCTTGATTGTGTGACCTCGGTGCTTGTCTTGGAGGCCTGGGCACCTCGCCTTCGCTTTTCAGCGACTAACCATTGTGGTTCACTTCGGCTGAGAGACCCTTTGCCCCAGAAGCCTTGTTCCCAAAGAGCTCGGATGGAGGCAGGATCGGTGACGTGGATTGACTGGGTCTCTGCAGAGTAGTATGCTCTGTGAATGACGATGTGTGACTTGGGCGACCACAGCGACTGCGAGATCAGGCTGATGACTAGTCGCACGATGGAAATGGGGTTGTGCGGAATGAAGGCAGGCAACGCATATACGTCTAGTGGCAGAGGCTTCGCATGTATTTCATTGTAGTTCGGTCGTTTTGGGCGGGGTTTCCTCGAAGCACCGTTGGCTGGTTCTTGGTTCGGCTGAGGTAGACCCTCTGGGCGCTCCTCGCTTGCAGCAACAGCATACTCAGGCTGCTGAGTTGTAGACATGCCTGACAATCCAGCTCGGTGTTCGACGAAACTGTACTCGCGTTAGTACTGTGCGCGTATAGAGGCAAAGTGAAGTGTAGCAAGTGATGTGGATCAGATACCGTTGTAGTCTATTGTAACGGAAACAGCATCGAGAACCAAGCGCAGTCAAGTGAATGCATGCGCCGGCAATCGTATAAGTGAAAAGTTGTCATCATAAGAAGGAGTGTAAGGGCGCGCAGGCGGAACACGATCATGACTTCTACGCTCGAGACGCTGATAGAAGTTTTGACCATGTGCCGCCTTGAGCCCAATGAAACGTGTGAAGGGGAATGGACGGTACTTACCCAGCCTTTGTGACTTCAGGTGACGGCGTCGTCGACGAGCGTTGCGAGCTTCATGGTGGAGGTGGTGCTGGAGGTAAGAGGAAAGCGCAAAAAGTTTGGTGATGACTGTTTGCCAAGACTGGATTTGATTGGCCGTCTTGGCCGACCGCACAGCAGTCCAGTCCCTCACACACAACGGCCACCATAGCACTGGCTTTTGAGTGCGCATAGCGGTCATTGACAGTCGCACACAGTGTATGCTTCACGATACCCGCGATCTGCGCTTGGGCTTGTGCTTGCCCTGAAACACCTGTTGTGACGTAATAAGAGCAGCTACTTCCGAGAAAGTAAAGAACGTCTTCGTGACGCCACGCGAAAGCGATTAGGCATCTGTCCTCTTACACGAATACTACCTGCCTGATCAGAGACTTACTATAAACATACCGCAGCTCTAGATATATACGGAACAGCATTCAAGATGCTGCCAGCGGCAAGATGGTCTTTACGACTGCCACGCCAGAGTGCTCGATCAATCATCATGAAAAGCACACCACGGCTAGCCTTTCGCAGTCGTTTAACGCGCTACTCGACGCCGCCAACGACCTCAGCATATTCTACGAGATCACTTAGCAACGATTCCTCATCAAACACGCATGATGGAGCCCCCAAAGAGACATCGAAAGTCGACGCCGTATCCAACGCCCTCTCCACCACGCCCGACTCCGAGAACAACCTCGTAACGCCCGTATACATGCCCGAAGATCCAAACGCCGTCCTGAAGCAGACACACCCCGCCATGCGTCTTCTGGACAACTCCTCTCTTATAGTACAACGACAGCTGGAAATGATGAATGTGCTCATGGGCTTCGAGCAAGCGAACCGCTACGTTATCATGGACCCGCACGGTAACCACATTGGATATCTGGCAGAGCAAGAGCATGGTTTAGGGAACGCCATGGCGAGACAGATGTTCAAGACGCACCGCAGCTTCACGACTCACGTCTTTGACCGGGACGAAAAGGAAATACTAAGGTTTCATAGACCTTTCAGCTGGATCAACTCGAGAATACGTGTGTATGATGCGGTGGGGCCCGATGAGAGCACCTATACCAGCTCGGCAAGTCTGCAAGGCACGAGTGTCAGAAGCATGGCCAACCAAACGAGCGCAAATGTCTCAACTTTGGCACTCCAAGATATGAGGATTATCGGAGCTTCGGAACAAGAGTGGGCACCATTACGAAGGAAGTACAATCTGTACCTCGCAAGAAATCTCGAGGACGCCGCCGCCGGACCAGATGCGCCGCAACTGTCCTCTGGCGACCTGCCAATCTCGGACTCGAAAGCCGTGGCAGTAGCAGAAGGCGATACCCGAGAAGTGGGCATGCTCCAGTTTGCCAGGGTTGACGAGCCCTTTTTGTCCTGGGACTTCAGCTTGATGTCTGAAGACGGGCGGCTAGCGGGCTCCGTTAACCGCAATTTTGGAGGTTTCGCGCGCGAATTGTTTACTGATACGGGTGTTTATGCGCTGCGAATGGACGCCGCTGGACTGGCAAGTGAGCCATCAAGCTTAGTCTCCAAGACTGGTGAGCAGAGTCGACCTTTACTAGAAGACTACCCTGGCATGACCCTTGATCAACGAGCCGTAATGCTGGCTACGGCTGTCAGCATCGACTTTGACTATTTCAGTCGACATAGTGGATCTGGTGGCATGTGGCCGATGTGGATGCCATGGGTCGGTGGCAGTGGTGAAGCTGCGGGTGGCGCTGCAGCTGGTGAAGCGGGTGCTGCTGGCGCTGCAGCCGTCGGTGCTGCTAGTGAAAGCGGCATTGCAGGTGAGGTCGGCACTGCAGCGCGCGGCCTGGGGGCTGGAGAGGGTGCTGCGACAGGAGCCGCGACAATGGCGGGCTACGAAGCTATGCAAAGAGGACGAGAAGCCAGACAGCAAGAAGATGATGCTTCCCCACAAGCGACCGATCCGTATCAACCCAGCCCCGATCAACAGCCGGGCACAGGCCAAATGGGCGAGGATGTTTGGGGCGAGGATCCGGGGGTAGGATCTCGGGGTCAGGATCAGGACTTTTGGGGTGGACAGGGTGGACAGGGTGGGCAGAGTGGTGGCGATGCTGGAGACGGTGGTGATGGTGGTGGGTTTAGCTGGGGTGACTTCTTTGAAGAGTAAGATTTTGCTGCTTCTTCTGTACTACCATTGTATCGTGTAGCATTGATACCACTTTAGATAACGAGCTTCATTGCCAAGGCAATCGTAAGGTAGCGAATTTGCATACGCACCTCCCCTGAAATGGTTGAGGTAGAGAAAAGGGTCGTAACTAACAATTCTGCGCCTGAGGTGGGGGGCTGTGCTGAGCGCCACAATCCTCCCGAGCTTCTTCCCTCGCTTCTATTCTCATACACGACTTCACTCAGCTGCTTTGCTCTTTGCTGCGTTCCCTTCTATGAGGCGCCGGATACGATCTGAGCTCCAACTTGAGTTCGTATTCATGCCCGGTCACACTAATCAGCCTTTTAGTTTCCTGAGGCGGATGATTCCGACAACGTAGTCGGTAACGCAACGAGAATGCCGCGAACCTCCGATCTTTACAACTACAGAGAACTAGAGGCAACAAAGCAGCAGATAAATCTAGCGAAATTGTTGCGATCTCCACCTGCGACAGATACACTACCCAATCGTGGCATCATCCACTGTGAACTTGAGACATTTGATATCGACGCTGCACCCGAGTTCATTGCTCTATCGTATACTTGGGGTGATTCATCAGCGACACAGTATATCCTCATCGACAACAAGTCATTCATCGTTAGGATGAATCTGTTCGATTTTCTTTCCGTATTTCGCTCAGACGATACTAATACCTGTTATCTCTGGATCGATCAGGTATGCCATACGTGCACTCCTCAGCATATACATCGACTGACCTCATCACTTAGATCTGTATAAATCAGCAGGATACGTCAGAAAGCAACCATCAAGTTTGCCTGATGGCTCGAATGTACTCCGAATGCATCTAAGTCATCGCCTGATTAGATCTGTCTTCGTCAAGAGCGGCGCGAAGGTACTCCAACAATAAAACCGTCGAGAATACTGAGGCTATCTTGAGAAACCGCTACTTCATGCGTCTGTGGATCGTACAGGAAGTAATGCTCCCTAAGAAAGCACATACCATGTGCGGTCATGTCTGAATCGACTGAGATGTTCTCTTCAAGGCCGCACTGTTAGCTGAATTTCTCGAACATCCCACCCTTTCGCCAATAGCGTACCTGCTTTCCAATCATTTCGCTCATTCGGAGTCTGCTCGACCTGGGTATTCGCATTCGCTGTCCAACCTGCTACGTCAGTTCTCTGGCATGGGCTGCGAAGACCCTCGAGACAAGCTGTACGGGTGGTGGCAGGACTTGCCGTTGCGAATGGGTGTACCTTTAGCTCATGTTGTATCATTGCAGCCTTTCGTCACTGACCTGCTTGCTTGTGGGCAAAAAGAAAACAGAGTCCACCCAATATGGACTCTGCAAGACATGGGCTTTGAGAAAGCCCACCCAGCGCTCCATCGTCCAGATCGATGGTGGTACGAGTGCGAAGGCATTCGGCATTTTCACGGTTGTTTAGCTCCAATGGACGGGCCTGCAGACTCGAAAGCTGTTCTGTGGTCCCTACTTGCTGCTACACCTGAACGAGGTTCGTGATAGCCGGGATACCCCGCATCATCGTGCATTTACCCCAAAAAGGGCCCAGCTCCAAATTTCCCGCTACGCCATCCTTCGGGGGGAATTCTTCCGTCAAATCCATGTTACCGAAGATCCATGGACACTGACTTCAACGATATAAACAGTAGCCAAGCCTATTGTGAATCGTGATTACGATCATCACGCCTTCAGGAACATTCTCCACTTTGCCGATATGAAGCTCATCGCGAGTTCAAGCGTCTTCTTGACACTTTCTGTGCATGCAATTGCTGCCCCCACTCATCCGAAGCAGAAGCAACGCTCTTTCAAATGGCATTCTACAGAGTCCCTGATAGCTTTTGGGGATAGCTACACATATGTGCAGGGTACTCTCGGCCACGAAAACTACACCTTCATTGGCGACGAATTCAACTTCTCTTTCTCACCAGCACAGCTCTTCTCGAATCGCATCGTACAGAACCTTACAGGAACGGCAGAAGGAGGCCCCAATTGGGTAGAGCTTCTGACTGGATGCGGTGTTAAGAATGGTTTGCATGATCCAAGAGAGTGCGATGTCCAGCTCTGGGACTTTGCATATGCTGGCGCGAACACTATCGAGGAAGTTGGATTTACACCCCTACATCACAACCATACTGTCTCGCTCGAACGGCAGATCGAACAATTTGTCTCCTACGGCAATCCAGCTCTCGAATCAATTCACCTCAACCAGAAGAAAGCGCTCGTAGCGATATGGATCGGCATCAACGACATTAACGACCTTGTATCAACCCAAGGCAAGAACGCGTCCTTTGCACCACTCTACGAGAAGATTCAGGACCGAGTTTTCGAGAGCGTGGAGAAGATCTATGAGCTTGGCTACAAGGACTTCCTCTTCATGAATCTACCGCCTCTGGATCGTGGACCGGGCACGCCCAATGTCAACGCCTCGCTCGTCAGTTCTTTCAACAAGATTCTCGCTAAACACACCAACGCCTTTCAGTCCAATCACAAGGACGTGAAGGTGCTTCAGTTTGATGTCAACAGTGTTTTGAACCATGTTTTGGATCATTACCAGGACTACGGATTGAAGAACATCACCGACTACTGCCCGGGATATAATCAGCCAGATATTCTCACAGATCCAAGCCGATATGGATGCACGGAATTGGATACGTACTTTTGGTACAATTCAGGGCATCTGACGAGTCGGACGCATGACATCATGACGAAAGCCTTGGAAAGATGGTTAGTAAGACAGTGATAGGGACGTAGACTGTCATTTGTTCTTAACATCGTTGCGCGATCTTTGTATCAGGGGGTTATGCCACCCAATCAATATTGTTACAATGCCCAAACCCTCTGAACACCCCTACTGTCTGACCTCTCAACCTTGTTCATCCTCCCATACCACAGCCTAAGTGTCGTAGCGATTGCCGCCACCAGGAAACTACATGCCGCACACACAAAATTGCCTGTCGGGAAGCCTTGACTTCGCTCATCGTTCATCCAAATCCATTGCGCAATAATTTGGCCAAGACCTGCACAGCTGTTGTGCAGTGCGATTGCGAGTGGTAAGGTAAGGAAGCTCGGCGAGTTGCAAGTTACCCAATTCGTCATGGAAGGTGCAGCAGGGAATGCACCTGCAGCGGCCATACATAGACAGCCGTAACGCTGAACATAGGCGTCGGCGGGAAGAAGACCGGCGGTCAGCCAGCCAGTGCCTCCTATAAGTGATGCGATGGTGATGTGCCACCCACGAGCGTTGAAGTGGTCCGCAGAGTACGAGATCGTAATGGCTACAAAGAAGCCTACGACCCACGGTGGAACGGTCAGAAGTTGAGCATGAATGGATTCGTAGCCTAGTCCGGTGACGATAGTGGGTGTGAAGAAAGTGAATGATCCCTGAGGAACGACGTCGGCTACGTACGCAATGTAGTGTAGCAGCATGCGTGGACTAAAGCAGGTGTCCAGAATTTCTTTCCTGCTAGCATGGTCCTGATTATACCTAAAGATGAGTGTACGAAGTCAGTGTTTGACTCACATGTAGTTCGTAGATGGGTAATTACGTACCCTCCGCCTCGATCGGCCAGACGGTCAACTGCGAATTTCTTCTCGGCGTTGCTGAGCCACTTCGCTCGAGCTGGGTAGTCGGGGAGGAAGAACCATAGAAGGAAAGCTGATAGTAGTGTGATGATGCCTTCGATGATGAAGAGCCAGCGGAACCCTTCAAGACCTGCCGCTCCATTGATGTGACCGACTCCGAATGCGATGGCACCTCCAAAGGCACCAGCGAGGTTGCAAAACGCGATGACGAGAGCGATGCGAACAGCCCGCTCGTTGTAGCGGTACCAGATCGTGATAAAGTAGACAATTCCTACGACACGTAATCAGCACAAATCCATCAACCCTCATGTCTCATTGTAACACACCAGGAAAGAAGCCGGCTTCAAAAACTCCGATCAAGAACCTCAAAGCGATGATCGTGGCACTGTTCTGTACACCCGCAAACCCAATCGTTAAGGCTCCCCATGCGAAGAGAAGGATACCAAGCCATCTAGAAGGTCGGATGTAGTGCTTCATGACGAAGTTGCTTGGTACTTCAAACACGGCATACGCGACGGAGAAGAGAGTGACGGTGAGAGCGTAGCCGTGAGGTGTAAGGCCTGTATTGCTGAGCATGTCGTCACCTGTCTCTGTGTTGAGCACGCGAGCATTGCCGATGTTTCCTGTTGTCAACATTAGCAATTGGTTTCCAATACTATGACGGCATGATGAGGATCGTACCTCTGTCCAGGAAATTCAAAAGATATACCCAGCAACATAGTGGTAGAACGCGTAGGTCGAGCTGTCGGTTGAGCTTCTTGTTGTACTTCTCGTCGTAGATGTCTATCTCCCCATGCTCTTGTAGTGTCTCATCATGGTGTTTGACCGCGTCGATGTCAACATTTTCGAGGTGTTCCTGCTTCTCGGATTCTATAGGCTTGTCCATGGTGATATCTTCGCATATGATAGCCGAGCAACTTCAGATAGTCTATTGTGGGTGAAGGGTCTTGCGCCTTTCGTGTAGCTTTGATTAATGATTATATAGTTAAGGGCATCCATCATACTTCGTAATCCTATAGCGGAACAGCACCCCCGGATATACCAATTGCGGCTTTACCCAAGATGTGCGGGGTAGAAGCCCACATCCTCGCGTTACATATTCCCTACCACGGAGATGATCTGCGATACTTCTGCTCTGGGATGAGAATATCGGTGTTGTCGCCGATGGTATTGCGTGTTGGGGTGCGGAGCCAGATTGTAAGCCGAGCAGCCCAGGAAGCTACCCAGATACGTCATCGAAACGAATCACGTGCCATGTGCAAGCCTCCAAAATTATCTCGGTGTGCCTTCTTTGCTCATGATACGAATTCTGATGTACAGTGTGAAGATGCGATAATGCAGGTGTATTCAGTCGAGATGAGGCCTTGAGATGGACTGGGAGAGCGTGCGCTGACCACAGGCCTGCTCCCAACGGAATCTAACTCCGCCATACGTCATTTCTCTCCTTATAGATCTGATGAAGCCCAGAGCCTCCCACCATAAACTCTTGTCACCACTGTTCCTGTACTCCTGCGCTTCTGGCGCGCGACCTTAATCGTTGTCCGTCAATCTATCCAATATGATAATGGAAAGAACCATAACTAGCAGACCTATAGCAACAGTAATCTGTAAAGTAAAGGCAACCCAGACCATAGTGATTGCGCTGACTCCAATATCCGTTCGAATATTCCCGTAATTGGCTGACTCGGCCATTGCAGCTGCCCCTACAGATCCCACATGTTGCCACAAACTCGCGATAAGTAACTGTGCCGCAGCGACAAAGCTCGCTGCGAGGGCAACTTGTGAAACTGGGCGCGACGGGAAGGGTCTTATATCTATGTCAGAACCAGTTCTCTCATCTCGCTCTTCGTGCCACCCTGGGAATGTTGCGAGGAGCAGTATGGTGACAAATGCGAGAACTACAGCAATGAAAAGAAGACCGGAGAAGAGAACTTCGTTCTTGAACTTTGCAGCAGCGCCTATCAAGTTCAGCGGGTCATTTTCGAACCCGATTTGCTGCGCCAAACCATTGTGGTCAGAGCTACAAAGCCAGACGACACCACGCTGGCGCACGCACATCCCAAAATAGCCCGCTCGGACTTCAAGCTCGGCGGATCCTTTCAAGTTGTTTAATGCGTCAAGCAACACATCATGACCTTCAGTAGTGCGTTTCGAGGTCGAATTGCTATACGATAAACCGAGGACGTAGATGTTCGTCATGGTCGAATAGCTTGCGCACCCAGCCAGAGATATTGCTATAGATACAGTGAGTATGATACGGCTAATTCATGCACGTTGGATCAACAGCTTACAATTCAATACAATCACAATAGCCAACAGAATCATCAACATATGGTGGTAACCGAAGAATGGAATCAGTCCTATTGACATGGTCAGTTTAGACATCGAACTATACACGTATTAGATTGACTGACTTTGAAGAGACACTGCAAAGTGTAGATTCGCCATCGCTACCTCGGTATCCAAGAATCCAGCGATTAGAGCCGGTTCACAACACGCATCTGAAGTATGTAATATTTAGCTTTGAAGCTGATATTCGCTCCTTCATACAGTAGATGTGGTTGAACAGGTTCCAAGCGATGTGGTGTTGATGTCCTTGCAGGAAAGTGCGGCTCTCGACTGGTTTTTGAGACGCCCCGCAGACGTTTTGTCGTATGTGTGATACGTTGCATGCATGTAGCTGCACGCACACTGCACGCACTGTGCCACCAGGCGCTTACCTCGATACTAGATAGTCCGCTTGTCACTGGGCTCACGGCCGGCCTCAGATTTGTGACACATCCACAAACGCAAAACTGTATCCATGCAGAACGCTGACCTGTACTTCTTCAGCCGAATTCGACGCTAGCAGCCACAAACCACGATACAACAAAGGGCATACAACGCCTTTCTGGTTAATGCGCAGAAACGCAGAAACGCAGAACACAAACCCTGGACAGATTAGCGAGCGCCAGACAAAAAAAAATTGCAGGGGTCAACGTTGCCTTGCCGGTAAACACGAGCGTGGGCCGTAGGCGCAGAGATGGAGGAGGACGACCAACAAGCAACATGTGGTCATGAGAGGAGCTTAGAAGACAGTAAATACAGTTCTAAAGAGTCACCGGGTCATACGCGAGACGATGCGCCAGCAATTGAGAATTTGCACCAGTACAATGGCCAAGATGACGCTCCTCCATGGGCAAACTACAAGGCCAAGGACGGATCGATTGATGGCTGCAGGTCTGGACACTCTAGAACTTCAAATGCAGATTACCGCAGTAAGATCTTGACGAGATCCGCACCATCTCTCATCCTTCAACAACAGGCAAGACCCCGCACATCACTTGATGATCTACAGACGCGCCACCCGAGACGATTACCGTCGGAATGCCGGACGGCCAATGCAAGCGCAATCGCTCTACCCTCATCTCGTTCCTCTTCAATAGATCAGCTGTCCAGCCGAAGTCTACGCCAGACTAGCGAGCCCAAGTCTGAGAAACATTCAACAGTGCAACCAGACCGCGCAGCTCTCCCTAGAGGGGAGCGCGAACATGGGAGAGCAAGATTACGAGCGGACTTAGTCTCCGAAGAAGAAGTGATTAAAAGAGAAGAACCCCAGAAAGTGAAGGACGAAGCTGCAAGGGAGCGATCACAGCAATCGCTTTCACCAGAGCGTGAACCAATCAGGCAGCGACCCGAAGGCGATACACCGCGACGGCCAGAGCTGAGCAAGCTCTGGAAAGCAGTCTTGATAGCCTTAGAGTCAAGCGGAAAGCTTCGACAAAACCCAAAGCAGCAAGTGCAGGAGGTGCAACAGGCGACGAACAACAATGAGGCACATACCTATCGCATGAGTTTGCTCACATCGGCCGACCGCTTTTCGAATCTACACCATGCTAGTGCTGTAACTACACGGCACATTTGGAGTTCACACATCATTTTGTATGATATACTCGAGACACAGCAGCCTAGTGCCTCTGCTCCCCAAATTCTCTGGCCTGACGCACATTCGCACTCGGCACCGACATATGAGGAATTCCGGAATACATTGCGACGTACTCCAGCTCGGTGTCATCTCAGAATGATCTTTGTAGAAGATCTAAATCCTTCATTAATTGATTACCTAGGTGCCGCCTTCCAAATTCCACCAGGTGTGTTCGAAAAACATTTGGATGGCTCTGGCTTTGCAGACGAATCCTCCGAAGACAAGACGCCAGGGCGATGGCTGAATCACTCTTCTAGCCCTGATTGTTCTTCGTTGACCTGGTTCCGGCCTGTAATCCCTTTACTTCCCGTGGCTTCAAACTTCCGCAGTCAGCTGCTCCGCGATCTACGTCCGAAAGTCAATTGTATGCTGGAAGGTTGTGGGAAGGTACATGAGTTGCAAACAACTGCCAACATCTTGCGTCGCAACGTGACATTATGCCCATGTCCTGGAGCTTATCTAAAGGGCTCTGACACCGAGTACCCTATTGCATGGGAAGAGAGGGTGACAATCTTCACACGGTGGATTGACGGCTGTAAATTTGGTATGCGAAGGGAATCTCCCAAATCACTCCAAAACTGGTTGCACATATTCTGACGATTCCAGCTATTGTGCTACTCGATCCGCTGCCCTTCACCAGAGTTGGGTGGAGTACCGATCAAGACCAGCAGAAGGATGCCGCTCGTTCCAAACTCAAGATAGTACGCGTCAATGCTCCGAACACAGAGGAACCTCAGAACCATAGCATTGAAGGCTGGGTTGCGCAACAACGGCCGCTCTCTACTGCGGCTGCGCATCCAAAATCTGCAAGATCTTCGCTCGCATCAAATGTAAATGTTGCAGCGGATGATCCGCTACCACATGCTGATTCACCCAATACCCACCCCTGTAAGTATGAGCATTTCCTAGAACATAAATATTCTCGCAACGCCGCACACAGAGCGTATGAGATTCTTCCAATCTGCACGTCTTGCGTAAATTTTATAAGCAATCAGTCGTTCGACAGGAGCATCGACTTTCAGATTTCATATGTAGGCGTAAGGAAACTGTACCGCGATCACGTTCAGTTGAGTGACCCAGAAAGACTAACAATTTATTAGCCGACTCAGCAAAACGGCCTGCGGGTATAACATTTCTAGACTCATCGGCCGAAGCTAAGACGAGCCGTGCGTATGTCACGGGTGCTACAGCTGACGCTATAGGAGTAATCTCATCAGCGACAGGACCTCGACAGCGAAATACAAGATTTGTTATCAAACGGATGTCAAGCCGGAACCGCAAAAGTGGCATCTCACCGACTCGAGCCACACACAACACAGCAGACAAAATCGATATGGATCGGGCAAGGAGTATCCATTCTTTGGAGTACCGAGCCCATGATTATGACCGGGTAATTCCATATCATCCTATCAAAGCTGGATCCTCATCTTCCGCGATGCTCGGCGACACATTTACCACGCTTGATATGCCAGCGTATATCGAGCGCCTCCATATTCCCTTCTCTGTAATCGGAGAGTTCCAAGCTGCTTTGCAGCCAACGGGAAAAGGCAAGGAAAAGATACACGGTGAGCGTCTCTGTACGGATTGCGTGTGAGACATACACTGACTTCGTGAACGTGCTATTAGACCCACTCCAGATACTTTTCAGGATCATTCACGATGATTGTCATAATCTGACCGATGTCATACGCGACTCATTGCATCGCATACGCCAAGACACGCTGGATGAAGATGTGATGCAACAGCGGGTTACATACTGGAGAAAGCTACTTCATCGCTTCAATTCCAGTCTTGCAGAGGTCGACCAGCAACTGCGGTCCTTGACACACTTCCAGAATGACAAGGAACTTTTTTACCTTGGCGGCAATCAACGGACCGAATTACCATCGGAGAGACTCGCAAGGGACACGAGTCAAACCTTGAGGAACTGTCTTAATCTCGTCGAAAGATCCTCTACAGCATTGCTTACCGAGATGCAGATAGTTGACAGCCGAAGAAGCATTGCGGAGGCTGAAAGCGTGTCTAAACTTACCGAGCTAGCATTCGTCTTCATCCCGCTGTCCTTCGTTGCAAGCCTTTTCAGTATGCAAGTCAAAGAACTGAGCGACGGAGTGCCGCTTTACGTCTTCACACTCGCTGCTGTGGCCACTGTCTTTATAGCTTACACTATGCGCCTCAGCATTCGCAGCTCTCGCCTCATCGAATATAAGACCCAGATCTTGGGTCAAATCCATGCTGAATCGCACGTCCCGCACAATCAGCCAATACCGACACGAATAGTGCTAGCATGGCTACACACCACGATCGGCAGGTTTCTATCCGGAAAATCTACTAAGGTTTTCGTCATTGTCTTCCCAGTTGTGCTAGTAGGAGCGCTTATTGCTACCCTTCTTAGTCCTGTCATCTTACTCTGGCTACGTGGCATTGATAAAGGCTTCACCATTATAATAACCATACTTGTACTTTCTTCGAACGCCATACTTCTCATTCCACTCGCAAAATTTGGGTACCAAGCGCTTGGTACTAGTCCGATGAGCATAATTCGCGACATTCGAAGGTGGCGCAGAGATAGCCAAAAGAGAAGAACTAAGTCAAAGAAACAAAGAAGATATCCAGACCCAGAAGCTCAAGCTCGCTCAAGAGATAGTGGTAGTGGCGAGCGCGTCAGAGAACACGGTCCCAGATCTTCGGAAAACGACTCGAGCCATTCCACCAGTGGAACGTAGTAATTATTTTCAGTTGTGCCTGGTAAATATATGGGAATGTATAAATCAATGGACGATCAGTAGCCCATTACTCAACGACAAACGTTCCATAAACATGCAAATCATCCCTCGTCCTCCATCTTCCTGCTACGAATATCTTTTCACCCTCCCAGACGTGCACGCCCAGCTCCTTCATACCACCCTTTTCCATCACACGCCGACTCGCGGGGTTCTCAGAGTTGACAATAGCTCGTACGAATACTTTGTCGTATGGATCCCAGAAAGATCTTTCTTTCTTGCAAGCTTCGATGAGTGCTTTTACGGCACTTGTTGCGTAACCCTTACCCCAAGCAGAGGGTAGATAGCTATAACCAAGTTCGACGGTGAGACATTTCGATTCGAATGAGGAAGGAGGCAGAATGTCGGATCGTAAGGTGAGGCTCCGATCGCCGAGAGATTTAACACCGATATGACCAATGAAGCGAGTTGGAATCGAGTCTTTGTCTGCGCCCTCTTGTCCGGGAGACAAGAGCAACTCGTGTACAGCATAGGATACTCGGTAAGACTTGGTTTCGCCTTCACTGACCGTAACTGGCAGGGCGTATTTGGTGAACCTTTCGGTGTCTTCGACGGTCTTGGCGATTCCGTCAATGCTAAACGGAATTAGTCCGGTCCCGATATACACCTGGGCATGATGCGCGGTATATGGTTGGATGATAGCAGAAGATGGGACCACCTACCTCCAAAATGCGGCCTTCTCGTCGCTGCGTAGTTGGTGTAGCCACTCAAATTCTTGGCTTCCTCTCTCTGCTGCCATGATCCGCGTCAATTTTAGCTGCGGTGTGAAGATTGTGTGATCCATAGTTGCCAAATGCTGTGAGAGGAGGTTTCTAGTTCTCACAGGGCCTTATCAACCTTTATAATACTCTCTGTTCAGCCTCTGAAGGCTGATATACATCGGAATAGACTAGACGAAAGGTCCAATCGGCATTCGTTAAGCTCGGTAATCACTGGATATGGCTTAGCGTAAGAACTCAGCTGTCCACGACTGGTCTAGTTATTCCGATGCTTCGTGACTCTTATATCTGTACACCTCTGTGTTGAGGGACTTGTTTCATGCACCAATGAGAACCAGCCGCGCAGAGTAGGCTGACACCCAATAAAAGATGTCTTCACCGCGGCTGTTCCGAAATCATAGTCGTGCAAATCAGAAGGCTTTAGGTCTCGACACCAAGCTTCATGAAGCTAGGCAACGGTATGCTCACTGCATATTCCAGCATACAAACGTGCAACTATGAGTCAGTTGCTGACATGACCGCCTTTGCTTACTGTCAAGCTTGAGGCGACCGTGCCGTGGCTACATACAGAACCTGGTGAGTCTCATGTGCTACTCAACCGAGTTCTATCAAAAGTTGTGTTGTTCATTGCTTGCTGTATAAAAGCAGCGTTTCCCGAATGAGTACCGCGTAAAGCATATTGCGCTTTATCCTAAGTTCTCATAGCGGTGGGCGTATTCCGTATTCCATCATTAAATGGGTATTAGATGCTCGAGCTCAGAATGAGTGCAGCCTTGTTCGTATGATTGCCTCTTTGCTGTGGACGAAGCCTTGACCCCGGACGTGTCGTGTGTTGTTGGGTTTGGTCGAGCTCGTCGGTTTGCTCCTGCCTCGCTGCCTCACGAATGGCTCAGTTGGGATAGTCTCGGATGGATTCAAGGTAACAGCACACGTATTTGACAGCTGGTCATCGGATGATGTGACGGAACAAAGATGTCTTGGTACAAGAAGACAGCAAAGGTGTGGGATGCTAGCGCCACCCATGTCTTGGCATTCCCGAATCGCCGACCGAACTTTTGGCACTGTCGCAACGAACACCTACATCCGCAAGAGCACCAATGGCACACCCACGATCGCTACTAGCTCCTTTGAGCAGACTCACTATATCATTCATTGCCGCCTCGAGATCAGAAGTCCCGCGCTTCGCTTCAATACCGTACCAGACGGTACGATGCGCAACCACAAAAGCCCAACCCAAGAAAAAGAAGAAGGCGCGAAACACGTTCTTGCAATATGACCTGAAGAAGGCCGAGAAATTCTCGCTTATCGATGCAATGCAGTACGTTCTATTTAGATCATGTACAAGGAAGTGGGAAGATAGAGGGCTGACGGTGGAACAGTTATATCCGCGCCTTTGAAGTAGGGCGAAACCCGTCTTCCTCCAAATACGAACTACATGTCCGCCTACGCACACTCAAGAACGGACCCGTCATACGAAACCGATTACGACTCCCGCACCCTGTCAAGACCGATATACGAATCTGCGTCATCGCCGCTCCCGACTCAAAACCCGCTGCTGAAGCAAGAGCAGCTGGTGCTACGCTTGTAGGCGAGGACGAAGTTTTCAACCAGATCAAAGAGGGGAAGATCGATTTCGATCGGTGTATCTGCCACATTGATAGTCTGCAGAAGATGAACAAGGCGGGGTTGGGAAGGCTGCTAGGTCCCAAAGGCTTGATGCCGAGCACAAAGGCAGGAACGGTCGTTACGAATGTGGGCATCACTGTCCGAAATATGGTTGGTGGTAGCGAGTACAGAGAACGCCTGGGTGTGATTCGTATGGCAGTTGGACAATTAGGATTCACGCCAGAAGAGATGCAGAACAATATCAGGGGATTCCTGGATGCGATAAAGAAGGAAATGGCGCAAATGAGCGATCGTATTACCAAGGAGATTCACGAGGTGGTGCTTAGTTCGACGAACGCACCCGGTTTTACGTTGAGCGGGGACTATAAAGGACCGGACTCGATATCACCAAAGGAGTTGAGCGGACCTTTGTAAATGTAGCTTTCTGGGGTGTATGACCAATGTACCATACCGAACGCCGTCGCTATGCTGGACAATATCTTCTCTTATGGTGACTTGAGTGTTTTGAAGACGTTGACTGCCTCAGCAGATTCCTCCATGTCCGCGTAGATCTTCATGACTTTCATCACGCGACCAGCGTCAGGCTTATTAGCAGTCTTGGCCTGCTGCAATGCAGTACTCAGGTCCATCAACAAGGTACTCCGCACCTTTGCGATTCTGGCTGCCTGGGCTGCCACGAATGGATGCTCGCCCAACTCTTTCTGCAATCCTACCACTAATCGGTAGTGCACGACGTTCCGCCTCAACTTTGCAACCGACACACCGTAACCCTCTTCTTCCTCATCTTCATCTTCCTCGTCCTCGCTATCCGAGACCTCTTCTCCGAGGATGATCGTCTCGTGCCCCGCCGTCTCAATCAAAAGTTCGGCCTCCAATTCTTTGAGCCTAGCGTCGTAGTCGACCAGACGCCTCCCCAAGTCAATCTTGGCTCTAACATCTCTCCTTTCTTGTAGCAATTCCCCGACTTCTTCTTCTCTCTTCCCCACCACACCGGCCATGCCACCAACTTCCTTCCTGAACCCCAGCAGTCCTACTCGCGCTCCTTCTACCTTTTCCTCGCCGCCATGTAGACTGTTGCCCAAATTGAGGAAGTCTTGGTAGTTGCTGTTGACGAGGTCTAACAGCTCTTTTGAGAGAAGCTGCGACCGCGACCGCAGTTCCGAACGCAGGTCTTCGAGAGTCTGGTGCCGGTTGTGTAGCGTAGAGAGATACGTTGCAGGTGAGAAGTTCGGGGCGAGGAAATCTGATCGGCGTAGGGGCGTCGCGAATGGGAGAGTGGAGAGGTTGTCTTCGTCGTCATTATCGTTGTCGCTGGATGCGGAACGCGAGTCGTCGCCGAACTGGAGGACGTGGGTTAGTCGCAAACTCGCGTGACCTTACGCACAATAATGAAAGGCTCTTGGGATTACGCACATAGAAGCGACTCATAGTTGTTGTCTCAGCTCCATGTAGAGAGTCCTGCAAGAGGCTGTATGTGTTGCCAGAAGTCCAAATAGAGCTATCGATAAGGTTAGAAGCTTCGGAAATGAACCGAGGCCTCGGAACTCGACACGCATCTCATGGTTTGTAATGCACGCCATCTAGCGGCGTGGGGCAAAGCAAAGCGAAGACGTCAGTCGCCTTGCCTTCAGTAGCATTTGCCCTTAATCTTGTATCTGCATTTCTCTAGAGTCTCCATACTACCAATTCGACCCTCTCTCTCTCAGCATAGTGTTCAAGGCTAAGAGAAGTCATAGTATACCAGACGATGCCACCGCAACCTGAGCTTCCCGAGCCAGCGCATCCAGAAGTAGATTCGATGCTGAGCCGTCGGTTCGGAAAGGAAGTTGCCAACTACTTCTCTGGTACCTAGATGACCCACCTATACCCCTTCTGCAACCCGTTCCTGATATGATTATGCAGGCTCCCCACTCAATCGCGTGGGCTTTCTGCGTCCCGACCACCAATTCCTCTCCTCGGCACTCAATCATCCCAGCACAACTTTCTTGCTATTCAACAAACTCGAACCCCTTACCAAGTCCGGTACTGAGCTCGCACGCTGCAGCTTTTCCGACGTAAAGCCAATCATCGGCGAGAACCCATTCGAGAAGTCGGAGGAAGAAGTCATTGCGCAGTACAACTCGAGTTTGTACGTTCCGCAGGTAATTTTCTTGGGTTTGGACGAACGGAAAGATGGATTCAAGTATAAGGAGCATTACAAAGGACAACCGTGGTTCGCCGTCGATGTCACACCCAAGGAGAGTGTGAAGGAGAAGGCAGAGGAACTGCTCGAGCGAATGGCAAGCACGGGTTTGGAGTTTAGTAAGGGTAGAATGAACCTGAGTCTGCAGGCTGAGGAAGGTGCGTTACCGCTGATTCATTCTGATCTGTCTCTAGGATCCTTGTCTGACACTCCACAGCGGCCATCTATGCGGAAGCCCGACATCTTCTCGATTGGAACGAACGAAACCCCTTCTGCGCTTCTTGCGGCTACAAGACTCTCTCTGTCAACGCCGGTTTCAAGCGCACTTGCCCGCCCAAGGACATCGCGTCCGAAGTCGACCAAGGCGAGCGCCCACCCTGCGCGACCCGAACCGGTATTTCGAACCTGTGCTTTCCTAGAACAGACCCTACAGTCATCATGGCGGTCGTATCTGCCGACGGCACGAAGATCCTACTAGGGCGCCAGAAGCGCTGGCCTGCCCACTTCTACTCCACACTAGCTGGTTTTCTCGAACCCGCCGAGAGTGTCGAAGAAGCCGTACGTCGCGAAGTCTGGGAAGAATCTGGTATCCATCTCGGTCGTGTTGTTATTCACAGCACTCAGCCGTGGCCTTACCCTGCTAATCTCATGATTGGCGCAATTGGGCAAGCCATTCCAGATGGGGAAACGATTCACCTCGGACATGACGCTGAGCTGGAAGATGCGAAGTGGTTCACAGCAGACGAAATCAGAGAGGCGCTTCGCATCGGTACTAGTGGACTTGGAGATGATGCTGGGCCGGAGTACAAGGAGGGTGGGCTGAGATTGCCGCCGAAGACTGCCATTGCCAATCAACTGATAACGGCCGTAGCTAATGGGTTTGCTAGCGGGAGCCCGATGATCTAGATGCGTAGGCTCAGCTATAGATAGGCGTTCTAGAGATTACATCTTGTACAGTGTAGTTGTAGTACAATATAGAGGGGAGAGTCCCGAAGATGTGTATTGTAAATGGATGTTATTGCATTATGTATATGTTTCTGGCTTTCTACTCCAGTACGATGTATCGGCGCAATCGCTCAGGTATCGCATCGTACAGCTTCTTCTGCTCTAACCACTTCTTTGAGAAGAGGCGATCAGCATATCTGTATGCGCCGTCGCACAGCAAAGTGACGACAGTTGATCCCTTGCCCATCTTCTCTGCTACTTCCTTGGCTGCCACAACATTGAGGCATGAACTTGCGCCTAGGTATAGACCCTCCTCGTCCAGACATCGGTATACCATCTCAATGGTTTTCTCGTCACTAATGTGTACTGAGCCATCCAAAAGGTCGATATCAGGCTTCAGGTTCTCTGTTACACGACCCTGGCCAATGCCCTCGGTTATTGAGCCACCAGCCCGTTCCTGAAGCTTGCCGCCACTCTGGATATAGGAATGCAGAACCGAACCTGGGGGGTCAGCTAGGAAGCTCTTGACCTTTCCGCCACTCTTCTCCTTGAGGTACCGCGTCACACCCGCAAGCGAGCCTCCAGTGCCAGTGGCGCAGGTGAAAGCGTCGAGCTTTCCACCTGTCTGATGCCAGATCTCGGGACCAGTGGTCTCGATATGGGCCTGCCTGTTTGCCACATTATCAAATTGATTCGTCCAAACCGCATTCTCTAATCTATCCGCGTGTCGCTTCGCCTGATGGTTGTAGTTCTCCGGGTTATCAAACGCTACTGCCGGTACCGGGTATACCTCTGCACCGAGCAAGCGCAACAAATCTATCTTTCCCTGCGATTGTGTGTTGGGCATGTAGATTACCAACCGGTATCCTTTCGAGCGACAGACGTGTGCAAGACCGATACCAGTGTTTCCAGCGGTGCCTTCGATGACGGTACCGCCAGGCTTCAAGAGGCCCTGGCGCTCGGCGTTTTCGACGACGAAGAGGGCGGCGCGGTCCTTTACAGAGCCACCGGGGTTTTGGAATTCGGCCTTTCCGAGGACATTGCAGCCGGTCTCTTCGGAGAGGCGCTTGAGGCGGATGAGGGGGGTTTTTCCGATCGCTTTACAGAAGGGTCAGTATAGCGCCTTTAGGTATGCTTGTCAAACACGGTACCATCCAAGAAACCCCGCTGTCCAATGCCTTGGGCCTGGGAGATGTTGATGGCGGTTTGCTGTGCAGCCTCTATCTGGCTGAGGCTTTCAGCATTCCGCCATGTCGTGGCGGCGAAACTCCGCGCTGCCGTCCTGAACATTGTTGCTTGAAGAGAGAGGCAAACAAGTCAGCATGGGAAAGTCCGAGTGCTAAAGATTCACGATGATGCCATTCGGCTGGCCGGCGAATCAACGCGCTTTCGCCCGATGTCGCAACTGCAGGACCCCTGTCGCCGTGAGACCCCTGCAGCCACGAGTTGTTGCCGCGTGGGGTCACGGTAAACAGTAGAACAACAACACGGACGGCCGCATTCTCATGTCAAGACCTTGCGACAAGACACTCAGCTAACGACCTCGCCAACATGGTCGGCCGCACATCGACGCGTGCACCGCGGACATCAACCTCTTCGACAACACGCACCACCAAGTCCACACGCGCATCGTCCGCCAGGCAGTCCTCGAACGCAGTCGAAATCCCCGATGAAGGCCCCGTCACCTCCCTCCGAACAAAGATCGCCCAGGTCTTCAGCGATGCGCAAAGAACGACTGCGACACAAAGGAAGCTCATCGTAAACCTCAGAAAGATACAAGAAGCATGCTGCTTCGAACCACCAGACACCGGCAAGAGCGGGAAGAAGTCCAAAGGCGAGGAGCAGGAAGACTTTGATGAGGAGGAGTTCAATACCGAGGTAGTGCGATGCGTACTGAGGATCATGGCCGTCAAGAAGAGCGAACCGGTCGGAGACAGGGTGATTCGTTTCTTGGGCCTATTCTTGAAGCATGCCTCTGAGAAAGATCAAACCATATTCGCTGCCGAGTCGGAAGAAGAAGCCACAGCATTCCACGAAACGCCCAGCAGTCGGCTCACATCAAACATCCTCACCACTATTCTCGCCCTTCTGACGGCAAAGGACAAGACGGTCCGTTTCCGAGCCACACAAACGGTCGCGCACATCGTAAACAGCCTCACAACCATCGACGACGATATATTTGACCTAATAAGACTGGGTTTCTTGAAGCGTCTGCGAGACAAAGAGCCAACAGTGCGCGTGCAGGCCATCTTGGGCTTGGGCCGCCTGGCTGGTAATGATGATGAAGAACAAGACGACGAGGATAGCGATGATGAGGCCGCTGGTGGTATTCTCGACAAGCTTTTGGACATTATGATTAATGATCCGAGTGCCGAAGTGCGACGTGCTGTTCTGCTAAACCTACCACTGTGGCCATCCACCCTCCGTTACATCCTGGAGCGAGCTCGAGACATGGACGCTACCACTCGCCGATTAGTTTACGGCAAGATCCTACCTGCTCTGGGCGACTTCCGCCACATGTCGCTTGTCGAGCGCGAGAAGCTCATCCGATGGGGTCTCCGTGATCGAGACGACCTTGTACGCAAGGCTGCCGCCATCCTGTTCCGTGAACGCTGGCTTGAGGACTGTGCCTCTTCGCGCGATACCCGGCCAGAAGAAGAAAAGAAGCCGGGAGACGTTGCTCCGCCAAACCTAGAAGCACTCTGCGAGCTGCTCGAGCGTATTGACGTCACCAGATCCGGGGAAGAAGAGGGCATGGCTCACGAAGCGATGCGTCAGTTCTGGGATGGCCGGCCAGACTACCGCAAAGAAATCACATTCGATCATGAATTCTGGAACAACCTCGATGCGCAGACGGCCTTTATTGCACGCACACTGAACGATTACAGTCACAGCACTGACGACGAGAGAGTTCGAGGCATGGTCGAAGATAAGATGCCAGAAGTCACCATGTTTGCTTTTGTCTTACAGAGAGAGCTCAATTCTCTGATGGAATTGGTGGACAAGGTTGCTGTCCTGGAAGAGAATGACCCAGAGACTGAAGAAGCACAAGAAGACGTCGAGGAGCAAGACTTCATTGTTCAGCAACTGCTCCACATTGCTCACACCCTTGACTATACAGACGAGATGGGGCGTAGGCAAATGTACAACATCATGCGTGAAGCCATTGCCAAGGCTCAGCTGCCGGAAGAGTGCACCAAGCTCGCCATCGAGGTGTTGCGCAAGGTCTGTGGAGCCCGTGGCGAATCAGACTTCTGTGCTCTCATCGTAGAGGCCATTGCGGATGTCCGCGACTCTTTACTGGACTCCGATGACGCTACAGTCACTGGCGAGGACGCTGAAGAGAGCTTCCATTCTGCGCAATCTGATACCGATGGGGATGCACCATTGATCAAGCCCAAGACCGCAAAGGCTTCCGAGAATCTCACCGAAGAAGAGAAAGAAGAGCGACAGATCCGCGAGGTGATGGTATACTCAAAGTGTCTACATATTGCTCAATGCACACTCCAGAACGTGGAAGGCGATTTAGAGTCAGACACCTCACTCACCAGTATCCTCAACACACTCATTATCCCTGCTGTTCAAGCTCACCAGGCTATGATTCGAGAGCGTGGTGTCATCTGCTTGGGTCTCGCAGCCCTCCTGAGCAAGGTAAGTCAAGGAGCTTCTTCCCACCCATGAAGTTTTACTGACAAGAAGCAGGACCTCGCTGATAACAACCTCGATCTCTTCTTCCACTGTTTCATGAAAGGCCATGATGCCCTCAAAGAGATCGTCATCCAGGTTCTGACAGATGTGATCATTACACATCCTCAGCTTCTCACGCCTACGATACCAGACCCAGACGCCTCAACCGAAGATGCAGAACCCATCACGAACCCACGAATCCGTCCCGTTACCAAGATCTTGCTCAAGGCTTTTAGTTCGGACAATAAACGCATTGGCCTGATCTCTTGCACCGCGGCCTCTAAACTTCTCCTTTTGGGTATTCTGCCCCCTCTATCGACCACCGAAGTCCTCAAAGCCTTCACTCTGACGTACTTTGACCCCGAGACGGCGTCGAATCCTGCCCTGAGGCAAGCGCTTAGCTACTTCCTGCCCGTATACTGTCACTCCAAGCTCAAGAACGCAAAGTTGATGGGTGAGATTGCTGTGCCAGTAATCTCAAAACTACTCATCATGCGCGATGACAACGTCGAGGATGAAGATGTAGACGAGATGGTGGGCTGGCCTGTCATCACTGCCCATCTTGCCGAATGGACTGATGGACGTAAGGTCGTGGGCGCAACTGAACTTGGCCTGGACGGAAAGACAAGCACCATTGCCGAAGCTGAAGAACCGCACGTCCAGCTCGCGATCGACATCCTGGAGCGCGCATTGACAAGCACATGCTCAAAGGACGAACGAAAGCCTTTACTCTCACTATTGGGTAAACTATACATCGCGCCTTCTGGCCCAATTCCCAAGGGAGCAGAGGGCGCAGTCGATGAGGAAAGCTTCCGCGCCCTACATGAGCTGGTTTCTGAAGCTGTAGAAGGAAAGATTGGCACGGACGCTACCCAGCGCAACGCATTGATCAAGTTGGAAGCTACGCTAACTAAGCGACTGGGCGAGGCGACTACACAAGTTCAAGACACGGATGTAGAGCGCACAGCCACACCCGAAACGACTGCTGCTGCCGACGCAACAGAAGTCAACGAGGAGGAGACGGAGGGCGATGCTACTGAAGTCTCTGCATCGCGGAGTCAGAGGAAGTCTAATGTGACGCAGGCCGACGACGAAGAGGAGGAGGAAGAGGAAGAGGAAGAGGATGAAGACACTATGCTAGCGGGTATGCAGGGTGAGGGCACTCGCATGCCTCTTGAGGATGACGACGATGAGGAGGAAGAAGAAGACGATGCTGAGTCTGAAGCTGGACATAGCACATTGACAGTTGGCAGAGATGACAGGAGAAAGACACAAGTGACTGAAGATGATATCATGGAGAGCCTGTTGCAGAGCGAGATGGATCACTCTGCTTAGTCTCTTTGCTTCTTTTCCTCAGCTTCTCTGGGTTGACGGCGTTCCATGGTCTTACTGGCCTCCTCTCGGCCCATGTTGTCTCGACCATGAAGGGGCTCATGTACTGCGTGACGAGTTCATGAATGCAGAAACGTCTTATGATATCCCTCTTCTCCATCGTCCAGTCACTTTTGGACGCAATTCGTATTCCGTGTTCATTGCAGTCTCATTATGGCATCATCAATCCTTCATCCACATGCATCAAGGTGACCATCGTAGAAGGGTACATGCATTACCTCTTGCACTTTTGAGAGATCATTATATAGAATTTAAGAGGGGGTATACTACAAACTGCTCCGGAAATGACGACATCAAAGCCCTTTGCCAAAATATACTCTCGGAATCATCACGTAAACTCATGCCACTCGTGGAAGACCATCAAGAGAAGACCCCTTGAACATGCGCCAGTACTTTTGTACATGTCTCACTCCTTGTGTCCAGCCTGCATCCCTCTTCGGAGATGACGTCCCATAGTCTGCGCTCAGCATCGTATCCTAGGTCTTCCGTCATATCTTTGTTCGGGCCCCACATCCTGTGCGGAGTGTCGTCATCCCCATACACTCTCTTATCGTCCAGCATTTTCGCCGGGTCAAGTTTGAGATTGTTTTGATGCAGGAAGAGGATCGATGGCTTATGTGGGGCTTTGCGTATCCTGTCATATCCCTTCTCGATCTCGGCATTCGGTTTCGCAAGGTCGGCGTCTCGCCAGAGTGTTTCGGTGTGAACATGGCTGCGCATTGGAATGAGGTATTCGTAGTCGAGATTCGGGTCTGCTTGCGCGATGCCGGTGCCCCTGTAGGTGCCATTCATATGGTTGCCAAGAACACTGGGAGGTGTTTGAACTTGGTAGTAGGGCAGGCCAACTGCAAGTGCTGCCTGTACGAAAGTTTCTTTGTCGCCAGCGCCAGGGCTGCCTTGGCTAAGAAGGATGTAATAGTAGTCTGGGCCGTAGTAGTTGTAGTACACCATCATGAGGAGCGACGCACGGTGGATGTCCTTGTTGATGAGAAGCTGGCCGCTTTCGGTAGAAAGCCTCGATTGAGAGGCGACTTCTGGTATGGCGGCGATGTGATAGTAATGCGAGGATATCGTCTGAGCCCAGAAGTCTGGCCAAGTGACTAGGCCGTGGGTTGTATATGGTGCGGCGGAGAAGAGTTTGCTGGGATCCTGGGTCGGGAATGCGTCGCTATCGAGAAACAGAACATGCTGGAAGGATGAGAAAAGGATGGAGAAGATCTTGTACTGGTAGTGATTGGGTGGTTTCGCGTTTGTGGCTGTGTCGTAGATGTTGGACAAGACTACACAACGGGCGTTCAGGGACGGTAGGAGGGTGTCGCATATGGCCGGATCGTATTTTGTCCAGTCATCAATGAAGACTTCCATGGGTAAGTCACAGCCAGTTCTCCGCAGCATGCGCAGCGACACCAGGAATATCGGCATATAGAAGATGTCTGCAGTGGTGACAATCCCCGTTGTGCCTTTGGCGAATGGTAACTTTGGCGCCAGAAGCTGTGCCCATCTACGCATAGTATAGTGAGCCTGGAACAGAGCGGTCTCCTCTTTGTCGGTGAAGTCCAACAACTGATCAGGATGCGCCTGATGCGGTTCGAGAGGCAGAAAGTTCTTCACCAATGCATCGCCGTCGCCTTTGAGGCGTAAGGCCTCGCATTGCGGCTGCGACTCGATTAGGGCCGTGACAAGGTCCGACCAGAACTCTTGCACGGGTGCGCCGAAGGTGGAGCTAGTGGCAGTGAGGTTTTTGCCCGTCAACAAAGGCATATGCAAGGCACTCGACCCATGGTAGCCGTGTGGGATGAAGAAGATGCCGCATGTAAGAAGGAAGAGCGGGATGACGATGAGTCGCGGTATCGAGGGGACGGATACGAGCATAGTCGCGGGCGGATTGCTATCGTCAGAGGAAGTCCATGAAGGTGGATGATCGGAGTGGAGGTCGATAACAGAGGACGATCAGGTTCGATATGAAAGAGAGAGGTAAGAGAGCGTTCAAGTCAAATTACTGAGCGTCAGCATTGCATGAAACCTGCCAAACCAATAGAAAAACGTGCGTGGCGTTTGGTAAGATAAGAAGCTACGACCCGCTCATGCAAACGGTACGCGGCTTAGTGGAGGCACAGTCCATCGTACAAGACGGCTAGAGTCCATATGGACAATGAGTTTAACCGGCCTCGCGAGGAGGTCCATGTTGACTGATATTACAGCCCCTAGAGCTCGACACTGCCATCGTTCGCACCGTCTTACTCATGCGAGTGCATGCATGTGTAACGTGACACAAGGTTGTCAGCTTTGCAAGTGGACTCATACGCGTCTTCCGTTGCAGAGCGGCCCTCTGCGTAAGCACCCATTAGAGCCGTGGGGTGACGGCCAGGCCGCCGAGCTACGATAATTCAGCCCTGTGTTGGAGTGAAAATCTAGGAATAGAAATCCTTCTAGTTAGATGGATAGCGTGATCGGCGGCCTCACCCGGTGGCTGGAATTAGGAGCTCACAGGCTGGACCCTGCGACTTACAGGAAACGGTCGCTCGCGTATTCGGGCGTTATCCGATCGCCCGCCATGCTTGATCGCAACCTCTTCAACTTTCGTAGTCTACTCCTTGACAAGGCTAATTAGGCCTCAAGATTCTCAAGCTTTCGAGGCGGATCGTTCTATTGGCGCATTCTAAAGCGACCGTACGGATGGTACCAAGGCACCCGAGCCTGCGTGGCGACCAACAAGCGCTGCTTAATATTACCGGATACGAAATTACGAACGGCCCAGGATCTCTTTCAGGACATGGCGTCACTCACGCGCTACGCCACAGTACTCAGCTCCTGTTGACCCGAAACATCCGACGTGCTGAAAAATGTTTACACATGACTGTAATCCTATGTGGAGAGGGAGACCTCAGCGGAATGTAGAACACGGCCATCGGGTGCAAGGCAATCTGCGAAGATGGCTACTATGAGACTCTGGAACTCTGCAATTACGGAGATACTGTGGAGCTTGGGAAAGAGTCCAATGCATGAGCGACAGGGGTGGATGCGCTCATTTCGCGTCCAAGGAAACAATGCGACGCGTCGAATCAGTGCGGGCGACGTATTGCGGAATGCTGTCCACCTTTTACCATCAGCCGCGTTGTACTGGGAAGGCTGTAACACGGCCAATGGCGTCTAGGATGGTTGTAGTTCCCATCCAGATCCGTGCGCAGACTACAACGCATGGTAGTAGTCTTGTCGGACCGAGCGCGGATCAGCTCAAGCCGCCAGACAGTATAGTCTGCCGTATTTGGACATTTTTGGATACATGTGGTCGTGCGACGTCCATCTACAACTAGCAGCGTCTACAACGTCAATGAAACCTATGTGGTTGGCTAACCTTCCTTTGTTGGTAGAATCCTACGGACCATGATAAGCTTCACGCTGCGCACCTTGGCCTGTTTAATTTACTAGTAATATAGAAAGCTGTCGCGTCAAGAAGTAACATAGATAATAAGCGAGTGGAACCTTTTTGCTAAGACTTAACTAAACTTTAAGCACACTATAACCTAAGTAACGTCACTATGTCTTCTTTACTAAAATAGCGCTAAGGAATCTTGCCCCTTAGAAAGCGGTTAAAGAATTAACTACATGCAATACTAGCTTGTTGCTAAGATACATCACATCTGCTGGGATTTTATAGTTGAAGTAGTGATCATCCTTCAAAGTGAATTTAAACCGGCGTGCCGCGGAACCCGTGCGACCAAAGAGGCGCAGCAAATGGCGCAGCGAATCGTCATCAACCCTACTTTTCTGTCACGCGTGAGCACAACTGTCCGTTATTCATGAATGTCACAAAGAAACCTCTAGTACATACGTATCTCAGTAAAAGTAAAGACTCTTCTGCTGTGTACCGTCCATTGTTCCGAAGGACAAAAAGCTCCGAGCGTTGCCGCAAGAAACTATGGACAAGCTCAGAATCCAACCCTCAGTGCGGTACAACCTTGGATTCTCTGCTCAGTCCAAAACGCCAATCCTTGCTTGCGATACACGTCTTCTTCTACATGTTCCTCATCGGCCACGAATACCATGTTTTGACCTGCGACTCGATAGTCCGGCCAATGCAGACTAGAGTTTCCAAAGTTAGGGTCTAGGCTATGTGCGAAAGATGCCCACGCTCCACTCATATGTTGAGCAAGGCGGGCATCGGAAGACCGTGGACCGTCAGGTTTACCGAACACGTAGCTCATCTATGTTGCGCGTCAGTCTCGGCGTTGATGCGAGTGAGAGGGTACGAATTGATGGGTCGACTTACCTCAGAACTGTGAGTTGCTCCAAAGAGTACAGATGAATGCCAGGGAACCTATGCGTATGGTCAGCTTGTTGATTCGAATTTTGTCGACCTTCGTAAGTCACCTGAGCGAATCTGTAGCTGTAGACTGGGTTGCGAGCTTGCGCATATAGCCCTGTCATCCAACGGCGAACCGAGTGCTCGATCGCATCGCCGAAGATCAAATAGCTCTAGGGTTCGGTATCAGCAGGAGCTCCATTCAAATGTAGTAGGACGAACCGTTTTATCCATAAATCCAGTGGGTAGCACGCCGGGGCCAGTGTTATGTGGGACACCGGCAGTTGGATCATCCGGGTATAATTCAAAAAGCTTGTTAAACGCGGAGCTTTGGATTGCATAGCTTGCTGAAGCTTATCAGTCCAATCGATCATGTCTGCAACGGGGCCATGACTTACATCCGTTTAGAACTATCAGCGCCTGCTCTATGTCCACTGTTGTGTTGGAACCGGGCTTGACAAGAATGTTGCCCTCATCGTCATTCACTGATGTTTTCTTAGCTTACTTCACTCGCTATTGTTAGCGAAAGTGTAAACTTACCACCCATTAGTAGTGGAACAGAGACTTGCTTTGCTTGATTGAACAACTCCACAGGGTGTGCCGTCATAAAGTTACCATCGATAGAAGGTAGGAATTGGTCGTAATGCTGTAAAGAAACGTTGAAAAGTATGTCGTTGTCGAGTGAGCGTAGACACGAGAAGTTTTCACAACCAGTCTTGTTGAGAAACGTTTGATAACGAGCCTCTCGAATGGATGATATATTCCAGTTGCATGGCACGTCGTAGAAGCTGCCACTCTGAACGATGGCTAGAGATGTTATCATCGGTATCGTATTTGAAAGAAGATTGAAGCTTACCTGCTCGGAAAAGGTGGTCATCTCGACCTCCATATGCGACGAGGTGTTGGAGGATACTAGTGCCACCAGCACTGCTTAAGGTCAGCATATCATTTGCATGCATAAAGCGACCCGCTAACCTTTGTCCCATGATGGTGACTTTCGAAGGAGATCCACCGAATGCAGCGATGTTTTCTTGTACCCATTGGAAAGCAAGTCGCTGGTCAAGCAAACCAAGATTCTCTACACCAAGAGAATGTGGTTCATCTCCTGAAGGGAATCCGTAAAACAAAAGTCTATACTGAATGGAGACGAAGATCTATAGAGGCCTTTAGTAAGCTCATACGATAAAGGGTGGCATTCAGGAATCTTAGATCACCCACAATTGGCGTGCTCTGAGCGACAGACTGCTGAACTAATGACGGCCAATGTTAGTCATGCTAGTTCCGCGAAAGGAACGAAGGGCATACCAATATAGCTTCCGTTCTCCGTAGGTGTTGCGGCGCTGCCTTGCCAGAATCCGCCGCCATGAATCCAGATTACGACCGGATGTTCGCTGGAATTAGCTATCGTGGAAGATGGACGGACTATATTTAGTGTTAAGCAGTCTTCACTGAATCTGGAACCTGAGGGGGGAGACCCTGTTCCGTGACAGACCGTGGAATAGTTGCTGTATGTGTTCTTAGGTCAGTGGCAATTGAATGAGCGTTCTACTCACCCGGCATCAAAAGCACCGTCGAATTCAGTTGTCCGACCAATCGAAATATTGAATCTGTGAGGGGGGTCCGCATATGGGATGCTGAGGAAGACATCCTGACTAAACTCTGGCAGCGAACGCCCGATGACGGTACCGTTTGTTATTGTTGCCGTTGGCCTTGATGCAAAGCAGCATCCCCCCATGGTAAGAACTAGATGAAAAACGGCGTATAGTCGCATGATTGCACGATCTCAAGTTCGCTATATTCCCAGGGTGAAAATGTGTATCAAACTCATGCTCACAAGAAAGGGTCATGGACAAGTACAGCGCTAGTTACACATCATCGTAATCTCCCACCGCATTGATTCAGTTGTCACTATCAATCTGCGGGGAGACTTCCTAAAGTGGGGAAATTTTCTCTAGTCTCCCAGGAAGTATGGAGACAGCATTTTGCGATGAAGAAGGGAACACATACCCGCTGTAGATGGCAGATACCCGAGAGGCGTTGGCGACAATAAGCGAGCCGAATCGACGCTGATAAAGCTAGCAGGGATTTACCCTGCACGCTGCCTCGGCATGATCTCAAGCGGTCCGTGTGATAAGGGGCCGGGTGGGGAAGTGTCGACCTGATCATTGGCACTTGCGCAAACTCCGATCCCCAAGAACAGGAAGGCTGCGATGTACTCCGGCAACATCTGGCCATGCCACGCAATCCGCGTTTGAGACGCGTACCTGATGACATTCGAGTTCGAGTTTCACGCGCGTAAGTGATCAGCTCATCTTGCGGCTCTGCGATACAGCAATCTCTCGCCGTGGCAACTGACACGCAATGCAGATGCGCAGTCTGTAGGGCTCGCAAGAGCCGCTGCATAGCACGAAATGTAGGTGCTTGCGAGAGGTGTGTGGAAAAGGGTGAAGAGTGTGATTTATATGCAGCTCAAGCGTCGGGTTCTCCCGCCACCAGCTCAAATGCCGCTGTCGACGGCCAGCAGATAGACAGACATCCTCCTGGCTCTGGACATGAAGACAAGGATGTTGGAACCCCCTCTTCGATGCCGACAGCTCAAGTTAGAGTCTTGGGCCGCTCCGCAGACAGTAATGTCTCACTTGCTGCGCCAGAAGCGGTTCAGACTTCGTTTGGGAAAAGCCCAACAGACTCGAGGTCGGACTGTGGAGCGCGATCGCCTGGTGAGCCGTCACCGGTCCCCAGCGTAGAACCAGAAGATGCTATTCTGATTGTAGAGGATTTCGATCGGACCCGTACGTGTTGAGTGTGACATTAATACATTTGCGTTCTATATGCTCACTTTCGTCTAGAATATACTGGTCTCCGTTCCAATGAGAGTTTCCTTCTTTGTGTTCAAGATGTTTTGCATTCCACTACCCGAAAGAGGGTCCTAGATTCAACCAACCGAAGCTCGTTGGTATGTCGTATATCCGATAGCTAATGTTAACAGTGAGGTTGCTTTTATTAACGCCGTGTTAGGAAATGGCCAACATCGTCAGGCCACCGCCTGTTCACAGTAAAGAGTCAATCGAGGCAATGAAGGCGTTCCCTCCTCAAGAAATCGCTGCATTCCTTGTTTCCACGTTCTTCTATTACGTCGAAGCAACGTTCTTTTATTGCGACAGAGAGTGGTTCTATACTACTCTCAACAGCTATTACTCCGGCACCTCATCCGGAAGTGCAATTGACGATGCATTTATTTGCTTCGCTTTGCTTGTCTTTGCCTTCGGTAGCCAATTTGCGCATTTGAGATCCCGACCTACATCCAACGACCCGCTTCCTATAGACCTTGGAAAGAAATTCTACGACAGTGCTCAGAAGCTTATTCCAAGGGTCATTGACACATGCACTCTGAAGGGAGTCCAAGTGTGTCTACTGGCAGGTCTGTACAAGTTGCCATACAACCTGCCAGACACGTCCTATCTCTACCTTGGAATGGCTATGAGGATGTCAATTGCCAGTGGGCTGCACCGCAAGACATTAGCCGTGACATTAGATCCTCGAATTACGGAAGTTCGCAATCGTTTGTGGTGGAGTGTTTATTCTATAGACAAGTATGGCACATCCTTTCTTACGATTGACCTCAGCTAATGCTGTCTTAGACGCACAAGTATTGCTTTAGGTCGGCCTTCTAGCATCGCAGAAGACGCGATCGATGCACCCTTTCCTAAATATCATCCGTCGTTGGACAACCTCGAATATCAATCGAACGTGCAGCATCAAGTTGAATACTTGAAGTTAACGCGTATCGTTTCGAAAATCGTGCAAAACATGTAAGCGAAGGCCTCAAAAGCGATTGTTCGATGCTGACGATCACGTAAGTCCTCTCGAATCGAAGCCACCATGCATCAAAGATCTGTCAGAACAATTGAAGGAGTGGCGATCTCAGCTTTTCTCCAATCTCCACCCCAACGACCTGCTTCCTAGCGAACGGAATTTTCGTACAACCGTTCACCTGCATATACACTATCACTGGGCATGGATCCTCATGGGCCGTGCCTCCCTTCTCCAAGTCTCGCGTGAACGCATTCAAGCTTTATCGGACTCTGCAACCCCCGCACCGGAACAGCCTCAAAGTCGGACGGACCTTGCGACCCTCTGCGTCGACGCTGCGAAGGCGACGATTGAGCTAATACTGGTCTTGAAGAAACATAACTTGCTCTGCCGCTTCTCGTTCACAGATCATCATGCTTCAGCTGCAGCATTGATCATATTGATACTCCATAGTATCCTGCAGCACGGAGACGAGACGAGCAGAATCATAGACGATGGCGTTGACATGTTACGTTACATGGCACATGGAGGCTGCCGTGGAGCTTCGTCGGATCTTCATACTATTGAGCAACTCAGGCGACTTGCTTCCGACTTGCGTCAGAAAATATACCGAGGTCAAGGCGGGCTTTCAGTTGGAGGCTCCATGCAACCAACATCTATAACGGCCTCATATCAAGCTTGGGTGAACTGGATGTCAGAGCAAGAGTCATCTAGAAGTCATGAACCGCGGCCGGACAACTTGTGTTCTCAACTCGATCCAGAAACTCTGCCGAGCGATTCTGGGATACGCGCTCACGAAAGCCCTCCCATGTACGAAGCCGGCCCCAATAACAACATGCTTGACACTCTGGACTATCGCTGGCTTAATCAGGGAAATGCTAACTGGAACTTCGATGCATTCAACGGATCAACTTTTCAAGGAGAGGTTCCTCGAGGATTTGAGTGGGATGACGGCCGGCTAGACGTACTGGATATGACGCAGCTTCTTGGAGGCTACACCGGGCAGACTACCTATGGTCAGGGTTGAGCATACTCTGACCATCATGTATCGCACGGGCAAAATCACAACTCCAGGCAAAGACATCAGATTCGATCTAAGGAATCCGATAAACTTTATTCTATAAACGGCCGTACCTCGTGAGCATCCTCATCAAGCAAGCTCCATCTACTTGTACACACTCTACCGTCTTTAATGACAGCCAAGAGATTTCTCTCCGGCTGTGCCAAAACCGATATGTCTTCCAAAGGATTTGCGTTCAAAATCAGCAAATCCGCAGCGAAGCCTTGCTTGATCTGCCCCAGAAAGTTTTCCTGCCGCATCATCTTGGCGGGGGTGATGGTCGCGCTTTGTAAGATTGCCAGAGGAGGTAGCACTTTACTTCGGATGGTGAACTCATCGAGCTGGCTTATGCCGAGATGTCCGAGAAGATCAGAACCGTAGCATATGTTTACCCCAGCGTCCGCAGCAATTTTAAGACCTCGCAGCCCTGCCACGTATACCTCCGAATTTTTCTCCATGGACTCGGCTGGCATGTATCCAGCAAACTTTTCATCGCCCATCGCAGTGTAGGTTACCAGAGTTGGGGTGAGATATGCGCCCTTCTGGGCCATCAACTCTGCTGTCTCCTTATCAATCATGTTACCATGCTCGATACCCATTACCCCGTTCTCCATCGCTTGCCGAATGGATTGCGGGGTATACGCGTGAGAAGTCACATACGTCTGGCTGTTTATGGCGACTGTTGTAATGGCGCTGATTTCTTCCGATGTGAACTGAACATTGTCGATACGGTCTGTCGGGCTGCAAACACCACCTCCCCCCATGATTTTGATAAAGTCGGATCCGGTTCGAATGTTTTCGCGAGTTGCGCGCAAGCACTCTGGTACACCGTCGCAAATAAAGGATGGGAAATTTGATGAGCCGCCGCCGCAGCATTCAATGTTTGAGTGGTCATGAGAGCCTCGCGTATCTCCGTGCCCGCCTGTCTGGCTTAAGAAATTGCCCGCGATAAACAATCTAGGACCCTGGATAAGGCCATCTTCGATCGATTGCTTGAGAGACAATTGCGCTCCGCCGCAATCTCTTACTGTGGTGAAGCCTCTATCGAGCATTTGCTTACAAACATGCGCGTGTCTGTAGGCTGATGTCGTTGGGTTCAGAGATTTAGTATCTTGCCATTGTATTTCGCCAGGTACTGCAATGATGTGGACATGGCAATCGAACAATCCCGGACAGAGGTATTTTCCTCGAAGATCGACTCGTGTCGCAACGTCAGAAAGATTGGACGATTTGAGCATGCCCTTGGAGCTGTGTTGAAGCTCGACCTTTTCGATTCGTCCTCCGGACAATTTGACAGTAGCATTCTCGTGAATTACGCCGGCCTCGACATCCACTAGGTTGACATTGGTGAAGATATAGGCTTTTTGTGCTGGAGGTGTCCACGGCTTAAGCAGTTGTCCGTGGTATGAAGATGCAGATACCATGGCGTCAAGGAATATGCTCGGTAACAAATGCGTGAGAAACAGCGGAAAATGGGTGATGAAAGCCAGGAAAATGAGCCGATATCACTTCTACTGTCTTAAGGCACCAGATCACGCCGGATTGCCGTTCTGCTTACTCAATTGATAGTCATTGATTTTTTCCGAGCATTGTGGATATTGAACGGGTCTGCTCCGTGCTGTTGTTCGTCTCCCATCCGAGCGGGTATTGAAAGTTGGAGCTCACGCGTGGTCAGGGTACAGATACCCGACCCGAGTCATACTTTAGCATCGGGTATATGTGCTATCTTTGAGAAGTAGGCCCTTCTAGCTAGTGAGCTGCTAGCTTTGTGGATAACTCCCCGCATTCCAAGCTCCTGGCAAAACCAAACTTCGTGTGTTCCGGCACCACAGGTGTGGAAATGTATCGTCGCATACCGTCGTGGTCAGTGCGCTATGCCGAATACGATAGCGGCACATTTATTTCTCCATGATTCACTGGGCAGATAGTATCGCGTGTGTGACTTGTGTTCGGCACAGGCAGCGTCTAGCTTCGCGCGGCTTCAATCCCTGCCAACGTTCGGCAAAGTAGCCTGATAGCGACGATACGCCTTATCCTGACTATCCATATATCTTACTTGTCGTGACCAGAACCTTGAATTTGTTGGACATTAAGACTGTACTTCAACAGATTCTAACATTTCTCGTCAATCTCGTACTTGCCTTCGACGCCAACATGGCAAATCACATCGCCAGCGATGAGAAGGCACAGCCAGATACTGCCTTGACCAATGACACGCAGTCAAATTCAGAGACTGAAGATCTCGCTACGTTGGCTCTGGAAAAACGCGTCCTCAAAAAGACTGATATGGTAGTTTTGCCAATGGTAACCCTCCCAGTGCTGCTTTTGCGACGACACAGGCTTATAACCTCGATCGATACAGATGTGCTTCGTTTTCTTCTTCCAGTGTAAGATCAGGATCCCTGACCAAGGAACATGTCTCTGACAAATGAATAGATCTAGACAAGCAGAGCCTGAGCTATGCATCAGTGTATGGTCTTATCACTGACCTGAACTTGAGGGGCAACCAGTTCGCATGGACCTCTTCCATATTTTACGTTGGACAGCTTGCTTCTGAATTCCCGTTCATCTACCTCATGAGCCGCTTCAGACTGTCTAAGTTCGTTGGAATTACGATGTAAATCCATCATCGCCAGATTATGCATCCGATGACTAAGTTCCAACAGTGTTGTCTGGGGCGCAGTCTGTATGTGCCTTGCCGCTCCAAAAACATACCATCAGTTCTTAGCTGTGCGCTTTTTTCTAGGAGCAGCAGAAGGGGCAGTCAGTCCAGCCTTCATCACCATTACAAGCATCTGGTACAAGAAAAGCGAGCATGCGCTACGCATAGGGTACGTCGCGAGAAAAGAGGAACAGAGACGGCAAGCTAACAGAATGTGTAATAGTTGCTGGATTACATGCAATGCTCTTGCGCAAATCGTCGGCTCTCTACTCATGTACGGCATCGGAGAACACAACAAATCATCGCTGGCATCTTGGAGACTTATGTTCCTTGTCTGTGGGATATTCACCTCGCTCTGCGGAGTAGGTTTCTATTTCGTCATGCCCGACGGTCCTGATACGGCTTGGTTTTTGACCGCGGAAGAGAAGGTCGCTGCTCGTCATCGGCTCTCTGAAGATCACGACGGCGGCGACAAGACATCTTTTTCTATGGCACAACTCAAGGAGGCTGCATTCGACTTCAAGACATATGCTGCGTTTGCTTTCGGTATCCTCGTCACTGCTCCGGCTCCAGTGCTTACTGTAAGTCAGCCCTTTGAAGACGCCATACTCGTACTAACAATTCTTCTTAAAAGTTCGCGTCTTTGATCATCAAACAACTCGGCTATACGTCTGGCGACACTCTACTGCACGGATCGCCCTCAGGAGCGATTCAGATTGTAGCCATATGGATTGGAATCACCGCGTGCTTGATATGGCCCCAGAAACGTTCTCTTGTCATCATCGGACTCGTTTCGATACCCCTGGCCGGATGTATTATGCTGCTAGTACTACCTCTACAAGGCTGGCCCATAATCATAGCGGCTTGGCTCGGCTCTTGCATCTCGAGTATCTTCTCGCTGACCATGAGTTTGAACGCGTCTAATATTCGGGGCAACACGAAGAGATCCGTCGTCAATACAATGTATTTTGTTGGTTACTGTTCTGGCTGTATTGGATTCCCACAGCTGTGGACGACGGATACTGCGCCTCGGTATACTGCCGGCTTGATTGTTTCGGTGGTGGATTGGGTTCTTCTTATCTTGCTTATGGCGTACTATTGGTACCACGGATGGAGTGAGAACAAGAGGAGGGACAAACTTGAGAAAGAGTCGACTGTCACAGTATACGAGGCTGGTGCTGATGTTACAGACAAACAGGACTTGACTTTTAGATATTCTCTATAGTTGTCGATAGTGTTGTAGAAGAAAAGTTGTTCTTCGCCGTCGGGCTTGGATTGTCCGAATCTGCGAAGGCAGTAGCGCGAAGCCTAACATTAAGACTATAACGTAGGTGCATAGTGAGTGACGCACTTTTGCTAAGACCTGACTTAAACTACAACTACATATAACGTAGGTAATAAGCGAGTAGAACCGTTTTACTAAAACCTAACTAAACTTTAAGCACACTATAATACTTTAACTAAGTAACATAAAAAAGACTTTAGATAAAAGAAATATATAGCTTACTTTATAAGCTATTTAATAAGATACAATACTTAAGCTATAACGTGCTATAGCTACTTATAAGTCTCTACAATGACGCTGCTCACTCCGCTTGCCAGAACCACCATCATTACAAGCTGGCTCTTAGTGGGAGTCGCATGCGCGTCCTTTGCACCACAGATTGCTTCGCTCCGCATCCAAAGAAAGAATGTTTCTGCAGGCGATGGCTGCCTCTTTGCTGCTTTTATCGTGGGTGTCCTCGTTGTTGCACAAACAACCTGGGCCTTAATCGACGAAGGTGCAGGAAAGCATCTCGCAGACCTGGCAGATCAGAATATAGCTGCGGCAGCAAAGGTGATTTGAGTCTCCAAACCCTTCGTATCGAACTCTAACGCAGTAAGTCTCTCGTTATTAGTGAAGTGCTCTGGTCAATCTGCGGCTGCTTAACACGAGTGTCCGGCTGCTGCTTCCTGGTAAAGATATTCTTTCCTGCGAGACCGCTGCTTTACATCCTGGTCCTAATTCTGTGTCTTTGCATAGCGCACGGTGTTGCTTCCGTGCTTGAGACCTGTCTCATCTGTCGTCCACTAGCCGCGCAGTGGAATCCTCTAAGCGAAGGAGCTTGTGGGAATCAGATAGCTTCATTCACTGCGATCGAGGTATCTGCCCTAGTGCTTGACCTTGCTATACTTGGCTCACCACTACCCGATATATTCTCACTTCACATGAGCCGAGCTCAAAAGCTTGGGATCATATCCATGATAGACTCTGGGGCTTTGTGAGTAATGTTCGGTCAACGGTCAGCGGTGTACTAATGTCCTTATAGGATACTCGTCGTGACAGGCTTACGACTCAAAGCATTACATCTTGCAACGTCGCCTGACTTTACGTATTCAAAAAGCTACCTGGGCTTGCTGTCCGCTCTAGGCTCGATGTTGGGTATATTCTTGTGCAGTTTGCCAGCTCTGTGGGTCATGGTCTCCTCTCGGCAGGTTGCCAGCACTGACGGGCATAAATCCAAGACGAATGCACCCGAAGGGCGTGGAACTAGAGTTATTACCCATATGACGCCTGGTCAAGAGGGGTAGTCAAATCTGGAAGGCCTGAGTGGAATGTGTGACCTAGTGACTCGACATCACCAGGAATTTGGGATTAAGTCTTTGTAAAAAGGAGCAGCGCGTAACTCAGGATTCGCGTCGTAGTTGTATTTCAGCACGTGACTGGTCTGTCCCGAAATTCCACATACGGAGCGAAAGAGTTCCTGTCACGCTGATTCAAAACTGCAGCGATTCGATTGGCTAACCCACCTCCATTTGCAGCCATAAGTCCGGTCCTTGCGCGACGAACGTATAACGACATCACTTTTCAGTGCCAACTGGTTGCATAAGACATACCATATGGCTGGCTCGTCCTGGTGGCTTACTCGTTCATCAGGCTCTCCGATGATTATTAGGCGCGATCGTATTGGCTTGTCTAGATGGCAACACATGGTACACATTCACCGGACCGGAAGCGGATTAGTCGAAGCCGAACGACAGCATAGTTCGCCGTTTCCAGACAAACTCAGCATGTAGACTGACCAAAGGTATGTGTACTTGTGCTAGATGTGCGATTTTTACGTTTGAGGTTGCTGGCGATAATCCAGTATTGAACCGTGGTAGAGATTGTGTTCGCTTTAGCCCGGTCCCTGGTAACAACTGTGAATCCAGCCATCGATGCCCCTAAGTCCTTTCCCACGTGTGGCTGTCCCTCCTCGTTCCTCAGCTCTCGCAATCATCGATGTATGAACTGAAGGCGCGGGTATACTAAAGCCACCAAGCATGACCGACACGGAAAGAGCAAGATGAACTGGAAATTATTAGGGCAGATAAGCAAGGTAATTCTATGACAAGTACAAAAGACACGAGGCTAAGGAGCTGCCTCTTGTTCCGCGCCTTGATCGCCGAAGCGATGTGTTCAATTTGGATCAGGTAGAAAAAGAGAGAAAAGCAAGGCATATGGAGAGAGAAGCTCACAGCCTAGACATCAAACGAAATGATCGACCATGGAATCCAATAGCTCCAGCAAGCCGGTATGCCGCCGTCCGTGTTGTACTTTTGTCCATCCGCCCCGCTTTTGAAATGAAATGCAAGTCGATCCCCAAACACCCCCATCCTAGGTATCGAACTCCGTCAAATGAGGTTTTCCGTCTATACGCATCCGAGCCGTAGGTAGCCTGCAAATGCCACAAATTCTTAATCGACCGACGCTGTCCAACTCCCCGAAAGCCAATCTTGCCCACGCCAGCCTGTCCGAAGAAACCATCCCATATCAAATTGCACCGCAAGATCCGCGCTCCAGATGATCGATACCTATTGTACGGAAGTGAATTAAGCCGGCGACTTGTTCGCCGGGTTAGAGACGTTGCGGCGGTCGTCGTTCATAGTAAGAGACCCGAAGCCACTCGAAAGGAAAGCGAAGGGATCGTTGCGGCCATCACCGCCATTGACGGCACCCTGACTGGGGTAGGGGTCGGCGGAAGAGAACGCGGCTTCAGCTGAGCGACTGTCGAAAGGGGTTGAGTGCATGCCGCCGTTGGGCACGTACTGCGCACCCATAGGAGGGTAAGGGCTAGCGGCGCCCATACCGGATGGCAGAGCGTAAGAGCTCGGAGGACCGCCGTACTGTTGAGCTGGGAAGCCACCGCCACCGTAGCCAGCTGGACCGTAAGGACCGCCGCCGGGAGTGCCACCCATGGAGGGAGGGCCCATACCGAAGCCGGAAGGAGTGTCCATGGGCGAAGGGAATGCAGAGTCAGCCACAACAGCAGCACCTGCACGGCTCGCACCGCAGCGGAGACAGGCGGTGTTCTTTGCGAAGTTGTGGTAACCACAGCCGTTCTCACCGCACTTCCAGTCTCCAGCCCTGAAGGGTACAGCGCCAGTGCCTCCACGCATGTGGCCGCCACCCATACCGTGGCCGTGGCCGTGACCGTGACCCATGTGATGTTGAGGGGGACCCATCATGCCAGGGTGACCACCATATCCGTAACCGCCGTAAGCCATGGGATCACCACCTGGTGGGCCCTGTTGCATGGCGGGGAAAGAGCATCGGAAGCAGGCGGTACGACGCTGGAAGTTGGAGAAGCCACACGAGGGGCAGTTCCAGTCACCGGGACGAGGACGGTTCTTGCTAGGGGGGAAGGGAACGATGATGTCGGAAGCGCGGTCAATGACCCGGCTCGAGGACGGCGAGACCTCGATGGCCTTCTCGTTCAACGCGCGACCGTTCATACAGAGCGACTCGGCAGCCTATTCAATGTTAGCACATGGAAGAACGAAGATTGCTAATGCAGTACATACCTCTTCGTGGGAGGAGAATATAGCAAAGCCAGTTCCAGTGGGCTTATGCTGGTCCGGAGTGCGCAGAGTCCAGAACGCAATAGGACGTCCGCCGAATTGGGTGAACCAGCTCTCCAGCTCGGATTGAGTAGTATCGTGTGGAAGGCCGCTCATGTGCAGGACTTTGCTTCGCTCCGACAGGAAAGCGCGAACGTCGGCGCGGGCGTCCATGGGCTTGGTTAGAACGTCAGGGTGATCCTGGGGTGGTTGCGACTTGCGAATAAGTCCGCGAAGCACACGAGCAAGCGTGACAGCCTCTTCCATGGCCCGGCGGGGCGAGGCGGGCGCGAGGGCTTGCAAGTGAAAGGGCAGGTTGTGTTTGATGGGGGCCGACGACTGGACAGGCTCTACCTCAAGCGCCGCACAGATGTTTGTCAGGGCGCTGGAGCCGAATGGAAGCGACTCTGGGTGGTGTGCCTGCCACCTCTGGTATTCTGTGCGCAGGTCGAAGGTACGAGAGTGCTGGAGGTAAGGAGGGAGAACGACGGCCTTGTCGCGGGCTTCGCGAGGCAGCTGGACGCGGAGGTCCCACGAATCTAGTGTGACGAACGCGAACTCGAGGTTCTTGGGTCCGATATGTTCATTATAGAAATTGCCGAAACGGTCGACAGCGTCGCGGAAGGAGCCGGCGTTACGAACTTGGTCCCATGTGAGGGTCGTCAAGCTGGCTGTGCAGGATTCGACGTCAGCGAAATTGCACAGATTGTGGACCATGGAGGTGAAGAGCAAACTTACTGCATAGGGCCGTGATTGGCGTATTGACAGGTTTGACGAGGACCGACTCGCGATGCAGCTGTTGTTGAGTTAGCGGTTTCGGTCTGCATTGGATCTGACAGACGTACCTCTTCGCACGACTTTGCATCGAGCAGGATCCAACCGAGCTCAATGACCTCGGCAGAGTCTTTGGTGACATATACGCCGTGCTCGTCGCAAGTGGTAGCCACATGGATTACAACGTAGCGGTCCAGGTTGGCCGCCTGGGGGCTGGGGGTGGGTTGAGAAGCCATATCTATGTTGCTGGAAGGGTCAAGATTAGCCTGGTATCCTTGAGTATCTCAGGTCACGCTGGCAATTGAGATTCTTGAGGTTCCGGCGGGCGAGGTCTGTGGGGGAAGGAGGCTCGAGGTTCGGCGTAGAGCGAAGGCGCGACGGGCGAGTACGTCAGCGGGGAGCCCAAGGTGAATGGTGAAGAGGAGTGGGGAACAGCTGGCAAGCTGTGAGGGCGTGAAGAGGAAAACGGAGCCTCGAGGTGACGGAGGATACGGTGAGATGAAACCAAATGCTACGAGATGGGGACGGACGACCTGAGGCTCCGTGCAATGATCCCGGGCAGATTTCTTGACGTGGATAGCAGAGCTAAGGCACAACTTCCAGATCTTGGCGGGAGCTCGACGTTAGTCCGCCTAGTGCCGGGCATGTCAGAGCGATGTGGGATATAGTGTGACGGTGCTGCAATTGCAATCTGTTCACGGCTTTTATGCTGGTTGATGCTGCCATTGACGTCTCTCTTACCATTACTTGTCCCGCAGTGGTCTTGCAACGTCACGAAGCAAAGCTAATTTCAACGTCGTCGCTCCAAATTTCCAGACGCAGGACGGCGTGCAGCAGGCCATGCCACGAGTAGGGCGGACAGCAGCTCCCGCAGCCGCTCGGCAAAGCTGTCTGTACCCATCTGAAACACTCTCCGCCCTCTCATTCAATGTTCCACGCGTCTGCTGGAGGCTCTCGCGTGTGCTGCGCCTCGACCGTGCCACGTTGTGCCGCCATGGTGATATTGATCGATACCGCGTGTGCTCGTCTTGAACAGCGGCGTGCTGCATTCGAGTTGTGCTTTTGCTGCTCGCCGTGCCGCTTTGGGCCACGGAGACTACTGCGTAATCAGGGTCCAACTGGCCAGCTGGCCCATCTTGACCGCGCGACGTGCCCTCCGTCTTATGCAACGGGGCTGCTCTGCGCGCACTGGTCGCTGGCGTCAAGCGCCTCTAAGTCCGCCTCTAACGCCGCGCGCATCCCGCCCTCGACGACATGGCCGCGAAGTAGTCGCTCTTGTAGTAGTGCACGCCAATTCTGTACCTAAAACATAAGTTCAAGACATGCAGAATATCGCCGTGGCCCCCTCCGCCCATGCCGCTTGGGCTCGCCATCCGGGAACCCCTGGCGATCTTCCCATTCCCGCGGAGCCCTGGAGCTGGGGCCATGCTCACGTGACGCGTAGATTATCGCCCGCTGCTCGTACTGCCGAGTAATAGCACGGGGGCAGGAGGATGATGATCTTCGAGCCTTGCTGACACGTACACGTACAACAAGCACTAGCCCTGTCAGCGCGCCGTTGGATTCTTTGTTGCGGGAAGTTCCTACTGCTTGGACCTGCCCCTTAAACGCGCTGCTCCCTCTGCTCTGTCCATAGGAGCTCGAGCACCCTCACTGACTGACTGTTCTCCGCAATCCGCCTGCAATTTGCCATTTATGCTCTTCAGTTTCGTCCCGGGCCCGCTTCCACGTACCGGGGACCTTGCACCTGCATTGCGGCTTTAGCAATTACCTGGGTCTGGCTGAGGCTTGTTACCAATCCAAGCATGCCTTCTCGGCAACGGGGATTCACATCTTCCCCGCAGCTTGCCAACGGACGCGAGTTAGTATTCACCTTTCCACTTTTGAAACAACGGACTGCGCTGCACCACCTCAAAAGCAAATGTTCGACGCCTACATGGAATCCGTCCCCTAATACCTTTCCAGTTCATCGCGAGGCATCATGGGCTTCTTCAAGCGCTTCCGCCGCCAAAAAGCCTCCAAGAAGAGCGAGTCGCGTCCGCGCAACGACCTCTACGCCCCCGCAGTATATGACTACCACGGCCCCGACCAGACGCAACGCCTTCCCGATAAGGTCCTCCGCCGCATCTTCGAAGAAGTATGTCCGCATTCGGCCGATGAATCCCTCGACGGCAGCGAGGACAGCGGCAATGACGGCTGCATGAGTTGTGACATGCGCGACCTGGCCCATTGTGCCCTGACCAAGCGGCAATGGTACGGTGTCGCTGCAGGTCTACTGTAAGTCCCACATGCTCAGTGCACCAGGCTACCCCCTAACGCGCTCCAGCTACAACAGCATTCGCATTGACGCCGTCCACTATTGCGAGCTCGAGGAGGTCTACGCCGACCAGCGCCGGCGCAAGTCGCGAAACGGCGATGACATCGACGCCCCCACGCTCCGACTGCAGCAGCTGGGCCAGAGTGTGCGTGGAAACCAATACCTCGGCCAGCGCGTGCGCTTCATCAAGCTCCCTTACATGACGCGTGAGGCGTGCAAGGCTGACCTGGCGCGAACCGTGTCGGGCTGCCCGAACATCGAGTTCATCGACCTCCCGGACGGCTTCTACAATGGCGATCAGTCGTGTCAGTTGCTGCGCCAGGAACTGCAGGCGCGTTGCCCACACATCCGGAAGATGAAGTACAACGAAGGCGGAGAGCAGTCGCTAGAGACGCTCCTCCAGGGCTACTGGCAGGAGCTTATCTCGGTCGAGCTCAACAAGATCCAGATAGAGCCCAGCATTCTGAGGCAGGTCTTCGGCGTGCTGCCTCACTTGAAGGAGCTCACCATCACCGGCGTCTCGTGGCTGAACGATTCGACCTTCCACGACGCACCGGGAATCCCCAACTTTCCTGCACTAGAAACCCTCAAGCTCACCAAGGCACATGGTGTTACCGCAAACGGACTCGCACAGTACCTCTACAACCCAATGTGCAGCGGCAGACTGCGGACCCTCATATTGAAGGATTGCGGTGGCATCCCTGTACCCTCCCTCCACATCATTCTGCAGGCAGCAGTCAACCTACGGACGCTCGAATACAACGCCACAGTTTCTGCCTCTCTTCCCTTGGACCCGATACCACCCATGACGTCGTACACGCTACACAAGCTCCATTTCGAGGTCATCTCTAGCTCCGCCCACCAAGCCTACCCACCAAGTGCATCGTGTTACCAGTACCTAGCCAACTCGCTCATTGCGAACTGCATGCCGGCGCTGCGACAGCTCTACGTGCGCGATCCCGAATTCCCAGAGGTCTTAACACTCGCGCCACCGATTCGACCGTTCAGCGAAGCACCGCCGCCAATGTTCAATCAGCCTCTCGAAGTCTACTCCAAGGGTCTGGATGAGCTAGATTGGATCTTCACATCCATCATGCCGCCTGAGGCACAGGGACGCCGAGCATCAGTATCAGTTGGTCGACCATTGAGCAGCTATTCAGCACACAAGGGCCTCGGACCCCAATGGGGCGGAGATGCTCGTAAAAGTATTGTGGTACCAAACGGCTTCGGAGGTTTCTTGGCCGTGCCTGCAGACAACGATGGAAGACCACGAAGTGCAGGACACATGGCGCCTAGTGGAGGCTTCGGACACGGCTACTCCAACTCGCTTGGTGGCAGAGAGCCCAGCCCACGCGCCAGCTGGATGAGCCATGCGGGCCGCGAGAAGCGGGCCTCAAGGGCGGACCTCTGGCGATGAGTCGGGCGACTGCGACCTGCATCGCTCTTGTTTCTTTCCTTGCATTCTCCTTTCACTTCTCACTTCTGGATACCCGTCCATTCTTCTTTTCCTTCATAGGCGATCTTTGTAAGATATCAAGTGGAGATTTTTAGTTTTTTTTTATCTTACTGGGGTACGGTGCGATTTTGGACGAATCATTGACGTTTGAATATCTGGATGGCACGAACGAAAATACCTCTAACGTGGGACACGGGGTACAGTTGGCTATCTGTATATAAGAGATAGCTGCAAAAGCCTCGAAAAGCGGCGGGGTCTGGGATCTCGTCACCATCTACGTATCAACGCATGCGCTTGCTATCAATACTGTGATGTCGTACCTTGGCATGGTATTCTGATATCACCAGATCATCTGGCCAGGCCTATGATTGTGACCACACCTCATTGCAAGGAAAAGAAATTGAACGCTCACCTACAGCAGAGAAAAGAAGTTAACATTCCAGAAGTTTACAATGCGTGAAGACTTCGCTGACTTTCGTTTTGGAACCAGTGTAGACTGCCGTATCCAGTTTTTCCTTGGAATGGGGTGATCAGGCATTAAGATGAGTCTATAAGCCAGTGGGTATCATCAGAGAGGTGAAGGGTGATCAAGCAGTATCAAGACTGCGCCCCACATTCTCCAAATTCGCATCCCATCCAGCTCCCCTCCTCCATGACCGCATCAATCGGACATTCTCCGCTCTGAACTGCATTTCTCACACTCTCCTTGACCAGACGCCTCATCTCTCCATCCGTCTCCTCAACCCACAACTGCCCATGCCTAGCCCCACAACCCAGATTCCACGTCCCCCGTCTCTCTTCCTCGTTCTCCTCACCACCTGTGTCCGCCCTAGATATCTCCAATTCCCCAAGCCCATGATGAAGCAGTTCTGGGGACACACTCCAACACTTCCAATCTCGGTCCCTACACGCGCTCAACAGTGCAACATCGTATGCCGAACTGCCACCTTCTGGTTCCTTTGAAAAGGCAGATATGATCATGGCGGCAGACCGGCGGTTCACGGCGTAGGCGAAAGTACAAAATGGCCAGAAGCTTCTGCGTAGGAAACGAGCCTGTGAGGGTATAGATAAAGAAGAGAGGGATCTGAGAGTGGCGGATGAAAGTGTCGAAATCAGTGTCGTCTTCGATGATGAGAGCTGTTTCGTGGTTTAAGGCGAGGAACCTGTCATGTTGTCAATCCATTGTTCCATGTTATTCGTTTTCTAGATCCAGCGTACCATCTCAAAATTTACAAATGTGACAACCAGGCTTTCGCACTTGCATTACTTAGACTACTTTCTTCTCTCGCCTTCAGTCCTTCGACATCGACCACCTGCCATTCCTTCTGTCGGGGGATCACAATCTCGATATCTGTTAGGTTGGCAGTCCATAGGAGACTTTGTCGACGGGGTGAGCTGGAGTGGGAGACTGCGATAACAGCACCGAAACCGAGCGTAGAATTGGCTAGTGGCATATATTCAGGTACCTAGGTGATTGGGTGAGACCTCCATGGTGAAGGGAAGCCGTATGCAAACACAGCAAGGACGCTCATTGCGAGAGAATTAGATACCTAGGTACTGTCATCGAACTCGACAACATCCTCTTCACAGTTTTGTTTAGTTTCTCGAGGATTTTCTCTGGTCTTTGCCTTTGGATGTGCTCTGCGCTTCCGACTAAATTTTTGAATGATGCTTTATCGATTCCATTTCGATAACTTTCAGACTCACCTAGCGTAACCTGTCGTTCATGTTTTCTTAAGTTGCTGCAAGATTACAGTACGAGGAACACTAGCGTTCCAAGATCCAGCGTGTTGTGAAGCAGGTTCCACGTTTTGTCAGATACTCAGTACCGAAATTGTTGGTAATGTAAAGCCGGGAGACTACACAAACAGGCCTGCTGTGGCTGATGCATGGCAACGTGTAATAATAATGCGCGGCAGGGCGGTACTTGCGGCGGGTGTGCGGCTAGATTTGGCCGAAACAGCTAGGCGGGCATGGCCAAACACGCAGCTGAGCCGGCGCAGCTATTGTTAGCGCCACAACGGCCGCCCTTGCTGCATCAAGTAAGAGTCCAGCCAACCTTGTCCCCCTGAGAGGACCACCTCCATTGCGATGGTGCAAGACTGGGTCGCTTGCTTGACGTAGTGATTGGACTTAGGTACTGGAATCTCATGAATTAAACAGCCGAGTATCCGTGTGCACCTGTCGCTCCCTGTTGCTTCTTCCCACTCCCTGCGCCGCTCCCCCTCACTTGGTGTATGCCCTCCACCCTCTGTCTCCTATGTCCCTTAGCTGTCGTCGCACAGGCACGCAAAGTCGTGTCGCACAGCAGCCTAGCACAACATGGCCACCGAAACAATACCCTCGTCGGCGGCGGCAGCCCCCAAGATGTCCCGTTATAGGAGTGTGAGGCGGGCGCAAGAACAGCAGACGCAGCAGCCAGGTCAATACCAACAGGACCACACTTCGCCAGGCGTGCCAGGCGTGCCAGCAGTGCCTCCCATGCCGGCCGTGTCCGAAATGCAGCCCCAGAGCGATGCGCCCATCAGCAGAAGCATGAGCCGCTACCACCGCCGACCAACTACCTCGCACGCGACCAGCCCGAATCCCCCACCACTCCGCTCGAACACGGTTCAGGATGCCCCTCCGCCCCTTCCCGCGCAACTACCGCCCTCTACACCCCGGAACCGTGCCTTGAGTTCGCCGTACCAATCGTCGCATTCCGCAAACACCGGCCAGCGTCGGCCCAGGACCGCTAGAACCCGCACAACAGAGGCCTCACCGCCTGTCTCCAACGCGCCGCGGCAGCAGTCGCTCAGAGGTGATGACAGCGCGAGAGAGGTCTTGCAGCGGGAGAAGGAGAGACAGCGACAGCTCAAAGAAAGATATGAGGCAGAGGCGCGCGCACAGAAGCAGGCCAAGCAGGCCGAGCTGGAGAGAATCGAAAGGACGCGACACGAAGAGGAGGAAGCTGCGCGCTTAGAGACTCAACGAGAGATGGAAGAAGCCGAGGCCCTGCGCCGGCAGCGGGAAGAACAAAGAGCCGAACAAGAACGTGGCAGACGATTACGAAAGGCCGAGAACCAGAAGGTCCTTCAACAACGGGAAGAGGGAGTTCGCAGGGCGAAGCTCGAAGAGAAGGAGCGGCAGGCGACCCTCACAAAGCTTGAGCAGAAGGCCCGAAAAGCTCCGTCTTCGTCCCCTCCAGTATCGCCACCGCGGCAGCAGGAGACAGGATTCGGAATGTTCAAGAGGAGAAAGGATGAGGCTTTGGGCCTAGATGCCCCTGTGCAACAACCAGCTCCGCCACAACTGAGTCTTAATCTTGGAGAGGAGGAAACTATCAGACCCGGCGGAGGTGGCATCGTTCTAGGCATCGATGCGCCGACATCTGCTGTGAATGCTGGCGATAGAGTATGTACATCATTCGTCAAACACGAACATACGACTAACAGCTGTGATAGCGCGTTAAAGTCGTGTGCAACGAGAAGCGCATCCTGCTCCCTGTGACCCCAACCACCACACCCCTCGATCTAATCAAGTCAGCTGCCACGGTGCTCACAGACCCCATCGACGTTCGCACAGCCGTCATTTCCGAGCTCTTCACTAAAGTGAGCATCACACGCCCCCTTCGCAACTACGAGTACGTGAGAGATGTGATGAACTCCTGGGATTACGACAATCAAAACGAACTCACCATTATTGACTCTGACGTCGACGGTATCGACCAAGACAGCTTGCTCTCGTACAAGGTCCCTGACACTAGACCAGAGGGTGCCTCGTGCTTCATCCAATACTCATCGAGACCTGGCAAGTGGAGTAAACGACTTCTCATCCTTCGTCCGGATGGACAACTAGTCATGGCCAAGAACGAAAAGACAAAGGAAAAGGACCAGGAAAACATCTGCACTCTCACAGACTACGACATCTACTCGGTGACTCAGTCCAAGCTCGCACGGGTGAAGCCCCCAAAGAAGATTTGCTACGCCGTCAAAAGTATGCAAAAGTCCAACATCTTTGCGGACGAATCGCAGTATGTCCACTTCTTCTGTACCAACGACCGAAACATAGCGAACACGTTCTACACAGCATTACAGACTTGGCGGAGCTGGTATCTCAAACACCAGAAGGGTGAGGGTTTGAAGAAGAAGACCCATGCGCAACGCAATGTATCCGGGACTGCCGAAGCCACACAGACGTCGTCGCATTCAAGAGGAGAATCAGTTGGGTCGCATTATCAGCTTGGTGCTTTCTCTTCCTTGCTCGACATGGACAGTTTTAACAAGACTTTGGATGAGATTGAAGTTCACAAACCGGGAGAGTTCCCAGACGACAAACCTCTTTCCAAGCTCGATAGTCGAGCAATGCACTCGCGGATGAAGTCCATACGGGTAAAGCAACCACCCCCAGCCGCTTTTAGCAAGAGCGGTCTGGTCGCAGAAAGCACTTCACCGCCCAGTGGCCGCAGTCGAAGTGTTGATCAGCAAGGCGAAGAGGCATTTGCCTCGAGTGGCCTTCTTGGGCGAAGCTACACGCAACGTCAAGCCGCTCTACAGGCTCGTGAGCCGTCAGGCCCGTTCACAGAAGGACCGTCTCTGCTGAACAACATGGGCCGTGTAGCCCAAGTATCGTCCAACGACTCTGGTCTGAAGCGCAATACCTCAGTCCGCAGCAATCATCACCGGCGGGCATCCAGCGATCTCCAACGTAGTGCTTCAAAGCGTGTACCTGGCATGCCCGAGCCTTTGGTTGATCTAACACCCCAGTACCGTCCGCCGCCGCAGCATCTTAACAAGGGCAAAGGCTACAACCCAGGAGCCGGTGCCGGACCGTTGGTCGAAAGTGCAACGTCGATCGAGGAAGCTATCAAGGTCCCTTCGTCAACAGACTGGCGCGCCGGTCGTCCAGGTACATCGCGAGCCGCTGGTGGCCACGAACGTACGCGCTCGCTCAAGGGTCGTGGCGAGCCATTGGCTGCGTATACACAAAACAACCATCTCGGTGCTCCAGAGGATGACAGTAAGGCGTTTACTGGAGGCGGTTTGCTATCTCAAGCCGGCTACTCGCAGGGGAAGGACATGGTGGGTAGGGGCGTTATGGATGGTAGTAAAGCCAAGGGCCCCATGGTAAACCTATCGTTGAACAACGAATTCGCACAAGGCAGTTTGCTGAGTGCGCTGCCAAACGCTGCTCCGGTCATCGATCGGAGCGGTAAGTAGGGTCGTTTGCTTGCGGTGAGTCGCTCATGGATTGCTCGACAAGTGCCTTTTTAGCTTGGGTTCTTTTTGATTCATTATTTCGTTTGTTGGCGTTGCGCGTTAAGCTCGATATCCATTGCTTTGGCTGCAATTCCGTATTTTGCATGTTTACGGCCTGGGTGGTATCTGGTATAATAGATTTATAGAGGCCATGGGAGAGGAGTAGTCCAATGCTCATGCTGGACTCTATGACACAAAAGCAAATGCAAAAGAATTCTAGAAGAATCTTTTTTGTTCTCAAGCCCTCTCGTAGGGGCGTAGGCTGTTCAAGGCTGCTGACATGTTGTATTCGAGACTCTCACTAGTCGAGTGCTATCGTCTAGACCTTGGTGTATCAGTGCACTGGTATGCTCACACAACGCACTGACTGTATACGAGTCATGCGACTGCCTAGCAACCCAGCACGATACTGGTTATACGGCCAAACAGTGCTGCTAGACAATATCGACCGAGATGCAACACGACACGGCTCGCAAGGAAAACCTTTCCTTCCGATGAACTCTCCGCAGCGCATCACATACATGTCACACGGCGCGGCAGTGGCTTTCGTGGGCTTCACGTGCTGCTCTCCGCCTCCACCCACGACCCACTAATCGCGCTGTGGAGAGAGTTGGCGTGCTGTCGACTTCTCCCACCGTTCGCGGGAACCCCGCAATTGTCGGCCTTACTGCACTCCGTATGACGGAATACTGCAGCAAGCGGACATGCTGCAGCGCCTCGGCAGTCGAACGCAGCGCGCAGCTCTCCTATCCAGGTGACCCTTTTGATGTTCTTGATGCGTCTGAAAGCGGACGAGCGTAGACAAGCAGACAGGAATAAGCGAGCAGCTCAACGGGCGGCGGGATCGGTCGATGCTCCGCTTCTCATTTTACAAAGGAAACTGTTGAGTTGTTGACTCGCGGCCTTGGCCTCGCCCGTTGCGCTTCAGCCTCAGAATTGGGCGCTGCCCGTGGGGTCGACTCTGGCTTCAAGTGCAGCGAGGCGAGTGTGAACAGTGTCGGATGGACCTGGTGCAGCTGTGACGGGGCGCGTGAAGGCGGCCAGGCTAAATGGCAGTTTAAACGTGAATGGGCAGTAGAAGCCGAGCGCCTACGTCACGCCAGAGTACGTCGGCGGACCTACGACGATTGATCCGATACCCAAAGAGGAATCCCAACCTCCACCGGGTAGCCAACGCTCGTGCGCCAAACAATAGCGGCCCAGCATTTCTCTCCCCAGGGCGGCTGCAAAACATCTTTCCTCGACTATTAGACAGAGTTTGCTTGCTGCTGCTCTGCTACCACAAGTCCAATTGCTCCTGCAGCTCCACCACACCTTGTCCGCCGCCAGCACTTCGTACTCAACCGGGAGTAATCGAACCGCTTGTCTAGCGCGGCAACCTGCAGTAGCTCAACCAAGCACCGAGCTCAAGCTCTCACACTCCCTTGACTTTCCAAGCTCTCTCTTCCCTAGAAAGAGCTCCGATCTTGCCATTGCGCCTTCCCACCATCCCCTCACAACATCCACCCACAATGGCTAAGACGGGCGCGAGAGACGTGCAGAACCACGTCCTGTTCGAGGTTGCGACCGAAGTCGCAAACAGAGGTAGCTTTCGTCTCAACTTCATGCCCTTCTGCAATGCTAACCAGTCTCAGTCGGCGGTATCTATTCAGTCCTCAAATCCAAGGCCCAAGTCACCACCGCTGAGTATGGCGCCGCATATACCCTCTTGGGCCCGTGGAACAGAGCTTCGGTAGGCGCAACCAATGGCATCATGAAATCAAAATTAACGCGATAGCAGGCGGCTGTCGAAGTAGAGCCCATCGAGCCCAAAGACCCGGCGTTGATTGCTACCATGAAGTCCATGGACGATCGTGGCATCAAGATGCTATACGGACGTTGGTTGATCGACGGTGCCCCACGTGTGCTCCTCTTCGACACTGGTACCGGCTACAGGTGGCTTGACGAGTGGAAGGGCGATCTCTGGTCTTCCACCGGCATTCCTTCGCCGCCTGGTGATTCGGAGACCAACGAGGCCATTGTTTTTGGTTACCTCATTGCGTGGTTCCTAGGCGAGGTAAGTTGAGAATACGTGCAGTCGCTGCGAGCTGCGCTAACTACTTTCCAGTACGTCTACCACGAGAAGAAGCGAGCCGTCATTGTCCAGTTCCACGAGTGGCTGGCAGGTGTCGCAGTCCCGCTCTGCAAGAAGCGCCGCATCGATGTTACCACCATCTTCACTACCCACGCTACGCTCCTCGGTCGCTACCTCTGCGCCGGCTCAGTCGATTTCTACAACAACCTCCAATATTTCGATGTGGACGCTGAGGCGGGAAAGCGCGGTATCTACCACCGCTACTGCATTGAGCGCGCCGCCACACACGCAGCTGACGTCTTCACCACGGTTTCGCACATTACCGCGTACGAGAGCGAGCATCTTCTAAAGCGAAAGCCGGACGGTGTCTTGCCTAACGGCCTGAACGTCAAGAAATTTTCGGCTACTCACGAATTCCAGAACTTGCATCAACAAGCCAAGGTCAAGATCAACGACTTCGTGCGCGGACATTTCTACGGCCACAACGACTTCGACCCTGAGAACACCCTCTACTTCTTCACCGCTGGTCGCTACGAGTACCGCAATAAGGGTGTGGATATGTTTATTGAGTCGTTAGCCCGGCTGAATCACAAGATGAAGAATGAGAACTCAAACATGACAGTCGTCGCTTTCATCATTCTTCCCGCGCAGACGACGTCGCTCTCGGTCGACTCACTGAAGGGACAAGCCGTAATCAAGGCGCTTCACGACAGTGTAAACAACATCGCCGAGAATGTTGCCAAGAAGTTGTTTGAGCGTTCGTTGACCTGGACGGAGGGCTCTGAGCTCCCCGAGGACAAGGACTTGATCACGCCCGCTGATAAGATCTTGCTCCGCCGACGGTTGTTTGCCATGAAGCGTCACAACCTTCCGCCCATCGTTACTCACAATATGGTCAACGATGCCGAAGACCCTGTCCTGAACCAGCTCCGTCGCTGCCAGCTCTTCAACCACCCATCGGATCGCGTCAAGGTTGTGTTCCATCCCGAGTTCTTGAACTCGGCAAACCCTGTATTGCCATTAGACTACGATGATTTCGTGCGTGGAACTCACCTTGGTGTCTTCTCATCCTACTACGAGCCCTGGGGTTACACTCCGGCTGAGTGCACCGTAATGGGTGTTCCTAGCATCACAACCAACCTGTCCGGCTTCGGTTGTTACATGGAGGAACTGATTGAAAATGCCCAGGACTATGGTATCTATATTGTAGACCGAAGGATGAAGGGCGTGGACGACTCAGTCAACCAGCTTGTCGACTACATGTTCGAATTCACGAAGAAGAGCAAGCGCCAGCGTATCAACCAGCGTAACCGGACCGAGAGACTCAGCGACTTGCTCGACTGGAAGCGCATGGGCTTGGAGTACGTCAAGGCCCGACAATTGGCTCTTCGGCGTGCATACCCTGCGGCATACGAAGACGATGATGAGCCGGACTTCTTCAGCTCGCAAGACGTCAAGATCTCGCGGCCATTGTCCGAGCCCGGGTCTCCCCGCGATCGTTCGGGTATGATGACGCCCGGTGACTTTGCCTCGCTGCAGGAGGGCCGCGAGGGACTGAGCACCGAGGACTACATTGCGTGGAAGCTCCCGTAAGTTATGATTAGGATGTGATGTGCGATGACAACGCTAACGACTGCATAGTGAAGAAGAAGAGGCTGACGACTTTACCTTCCCGCTAACATTGAAGACGAAGAGTAAGCCTAATTCAGGCGCCACAACTCCTACTCTGTCTGCTCCACCGAACGGTACTGACTAGCCAACTCTTTTCCGTAGGGTGACGAAGAAACCGAACGAGGAAGAGAAGCAAAGACTTCCAAAATTGCGATGATCTATTCCTTTATGCTTGGCTTGATTTCATACGCATTTACTGCATTGGCGATGACGAATGGACGTACGAGAGGGAATAGTGGAGGATATGGGTGTCCTGCCTCGGAGCAGGATCAAGTGTATTTTAGGATGTGAATATCAGCGTCTGTTGGTCTGCTCTACACCTTTGTGCGGTCCGAATATGATTACCGTTGATACCGAATGTCCGAACCAAGCATGCATACGCGTCTTCCTCGTAGAAAAACGAGCTTGGCATGCCTAACAAAAGCAAAGCTAACGTGATGGAGTCAGCTAGCGAAGCAGGCATAGAGTTTGGACGTGTGCCACGACAAGCGTCCAAAGTGCCGAAGTCTCCGTTGAAACGTTGTACCCAGAGATGACTGGCCAGAACGCCGAACTGTGGCGCAGCAATCGCAGAAGAAACGAGGACGACGTAAGTCCGTGAGTCCAGCGAGACGTGAACTAGCCTGCTCATTCGCCCCAGTAATCAGGCGCACCTTGTCAAGGCCAAAGCAAGCATCTCGTCCTGAAACAAAAGTGCATACTCGCCGGTGCCGCGGTATCCTTGGCCATGGTCGGCGCTGTTGCCATTTCTTGTTGTGTTGGGGTGGTGAGATATCAGCTCGGCCGGCGGACGAACTCCATATCGCGATATGCGCTGGCGAACGTAGTCTTTCATGCAAAGTAGATATCCACACCCACCATATATATTGAAATGTGGAGGGGCATTGTTTATCAAATTCTCATTTGGGACTGCTCACGCGACGCGGAAGGAAGGATAGCGGGGCGGAGCGGAAGCATCGCAGTGGAGAACAAGCACACGTCCAACGTGCATGCAGATCAGAAAGCACGTCGCACATGTGAACTCTGGTTGAAGCGTAGTGGCATGGTTTGGTGTGGCAGGAAGCCCTTCTCGATTGGATTCCCACGTCGACCACAGGGGTCTGTTAAAACTCCGGTTGCGAATAGCAGGGCTGGGCATTCCGTGGCCTCGATGCCCCTTTAGCGTCATCGCCGCACCAGGGCTGGCAGCGCGACAAGCCGGCAATCTTTCACAGCGCACCACTCGACTACCGTCCCGCAACGCGACCCATAGTTCACAGCGCCCACTCGAACTAACACTTCACCCTCCTCTTTCCTCAATTATGCACCACTACGACGGAGCTTTTCTGCGACGCGCTACCGGCTCGGTCCGTTGACGCTCTCTCTGTTTGGGGCGCGCTCGATTAGACTCGAACTTTCAGCTCTTCCTTCGCACTGCCTCTCTGCTGATCTCACCTCTTTCAACCTGACAAGTACCGCTCACTGGGTGCCATCCACTCTTTCCCATCGCCTTGGAAGGCCACTGGTGGCAACATGTTCGGCCCATGGCTTGTCATGTTCGCATGGCTGAAGCAGCGCCTCCCGTCCAGTCTGAAGGCCCTCAAACCACACGCCAACTTTATCACCCTTCATTGTATGCGCACTCCAGGAGAGGAGGGATTGAACTGTGGCTGATAGATTTACAGATTCGTACATCATCGGGTGGGCGCTCATTGGATCCGTCATCATATACGGCAGTGGTCGCATACCTTATGTCGATGCGCTCTTCTTTGCAAGCGGCGCAGCAACACAGAGTGGCTTGAATACGTATGTGAGGTTCTGAGGTACAAGCGCAGTGAACTGACTGCCAGCGCAGGATTGACATTAACACACTGGATCTATATCAACAGGTAGGTGCTACTCTTGAAACTTACAGGCTATTTGCTAACAATGAACAGATAGCCATCTACTTCATTGCCAGCTTATGTACGCCCATCTTCATCCACAGCTCCGTCGTAGTCGTTCGCCTCTATTGGTTTGAAAAGCGTTTCCAGAACATCGTGCTCGAGAGGGGAAACCGGAGCGGTCGGACTCGCACACTTTCCAGGAGGAAGAGTGAGATGAATGCTGCTGCAGCAGCAGAACGGAATGTTGGACAAGAAGAGCAAGCGGTCGGCGCTCGTGAAATTCGGGTCATGCGTGGTTCCAGTGGCCACGCACATGGCGGAACAATCGCAAACGAATACGCCTTCAGTGACGGACTGGACTGGACTGGCAACGGCATACGTCCGAGAAGATCTAGTTCTAGCGAGGACGAAATGCCACCGTTCCGACCGACGACTCCCGTTCACACTGCTCCATCCGGCATTGTATGGGCCGACAATCTCAGCACACCTACGGAAAAGAAGCCCAAGGAGTCCCTTGAAGAATCCCCTGGTGGCCGCCTCCCACAATCGAACAAAGAGAAGAGCATTGCTTTCGTAGAAGCACAGCGAAACCCGACAGCGAGAAATAAGCTGCGTATACCAGGTCCACGCGATTTCGACCAGGGTCTCATCCCAGAGGCTGTCAAAGGAGAGGAAGAATTGGACAGGGTTGCGAGTAGACTGTCACACGAGTCTCATTCCAAGCGCGAGCGTTCAAATTCTGTTCCCCATGCCCTGAACGGAGACGATCGGCCCTTCAGGAATCACATCACCATCGACGTACCTGACCGACAGCAACGCCCTACCGGGCACTCTGTCTATGACAGAACCAGGACAAATGAGGGCGATGCAAACGTGCCTGCATCGAGCATGCACCTACGTAACAGGTCACGGTCAAGAACTTTGACCAGCTTCCTTACTAGGACCAAGACCGAAGAGGAGGACCCGATGCCCTACCTCAGCTGGACGCCCACCCTCGGACGCAACTCAAATTTTGTTGATTTGACTGAAGAACAAAGAGAAGAACTCGGCGGTATCGAATATCGTGCTCTGAAGCTGCTCGCCATGATCCTCATCATATTTTACCTTGGGTGGCACACCATCGGTATCATATGTTTAGCGCCATGGATAAACAATGACGCTCACTACAGTGGTGTCGTGAGAGATGTTGGCGTTGACCCGACTTGGTGGAGCTTTTTTACTTCAGCTTCCTTGTTCAACGATCTGGGATTCACTCTCACTCCAGACTCGATGGTCTCTTTCCAGCTAGCTGTGTGGCCCCTCGTGCTGGGTACCTTCCTGATTATCATCGGAAATACCGGGTTTCCCTGTATGCTTCGGTTCACCATCTGGATGTACTCCCTGATGGTACCCAAGAGTAGTGCCATCTGGGAAGAACTTCGTTTCCTATTGGATCACCCGCGTCGATGCTTTACTCTACTTTTCCCAAGTAAGGCCAACTGGTGGCTGTTCTGGATCCTTGTCATCCTGAATGGTGTAGATCTAATTTTCTTCATCATTCTCGATCTCAACGATCCGACCGTCACCTCCCTATCCGGTGGCCACCGCTTCCTCGCTGGTCTCTTCCAAGCTGCCTCAACGCGTACTGCAGGTTTTGCCGTTGTCAACATCGCTGACCTACACCCTGCGGTCCAAGTCAGCTACCTCATCATGATGTACATTTCGATCTTCCCCATCGCCATGTCTATCCGACAATCAAATGTATACGAGGAGAAGTCACTGGGTGTCTGGGTCGCAGATGACGAAGATGACACTCAATCTAGCTACCTTTCACATCATCTGCGTCGCCAACTCTCATTCGACTTGTGGTTCGTCTTCTTGGGTTTCTTCCTTATCGCTATCATAGAAGGCGTCCGGCTCGAGAATACGAACGAATACGCGTTCAGCTTGTTCTCCGTCCTTTTCGAGATCGTCTCGGCATACGGTACGGTCGGACTGAGTCAGGGATTCCCCGGATTCAACACGTCCTTCTCCGGCCAGTTCAAAACATTGAGCAAACTCATTATCATCGCAATGCAGATCCGCGGAAGACACCGTGGTCTTCCATATGCTCTCGATCGTGCCATTCTGCTGCCATCGGAAACTCTACACCAGAAAGAGAACGAAGATGCGACGAGACGTGCACGACGTGGTAGCAACGCTATGGATATTGGTGTCAGCATGAGTATGGATGGCATTACGAGGACAGGCACGGGACTCAGTCGCAAGAGCACGGCGAGTGGCGAGAGAGTGCCACAGAGTAAACCCAAGCAACTGAAGCGCATCATCAGCGGCGCTTTTAGTGCCGGTCCGACGGGCCAATTCAGGGAAAAGAGGACATGACGAGTAACCTTCTAGTCACGACTTTGTGGGTGTTCAAGGTGTTTTGGGGCTTTGGTATAGCGTGGTGTACATCGGTGTTCGTAGATATCTTTGTTCTTGTTTGATAGGTGTGCTTTAGATCTGATAGCGTTCATGTGTGGGTTGCAATATCCGTCGACGCGGTGTTTTTGTTACAGTTGGTATATACGTCCACGATATAGTACGGACAATGCAAACTTCTATATTCACTTTGCGGGTTTGTTTTGATGCTGAAGCTGATCTGTACGATTTAGACTCGAGCCAACTATCATTGCTACATGTCTCGATTCTCAGAAGAGGTGAAGCTACGAAGTTGGTATACATTTAACATTGTGCTCGTGTGGTGGACCATCTGCGAATTGCTGTTGACGTAGCCACTGTACGCATGAATCTCAGCACGTGGCTTGCAGCGCGACAGTCGCACTACAGCTCAACCTTCCGTCTCAAGAGGCAGGTGCTACAAGGATACCAGCAAGGATTCAACTCCAAAGTGTTCAGCGAAGACAAACCCAGCCAGTAAGCCTTGTTTCCATGTGGAATAGAATGAGCGGAAACACAGATCAGACATACAAGCGAGCGCTGGAAAGGTACCTAGGTACAAGTCGGTGGTGTAATGCGACGCTAGGTACCAGCCACCACTCAATTCCACCCCACGGCGATCGATCTCTATGCTATCTCAGACCCAAAGCCTCCCTTCTCCCTCGACTTCCCAAATCCAGGTACGGTGCTTCGCCCAAGCTACAGACCCGATCGCCCGCTCTGGCCTCTTCATAATCGTACGTTGCGCAATGCCACGTGCTTCGGTTATCCCAGATAGCCAGATCATTCGGCCGCCACTTGAACCGTACCTGCGCATCGTGGTTCTGCGTCACGAGATTGATCAAATACGGCAAAATGAGATCAGATTCGTCCTTCGTGACGCCGTTGATACGTTTCGTGAATCCTTTATTCACGTATACTGATTTCCAGCCGGTCACGGCTGCAGGATAAGTCAGCGACTGCAGTGCAAGAGCAATGGCAAACTTACGGTTCGTGCGAATGACCGGATGTGTGGCTGTGAGAGCATCGCCATGGTTCAATGGATTGCCTCTGACATCCTTACGGAGCGGATTTCCTAGTCGCGCTGCTTCCTCCAGGAAGAACTTCGCATCATGCGTCGCAGTCAAGCCCTCCAAAAACGACCGCATGGCAGGAGAGAGACGATCATAGATTTCGTAGCCAGAAGCCCAGAGCGTATCACCGCCTGTTGCGGGTAAGGTGTGGATTTTCAACATTGCGTAGTCCGATGGCACCGGCTCAAAAGTTATGTCGCTATGCCAGCCCGCAGATGCAAAGCGAGAAACGTCCGAAAGTTGGTGAGTGAGACCGCCACCTTTCTTTTGCTTTTCGCTACTTATAACTGAGATCTGGTCGCCGAGCTCAGATCCCTCTTCGGTAAGAGGATGTACGTGTAAACTTGAGGAAGAAGGCTGATGTGTTGTCAGTTTATCGCTAGGTTAGAATCGACATCGCAGTCAATGGACATACACAGCCAGATAGTTCGGTGATCCGCAACATCAAATCTTTCATCTGAGTTGGCGTAACATTTTGGTCCCGCAGAAAGACAACGCCACGTTGTGAGACTGGAACTACAAGTCAGCCATGGGCTACATCAAGCTGCAAACAGAGTCGTACCCGTGATTGCTAGATCTTTGATCATAGCATCGCCCCATCGAAGTAGGTCAGTCACTTGGAGACCTTCGAACTCTCTTCCGATGACTGGGGTCAAGTCTTGGTGTTTGAAGCTGTCCAAGGATCCGGAATAGACTAAGGGCTCCAACAGTCTCGATCTGGCGCTGGCGTGACCACCAATGATGTTTGCATCCCCGTCTTCATAAACGTCTTCCACACGACTGCGCTTGACTGAAGGCATCTTGGAGGCAATGTGGTATACGATTGGTGCAACTTCCAGCTCAAATTCAGTGTTGCAAAACACTTGGATAGCTTCAGGACCAACGACTCTGAATATCTGGAAGTCCAGGAACATATAATCTCTCCCGGAACCAGGGTAACACCACTGCTTGCGTGGTAAAGCACGTCATCGGACTAGCTGTACGCTCCGGGTCTAGGCGTGCCGGGCCTAGCCTACATGGCCCCGTGAACGCCGAGCCGGGGGGACGACAGTAAGACCAATAGGAGATGCATCAACATGCACAACATTGTGCTTTCCCCTCGTTCTTCGGGGCAATTACTACCTCGGTAGGATGGCGACGATGGCGACGGGATGAGCTTGAATTGCGACATGCTATGTCCAAAGTAATAAATAGGAGACAAGAGAGCATAGCAGGGAATATGCAGTGTCCAGTCTATCGCATCTCAGCCATAACCTTCCTTCGTGGCAATTGTGCTGTAGCCGACAATCGCAGCCCTTGACGATGGGTAACGACATAGAAGCATCTCCGCACACCACACGGATCAGTGAGGATGCCAATTCGCTCAAATCATCGGCCCACGTGGGTAGAGAAGAACTTGCGGACATCGTCCCACCCCACGAGACGTACGAAGGCCGGCATCGCTTCGATCCCCAGGCGAGCTGGACGATTGAGGAAGAACGGCGTTTGGTGCGGAAGACAGACCTCCGACTACTCACGTGGCTCTGTCTCATGATGTTCGGGCTGCAGGAAAGTTCCTATATTGTTTTAGTTGATCACAAATACTGACTACCACAGCTCGATCGTGGAAACATATCAAATGCGCTCGCCGACAATCTTCTGGAAGATCTTAGCTTGACATCTGATGACTACAACAATGGAACAACGATACAATTGGTGTGCTTTCTGGCTGCTGAATTCCCAGTGCAGTTGTGAGTATCACCGATTTTCTTGTTGAAGTCTTTCTCTGACCGTATTCTGATACAGTCTCACCAAACGCTTTGGCTTCAAGTATATTCTCCCCACCATGATGCTTGCTTGGGGAACTGCATCCTGGGGCCAGGCGTGGATGCACGACCGAACTTCGTTTTACCTTGGCCGCGCAGCCATTGGACTTTGCGAAGGTGGTTTCATCCCCGGTGTGATCTTGTTTGCGACCTACTTTTACAAGTCCAAGGAGCTTTCTCTACGCCTGGCAGCCTTCTGGTCGACACTCAACATTGCACGTGTCATCTCTGCCTTACTTGCAGCGGGAATCTTGGAGATGCGCGGTGTTGGTGGCAAGCCAGGCTGGTTCTGGCTATTTCTCCTCGAGGGCCTTTTGACAGTCGTCATCGCCGTTCTCTCGTACTTGTATTTGCCCACCGCGCCGACATCCACCAAGAATGTGCTTTGGCGTCAAGGCTGGTACACTGAGCGGGAAGAAGTCATCATGGTCAACCGTATACTCCGGGACGATCCAGCCAAAGGCCTTACTGCTCTCAAAGAGCCAGCAACGCTTAAAGACATCCGCGCGGCCTGGTCAGATTCCTCTATGTGGGGTCTATACTTCATCGGCCTTGTCGCTTACATCCCTGCCTCGCCGGTGCAAGGATACCTTACTCTCACGCTTAAACGCCTCGGCTTCAGCACCTTCAACAGCAACATGTTGACGATTCCGTCTGCGGCTCTCCAGGTTGTCACTATGCTAGCATTGGCATACTCAAGCGACTACTTCAACGAACGCACTTTCCACTGCATATTCGGCGAGTTCTGGATCATGCCGCTTCTCATCGCATTGTTGACATTGCCCGATGGTGGCCGTGAATGGGGCCGCTTTTCCCTAATCACGCTGATCTCCGGATACCCATATTTCCATCCCTTGGTCTCCTCTTGGATATCTGAGAACACTTTTGACGTTAAGAAACGTGCAATTACGGCCGCAACGTACAATGTCATTGTGCAGATTGGGTCTCTGATCAGTTCACAGATCTACCGCAAGTACGATGGCCCGTACTACAAGCAGGGGAACTCCGTTCTTGTGGCTATATGCGCGCTGAGTGTCATCACTTTCCTCGTGCAACGGCAGACTTTGGTCCGCCTCAACAAAAGGAAACAGAAACAATGGGAACAGATGACTTCGGAAGAGAAGGCTCTGTACCAAGCAGACATTGTTTCCCGAGAGAAAGATGGCAACAAGCGGTTAGACTTCAGGTTCACACTCTGATCTCGTTGGGAAACAATAGCCGGTGGAATCCACAGACAGTCAATGTCAACATGCATAGCAGCATGCGGACTGTGGTATCTGCAGTATCACATGGTCTCTTCAATGGATCCGACTACCAACCAATACCCCTTCGCCTTTCAGTTGCACCGAACTATCTGCGACCTGTCATGGAGATTAACCCGAGGTTGCATCCCAAGTCCGAAATCCAATGCTTTGATGTCCATTGTGTGCCGTTCTCAAACAGACATCATCGGAGAGCGTATTAGTTTTATTGCCAATGCATTTTGAATTCTGTTCTTCACGTTCTTTCTAGACAACGTTGAAGATAATCGCGCGTCGACTGCGCGTATGGTGAGTATGCGTCTCTGCGTCGGCTGCAGAGAGCCGCCTTGTTCAACGAAGACGTCTCTAGTCTGATCCACTTTCCCTACCGCGCCCCACAACTGCCCAGAACCATCGCATGTCGTGATTGCGGGGATCGATGACGACCTCGGGTCTCTCCACGATGTTACGAGTCATTCCGAAACCCTGGATACCAAGGCCGCGGCAGCACAGCGCCCAACTCGCTGCAACTGCCCAAATGAGGTTTTCCGTCCGATGCGGCAGGTTACGTCGCCGGCATCGCCCTTCATGGAGGACTCGCCGCTTTGAGTGTAGTCAGCAGAATTGTTGAAGGGTTTGGTAGGACCTGTGACTGGAAATGGCGGTTGTACTCGAGGCATCACCTTGTTCCAGCATCCATAAGAAATCAACTTGTTGTTCAATCACTAAATCGCTCATACGAACGCGAGATGGCTTGGGAAGAACCTCGCAAAACGGGCATGCAGTACCGCCGCCTAGGTAACTCAGGCTTGCACGTATCTGCGCTGGGCCTGGGAGGATGGCTCACGTATGTTCACTCGTCTTCTTTCATGGACACAATTGGGAATATACTCATCAAATCGCAGTTTTGGAGGCCACGTCGAAAATGGTACTTCGTGCCTATACGCTCATCAGCCACCCAACTAACGTCAATGTCAGAACTTACATTCTCCATCATGAAGACGGCCTACGATAATGGGATCACGTTCTTCGACACGGCTGAGTCTTATGCCGCAGGTCAGTCCGAGATCATCATGGGTCAGGCTATCAAGAAATTTGCATGGAACCGCAACGACATTGTGATATCCACAAAACTCAATTGGGGCGGCGCAAATGGCGAAGTACTTGTTAATAATCACGGTCTCTCTCGCAAACACATCATCGAGGGACTCCGCGCATCTCTCAAACGTATGGACCTGGAGTACGTCGATATAGTGTATGCGCACCGTCCGGATCGTCTTACACCCATGGAAGAAACAGTCCGCGCATTCAACCATGTCATCGAGCAAAAAGGCTGGGCGTTGTACTGGGGCACATCTGAATGGTCTGCAGACGAGATTGCCGAAGCTTGCGGGATAGCGAAGCAGTTAGGTCTCATCGCACCAGTGGTGGAGCAGCCGCAGTACAACCTGCTCGAGAGGAAAAAGGTGGAGAGTGAGTTCCAGCGCCTGTATGCGCGGTTCGGGATTGGGTTGACTACATTTTCGCCGCTGAAGTTTGGGCTGCTTAGCGGAAAGTACAATGATAGTCCGGATGCGCCGCCAGCAGGATCAAGGTTTGCTGAAGGAAAAGATGGTTTTGTGAGTGGAATGCGCGACCGATATGGAAATGAAGAGTGGAGTGGTATGATCGGCAGCGCGAGGAAATTGAAGGTAGATCAAGTCCCCATGCATCCTTGATGGCATCTAGCTAACTGTGAGCAGCCCATCGCGGATAAGCTGGGCGTCAGCCAGTCGCAGTTATCGCTTGCGTGGTGCTTGAAGAATCCGCATGTCTCTGCGGTGATCACTGGCGCATCAAGACCAGAGCAGGTGGTGGACAACTGTGCAGCCTTGAAAATTATAGACAAGCTTACGCCAGATGTGATGGCTGAGATTGACGCAGTGGTGGGGAGCGTTCAGCTAGATCCTGCTCGGCAGGATTAAAAATACTTATTAGCTTATGAACCAAAATGGACCTCCTTCACTAGTGGAGTGGCTATGAAAACGTCGGCTGATAATGTCCATATTCTCATATGAACGCCTAAAATGCTACCGGGGCCGCACGCTGTGCAATAAAAATTATGGTGCTTCCTACGATTCTAACGTTTCTTGTGTTGACCATTCTTGACTTCCTTCTCTTGAGGCAAGATCTCGTGGACCTTCATATCTAATCCAACCCAGAACTTCCTTCCTCGCCACTCTACTGTAACACCTCCCCAGAAGGCGGTGACCCAGACTGGTAATGCGAAAATCTCGCGGCCAAGCCACGCAAATAAGAAGTCTATGAAGTTTCTCCTCGCACCATCAAGTAGACTAGGTTCACCTGGTGTCTTGTTGCCAAGCAGAGGTTCTAGAACTTCGGTACGGTGGTATGCAGAGGCTGATCGTTGAGGCAAGATGAAGTCAGGGGTGTCGGAGTCGATCTCGACGGTCTTCGCGCAGTGCAGCAGCAGGTACTGGACATAGTCTACAAGGCACCATGCAGATAGGTGTAGAAGCCAGATCAGGAAGAAGAAGGTCCATGTTGAGCTGATGCCGATGTTGTGGAAGAAGGGTAGTGTCGTTAGAGCATAGGCGCCATACAGTCCACAAACAATACTTTCTGTTCCTGGCTCCACAAACGTCGCCAAAGTCACCGTAAACTTCCGTACTCGTAACCATCGAATGCGACGTTGCAGGTAGGCCATAACAGACGTATGGCTGATTGGCTGGAAGCAAAAGTCACCGAAGAGCATTGCATGCTTGCCCCATGCCTCCTCTGTCGTTCCTGGCTCGGGTTTGTAGCCCCGTTCCTCGAAAGCTTGAGGTTGCTTCCACAACACATCGCCAATGAGATGGTCCTCGCAGATATTGTCGGAGAAGAAGTCGATACCGGGGGCGCGGTTCGGGTTCGATGAGGTGACGTAGTTGAGATGGGAGCGACGGAACATGGTACTTTTGCCCATGATGCAGGGTGCAACAGCGACTGTGTTGATGGCTTGGTAGAATTTGGCATGGGCAGAAGACATGAAAGCTTCGTCGAGACGTCCTCCGCCGCGCTGCAACAGCTTCCTGATGGTGCTGCTGGAGTGGTTGCGCGGATCGGAAGACGTGCTTGCCGCGATGCTAGTCGACTCAGCTACAGCTTCAGGCTTGCCTCCGAGCAATTCCTTTCTGTCCTGAAGCGAGAGACCTTGCGAGTCGAGATCTACCGTAAGAGGCGTCTGATGAACGAACTTATATTTGGTTTTCTTGTTGCCATGCTTGTCCTTTCCAAATCCACATAGCAGGTCCACCAATCGCCCGCAAACGCCTTTGCCGACCCAGACGTTACAGTCGAGTACCCACACGATGTCACCCTTGGCCTCTCTGTAGGCGCGACTCATGTTCCTGATCTTCGGGTTGGGTCCCAGCGCGTTGTTATCCTTCAGTAGCAGCGGATCCTCCTCTTCGACCAAGATCTGTACATCAGCATCCGGGAAATCTTTGCATAGGTGCTCGAGGATCGGAAAGGCAGGATCGGAACGCTCGGGAATGCAGAACACGGTGTTCAGTTTATCTTTGGGATACGTCTGGCGGAGGGTGGCTGCAAGGCACTCGTACAATCGCGGATCGAGGCCTTTGACGGGCCGTATAACGGTGACTTGAGGGACTTCGTGCTCTTCCAAAGTCGTTACGCATGTTGCCTGCTGGGGTCTCCTCCAATAGTAGCGGAATAGTTGGACGAAGCCGATGGCACAGACACTCCAGACTATGACCCACCAAATCAAGCAGCCGGTCGCAATGATGGTGCGCGACATGGAGACATCTTGTCCCGTCGCGAGGTTAGGCGCGCGAAGCATGCGCGAAAGTGTGGTAGGGTCGGAATGAGGGTGGGATGTTGGCGAATCTCGCAGCGCGGAGGTTGCGGAGCGAACCAGGAAGCGACGACCGCCAAGACGCAGCACCACTCGACTGTGTTCAGGGGTATTGTGTAGACGCAGTATCCACAAAGACAGGCAAAGGAGCAGGCGTAATGTAGCTACTGAAAGCGAAGCAGCTTCCTGTCCTACAATCGTTTGCACATCCGAACGGTCCGACTTTACCGCCAGGGACATCCATGGATCGCGATCGTTTGTCGCGATCAGACTTTCTGCACACCGACAAAGCAGTCTACCCCAACAATGATTCCCATAGATGGCCATCTGCAAGTCGATTACTCCATTTGGACTATGTATTCGTTCACTACTCTAGCTGATCACCTGATGATGGAAGGTTTGATCGCCCAGGACATTATACTATCCACAGACTTTCTTGACACTGAAAGTTATATGGCTTAAGCATGGAATGAAATACCGCATGGATATAATAATACTTTAACATGCTTTCGTGTGAGTAAGATGAAGAAGTGCATCAGCCCAAACACCTCGTTGTACAAAATGAAGCCTTCTTGAAATTATGTGAAACGCCATACACCGATTGAGCTCAGCCTTTCTCAAGTTTTCGGCTTCTTACGCACCAGGCCTGCCGTCAAAGTGTTCACCCCATTTGCAGCGCTTGCATTGGTAATGGGTATGGGTTCGATCTTTGCCTTCTTCCTCGTGCCTTCTCCTAACATTTGCGCGGACTCTGCAGGCTTTTCTGCGCCAACCGCCGCTTCTGATGGGGTATCGGGCTTCCTCTTCTTTCGCACACCCATGACCATGGTAGGTGTCACGCCATTTGTTGCATCCGAGGATTTTACTGCAGCTACATACTCCTTTGTCCCCTTGACTGTGAAGCTCCATTCGTCCATGCCGCCGAGGACAGCGATTTCCTCTTTCCACTTCCTGGTACTTCGTGCTGCTGCCTTTCGGTTTGCAAAAGTCTGCTGCAAAAGGACCTCATGTGCGCGATCGTAGTTCTTGAGCGAAAAACAGATGGTGCCGCGTGAGGAAGCGGGCCATTTCCAGTATGAACTGTTCTCGGGAAGGTTCTTGGCGGGGCTTGAAGAGATGTTGGATGACGTCGATAGGTTTGAAGAGCTGGTCTTGATCTTTGGCAGGACCAGGGGGATTGGTCCATACCTAGTTTTAGCCTCTTGTTTGCGTCGACTATTCTTCTTCCGTTTTGGACTGGGTATATTATCTTGCGAGTCAAGCTGTGAGAACGACTGCGACGCTGATTGCTGCGAAGGCATGTCCTCGTCTTCTTCGGGTATCGAAGGCTTGGGTGGTGTTATGACGACCCAGATGAAGCCTACTATACGCCCTGATGAGCACTCTTGCCTGAAGGCCATGAATTCCCAGAACTGGTCAAGTGTCTTGACGCTCTTCCAGTGCCCATTGCTTCTCGAAGGTGTGCCTCCATCTACTACCATGGCGTCGGTGCCCCGATCAGGAAGCTCTTCGTCCAATTCGTCAAGAAATCTGGCTTTGGGGTCGTCTGGAAAGTGTGGTACGAGGCAGCGCGGTGGAGCGGCAGGGTAGGGAGCGATCTGTAGGAGCGGGTGTGTGGTTACCCAGCGTCGAGGCGTGTTGGGTCCGGTGGGTGGAGGAATGTACCGCAGCGTGTCGTATGGCTCGAAGCCCGGTATCACCAAGTAACCTTTGGCCGTAGACTCCGATTGGACTGACGTGCCGTCCACCTTCGAGCCGTCATCATCAACCAGGCGTTCAGCGAAGGGCTTCCGCTCTCCTTCGGCCTTGTACTCCCATATGATAGGATCGAGCACTCTGCACCACCACTTCACCAAGCCCCTGTCATCTAGCACGTGCTTATTCTTGTTCTCGATGCTTGCCGGAAACAGGTATTGATCCTGTGCCCTGGCGAAGAGAGACACTACCAGCTTCTTCCCTTCCCTCTGTCGTTCTCGCGCTAGCCAGGATACAAAGGTTCCACAAATGGCTTTCAGAGGTGACGCAGACTGGGCTCGCGGCAATTGTAGTTCGGATATATAACCTGTCGAGTCGGCTTTGGAGACGAAGATGGTCGTGAGGTTTCGCGTGGTGTAGATCAAGACTTCAATTGCCAGTATAAGAAGCTCCTCGGGCAGTCCTGAGGCTGCTGCATCTTTTGGAACTATCGACGCTGCCAAGGTCTGCGATTCGCAGTATGTTCGTTCGGACTTGCCATGGGGCGGCGCGGAGAAGAGGGCGGAGGACTTGGAGGGCGGTGTTGAGTAGTGATAGAAGGTGATGGGCACGTCTTTGGGCAATTGTTCGGCGAGTAACTCTTTCAGCGACTTGGAAACCCCAGCGCTTGTCATGATGACCCAAAAGAAGCGCAGCAAGGGGAAGAGTCGCGTATCGGGGGGTGCACGATGGGGAGCGGCAGGCGCGACTGGTGCTAGCGTCGTTGCGGTAAGGCGCGATCCGCGTGCCGCAACTTTTCGATGATCCGAACTGACCTCCGCCAGCAGCATCACGCCCGCCCGCCGCCAATCAAGCCTCTCACGCCTCGCTCACCAATTGGAAGTGCCACAATGACTTCCAAAAGACCGCTCCGATCACTCGTCTCCACCGCTTCATCATCACTCCGGCCCGCGCAAATATCCAGAACGTCCTTCGTGCGGTCCTCCGCATGCGCGTTTTCGAGCACCACCCCATCGAGGGCCACGGAATATGACGCAGAAGCTACACCAGCTGTTGACAGGCCGCGATGGAAACAGACACCTCCGCGAATGATGGCACCTCATAGGATACGGCCGAAAGCCAGAGGGGGCGTTTACCAGGTCAATGAGGATCCGAAAAAGCTGGACGATGCGTATATACGCATGTTGGGCCCCGGAGGAGACAAGATGCTGGGAGACGACGTCAAGTGGTTAGCCGTCACACATAAGAGCTTCGACCACGGAAGGAGAGGGTTCAACGACCGACTAGCATACTTGGGTATGTGTGCACATTGTAAAGGCGGACAGACGGGAGGCTAATGTAAAGGGCAGGACGGAGGATAGTCGAACTACAAACAACACAGGCGCTCATAAACTCGCCGCAGGAGAACCAATGGCCGAGAGATCTCAATGGTGTACCGATCAGCGACGAGTTTGGTCGCAAACCATACCTACACCCCGCCTTGAATGGGCTGCAAGGCTTGACCGACGAGGCAGAGAGTCTGGTCTTGAGCAAAACACGGCTAGCACCGATAGCAGAGCGATACCGTCTGGACAAGGTCACGCGATGGACACCCAAGAGGGTATGCTCGAACCTTTACAACACCCCAGTCTCCAGGCTGACGAACTACAGGCGGACAACCTCCAAGGCTCTGGTTTTGAAACCGTCCTCATGACTTCTCTGTACGCCATCGTCGGAGCGGTCGCTCTCGAGCGTGGCGGCGAAGTGGCTAACAAGGTCGTGCAAGAAAAGATACTCGCACCGCTTGGCTTCAGCTTCTCGCCCGAATCATGACCTGCACGCATTCAATTCTGTACAAGACCACTGCCAGCCTTTGTACCATATTGTAAACAAGAACCTGACATGGCGAACATAGCGATTTTTCAATCAAAATACGTCTTCGCCATCACGTAATATCTCAGGTTGCGGTCAATTTGACCTCACATCTAGTACGGATTGCCCGTCTTGACGAGTCGAGTGAAGTTGGTTCTTTATCACAATCTGCTGAAAGGCAGCATTATCGTCACTTTTACGCAGGTTATTAGATGAATACACAGGTCATGTAAACCGATGAAGGATCCTGTAAGAACGGTGACTGCCACGATCCGCGATTCAAGCGGAAGCCTTCAGGTATAGCTCAGGTGATCAATGGCATAGCGAGACTGCCCCTATGGGCAATGGACTCATTGTCAAACGTCACGGATCATAGCAATTTTCATACGAACGTGAACACGAACTAGTGTGAATATTGCAGGATGCTATACGAATCAAACGAGCCGCACATTGCCAGCCCAGGGTATAAAGATGTACACCCCCAAGAAAGAAACTCTCGCGACCCGCTCAAAACGTCAAACCCGGCTTGTTCTTCCTCCAAAACATGGCTTTTGCCGCATTTACTGTCCGTGGTGGCGGATCAAACTTGGGCTGTGCCTCCTCAATGTCCATCTGCTCCATCTTCCTCTGCGAGTTTCTTTTCAACTCCCTCTTCAAGTTGCGTTCATCCTTCTTGCGCATCCAAGTGATCCAGATGCAGTAGCTTGCGCAGATAATGCCAATACCGCCTATCACACCGCCAATCACCGCGCCAATGAGACCTTGGCTCTCCCATGCGGATTGCTTGGGACGTTCATAGGCTACGGGCGTGGATTTCGGGCAGAAGGTAACAGGCATGACCATGTTGTTCTTTTGAATGGCTTCAGCGAGGAAGAAGTTATTGGTTTCGTAATCTGCCATCAAGTAGACTTGGCCAAGGAAAGCGGTCCCGAGGTAGAATGGTGTGTCGGCTGACTCTTCGCGATCTTGGATGGGCGTTATGTTGGAAGCATTCATAAGAACTTCAGAGGGTAGCGTGACTGTAAAGCCATCTTCTAGGACGATCGAGAATGTACCATTGAAAGCGTTCTTCAGCTTCAGAGAATTATCGCCCCATGTGTTATCCTTTTCGGCGCCCAGTCGTTTGATGAAGTTTTGGGTGATCTGATACGGTAGAGACAATGGGAACTGTTCAGTCGTAATCTGGGCATCGAAGTCCTCTGCCCGTGTCTTCATGTCAGTGAAGACCGTGTTATCGAACAGTGATACGTTTGCGTTATCTTCAGAATTAGTGATGACGATATCCTTGATGCGGACGCTCATCGGATTCGGATTGTCGATTTTCATGGCGTATTTGTGTGTCTCTCCCGTGAAGCGACCTGAGTCGTATCCCCCAAAGACATTGCTACCGTTGACTGCGCCTCCGGCACGCTTGAATCCCTGTCCGATGTAGAGCGAGTATGTTTTCCCAGCAATGATGTCTTGCGCAGCCAGGTCCCGAAGGAGAGTGGAAGACAGCCCCATGCCCACTCTTCCAGGTGTGATTGACCCCGATCCAGCGACTTCGATCGTACTGTTCTCTACCAATGTTTGTGATGCACCGTCCGTCTCGAAGTAATGTGTGTATAGTCGTAAGGTCTCTCGACCGAAGAATCCTATGAACCCCTCCTGGTCATCGTCCAAGGTTTTGAAGTTGTCGTCTTTCACAAAACTACTCGACATGTCAGCTAACAAGTTGATATCTCACATCCACAGTTTAACATACCTAGTGGAGTCCCGGTCGTTATAGAATCCCCCCGTACTCGTGGCACATTCCTCAAGGGTCGCGTTCTTGCAGTAGTTACTTGACGCGAAAGAGATGTGGTTCTGTTGTAGTGATGGCCAAAGACTCTGGTTTTGTGCTGGCGTTCCCAGTCCAATGAAGGATCCATATTGGAATTCTGATGAGTCGTGTACAGCCCGCTTGTGGATGTCGACATATATTGGTTTCTTGGTGCAGTTTGAAGCAAATGTAGACTGAGTGAACAGCAAAGTTGCGGAAAGGCACAGAACGAAAGATGCCATGATGGAAGATGAGCGACGCTTGAGTCCAGCAAGCTGAAGAGCAGGTAACAAGGTGCTGGATAACGCTTACAACACCAGCAGGCAAGATGAACGGCGACGATGACGAAACGTCTCAAACTCGAGTTGCGGAAGTGCCAGAGGCTGCAGGATGTCTTTGTAGGCCTCCATCATCTGTACCTTGATACACTAAGATGAGCATGCGGACAGTCGGCCAGTCAGGCAAGGGCCCAGCTATTCTTGCATGCGGGAATATCCACACTGCTTCTGCTGGTCGCGCATGAGTGCATCCCTGGGCGCCCTCTAGAGCCGCATGGGACTGAACCGCTGCCGAGAGCGCCTGCTGATGCCGTTGTGGAAGTACCACGACCTAGGGGGGTGCACCATGGGCGCTTCGAATAGAAAGATGCACAAGGAAGAAAGATGATCCCTCTCCGATGGTAAGCTTTGCCGTCGCAGAGACACTGATGATTGGATCGTTATTTTGCACCAAAGATAGCGGGCGTTTACGAGACCAGGCCGATTGGGTAGGGCTGTCTCGCGACATTCCCAAGCGCCCGCTGCACGGACCCGACCGCAGGTGTGGATCTGACACCAGTCGCTATTCTTAACCTCCCGCTCACTACAGTCTGCAATCTTGGAGGCATGTAGATTGCGTACCCGCTCGGTGAGATTTTGATGAGTTCAGAGGAAACCCTCGGAAATAGCCGTACAATCTTAATCCCGCATCCCCGCTGTTGTTCCCCCGCACGCCGTTCTCATTGTTGTGCAAAGAGTAACGTTTGTGTACAGAGTGGATGCGTGCCAGCATCAGGTATAATTGGAGAACTGTGCATTGATTTCGACGCGTTTTTAGATCCAGAAGTTACAGAAGTCCCGATTGCTTTGCAATACATGCTCGCGCAATAGCATAACCCTCGGACGGCTGTGTAGTGTGTGCCAGGGTTGCCTTGCAAGGAATGAAGGGGGAACAAAGCGCTTGCACTTCTCTGATGCCTACGCCATATGGAACACGTAGTGACTCGACGTATCCGTCTTATTCACGGTACTGCTCGGTGCAAGCATGTTGGCTCTGTTCACAATGACACTTCATGCATCGTTCTGATGCCCTAGTTACTGGGTCAAACAGCCATATAGTATATAAGATCGACTGCAGCGTGACACGTTCTTCGTTGCGTGACTTCTACTCCTTTCTTTAGCTCCTGGAATAAGCTCCATTTCCCACCTCCTACACAGTGTGTGAATGTGAACTGACTTTGAAAGCTAAAATATCGCTTGATAATGACTTGAAACAACTTGAACCCCGGCCTTGACACCGTACTCCATCACTCGCTATGCTAAAAGACTATCCCACATATTCCACAAGCAGTTGGCGGCGGATGTTACCGACATGTATGAAAAGGTTATGCACATTAGGAGCAAAAAGGAAAACGTCCAGCTGAACGCAACGTTGAGCATTGAGACTTTCAGGTGTTGACAAGCACCCATCGCTTCTCTTTCTCGGTAGGTCCTACCCTTGCGGCAACTACGCTCAAGGTGTTGCTGATTGCATCCTTAGGTAGTTTTGGGAATACCTTTTTCAGCGCTTCAATCATGCCAATCTTGGTCAGATCTTTGCCCTCAATTTCAGCCTTGAAAGCTGCAAGTTGCTCAGTGGGTACCAATCGCTTAGCTTTTGCAAGCTTAGTCGGAGTTCCCCCTGTTGACTTCTGTGGGCCGTTCAAGGTGTTGAGCAAACCATTCATAGAGCGCTGGACCAGAGGTACCCGTGGAGGGTTCATGGCGTTCTTAGCAGGGTTGTCTTTCTTCGCAACAGCGACAGTACTTGCATTGGTCGCAGGATCCGGTTCCCAGTATGCCGTAGAAAACGGATCGATTGAACTCATCTGCGGATCCAACAGGAACCCCATTGAGAACCCTCTGAAGTCGGTGCATATAGCATCTGAACCATCATTCAACCTGGAAACCCTTTCGGCATCCTCCCAGCACAAGCCAGTGCTGACAGGAACCAAATCACCACTAATGAGTCGCCGTTTGAGTTGTGGGTCTTCTTCATCGTCGAGGAAACCGTCCAAGTCGTCTTCTGCATCTTCTTCGTTGTCGTCTTCGCCGTCAGAGTCAAGATCTTCTCCTTCCTCGGGTTCATCCCACTCTGCTTCAGAGTCGTAGTCATAATCAGTGTCCTGTCGGACCCTGGCAAGGGGATTTCGTGCGAGCCGAGAAGCTTCAGCGTCGGTATAAGGCCTGGTGTAGGTGCCATAATATGGCGGACGTACGTCTTTGCAGAAATGTATGTACTTCATTGGGATCTCTCGTAGCATTTCCAATGGGCTTCTGTGGACAGTCAAGTCGATGGGACGATCCGACGAGCCATTCACACGTTCGATAACTTCGGCGATGGTCGCAGTCCGATGCGCTGGTTGACTCTGTCGCGGTAGAGAGGATACCAAGGTCTCTCGTGTGATGATCTCGGTACCAGTACTGTTGTGCGCGATGAGGTTCTCTAGCCGTGTTCGCGCAGCCTCCAGCCGCTCCGGATCGTCGAGCAGGGTATTTATTGGAGCGAGGATCGTATGTGGAGGAAGGTTAAACGGTAGAAAGTATCGCTCGTAGTCTGACTGTGCGTTCTTGACGATGTTCTTCTGCGGGGATGGAGGGGCCAAATTAGTTTTGGCTCCAGATGTGCTAGATAAAGATGTGGACGAGGCAGTAGGGTTCTGGGATGAAACTACCACGGCCTGTCCTGGGCTTGATCCTGCCTTTGGCTTGACGAAAAAAGTGTTGAGCTTCATTTGGGACTATCCAGAGGTTAGCACTGCTCAGGTCGAACTCCAAGGACGATGGTCGGCTTACTCGTGCCTTCTTTGCCTTCTCCTCCTCTACCCGTTGCTGTTCCTCCTCCTTCAGGCGCTTCTTCTCATCTCGTTCCTCATTCTTCTTGCGCTTCTCCTCATCTCTCTGTGCCTTTTGCTCCGCCTTGACCTTCTCCTCGGCCTCTTTCTGCGCCTTCTTCTCTTCTCGCGCCTTGGCCTTCGCTTCCTTTTCTAGACGCTGGGCCTCTTTCTCTTGTGAAGTCAATTTCCGCTTTTTGGCCGGTTGTGAGGGGGTTGGAGCAGAGACATTGCTGCTGTTTGGGGCGGTTGAAGTCGGAGCGCTGCTCCTCAGGGGTGACGGGGTTTGAACTGAGAGAACTGAGAGGGGCGTAGACGCTTCTGATCGAATCTGTTTTGGCGGAGTTGAGACGGTAGGCTCGACATCGTCGTCGTCGTCGGTGTGTGGACGCTTCTGGGGCAGCGGCGCAATGGGTGTGGGGTCCTCCATAGTGTACGGCGGTTGCTGAAAGTGCAGCCGATAGGCTTTACAGGTCTATCAAGCTTCGATAGTGAGGGGGCCGACGCTCAATTCTGAGAAAGTTGTTGTGGTTGAACAAGCAGCGTGGTTGCGGTAGCGGACGTTGATGCGGGAGGAGACGCGAAGGTCGAAGGCGCGACGCGCAGCGCGTGGAAACCGCGAACGACTAGTGGGCTAATGTGGGCTTAGTGCGGGAAAGTGCGACTGGGGTGCAATTGCTCGAATGGCGTATACTTTAGCGATTTCATGCTCTGATTTCCTTTTAGCGTTACGGCGAAACGAACGCGAACATTAACACGTCGAGCACCACTATTTTACTCGTGCAAGACGTGAACCAAAAAAAACTCAAAGTGATTCTTATTGTTATCAGCTTGGTGATAAACGCGCGAGTAGAACTGCCTTTCCTGGTGTATCCTGCACGTGTCGTGCCTGCCGTCTTGCAGCTGTCACGCACCGACCACGCTTTCTATGACTGGCTTCTTGCCTGCAGCGCCCTGTGCGGATCTCTTGCTATGTCGAACTCACAGTAGTCGGTCACATACCTGCTAGCAGCTAATCCAGTATCTGCGAGGTTCCATACCAACGTTCGCCATTCTGCACTTCGCCATGGATACAAGCGATCTCGATGACATGTTGTTTGGTAAACATGACATGCAGGTCACTTCTGAGGATACGGAGGAGGGGGACTCAGAAGATGAGTTCCTGTTTGCAAATTCCCAACGGGAAAATATACCGTGGGATGTGTGGAACAACTCAAACTCAACCTCCTCAACCAATGGCAACGTACTGTCTATTCAGGAAGCACCTCGGTATCACCATCAGGAGCACGCTCTAAGACCCATACGCGACAGGTTCTTCAGGTGCTCTCACTCTGAGTGGGTTATGACTAACCTTGTGCAGACTTTGGGTGATCGCTTGCATCGAAGCGATGATAGAGCTGATTGCGGATGCTCAGCTAGAGGATTACGAAGCGATCACTATCACGCTGAAGTCCCGTGCGGCTCTGTCTCGCAGACGATCTGCCACAGCCGACGGCCAAGAACAGACACCCGAACCGAAGGAACGCGATATCAATTTCCCAGGAACAAGTGCGCAAGAGGCATGGAACTTCAGTGTGTGAACCCGATCATTTATACATACTGAGTACGTTAATGGTCGTGTAGCTGTACTAGTTCGTATACTAGAGCTTCTCCATGCTGGTCTCGTCGATGGTACCGTCATGACGAAGAGGTCAACCTTGTCCTTGTATAATGACAACAAAAGGCTGACTTGAGGAAGAGACTTGTATTATCGACATCCGGACTTGTTCGTCAAGCAGTCGATAGTCGACCGATACGTGGACGACTTGGCTTGTACCTTCGGCATCACTAGATCCCAATTGAATGTGGTGCGCTTGCCTCGGCATATTTCTGGAAGCACAGCTGATAGCCAATCTTAGACTGCCACTGCGAAAGGCCTACTGGCGGGCGGCTTTAGGTTGACTCGAAACGACGGTCATTATATCAACGGCATGAGCGAGAAAGAGGTTTGACGAGCGTGCTGGCTCAGTGATACCTTCCTAACACATCGCTAGGGGATGCTCGTTCCCAGTGTCAATGATAACGACACTCTCGACTTGGCAAACGTGCAATGGGTTCTCATTCTCGAAAAGGAGGCATGGTTGATGCTCGAGGATCACTTATGTTAACGCTAATGCATACCTAGGCGACCTTTAGGTCATTGATGAGTTCGCCACGGTGGCACACGTTGGGCTCGAGCGGAACAATACTGACTGTAAGCCTGACTTCGTCTACTGCCAATGTCACCTAACCACCAAGACAGGCGAAAGGATACCCAGACCTCGCTTCACGGAAATTTCTGAGTCAATTAGCAGCTAAGGCCCCTCACATTCCCATGTATGCTCTGATGGACCTTGATCCCGACGGTATCGCCATCCTATCGACGTACAAATATGGGTCGTATCGTCTCGCGCACGAAAACGTTACATCCACGGATACAGCCACGCCAGGCTTGCCTAACATTCGCTGGCTTGGTGTCAAGAGTCACCACATGAGCGGGACTCCGCTAGGCGAAGTGCACACAGATACAGGCACGAAACCTCAACTTCAAGGCCTGATGAGACTGACAGTGCGCGACCGCAACAGAGCTGCGCGAATGCTGGAGTGGAACTTGTGCGCCGAGGAGGGTCCCGAAAAGTGCTGGAGGCAGGAGCTACAGAAGATGCTGATGCTCAATGTCAAGGCTGAAATGCAAATACTTGACGAAATGCCAGGTGGATTGGTGTCTTGGTTGAGCGACAGGCTCGGGCAGGCAACGGAGCTGGTGCGCGCGCAGCGGATAGATGACGAAAGGCCAGACGACGGGATGCTCTTTTGAGATCTGGAATACCCCTGGGAGGTAAATGCGCTTCCATGCGCAGGATCTGCATGTGTTACCTTCTAGTTGTGCAAGACAGACAGTCGTCGAGCAGCAGGGATGTCGAGGTTGTCGTCGGAGAGATTTTAGGGTGTCAGGCCAGTGAGATGCCTCTTAGGCGCAACAAGAATATCCCAAGTCTTGCACGCTTACAATTGGGCGTCGCATCCCAAGTGGCATGCAACTCGTTCAATATGTCAGAATATGTGTAGGGTGAAGCGGCAATGGCCCAATGATGGAAGGCGGGTGGGACGAAATAACCCGCCAAGCTTGGCGCCAGCGCATCTTCTCGATCACGGCAGCTCACCCAACAACTCAGACGGCGTCGCATAGCGGCAATGCATTGACCTGCAGCTACGGAACCAGAACCCACAACAATGGCCGGCATGTCTAATGATCCGCGCGTTCCCTTCCAGGCGCCACGGCTCCCGCACAGCGCTGCCCCTCCGACCGACTGTGAGCAACATGGCTCAGGTACCGCCGAGTCGAGTGCAATCCCACACCCACTGACGCCTGCAACGACCACCAGACAGTCGGTACCATTGGGCGTCTTCTCGACACTCTTGGGGCACAACACCACGTCCACACTTAGTGCGCGGCCTATACTGTCCGACGAGCCCGTCCTCGCCCACACGCAACCACTAGATGCTCCCGAGGGCCTGTCTGACTTGACGGCGAGCTCAGGCTCGGTGCCCAGTGCGACTACTACCTTGACCAACACACTGCCACCGACTCAGTCTGCTGCACTGCGTGCCCTGAACGCCCCCGCCTTCCATTCCTCGCCCTCCAAGAGCAAGTCTGCAAAGTCTACATCGAGTCGGACAACCGTCACCAGCCAGCCCGTCGTAGTACGCACATACTCAGGCTCGCGGCACGCATCACGCTCTGGCTCCGGCTTCAATACGCCACGCTCGTTTGCCATGAACGGGCAGACACATGCGTCGGCCCTGTCAGCCGGTCTGGCAGGCAGGAGCGAGCAACTACCCTCCGCTGACGACTTTTCTTTTTCCGCCATCCTTCGCGCTGTTGACCCTGAGATCAGAGACGCCATCGATGCCATTGCCGAGATCTGCGCCCGAAGCAGAATGAGTCTGGCAGACGAGTACGACTCTCACCTACCCCCACAAGGCGAAATAACAAGTGGGGGCTCGGCATGGGCCGCAAGTACAGGAGCATTGGCCGGCCGAGGTCGTCTGAATAGGATCAGTCAAGGATGGACTGCTGCAGACAACACACTCATGGCAGTGCCTGAAGCGAGCAGCTCCAGCGAGCGGCTGGCGCAAGAGGGCAGGGCCGAGAGCAGTAAGAAGCGTAGTCAGTCAGCATATGGAAGCTTGAAGAGCGTCATTAGTGGTGGGAGTGGTAAGAGGAAAGCCATAGATGGCGATACTTTCCGAGACCAAGAGGCTGGCAGTTCGAAACAGGTCGAAGCCCAGAACTCGGGGCCCGCCTGGGCAGTCCATGCATCCACCTCGTCTTCGTATCCAGCAATTACCATTGCTGCGCCTACAGCTTCGAAACAACTATCCCTCGATACATCATCGGCGATGCAGGACGTCGGCAAGGACGCCAATGGACCATCGAATGGACGGCCTCAGACTGCAACACCACGAAGAACCCCTTCTCACCAACGCGGAGCGTCTATGCGCAGTCTTCCGGCATCACGAGCACGTTCCGGTACCCTTGACTCTATAAAGGCGTGGCTACCATGGCCCCGGCCGTCAGATCTCGACCAGAACAGTCGGCAGGAGCTGACAAAAGCCGAGGACCGTCTCAGAAGCATGCTGATATCATCGTCCCAAACCCTCGGGAAAGGTAAAGCAACAGTGCGCGTCATTTGAGGGTCGGATTGGTTCGCATCTCCAAAGCGTTGAATACTCCCCTTCAAATTGTTTGTTATATATCGCAGATACCCAAGGAGAAGCTGAAAGTGTACGAAAAGCGGACTAGGGGATGCTTGTGCTTTGCGTAGGACTCTTGCTCCGAAAGACGCAACGATAAACATGAATAACGTTTTATGATAATGACTAACGACAATAAGTAAATAGCTCGATGCAATAGGATAGAACAATTCAAGCTTACTTACAGCCTCTGACGGACTACCGTGGCTACCTCTTTCGGATTGGACAATGTAGGAGCTTCAACTCAACTAGCTTCTTCAAGTAACAAGTGTGCATTAAAACGTGGGGTAGCTGCTTAGCTCACTTCTATCTCCGCTCTCGTTGACGGTATCAAACATTATGAAGTAGACATCAAGACCACGACCTTCTTCAAACTTGAGACGAGAACAACACGATGGCACCCAAAACACGAGAGACACGAGTCGACAGCTTCATTGACCCAAGACTCCTCCCACCACTACACAAGCCACTCACTCTCCCCGAGCTATGCGATGACGTCCTACTACTCATATGCGACTTTCTGGACCACCATCACCAGCAACACGGCGAAACCCCATGGAAACAACTCTCCCTAGCAAATCGCCGTCTCCACGCCCTCCTCGTTCCACGACTATTCAAAACCCTACGCGTCGCCGCGCCGCTCAAATCCCTAGACACAGACGCCTTAACACCTTATTTGCACCAAGCTCGCGCGCTCAAAATCGACATGTTCGGCAGTCTATGGTGGTGGTGCTCCGGCGCCTACGTATCCAGTAGCGACGCCCTCGATCTATTTACCTTTATGCATTCGTTACCGCGGCTAAAGCGATTGGAAGTGAGGATGATGAGTCGGAGTCTGGATGTCTTCTCCGCTGCGTTCACCGACTCTTCACTTCCATCCCAGTTCCCTGGGTTTGAGCTGAGAGGAGTAGAGACGTTGGTTGTCAACAGCAGCGCCGCGTTCCTAGTGCAGCATTGTCCCAATCTGCAGACGTTGGTGGTGAAGGGGAAGGGCGATGGTGATGATTGTGCAATGGACAAGTATACCGAGCTGAAGACTTTGTTCGAAATAATTCCGCGGTCTAGCCTGAGAAGGGAAGCACACGATCCGTATTTCCAGTACGCAGTGGGGCTGCAAAGGTTTGACGGAAGTGCTGCATGGTCTCTGGCTGAAGTTACCTTTCTCACGACGACGTTTCCGAATATTCGTCATCTTGTCTTGCGCAGCGAGTCGTACTGTTATCGATCCGATGTCGCGTCCATTATGCATACTCTGGGTCAAGGCTTGAAACAACTCAAGTCGCTACAGGTCAGCAAGATCGAATATCTTGATATGGGATATCGGGCAGTGTGGAAACGAGCGGTCATGGAATGTAAGACGGAAGAAGCAAGACAGGCGTTATGGAAAGGGAACGAGAGGAGGAGAGTCGCAGCCGAAAACAACGTTGCGAGGTTAGCATTTGGTGAGGTGGAAGCACTGGAGGAGTTATGGGTGGGTGAAAAAAGGGTTGCGAGACGACATGGTGGGAGCGGGGAATCTTGGATATGGGAGCGTAATCCGGATGACACGGTGGATGCCGCGCTGATAGGAATGAAGTGGGCGGAGTATCGTAAGGAAAGGGAGGCTGTGGTTGTGACGAGGGAGAGAGGGATGTAAAGGAGGTGAAAAGTTGGCCAACTGCAGCTTAACTCATATAGATAGCAAGTTGTTCAGTCAAGAACAGATAATCCATCCTCATATAGCGTCTAATAAATAACAGGGTACATCGTACCGAAGGGGAGTACAGCTTACCCGATAAATGCTAACTAAAGCCCACATACCCAAGAATAAGCCATGCTGTCAGTCCTCAGATAGGCCTCTGACGCCAGGTTTAATGCAACAGAACACAAAGCCATCCATCATACAAGCCATCACACGCCATCACACGCCATCACACGCCATCACACGCCATCACACGCCATCACACGCCATCACACGCAAACCACACGTGAAACCTTACATGCGAGCCACACCAGGTGAGCGGCTCATTCTACCTTGCAAAACCGTTACTACTACTCGATGGCATTGGTGACGCGGAAGCTGGTTTCCAGATCCTGATTCGTTTGTCATCGCCGGCAGAAGCGAATGTAGTAGGATCCTTGGGGTGCCAGGCTACGCTATTGGCGCAGCCAGTGGGGTGTGCGTCGAGAGCTTCGATAAGGAGGCCATTGGAGCGCCATATGTATATTCGTGAATCTACAAGCATGTATTAGCAAATGATCCTGCATGAAGGGACAAGGCAAACATACCCTCGCTGCCGCTAACTACAAAGTTCTCATCGGCGCCGCCAAACGCTGATCGAATCATGAATTCCTTCTGAGCATGTGCCTCGAAGCGTTGTATCACATCCCCAGTGTCGATTTCCATGAGCTTGATTTGATCAGGGCTTATGCTAACGAGCATATGCCGCGAATCCTGGCTGATCGTAACACTCGTCAACTTTGTATCGTCAAGCTGGAACTCGGCAATCCTCTCATAAGTGGCAAAATCAAACACGACGATGGAGCTCTCTGTAATGACGACTAATCGCTGGCCATCGGATGACACTGCGAGGCCGTTTACACGCAGCTTCCCATCGTCGGCGAAGTTGTGCTTGAGGTTACCGTCGAGATCCCAAACACTACAGCCCATGTTGTCGTCCTGTGACCCGATAATAACTCGTGTACCGGATGGATCCCAAGCCGCGGTAGTACAGGGGTAGGTAAAGTCGCTGATACATTGTATGCATGCACCGGTCTGCTAGTTTTTAGTCGAAGCTATCAAAGCAATCTTGCCGTCTTACCTTGACGTCCCATATCCGCGCCGAATTCTCTGGTTGCGAGCAGCATGTTATTATCTTTGTGTCATCAGGACTCCAAGCAAGATGAGCGACGCCAGAGTCCCGGTGTTCTTCGAGTCGATGTAACACCTTGTATGTGTTGGTTTCGTAGATGAGGATTGTCTTGTCCTTGCCTGCTGATGCAAGTTTTGTGCCGTCGTTTGAATACTGCAAGTACCAAACCTCATCCGTGTGGTGTTTCAAATCAAGCACAGCCTTTGTTGGGAAGTCATCCCTTTCACAGTTGTGGTCGAGATAGAGAGACGGTGACGCGGCGGTGTTGTGGTATAGGCAGTTTGCGATCCAGCTATCCTTTACTTCATCTAGCAGTACTGCCAACCTGTGTTCCGGGATCATGATGCTCGGCGAAATTGATTCTACAGGATGTCAGCATGAATCACCATAATCTGGAACTTGCTGCTTACTGGAAAGATCAGAAAGCAGATGCATCCGCGAGTCACCGCGAGCGCCGTCCCATTGAGCTTGATTTCTGAGGTCTTCTGCAGATTGGCACATCATAAGCCTACGAAGCATTAGCAGAATTATATGTGATGGCGGCATGATACTTACGCCGAAAGAGCGTGTAACCTTCCCACATCTCGATGAAGCGGCGTCAACTCTTGCCGAAGTACCGCAAGTGCCTTGCTCAGATCTCTCCGTTCAAGCAACTCGAGATACTTTTGCTGCTTCAGACAGAATAGCATCACCTCGCGGTTTGCGCCCTCGGCTAGGGTCAAGCCTGTAGAACGCTGCGAGTTGGGCTGTGATGTCGATTTCCCCCAGGGCCTTCTGTAGGGAGCGTCTAGACCAACACCACCGCCACCGGTGTCGTAGGCATTTGACCCAAACAGCAACTCTTCGGCTTCCTCCCAGTCACCGTTCAGTACCGAAGTTCGGAATGCCGCAACCGTCGGCCCTTCGAGCTGGAAGCCACTCTCCTTGCATAGTGCGCCCGCAGCACTGTGGTAACCCAAGTCGGTCAGACTCTGGATCAGTATCCGCGTCACTTCTTCCCTGTCATGGCCAAAGAAAGTTGCAGGCACTGATCCCCCATTCGCTACCGGTCCTCCATTTGTATAGGAGCCATTGCTCTCGTTCCTGCCATGTGTGCTTCCATTCGCGCCCTTGGCCAGGGGCGACCTGTGCCCCGATGACTGTGACGATCCGTTTGCGAAGTTACGCGAGGGCGATTGTGAGGATTTGGAGGCGTCGTTATCAAGGCGCATCTTCCCTTCCTGTCTGCGCCTGCGCTTCGAGATGTGGCGGGATAAACTGCCCCGGGTGCCGCTGGTGAGGGGCTCTTCTTCGGCGTCGTCGCTCGCAGAGAAGCTGTGCCTGCGCTTTCCGGCTGTGGTCTGGTCGGATGACAGGATAGCGGCAGCGGGTGCGTGGTTGGAGGCTCGAGCGGTGGGTGCGGACTGGTCAGAGGGGGCAGAGATGACTGGGGAAGAAGAAGCGGGGGACGTCGGGGTGGATGGGTGGTCGGAGGCGGCTGGGGAGGGAGTGCTTGGGGCGATTTCGTCTGCCAGGACGAACGCTGGGGCTGGTTACCCGCAGATGACGCGGGTATGAGTTGGTGGCAGCGCCGTGCCTAGAGGGGTGCTGTCTTGGGGATTAGGGAAAGAGCATAGGCAGGTTCGAGGCGAGGCGAGGTGCTGTGCTGTGCTGTAGTGCGCGTGGAGTCGGCGTAGGCCCGGGAGACGTGGTCAAGCTTGCGGAGGTGAGCTCGGAGGTTTGGAGCAGCTGGCGATGTCACGAGCCGAGAAATGACGATGCAGTCGTCGGGGCCGGGCACCTTGGATGCTATCACAAACGTTCGAGCTGCGCCGAACAGGGAAACTCCGATTTATCGTCGTGGACACGCCGTAGGAGCCTCTAGTCGTCGTCTCGGTGGTTGTATGGCAGTTTGTCGAGGTCCGCAGCTGGGGACCTAGGTGCAACCGGATGCGTTAAGCTCATGTGCCAAGTGGCAGCCACGACGTGCAAGAGATGGCCCAAAGCAGCGCAAATACTACACCACAGGGAGCATTCAAGGTAGAAACGTCCACTATCTGAGTCATTCAGTCAGTTCAAACGGCAGCGTCATAACATGTTGCATGGAATGGTCCAAGGCAGGCATGCGCACCAAGATGCTCGGGTGGATCCGCATTGTCACAAGGGACCTAATCGCGCGATAAGAAAGGGAGCTAACGCCCGCACCATGGCCAGCACGACTCACAAGGACGCCCAAGTGCTCTTCTTTGCTGCCTTCGCGTCTATGTGGCCGTAGACGCGTCATGTCTCGCTCCAGGCTGCCTTCCGACCATTGCAGACAAGAGCAACACGTCATGTGGAACAAGGTACGCGCTCTCATGCGGATCCATCAACCAACATCAAATATCCTCCGAACAACCGCAGATTGTCCACTCTGATTCCAACGTCACAATAGCACTATCACTACCCTAGACCACTTCTACACCCTCATTGTCGCGTTCCCGCCCGCTTCATGCTCCTTGAACCAGTTGAGGAACTGGAACAAACTAGCCTTGGGTGTCCTCTCAAGGCTCGTATAGTTCACGTACTGCACTCCGAACCTGACCGACGTACCAAGCGCCCACTCAAAGTTGTCTAGAATGGACCACCCCCATGCTCCAGTCACGTTGACCCCGTCCACATGAATGGCTAGCAAAATGTTGTCTAGATATTGCTGGAAGTAATCCGCTCTCTTCAAGTCCCAAAGCGCCTGCAGAGGTAGAGGTACCAAGTCAGTATACGCCTCACATGCACTTCGTACAGCCAGGACTTACCGAGTTCAGGTTCGACCATTGCCCTTCGAAAGGCTCTGCGAATCCGAATTCGCTCACAACAATGTCCGGGATCGATGGGAAGAGGACTTGAGTAATGTGCTTGAGGTAGCGGCGCACACCGGCAGGTGCAGAGTAGAACCACGACATGGCCGGGTCGGCGGCAGGACCGATAGGGAAGCCATTAGGGGCTACACTTGCTGAACCAGCACAGTCAGGGAATGATGGGTGTGACCGGTTGCTCGTGCATGACTCCAGCCCGCCATCGACCTCAAAGGCTAAGAAGCTGGAGTAGGGGTCGATGGCGTAGAAGTCGCACGATCCTTTGATCATGTCCTTCTCCTCTTGTGTGAACTCAGGCAAGAGGTCGCCAAGGGTGTCTTTGAGCGACTGCGGGTAGTCACCGTCAGTCCATGGTCCACCGAACCAGCCAATGCTAAAGTCAAAGTTCCGCTGGCGTGCAACTTCGTCTTCTGGTTTTGTGCTGTTGGCCTCGTAGTAGTTGCCACTGTTCTTGAAGGTCATGCGGCCGCGTCCTTTGAATTCTTCATGGTACCATTTGGCCACCTTTGCGTGCGCTAGCAGTGTATGGTGGCCACATAGGAAGCGGGCTTCATTGCCGCCTGTGACGCCTGAGCCGCGGTATGCGAAGTCAGTGTATGTCTCAGATGCAGTTTGTACAAAGAGACTTACCGTTTGGCGCTGGGTAGTATTCACCTGCCGGATACCCGGCGTATTGCCAATTGCAGTACTGGGGCTCGTTGATCGTAAACCACTCGTCGACGTAGGCATCATACCGTGTGATTACAAACTTGGCGTAGTTGAAGAAGTCATCCACGACGCGGCGGTCAGTCCAGGCGCCGTACTCATTGAATATAGCGAGTGGAGTATCCCAGTGGAAGAGCGTTACCGCTGGATGGATGCCATTCTCGTGCATGGTTCTAATCACGTCGTCATAGTGCGCAATGGCTTCCTCGTTGACCGGACCATGTCCAAAGGGAAAAAAACGCGGCCATGAAAAGCTAGGGCTGAAGGCTTTGATCCCTAGACTTGCTAGTCTGGCGAAATCCTGCTTATACAGATAGTAATGCTGGTCAACAATATCGCCAGTCGTATTATCGGCGACGAAATTAGGGACTGCAGAATAGAGGTACAAAGTCAGTATATGTCTCACATGCACTTCGTACATTCGAAACTTACCCCGGTGTGCCAGCAGATCCCAGATACTGGGTCCCTTGCCTTCGTCCTTGGCCGCACCTTCGATTTGATACGCGGAAGAACTAAAGCCCCATTGGAAGTTCTTGGGTAGCTTCAAGCCCTGTACCTCGGGGTTTCCGCTTCCTACAAGAGCGTGATAATAGCGAGAATCTGGCTGCGGATATGCTGTTGGCTCTGCTGTTGGCTCAACGGTACTCGTGATGGGGCCCGTGGCGATGGGGCCCACCATGTCCCAGAGAGAGGCTAGTGCATTGGGAGAGAAGTCGGTACGGGTGTAGGCAGTGGGCTGTGCGGACGCGTTGAAGCTTGCGGTACTGTAACCTGAAGGCAAGACATAAGAGATAGTAGCTGTCCCATTGCTCTGGGCAGTGACGGGAGCGGCGAGAACAAGAAGAGTGAAGAACGGCAGCAATTGATCCATCTTGAAGATTTGACGTCGAATAGCAGGAGATGTTGCGCCAGCATGAACGGATCAGGGAGTACTTAAATAAGTACCTAGGTACCTCTACTAGATCCAACTGCATCATACCGGGTGGTTTCATTGTGCTCCCCGCTGACGAGAACCTTTCATCGATGGAGATTACCCGGAAATTTTGAGCTCGGCGTGCATGGTACCCCTCAAGAAAGTGCTCAAAATCATCTTCGTGCATCCGATGTAGTGGATTACAAGAGTCTACAAAGGCAATCGTTGGTCAATCCCAAGGAGCTAAGGTGAGCTCCAAGCTTCATCGCGGTACCGAATGCTCGAGCGTGAGGATTTGCACCAAGCCTGCAGACGTCATCAACGGGCAGACCAGCGGAACTGGCGGAGTGAATTTCCGTGCCGAAATGGGAATAGAACGAAGCTGCTGCTAATTGATTGGTGGAGGCAAAGCTTCTCGAAGCCATGCACGGAGCTATTGCGGGGAAGCAACAACCATCTTGACTGATTGTTGAGCTTCCAAGAGACATCGTGCGAAGTTGTGTACCCAGATGGTAAGGTGAGCGGCAGAACAGAAGGCATGAACGGTCCGTCGACCGGGCCTTGTCAAACATGGTAGGGGGAAACACGGGGCGAAGGGGCGCATTGTGACAATAGAGCAGTATTGCGGGTCGACGACACAAAGATTGTAGATGTCAGAGAAAGGGATTGTGTCGGTTTGCCCAGGCGCACCTCTGGTATGCCATTGTCGGTCCTGACCGAGTAGGTTTATTCAGTTCATCGCTACGTAAAAGAGACCTAGCAAAATGTCGCTAGGTTCTCCGGGTATATGGTCTTCGCCGTAACATATGACGAAGATGGTAAGTCGTCCTCGACGAGATCATGGTGAGTCGTTACCTCTAAGCCTTGCGCTGCTTCTTTGAGGGCGGCTCTTGCTCCGACTTGCGGCCCTTGCCTACCAATGCGCGAATGTCGACTGGTTCTTGATCGTCGTCGTCATCATCGTCACTAGCATCCATGACATCCAAGTCAGATAGTTCTTCATCGTCTTCATCTTCGTCGAATGTGCCCTCTGTGTTCTGTTAGCGACGGACAAGAAGCAATTGAGCGCGTGCCACATACTGTAGTACTTGATAGCGTTAGGCCACATATCTTCGGCGATAATGGTAGCAACCTCATCGCCGCCTGGGAAGACCTCGATCTCCTGGTAGTCTTGCGGATCTTCTTCGTCTTCAGCCTCATCCTCGTCATCGACCTTCTCCCCTCGCCTGATCTTCTCGAACCTCTCCTTCTCCTCCTTGGCAGCCTGTGCTGACTCCTGGGCGCTGACCCATCGGTAGCCGGAGACGAAAGAGAAGAGACCGAAGAAGCTAACAGAGGCGTCTGTAGCTGTTTCGATCTTCTTGGCCAGGTTCTTGTATTCCTTTGTCTTGGCTTCCTCTTTCCTCGCAACACCGTTGGCAGTGTCGGTTGCCAGCTTCTTCCTCATCTCGCCCAGCTTGTGTGCCGCATCCGTGAGACCACCGGTGAGGTCCTTGTCCTTCTTCCAGCTGATTTTGACAGGCTCCGAAACGAGGCCTTGCCAGTCCTTGGTCTTCCTGAACCAGAACTTCTTCTCGAGCACCTTGTCTTCGAAGTATTCGTTGTCGGTGAAGCCGAACTTTAGCGAGAAGCTGCGCGGGGAGCCATTGGGGTCGTTAAGCTCGAAGCGCGACACCTCAAAAGTATCGAGACACTCGGCGAAAACCTTGGAGTCGGTAGGCTGAATGAAGTTGTCGATCTCGGGCGGCGCCTGCTCGAACACGAGCGACCAGAAGTGTGGGATCTTGGTCACGAAGTCGGCGCGCTTCTTGTAGAGAGGGCCCTGCAGAGCCTCGGCTTGGCGGACTGCGATCAGGTTAGCAATGCGACTCCCTTGCCCAAGACGCGACATGATAGAAATGGAATCGCGACTTACTGATCTCCTCTTCAACGTCTTCGAATTCGTGCTCAAGAGCGGCAAGCTCCTCGAAGCGAGCGGCCACTTCTTCCGTCATTTGGTGATCCATGGGTTTTGAGCAGCTGCCGCCAGGTGAGCAACAATCAGACACTTTAGACATTGAATGTTGGTGGAGTGACGAAAGCGTTCAGCCGCGAGTGAACATTGCTCTCAAAATTTCCGGACTGCTGCAGGGATGTTTGCGCAACGGACCCACTCAAAAAAGGCGGAGGCGTCCCGCCCCACAAACCCGTGCACACGTTCATCCCGACTTCTGCACCCTTTTGGCAGCAGAGCGTATCTATCTATCCGGCTTCGTCGACACGATAGACTGACGCGAAGTTGTATGGCGCGGAAAACAAACCGACATCATGATTCCATGAAAGCGGCGTGCAAGCCATCAGAAGGCCCTTAGGTCAACTGGGAGTCACAGAGATGACTTGCTTTCACTCCGCCACAGCTTCACTCGTGGCAGTGCGCTCTGGTACATTCACGATAGGCAGCACCCGATACCCCACAGTGCCTTATAAATTCGCTACTGGCTCTGTTCGAGTCCCACTGAAGAACACACAATACGCTTCTGCCAGGCCCGACAACGATCCGCGCAATCCTCGCTACCTAGGTAGCCATGGGAGGTCTTGCATTCGCAAATGTTCCAACAGACTCCGGCAGACCTATCAAGGTCCCTCGCCTACCACCAGCACTGTACAAGACGCTCTCCGCGCAGTATCAAGGCCTTCTGGAGACACTATTCGTACGCGTTGTCGTCCCGCGTGACGCTCCAGCCAAGAAAGACCATGGGGACATCGACTTCTTGGTAGAGGGCATTCGGCCACCCAACACCAAAGAAGGGATATGGGCAGCAATACAAAAGACTATCGAAGCTGATATCCATCTTCCACGCGGCGGGTCCTCTTCCTACGCAGTGCGACATCCCGAAATACCAGATGCACATGTGCAAGTTGACGTCGAACTATCGGTTGGAGATGAAACCCCTGAAAGCGCTGAGCTCTTCGAATGGACGCGCTTCATGAAAGGCGACTCTGACCTCGTGCAAATCATTGGCGTCTCTCATCGTCCGCTGGGTCTCACCTGCAACGACCAGGGCCTGCATGTACGAGTTGAAGAGATTGAGCCATACAACAAGAAGAAAGCGCTACTATTTCTCACACGAGATCCAAGTCTCGCGATCGCTTTCTACGGCATGGACGTCGCAAAGTACTGGTCAGGGTTCGAGGATGAAGACGATCTCTTTGACTGGGCTTCTAGCGGGAGGCTCTTTTCGCACAAGATCTTCGAAGGGCGTGTCGAGAAGCACAACGATCGAGCTCGTCAGGCAAAGCGACCCATGTACCAGCGTTTTGTAGAGGAATACATGCCTGCGCATCCCGACAGAGGTGATGCAAACACGTGGACTAAGGAGCAAGTACTGCAGCAGGCTCTTGCAGTTTTCAAGAGGCAGGATGAGTACGACACTATGATGAAGGATCATAACCTCAAGACTGCCGAAGAAGAGCTCTGGAAGGAGATCAAAGTCACGGTCCCAATACAAAGCAACTCTCTGGCCGTCGTCTTGAAGGGCTTGAGGCGTTGGGTCGTGTTCCAGGATAATGAGCCGCGCATTTCGTCTGAGCCCAATCTTGGTGAGCCTTTGATCTGGTCCAAGTTTGTATCGGCGGACAACAAAGACGCTGTGCTCAAGTGGGTGAAGAACAACTGGGAACAAGTTAAGTCTTTAGAGAAGGCGCGTGCGAATGCTGCCAAGGGAGCCGCGAAGGGGGCATCGTGAGGTCTCGGTCAAGCTGATGGAAGTCGAGGCAGTGCAGGGTGCAGACATGACAGAGACTTCGGGCGGTAGTGGTACCGTAGATACTGTTCCCAATCGCACTCACACGTGCTCCTGTACACATCTAAATTTTGCGGTTTCTGTGACGTAACGCGTGGATCTCTTAAGCCGATGATTCCCATGCAGCTGCGGGCCTTCTCAACGCGAGCATGATCTGACCTGGCTTCTCAATGCAAATTTTCAGTTTCGTAGGGGTAATAGAATCGAGTTTCGAAGGGGTAATACGGACGATTTTGTAGGGGTAATCAGAATACCTAAAGGTGGGTCGCATGGTCGAACCTGCTACTTCGGCCCGATGAGAAAGGGCAACTTGAATCACGACGATTTGCAACATTTCTCCGATGGTCAGTAGGTATCGCTGCGAGTGAATTGCGCTACGCTACTCACTATCTTGCCAAGATTGTGTCCCAAGGTGGCTCTTATCTTTTTTGCTTTGTGCGGTACCGGATGGTGACGAACCTTCAAAGGCACTACCTTGTCATACGGATCCCGATCGACAGAACCCAGCTACCACTCACAGCATTGCTTTTTTTTTGCACCGAATAGCTTGCTCGCATCCACAAGTCTCCGCCAAACAAAGATAAGCCCTACGACAACTTCGATCCTCTAGCGCGTGGACGAGATGGACGACCAGTATCCCGAGCTGCAACTGCCAGAGTCACGGGTCTTGATCGTCATAACGGGTACATATTCATGAAGTGAACATTATATGTTCATCGTACTGACCTCACTAGGCGGCACGATATGCATGCGCAAATCTCCAGACGGACTGGTACCTGCGCGGGGTTTCCTCAAAGCTGGACTTGCACCCAGACCAGTCTTCAATGATGGATCGTACCCCGAGCCTTTGGAGATTGTTACCGACGATAAGGGCACACGCAAGGCTGTTCAAAGTCTGAGAACTCCAGTCAGCACCTATGATCGCCGCGTGCGATACTGCGTGCTCGAGTTCGAGAAGTTGCTCGATAGTAGCTCCATCGACTCGACTGGCTGGGATCAGATCGCTCGGACGGTGCAACGAAATTACCAACTTTTCGATGGTTTCGTGATATTGCATGGCACAGACTCTCTCGCGTACACGTCATCGGCGTTGAGTTTCATGTTCCATAATCTGGGGAAGCCCGTGATTTTGACGGGATCTCAAGCGCCGATGATGAACTTGCAAACCGATGCACAGGACAACCTCTTGAATTCTTTGATCATTGCTGGGCATTTCATGATACCAGAAGTGTGTCTATTCTTCAACTTCAAGCTGTTCCGAGGAAACCGCGCGACCAAAGTTTCTGCAGAAGACTTTGACGCATTTGGTAGTCCCAATTTGCCACCGCTGGCTACTGTCTCATCTACCAAGACGAACGTCTTATGGCATCGCGTTCATAGATCTGTCGATCTAAGGCCTTTTACTATACAAACCAGTCTGGATACAGCACATGTAGCTTGCCTGCGTGTGTTTCCAGGTATTACACCTGCAATGGTAGACGCAGTCCTTCGCTTGGAAGGCCTCAAAGGGCTGGTACTGGAAACCTTTGGAGCCGGAAATACCCCTGGAGGACCAGACAGCGCAATGACGCGATGCTTAGCAGAGGCGGTAAAGAGAGGGATCGTGATCGTGAATGTAACACAATGTCTGAGTGGCAGTGTCAGCGCCTTGTACGCCCCAGGAGCATACCTCGGTCGTGCAGGCGTTGTTTTCGGTCAGGATCTAACCTCAGAGGCAGCGCTCACTAAGCTGGCATACCTCCTTGCGCTACCGGATGCTACCCCCGAAGAGGTTGCAAAGCGCATGTCCGTTTCCTTACGTGGCGAGCTCACTGAGACCACAAGGACACATTTCGAGCACCCATCAAGAAGTGGTGTCCTTACCCCTGAGCTTTCGAGTCTCACAGCGCTCGGCTATGCTGTCCAAAAAGGTGACCTGCAAGCGACAAAAGACATAATTCGAGGAGAGCCCCGCTGGTTGTTGAACGATGCAGATTATCAGATGAACAGCCCTGTAGTAAGTGCCATTCCATCCACTCAGCATCCTTATGATTATCTCTGCCCTCCGAGTCACCTTCCAACAACAGCACGCAATTTGAGACCTTCACTGTTGCTGTATCATGCAAGAGCCGGTATCGGAAGGGTTGCACCATATTTGCAGCATGGCTGGCAATGCATACACGATTATCAAGATAAAGAAGCGAGACGCCGCCGGCTCAGAGGGACAGAGCCAAACAGCTCACAGTTGTGCCCCAGTAGTGCGGTGAGACGCAGTCGCTTATCTTCCAGCCCATTACTGTATTGCATTCGCTTCTGGAGCGACTTGATCCGTCTGAGCGAAATTGCGTTCCTTGCTGACGTGCCGGTGTAGCATCTTGCGGCAACAAGCCCCAACGTTGAGATTCTGCGAGACTTCCTGGCCCAAGGCGCCTCTGTGCATCTTCGAAACCGATCAGGAAATACCCCGCTCTTCTTGGCCGCAGCGGCTGGCTTACCAGATCACGTACAGACATTAATCGACGCAGGAGCCCATCTTCACAGCGATGAAGTCAGTGCCGCAAAGCTGCATGCGTCAGAGGGCGACGGCAACGCTGAGGTTTGGAGCCGTGTGATTGGTTGAAATGTGCAACACGTTGAGCACTGCTGGGAGCACGGTTGATTGTGGCTGCTTGTTGGCTGCAGCCTAGCGAGCGAATTGTCTATTTGATGGATGCATGGCGCCTCGAAATGTCGCCATATATGGCACGTTAGTCCCCAGAGTCTGGTGACGCACCGGAATCAGCCCGACGAATACTGCGGCGTTGAGAGGTGAATCATTGGAGTTACGCGACAATACCCCGGCTGCTATCATAGAGCGCAACCCACTCGGAATCTTGCCGCTGATAGGAACACTCGTGGTCGACCGCAGTTGTGAAGTAACGCTGGTATGGCCGGGGTCGACGTGGACATGAAGGTATACACCAAACGATGGTGCTGAATAGACCCGCTATGCGTGTGGGGAAGTTATTCAAGTGCGTGTCCACATATAGATTGAAGATGTACATAGACCAGGGCGTCCCGCTAGAGGCATGGAGACCTCGGGAGCTTGTTTCAGTTAGTAAAAGAAATCTCTGTGCCAAGAACCGACACCGTGATGTCCCTTACACTCGGGGTAACTCATTGATAGCACGTTCCCTACAGGTGACGGTATATGGCTCCGAGCACAGCAACGTGTACAGCGCAGCGGTTTCTGACGGCTCCATATATCCGTCATTCGCGGTCCCTGAACTTAGTGTATCCCCCGCATTGACTCGCAGACACTGCCCCTCATCGATTTCTTTGCGTTACGAGCAGATTCGAATGTGGAGCACTCGTCTATGAATTAGCCTACCAAGCTCGTTGCAGTCGGATGATAGTGCACGCTGCTCGCTTGTGTATGCATAGTATAGCGTGTCAAAAAACGAAAAGCGATTCTGCGAGATTGTTCCGCCATGGCCCAGTAGAGCAACTCGAACAGTCTCGAGTGATAGAGTGGATCACTACGGGCATATTGCGCTGGCCAACTATGGTAAGTACTGGCCGCGGTCAGGTGTTCGCGATGTCAAGCGGAGCCTATTCGCCCTTGCGGGTGGACTATTAGGTAAGGCTTTTCCCAGCAATGCAAATGACGAGCCCAAACTTGGCTGTAATGTCATACAAAAAACGGCTCGTTTCGAGCTTCTCCTGTTTCTCCGGTCGGCGTCTTTGACCGTAGCTCTGCTCCTTAAACATTGCGTGTGTCTACGTCAAAGGTAAAGGAATCGGACCGCAACCTCAACTTCAGAACACGACGACTAGCTTCGCGCAACCCTGCATAAAGCGACTCACGTGCCTGCCATCGATCGCACTATCAGAGGCTTGACCACCTTTGTGCGTCGCAAGCACGTTATTATCTGCCCGCCGAACCGGCATCGCTGACGCCGCCGAACCGAATCCCTTCCAAGGTTACCACTACCCTTACACCAAGTCCTTATCTCACCCTCACCCGCCATTGAGCTACTGCCTACTTCCCGGAGCCCCAGGTGACGACTGCGCGGTATCCTCGCGCCTTGGCTCTGTTTGTGTTTTATATACCCACAACCACCCTTCCGAAAGTCGCAACTTCCACAGGACTACGAAGAAAAAAATTCTCTAAAGCACTTCTTTTCGCCCAAGATTCACGCTCAAGGATACACGAATGCAAAGGACCGTCGTTACCATCAACAGCAATGGCCGCCAATCGGCGAGCTTCATTCGCGTGGCCGCCGCACTAGGATGGCAAGTACGAGCGCAGATGCGAGACTTGAACGGAATAGTTGCGCGAGAGCTGTCGGAATTGGACAATGTCACTGTCTATATTGGCGCGTTGGAAGACAAGAAATTTCTCGACGATCTGTTCAAGAGCGCGCAATGCGCATTCATAAATACCACGCACTGGGGAGACGAGGTTTCGATTGGTCGATCGCTTGCCGATGCCGCAAAGAAGGCCGGAATCCAACACTACATTTACTCTAGCATGCCCGACCACTCTGTCTTTGGCAACAACTGGAGATCACTGCCACTATGGGCACCCAAGTTTACAGTCGAACAGTACGTCCGCCAAATCGGCCTGCCAGCAACGTTTGTTTACTGCGGCATCTACCACAACAACTTTACCGGTCTCGACTTCCCGCTATTCCGCATGGAGCACCAGTACGACGGAAGTTTCGTTTGGCAAGCACCATTCCACCCAGATCAGCCTCTGCCCTGGTTGGACTCGGAACACGATATAGGACCAGCTATTTACCAACTATTTAAGGAAGGTCCACGAAAGTGGAATGGCAAGCGGTAAGCGTGTTCTGCATCTGCATATCCTGGTCCACATCATGCGGACAGTCTCCACAGTGGTTCGATCTGGTGGCTTAGCATCACTGGTGGTCGACTGTAAAATTTTCCGCTATTTTCTCGCATGCTGTCATGACGTGGCTGCATCACAGGATACTGCAGGGCACGTGTAATTTTGGACTACGTACTGACTGACTCAGGATTCCGCTTGCCTTTGCGTCAATGACCCCGAGAGAAGTCTGCAGAGCTTTCAGTACGGGCCTCCGGAGACCAGTCCGCTACAAGCGGGGCCCCATAATGATCAACGTGCCCACACCGACAGGCTATCGGGAGCACCTTTCCGCACTGGAGTACACGCTGGGTGAGAAGGGCGCACCGTACTTTGGACCCGATCTTGAGCCAGACGTTCCCAAGGTCTCCCTTGAACTGTGGGAGGGAAACCGATCCATGGAGGAGTACGCCCAGGAGGTGTTCCCTGTGGAAGAGGCTGCCAACGGTCTCACTTGGATGGAAGAGGTAGAGACGCCTAGGAGAGAGATCGAGATCGACTTTGAACAGATCAATTGCTGACGGCTGGCTGCATCTTCCAGGGCGAGATTTTTCAGCATTCCAACGTTGTCTTGGGTCTAAGCGAGCAGCTCAACCAGGCGCGACTCTAATTCCTTCGGTTTGACATATCCCCTTGGTTCCATCGGCGTCGAACGGTAGCATCTCAACGGCGTCTGGCCTTACCTTTCCTTTGGAGTATCGGGGTAGAAAAGCGGTAAAATGCATGGTGATGGGATGCCTAGGACGGCAATCCCGGGCTTTTTCTGCGGGCCCATGTTGTTATCTTAACCACACGTGGTTTCCTCGCTCGACATCGCGCAAGCATGGTGTTTGGGCTGCCTTTTTCAGCGTGTGCATACACTGCGGTATACCAGGGGTGGTGGTGATCTGCATTTTCAAAAGTTAGTCCTTTCTTAATCACTCCACTAGGGAGATGTCCACTTGACTGTTTCATGGAAGCGATGTGGGTGTACCGGCTAGGTTCACACCGATTACGATCGGTGTATTGCGATGGTGTTTGAACTGTAGCCAAGATGAAAATGATACATGAATACGAACAATTGCCAAGATGAGTCGCACCAGGTCATTAGTGAAGCATGCGGTCGTGAAAGGGGGCCCAGACTATTGGGCTATGCGGGATGGACAATTGCTGACATAAGCGACGTCGAATTTCCTGAAGCTGGACTCTATGCGGCGACGACCGCAACTCCGCCCGCCAATGTCAGCCGTCATACCCTGCACGCGGGCTACAGCCCAGCGAGTCGCCTTCCGAGCCGTACGATGTAGACGATTCGCAAGCACCGAGACCGTTGCTGTCGACGCAGCGCCTACGACGCCCATATTGCCCGCCAGGCGTGAGCAGCGGTTGTCAACACGGGAGCCGGACCTCAGCCAGCGGTTGCACAGGGCCTTGTATCCGCATTTATACGGAGAGGATGGCCAGTTCACAAGGGGAGAGCTGGTGAGAATGAAGCGCCGGAAACAGAAGAAGCCCATCGATTCCAAGTGGCAGTCGGTGATGAAGCAGAAGAGTGTAGACGCCCAATTGAGTACGGCCACCTCTCAATGCTTGCCCACATTGCTGCATGTTGAACGGCAATTCAATGGCACATGGCGGTCATCTCCCGACGAAGAAAGCGCTGACTCTATCCCACAGGCCATCAATTCGGCGTACCCGTCTTCAAGCCCACAACGCTCAACATCAAGAAAACCTGTCCCAATCCCATCTCAGCCGTGAACGCCTCGCAAATCAGCCTCCTCGACCCCACCGGAGCACGAACCCGCCTGTTCGCAAAGGACAACCCAGAATGCGCGCGAGTCGGCGACATCCTCCTTGTGCGCCAACGCACCGGCGACCCCTTCGCTGGCGTATGCATCAACATCCGCCGTCGCGGTACTGACACTGCTATTCTCCTACGCGGCCAGCTTACCCGTGTCGGCGTCGAGATGTGGTACAAGGTCTACAGCCCACTGGTAGAGGGCATAGAGGTTGTGCAGCGGGCGGCCAAGAGGGCAAGACGCGCCAGGTTGACGTACATGAGGACTGTCAAGCACGACAGGGGAAGCGTGGAGAATGTCGTCAGGATGTACCTCAGGCAAAAGGCTGCCCTGGGTACGGCCGAGGGACAGAAGAAGAAGGGCGCCGGGGCTGCAGCGGCCATGATGGGTGGCAAGAAGAAGGGCAGGGGCAAGAAGAGGTAGACCTACGAGGGCGTCTTACACTGCATCATCTGGGTTCTCTGGATACCACGATCAGCATACTGTACATATATGTACAATACTACGAGCAATATCAAGGACATGATCACTTGCAGCTTGAGCGTGAAGCAAGATAGGTGAGTTGGGCTACAAACAACGCGGGTAAGAATGACGATTACAAAAGTCAAGCGTAAGTCCATTGGTCTCCCTCTACCTCTGAATGGGACTGACACATCCTATCAGACTGGCGACTTCTCTGTTCTATTGTCGGATCCGAGCCTCGAGTATTCCGCTCACAATCTAATGCACTGTTCCATATCCCTGTTGCTGCTGAACGTAACCCTGCTGTGCCGGCACAACCCCGTGTCCTGCCTCTACACCCGCAAGCGCAGGCGCAACAGGCACGCTCTTGTGACCTCCATTCTGTACTTTCTGACTGTACACACCCGGTGCAGGACGCGCGTTGTAAATGCCCGCGCGTATCTCGTCGCGTCGCTTGATGTACACGTATTCGACGTAGAAGGCGTGGATATGACCGGGAAAGTCTAATTGCAGGAGCGCGAAGTCAGTGCATGCCTCATGAGCAACTTGTACAGGAGAAACTTACAGCCCAGGAGCGTGAGGAGTAGGTTGATGAAGAAGTCGGCGCCGCAGCCCGCTACGAGAAAGACACCGAGGGGTGGGACTGTGGATGGGTTAGTTTGGATCTGCTCGGAAGAGAGAAGAAGGAGAAAAGCCTACTGAAGATTGTGATGAGGATCAAGAGCAGCGTTTTGATCATGTTTGCGACTGGCTTCTGTTTCGCGCTGTAGTGGTGTACTTGGTTTTGCGCTGCGATAGTTGTTGTCTGCACAGATGATGACTGTTTGTCAGCGTTTGATGTCTGTGTGACTTCTCGAGTTGGTAAAGGTATGCGACTAGCTCTTTGCGGGGACTCTCAGGACTTATAAACAACCCAAAGGCCATCACGCCCATGCGTAAACCTTACTGAACGCTCATGCTTCAACGTCATGATCCTTGTCCCAGTGTGGCTGATTGGCTAGCCACAGTGTGGCGCGGATGTGGGCGGATGGCGCAGGGTGACGCTGACGCGTAAGGTTGGCGGTTACCTGCTATGAACGCGCCGCATGAACTGGCTGTCTTGAAGAAGCTTGCACCCACAGCCTATCGCGTCCAGCAATGAACGACCTCCTGTGGCGTTGTATGCCGTCTTTTCCCATCTGCGCTCGTTATTGCCTTTTATGATGAACCCAGCCTTGATGCGATGCGTTGAGCTCCGGCGTGTCTTTCCTTTCCTCGGTCGCTCTTGCAACGCTTATACGCCAGGTACAATCGTACCTACATTACTTGATAGCCAGTGACACAGAAGCTTACTCAGTTGACAAAATCGTACGTATCCGCTCCCAATGCTTGTGTGTTTTCTTGGACGTTCGTACTTGTTGGCTCGTTTTGAAACCAGGCTTCCGATCTCACCGATGAATGTCGATATCGCATTCTGGTATAAGCATAGACGAGCGAATCCGTCGACGCTTCCTCTGTCTTTTGGGATTCACGTTTATTAGCATCTCTAGTACAGGGGGGGGGGTGTCTGAATGTCCTTGATCAGGCGAGACCCCCGATACAGAACAAATATGCGACACCACCTTTGGAACAGGTTTTTCCGATGGCAGGCCTGCGATAAGACTCCAATCCAGATCTCCTCAGGCTTGGCAAAATAATCGGTGGAGGCGCGACACCATTCAGCAAGCGGATATGCGGCCAAAATCAGCCTCACAGGGCTGACATCCGGGTGTTCGGGCAAGGAAAGCCCAGCCTCAAGGTCACGCGGCTGATTAAACTGCGCTTGCGAGTCCATGACATGACGTTCCCGCCAATCCTGCAACTGTACCAGCTCGGTTAGAAGCACGAGATGGAAGCCCCAAGCTTTGCATACGCTGTGGCGTTCTGAACGATAGGAATACGATGCTTGGTATCTCTAACCGGTATAAGCTGCAAACATGCGACTCGATACCTGGATGTATACATAGCACAGCTCTCGTCCTGCTGGACTTACTGAGTATTATGGCGCCCATCTTCGTTTTCGAGCCACCTTAGCAGCAATTATGACCGATGTATCGCCTCCCAGACCTACGGCGACTCCTATCCCTATAACGGCCCAAGACTGGTTGCATACACCTTTCTCGGGTGCAGCCTATACGCCCCATGCTCGATATCAAATTCGGGCTTGTATTCAATCCAAATTCAACCGCTGTCGAACGGACGGATGGTATGGCTGGCCGATTGGCAAACGAGTTGGAGTCATCATTGGCATACTCATTGCAGTCATCATTGTTCTATCATTATTGAGATGTTGCTATGGGCCCCAGTACTCTCAAGCACGAGAGAGGAAGAGACCAATGCTCCTAAGCGAGTTGCGTAGCCAGCAAGCTGCGGAAGAAGGGGCCGCGGCTGAACGCCGTCATGTGGAAGCGCTGTATGGCGAAGTTAGAAGTGCTTCAGGGAGAGACAGACACGACAGTAGAAGTGGAGATCGTGGAGGCCCAGTAGGAGCAAGACCAGACCAGGGAGAGCGGAGCCGTGGAGGTCAAGACAATGAAGAAGCACACTTGGATGATGTGCTTCCAGCATATCACGAAGCCGTGAGAGAGGATAGACGTACACGTACAGAAATTGCACCGCACACGAATGGCAGTTCGTTCTCAGGATGGCCACCAATGTACGCAGATGTAGTGCAGCCTGCACCTGTTGCAAACCCTCCTTCGCGAGTTCCGTACCCGACCTTGCCACAGTCTCCGAGAAGATAGAAACGCCAGTGGCATCCTGGCGTTGGCGGCCACTTTCCAGCCGACGATGTGTTACTTCTCTTCCTGCACTCAGCAGCGAGCGTATCAATCCCACCGACAACCGTTCCCGATCACTTCTTTTCCGAGCCAAAGCCTGAGGCTCAACTATGATCGACTACGGCGATGAGCGACACTCTTACAAACGCAAAGAAGAGGAGAAGCTCAACGCATCCGGCGGTTACGTCGAACCTGCATCTGGACAAACGCCTTTTGGAGCTTTGTGGCAAATGCATTGGATTTTGATTGGTGGAAGTAAGGCCAAACGGTCAGGCTGAGAGGATGATCGAGTGTCAGATCGGTGTATGCGTTGTGCAGCGTCAGAGGTCAGCCTTACGTCGTAGATTTAGTAAAGTATGTGAAGAGCGGAGTTAGCAACGCTTGCTTGCTTCCACCACTGGCCACAGCCGTTATACGTGATTTACTGTGCACTTGTTTTGTGACGAGCGATTTCATTGCATTGTGAGTCACTACTGTTGTAAGTACAAGGAAGCAGCTGATTGCTGGATCTTGCTGAATCAGAATACAAAAACACTTCGAATGCATGTTCAGATCCTTCGTGTTTCGTTATTGGGCTGAGCAAAATGTTTGTTCGCGTCATCGGAGGTCGCTGTGTACAAGTGGCTTGTACATCACTCGAAACGTCCTCGTCATAAGCAAAAGACGATTAGCACATTGCATGCTGGGTGCTATCCTTTCGAGTCTTTTACCATGCCAACCACGCGCCCACGGCCTACTCAAACACCTAGCAAGGAATCAATCCGCACAGCCATCATCGTCGGGCTCATCATCAGTCTTCTCGGTGTCATAGTGCTTACCTATCTCCTCTACCGATGCCGCTTACGACGTAATGTGAAAGCTGGTAAAGCCACCGGCAAACGTGAAGTAAGAGGATCGGGGACGGGAAAGTAGAGCGAGACGAGGGATCAACGACGAGCAGAAAGGTCTAGAGGTTGGCATGGTTCGGGAACCATTGCCAGTTTATACGAGAGATGTTGAGCGGGGCGAGAAGAGGTTGGAGATGGGAATGGCGAGGTGAACGTCCTCGATTATTGCCCTGCGTGGCAAAGGTGGTCTACTGAAGGTGAGGGTGGTTTTGCTGAACAGGGCGGAACGAGTGGACACTCACAGCCACCGAATTGCAGCCAATTGCTGGCGTTATCTCGTGTATCCTGCTGATAAAGCTTTTCGACTCTTTCGATTTCCCTTACTTCTTGACATTCATACATGTTTATCCAGTACGGTAGTACTTTTCTTCATGCCCATCCGCACCATTGACTCCGTTGGCGCTCCCATCGACATCTTCCCTTGCCCTCACTGTTCCAGCTCCGGGACCCAGCTCCTCACCAATTACCATGCCGCTGAAGTTGCCGTTCTCGTCCATGTATTCATCCATGTTCTCTGCTGTTATCCAGCCCGAAGCGCCGGGCGCGGAGTCATCCAGTATGTCCTCGCCATCGTCTTCGCTGCCATCTGGATCGGGATGTAGGTCCGCGCAAGTGTTCAGCGCATTGAACAGCTCCGTGATACATGTCTCGGTGGGTTTCGAAGTGTATGATGGGGGTAGCACGGTAATCTCGAGCATGTGAATGTCATCGTCTTCGTTTACGGTTTCGGCGTCATTGAGCGAAATGTTGACGTAAAGCGCCTCAATAGTGGACTTGTACTTCATCGTTGCGTGGAGCGCGAGGGATGGATACGGGATGGATACGCCGACGGGCGAGGGTGTGCTCTGGAACAGAATGACGTTTCTGTAGCCATATATTAGCATGTTTCCTGGCTGAGCATAATTAAGACTTACTCCGAAGACACCCAAATCTCGACACCCTCGACCAAGTCCTCTTCGCCCTCGCGTTTCGAGCTGAATTTGCTAAATGCGGCATCTTGTTTAAGCTGATCGGCAGCAGTCACCAAAGTCATGCCCTCATAATGAGCATGCAGAACGGGTTTTGCGCCAAAGAAGGAAGTCGGGGTCTGGGATTGGTGTTCAGATAGCGGGGTGAAGTCGTCTGCCTTGGGGGCGCTGTCAAGGTGCTGGAGTGACATAGCGGGATCTCGTGGAACTAGATTTTTTGTACTTATCGTGGGAAGACAAGAAGACAATACCAATACGTGATTGTAGTGCAAGCGCGCTGTTGTTGATGTTTAGACGTGTATAGGCAGCTAATTACTGAGGGACCAAAAAGTCGCGGGAGCTAATCGAGCGTCATCGCCCCACTCCGGCCTTGGCAGGTACCAGATGCATGGCGCGTGTCCGACTTTCTACCCTCTCCGCATGTCCGTGACGGTTTCGCGTAGCTGCGCATCGCACATTCTTTCCACGATAGAGAGGAGCCGCTGGAACAAAGCGCAATTGCTCCGCTACCAACATCGCCCCTGCAAGCTTCCCCACAATGTCCTGAACACCCATACTTCGATAGCTGCGGCATCAGAGAACAAAACCTTCGCTTCCTCACAGGAGAAGTCCGTCACGTTTGCGAACGACAGCAGGCAGACTCATAACGCACTTCTCAGCCTGCGATTGCCCGCGAGAGCGTAATGTCATTCCCAACAACGCCCATTGCCAAATTGACTGGCCACGCCGGCCTCGTTCACGCAGTCGCCTACTCCTCAGGCTCCCAAACCTACATCTTAACCGGCTCGTCCGACCGCACAATCCGTCTTTACAACCCGTCGAAAGCGCCGCCTACCTCTACCGCCCCAACATCGTCCTCGCAACGACCCCCCGGCCTCGTGAACAAGTACACAGCGCACGGGTATGAAGTCCTCAGCATCGACGTGAACTCGGCCAATGACAAGTTTGTCAGCACGGGCGGAGACAAGACAGTGTTCCTGTGGGACGTGCAGACAGCGCAGACGATACGCAGGTGGACTGGTCATGCTGGACGTGTGAATCGCGGCGTGTTTGGAGGTGAGAGCGACAGTATCGTAGCGACGGGCTCGTTCGATGGCACCGTCAGGGTTTGGGATACAAAATCCAACGCATATAAGCCCATCATGACCTTGTCAGACGCAAAAGATAGCATCTCTGACGTCGCGATACACGACGCGGATATCATAGCAGCGAGCGTAGACGGCCGTGTCAGGAGTTATGATATCAGGATGGGCACGTGTCAGGTTGATGTCGTGGGACCGAGCTGTACGAGTTTGGCCGTTAGCAAGAAGGGCACAGAGCTTCTGGTCGGTTCGTTGGATTCGACCGTCAGGCTCATGGATCGTACCAACGGCGAATTGCTCAAAACGTACAAGGACGATGCTTTTCTGAACAAGGACCTAAGAGTCAGAAGCACCCTTGGTTTGAACGACAGCGTGGTCATTAGTGGCAGTGATGACGGGATGGTCTTTGCGTGGGACATGTTGGAGGGGACATGCCTGCACAAATTCAAACATTCCGACATGAGGGAGGTAAGGGGTCCGGCGCCCGTACTAGTCACGAAGGCCAAGAAGGATGTAGTATCCGCTGTGGCCTTCTGCAAGACGAGGCGGGAATGGTGTAGTGGTGGCGGCGATGGCAACGTTGTTGTCTGGGGCATGGGAACCTGAACAGTGAAGATGCATTGTTCGGCCATTCATGATACCCTGATAGAAGCACTCTGGGTTTACAAAGTATCAACAATCTTGGCTTCGAATCCGGCTGTAAGCTTCGCGGTGCTCATGAGCGATCATGTCTCGTCATGCCTGCTCACTTGCATGCCTTTACTTCCTCGACAGCCAAGTGCAGGTGTTTGGGCTCTTCGTTGCAATGTTGTGAATATGCCTCATACTTGATGTCCAAGTCGCCTCATGGCCCGTGAACGTCACGGGGAAGGACAAGATGTGCATAGTTCCAAGCTAGAAAGTGTCGTGGTAGACAGATAGTGTTGTATTCAATAAACGTATATGGCTATCTGGATCATGGATATTGTAACAGTGGTTGGCAATCTGTGAAAGAAATATGAGAGAACACAAAGCCAGGAGAATGCGGATGTTTCCAGCATAAAACCGAGAATAAGAATCGTGCAGTAGATAAGGAAGATTCCGCGTTACGGTGATTGAGTGCAATGAACTGTCCATAGGAGTAGGACCATGTATACTTACTGCAAATGGAATAGCGTATGTCATGCGTATATCAAGCGGGGCGGTGCAGATGGAAACCGGTCAAGTGCCGGTAGGGCTGTAAGGCTGACAGAACAGCTTGTGGGTGATGATCCGAGCTTAGGCGGCGTCTGTCGCCTACCAATCCTGGAACACCCACTAGTTGAAGTATTTGACAGTACTACCTATCTCGTAGTTGTAGAGATCTGTAGCTGTCGAGCCTCGTGGTCTCTCTGGTGGGTAGTCAATAGGGCAGTTGTAAACTTTGACAACAACACCGCGCTGTGGAAGCCCTGGAGGAATTAGTATGGTTGTGTGTTCCTGACGCGAGAACTCACTGGGGAATCGCCATCCGTGCCATGGGTTCCAGCGCCCTTCTGTGAACATATGGGGTAAAACCGATGGAAGATACTCTCGAGACGTCGTGAAGGCCATCAGAGCTAGAAATATCGGCAGCTCACCCACGACTCCGCCATATTGAACATGTGAGGCAGTAGCGTTGGTATGGTATATGTCGGGTAAGAGCAGGTCTGCCGCCCCGTTTTGCAGTTGTACACGGAGCATGTTGTGTTGACCAGCATTAGTCAGATAGGATGATTCGGGAGGGTGCTGGTAATAGTTGAACTGCAGTTTGTGGAAAACGTCGTGAACCGGCGGATTTCGCGCATCTCCTTGCAGCACCCAAAATCCAGCTCCACAACCGTAGTACACCGAAAAGGTTTTATACCATTGGGCATTCCAAGGGAGCTGCGAGACTTCGCGTATCTGCAACCCATCGCAGAGCCAAATTTTGCCCGAAGCACCTACACCAGGCGTGAAGTCGTGACTCGCATAAGGACCTGTCGTAGGCTGCCAGATACCATGGGTATCATATTGGGCAAGAGAATCCCCCGTGTTCTCGTAAATCTCGTCGATCTGGAAAAGGTATGAGGGCTGGAAGAATCACTTAGTAGGGTATACATCCTTGGACCTGATGCAACTGACCACTGAGCCGGGACGAGTGCGCGACATCGCTTACTACTGGCGCGTCTTCGTGCAGAAAATCCTTGATGAACGGTGTGGTTTTCTTGACCGTGAGGCGGATGTGCTGGCCTTGTTCCAGACCATCACTGCCCCCTCACTCGACATGTCTTTATCCTTCTCATCGCCATGCGGCTCTGCGTTTAACGACTTGCAAGTGACAGCATCCCAGTCAAGAGGTCAGGCGACAAGCTCCTACATGGCAACAGTGCGGGGCGGGATATCTGATTGACAGCCAAAGCTTCGGAGCAGCCCTCTGATAAGCTAGAGATGCCCTGAAAGAGGCATGGCGCAAGATCCTGCATCGGCTGCAGCAGACGTATACGTGGGCCACACGCAATCAGCCCAGTCTCCATTACCCCGCCGTGGATAGTTTCATTCCCTGGTCGCTGATCTATGTCGTCGTGTAGCTGCCTCGGTTTTGCCGGAATGGTGGTATGAGCAAGTAACATCTGCATGTCTTGTATCGTATGTCCTGTCTTCTGAAGACAGTGCCGGTGGGAACGGAATTTTGCCATGACAGCACCATGGGAGCCGTAGTATTTCGGTGGCCATTGAACTTTTCAGCTGCATCTCAGCAAAAAGCATCGGTGCCAACCGGCCGTGGATCGCGCCCAACGTGTCCCATCGCCTGCAGCATAACAGCCGGTCTCAACCGGCGAGCCAACAAGATGGAGTGGCACAGCGCCAACCCAAGAGAGATCAAGGGTGGATCCCTCCTAGCGAAGCGCCTCGTGTGTGCCGTCCGTTGCACGGCACTTGTTGCGAGACAGCGGAAGAACGATCTGTCGAGCAGTCTAAGCGAGAGACGTGTCGAAAGCCTGGTTTCTGTTCATCTTACGGCTGCATTATGAAGACTGTGTCGTCTTCGTGAAGCGATTGCGGTCGCATGCACTATGCTTGCCACTAGAGTTGTGATGTCTTGCTTGTAGGTGAGTTGAACATCGCTTCGTAGATCGAGTATAAACAGCGCTGGATGGTAGTGCATCGCCACCTGTGCACGCTTTTGCTGTATGGTCAAACCGTTGCCGCGATAAGATGTGCATGTATCTTGGAACAAAGATCCCAGAGGTGCGGCTCTGCGAGAAAGAGGGGTTATAAAGCCGGCGTACGGACATTGTGGACCAACGTTCCTCAATGGGCGCTTATTGTACTGATCGACCGGCAAGCGTGTCCGACTCTTTGTGCCCGTTCGGCGGCTATCTGAAGCGACATTTACGAGTTGATCGAATCACTTCTCAAATAAGTAGAACGGAGCGGCTTCTCGATGTATAAGGGTGAGAGTGTCTTAAGTAGAAATGAACTGGCTGACAGACTAGGCGTGCAGCCCCAGAACCACCGGAGGACCTTCTCCTGCATGATTGCCTTCTTTCTTCACTTCCAAGCATGCCGAAGGTTTTCAATTGGTGAAGAGGTCTATAAAAAGTGCCGCTAATGTGATATTCGGCTGCAGTGGGTAAGTACTCCTTACCTAGTTGGCGGCATCAACCTGCTGATCGAAGCAGATGGTTCATGCGACCTGCATGATCGTGGGACTTCCCTCACCGGACAACAACCCTTGTCGTCTCGCGTCCTCGCCCGACAGCGACGTAAACTAGCGGAAATTACGAACAAACACTCACCGGTTGACATAGCGACACACGGGATGAACTTGCCACGATGGAAGTCATGCGTACGTTAACGACTCGACCCCCAATCGTAAGGCGTACTGCCTCCAGGAATCGCACGGGACGGAACGCTGTCTATCGAATCGATCCCCCACTGCTGCACCCGCGGCTGCTTTCAAATATGGAAGCCAGTCAGATAAGGTACACTGACAATATGACCCCGCACTAAAACCTCGGGCTTCAGAGCAGTCACCGCAAAGTATCAATTCAGGCGGCGTGGCCTAACGAGGGGCAAGTCGTACCTTGCGCGGCTGACATCTTGGTGGAGAGGCTATTTGGTCGGATTCAAGACACTACGCAGGCCTCAGCAAAGGATCTGCGCCCACCTCAGTGTGCGCTTGTCTCGATATCGACATAGGATATCTGTATAACTGTCTGGTGGTAGTCTGTGGAGCATGTGGCACAGTTTAGACCACTCCTGATTTGAGATACGCTGATGATCAGGCAACGAGTGACTTCGTTGGTAGCAATATACTGAGTGGCTTGAGCCCCAGTGAATGGGTTATCGAGAGCCCAGAGAAGAAGCATCCATTGGCTGGGACCGAAACGCCGCTACCAGAGGCCTTTTGCGGGAGTTAGATCTGGACCATTGCGGGCGAACCTGACGAGACGGGCCATTTGCGCCATGATCGCGAACCTATGGAGCGATCTGCCAAGAAATCACCGGCGGTACGAGATGGATTCGAGTGCATCGAATGCCAGCTCAACCGAGCCGAGATTACTTCCACGATGGCCCCGACCAAGAGATGAGAGATTGGACACCTTGTCCGGTTCTACGGCATCCGCTGGCGGATGGCCACCGTCGGGACCTGGCGACAACCGGGCCTTGGTCCGAGGTATACATGACCTAGACGCTTCTACGCCGTATGCTGGCTGCAGTCACCTTCGGAGGCTTCTTCCATGTGGCATGGGTTTGGGCAAACGTCCGCCAGTATTGCGATCCTTGCCCATGCCGGCAAAGACCCAAGAGCTCAAGTGGGCGCGTCGGTTGTGTGTAGGCGAAGCGTATACGAATTGAGAGGGCTTGCAGGCCGATGGAGCCAGCCGCTAAGGGGCGTAGGAGTGCAAGTAGCGCGTCGGTTGAGGCGGGCACGGCGCCTGGCTGTGGGGACAGCCATCAGAGGGAGCGTCAAGTTTGATCGTATATATGCGATGGGTGGGAGGTTGGGTTCAAGACGTGACATGAGGTCTGAAGCTGGGACGAAGCCTGGTCCCGGCTGCGGAAGCTAAGACAAAGACGCGTTCTTTCCTCCTGGCGATTCGGACACCTCGCCGCCCGACCAATCACAACTTAACCGCATCACGTCAATTGTCTGCCTGAAAGTGGTCCGCACGACGACAGACTGTGCTCCAGATAGCGACAACTCATCACAAAGCCCCAACACGTCGCTATCGCGGCGGGGAACGACGATGAGTACGCCGCCCTGCCTCTTCGTCCGATCAATGTGGCCCTATCTCTGACGAAAGGGGAGTCCCGCATTGCTTTTGCAAAGCCGGACACACAAAATAAATCACGATGACGGTTTTCACTACGCCCAGAGAACTGGCTGTATTGCTCCGGGTTTGTATTGAGGAAAGTCTGTTCCAGCCTTCGTATCAAGCTGCAGCCATTCGTCTTCTGAACCAACCAAGAACGTATATATAACAGACGGAAACTACTCTTTGCCCTCGGGTCTATCATGCACTATATTCACATTAGATCAGGGAACAGCCTATCTCGGACGACGTCTCTATAACCCCGGCGCTATAGTATGATGCAGAAACTGCAATCCGTCTCGTTCATCTTTGCTGCGGACATGTTGCGCGGAATCTTGAGCCTAGCTTAAAGTTAGCGTAGTCCTGGATGCAGTTTGCCCAAAAGCCTCACGAATAAACCATATGTCCAACCAACACGTCTTTACACCCGCCGACCAGCGTCTCGATATCGCGCCTGGTTTGCTCAGAATCTTGAGCATGCGCCTTCACAAGTCGTGTCTCTGCTTCCAATAGCCTCGCCCAGCTCTCCTCCACCATCTTCACACATCGATCAACGGCAACCTGCGCGCTGCATCCCTCATTCCATACCATGACTGGGATAGCAGAATCGATATCGCCGTCGTCTATCTCCTTCCGCAAGCTCACGATGTCGTTCCAGAGGAAGTCGGATATGGCTACTTCGCGCGTTATAGCTAGTACAGCTTCGTGGTACCAGATCGACGGTGGAAGAGTGAGATTGTAGGCCCATTGCATGACAGCAATGCAAGGATTTGTACCAACAGTTCTCAAGCGGCGCGCTGTATATTCCTCGAGAGTGGACATCCCCTGTGCCCATGTAGCCTGAGATGTCTTGACGCCGCGGATAAAGTCGTAGATGGTTTCAGCAAACCGGTCGCGTGCTTCTACAATACCTATTAGCTAATGTTTGTATATCATACTTCAGTCGGGCGTACCTCTCGACTGGCCCTCCTGCATTGCTCTTCCTATGTTGACCCATGGACCGCAGTTATGCAACCGCCCCGGTGCTGGAACTTCGCCATCGAGTTCTGGCTGCAAACAATGTCGGATAAAGTTGAGTGTATCATCACAGTAAGCTTCGGTCTTGTCACGATCATCTGTCAGAGTACCGCAATCGATCTCATCGTCCCAGAAAAAGAACTGCGGTTTCCGTCAGTCAACAATCGCGAAAGGGAACACGGCCAAATTACCCAGGCCACAAGCTCTCCTAAAATCACAAACTTCTCTGGTTCCACATGTGTCCAAAAGTATCCCGCGCAGAGCCCGTTGTCTACTCTACGTTGCTTTTTCCTTTGGCTCTCGGTACTAATAAATGTTTGGAAATATCCCTCTAAATGCTGTCTCAGTACCAGAACATCCGGGTGCACTTTAGCTGCCCAGTCTGTGTATATGTAATGTACATCCGGAACATGAATCTCTTGATGGCGAAGACGAGCAATAACCCTGGCCCGATGGTCTCCAGACTTGGTCTGAACTTCCTCAGCCGCGAAGGAGGCGAGCTGTTTAGAGCTGTCGGTGAACTCGGGTGTAAAAGGAGATCTTGATCGCTGTAGTGGGTAAGTATGACGATGCTGAAGAAGGAAACAACAAACAATTGAACAAGACTTACACGTCTAAGGTACGATCTAGGAAGCGATGTCCAAGAACTAAGAATACTAAGGATCGCCATACAGACTCAATAAAAGACAAACACCATGTATGTTGTACAGTGCAAGTGCAAGACAATTGTGGCCTCAGTACCACAGTAACGAAATAGAGGTCTTTGTATACTCTCATACCACGCCGTTCACATGCTGGCCCCTCGGCATTCACTCAACTGTCACCTGGGGTCTCGAGACGCCTTACTATTCACATAAAGCGCTCTTTTACTGCACCGCCGATAAACGTGATCTACCCCCGAAGAGCCCCCAGAACCAATCGAAACATCTCGAGCTGGATGGAATTGACGTAAGCGAGGCGTTTGGGCACAGTCCACGTGTGTGCTATGTAAGGAGCTATGTAAGGGTAATGTGTGGTTACACGGACTCGGCTGTCACTGTACGCCACGTTTCCGCAGCTGTGAGACACGAGAGCGTCCAGCTCCGAATCGCGATATACCACTAGGGCAGATGAGACGGCCACCGATCGTCTGAACCCGTACAGGGTCGTCAGCTCAAGGTTGAACTTGGAATTAAATCTCAGCCACCACTGAAATACGCTTGCTGACTGCCAGTCCTTTCGCTCAAAACAATTGCGCATTGGCTTTTCGATTACATCAAGAGCTGATACGTTCTACGCCACTTTCCTGCGACTGAGCCACTCTCACACAGCTCTTAGGATACGAATGATGGCATCGTATAGTATCCCTGTATGCACCGTGTCCTGTCAGACTATAGTGGCGTCGCCCCAATAAGTGACTGCTGAGTCATATTCCTATGCCTTCTAAGACACGGACCCATGGCTTCACATCCATAGCGCATGGGCTGAATGCTGGGTACATATTACATAGAATCTAAAGCACTACCCTGCAACTCGAAGCACGGAATAAGAAATACGCTAAGCCATACTGCCGATCTAAGTACCTGCACACTACTGCGTCCGTACCAATGCAGCAAAACGTGCCGAAAGTACCTTGAAGTGTTATCAGCATACAGCTAGTTTGGATGCAGATTGTTGACCCTTACATAGAGGCCAAACGTCGGATATGACAATTGAGCGCGCCGAGCCACAATCGGCTTCCCGGGTCTACTATTCCACCCAGTCACAGGCGTAGTGGCGCTTTGGGAAGCGAGACCACTGGACAACACAGATATGGCACATAATCACAGCACGGCGACATACAAGCGGTGTGCACTGTGGTACCCATCACGCGCATTCAGAATACAAACGCGTGATGCATGAAGGTATATTGGAAGGGTTGGAGGGTCATGTTGCCATGCAGTCGTCAGACATTGGATTATCTGCAAGCGAATAGGACAGGTGGAGCGAGGCGGCAAGGGGCTATCTCCTCAATAACTGAGGAGGACAAATAGAAACTTTTAGGATATCATGTGTCTGTCTGGGACATATCTTCCGATGATCAACCAAGCGTGGCTCAACACCATTCGCCATGAACCTTTACGCCCTAAACCCAGCAAGCCGGATAACCCGATGGCTTTCACCACCACATCAGATCATCCGAGTCCACCTGACCAAAATTCTGCATGCCCCCAACTGCTTTGGCTCAGTGGCAGCCACGACATCATCCTACGTCCTCTTCTTCGCATTGACGTTCTTGCCTGCGCCTACCTTGACTCTGCCACCGGCTCTGCCCCGATCGCCTGTGAGAATGCCCGGCAGGTAGTTGTCATCCATGAGATCCCTCGTCCTGGTCCTTTTGTCCTCTTCAGCGCGCCTCGTGTATTCCTTCTGATCTTCAGCAAGGATGAGATCTCGACCCCAGCCGCCTTTCCCTCCTCCCTGACCATGACTCCACTTTGTGTTTGCAGTACCGGCGATGGGCTTGGGGATGCTGTATTTATCGCCACGCTTGTTGTACTGGTAGTTCTTGGCTAAGTGGATCTTGAACTCTCCAGCGGCGTTTGTAGAGCAGGAAACCCGTTGTAAAGTTGCTTGACCACAGCGGGGGCAGAATTGCTTGTCCATCTGCTTGACGATGTTGAAACATGCGTGGCATCGTAGAACCTTGGTGTTGACGTTCTTGATGCGTTGCATGTTTGTGGAGAGAAGCTGAAGATTCATCTGGAGCAACACGTTTTGCATCGCAAAATCGATAGTCATGGTTGCTACGTCCAGCTGGCGATTGGCTGTTGTGCGAATTTGCGGTTGGATGGCTCCGTCTTTGGCTTGGTGCTCTGTAAGGTTCTGTGGGGTAATCCAGTCGCCATCAGAGTCAGATTCCACAGCTGAATCGTCAGTCATAGGGGGCGTAGGTTGTTGAGTGGCGTGATGGGATATGGAGAGGTCCTCCAGCTCCTGCGCCAGTTTTGATTCGTCAGAGCTGACTTGTTGAGTTGGTAGATCCTGCTGTCCAGAAGTTTCAGGCTCGAGTGAGAGTTCTGCCTTCTGCTCGATGTGGATGTTGGTGGTGGGTACCTCAACCGCCGCCGATTGCTCGATTTGCCCCTGTTCACCAGCCTGCCCTTGAAGCTGGTCCTGAAGCTGTTCTTGGACCTGCTCTTCAATCTTTTCCTCTGCCTGCTCTACAGCTTGAGACTCGAGCTCTCCTTTGTCCTGTTTCTCAAGCTGCTCGTGAATCTGGTCTTGCACCTGGTCGTGAACCTGATCCTGAATCTGGGCAACAACCTGCTCATGTATTTGCTCCTCGACCTGCTCTTGAGTGACAGCTATTCCACCTTCCTCTTCGTCTACCTCGGCTTGGGCGGTCTGCTCCTCCGAGTCCTTGGCCTGTTGCGGGCTGCTGTCTAACTCTGCTGCGGGCTTGAAGTTGAACTTGGTAGATTTGGGCGCTCTGGCCTTCGCCGCCCGCTTGCCTGTAGGCTGCTCCCAGCCCTCATCAATATCCTCTGGTTCGACGGATCCGGAATCGATTTGTACGCCTTCCGTCACATCTTCAGCGGTATCTTCGGTAGTCTTGTTGGCTGCCTTGGCTGCCCTTCGCCTGTTCTTGCGCTTGCTTGTTGAGGTTGAAAGGCCTCCATTCTGCGATTTCTCCTCGTTCGACTGCTCAGTGTCCCCAGGCCTCCTCTTTATCTCGCCTTTTGGTATTTCTCTCAGGCCCCAGTCGCCACCATTCCTCTCACAATGCACTTCGTAAGCCAGGGCTAGGATACCTAAATCCTGTCTACTGAGTACCGCATGATCACCTGTCTTCTTACTGAACGCAATGACTGCATCGTAGCTTGCCGGCTGAGGGTTCCTTATCTTCAGAAATGGAATCAATGTTGTTTGTACACGTGACCGTGTGGCTTCATCGCGGATTTCGGAGAGAATAGCAGGAGTAGTCCATAGTTCTTCCGCGGCGTTGATAATGGTAGAGATCGAGACTGTGTTCTTGATCAATGGACCCGTATCCAAGATAAGCGAGTGAATGGGCTTTTGCTGGGTCGCAGTGGGTGTTGCCATTGCGCGGTAGACTGGCAGCAGTCGCAGGCGGTAAATAGAAGGTTTCGGTTTGTTGCACGTGGAAAGTTGACTCTGATACAAAGTCCGGATGTTTATAAAGTTTGGATCGTCAATATGACTAGGGCGTGCCGCTGGTGTGGTAGAAGATTTCGCGATGGTGGCGGTGGGGCCCGACTTTTTTTTGGGGTGAGACCATCGCGAATTTTGATTGGTCGGATCGCGCTTGTGGCAGTAATGGGAGCCTTGTGCTGGAGGTAGATGAGTAGACGCAGGTTCAACATACATCGAGTCGAGTCTTTTTTTGTAACACCAAGAGACGACTAACATTATATTCCACAGCCCTCGATATTGTTTTTGGTCTCGTTTGTAAAGTCGAGAATCTTGATAGAGTGAATCCTCCAAACGCCGCCCAATGCTAAGTCGCGAGTCCACCCCAACGTCGCTTGTGGTATATCGTACACATACATCAATGACATGAATTCCATCCCAGATTCGACTCATAGTCGTGATGGTCGCCTTACAGACACTACGCGATAGGTTTGCTTCTCTCGTCCTCTGGCATGCGCATATACGCGTCAATGGCCGCACTGAAAACTGCGAAGCCTGCGCATCCTACGGCCACAGCTTGCGGCCCAGCGTTTCTTGCCAATATACCGCCAGTCAAGCAGCCCCCCGCCACTCCATTGTACAGATCGTTCTTGGCTCGGAGGCCCTCGATTGCGCACTCGGTCCCTGAGAAGATAGCACCAACTTTGGCGAAATTGCGTCCACTAGAGATTGAGGATCGGTACATATCGCGCAGGCCGGCACGCAGTTGTTGGCGTAGGGGAAGGTCTGTAAGCGGTACGGTACCGGTAGCGGTGGGGTTTGGAAGGGTAGCAGTCGCAGAGGCAGAGGGTGCTGAGGGGAGAGTGGCTGCAGATGTGGAGTTGACGCTACCGGTAGCTATTGTCGAAGGCTTGACGCCTGCCGTTGCCGTTGCGCCGGTGGCTGCGGTTGTAGGTTTTGTAGCCGGCGTGTTGACGGGGAGGGGCTGTGACATCGGGGTATCGTATCGCATCTGTGCATGTCAGTCGTGCCTTCTCTTTCTTTCGAAATCATGCGTTGTTTGGCCACATACGGAAGCCATGAAGAGTCCGAACATAGCACCCAAACCGCCACCCATGACGCCTGCCATTACTGTCTTGCCGATGCAAGATTCCATACCCATTTGCATCTGCGTGGATGTTAGCTACGATTCTTTCGAACCATGCTCTGGCAGTGTTGTATAGCCAGCCTTGTTCTCGTGGCATGTCGTTCTGTTCCAACACAACTACATAGAGATGGAGTTGCACATACTGCTTTCACCATTTGCTGCTCCTGCTCCGACATGCCTGCGTTGGGATTCATGGCGGCTGGCATAGAGCCCACGCCTCCTGGAAAAGCCATCTTGTGGAAACTGGATACAACTGTCGCAGGAAGCAAGCGTGGGGTACAAGTGATGCTGTTGCAAAGGCGATGCGATGCGCCGCCGCCGGGAACTTTTGCGGAGTTCAGAGCGGAGGACGGGAAATGCCGGGCAGGTGGGTCTTGGCATCCGCCTCCGGCGTCACTATCGTTCACATGTTGCAAGCAAGCATTTTGGTCGCGTCAATTCGAAGTGTTCGGAGTCTCATTATGCTTCCAACAACGGTACGTGTCTACCCGAAGCTAGGTCCCAGTATATACAATTACGCCAACGCCATGCTATCCCATGAGCTTTTCCACACAGCAAACCACCTCTTCAAGAAGTTCTTCCACACTGAATTAGACATTGCTGTTAATGGCGTTGCGTCATAATGCTAAATCGCTAAATGCAACTACCGTTTCAAACGTTCAGTTCATAAAATCGCCGTGCGAGTAGTCTTCGCTCCTCGACTCCGGAGGCGGGGTGAGCTGCTTCTCCCACTCCCTCATTAGATGTGATGCAGTGCGCTTCAGGTTGCTAGGTGACACCTTTGTCATATCAGGCCACGGGATAGAGCTACGCTTTGAGTCTCGTGGCGTGATGTCCTCTTGGTTGATGCTGGTGAGAGATGATGCCTTGGAGTCGTGACGCTTCGAGTGGTATCTGGTGCTGGTGCTGGTTCGAGAGCTGCCTGGGCCGGATACCGGCGAGGTCTGAGCATCCGATTCATCTGAGCTGTCTTTGGAGTCTCCTAAATCGACCAGAAGCGATTCGTTGGGCGTGTCCCAATTATCCCAGTCTTCTTCGGACGCAACCTTACGGATCTGCTTTTGCGGGGTCGTCGTGTTTTTAAGTGCGTGCGTCTTCTTGGTAACTGCAGTGGTCTTAGGCTCGCCCAAACCCATCTCCTTCCAGAAGTCATCGCCAACGGAGCCCAGCTGTTGTGTTGTCTTCTTCGAGCTGGCAGACCGATCAAGGGCTGGGCGACCATCGGACGGTTTTCGGCCAGACTTGGAGGGATTCTTGATACCTGGTATTCCGGTATTGGCGTCCGCAGTGTTGACGGCTTCATCGCCCACCGTAGCTTGTCGAATGTCCTCCATGAATGTGAATAGTCCCTTTTTGAAGTCCGCCGCCATCTGAGTGCCAGCCCGAATGAGCTGCTCACGTTGTATGGTCGGCATGCCGCCCATATCGTATCGGTCATGCTCACCGGCGTTGACGACCTGTCGTGTGATGTCGGACGAAGTGGAAGCCCGTGCAGGAAGCTGCGGTCGGGAGTTGGAAGAGGGGTCATCGTGTAGATCGAGTGGCTGGGGGAATGATGGCGACTGGAGGCGGTCGGGGGAGAGTAGTGACAGGGTTCGTAAGTGTCGCGAGCCGCTGAAGACCTTACGTTGTGATGTTTTGGTGTTGTTGAGCAGGTTCTTCCTGCGCTCCATCTCTTTCTGCGCCCACGAATTTGAACCATCGTCTTCATATTGGCCCGGTGGAGTATTGGCGAGTGATGTGTTCAGAGGCTGCAACGCAGCAACCTTGCGCACCTCATTGCGACGTTTGTTCGCTTCGTGGTGGGTCCAGTGCGTCTTGAGCGTGTTCAGGTCAGCCTCCGCTTTGGTGAGCTCTTCCTTGAGTTCGAGCACATAGCGCTCTTGAGCAGCAAGAACTGCCAGGATGTTCGTCTCGGACGCAGAGTCGTCGGGCTCGGGCGAATGAACAGACGTTGCCCCATTTATCCATGATTGCGGGCGCGATCGTGTCGAGGAGGTTGGTGAACTGATGCCCGCACTTGGCTGGATGGGGAACTGCAGGGACAGGCGTTTGCCTTGTCCGACGACGTCGACCGTCTTTGACCGTGAATGCGACGGCATTGTCTTGGGTGGTGAGGACTGGGTAGAAGCGCTGGAGTCGGGGGCGTTGGAGGATATTATCGACGACTGGGATGACGAGTCCGCCCCTTTGTCGAGCAGGGTTGTTGGCGTCTGTGCTCTGTCCATGGAGTCTGCGCCTCCGACGTAGAAGATGGTATTGCTCACGTACTGACCCTCCTTGAGAGTACAGAGGAGTGTTGAGAGACGAGCGCGGCGAGCGAGTCGGTGAAGAATAAGCGAGGCGGCGGCTGGGGAGCTGCCGTGGACTTCGAGATAAAGGGCTAGAAGCGCTGTAGGGAGGCCGACCAATCGGAGAAGGAGAGACCCTCTAAACCACGAGAACCAAGACTTGAAGAGCGTTGAGCCAGCGGCGCAAGAACTCATACCAAAGACATTGAAGAGCGCATGCCACGGAGTTCAGAGCGGCAACGAGTATCTAGAGATTCCTACAGCCGAAGCCGCAGTCTTTGTGCAGCCGTCGCTCACGCGCGCCGTGCTCAGGCCATCAACAACCCAATCCAGGAACCCATCTCCTGGCTGCATGTTCAAGGGACTGCTTGCGCGGCTAGTCTCGTGACGGAGGGCATGTGGGGAGACGGTGAACCAATGTCCGTCTGTTGAGCTCGACGTTGGCTCAGTCTTCCATCTACCACCGCCTTCCCATTGCCCTATGGTGTACTCTGAGGAACATGTCACCACGCGCGCAGTCTGTTGTCAAACACATGCTCCGTCCCATTTCTTCGAGGCGACGCTGCCATGCTGCGGAGATGAGGGGTCAGGCCACGTAATTTGACACCTCAGAACACACCCATGTAGCCGTCAAGTTTGAGCTAGCTAGGGAGCACCTCAAGTGGCCGGTCAACGACGGGTAGGTGGTCGTCTTGTACTAGACTTTAATTCTGCGGTTGCTGAGGGGAACGGCGACGGACTACACAGTGCGCGTTGCCCTGGCGGTTAGACAGACATGGAGGCCCATCGTCGCCCTCAGTCCCAATTTGCAGCAACAGCCAGGAGTGCGCTGTACAAGCGGCCTGTTTCAGGCTACGAGGACTGTTCGCAATCGAGTCTAGCTAGCGGTGAGTGGGATGGTAACTTTCGGCATGCCTGGAGTGCCTCGCATCACCGTGTCGTTAGCTCACGTTTCCCTCAGCAACCGGAAAAGTAAAGCTCGGCGGGACGAGGCGCATGGGAGGCACCACCACAGACGTCTATTGGCAAACCGGCTGACGGTTGTGGTAGCCGCTGCTGCATGACAGCCGCAGTGGGGAGCTCATGCAGGGCGACATTGGAGAGGGATAGAAATAGGCTGCTCTGGATATGGCGTTGGCAGACGGGTGCTGGACGTTGGAGGCTCCGCGACACGACTCCGACGTCTGGTGCGCTGTCCTAGACATGCCCGAGCCGTGTTGTTTTTCTACAGCATTGATACCTACCGACGTCATGCTAATCTCCGCCAAAAGTGGCGGCGGGGATGTGCGTTTGTTTGACGATCAGACTGGTTGCCTCGGCGATGATAGGGCTGGACCCTGCGCGATACTCTGATATACACCACAACGGCGGCGCAATTGAATAGCCCGGTACCACAAACGAGTCTTATTCCTATCCCAACACTCTTCCGCCGAAATACCACTGAATCTATCTTGGCCCAGCCCACGACCGCATCCCCAACTTCCTCAGCCACTGCGCTTCCGCCGAGCGACGTTGTAATCGCCCGCCATGGCCGAAAACTACCAAGTCATGGAGGAGCTGGGCAGTACGTTGTGACATAGCCTGATCAAGTTCCCGTTACTGACCATTGTAGGCGGCAGCTTTGGAAAGGTGTTCAAAGCCATTGACCGTACTACTGGCGAGACGGTCGCTATCAAGCACATCGACCTCGAAGACAGCAGCGAAGAGCTCGCCGACATCCAAGCCGAAATCTCGCTACTGAGCACCTGCCACAGCCCATACATCACCGAATACAAGACCAGCTTCGTCAAGGGCGTCAAGTTATGGATAGTCATGGAGTACCTGGGGGGAGGCTCGGCTGCCGACTTGGTATGCAGCCACACATTGGACATTAGACATGTGGACTAACAGTCGCAGTTGGCACCCGGCACTTTCAGCGAAGCACACATTGCCATCACATGCCGCGAACTCCTACTCGGACTAGACTACCTACACTCCACCGGCAAGATCCATCGCGACATAAAGGCCGCCAACGTGCTCCTCACAGACCAGGGCAAGGTCAAACTCGCCGACTTCGGTGTCGCCGCACAACTCACAAATATCAAATCGCAACGCATGACCTTTGTTGGTACACCCTTCTGGATGGCCCCCGAGGTCATCCAGGAGGCTGGTTATGACTTCAGGGCCGACATCTGGTCCCTCGGCATCACCGCTATGGAATTGGCAGAGGGCGCACCGCCACATGCCGGGTCACATCCCATGAAGGTGCTCTTTACGATTCCGAAGAATCCAGCACCGAGGCTAGAGGGTGACGAATGGAGCAAGGACTTCAAAGACTTCATCGCACAATGTCTGATCAAGGACCCAGATCGACGTGCAACCGCGAAGGAACTACTCAAGCACCGATTCGTCCAACGCGCGGGCAAGGTCGAGGCACTGCGGGAGCTTGTCGAGCGCAAGCAAATGTACGACGCCCAAAGGGAGCAACAAGCGGCATCGCACCCCAAGTACTACGAAGAGACCATGTAAGTAGTTTGCCAGACTTTTTCACACAGGACACTGACAGATTCATCAGGGTCGATCTCTCCCCTAGAGCCGAGGAAGACGATTGGGACTTCGATACTGTCAAGCGAGGGACCGTTCAAGCACGCCAGACGCTGAAACAGCGTCGCAAATTGGCCCGCATACCCTCCTCAGGCAATGATGAAGTCGAGTCCATGATGCAACGGATGGACCTCAATGCTGCGCCCTTGGGCGACATCACCGATTCACCACTCCCGGCACGACGACGTCCGTCTTCTCGGAGAACTTCCCAGGCCACGGCTTTCCGCGTTCCTTCCGGCGATACACCCACCGCTCGCCGCGTTAGCAATTTCAACAAGTCGCCACTTGGTGTTGATCTGACATTTGGAAACTCGCCCTCGACCGTTCGACACTTCAGGCGCGTCTCGTCGGGCGAACGTCGCGCAGCACTTCGCTCGAACCCCCCAAGCAACCCAGCTGCTCAGAACAACCAGTCCTTCCAACCGAACCCTGAAGCGCGCACCTTCCGCCCATCACCTCCCACGTCTGCCCATCCATTGGATATGAACAATGAGAACGAGCCACCCGCCCCCGACGGACACATGCCTATCACCAAGGACGCACTATACGGTCGACGAGCATACAGCAAGGTTTTGGACTCAGTTTTCCAAGAGGCACATGCTGACACAGCGTCGCCCCATCAACGAGATGCTATCGGACGCGTTGCGCAAGCCTGGCAGCATCTTGACGAGATCGACCCACACGGCGAGTTCATGTTGTTGAAGGCTATGGTGGACCGCCTCAAGAACGACACGAAGCTCGCCTACGCTCTCGGCATAGAAGTCTCGCCTGTGCAATCACCCTTGAAGCACAATACCAAAACCAGCGACACTAGCCTGGGCGGTACAACTGTCCACGGTACGGGCACAACACGTGTTCGGTCGAGCACGACAAGTGCAGCTACATCTACCGTCAGCAAGTCCTCGGAGGAGTATGACAACACTCCGATATCAACACCGACACGAAATGGTACGCCAATCGCCAACTCGGGCTCTCCGCTGAAGGGACCAAAGCTCGTCATGGCCAAAAATAACCCTCACCTCAAGTCTCACAAACGCCGCCAGAGTGCTTTTGTTGTTGGCGATAAGGGCTTCGGTGCTGATGGCTATGGTCACTTTGACGAGAAGAAACTACCTGGTTATGTCGAGCCTGGTATGGAACAGCAGGGCTTACTGGCCGACATCCTCTACGGGCAATGGACACAAGGGTTGCGTACTCGATGGCCCATCGCCTAGTGCTTTGCTCTTCCCCGTCTTGCTGAACAGATGTTCGTTGAGTTTTCTTAATCTGGAGCGCTCATTCCTTTCTTACTTGTAAGATGTTATCGCGTTGCTCACGCGCTACATCACGACTTGGAGACTAACCTCCTATGTTTGTGTTCGGCGTTGATGGACTACATAATAATGACTGATGAGATCGTGGTTATGGGTGGGTACTGAGGTCTTCACATCAGTCGTTCTGGACGGCGTTTAATTTGCTGCGTTTCTTGGATATATCGGCATTCGCACTGGCGTTTTGGGTTTTACTATATCCAATAAGGATAGGAAGCTTCTGGGTTTCATGTACAGGTAGTTTAAGGGTGTATAATGGCCATATCAGCATTCCTCATGAACGTAGAAAGGGAAGTGCATTTGACTCATTTGTGATGATGCAACCAAGTGCTTGCTATAGCAGATTTGTCCCCGCATCCATGTACCCTCAACCCTTTTACTCCACGCGTTTCTTGCTGCAAACTCCCCGCGTCACTGTGAATCCACCAGCCACGTGCTCCCTCGATATGCTCAATGATGGTCAGGAACGCTGGTGTGCGGCACCCGAATCAGCATAGTCCAACGCCGCCATCGTGTACCAGAGCTCATGAGCCCCCGCGCAAATGCATGCTTTACCGAATGAGTACCTGGGTACCGTGATATCTGCGTGCCACAGACGTCAGTGCTGTCGTCGAAGTGATGGTATCCCTGCTACCGAAGTATTGTTCAACGCATGTGTTCATTATCCCGGATCCCATTGGTTGCGCGACGCTTACTACGAGCCGCGTGTATCCCTTCGGTAGCGATATGCGCAACTCTAACGCATTTCTCCGCCAGTGCAGGACTTGGGACTATAAAATGGGCCGTTGGTACTCCCAAATTGCTGGGCATCGAGGCTTGTCGGAGCTTGTTTTTCTTGGTATACTCCTTTGGAAACCTGGGCTTGTGCGATTCTGAAGATGCGTATTACGACCAACACCGCCCGCAAAGGCGCACTGTTTGCCCTCCTTGCAAGGGCTGGAGCTATACCAACGACCACAATTTCGGCAGCAGGAAATGCTGGTGCAAGCAGTGCGGATGTGTATCCTCCCGCTAGCAGTAAGTTTGATTGGAGATGCGCAGAGAGCGGAATGCTGATGGTTTGATTGTATAGCCGAGGTCAACTCCGAGCTCTTCCCGCCTGAGTCCATCGTAGGCTTTCCTGGCCGTAAGTCGCTTGTATACCTACGGGCTTTTGTCTTCAAGCTAACGCAATGATTGTCAGCGACTCCTACGGGCGCTGAACCGAATGCCATCCAGACAGCACCGTCGTATCCGTATAATGATGGCGATGCGTCTTCATTCCCTCTTATCAAGCCGCAACCCCATGGCAGCGGCTCACAGTCCCCAAACTTTGATATCACCAAATACTGGGGCAATCTGAGCCCATGGTATTCGGTTCGCAGCGCAGACTACGGGCTTCCTGATGCTAGCCCTCTGATCCCGGATGGCTGCGACATCACGCAGATGCATCTACTCTACCGTCACGGCGCCAGATACCCAACTAGTGGTGCTGCACCCGCTACATTTGCTCAAAAGATTGCGAACGCTACGAAAACTGGTCTTGCAGTCTCTGGAGAGCTTTCTTTCTTGAGCGACTGGACATACAAGCTGGGTGCCGAGCTGCTTACACCATCAGGCCGCAGCATGAATTTCTTGTTGGGCATTGAGTACCGTCAATTATATGGTCACCTTCTGAACAACTTTACGGAAGCGGGAACCATCCCGGTCTTTCGAACACAGTCTCAAGATCGAATGGTGAAGACTGCGGAGAACTTCGCCGCAGGTTTCTTTGGCGTGCCTGAATACATGGACGAGGTCAACATTGAGCTGCTTGTTGAGACCCTAGGCGTGAACAACTCCGGTGCGCCCTACGAAGTCTGCAACAACTCGAACATCGCCACCCGAGGCAGTATCGGTAGCCGTGTAGCAGCACAGTTCGCGAACAACGCGTTCAACGCCACTCTCGCTCGTCTACAGTCACAAGCTAGCGGCATCAATTTTACTTCCACAGACGCCATCGCCATGCTCCAACTTTGCTCGTATGAGACACACGCTCTCGGCTACTCCGCCTTCTGTAATCTCTTCAACGAACAAGACTTCCTGAACTACGAATATTATTTCGATCTGTCCTTCTACTACAACAACGGCCCAGGATCTCCTGTCTCTGCTGCTCAAGGCAAAGGCTTCCTAGACGAATTCATCGCACGCTTCACCCATCAGTATCCCGGCGCCAACTCCGCTCTCAACGAGACTTTTGACAATTCTTCGACGTACTTCCCGCTCGACCAGTCTATCTATGCCGATGCTACGCACGAAGTTGTCGTCCTTGATACACTCACTGCGTTCAACCTGTCAGCTTTGTTCAAGGGCCCACCACTGAGCCCTCTCGGTAATGAAGGGCAAAACAGCTTCGTAGCTAGCAAGCTTGTACCGTTTGCCACCCATTTCACTACCCAAGTGCTTTCTTGTCCTGCCATGCAACCCACAAAGCAGATCAGGTTCATCGTGTACGTATACTCGTTTCTTTCGAAACTTGATGCCCAGCTAACCTGGTCAACTAGCAATGACGCCGTTGTCCCAATCAACGAGTCTCATCCAGGATGTCCGGCTGATTCGAACGGTCTCTGCTCTTTCGACCACGTTGTCGAGCTCCTCCAAAAACGCAGTGCAGAAATCGACTTCAATTATGACTGCTTCGCAAATTATACAGCAGAGCCGGGAATGGACTACAATGGGAGGGCACCTAGATCGTAGACCGTGCAAGGGTACGGATAGTTGTCAGCGCAATGCAATTCCTTGAGTCATGCAGCATCTACATCTTGTGTGACTTAGGCACTTACTGGCTAAAAAACAGCACTTTTGACTGCGGTGGCATGATAGTTCGCGTACCTCTGGATAGCTATGATTTATTCTGTAAGCCTCCTGTGACCATTCTGCTACGATAGCCGCATGCAAATCATAAGAGCAACCTAGATGCAGATTTAATCTCAGGTAGAGGGTAGCTTTAAGTGTTAGATCGATCACAGCAGCTTCATGTATACTGCCTACAATCTTGGTAAGCATATACTTTACGTACCACCACTGTAAGAGCGCGAAGCCAAGCAGCAATGCTAAGTCTTGTCATTGGTAGCTGCAGCAGCCAGGGTTTCCTCCTTCCAGATCTAGTCTAGTTCTATTCTATTTCAGCCGCAAAGTCGTCCAAGAAACTTGGCGGCGGCGTAGTTTCAACCGGGAATATGTTCATAGGATTGTGGTTGACAATCTGCATAACCTCGTCACGAATCAGCTCATCAGTACCTGCGAACACCTTTTCCACCCACAATACACTTTTGACAAGCGACATGATGTCGTCCCACGCTTGCAGCTGCATACCACTCATCAGAATGCCAAGCATGAATACAAACTGGCTCCGTTCTGCCAGATCCTTGGTTTCGACTGCGGCGGCGTAAAGCACCCAGATGAGTAAAGGCTTCAAATCGCTCCATTCAACCATGTTCTTTGTGAGTACAAGGAGGAGATTGCGCGATATAGCAGCCGTCCATACTGGTGATTGACCGAATCTTCTCCAAACTGGTGCCAAGAAGAGTAGTGATCCAAGTCGACAAACCTCTTCAACCACGTTTTCTCTAGCGTTGCCGTGGTTTAAAGGTCGTATAGCTAAGAGCCGGTATATTGTCGGTTCCAGCCAGCTACCGCTGGTAATCGCAAGCATCAGCTGCTCCTCGTTGAAAGCTCTATCGAGAGAGATCAACTGGATCACATCATCAAAGATGGTGATAAAGTCAAGCTGCATTGGTAGCTGGTGCTTCCAGGCTAATGACATGCCGTTACACGTCCGTGGGGAGTTCGGTGGAGATTTGGAGTCTACTATCCATTGTCGTGGCATCGGTACAATAGGAGGGTGGTCTTGATAGAAGCTTCCTATGAGGTCTGCCCTATTCAGGCGTCAGCGAATATCGAATCTTGGATTCACCAAGGATATGCTGACCAGCTGATCGTAATCCGTAAGTACTCTTTCTCAATGGTATCAAATCCGCCCCTGAGTCCCACTATTCTGACCAGTGCGTTACTATGTTTCTGCCAATCACTGCTGGTAAAGTTTCCCAATAGAGCCTGAAGATTGTCAGCCTTGCCGCCATTATCCTCGCACAGGCGACTCACAAAGTGGATCATGAAAGAAACTACAGCACCTATAGCTTCATCACTCGTGCGCTTCGCCGGATCGTTCATCATCTGGGTGGTATGGCGAAGCGCCTTGTTGTGATATTTCAACGCTATAGCATCATCTTGCGAAGGATAATATCCGTTGCGCCTCTGGAACAAAAAGTTCTGTGAGTTGGAAAGCATGTTGTGAAAAGCTGCCGCATCGCTGAGTCCAACGGGGTACCAGGAGCCACGGAGCTGGCTAGGATGGTTGCTGTCTTCGGTGCTAAAGACCACGCCAAGTCAGGAAAGAGTCTGACCAAAACGAGTGAGTGCGCCTACTGTTCGCTAATAGCACTCGACCAGAGTCATCGAGTTCGATGGGGTACGGGTTGAAGGGATCAAGCTGACCGCCACCAAACCGGTCGATATCGACGCGACTCTCAGACGGATTTCGAAACTCAAGGATTATTTCGTTGCGCGCCCTCTTCGTTTTGGGTTTCCTTCTCGCTTTACCGACCTCAGTCATAGCTAGACGTCGAATGCGCAGTTGTGTTTCCTCATTTTTGAGATCGTCGGGGTGTGTGAGATTGACAAAGTTGAAGCTTGGTTTCGTAGAGCGATCCATGGCGATGATTGCGGGCCGTAACTGTAGCCCTCACAAAGAGTTCGATATCTCGATATACACAAGGCACAAGTGAGCGCGGCGACAAACTTATGTCATCGATATTGGAGCTTCGGCGTCATGTCAATAGCGAGACTGGGGTGAAGTGGCAGCAGAGCTGAAGGAGATGCCGAGAGCATGAACCTGCAGGGCAATCGCACATGAGGGGCGTCATGTCCAAGGTTGCATCAAGCGAACAGGCCACTCAAAAGCAGGCGACACGAAGGCGAACTCCGTAGAAGCGAACTTCAGTGTCGAGTAGGGTGATAATGGACGTTACAATTCGGATGAGCGATTCATGCGCTTCCGGGAGACGTGCGCAATTAGTAATGTAGATTACCTGTCAAGCTCGTGAATAAGCAAGAAAAGCTGGGCAGTGTAGAACAAGAATCCTAACCAACAGGCAGCTATGCTCGTCCGCCCGCTAAGATACAGACAGCATAGCTAATAAAGACAGCGGGTCATTGAATAGATGTAACCTCTTGTACGCCGGAGCGAAGCAAGCTGCCCGCACATGTGGCATTGAGATTTGTTTTCATGTTTTCATGAAGCTCAGAATATCGACAGCAACTCCCGTAGTGTACTCTGCGCTACGCACCAACCTCGGGGCACAGGCCCATGACATGCCTAACCAGCCACGCATGTACCCGCCTTCAATGCCATCGCCGCATCGTCTCGATTGCCGTGAAGTCTCACCTCTTCCATCAAATTTGGCTCACCAAGCAGTAGCGCTTTTGCCACGACCCTCCAGCTCAACACGACGCCTTCGTTTATCTCCAACGGTTGCAAAATCCAAGCCCTTGACGTCATGCAAGTCGCATTGAGCAAATCAGTAGGAATCGCGACTTGCAGCTCCTCAAGGTTGGCATCTTCGCAGTCTTTCTTCACGCTCATGATAGTCATGAGAGCCTGACGCCCATCCATGGTGCATTGCAAGCGGACCGAAAGAGAGCCGATGTAATACATTGAACGAGGATCAGTTACCCAGGTCAGGAACAACGTGGCGTCTTCTACATCAAATACAGTACTTTTCAATGTTTCCGAGCCCGCATTTCGATTTAGCTGCTCCAAAAACCTTTGTGCTGGTATACAAAGGGCAGTATTTGGCTGCAGATCTCTGAAAATGCCTTGGTTATAGTTGGGGTGTACAACATCACGTTTTAGCTGCTCCCATAGATTGGCAGTAAACCGAATACCATTGTTGATACAAGTGGCGATGAATCTTCGTCGGTGCCCATCGCATTCGCTGTCCGTCCGGGGAGCAGTTACATGTAATCTGCTTCCATCAACAAGGTACTTTGCTGGCTCTGTAGTCGGTATGGTGTCGGGGAAGACTTGGCTGACAGCATCCAACTCCAAGTCATGTTCTATTAGTACACCGGGTCTTTTGAGAAAGATGGTGTCAATTTTGATGACTTCGGTCGAAATCTGCCGGATGCCCTGCACACTTCCGAGGGAAAAATTCGGAATCGTAGTATCGGCAGTAGTGACACTTCGCGAAAGCCACGTCGTATTGCCCATGAGTCTGATCGATGTACTATCCATTATACTCAGTGGGTATGTTTCTCCTGCGGCAAGGGCTAAGATGGCGCTGAAATACAGCACCTCTTCTCTGCTGCTCAAGGCTTCGCCGTAGTATGCAAGAGCACGCCCACTTGTGTTTATCATGATGCTGATGCGGTCTCCAAGATTCTGACAGCCTTTTCGAGATACGCTGTTGTGACGGGCCATGATACTTGATCTCATTGCCGATGTAGGTGTTCCGTCTTTGTTGGTGAAACCCGTAAATATTTCCTGGCCTTTGAAGGCGTTTATGTCGATATCGCTCTCGGGAGATGGCAAGTCTAACGCCGTACACATGATGATGTGGAGGTTTACCCACTTCATCTTTACTATAGAATCACCCGGACCATTCATAAAGAACGTTGCATTGTGGTTTCTATATAGCTGCCTCTTGTCACTCCATGGTTCATTGACGTTGAACTCATGAAAGCACCAGGCACGATCCCACTGCGACAAAAGAGGGAGCAAGTCAGCGTATGCTCCGAAATCGTATTTCCAGGCCTCACGTACCCATCTCGCTGCATTGACCTTCTTGTAGAAAGACAAATAGAGCGGTCTAACGTCCGGCTCAGGAATCCATGATCTGTGCCACTGTACTTTGGTGATATCGAAGTTTTCCACAAAGTGCGTTTCCGCCTCAGTAAGTGTGACATCCTCTAACAGAACCAGCAAACGCAGACATGATCGATATATCACATCCATGGCAGCAACAGACAATTGCTTGTCGAGAGTATCTTCTTGGTCAATGCAGAGCTGATCAATCCAAAGTCCTATGCGAGGGTGCTCTTTCTCACCCAGAATGGCATCTACAAAGGGTTTGCTGAAGGGCCAACGATCGTGCGCTTCATAATTCGGGCTCAGATAGTCGCTTGAATGCCAGCAATAGGAAATCGCAAAATACTGTCGTGGATACAGGTCTTTGTTGAAAGCTCCCCGAACGTCAGAAGGAAAGACCAGACGAAATGGTGTCTTCAAGATGGTGGTAGTTGAGCGTTGGGAAAACCGAGCAGCGACATCTGGACACCATGAGGTCAAATTTCGAAGGATGAGGCTGGCCTCCTCTTGACCTTCGTCGAGCTTGGCAAAGGCAGGTTCAAAAACTTCCGCTTTGTTCTCCGGGGTGAGTGTCAATCGAAAGATGTTGTCGCCGATGTATTCGATGCTCGCGTCTCTGTGGGCGACGGTCCTTGCGGAGGTAGATTGCGTGTCCATATCGACGGACAGGCGTTTGGTGTGTGAAGCTCAGCCGCTCTTCTTCCCATCGACGGGAGTTATAATCGCGGGGTAAGCCACGAAGCTCACAATAGACTTGATCTTTCTGCATGTATCTGAAAGAGGCTGGGAAGGGGCCCTAAGTGGAGACCCCTCGGGAAGACAGTCAGCGCCAATCTACCCCTGGACTAGCGCGCCAAGGAAAACCTCCATAACATCGAAAATTTGCCCGGTCTCCATTCTGTTTCTTCACGCACCATCAGACAGTTCAACACCCATCTCATCCGCATCTTTACGTCTTGTATCGATGCGACCCGAGTTTTCCTATTGGGTGATTGCGATATAGCGCTGCGGAGAAGGAACCAAGTGCTCCATTAGAGCTGGCTGCGCATTTTTTCGGTTGCGCAGGCGGTGTCATAGGAGCGGTACATACACAACCCACAACCCCCGTGATTTTTGAGCGAATAAAACCTTAAATGACTAAGAGCCTGCAATGCTTGTTTCAAGTTGCCGATTGTACCTATATGACAATCTGTAAGATAGTCCACCAGATTGTCGCGCTCTTCGTAATGTTGCGCGTGAATGGGCGCGTGCTGTTACCGGCGTGCATGTCTCTGACATGGAGTCCGCTATTTTGTCGGTGCGTCTCGTCGGCTTTCAAGTGATCAAAGTGTATATTCTGCCATCGCCGCTGTCGCCCATATGGGCGAGACACGAGATATCGTCTCTTGTGGTTCTGCGACCAGGGCTCATCCGAGCAGCTTCGAACCATGGTGCACGATGAAAATGACAAACTTGTTGCAAAAGCGCGCGATTATCAAGTAGTTTCAAGCTAGATACACGCGTTGACGGGTCAAGCGAATACCATAGCCAAAACATCGGGGAAGAAAGCAGATACCTGATGTAAGATTCTGGATTGACTTGCATGGCCTATTGGGACTTTCTGTGTTTTAGCCAAAGGAGAGATGATACTCCTTCTCCCATGAGCTCGATAGACAATTTAGCGTTCATTTGCGCTTTCGAGAAACCGACCGATTCTCGCGCTTGGTGTTCATGTTGCCCCTGTATAAAGTCCGCAGACGTCTTAGCAAGATGGCTATCTGCGTGTCCAGCAATGGGGGTCTTGTGGAGAATATTCCACATGACGTGAAACTCTAAGATCAGATGTTGATAGCGCTCTAACTGTTGGCCACGCGCGACAGCAATCTCAGATTTTATACCATGAACACCGGGACGCGCACGTACACCATCGGAGATTGTAGTTCCTGGGAAGTTGCGGTGACAATAGGCTAGGTCGTTGATGCGAAGTACCTGCATGAAACCATGTAGGTCTTTCTCAAGTATTAGCAGTGACATCGAGACGTTTGCATCATCCTCGACCATGCGTGTAACCTCCTCCTGGGCTTCACTACTAGCATGTGGGAACTCTATCTCGATGTGCAATCGGCCACCTGGAGCTTGCTGAGGTAGCGGTCGTAGACTCAGGTTCAGGTATCCGTCCGGCAGTATTTTGGCGGCTTTGACATGACGAACATTGATGTATTTTACACCAAGCCAGTGTGGCTGGATTGCGAAAGCGCCCCAGTTGATGTCGAACCGTATCCTAGACAGCGTGTGATGCACACAGCTCTTCACAAGCTGATGGATGCTCTTGCTGGTTCGCAGAAGGGAAGTTTTGAAGCAGTAACCGCCGAACGTGGTGTTAGACTCCTCGATCTCGAGACCGTAAGGATTAAACACATAGCTCAAAACGCGGTTGAAGAGCTCTGCGGGTAGAGACTCTAAGTGGGAGACGGAGGTTGGGATGTTCATTGTGGCTGGTTGAGTGTGGTCTGGCTGGTAGGATGTATATTGGACGCAGCATAGGCCACCGAATCACGTTTTTATATCGTCTAGCGCAAACGGACCCTTGCTCCATACAAGGGTTGCCTTACGTGTAAGAATCATCTGTCTGTGCGCAAAGCAAGCAACGTCCGTTCGACAAACCCTCAGGCAAGATCGACCTCCCGCCCCCTTCCTTTCAGGATGACTTGTATGCAGTCAACTTTGGCCATCCCGTCTTGGCCTTTGATCTGCTGTTCCATGTCCTTGGCTGCCCAAACATGTTCGATATCGCGCATGACGCGTTTTAAGCTGGGGAAATGCTTTACAGCATATAGTTCCTCAAATCTATCACGGACGAATTGTCGTTGTGTGCTATCAATCGCTTCGCAGCCCGCGGTGAACAGCGGCCACATATGTGCTGAGGTTAGAGGCGAGTGAACCTCGACTTGTTGTAGCTGTGATAGACACTGATTGATATGCTCCATGCTTATCGGGTTAGGAGCACCTATATCAAGCCAGGTCCGGTAAAGATAGATGAATGCGGCGTGGCGATAGGCTTCAGCTGTTGAGCTGATGTCTATGCGCTGTTGAACATCTCCACTCTTACAAGCAACGAAGTTGACAGCTAACAAAGTCTGCTGGATGTGTCGGCCAGTGGTATTTTCATCTTCCGACAAAGCAAGGCTTGTTGGTGACCGCGCTCTTCTCGTTTTGATAGCGTGTTGCAGCTGACTGATCTTTGCAACAATCAATAGGACTTTTGCGATACTTTCTAGCTCTTGCTCCCCTTCGATAGCGATGAAATCCATCTCATGATCCAATAATGGCTGCGAGCCTCTTGACACGGAAGATAGGATATCGTGGTATGCAAACAGGCTCAGGAGGAAGCGAGCACTCGATGAGACAAGCCAGCTATCCTCACTGCGCCCTGTTATCATGGCTTTGGCTCCAGCCAGATGGTTCGCGACGTTGGCTTCATCCTCATCGCCAAACAGTCGCGCCGAAACCTGCATCATCATGACAGTGGCCAGCGCCGGCTCAGTATCCATCTTTACTGGATCCTGAATCATCCTTTGAAGCTCTTGAATAGCATCTCGTTGGTGACGGTAGCCTTGTAGGTGAAGTGAAGCATCGTTTGATGCAAGAGCGAGATGATTTGCAGCCATCGAGAGGACCGTTGACCTAAGTGCTGGCGATTCATAGGCCATGGCCGTCAAATGTCGTTGGAACGGTGTCGCAATACCATTTCGAGGTGAAACCGATAACAACTTTGAGAGCTGTTCTCCCCAATAATTAAGGAGCCATCGATTGGTTGGAGATATTCCGTAGGACAGCGCAGGGCTGTTCAAGGGTAAAGCAGGCATACTTTTCGCCGAGTCGGGCGATGAGAACAATACATCTGGACTCGGAACTGCTGATTGTATGGATTCGAAGCTAATAGTCGACGCTGGGCTGAGTGCTTGGTCGTCGTCGATGGCCTTCTTCTTGCGACCTTTCCGTGGTGGTTTTGCCAATGTATTGACGGCGTCGTCCTGCCATTTCAGCTTGACTCCATAGCCTTTGCAGATGATATTTAGTCTTGTGCAACGCCCACAAAAAGGCTTCACCTCGTCGCACTTATATCCAGCTCCCCGACAAGTCCAACAGCCGGTCCTGGATCTCTTGTGCGTTGCCATCTAGACTTGCCGGGCATCTTCGGTGCTCTGTCACCGTACTGGTCATTCACTAGAACCACCTACAGTTTGGCATAATCGGCTGATGACACAATAGGTCGCGGGGGTGGGCGATGTCTGAAGTTTGGGAGAATTACAGAACCGTCAGAAACGGGAGGTAAAGGGTGGCAAACCGCATTAGTGTTAGCTCCCGCGTCCATTATGGGCCGAGGTCTGCACTCCTAGCCACACGATAGACGCGAACAGCCAATCTTCCTGATCGAGACATGCTATTATTTACGAGTGACCCGAACAACCATCAAAATGAGTATATAAGATCAAGTGGGTATCATCAAGTAGTCGTTCAAGTCTGGTATAGCCCATCAAGCCTGACATCAACCCTGAAACGGTATCTCGCCCTCCTCAAAAGCCCGCACCCACCTGAACATGCCTTTTGCTGGATCCATGACACAGACAAAGTGTGTAACTTCATTGCACACCGGGTATTGTTTTAACCATTTAATCAGTTTCTCTGGACTCACGCCTGCTGCGGCATTCTGTCCTCGCTTCGCTTTACGGCCTTGCTCCTGGGTCCATTCTCGCCATTTTCGCTCAAGACACTGTTTCCGCATGATGCTTTCTTCGAGTACTTCTTGCATACCGGCATTGAGGAAGCTGTGATTCCGGCCCTGAGTATGGACGGCCTGGTTCTGATTGGCCTGCGGATTGGCTGTAGACTCCAAAGATACGTCGTGATTAGTGGTGCTGATAAAGGTTGATGAGCGTAAAATCCTAGCGCTGTGGAAGTCTTTCTCCAGGATGATGGTGTCTGTGCTGGTACAGAAGATCAAATACGCCACTGATGTCTGCATAGTTGCGATGTTGTTGGGTGCGTCAGATAGATTATATGGCGGGATCAGTGCAGATGACGGATCTCTTCGTTCTTGTAAAGACTTCTTGGAGAGTCTGTGCCGTCTGCGAGGTGCGCTCGGCCTAGGTAGAAGGCAATCGCGTATGAGGGCAGAGATGCTCGGTCTCTTCCCCAGAAGTACCATGAGAGTGTTCCAGTAATATTTGATATTAGGTCCTGACATCCCACGGGCGTGGTGATAGGGTCGAAAGTTGAGTGAGACACTCAATCCCTTCCTTACACCTGTAAGTGCACCCACGAAACCAACGTAGCCAATCGTGCTCGCTATAACTCCACCGCCTACAACCTCAATGAAATCGAACTGAACAATCGCTTGCCTCAGAAGAGGCATAGACCAATCCAGCGTTCGGAAATGCATCATCGTTGCCTTGGCTTCAGGATCCTCAACCATGACTCCACCGCTCGTGCAGCCCATGAGCAGGTCCAGAAAGACGTTATAAGCGACGAGTAAGTACATTGGCACGCCAGATGCTTCGCTAATGCCCCTGAGTTCCTGAGTCTGTTCATCGCTGTGAAGACGACGCAAGAACAGACGACCTAAGAGATGAAAGAACCCAATAGGTAACTTCAGGTGCTGGACTGCTTCGTCATAGAGACACGGCATCTCGCGCAGAACATGAGCGTACTCAGTGGCGACCAACACATAGCGTTCGCGTGGTGGTAGCGAAAGGTTAATGGTGTAGATTTAAGGTGTACTGCTTGCCGATTGTGCGGTTGATTCAGACATGAGGAGGTGACTTTGACTGGAAGAGGCATTGGAAGCAAGAGCGTAAGATTCAGGTTTGATGCGAGACGTTCGCGCTCTCAACTGGGGAGGCATGATGTGGTCGAGTACGGGGGTGCTTGCTAGCAGAAAATCTTGGAAGGAAGCCACGTTCGTCCAGCGTTTGGAAGAACAGCTCCGCGACTTCTACACAGTTCTCGACCCTTGAAGAGCCGCTCACGAAGACGTGCGCGCGCTGATGCCTAATGCTTGGAAGAGCGGGGCGAGGCGCGCCATGACATACTGTGGGATGACATGTCATAACTCATCGGACTCGTTCTGAGACATTTAGAGCGAGGGATATATCGACTCGTCGTGATGGTCTCGTGTGAAGCCAAACAGACCAGACGCGAACGATGAAGCTACTACCCCAGCTTTCGAGCTCTCCACATCCGCACCTCGGCTTCCAGAGCATGCTTCCCCGCGGGAGTCCTTAGCCGGCGCAACAGCCAACAATGTCGACGTCGAGCATGTCTACAACTAAGCTTGCGTCTTCTTCTCTTTACGCGTGTTCTTTCAATCGTCCCAAGTAGTAAACTACCTCCAGCTACCTCGTCATGCCGTCAGCAAACCAACCACCTCCACTCGCGGACGTACGCGTCCTTGAGTTTGCAGGACTAGCCCCAGGTAATCTCAACCTCCCTTCGCAAAATAGTCTCTAGGCTCAATCTAACAGTATTCAGGCCCCTTTGCGGGCATGCTCCTAGCAGACTACGGCGCCTCAGTCCTCCGCCTCGACCGCGCACCCTCAGCCCCATCCTCCGATCAATTAACGCGACGCAAAACCTCGATATGCGTAAACCTCAAATCCCCAGCAGGCCTCGCCCTCATCAAAAAAATAATCCCCCAAGTCGACGTGGTAATCGATCCCTTCCGACCTGGCGTCCTCGAGAAAGCCGGTCTCGACCCTGAGAAGGTGCTGTTGAGGTTGAACAAGCGATTGATCGTAGCTCGCATGACGGGCTTCCGTCGGGATGGCAAATACAGTCAAATGGCCGGGCATGATATCAACTACATTGCTGTCTCCGGCGTGCTAAGCATGTTTGGCAGGAAAGGGGAAAAACCGTATGCGCCGGGCAATGTCGTGGGAGATTTTGCGGGAGGCGGCGCAATGTGTTTCATGGGTATATTGCTTGCGCTACTGGCCAGAGAAAGAAGCGGCTTTGGGCAGGTTGTCGAGGCGAACATGGTTGACGGGAGTGCGATATTGGCGACTATGCCAAGGTTGGGATTGAAGACGGAGGTCTGGAAGAGGGAGAGGGGCACAAATATGTTAGATGGAGGAGCGCCCTTCTACGATACTTACGATACAAAGGATGGAAAGTACATGGCAGTGGGCGCTATTGAACCCCAGTTCTACGCTGCTCTACTCAAGGGTATGGGCCTGGAGCCGTCGGATCTACCTGGTAATAGGGACGACAGGGCGGACTGGCCAAAGTTGAAGGACTTCTTCGCCGCCGAGTTCAAGAAGAAAACACGCGAGGAGTGGGAGGCCATCTTCGATGGGACAGATGCATGCTGCACACCCGTACTGACGCAGGGTGAACTCGAGACTCAGGGCTTCGATCAACGGCCGGCTGTAACCCTGAAGTCCTCACCCGGGTATGCGATACATGATGGCAATGATGGGAGGTCGGCAGCAGAGGGCCAGGGTATAGGAATGGATGGCAGCGGATGGAGCGAGAAGGGCTTGAAGCCTGGCAGTGGGGGCGAAGATACATTGACCACATGGATGGGATGGACCAAGGGTAGGCATTATGTCGAGGACCAAGGAGGCTTGGTTTGGAAGGACTCTGCAAGGTTATAGTCATGTCAGATTCTCGGCTCATCGTCATTTGTTCACATACGCGCTTCCTGTATTCGTAAATAGCCAGTCAAGGGCTGTATATCTTCAGTTTACACATGTATTCATACAACCCGCAGTATGTCGTCTCGTTACTTAGGCCCTCGCCTTCCTCGCTTTCGGTTTGCTAGCCTTCTTGCCAGCATTCCGGAGCCTCTTCCTCTCTATGTTCGCCTTGATCCTTGTGCTCCTCTTCCGCCAGGCCGTCCATCGGTCACCCGGCACAAACTCCTTGACCTGCACACCCGCCTTCTCGGCCGCACGCCCAATCTGCCAGTTGGCCTCACGGTACGCGTATCCCTTGCCAGCGGTCAAGCTCAGTCCCTTCCGTGTCGCTTCGCGCGGGGTATCGCGGACGCTACTTGGGCTGCCTGTGCCGTCGCCAACTTGTAAATCCGTTATGACAACTGCATCCGCAGAAGGGCTCGTCGATGTAGTGATGGGAACGGCGAGCATATTTAAGCGTCTCCGTCTCGCCGCATTTGGTGGGTATGGAAGGGTGTGGTCTTTCTCGAGGGCGACACCAATGTATTGCCTCTTTGGGTGTTTATTCGGATCACGGTAGTACCGTACGTAACCAGACTCTGTAGCGAAGATGCAGTGGTCGCGGCCGAATTTGCAGTTCTCGCCGGGAAACCAGGCTGTTCCTCTTTGTCGGAAGATGATGTTTCCTGGGATGACATACTCTCCTACAATGCCGTTAGCCAGGCTCCTAACTGCTTATTCAAACTGTAGAACACACCCCCGCTCTTCTTTGCTCCTAACCGTTTGCCAGGTCCATCTTTTGCTCCGTTGGCTCGTCCTTGGGCCTGATGCGCTGAATGCCTTACGAAGGAGAGGACCGGGGCGGGTGCCGAGGTGCCATTGGCCACGCGGAGGGCGTCGAGAACACGGGTAGATGGCGCGATGAATGTCTTTGATGTCGCCAATGATGCGCGGACGGGCGCAAATATCCGTGGGAGCAGCATGGCCGCTCGGGTGTTGGAGAGGCGGGCCTTCGAGTGCATTGCGACTTTTCGAGATGCTCGGTGGTCCGTGCGCGCTCCGCATGCAGCCCGACTGCCACGCCCGCGCAGTCGCCATGGCTCGTAGCATCACAGCGAGTACAGAGCGATCACACATCTCAATGGCTGACATACATTGCATGCATCAACTGTAATATGAACAGGCTCAAGACAGAAACCTAGCAAGCTGCACCCAAAACACCTTGCCCGTCATGGCAGGATGCCAGACCCAGAGAACACAACCTTGGAAGTCTAGCCGCAAGATCCTCCCAGACACGCATCCATCTACTGCACTTGGTTGACAATCTCTTGTGCCTTGGAAAGGCTCTCCACCATCTGCTGGCAATCCTTCCGCCTCTTGACAGTGTACTCTGACTCCTTTAGTAGCTCATCGAGTTCGTCGGTCTTGTACATGTTGGTGAGAAGCTCGCCCTGCATATTTTCCTTGGTCCATTGAACGAGGTTCAACATGATGGCTTTAGGTACCATGTCGATCATTGTCCGACGAACAATGTTGAAGTAGGAGGTGATCAGTAGTTCTGCACATCGTTAGTCTATGTACGATATCAACGCCAGAGGAAACTTACTAATAACTTCGACTTCTTGCGACTCCTTCTCTGAGAGGGTACCGGAGGCCTTGAGCGTGGGTGGTGGTGGCTCCATAGCCGCCATCTTCTTCTTGTTCTTGCTGGCGAAGAAGGAACCAAAGAAGCCACCACCCTCGTTAGGATCAAGTGAGGGAGATATCGACCGCGGCGGCACGCTAGGTGGAAGAGGCTTTCCAGTCTTGGGATCCACTTGTTGAGGCCGGCTGCTGTTGTGTCGCTCGTGTACGATGGCCATGGCGCGTGAACCATTGATGAAGTCAGGGTGACCAGTGTTGATATAGACGGACTCCATGGCAACAAGATCCCTTACGAGCTTGTTGGTGGGCTCCATCGCCTTTTTGAAAAAGCTGACGACGACCTGGTGTAGCTTCTCCTTCAAGCCCGGGTATCTTCGGAAAGCGTTCTTGTTGAGGAGCTGGCTGAGAATTCGAATCAACTCGTCGTAGACGAGGCTGACACACTTCAAGCTGGGTTCCTCTAATCGCTTAATCTGTTGCTTGACAATGAGCTCGAAAGCAGTAGTACCGACGAACAGCGCTGGCGATGAACCGGAGGAGTTGTAGAGAACCGTCCTAATGTCCATGTCTTTGACCTGGTCGAAAGGATCAACGGCCTTGACACCATTGGCATAAAGTTCGTGGTAGACGAAAGAGATACGAGCACCGCCAGACAGCTCTACTGCAGAAAGCTCTTGGTTGTTGCCCTCCAAGACTCCTCTGTATTCGTTGGTGAACTCCGTGATCATGTTCAAGACAATGTTGGAGCTGTTGCCGAGCATGGAGTTGCCTAGCGAAGCAAGTTCTGCCTGGTACTTTTGTAGTGAGGAAGCGATGCGGGCCTTGATATCGGGGAGCGTTTGTTTGATGTGCATCATAAGGATCTGTAGCTGTCAGTTGCTGTGTCGAGGTGTATCGAAGAGGCTGAGCTTACCAAGTTCAGCTTGCGCGCTAGGTAGGGTGTACCACAGTACGCCGCCTTGTTACGGTATGCCTTGTGGTTCTCAAAGTATTGCCTTTCGTGCTCGAGCGCGTACGAGATGGCCTTCTTGTTCTCAATATCCCTCTGTCCTCGATTGACGACTGGTACGTAGCCCAACCTCAGCGGAATGATGCGACCGGCGAGAATGTCCACGACGTCGGTGCCCTCGTCCATCAAGTCGACCTTGGTCAAGACACCGATAGTCCGTTGTCCTTCTGGGTCCACCTCGCGCGCCAGCTTGAGACCATCCGAGTTGGCTAAATCGGTGTTGGCAGCAGTGACAGCCAGGATGATTGCGTTGGGCTTGCTGATTTGCTTGAGGACCATCTCTCTGATCTGGCGCTCAATATCCCTCGGTTGGTCTCCAACAGGCACCTTTGTTAGACCTGGCAAGTCGACCAGCGTAAGTGTGAGGACGTTTGGCGAGTATATCCTCAAGTTGATGGGCGCCGGTGAGATACCCGCATTGCGACCCGTCTTGGACTCCGTCTCTCTCACAATCTCGTCCCTGATCTTGCCAAAGTCGTGGAACTTCTGGCCAGGAATGTGCAGGAACTCGCCCCACTCGTCAACATTGTTCTCCTGGTCTGTTGTCTTTGCTCCCTCGGTGGTGCCGTTCGCTTGCGAGGATGCGCGGTTGATGAGCTGGAGAATGAGCGGTCTTCGGGTGACGATACCGGTTCCTCGGGGCAGGCTGGAGAGCTATCGTTAACCCATGTCTCTCAGGCCATGGCGCAGCGGTAGGCACTCACAAGTCTCGTCCAACAATGTTCTCGAGCACCGAACTCTTTCCACTAGACTGCGATCCTACAACGGCAATCTGGGGCAAGTCTATGGGGTTTTGGACCTGACTTAGGCATCAGTATGCGTCTTTGGGCTGTTGGTGTAGCCAGTTGCGCGCGGGCGGGTGGGGGGCAGCGACGTACTCCGACTGTAGTGAAGACATCCTGGAGCTTGTTTACGAGAGTAATCAGGCCCGGGTCGTTCACGTTGATGCTGTATAACCATGTTAGCTTTCCGCAATGCGAGGGGCTCTCCAAACATGTGCGTACGCATTTGGGTTTGTCGCCATGGTCGGCGAAGTGTGGGTCGAAGTGATGCGGATGCCTTCAGTGGTTGTGTGTAGAAGCGGTTTTGGGTGTTTGTGGTATCAAGGGCGCTGAAGGCGAGAGTGTCTGAGATCTGGGGTTGTTGCTTGCGGGTTGCGTAGCTGCTGCAAGTGCCAACGTCGGAGAGAGCCCAAGCTCCGATACGCCACACGACTCAGCCCCACGAAATATCCGCGCGACTTGGGGATATCTATCGTGTGCGTACGTCACCAAGCTGTCACATGTATCAAATCAGAGATGTGCTCAAATAATCCCATGTTCCACTAGTAGTGATCTAGAGCCACCTCGACATTTTGACTACCATGATGTCGTTCCTGGCGCACATGATGCGCATTGCGGTCACAGGACGCGACACGGCGTCGTCAGCGGGTTCAGGCAGCAGTATTGGTATCTTGGTACAATTCACATTCTACGATCTTGGAGATATACTAGACAGACACGCTACGGAGAAATCGCCTTCAAGCCCATGCATTTACTCGTCGACAACCGATGCAAACTTGTCGGTCATCTTCTGCAGGAGTTCCTCGTACTGTTTCGAAGTCAGCGTATGTACAAATCAAAGTGTCACGTCCTGCCAGACTTACCTTCTTGGTGACCTTCTCCTCTCCATCGCTGGGCAGCTCGAACTTCATTGAACGGAGCTGGCTCTGGATTTCCGAGGTCGCGTCGCGGACCTTGGGCCATGCATGTCCTTGGGAGACGGCCTTCTGGGCCTCGTCGTGGAAAGCCATCATATTCTTCATCATCCACTCGGTCTTCCATAGCGGACAGAACTGGTCATAGTCCGAATAACCGTTCTGCTGCAAGAAGTCCTCCTTGAGGAGCGTAGCCACGTCAAGCGTAATCTTGTCGCTGTCACCCAGCGCGGATTTACCGACAAGCTGCACAACCTGGTCGAGATCGTCTGACGTAGTGAGAAGCTCCTTGATGCGGTCGCGGAGACGGGGGAATTCCGGGTTGTTCTTGGCGTAGTACTTGTCGAGCGGGGTTGTGTACTTGCTGTAACTAATCGATGTGTTGACAGATGGGAAATGCTTTCGCTGAGCAAGCTTCTTGTCGAGACCCCAGAAGACTTGCACAATGTTGAGTGTACTCGTGGTCACGGGATCCGAAAAGTCACCTCCTGGAGGACTGACAGCACCAACAATCGACACACTGCCAAATCGTTCGGGGCTACCCAGAGCCTGAACACGCCCAGCACGCTCGTAGAAAGACGCAAGTTTAGCACCGAGGTAAGCAGGGAAACCTTGATCAGCAGGCATCTCTCCGAGACGTCCGGAAATCTCACGAAGAGCCTCAGCCCATCGTGACGAGGAGTCAGCCATCATGGCCACGTCCTTGCCCTGGTCGCGGAAGTACTATCGGGGTAAAATCGAGTCAGTGTATGTCTCACATTCACTTCGTACAGTCAGAGCTTACCTCGGCGACGGTGATACCAGTGTAGATGGAGGCTTCACGAGCAGCTACAGGCATGTTGGAGGTGTTGGCAATGAGGGTCGTTCGCTTCATGATAGGCTCTTTCTTGCCGTTGACATCGATAGTGAGCTGTAGCAAGTCAGCATGTCGTATACATCATAATTCAATTTCCATACCTCTGGGAAGTCCATCAAGACTTCCGCCATCTCGTTTCCTCGCTCACCGCAACCCACGTAGACAATAATGTCACTGTTGGAGAACTTGGACAGAGACTGGGAAATGACAGTCTTGCCGCATCCGAAAGCACCTGGAATGCACACGGTACCGCCCTGAACACTGGGGAACAGAGAGTCAAGGACACGTTGGCCGACGATAAGAGGCTGGTCGGATGACAGCTTCTCGTTGGAAGGACGGGGCACTCGTACGGGCCACTTGTGCATCATGCTGTACTCGGTCTTGGTGCCATTGAAATCAAGCTCCAAGATCTTCTCGTCGACGGTGTAGCTGCCCTTCTCAGCAATGCGGGTAATGGTACCCTTGGCACGGGGAGGCAGCAGAACTCTGTGTTCGCTGAGCAGACTGTTCTCGAAGACAGTACCGAACACGTCACCACCAGTGATGTGGTCGCCGACCTTGAGGGAACCGGGTGTAAACTCCCACTTCTTCTTGCGGTCAAGAGCGGGCAAGTTGATGCCACGGGGAATGTAGATGCTGTTGGCGTCGTCGGCGATGCCCTTGAGGGGACGCTGGATACCGTCGTAGATGGTTTCCATAAGACCAGGACCCAGCTCGACAGACAATGGCTGCCCGGTCCTGTATACGGGGTCGCCTACGGTTACACCAGCTGTACGATATTAGCCCAGTCCTCCAACGTGTTTCCATAAGCGGTATGCCTACCAGTCTCTTCGTAGACCTGGATGGTAGCCTTGTCGGCCTCGATTCGAATGACCTCACCGACGAGGTTATCGTGACCAACACGGACCTTGGGCAGTCAGCAGTCATCCATCCTAATAGAGCAGTTCCACGTACAAGCTCGTACATAGCACATCCGATCATATTCTCGGCGATGATGACAGGGCTGGACGGATCAGTATGCGACTCGAGCGCTGCGATGCGGTGACGTACCCGGAAATGGAGTAGATGGCGCCTGCATGGAATTAGCGACATGTCCCATTGTTCTCTACGTCCGAGTGCAAAGTATTCAAGCTTACCATGCTCCTCGCCCTCCGACTTCTGCTCCTGCTTCTTCTGTCCTTTCTGCGCGCGTGGATTAGCTGCCTGCCCCAAACCCGTCTCTATAGCTGGTGCTGCTTACGGGAGGCATCTTGGGTGCTGGTGCTTCCTTCTCGTCGTCGCTGGCTTCTTGTAGGTTGATGTGCGGTGGTGGCGGCCGGGTGGGAAGCTCGCCTTGTGGTGATATCAGCGGGCTCGCGGGAAGCGGCACTCGGTGTGGCTCAACGTCGTCGTGGCCGGCGGCGGTGTGAGCTCCAGATATCGAGATCTGGTCAATGTTCTTCTTCTGGACTAGGTCGTATAGAGATGGCCGTGTTCGCAAACGAGGACGCAGACCGAGTTGCATTCAATCGATCAACGATGTTGGATGCAGGTTGAGGTTGAGCACGGTCGACAAGCTAAGCTGCCACGCTAGCGTCTGGTGGGGGCATTCCTTGTCATCTGCCTGCGAGCTCCCCAGACATTTGTGGACATGGACAACAGTCGTCACGTAGTTGAAGACCTCTGTTCAAAACGTATAGTAGGCTTTCTCTTGGGCAGAACAGCGCAATGGCAGCAGGGCGAGGCATGAACCGTCGATGTTGACATACGTCATACCAGAAGCTACATCCCGTCTTCGGTAAGCTACATAGTGTTTCGCTTGCTGTCCCCCAGCCCCTTCATGAGCCTCTTCATCTCTTTGGTCGTAGCGAACGTATCCGTGTCAATCAAGGTGTCCCGCCTCCCGCCACTTTGCGCCTTCTCCGCGTCACCTTCCGTGCCTCCACTGAGGAGATCCAAGCCGGTCAAGGCTCTGCATGTCCGTCCGTCCTCCGCCGCGGACATGGGTTGGTCGGAGATGAGATCTGGAAGGAAACGTGCAAACAGAGGCTCCATGACGAGCAGCGATCCGCAGATGATGGCGACGTTAACCTCGATAGTCGAGAAGATTATAGCGTAGGTACCCGCCTCTGCAGTCGTGTCAGCGTACACTTGATATCAGATCTAGCGAGAGGCCATACTTGTGACTTCACCGTCATTCGCTGCGTCGTGTACCAGCACTAATCGTAGCAGTGTTATGATACATACACTGGAATCGGAGTCAGCAGATAGCTTCTTATCACTGGGAATGAAGGCACACACAATCCACCAAGCCCAAAGACTGCGATTAGCACGGTACCTAGGCACGGTATATGCGGGGAGAACAAAGATCGTTCAGCACCGCAGTTCAGAAGATAGTTGAGAATATACACAGCTGCTTCCCGAAACAATAAAAGAGTCCGGCGATTTCACTTCATGGTGATCATCGATCGTGAGATAGACGTTATGTTAATGTGTAGTCCACTAGTGGATCGGGCCACGCTGAACCGAAGTACACAGACTGGATGATATCATCTTGGTGGTTACTCGCTCTTTCTATGAGACAGCCATGGTGTTTAGACAGAAACCGCAGATCATCTAGCGGGTATAGAGAAGCAAACATCAAAGAGCGCGTTCCCACCACATTTTGTGACAATCGCGGCGACTTATCGAATTCTGGAGACGTTGTGTGAAGGAGTAGCGGCGGATTGCATCATATAAATGTGTGAAGGGTACACTTGTGCAGTGTAGCGAAGTGAAAAGCGAACGCTGCGCATGGTTCCGGGCCTTAGAGATGCCTAAAGCGAGACTCACAATGATTTCTTCAAAAGAGAGGACGCACATGTAAGGGTACACCTCAGCATGTTGGCTGATAGAGATCGGTCCGAATGTCCCTTGGAGGCTTGGAGGCTTTTACGCTAGGTGCTGTCAATTGTCATGTGTCGGACGCTATCTGGACCGACTATACTTCTACATGTGCATGAAGTATGGCTCTTTAGCGGTTTACCAGCATGGCGGCCGCGTTGACAGCTAGGGGACCTCTTTTGATATGGCTTCGACTGACCCGTGGACGCGTACCGGGTATTGTTGCCGACACGACACGGGGTTTGACGTCAGATCCAACAGGAGTTGAGTGTGAGCATACCTAGGAAGGCTCGGTTGCAAAGCATTTGAATCGATTAGCCTCCTCTTGGACACTGCAGTGGTATCGGAGCGGCACATCCACGTGGAGTGTTACATCGGCATGATGCCCATGGAACCGATTCAGAGATCACAGGCCGTCAACAGTTAGTGGAATCAGGTATGCCCAGCTCGTAGGCGCACAGGTGTTTATAGATTTGTCACTATGGGGGAGGCCTTAGTCTGCGCCCCGTGTAGGATAAGATCTTTGGTGGCTGCCTGGGTGGAGCCTTGCGCTGAATATGTGATAAGCGGTGTGCGCTCTGGGGTGATGCTCTATTGCCTTGCGTGCTTTTGTCATCAAGATGCGGAGAAGAGGCTATGACAATAGAAAATCTTGGGGTAAATTGCGCATTCGACCAGGGAGGGGTCCACCCTTCTTACCAAGGACCTCGCGGTCCGTAGAGCATGCAGCTGGCACCGAGATGTCTTTGCCGTTTAAGGTAGTCGGTTCATAAGGATTGCTCTACCAGCCGAAAGTGCACGATCCTCATCAACACCAGCGGCTGAGGCGCTTTAGACACCGGACATGGGCATGTTCGCGGACCGAGCTTCAGAGAACATGCAGGTGCATGCGAGATCGTTAAAGTTGCGTTTCGAGAAAGTGAGACCGGAGGAACTAGCAGCCGTTAGCGTCGAATTCGCGTGAGGAATTTGGAATAAACACCACCAGACTGTCGGTAAGTCAACACTCCATGTCGCGTATACGCCGTATGAGATTGGCGGTTCCCGAGGCTCTGGGATTTGTCAAGCAACACACGATTTTCGCCCTCGTGGCATCTAGCAGTCCCTTATGCGAAGCAGGCCCATCCATGTGGCTCTGTTGCGATTGGTCAGATTTCGAAGGACTTCGTATCGCGATTGGATAGAGGTTGTTTCGCGACGATCTCCCGTGCGACTTTGCGTGTCTGCACTATGATTACTGTGTCATTGACGACAACAAGGTTGTCATTCTTATCACAATGTCGCAAATTGGAAATTTGGTCCATTATCCTGCAAGCCCTAGTCGTAATCGTGCCGGAGCACGTTTCGGAGTTCAGCATGGTATTCGACTTTGGGGATTTGTTATCGTCCGCGTCTTGCTTGACAAATTATTCCCAAGCCTTATATGGGTCGCGAGTGTCCACGTTTTCAGCACATCGCAATGTCTTCTTCTGCTGCAAGCTCAACTGGCTCTCAGTCTTCATCCACTTCTTCCCCAAGAATCATGGCTTCTACCACCCACCATGCATCGTCACATCCTTTCCTAACACCTGCACACGCCTCCAACATATCATCATGGACAACTTCATTACCCAGACCTCATTTGTGTCCGTCGACAGAGTCTGAAACCGAACTTCAGTCCCGGGAGGAAGCTATCGAGGCCTACCGACAGATGAAAGTTGCGCTCTTCTCGAGAGCCCTGAGCCCCAATATGACCAAGCCCGCCTGAGCATCTTGCAGCGGGGCGGCTCCCCGCGGCATACCATAAGCCGACCCGCACATACTACTGAGACGACTTACCTTTAACGACCAATGGCGTCATACGCCGCCTTATACGGCATATACCTGGAGGCTGGAACCTCGACGATACCCTAATGGCACGGCGCGTTGCTAGCGCAGGCAATGGAGATACTGGTGGTCTGGGAGCTGACATCTATGGTGACGACGCCATGTGATTAGTCCAGATTCATTCTTGGTGGACATTGCAGTCCGGAACGTTCTCATGGTTCGAGGCGTAGGGTGACGCTAGAATATCACTAATGTTAATCCATGGCTCTCCAAGAGTTCTCGAACATTTTATTCCACGTCATTGCATGTTGTGCGAGTCTAGCCCATCTTGAAGTTCATCTCTTGTACACCGGTATACGCATTAGCCTCACCGCTGCATGTGCTCGTGCCCTGCTTTGTGGGAGACCGGGAGGTCGTGTGTAGCCTGCCTAGGTATCTCAGACCTTCTGAAGTACTGTTCATACCACCAGAAGCTGAATCTGATGCCTAGACAGTATCGAGATGGCGCCAAAAGAGGCTCTGTGGAAGCTCGATTGCGACATTGCCCAGGTATCAGGATGCGTGAGACGGCAAAGCTACATCATCGGCTTGGCACCTGGGCAGGGCCTTATCGATAGCGCGATGGGTCCATGCGCCAAAAGTTCGCCGAACGCGACTCTGCGCGCTCGCAAACGAAGACAGGAACACCACGGCCCAGCCAACCCTTCGCGGCGATACTGAGATTATAGACAATTACAACATGTCTGGAAATACGCCCAAAACAATGTCCAAGGGACTGATGGGGATGAAGGTACGGAGGTCACTAGTGGATTACCCCAGGAATACGCTGAACGCGAGTAGTTTATGCAGCGCGCGGCCGCAAAATCTTCGCCCTCGACGCCTAATGGTCCGCCTAGCAAGAAAGCACGCCTGTCGAACGGTGCATCTGCTGTAGGAACCTCGGATCACGAAATCATACAATCGGGACTGGATGCGGAAGAAGCGAAGCGCCAGGCGGCTCTAGACAAAGCTGCGCAACATGCGGGTGAGACGAAGTGGGTGTTGAGTTTCAAGGACCCTCTTGAAGGGAAAAGACAAGATGCAATGAAGGTCAGGCAAGCGGGATTCGCTGAGCTCGACGCAGAGGATGATGACGAGGATGATGAGGAAGATGTCAAACCTATAAGAATGCAGTTCGGCGGTGGTGTCAAGAAGAAGGCAGATGTGTGTACAATTTGCACTTGCGATAGAGTCAAACTAACGGGATGCAGACATCGGTGCCTTTTGTCAAGGCCGAGAACTCGGAATCAGAATCCGAGCATTCTTCAGACGACTACGATTCGGACGATCCTGCCGCAGATCTTATTCGAGAGACCAAGCGCGAAATGGCCACGGAAAAGCGAGAATCCAAGAAGAAGCGCGCAAGTATTGGCGACGAGTCCGTCAAGGCAACACCGAAGCGACAGAAGGACAATGGCGACCTACAGGGGTTGACATCTATATCAGGCAGCCGACGGTCGGGAGGCGGGGGCGGCTTCGGTGGCATGGCCAACATGGAATGCTATAAATGTGGGCAAAAGGGACATATTTCAGCCAACTGCTCGTCTACACCACGAGGATCTGCAGGCAGAGGCAAAGGCAAGGGCCGGAGGTAGCCGCGGCGATGTCTTCTCGATGTATTTGTACACTTGGTCCGGTTCAATGATACCCCATGAAGACTCCGTCTTCAGTTGCGCTTTGGTCATCCGACCTTGTTTCCGTCTTGGATGAGCATGTACTCGTCTCCGACCATCATCTTCATTTGGCTGTCGTCCATGAAGTTGTCATGATCGCCATTCAAGGCAGCGCCGTCTTTGTCGTACATGAACTTGGCCAGCGCCAGATAGTCGGGGAAGACAAAGGTGCAGATGGCATCATAGTCCATGAGTTTGGCTTTGCCGTGCATAATGTCTTGCATGGCTTTTCGATCTCGCTCTAAATGGTATGTCTGTGGCGGTCTCAGCTTGGGTGCTATGTAGTGGACTGCGCTCGGGCTGTACAAGGCTGTAGCTGAGGATGCCATGGCGCTGCAGGATGGGAACTGCGCGCTGTGCGTGGTTGTTGTTATAGTACTCGATAAAGTCGGCATCGGACATGCCATCTTTCTTCTTGATGTATACAGTCGCCTTGACAACCTTTCTGAAGCCAGTCGTGTTCGCGTAACCTGCTTGAAATGCCTTGGGTACCATGTTGTCACGTAGACGAGGATCAACGGTGACGGGCACGGGCAATAGCCAGCCCTAGTGTCTTATCGACAATGCAGGGCCCACCGTATCTGACGTTGGTCGCTACCACAACGCCGGACGTCTGCTGCACGCATTGTCTAGTGAATAGAGCCGCAGTCAGCGCCTCCCACTTCCCCGCCAACAGTATACCACTGTTCCTCACCGCCTCTTGTCTGCTACAGCTGCAGGCAATTGATTAGTCTAAGACAACAGTGAATCACCAACGGACCCGCCTGTCCGACCATTGTCCGCTCCACCGCAAGTCTTGTGGATGCTCCCATCGCTAGGCGCACGACAGTCTCTGGGAAACCTGTCGCTGGTACCACGACATCGAACACTCGTTCCCAGGCTACCGGTTGCCTGGTCGATTGCACAGTACACAGCATCGTCATCACACTACTCAGCCTCGACTCGGCTCGCCACCAGTCACCTCGGACCACGTCCCATACATAACCCGCTTCGTTGCCAGGCCGCCGTCGTCCCGCTACCAGCTACACATCGCGCCCTTGCGACTTCGCCGAGAAGAAAGCAACCAGCCGACATGGCGGAAGAGCTGGGAAGAGAAGCTGGGGGGAGGTCGCGCATAGAAGACCTAGAAAGGCCACAACTCGACGATCGTTCTTACCGAATCATCACTCTACCAAATCAACTAGAGGTCCTATTGATACATGAAGCGGGAACAGACAAGGCCAGTGCGGCGCTGGATGTCAATGTGGGCAGCTTCAGCGATGCGCCGGACATGCCGGGTATCGCGCACGCGGTGGAGCACCTGCTGTTTATGGGGACTGAGAAGTACCCAGAGGAGAACGCCTACAACCAATATCTGACACGCCACGGCGGATATTCGAATGCCTTCACAGCCTCTACCTCAACCAACTACTACTTTGAGCTTTCATACCCTTCCTCTACACCTGCGAGCAGCCAAACCGCATCGCCAGACGTGTCACAAACCAACCTGTCAGAGTCCAAGGACGAGTCGCCGCTATGGGGAGGGCTGGACCGCTTCGGCCAGTTCTTCATCAGTCCTCTGTTCTTGGAAGACACTGTCGATCGCGAGCTCAAGGCCGTGGATTCAGAGAATAAGAAGAACCTCCAAAATGATACCTGGCGGATGCACCAGCTTAACAAGGCATTGGCCAATCCAGATCATCCCTACAACCATTTCTCGACAGGAAGCTACAAGACCCTCCATGACGAGCCTATAGCAAGAGGCGTGAAGATTCGAGACGAGTTCATCAAGTTCCACTCAACGCACTATTCTGCAAACCGGATGAAGTTAGTCGTCCTAGGCCGAGAGAGCCTTGACACACTGGAAACATGGGTAGAGGAGATCTTCGCAAAGGTGCCGAACAAGAACCTTGGACAAAATCGTTGGGACATGCCCGTGTACACCGGGAATGAACTGTTGACACAGACCTTTGCCAGACCTGTCTTGGAATCGCGGTCATTAGAGCTTCAATTCGCCTATCGCGATGAGGAGAAGTTTTACGAGTCACATCCTTCAAGATACCTTAGCCACTTGCTAGGTCACGAAGGTCCCGGCAGCATCCTTGCACACATCAAAGCAAAGGGATGGGCGAACGGACTTGGTGCTGGAGGCTCTACCCTGTGTCCTGGCTCAGGGCTGTTCACTGTCAATATCAAATTGACCGATGAGGGGCTTAAGAATTACAAAGAGGTTGCCAAGCTTGTCTTCCAATATATCGGGTTGATGCGCGATCAGCCGCCTCTCGAATGGGTGGTCGAGGAGCAAATGCGGATCAGTGAAGTGGAATTCAGATTCAAGCAAAAGAGCCCACCCAGCCGGACTGCCAGTGGTCTCGCAGGCATTATGCAAAGGCCTTACGACCGCAAGATGCTGCTAAGCGGTCCAGCCATCATCAAGAAGTTCGATGCCCAGCTGATTAGTGAGGCTATGTCCTACCTCCGACCAGACAACTTCAGGATGACGATTGTTAGTCAAGATTTCCCAGGCGGATGGGACCAAAAGGAGAAGTGGTATGGAACAGAGCACAAGGTCGAGAAGATACCAGAAGACTTCCTTGCCGAGATCAAAGAAGCGTTCGAGAGCAAGAGCCGGCCGGCAGAGCTACACTTCCCGCACAAGAATGAGTTCATCCCGACCCGGCTCGAAGTAGAGAAGAAAGAGGTTGAACAGCCGACCAAGGAGCCGAAGCTTATCCGCCACGACGACAATGTGCGCATCTGGTGGAAGAAGGACGATCAATTCTGGGTACCCAAGGCCAACGTTCATATCTACTTCCGAACACCCATCACCAATGTCACAGCTCGTATCACGTTATTGTGCACGCTCTATCGCGAGCTTGTAAATGACGCTCTAGTGGAGTATTCCTACGACGCCGACCTATCTGGGTTGGTCTACGACTTCACCAACCATATCAGTGGCCTTTCGATTACCGTCAGCGGTTACAACGACAAGTTGCACGTATTGCTGGAGAAGGTCTTGCTGCAGGTACGGGATCTTGAAGTATCAGAAGATCGTTTCAGGATTATCCATGACCGTATGCTACGTTCTCTACGCAACTGGGAGTACGGGCAGCCTTTCCATCAGGTTGGGACATACTCTCGACAGTTCAAGAGTGAAAAGAGCGTAATGAACGACGAACTGCTTCCAGAGCTTGAGAATGTGACGGCTCAGGACGTACAGCAGTTCTTCCCGCAAATTCTGGCGCAATGTCAAATCGAGGTTTTGGCACATGGCAACCTATACAAGGAGGAAGCTCTGAAGATTACTGATCTTGTAGAACGTACCATTAAGCCAAGGAGACTGCCATCGAACCAGGTACCTACACGCCGCGGACTCATCTGGCCATCCGGCAGTAACTTCATCTACGAGAAACAACTAAAAGACCCCCAAAACGTCAATCACTGCATTGAATATAGCTTATATGCCGGTCACCGTTACGACAGCGTTACGCGCGCCAAGCTCCTGCTTCTTGGGCAGATGACGGACGAGCCGTGTTTCAATCAACTTCGTACCATTGAGCAGCTCGGCTACGTCGTCTTCTCTGGCCCTAGCTTCCACGACATCTGGTCAGGATACCGCATTCTCATCCAGAGTGAGAAAGATTGCCGGTATCTCGAGGGTCGTATCGAGAACTTCCTCAACACGTTCGAGCAGACATTAAACGACATGAATGAGGAAGACTTTGAGAGCCACAAGCGTGCGATGATCAATAAAAGGCTCGCAAAATTGAAGAACCTGTCATCTGAGGACAACAGGTTCTGGAATCATATTTACAGTGATTCGTATGATTTCCTGCAAGGTATGCTATCATCTACGCCCTTACACTAGTGTGGTTCTAACGGGTTTACAGCCGATGTTGATGCCGCGACTCTTGAGAAGCTTACCAAGAAGGACATGGTCGACTTCTACAGTCACTACATCTCAACTTCGTCCTCTCAGCGCTCCAAACTCTCAGTACATCTCCAAGCGCAAGCCAAAGCCAAGGAGCCATCGCTTGATGAGAAAAAGACTGCCGCTGCCGCTGCGCTCAAAATTATCCTCGCCGAACACAAGATCACAGCCAAAGACGAGGCTTTTGAGACTCGTGTCAAGGATGCCTCGTCCAATGAGGCTATCTCTGATGCAGTTGCCAGCCACCTCACTGAGGATCTCAAGATAGAGAAGGAAGTCGCAGACAAGATTCTCGATGAAGCAAAGGCTGCATTGGGTGTAGCGGATTCAGGTCTGCCGGCTGCGCCTCAGGCTCTCGATGCGAGTGCAGATGTCAAGAGCGTAGTCGATGCATCACAGCCTGTTCTTATCGAGGATGTGCATGCTTGGAAGGCAAGTATGCAAGTCAGCACCGGCGTGCGACCCGTACGGAATTTGGAGGAATTTGTCGAGGTTGCTGAGAAGCTATGAGTGAAAAAAACCGCGTCGACCATTCTTTCAGCAATGCGCCGAAGGATTAGGACAGAACACAGAGATGCTTTATGAGGATATAGAAAAAATGAGGAAGGGATGCAACTTCGTTCCCAGCTTAGCGTGGTAGTATTCCCCTTGCCAATGAATCAATCATACGCGTTGCATATATCTGATCTATATTCCTTGATGAGCCATGTGAACCTCTACCCGTCGTTAAGACTAAGTCAACTTCTCGTCCCAAACGTCTCCGCCTCGTCACTCTTCACAAAGCCAACAGGCGAACCGAAACACCACGCACGTGGGAATCCGATGCCCCATTTAGCCATCAAGCTCCGCAGATCTCCCTCCGTACCTGGAATTACATTGATGAATATGCGGTCGGTATCGCAGCGGGGTTCCGAATGCACTGCGCCTTCTTCCCCGCCTATCCTGAAAAACGCCACTTCTCTAGAAGCCGGGGTCTCATGTTCCACATCTTGCAGAGAATGTGCCAGCGACTGTCGTACGGAGTCTGCATACGAAGAACAGCCTACGCAACGCATCGATGTACAAGTATGGCTGCCCACCTTCTCTTTCTCCCTCTTCTTGGTCTCCCCTAGCACTTTCAGAGCCATCTCATTACGTTTTGTGAACAGAGTGCTTGGTCCGAGAAGTGTGGAACAGAGCTTCCATAGCCTTTGCTCACTAGTCTGAGCAAAACCCAAACCAGGTGCTTCAGCATCGTAGGTGAAAAAGTTCTCATCTGTGTGCCAGCGTGGTGTATCGTATTCGTGGGTTGGCGCGGTGCAACGGATAGTCAACCAGTAATTGTGAATCCTCGCTTCTGAGAGGAAAGTCTGTAGCCACGAGAGGAGAGGGAGGAGTTGGGATATCAAAATGGCGGGAGAAGACAGTGTAAGGGCTGCCCAGGTGTGGAATGACGGTGGGAGGGATGTGGTACTTGCGTGGAGGAGGGGACCGCAATATGTCCATGAAGAAGGGCTAAGTACTTTTAGGCGTGATGGGGATGTACTACCAGCTTTGGAGTCTTCTGTCGAGGCATCGTCTGGTATGGTGGTAGGTAGGTATGGGATGAAAGCGTGGGAGCCATATTGCGGTAGTGGATTGATGGCTGGTGTTGAAGCGTTGTGTATCGTCTTGAATGATGGCTGCACATTTTCAATCGAGTTGGGTTCATCTTCGTAAAATAGTAACATGTTGAGCGAGTCTGCTCTCAGTACGATTGAGGGGGATTTGCAGATACTTCTGCAGTGGTCCGTAGCTAACGACGATTTGACTTCTGCAACTACGTGTTCTACGCGCTTTGGTCACACAGGGCGTCTGATTAGTGGTTGATGTTTAGGGCGTGGTGGTACAGGGGGCGCGGCATCAATCCTTTGCCGGACAGGTATATCCCACTCATGATTCAAGGAGACTTCGAAATACCGCCAGACCGTATTGCACGAAAAATACCACCAGGCAGACTCGTCAATGCGGGAGTTGGCAAGGTGCTGCTACCTAGGTAATCAGCAGACGCGACCGACGTGGATCGGCCCGTCAGGGTCCCGACGATTTCGTCATACTTGGAAAGGCGCAGTGGCAGCTCTTCGCACATGGAATCACAACACCGCGCAAGGCGTAAGGAGCCACTCGGGCCGGCAGGTTGAGCAAAAGAGGAGGAATTGCCACAGGCACTATGCTACGACGTACCATCCTGCGGGCGGCTGCGCGCCCACCACAACTCCTTCGCAGACCACACACGCGCCGCTATGCGACGGAGCCGCCAGCCTCCCCAGCGTCCTCCCAGTCGCGCATTGAGCGCTTCAATCGCCGCCTGCCAAAGTTTCTGCACAAGTACACCAATGCGCTCGGCAATGCGCCAGTCACGCACATCACGTCATTCCTCATCCTCCACGAGCTCACGGCCGTCATCCCTCTGTTCGGTCTCGCTGGCTACTTCCACTACACACACTGGCTGCCTCCGTGGTTCGCAGAAGGGGCTTGGATAGCGTCAGGCGTTGAGCGCTTCGGTCGGTACTTCAAGCGCAAGGGCTGGATACGCAGCGATGAAGCGCTGGAAGCTGAACGTGAGGTCGATGAGATCCAGAAAGATGGCAAACAGAGGCAATGGATGAAGAGTCAGGGTTTTTTGTCAAATTCCGACGATGACGGCATCGGCAGCGAGACCAAGAGGTTGAGGAAGGTGGACCAAGCGTGGAACATCAGCGAAGGTGGTGTCAGGCTGGTCGTCGAGTTCGCGACAGCCTACGCGATTGTCAAGATGTTCTTGATTCCGAGGATTGTGTTTAGCGTCTGGGCTACTCCGACCTTTGCGAGATGGACAGTTGGCCCGTTCTTGAACAAGTTCCGCGCCATGTTTGCGAAGAAGGGGAACGGCGCTCCTGGAGTGGGTACTGGTGCTGTCGAAGGGGGTGCTATACCGAAGAGTAGAAGTGGAAAGACTTAATCATCCAAATGGACGCTCTAGTTGCGGACAGGCTCTTGGTAGGTACTCGAGGTCTGCAATGTACATATCTGTCGTACCACTGAATGCAGATATGTGGTAAGCATTTCTCGATTGGCTACTTTCCAAGTCACGCCTTACTATCGAGATCGCGGTGAAGTCTGTATTTCCCTCATCTTCTCATTCCCGCCATAGGCTACCGTTTGCTTCGCTCGTCATCGGCTTTCTCGGCTGTTGCCCTCTCTCATCTCCAGTCACTATACAGTCCAATCCCGCGATCAGCAAGATGTGCTTCGACGACGACGATTACAGCTACGAGTCGAGAGTCGAGGCTCGAAATGGCCAGCGCTACTACACAGAGGATTACTACCCACGCTTTGGTATGTCCAGACGCCGCCGATATGGCCTCGGCGGCTCGTACTACCCTTCGCGCTACTACGACCACACCCCCAGAGGCCGCTACATGAGCAGAGCAGCCATATATCCAAATCGACACTCTCAGTACGGCGGCGGATATCCAAGTGGTGTGGTTCCTGGAACTTATTCCAGGGGCGTAGTCCTAGGCGGTCAGTCTCAGACTACGGTACCTCGAGGGTTTGTTGGAGGTGGCTATCCCGGTCATTCGCCTGGATATGCATATGGTACCGGACACCATGTCGGTGCTCGTAGTGTTGTGCCGGCCAATTCCGCAATGGTAAGTCTCCGCTCGTCTTTCTTTGCCCCGATTACGCTCGTTCGCGCCTTCCCTTTACTACACCGCTGCCTTGCTCCGCCTATCATTGGCTCGCATGATATCCTGAACATCGCGTGGATCTCGGAGTTTACTGCCGCGATACCATATTCTCCTCGATCTTCTCGTGTCTCACTTCGACCTTTACCTCCCTCTACTTTCGCCTTACCGCCACTGCACCCTTCCACTTCCAATCTACCGACACCGCAACATTCCTCCACCACTCTCGTCGCTATCGCTCGATTGGCAATTCATCGTCAATCACTGCAATGGAGGCATACCCAAAGCCCCGCCACCAATATATCTACAACCCCCGTTACGGCCAACGTGGTCTCCTCTCCTATGCCGGCCAAGCCGCGAATGGTGCTGCACCCACCGGCGTCATAGGAGGCGGCTATGGCTATGGTGGGTTTGGAGGCGTTGGTGTCGGTATGGGTGTCGGTATGGGTGTCGGATACGGTGTGGCGGCCTACCAACCTGCGGTATACAGCGCCCGTCCCTTGTACCCTCAAACCTACGCCACGAACTACTTTCCCCAGAACTATTATGCCTCCAACTACTCCCACCCCTCCTATGGCGGTGGCTATGGCTACTACAACTACAACTTGTATGGCTCGCTGTACCCACTTGCTAACTTCTATTACCCTTACCAGAGGACCTACTACAACACTGTACCTAGCTACGGCTACTCGGCGCACGTTTACCCACCTGGACCAAGCACAAATACAACAACATACCATGTGACAAACAACCAACCGCAAGGCTCCTCAGGACCTGCCCCGAGGACAGTCAGAGAGACAAGACCAGCATACGTTCACGGTCACGCACAGCAAGGTCCCACGCGCGAAGACATCCAGATGGAGAACCGGAGGATCGCGACTGACCGTGGCTCATACGACCCGCGCAAAATTAGGCCAGCGGATGCTCGTGACGACGATCCTTTCTGGTGTCGCGAGCTCAACGGCGAGTGGCATCTCAGGTCCTACTACCAGATTGAAAATGAGTGTCATCCTGGCCGATGGATGATGGACGCTAACGTTGGCTTCCTCGTCTTCCACCGCGCATGATCGGAGCGTGCTCTCGTAGCTAGCGACGCGGTCAGCAGAGACAAGTGAAGATTGATGGTAGAGGCAATAAAGGGTGATTCAGATCACGTCAGAGATCAACAGCAATAAGGCAATGGGGCGACGGGATCTACAACTTTCACAATCTTGTACATGTATGGAGTGGTGGAAATCTTCATGACGAGCAGCATATCATGACATCGGCGTTCGGGTTGTGCAGGACAGGCGTTATTAGGGTGTTTCTTGGACGGTTTGCAAAAGCGACGGCGGAGTTGCGACTGCGCGATAGATCATATTGACACAGCACATTGCTCAAATATCCTGGTCCAGATCTTACACTCCACTCTCATGGTATTGTCCCGTAATTACATCCTTGACATTTCAGAATTCCTTACGTGGAACTCATCGAGTCCAACACAGACTCAAAGTCGTCCGCGAACAGGTCCATCCTTAGATCCTGCACCTCACATCTTTTCTCCCTGAATCGTGGCAACCACCTTCCGTGTGTGCTTCGAGTCCCTGAACTCGAGGTACCATATGCCTTGCCATGTGCCCGTGTTCAGCTTTCCATTCGTAATCGGAATCGTAACGCTTGCGCCGATCAACGCAGACTTGACATGCGCGGGCATGTCATCGTTGCCTTCTGCATCATGGCGGTACAGTCCCTGGCCCTTCTTGTCCTCCGGCACAATGCGGTCCAGCGCCGTGCTCATGTCCGCGCGAACATCCTGATCCCAGTTCTCGTTCAAAGATAGCGCGCACGATGTGTGTTGAATGAAGAGGTTCAGCAGGCCAGTCTTGTAGTTCTTGATCTCGGGCACTTCTTTGAGGATGTGGTCGGTGATGAGGTAGGAGCCGCGCGCTCGGCTGGGGAGGGTGAGGGACTTTTGCGCCCTAGGAACTGTCAGCACAAACAGACACGTTGTAGAGTTGACAGAACAAGGCCATACCAAGACATGATTGGTATAGAGGTGCAGATGTTCGGGCTCTTGCACAGTACGCTTGTGCGTGGTTGGGGCGTTGGCACGAGGTAGTTTGCGAGGCTGTTGTAGGGCGCCCAGAATATACCGACAAAGAGTCCTGGGAATAGAGCGATTACGAAGATGAAGACGATTAGGAAGGTCGTTAGATGTGAGCTTGTTGACTGTAGTTGCGGCATTTGGTTGAGCTAAAGTTTGGGGAGTTGAGTCGCGTTATGTGGGGTGCAGTGACGTCAGAGGAGAGTCGCGGCGGGGTTAGGTCATCTTGAGTGTAAAGAGCATGTCCGTTTTCAACTTTCACACCCAACATGCGCACATGATACACGCCTTGGCTGTATGGCCATTGACGCAGTAAGGATGGGGTGCCACGCTGGGCCAGTGGGCCATGCTGAATCACCTGTAGTGAGGTCCTTCCGCCGGGCACAGCCTTGTTTTCCTCTTTCCGCTTTCAACTAATCAGCAACGACTTCAACTGACAATCAGGGCCCTCAGGATGCGCTTCGTACGTGCTTTTGGCGTGATTTCAAGATCACCGAATCAGTAGCAAATATATGGAAACCAAGATGAACGTACAAAGCACCATTTTGACCGCAGAGGAGAGACTGCGAGTGCGATACCCTCACTTGAAGTGCCCAGATTCAATTAACGCAGAGGAAGCCATCGGACATGATGCCTACGGATCATGAGCCAACGAATATCTCAAACTCTTACAGGATAGAAGTCTGAAAGATCATCCACCTTCAATGCAGTTCGCATTCTTTGAGCCATTGTTATACAAAAGTGGAGCACGTTGGATCTTACATATACAACGGACATGTCACCAGCGTGCCCAGGTTTGACGCATGCTGATGTTGACATAGCCTTGACGCTCGTGGGAGCAAGACCTTGTTCTCAACTCAGATGGCAATCTCATAAACTATCCAGCTCAAATGAGGGCCTCTCCACTCCTGGTCATTGCCACGAGGGTCGGTTGTCTTCCAGTATGCGCTGGGGGTGACCTAGAGATAAGAGCCCAGAAAACGTTAGTATTGGTGTGCTTGTAGTGCATGCTGCTCAGTCCTATGGAGTGGCACGTTAAGGCTGTCTCCCATCCATATAAGATGACCATTCGACGCTGTCAAGTAAGAGATGGTTCAGTTTGAGTCGCGAGAGCCATGTATTCAGAGAATGCACTCTGCTCTCGAGGGATAGTATCAAAGCGGAGCTCAATTCCAGACTTTTCTTGAGTTCGATGCGCATGCGCTGCATCGTTCAGAAGACAGGCAAATACCGCGATCTCAATACGATAGTAGACGACAATTTGTCAATGTCTCAATTGCAATGCATATATACACCAGCCCTGACCTCTCTTCTGACAGCCTCGCTCTATCGCTGTGCAAGCGGCTCATCCGTAACCTTCTGCGTCTCGTTGACTTCCGCCGCATCGCCTTTGGGTCCAAGGGGGTATGATAGCTCGTGTTCAGGGGTGGCTTCGAGGAGCGGTCGGTGTTTCTCGTGTGCCTATGAAGGTAATTAGCGGTATTCTCCTGCAACAACCAGCTCCAGTATCGGAAGGCTGAAGTAGACACAATCGAAATGGAGACTTACGAATGGAAGTCCACAGTATGTGCACCAGCAGATCTGGGGCTTATCTACGTTGATGAAGATCCTTGGGTGTCCGAGAGGGCCACCGCCTCCGTCACAGGATACAGTACGGTCGTGCGTCCAGCGAACGGGCTGCTTGTGGATGAGCTCGATAGCGGCGTATGGGCGAGGCTGCACGAGTCTCTATTAGCACATGTCTCTTCTCTGCATGAACTACCCCCTTCATCTGTCGTTTTGATCTTCTCTATGATCGCCACCCCGAAGAATTCGCACATACCTGATCCTCCATAATGCTCTGCTCGAACCTTGGCCCACTCATGGCAACCTCCCTCGGGTTTTGACTCCGCGACCAAATGCCCTTGTAGTTCGGCGCCTGTTCAACCCTCAACTTTTCGGCTGTCTCTGGAGACTCCTGCAAGACCTTGTCGAACGAACCCTCGGAAGATGTAGGCATCGCATTGGTCTCGGAAACGTTCGGCTTCGCATCGCGCTTGACAGGGTCGTTGGCGGGGACCTGGTTGCTGGTCGTCGCGGTGGAGGTGTAGCGGACGAAGGAGCGGGAGGTAGCCGCTGCGCTGCGAGAGCGCAGAGCGCGAAGGGCCGTTGGGAGCATATCGGGCGAGGTGTTGGAGCAGACGGGCTGCGCAATTGCTTGGGAAAGATGCCGTTTGGATGGTGAAGTTGAGCTTCCGACGGTTCGCGCTAAATCACTTACATAAGCGATCGTGTTATTGGCTTGCTTCCCTTCACACTCAACCTTCAAGGAAGGTGATCCCAAGAAGATTTCCAAAAGATTATACTGAACTCGGATTTTGAGACTAGTGAAATCATTGTAACGAACTACTAACTTGGTCTGTGAAGACATGACCAACACATTATCAACCGACATTCAGCAAGAGACACAGTCGTATGGTACATATCGCACTCTCCTACTCTGATATTGACGATTTCGACGATTACAGGTACCTATTACGGCCGATCAAATTGGAAATCGAAACTCGAAGGCATGAAAGCCACAAAGAGAATGGCGTATCACGCAGAAGTTCGATCGTCTGAGCCGAGAAGGCGACATGGAGTGAAACCCCTGAAGGGTCAGGATTGGCCGAGTACCGCTTCGCAAAGCACATCAGTGAGTTGATCTGGAACCACCATCTGTACAACAGAATAAAGCTTGTAGAAGATAACGCCTAGGGATGACGCCCACACACCGCAGGGCTGATATGGTGGCCGAGTCGGAGATCGGCTCTCCGCTAAGCCCGGACCCTTACCTACCCAACCTCGAACTCCAACATATCAAATACCAGATACCATCACCCGAATCACAGACTTTTACAGTACTCTCCATCATGGTTGGCTCAATACCAAACGATATATTCCAATTCTCCACCTACGCAGCTCTCAACGCCGGATTCAATCAAGGCCAACCCCGAACCGCAGACCTTACTTCCCACGGCACAGATGGCATTGGTGTTTACGAAGATGGCAGTCTCATGATCTTGAAAGACCGACAAGCGTACGCACTTACCAAGGATGGAAAAGCAAAGTCAGCACCCATGAATGCACGCCTTCCTCTCGCATTGGTCACAGTATACCAGCCAACTTTTCGTCTGAAGATCGGGTCGATATCTCTGGAAGCCCTTGATGAGCTCGTTTCATCCGATGATGTGGGTCCAGCGAAGGGTGTAAATACTCTTATGCCCTTTAAGATCGCCGGTCGTTTCGATTCGATAGAGTTCGAAGATGGGCCCAGTAGAAATGCAATCGACGGTACGCTGTTCGGCTTCGTGGTGCCAGCCTGGATGAAGGCTATCAGCGGCCCACGGATCCATGCACATTTCCTGGACGCAAACGAGGAGGTCGGAGGGAGGGTTGTAGATTTCACCATGGCGGAAGAAGCAGTGTTTAGTTTTGCGAAATGCGGTAGATTTCACTTGGGCTTTCCGCAGGGGGGAGAGTGGGAGGAGATGAAGTTGTGATTGGAGCGGTGTGCTCGAGATTGGACGACTTTCATCGCGTTGATCGCTTTATAAAACTGTCGCGATCGTCTGAACATGATAACACTACCAGGCACTTAGACACCATATAATTACGCAGCTCCATCGACACCATCGTTCTGCCCCCTTGTTTCATACGCGTCCTCACCATCGCTGTTTCAATCGCAATGGCATTGACGAACATGTCTCAGGGCTTTCTTCGACGACATAGAAACCCTCGCCGTTGTCGTTGGCTTGTTGCGTTCTCTTGTTTTCGTCGAATCATGCATCGTTTTCGATATTTGCGCTGCTAGAATCAAGCCCATTGTCGATATCATCATGATTATTGGATGTCCTATGTCAAAGTTCCACTGGGGTACTCAGAGAAGCTCCTGCGGGCGTGATTGATCAGCGTATGAGTGGTCGTTATGATCTCAACCCACCAATTCGTCAAGTACCATCTCTTCGAGCGTCAAACCATCTGTCAACAAGTTCCCAGGCTCACATATAACTCAATACTTCCTTTTTGTTGATACTTGCACCCTTACAGTTATCGCTGATTTGTGCTAGTATGCATCGCTTGACAGATCCGCGTCGATGTCAAGGCATTCAGTGCATCAATCGGTCTTCGTGTCGGGCGAAACTTCCACCTTCTCGCGGTACCAGCCCAGAATCCAGCATTCCTCGTACTGGTTCAGCAACAAAAACTTTCAAAGAAGAAATGGTGCTGTTCAGGGTAGATGATTGTATACGTGGTCATCACTCTACTCTAACAACCGCACAATATCCTCATGTCCCAATTTGCGAGCAAGATCCAAAGCCGTCAAACCCACCATGTTCCTGTACTCCTTGGACGCGCCTTTCTCTAAGAGAAATGAGACTGCCTCGGTATAGTGGTTATTAACGGCACAATGTAGCGCAGAGCCCCAACCTTCGTCCTCTCGTTGCGCAGGGATTATCTCTAACGTTCCGTACGGGTGTGCATTAGCATCGGCGCCTCGATCCAGAAGCTGCTGCATAATGTCAATGCTGCCTTCACTGGCAGCATTGAGGAGTGCCTTGGGCGCCTTTTCCAGCGATGCGTTATGTGCCAACAATAGCGCTGCCATATGCCTGTCATCTTTCCCACAGGCTAGCTCGAGCGGGTTGTTGTTCGTCTGGGTGCTCTCGTCCACATGGGCGCCTTTTGACAATAGATGCGCAGCAATTTTTAGGCAAGCTGTATCGCCATCGGGATATCCTGGGCCTGTCTCCGCGTAACTGACGGTGGATCTGTTTACCTGTCAGTTATGTCTGCGAGTCGAATGGTCTCCAGAAGGGTAGCGAAGGCTTACACAAGAGCGCTGCCAACATGCTCATAGGGCTCGTTGATATTCCAACCGTACGCCAGCGCCACATCGATGGCTTTCGTGTTCCACTCAATTTCCCCACGTGCCCCATCCAGAACCGCCCCGATGGTGCAATCAGTCCACCTAGCACCACGCTTGAAGAGCTCTTCGGCCATGTCGTACCGGGCCAGCCCCAATGCTGTGTCAAGGGCATCGCTCAATTCGTTACCCCGGCGCAAAGCATCAGGACCTTCAGCCTCGCGTTTCGACATCATATTATGTAGGGTAGCGAGGTCGTTGGACCCGATAGCGGCAAGCATTTGTGTGTTGAAGTCATCTTCACTGTTATTAGTAAACCCTGCCATTGCTTGAGTGATGTGCAAGATGAATTCTGAATGTGAATATCTTTTGCACCTGCGATTTGGAAAATGAATACTGCGGGCTTGGCAGATGGGATTAAGATGGCAAATTGGTAATGGGTTGGAGGGAAGAAGCCGAGGGCGGAAAGTCTTTCTAAGATGCTGTCTCTTTAGTGTAGCGCAGTCAGGTCGTACAAGGCGTAGCATACCTAGGTAGTCACAGCCCCAGCTAACCTGTCTAAATTCTGACGTAAGGTCTCACCCTCATGCATACAACGCCGTCGCGGGGTTTCCTTACTATGCAGAAACTAGCCAAGAATCACTTTTATTACAGTGAAGGTCATGATTATCTCTTGGTACTGAGGCAATAGTAAAGAAACCTAACGATGACGACGATGATGATTGCTATGATGGTGAGCACAACCAAAGCAATGCGAGACTCTTCACCGCCTGGATAGGCACAGATCGATCTTCTGCTCACCCAAACTAAAGCGATAGTAATAAAATCGTGGATTCTATCATGGTGGTAGTTCAGTAAGAGGCCGAAGGATGTAGACAACCTATAAATGATACACCGGAAGAAGCAAAAGAGGAGTTGTATCGGGCCAGGTTGGTGGTGATATGAGGGTGAGCAGTAGCAGTCAACACGAGTCGGGTGGTGTAGAAGTAAGTACCTAGGTATCGTCTCTACCGGAACGGGCTCAGGGTACCTAATCGTTGATTGTACCTCCTTGTATGCCGTACCTAGGTACTTTCGCGAATCAGCTGGTCCAACAATTGACACAGCTCGTGAAAGCGCTCGATGCAACGACAGTGGCTCTCATATTTGTGATGGTTCAAACTATTGAATTGGCTGATGGCGTTTCATAGCTGCGGCGAGTCGTCCGGAGCTTTCTACTTTCGGATAGCTTCGCCCCATCTGTGGCGCTGCTCAGATGGTAACTCCAGCTGTACTACAACAACACAGCCTCGCTCCCTGCCATCGACTCTTTCCCCTCTCTCGCTCCGTCTCGAGCTTCATCAACATTGTGCGAAACTCCCAATATGACGAGAAATCACCCCAGCCTTCGCAAGGCGGCTTCGAACGCGGACCTCTACGCTGATCCGTCACCGCCCCGCCCGCTACGGCATTCGTACTCCACGACACTTGGACGCGCTCACACAACCGCATCGCTACCTCAACGTCATCGGCAGGATCGAGTGACAGAGAGAGGATGGAGGAGCCGCGAAGCTGTTTCCGACTACCATAACCGGCACAGCATCGCCGCGACGTATCCCAACCTCATCGATGTTGAAGACGAAGACTACTCGCCGCCTTCGAGCTACCAAAACCCTCCCCCCGTACCGCCGAAGATACTAGAGGTTCCAGTTGAGCAAGCAAAAGAGGACGTCAAGATGCCTAAGCCAACGCCCTCTCATTGTTGGATTCCGGTGCCTGCTCGCTCAAAGGAAGATCCGGCACGCTATACGAAGCCCTTCACCGACTACATGACGCGTAATCCCACGATCTTCCACGCTGTCGATGCCGTCGCACAGGACCTGGAGAAGGATGGCTACAAGAAGCTGTCTGAGCGCGATGCGTGGGAGCTGAAGGCTGGCGGCAAATACTACGTTGAGCGCAACGGTAGCTCGCTCATCGCCTTCGCTATTGGAGACAATTACGCATCGGGCAATGGAGCTGCTATTCTAGCTGGGCACATCGATGCGCTTACAGCGAAGTTGAAGCCCATCTCGAACCTTCGCACTAAATCGGGCTACGTACAGCTCGGTGTGGCCCCATACGCCGGTGCACTGAGCGACACGTGGTGGGACCGCGACCTTGGTATTGGTGGACGGGTACTTATCAAGGAGAACGGGAAGATAACCACGAAGCTTGTCAAGCTGGACTGGCCTATTGCAAGGATTCCAACACTAGCACCTCATTTTGGTGCTGCCGCCAACGGCCCGTTCAATAGAGAGACGCAAATGGTCCCTATAATCGGTCTGGACAACAGCGATATTGGAAGTTCGTCGGACCATGGTGAGGGGAGCTGGAAAGCCAGTGTGCTGGGCGGAGAGGGCACCTTTGCTGCTACTCAGCCGGAGAGGCTTGTGAAGGCCATCTCAAGCGAACTCGGGGTCACGGATTGTATGTGCACTACACCCTCATGTACATGAAGATACTGACTAGAAACAGATTCGTCCATTGTCAATTGGGAGCTCGAGCTCTTCGATACGCAACCCGCCCAGACCGGTGGCCTCGACCGGGAGTTCATCTTCGCCGGCAGGATCGACGACAAACTCTGTTCTTGGGCTGCGATTCAAGCTCTCCTCAACTCGAGCTCATCCCTCTCAGCCTCGTCCCAGATCCGCATGGTCGCCCTCTTCGACGACGAAGAAGTCGGCTCGCTACTCCGACAAGGTGCTCATGGCAACTTCCTCCCCAGCGTCATGGAGCGCATCGTCGAAGAGTTTGCGTCTAACGGAAAGACAAGCAGCGCTTTGAGCAGGACATATGCAAACTCTTTCCTCGTCTCCAGCGACGTGATCCACGCCGTGAACCCAAATTTCCTCAACGCGTACCTCGAGAATCACTCTCCGCGTCTCAATATCGGTCCTGCTGTCTCTGCGGACTCAAATGCGCACATGACGACTGACGCTGTCTCCACTGCTATTCTGCAGCGCTGTGTTGATCGCGATGTCGGTATGCGCAAGGTCGACCCTAAGCTTCAAGTCTTCCAAATCCGAAACGATAGCAGGAGTGGCGGCACAGTTGGACCAATGCTGAGTTCTGCGACCGGTATAAGGTCGATTGATTGCGGCATTCCGCAGCTGAGTATGCATTCTATCAGGGCGACGACCGGAAGTTTGGATCCTGGTCTGGGTGTCTTTACTTTCCAGAGTTTCTTGGAGAACTTTGAGAGTGTTGACAAGGAGTTCAGGGCATAGAGTGTTGTTCAAGTTGGATAGCATACTGGGTACAGAATCACAACTGGTTTACACGTCTTACAATACAAATCGGTGACCACATTCCTACAAACATGGTTGAATCAGAACGTCATTCATTGAACAGACTACGAATCGAAGTATTTCAAATACTCCGCGGCCTTGATTATAGCGCCGGAAATCCGAAAACTCCACCTTAATGCCGCCAAAATCAATTCGTGCAACGCCGCTGGGCGAGCTTCGTACGTACTCTCGGGATCGACCTTGGCTACCGCTGTAGTTGGATGCCCATAGCACAGGAAAATCCATCTATTGAGCATTGGGTCGTGTCGGCATTTCCTCATCTTCGTCATCTTCCGGGTGACCAAGCAGATCCTTGACGTTCTTCATTTCATAGTGCTTCTTGCGCAACTCTTCAAACTTGCGATGCTTCTCCCTCTCCTCCTGGGTGGCGTTGGGGAGGAGCTCGCCGTGGTAGCCTTCATCTGTATCCATGCCCTCTTCAACCATGACCCTCTTCTCGCTCTCGGGCGTCTGCGAGTGTCGTGCCTGCAGCTCCGGCTGTCCCAAGTCAAACTCGGGTATATCCTCAATCTTAGGTTTCCGCTTTGGCTTGTCCAGCTCGTCCACCTTGAGCTCTTCGGCGTTGAGCATTTCGACCTCTTCTTCGTCCTCGGTGGGATCGTACTGCTTGGCGTATGGTGTCTTGGGCTCATCAATCTTCATGGTGCTATCGCGGTTCTGCTCATTCAGGTAAAGGTTGGCCTCGTCCCACTTGAGCTGCGGGCTAGTCTCGTCCGCGGGGTCAATGCCCGACTGGCGTCGGGAACCGATGCCGCGCGGGTTCGACGAGGATCTTCGGTGAGCGCCAGCATTGCGCAGCGTGTTTTCCAATACAATTTCCTTCTCTGACAACTCGCGACCCAGCTGCGGCCGCTCGGATATGGGGCTTGCGGCCGGCGGAAGCTCGCTAGTGGGGGACGTTTGGGAGTCGGCGCGGTACGAGCTAGAGTTTTTGAGGATACCTGGCCTTGTTAGCCATGCGTGCACCAGGCGGCGGGGTATGGGAGAGTCCCACCCTTAGGTCGCTCAGGATGCGAGCTCGGTGAATGCAGTTCGGGAGATTGTCCAGTCATGTTGATAATGTGGGAGGGGTTTTGCGACAGTAGACCGTTGGTGTGGGAGGCTGAGAGGCGGAAGAAGCGGGCTTTGTATGGTGGTGGGCAACAGATGAGGCGACGGCGTTAGTTTAGGACGGCTAGGAAAGCAATGCGCGTGGTGGGGTGCGTTGTCCTGTGAACGGACGGAAAGTATGACGTAGGCCCCAGTACAACCGCACCCCGCACGCGTTCTGATTCATATGCAGGTGCGGCCTACAACCCCGGTCACTATAGCAGATGCAGAGGTTGCCGCGGTTATTAAGACGTCTCGATGCATCAGGGAAATGTCCACCTATTGTGGTCTGTGTGAGATACTTGGTCGCAAGCCGCCTATGGGCAAAGCACACATGAGAACATCACCTGTTTTAATCTGATATTGCTTTCACTCCAAAAGAAATTTGTCATTTTAATGCTTTCCACATCCTGTATCGGAGAACAAGCGGCTCTACGGCACCTAGCGTCTACGAGAGGTGACTGTCAAGCGATGCAGCCAATGTCCGCCAAGACTTTTCAGCGTGTTCTAATGTTAGAGCTTTCTCAAACCGCGACGCGCCTGACGCTACTCGTACCGGAAGACATACAAGGCGGCGAGATATCAGGTACTGAGATACACGGTGAGACCACAAAGGAACCAGTGCCCAACGTTAGCGGCTATTCAGAGTCAATTCACCGCCTGAGAAGCGCTGTATAGTACTGCTTAGTCGTCAATTAGCGGAGATTCCAGAGGTACCTGATAGACGCGTGGCACAACTGTGGGCTTCAGACTTTGCCTTAGAGCTTCAAGCTCAACCAAGAAATCGCAAAATTGCGATAGTGTACATCTGGCTGAGACTCAGACTACCAGAAGTGGTCCAAAGGACCTAGTCATCACAAGCCGCGTCGCGAACGAAAAAAATCATGGCGGCACACATACAGAAGAGACTGAGACAGCTTGCAGTCTCAACGCGTCGCGCGCGTGACAAAATAATGTCCCTGCTTTCAGGTCATCACCGCATCATGGAAGCCACCGAAGCGGCCCTCGTGATGATGGTTTTAGAAGAGGATGGCTCGTTCTGGGCCAGTTATCCGAGTTGCCAGCTGAGTAGGATGTGTCGAGCTGGCAAATGATACGAGTCAAAGGCCGGTGTTGAAGAAGAGAAGAGGACGGGCGCACCGGCGAAGAGAATATCGAGCTCGGTAGATGACTAAGCCACATCCCTGCCGCGGAAGGCGCGCGCCTGAGCTGCAAGTGCCAACCTCTCAAACGTTTTCTCAGTACGCACCACCATCCGCCATTGCACACGATACATCCCACCACGCTCGACATTCGCAGACCCCCGCCTTCGCCACATCTTTCCGCACCATCATACCAACAACACGTGACAGACTTCCTTCTCGCAGCAAACATCCACCATCACAAACTACACCCCGCATATCTTCGACGCACATTGGCCGCTAGCCCGCCAGCTCCTCTGCTGCTTGTTCGCTCGTTACTCCCACCAAGCCTTGGATATTTAACCTTCTTGCATTGTATTATATACTCGTTTGACACTGCTGCCAATGGACAACAGGGATAATCTCTGGACTCGGCGCTCCAAGTATGCTCCTGCGTCCCCGCATCTTTGTTCTCTCCACTGACGGCCGCCAACAGCACCAGCAAGCTCTCCCTCTCCATGTCACATTCGGAAAGTAACAGCGAAAAATCCGAGCCGCACCAACGCACCGTCTCCGCTACCAAACGCTTTGGTGGCGACTCGTCCCACGGCGGTCGAAACCCATTCAACGCTATATCGCCCTTGACACCCGGTGGTTTAGCGTCACCCACAACGGGGGGCTCTTCTGCGTTTGGGCTCGGCTCAGGCGCGTTCGCTTCCTTTGGATCTGCGGGAAAGGCGCCCAAAACGCCTGGCACTGCCTTCGACTTCAAAGCAGCCGCCATGTCGTCGCCCACGCCCGCGACACCTTCTGATAAAAAGGACAAGCCCGTGAGCAAGGTCGTCAACAGCATACGCAAAGAATCCATATCCACGACCTCAATACCAGACAACACAGCGAGTCCCTCTGCGCCGCCAGATTTCAATGCGCCATGGCCGCTCAAATACACATGGGCGGTATGGTACCGCCCGCCTACGGCCAAGAATGTCGATTACGAGAAGTCGATTGTGCCCCTCTGTAAATTCAGTACGGCGCAAGAGTTCTGGAAGGTCTTTTCCCATCTTAAGCGTCCCTCGAGTCTCCCCTCCGTTTCCGATTACCACGTGTTTAAGCAAGGCATACGGCCGGTATGGGAGGACGACGAGAACAAGCGAGGTGGCAAGTGGATCATGCGCCTGAAAAAGGGTGTGGCTGACCGCTACTGGGAGGACCTGCTAATAGCACTCGTTGGAGATCAATTCCTGGATGCCGGGGAGGAGTTTTGCGGCTTCGTCTTGAGCGTCCGGAGTGGCGAAGATGTCTTCAGCATCTGGACTAAGAGTGATGGAGTGAAGAATGTCAAGATCCGGGATACAATAAGGCGGGTCCTCAAACTGCCGGAGGGGACCAACATAGTGTGGCGCAGTCACGACGACAGTATCGCCCAAAGATCGGCCATCGATCAAGCTCGCCATGAGAAGAGCCAGCATGAAAAACGCAGAGTAGTGTCTACGGATGAGTCACGTGAGAAGCCGACTGCTGGTTCCTAGGAAAATCTCAGCCTAGCGACGGTCTCCAGGCCGACCCCGGATCAATCGCAAAGCCAACCGTACGACTTTTGTATTTGCCGCGGTCGCCCAATGGCTGACTCACGCGATCGTTACCCGCACCGTATGCTCCAACGTGTCTGAACAAAGGCCGCTTCGTGTTGTACTGGATGCGGTTTGCAGGTTGGCTGTCAATACTTCCGGCGCTTTCGACCGAGCACCGCCTGTACGAGGAACTGCTAGCTTCTGTTGCTGAGTGAGTCGCATGGGGAGACTGTCCTTTGCCGAGATGCACCCCAGGAACAGATACCGTTAAGGTATACACCATACTGTTATCTGTAAATGTGTTCATTACATGACCGCGAGTACCTTCTGGGTCACGTCAGACCTCACAACTCGGAAATGTAGAGCGCGCTCGATTGGATACGTCGCTGAAAGGCTGGCCAACGTTGGTCTACATGTGCATGCTTCACGTGGCACATACAGGGCCCTAGCCTCATTTCTGTACATTGTATTTTTACATAGCGAAGCGTAGGATCTCAGGTAGCACCAAGCCCTGAAGCCCGCCTGTCCACAGAGCGAGGTATCGAAGAAGAATATGTCGCATTGACTTGTGACTATGAACATATCACCAAATTCCACAACATGACCTCATGTGACGTGCCCTTTGTTGTGACGCACCAATTTGGCTTCGAGCTCGACGTCGCAGCTGGGCTGTCGCGTCCCTGCAGCGCGCTGAAGCGCCTACGTCAAGGCGCACGGACGTATCGCCGACGGGTCGTTCTCTGGCGCACCTTCACCTCCGCATGCCCCACGGTGCGCGTCTGCGCTTGTGCAGTTCCCTCACGCAGTTCCGAGGTCACCCAGCCTACCAGACGATGCTACTGCCCGCCGCTCTGCCACCGCAATGCGACACCAATGTTCACTAACATATTCAACGGCATACGAGCCGCTGCCGAAAGCTCTTTCGGACTCACCAACTCAGACGTACGCGCCTTTTCCTTGCTCGACGGCTCGACTGCCGCAGACACTCCGACAACTGCACTCTCTTCTCATACCGAATTATCTGCGCCTCCAGCTAACGCCATGTCGCCGCAGACAGACGATGTCGTCCCCCAGTCGCCCTCGGGTCCTGGCTTGCCTCCCAGTCCTTTCCTCGAGGAGTCACCGCCCGCCACGAAGGCCTCGCGCGTCCTCATAGACCTCTCTTCGCCCAGAAAATCTCCAAGCCGAACTCCACGCAAACAGGCGCATTCGGAAATGACCCGCCCAAGGCAGCACGTTACAAAGAGGAGCGAGGATGAGAAGCGGTTAATTGGGGATTATTCGTAAATCACCTTGGTACACGGAACCGAGGAAAGAGACTAATGTTTGCGAAGTAGACCTGCAGATGCTGTTAGCATGCCCGACCCATCGACTTGGATGCCGAAGAAGCGCGCTACGACTACAAAAGTATGCATACCACCACCTGTCTGTGCCTCGAATATTGTACTGACCCCCACCAGCCGGGTTCAAATAGTGGCTTCAAGCCCGTAGACACGATGCATGCAGGACCCAACGCGTCAGGCCGAAAGCCTCTTACGTACGGCAAGCGCGATCGGCTACAGCCGTCACTGATCGGCCAGACGCATGGCGCGGGACAGGTTGCCTACCTTCAGCATAGAGAAAACAGAGCACCTGCAGCAACGGCTCGTCGTCCTTCTTCCTCAGAAAATCAGGACCGACGGTCGGATGGAGCCACGCCTGCAAAGCGTAGGAGGATCGATGATATCATATCACTTGTTGACGACGACGACGAAGTGGTGGAAATATCTCGAAACGATCATGATACGTCTGCTGGCACGTCACGGGAAAGGCCGCGCTCTGCCTGGTCTCTACATTCACAGATGAGCAACGGGAGCGAGACCACAATGGGCGATTACAGGCCACCTCAAGCTACAAGCGAATTCCGAGAAGCGGACAGTCTCCTTAGACCCTCCCAAAAGAAGCCAAGGAACTCGAGTTTCAACACAACCAAAGGTGGCATGCGACGCTCTCCTCTCACCGGTGGTTCTCTGTCGACCAGCCCCGGCGCACACACTCCTCGGCAGACTATATTGCAGACTTTCCAACAAGGTGAATCGAAGCAAAGTCCTATGAAACACGACCAAGCCGATAAAAAAGGCGACATAGTCACGTCTCACTTCTTTCCCGATGCCCGCATCAATGAGTCAACATCAGATTGCACAGAGAACCAACGTGTAAAAGCTGAAGACGAGGATCTTCGCACCCGACACAAACCAGTGCCAAAGCAAGCGGAATCTATGGTTGATAGCTACAGCGCAGATGAGCTTGCCATCACGCCTCCGCAACAAGGCACCAAATCTGTTTCGAAGCAAAAGCAAAAGCAGACTGCAAACAGTGGGGTAAAGCGGAATGCCCGCGGAAGGATTGTAGAGGAAGTTTGGCCACTATCGTTTGCACGATCATATGACTTTGAGGGCCATGGATCGACAACCAAAGACGGTCATGCTACGCTGCTATTGAGATGGAAGAAAGACGAGGGTTTACGTGTCCAGACTTGGGATCCAGTGGATGGTCTTTATGATTGCAAGTTCGTCATCAAACCTAAAGACATCAACAAAGTATATGCGGACGACACAAGTCGCATTCGATTGTTGGGGCCTCGTGCGACCGACGGCAACATCCTGAACTTGGACCTGGAGTTTGCTGATACTGCCGATTTCTTCGTGTTCCGCAATGACCACGCAGTGTTGATGACGCCAGGCGGGAAGTGTATCAAGAAGCCGGATGATTACATGATCCAGCTTTTCAACACACCTCTCCCACCGAGAAACGAAAAAGTGGGTACGTCTGCACTGGTGAACGATTCAACAGCGGGTTTGGAACAGCCTCACCGCGAAAAAGGCCATGGAGCATCGAAAACACCTCTATTGGATCAGCTCAAGGTCGCTGCACACCATCCCAGTACTGATGCTAAACTCGACGCGACCACCAAGAGTAAATCACTGACCCGCCCCCTACGTTCAAAAAGATTGGCTCCGATTAACTACGTCGAAGACACGCCTACACAGTCGGATGTACCCAAATTCTCGGTCGAGACTGGACTTGGGCAACCCTGGACTAGGTAAGTGTCCGTGTGCTTGCGCATGACTTCGCTAATCATCCCAAGATCTCTCGAGTTCGGCGAAGGTCGTCAACGCGCGATAGTGCACTTTGATGATCTGCCCCGCCTAGATGAGGAAGAATTTTTGAACGACAGCCTGATCGACTTCTACATGATGTGAGTGCGTGCCTACCTAGCCAGCAACGCCGCTAACTTTCTCCAGCTACCTCTTTAAGCAGCTCAAAGTGCCTGCTGATAAAGTGTACTTCTTCAACACCTACTTCTTCACGAAGCTTACCGAGAACTCTGGTCGGAAATCTATGGACTACAAGGCTGTGCAACGGTGGACGTCTAAGATTGACATCTTCAGCTACGACTACATCGTTGTCCCTATCAATGAACAGTACGTCAAAATACCACGACAGTGATCGCTTATGCTAACAGTTTATAGGGCTCATTGGTACCTGGCGATCATCTGCAATATGTCGAAGGTTCAACGCAAACCGATGGTCCAAGACTTCGATGAGTCTCAGGCAAGTCCACACGATCAAGCAAGCGATTCAGCCGTGACAGGCACAAGCCCCGAGAAGCATGCGACTACGGTACAGAAATTAACCTCCCCAGAGCCAAGTGCCATCAGTGAAGAAGCAATAGCGGCCCGAACGATTGATGAAGAGCCGATGCTTTTTGATGAGGCGGCACTCTCTCTTGTCGACCGCGACGATACTGGGACCGAACCCGCACATCAATCAGAGAATACCCAAGCAGATCCAACATGCCGAAATCAAGATACAGAAACTTTAGCTGTGGCTGAAACTAGAAACACACACCCAGGAATATTGTCTCACTCCCAGTTCACCGTGTCTTCTGCAAGGAAAAAGGCAAAACGCAAGCCTATAGCTAAAAGGGATCCCGATCAGCCTGTCATTATAGTGCTCGATTCTCTTGGTGGTAATGCCCGTACTGGAGCGGTTCGCGCTCTCAAAGACTGGATAGCAGCGGAGGGTGCAAACAGGCGTGGTATGGAGGCTGTCATCAAAGAGAACGGCTATTACCCCAAGAGTACACAGGTTCCAATGCAGAACAACTTCACCGACTGCGGTGTTTACCTACTTGGCTACATCGAGAAGTTCTTCCAAAATCCCGATGATTTCAAGAACAAGCTGCTGACTGGATCCATGTCGGCTCAAGAAGACTGGCCGGAGCTGAATCCATCAGAAATGAGGCACAAAATGCGTCAGATCATATTTGATTGCTATAAGAAGCAGGAAGATGACAGGAGAGCACAGAGAAAGGCGAAAAAAGGCTCTGCGAGCTCAAAGACATCACCAACTCCGGCAACGTATAAACCTGCGGATCTGGGCAGACACAAATCTGATGAGTTACCCAGTGAAGGATCGAAGCTCGCACTCTCGCCGAACAACACAGGCGCGCAGCCTACATCGCCACGAACTCATTCACCTTCTCATCCTCCACTCAGACTTGCATCGCCGTTCAATTTTGATACGAAATGTGCTTCTGCTGTCGAGCAAGCACCTCAAACAGCTGTCAGCAAGGTGTCTGACTCGCCACCTGTGCTCACATTTCCTGCGAAGCAGGCCGTTGGTACTCCACGGTCAAAAGCGATACCGAGACGCCACAGTCCCGAAGTCCGCATCTCTAGCAGAACGCCCCAATCACATGAGTCTATGCACAAGGGACAGATCACTTCGAACAGAACGCCACGCCAATCCAAAGAAAACGATCAAACTAGTCAGATACCCGGTACATCGAGCCCCAAGAAGCGCCGAAGAGACGTTAACGATAATGATGGGATAAAATCGCCAACAGCGAAGCGCCAGTTCATTAGGTTGCCCCAACGACATCAAGACAGCGATATGGAAAGTGAGCAAATAGCTTCGCACAGCCGAGAGGGCAGTGTCCCCGAAGCACCTATTGAGATCAAAGACTCACAGGAAGCCAAAGTCATCAACGTCGATAATCGCCAGCAGGTGCAGGCAACTTCAGCTGCTCAGCGCAAACCCGCATCACGTCATGCACGTCCCAGGGAAGGGCTCCGTCCTTCACCTACGTTTGAAGAGGATACGCGTTTGTCGTACAGCACAATGACTAAACATGGTCAACACGAAGGTAGTCCTGTGGATAGTGCGCTCCGGACAAAGCTGGACGAAGACGACTATGCTAGGGACAACGCCCGGCGTTCAGAAGCACCTGCTCCTAGCAACACGAATGTGGCGCTGGAGCGTAGAGAGGAGGGATCTGATCCAATGGAAGGGATCTCGCAGTCCACTCACGATCTGCAACTTGATGGAGTCAACGACGGATCTGTGGTTCAAGAAACACCAGAACCTGAGAAGAGGACTACAACCGTACGAACTGGATGGTCCAGGGACAATCATACCCTTCTTTAATTGCTCAACATGAAGCTTGTCTTATGTTGTTCTGCGTGCGCCAGCTCAACATTTTACTCAACACATCTATACCTATCTTGGTTTCACAAAGGCGTCATTTATCAGGGACTAGTGACGGGGTCTGCAATGCTCAGCTGTGATCTCGGAGAACAGCATGTCGCAAACTGCATGCACATCTGGCAGTGTGCCAGAGATGATAGTACAACCATATGAACAAGCAACATTTATACTGCACTTTCGAGAATCTTGTCCTCCTTCTTACCTCCTCCGTTCAGTTGCCGTGAAATAGTTCCGTTCGCGCCGCGTCCGCCTGTAGGGTCATCGAGCGCTGCAACTGCATCATCGACTTCTGCATCCTATTAGCCTCGAAACCACGCCCCCCTCGCTCGGGAGGTCTACCATTGATTGACGGCCTACCCTGGAACCCTTCATCGGTCTCAGCTGCTTCTCTACCCACCCAGCGCTTCATCTTATCCCTGACGAACTCTGCAAAGTCCCATTCCTCGGCCTCAAGTCTGTGCGCGCCCGCTGCCCAGATGTATGTTTCCGCTTCGACCTCTTCGCCTTCTACATTATCTTCTTCTTTTTGTGATAGGTCGCCCATGCCTTCTTCCGTACTGGTGCCGTCATCTTTTGGTTGCAGGACCTTGACTTTTACTTTCCGACGCTGGTATTCTGAGCCTTCGAAGATATCTAGTCGCCAGATGTCGCCGTCTGTAAGGCCCTTTACAAGTGTTCCGCGCACAGATGAGGAGGTATCGACAGGGAGGATGGCTGGGTAGTCTGCTTGCTTTACTTTGTGTCGTCGGTGTGCGTGGAGGATAGCTGGGCGTATGTGGAGGAGCGAGGCATGTGCTTGTGTAGGAGGGGTTTGTGAGCCCCATATCACGCGGTGGAGGACGGGCGGCGCCATCAAGGTGCCGTAGAAGAAGGCGGTATGTGACATTTTGGTGGTCTGACGGTGAAGGGAAGTATATGCGTGTTGAGGCTTAGAGGATTGGTGTTGGTAGAGGTGAAAAGCATCCATATATCGTCAATCTTGAAATCAAATGGAAGCATGAATCTGTGAGTGTATTCGGGGTAAACAGCCATGACGGAAGACGCTAAGCTGCTTATCAGCCCTACAGCGGCCACTAATGCAAGCCAGATCTGATCTGCGGGAGATTGCGCCTCCTCCCTTTTCGTCCGCGGGTGTTGTGTCGTTCGAGCCTTACACCCGACCAATTGCGCCAAAAAGGTCCCGAGGTTGCGTGTGCGTTCCTTCCATAGTCGTCGGACATTCCAGCGTTGTAAAAGGAGTCCCAGGGAAGCCTTCCGACGTTCCGAGACGAACCGCCGGGCCAAGCACACGACCACCAACATGTTCTTCATCAGCGCCATTGTGAAGAACATCGCACCTGTCTTGTACGACTCCACACCCCTTCAGCCTCTCCGTCTCTAACAAACAGCACCCAGTATCGCGACGAGTCCGATTACCAGCTATGGCGACCAAATCTACAGCATGCACCGAGCCCGCAGCTCCGCCGGCTTCTCCCTCGACATTCCGCTCATCATGCTCGTCGCCAGCATCCTGAAAGTCTACTACTGGTTCGGCGCCCACTTCAGCACCTCGCTGCTGGTCCAAGCACTGCTCATGATCTGCGTCCACCTACTCCTCCTCCACGTCGCGCTCACGAACCGACCGCCGCCCTCGCATCTCCCTTTCCAGCACAAGGATGTTTCGAACCGACCATATGATTTCTGGCAGTGGAGGGCGCCAAGGCCGTATTGGACCTTCATTACATACTTTACTGGGGTGCTGTTGGTGCTGCATTTGCTTATGTCATCCACGAGCGTATTTGTGCCGTACACCGATCTGCTGGGCATGGTTGCCTTGACAATCGAGGCTACGCTTCCGATTCCGCAGCTCCTGGCCAATTACCAGAGACGTGGATGCAAAGGATTCAGGCCTAGTGTCATCGTAAATTGGGTCATCGGTGATACGTTCAAGATGTGGTTCTTCTTTGCCAGTAGCAGTGGTGAGGTACCTTGGGCCTTCAAGGCATGCGGTATCTTTCAGGCATGCTGCGACTTGGGACTTGCAGCGCAGTACTTGATCTGGGGCGACGGGCCGCCTGGCGTGGAGGGACTGGGTAGGGAGAAGGAGATAAGAAGTCCGATCCCGCCTGAGGAGGGGTGGAACGCTGAGAAGTTAGGACAGACGAGTGTGGCGGGCGGTATCGAGATGAGTGATGGTCAGGCGTGGGAGAGACCGAGGGCTGCGTAGACCAACCGGATCAGAGAAGTGCAACGAAGACGAAGGAAGATGTCATGAAGGAGACGTTAATGTACACAGACATATTGTATGTCGGAATAATATGATTACCAGAGATATCTACGACAATACCAATGCGTGAGTCCACGGGGCCAAGACCACTCAAACACGATGACAATCGACCCATGACCATATCGTCTGACTTCGCGCGGTTGGCTGACACTGGAACCTCACGGTAACAGGACATATATCACGACTCCCTAGCTTACTTGCATTGGTCAGGACAGAGCAGAAGTATATCAAGCTAAGCTCTTTATTGTCACCATGGCCTCCAACGCTACACCCACTCCTAAAGTGCCTCATGAAGCCATTCGGTTCGCCATCCGCGAAAACTTCCCGTTCATCTTCGAGCCTTCTCATGCTCTAGGCAATACTTTAAATGCGATCCGGACAAAGATCAACACGCTCAACGAAATAGCCAACAGCACGATTGACGACACAAGAGGCCAGGAAATGACAGATGCAATAGACAGGCTTCTTGGTGAAAGTGCCGAGGTAGAAGAGCAGTTCAAGGTTTGGCACGAGAAGCTCAATGTTGCTTGTGTGATGATCAAATTGGTGTACCCGCGGCAGGGAGCCGTTTCAACAAAGTAGCAGGTAATGAAGAGATGCGGAAGTTTGCTCGATCGATTCTCATGGGTAGTCGCGTGTAAGCAGCTGAACTCCGTTGTTTCTCGCAATGCGCCGTAGATCTATGATTGCTGCGATACCAACAAGCTTGATCGCCAAGTCTAAACTTCTCAAACGCGTCGTCTAGCTCGGTTAGATACTCCAGAAATCACAGGCATGACATTGCTGAGCCAACGTATAACAAGCTTTGCGGTCGAGCAAGCCCAAACACCGGCTATGCAGCTTCCCGATATCATCGCTGTGGCTCCACCTCTCTCTTATGATAGCGACAGGGAGCGAGTATATCAAATACCTGATGTCGTACGGGATACCGATTCCGAGCTTGATCATCCGTTCCTTATCTTCACGTTTCAACCCGATCCTATACGCTGTTCTATCTCGAAGATTCCGAGCAACCATCATCACAAAATGTTTGGTTTACCACACTCTACCTCGCACCACCTCCGACGCCGCCAGCAGAACTACTCCTGGGACCATGGCTACCTCTACCGATCCGAACTCACCCCCGTCCCCTCCTACGAAGACCTCTCTATACCCACTGCCATCCACACTCCAATCGATCTCCCCTCTCGCGTCAGCGCTCTAAATCGCCGCGCAGCTATCGTCTCCGCTAATCTTACTCATCTCACCGCCGTCGTCAAGCCGCTTGAAACGATCAAGCCCGATGACCTGAGCGAAGCCCACCTCAGCGACATGTGGGAGGAGGGTGTGTGCTTGGGAAAGGCAATGGAGGAGTTCAAGGAGCAGATGGAGGAAGTGAGCTTGATACTGGAGGAGTTGCTCATTGGTCGTAAGAAGGGAATGAAGATCTTTAGGGGGGTTGGCTTAGGCTTGGGCTTGGAGAGCAGTAGGAATCTGTCTAGGGGCTTCAGTAGGAGGAGGGGCTTGGGCTTCTGAGTATGGGCAATAGAGAAGGAGGATAGTGGAACAGGTTCGAGTACCAGTGGTATGGCTTATTGGAGTGAAACTGTGGTAGCTTGCTGCTCTTCACGAATTATACTGTCGTTTACGAATGTTTCTTGTGTATTGTAACAATATATTATTACATCAGTCTGCTCTACGCAGTTCATGTCTATGCAGAGATCGGCTGCGCCGGTACACTCTCCAGAGTAGGCACAACGGGCTTCATCAAGCCTTGATCATCAAAGTACAGTCTATCGATGGTGACCTCCCTGTTCGTTCCGTTGCCGTTCGGGATGGCAAATCGGTGGTAGCAGATATACCAATCGTCTGTGTTCGGGACGTTGATGATGGAACTGTGACCAGTAGCGAGGATACCCTTTGAGGCATCCTTCTGTAATATAAGACCGTGGTATGTCCATGGGCCGTGAACGCTTGTAGATGTCGCGTACCCTACACGGTAGTTTTCTGAACCAGTGTCATCGATAGAGTATGTGAGGTGGAAGAGGCCCTTGCGATAGTTCATGAAGATGCCTTCGCGGAAGTCAGGAAGACCGCCAACGGAACGTGTGGTGTCGGCCTTCAAAGAGAGCATGTCGTCGCTGAGCTCAGCATAAAGAGCGGGTGTGATGTCTGAGCCCCCGTTGCCCCAGAAGATGTAGTACTTACCAGTAGTCGGGTCTTCGAAGACGGCTGGATCAATGGCTTGGCCAGTGGTAACATTGCCTTCATTAAGGATCATAGCTTCAGCCTGTGCTGTAAAAGGCCCTTCGGGCGCGTCTGCAACAGCCACACCGATAGTTTTGCGGTCGTACTCCGGGTTGTTCCCACTGAAGTAGAAGTAATACTTGCTGTCCTTTTCGATAATGGTGGGGGCCCAGGCGTTTCCGGTCGCCCAAGGCACGTTGCCGCTGGTACCATTGAGGGTCAAGAAGGGCTCGGCTGATCGGGTCCATGAAACTAGATCAGGTGACTTCCAGACGTAGAAGACATTACCGCCCCAGCCAGGGAAGCCATCCGTTGTCGCGTAGATGTAGTAGTGATCACCAAAAACCGCGATGTTGGGATCCGCGTATAAACCGGGGAGGACAGGGCTGCCTGCTGTCTCAGCAAGTACAGAGCGTTTTGACTCCGCAGTCAAACCAGCAAGTTCTTGTGCCGTTACCGGGACTACAGTGCCGTGACGTGGGCTGGCCGGCAATTTGTATGAACTGGAAACCTTCCAGTCAGGATCGGAGATGTCTGCCGTCTCTAGCGGAATGTATCCACGTCCACCATACTCATCCACAAAAAGGTAGTACTTCTCGCCATTGACATCGCCTGGATTGGCCTTAAACACTGTCGGTCCCTCGACACTGCTAGTACCGGCGTTGCGACCAATACATGTGGCGACTTGAGTCCAGGACTGAACCGGAGCAAGGAGCGATTCAGAACGCTCTTGGATAATGTCGGAGCAGTTTGTGCCTGTGCCTCCTTCGTCTTTTGTGAACCGATAGAATGTATTCGCCTCTTGTATGACGGTAGTATCGATTCGTGACATGCCCGCATCCTGCCAGATCTCGGGCTCGCTGAACGTAACGAAGTCTCGAGTAGTCACGTAGAGCATACGATGGTATGTCGCTCCCGTACGGTCCGTATCGCTCTCATCGTAGAGAGAGGACGCCCAAAAGACTACGTACGATCCAATATCCGTATCGTAATATGCCTCGGGCGCCCATGTGTTTCCAGCGGTGGGAGGAGAAACCTTGACGTGCCGTTGCTGTGACCATGTCTTGAGGTCGCTTGACTCCCAGATCTCTAGATACAAGCTGCCTTTGCGAACTGCATCTCCCCAGGAAGTACCGGATCCAATCGACAAGTCGGTAGCGAGCAGGAAGAATCTATCGCCCTCGGGAGAACGTATGACGAAGGGGTCACGTAACCCCTTCGTGCCTTCAGTGGAGGCAAGGATAGGCTGGCCGTTGTTGAGCTCTCTCCAAGCTAAAGCGTTGTTGCCTTCGCTGGCTGCGAGATAGATCTTCTCGCCCGCCAACGAATTGCCCGTAAAATACGCAAAGGCATAACCTTCAAAAGCATCAAGTTTGAACGCTTGGCGTACGTTGGCACTGAAGGTGCGATTCGAGGTCGTCCCATCGCTGTCGATGATTGCTGTAAGATCGACTACAGTGTCGGCACTTTGTCGTTGAACAACGCCGTCTGCTGATATTACGGAAGGTTTGTTGCTCATCCATGTGACGTTCTGGTTCTCAGAGACGCTTGGTAAATGAAGATTCCCACGAACATCGTCAATGTTCGTGATCGCGAGGCTTTCTAGTGCCGCTTGGGCCTGCGCTTTGGAGGTGGCTTGGGCAGAGACTGTCAACCACAGACTCCACGCATAGAGTGGGAGGCGGTACGACCGCATGATGGAATAAGAGGAAGTAACGAAAGAGATACAGATAACTTGCAAATGCTACGGGAATACACACCTTGAACATATACTGCGACTATAAGCCGGGAGCTATACTTAACTCATACTTTGGAGCCATGACTACCCATCGGGAGCGATACTTTATCAACTCATCTCCTAGACTCTTGGTATCCTAGTCTCGAGTACGAGAAACTCCACGAATACGCATTGACGGACAGAACCTTCTTTCAGCGGCTTCCAGGGACCCTAGTCGTGTCAAGTTGCTAAACCTTGACGATCCCCGGACTATCCTCCACATCTGATCGAGTCGTGGAGCATGCAAAGTGCGGACTGCCAGGCACATGAGAAAATAGAAGGCGATGACGCCCCTCCCGAGGTCGCATGTGGGAAATACTTTGCGGGGTATGGCGCTAATGACGCACGAGCCACCGGCGTCGGTCTGCTTTGATGGCAATTCGGGGTGAAGACTACCGGACTTATAAACGATTGCAAGATCACTCTTCCTCATCTATATGCATAGAGAGCTTGCCACCTGAATCTCAGGGTCTCCACACGTGTGCTGGTACTGCTGTCTCGATGCGCATTGTTGGTAGCATCATAAATGGGGTTTTACTGGCGCCACTCCTGAAGTGGACTTGTGAACGGATACGACGTTAGGAGCGGAGGAATACGAGCTAGTTCGTATGGCTGTCGCACTGTCTTCTGTCGGTCGAGAATGGGATAAAGAGTAGGTTGAATCGGCACGGGCAAACAACTCCATCAACCGTGAGCAGGAAGCATGACGACAGGTAGTGCAATGAGCGCTGTCAACACACCAAGAAGATATTGTACGAAGGCAAGTTCTTTCTGGGGTAAAGAAGTCATCCGTCCGTCCCGGGACGCGGTGTTCATCTCCCTTAATACCAACACGTGGGATACGGAAGGAGGCACGCTTGTGGTGTTCGCCGGCCGCCATGCCGCCCACCAAGTCTCCAAGGACCTTGGCAAAAGAGCGTCGCACATTCGAAGAGACATACCAAGGCTGGGCCTGCGCATAAAAGTACATGAAGGTGCAGAACGTGATTGCGGCAATTAATGTAAGTGGTCGAAGTTCAAAATCGTATTCTTGACATCAAATTTCAGAACAAGAGCGGTGGTATCTTTCGCAACATTTGCAAAGTGTGTGTTGGGGGTTATCGCAGTGTTGTAAAATGTTTTGAGACTTGACAGGAACTCAGTGAAGAGCAGTCGAAACACCTAGATACTCTGCTAGATGTGAGAGATCGTGATTAATAGCTAGGTACCGTTCAATTGGGATCTGTTCGGACTCAAGTCGTCGGAGTCCAAGATTTGGCGAACAGGCATGTGCAGACACTCAGGGCCTAACGTGAGTACCCACAGGGTCGTGGGATGTATGCTCCTTGAACCTTGCAGTATATAAACTGCGTCAGCTTCGATTGCTGTACTGTAGGTCAAGTTTTGAATTTATCCTCACCATCGTTTTCCGCCGCCCTGTTGCAGTGCCATCATCTGCCTGTTAACCACCATGCGTGCCTCTACATTTTTGACAGCCATATCTTTGGGACAAGCCACACTCGCAGCAATCGAGCCGAAGAACTTCATATTCATCGTTCCCGATGGCATGGGTCCTGTCTCCCAGACACTTCTTCGTACATACCTGTCCATGGTCAATGGAAACTCGAGCGCTCGCGCTCCCCGAATCAATGCTCTACCTATCGATGTTACGGTCATCGGCAACACTCGAACCCACTCTGCCAACAATCTGGTGACAGATTCTGGGGCCGCAGGTACTGCCCTCGCCACGGGGTACAAAACCGATAATGGAGCTATCGGTGTAATGCCCGATGGTACACCGGTCGGATCTGTTATGGAAGCTGCAAAGTTAGCAGGCTATCTCACTGGCCTTGTAGTGACTTCACCCATCAGTCACGCAACTCCCGCGGGTAGGAATCGCGTTCTTGGTGCCGCAAATATTCGCTGACGATACCTAGCTTACTTTTCTCATGCTTTGAGCCGAAATGCTCTTGATAAGCTCGCAGAGCAACAGATTGGCTACAGCCATCCCCTAGGTATCAGCGTTGACCTGATGCTTGGTGGCGGTCGCTGCTACTTCCAGCCTCAGAATGAGTCTGACTCATGCCGCACTGATGACATTGACCTGTTCGCATATGCCGAGTCAAAAGGCTACTATACCGCCCGCGATCGTGCGAGTTTTGACGCTCTTGAACTGGGTCTAGGTGACATCAAGCTTCCTTACGTTGGCCTGTTCAAGGATGGAGATCTCAGCTATGAGGTCGATCGCCAACAACAAGCGGCAGAAGTCCGCGAGCCATCGCTGTCTGAGATGACCCAAGCTGCCCTCAATTCGCTTTCGCGGGCCAGTGCATCCAACGAGAAGGGCTACATTATGATGATCGAAGCTTCGCGGATTGATCACTCGTCGCACGCGCACGACTCAGTCGCTCATCTTCACGAAGTCTTCGAATTCAACAATGTCGTAAACTTGGTCATGAAGTGGATCGATTCGCATCCTGACACCGCCTTCCTCGCTGTGGCAGACCACGAAACCGGTGGCATAACCATACCTTCTCAGTACGACCCATCCCTACTCCAACCCGGTACGCATTCTGTCGAATACTTGAGTGAGCTCTGGAGCGACTACAACGGTACCGACCGCGCCGCATATTTGTCTAGCAAGATCATTCCTTCCTATGGTCTGACGGATGTCTCCGATGCCGAAGTTGAGAAGCTTCTCGGCGCTGGCGATGGATTTGGACAGGAGCTGGCCGACCTTCTGAATGCCCGGGCTGGACTCGAATGGTCGACTGGCGGTCACACTGGCGTCGACACCACTCTGTACGGCTATGCTGCTGGTGGAATGGGTGACAGGCTTGTTTTGGATATGGCGGGTGGTTGGGATAATACTGACTTGCCGAAATACGTGGCTGCCGCGTTGGGTGTAGATATGGGCAAGGTCACGGAGCTGTTAAATGCGAATGGAACGGAATGGGTACCTAGGGATGATGGAGAGTCAGAGCGTAAGCGCTGAAGAAAGCTTGGAACAGATAGCGCGATTGAACTCAAACTTTGCTGAGTTCACAAAGATGTTTTGCAGATGCCTGTAATGTTCTCCAATATCAGAAACTACAGACGGTAAAGTTGAGCTGACCCTCACTAGTAGCCAAAGAGTAGCTCGGCTGTCCTCGGACATAGTTCGGCTGACCCTTGAATCAAGCAAGGACAGGGCAACGTCCCGGGAACTGTGTGGTTATACGCTTAGTACCTTCCTGATCAGGCAGCTTTGCTGGAGGCGTCGATTGCGGCAAGAAATGGTGCAGCTGAGCTATCCTCAAACCCCAGCCACCCCAACCAGCCCCTGAGGCATTGACCCTTTCGCTTAAGCCGACGAAGACAGGGCAACAGTATTATGTAAGCGCGGCCGCGCAGATGCCCGGGACGCGAGCATATCAAGTGCATTACGCAATCTCAACGTTTAGAAACCAGGGTGGCTGCAGTTTCCCATCGACACGAAGAGGTTGGGCATCAGTGCGAAGATTACACACGAAATTCGATCAGTCAGACCGTCATCGTGCGTGCATGCGCATGAGGCGGTTGTTGGTGGTCTTTCCGGGATAGAGACTGTGAGACAAGTTTACTTCAGAGCTACCTAAGTACCCAACAAGAGCGTGGAAAGCCAAACTCGATATCCGGACGGCAATACTGGAAGATTCCGAGACGCGAGAAGTGGTAACACGATAGACCGCCCAACATTTTACCACGACATCCTCGAACAAGCAGAGGCGATACCTATCACAAGAATGCGCCATCCCGCAGCACCTACGATCATCGCTGTGCTCCTCGGTTTTCTCTTCTTCATGATATTATGGAGCCGAGCACGAGGCGACGGGCATCACGAGGGTAATCCCCATCCGGACGATATACCCCGAAAAAGGGAAAAGCAGAGAGAGCCTTCGTCAAGTAGTGACGAGACCGAGATAGCCGAAGCTCAAAACGATCACTGAGTCCATCCAATCACTCTCCTCTCCGGAAGCAGGTGGTCTTTCTGGCTCGTTGGGTTCCCGCTGCGCGCAGTTTCGATAACCACCAACGAGAGCATTCAGTAGAGGAGATGAAGAAGAGCGCCCATAGACGACGTCAATATCTTGTGTATGAGAAGTACAGATAGTGCACATACACAAGTTCATTTGGGTGCTTGGAAGAAGATGCAGCGCTGCAGTTTCCGAAGTATCTCTACATATACAGGGCTACGATAAAGCACACTGGAACTAGGGCTTGGAGGCATTTGAGAATGTCTCTAGTCGATCTGCTAGTTGCTCCCACATGGGCTCCCCAACCCTCGCCATGCTTCGCAGACCCGCTGCCACGAAAGGAAGAAGTCTTTCGAACTCCTGATCTACATGCCCATGGCTCTTACCCTCAGCCTTCGAAAGTAACACACCAAGATCCAATAGTTCGATGATCGCTTTGTGGATGGGCTTCACTTCCTTTGACAAGAGCGCTCGCTGGTGCAATTTTCCCATACACTTAGTGTGAATCTGCGACATCTCATCGATATCATCGGCCTTTTCCATTGCCGAGTTCATGTCTCGTATGGTCAGGAAAATGGCAGCCTCGGTGACATAAGAACGAAGGACATCGGCGAACCAATTCAAGCGTTGGAGGAGTCTGTAGAACATCGGTGGACGATTCTTTCTGGACGCGCGAATGCGCGCGCGTTGCAGCTGGTATTTGACTCGGTATATCTGCATCAGGAACGTACAGACCTCTTGGTAGATGGGTATGGACGAGCGTTGGATAATGTTCTGAATCGACCAAGGCACCTAAAAAGATATTTAGCTGGGATACAAAAGAGCGCTCTTCCAATACGTACTGCATAATCAACAGAAACGGCAGCTAGACCCTTGACCGAGCTTCCTTGCGCCTTCGTTTTCATAGAACGAACGACAAGTTTCTCCGTGTCTGGGCCAGACAGGATCGTGCCGAAAACGCCCCGTGCAAGCTCCGTAAGGACGTATCGATCGTTCCAACCTCGTCTGCCGGCATCCATGCGCTCAAAAATTGCAGTGGCAAAGTCCTCAAACACGGCACCGTTCCTGCCCAAGTAAAGGGTTTCGAATGTATGTAGCACACGCATCAGGCCATCAATCTCGAATATGTGTTGACGAAGTACGTTCGAGGCGACTGAGTACTTGCTACGTATCCATGTCTCGAAAGCCGTCTGGAACAGTTCTGGGAAAGGCGAGAGGGGTACGTCATCCGACGTATCGCAGACTGTTTCATGGTCGAGGCGCGGCTCTGCCAGTGAGGAATGTAAACCTGTATCGTAAATACTCAATTCTTTTAAGAAGATAACGCTTTTGCCGGTATTGAATATCTTCTTGACTGCTGGCTGTAGAAACGCAGGCAGCTGCATGTGTTCCTTAGAATTACGACGGAGCATGAAGCGGTCATGCCACAGGGAAGCGGAGTCACTCAATGCATCGTTTGAGATGACAAAGAAGTTCTCCTCGTCAGGGCCAAGCTCGCCGTTTTCCATCCACCGCCGTATCGGCTTTAGATATGTCTGTAAGCATTCAAAGAAAATCTTCGACATGTATGTAAAGATTTCGTCTTCCAACGTCATCTGCGCTAGGGTAGTCTGCTCGTATAGTGCTTCTAGGTGGTAAAAAGGATTTACAAGTGCCGATGGATCTTGAGTCGCTGTTGATCCACTCAGATTATTGACAATCGGCGCCAAACGTAAGATAGGGTGACATAACGCCTGTACATCGCCGTGCAATAGCAACAAACTAACAGGAAGTGGAGCATCTGGTAGCAGATATTTTTGCTGCATCGTGGATAAGGAGTGGTCGAAGTAGAGTAATCGCTTCCGCACAACGGCTTCGAAGGTCTGGACAAGAGGTGATGCTGGTGGCTGCTTGGCTCGTTGTTGCAGCGTCCAGCGTCTTATCGCCTCTGTATGCGTTCCAGTGTCGGCGAACTGAGAAAGGAGATGGTTGATAGCGGTCGATTGATTGTTGTTGTCAACAGTATAGGTCTTATTGGGGGAAATGCAGTCCTTGTCCGTCCGGTACAAGCTTGTCTTCAGCCCACCAAGCATGAATAGCGTCTCTCGTACAGCTTGCAGCTCCGTTACACCCACGACGGTGCTACTGCCGTCCGCGTCCGAGGTCCAAAACTGCGTATCTTCCAGATTGGTAACAAGATTCTCCTCTGTCGATGAGACACAGGCCTCGGGATCAAAAATATCATCTGCGTCAAAACTGCTTGGTGGTGTGCCTGGAGCCTTCCTGCGCTTTTTGGGCGTTTTCTCGTCGCCCGAAGAGTCCACGGCGTAGTCGATATCCTTCCATATATCCTCATCGCTGTATGGGTCATCCTCAAGGATCTCCGCCCAAGTCAGTGGCGGCGGAGGGCTAGGGGGTCTGAGCAGCTCCAAGGCCTCGACCTGAGTGTTTTCAAGAGGCCGATCGGCCAGCTGGAGTAACAGAGATAGGAACTCTGGCTTAAACTTATTCGTGTACGCCTCCAACTTTTGAAGCCGTGTTTGGAGCGCATCAGCGAGGTCATCGCGGTTCTTGATGCGGAACTTCTCATCCAGTCCGGCAAAGCTCGCCGTAACGTCGAATTGGTTTGTTCTTGCATACTGGTGCCCTCGAAGATTGCGGGATGCAATCTCTCTGGCGTGCCTGTAGGCCTGTTTGTTCACTGCGGGATCGTGTCTCAGTATGGACTGTATCAACTCGTCCGTAAGTCCGGAGATTTTCGCGTTCTGGGCCATAATAACGCGTCCTTTATCTGCCGTTGCGCGATGACGCCAGTGGAAATAAGATCCCGGTAGTAGTGATATCGCTGTGTTGACTTGCGGCGGTTGATTCGGCTCCACTTGACAGAGACATCATGCCCGATGTAGGCTAGCGTGATCACGCACCGCGTCACCGCCGGCTGTGAAACTCGAGGTTGAGCGCTCCTGCGACTTTTCTGAGGCGGGACTCTGTCCCAACCCCTCGGCCACCGCAACTGCAACTGCTCTTTACCATGGCGCTTCCCAAGGGCATGCGCTACTTGGCTGGCGCCACTTTCTGCATCTTCGTCTATCTGTTTGTGCAAATCCTCAAGGCCCCTGGTTCCGAGAACCCCGTCGAGATTCCGAGCAAGGTTCCGACCAACAAATTCGGCGACTGGGACCATGACCCTCAATTGGATCGTAAGGCATTCCGGGATATAGTGTGGATTCAGTATATATGCTAATCATATCATCAGCCTCCGGCGAACCTCCCGAGCCGCTGCGACGAGTCGACGGTGACAACTACGCCCCGAACAATCCCGCGAGCGCGCGCATCAACGCCACGATTCTCAGTCTAGTCCGCAATGAAGAACTCCACGACATGCTGCAAAGCATGCGCGACCTTGAGCGTACGTGGAACCACAAGTTCAACTATCCCTGGACCTTCTTCAACGATAAGCCCTTTACCGAAGAGTTCAAAAAGGCCACGCGAGCAGCTACCAACGCCGAAGTACGATACGAACTGGTCCCTGCCGAACACTGGGATGTACCGTCGTGGATAAATATGGACCTGTATGAGGAGTCTGTGTCTCTGCTCAAGTCGCTGGATGTACAGTACATGGACAAGAAGTCTTATCACCAGATGTGTCGGTGGAACAGCGGCATGTTCAGCGAGCATCCTGCGCTCAAGGACATTCAATACTACTGGCGGGTGGAACCAAACGTTCACTTCTTTTGCGATGTCGATTACGATGTCTTCGCTTGGATGCAAGACCACAACAAAACGTACGGCTTCAACGTCAACATCTACGATAATGCCGACAGCGTTGCGACATTGTGGCCAGAAACGAAAAAGTTCATCGAAGACAATCCGGGATACGTACATCCAAACAATGCACGTGAATGGCTGGAAGACGGCCAGCGCCGGCCTGAGAATAACAAGAAAGCCAATGGTTACTCAACCTGCCACTTCTGGTCCAATTTCGAGATAGGCGACTTGAGCTTTTGGAGGAGCAAAAAGTACCGCGACTACTTCGACCATCTCGATCGCGCCGGAGGTTTCTTCTACGAACGTTGGGGCGATGCCCCAGTACACAGCGTCGCATTAGGACTCTTTGAAGATAAGAGCAAAATACACTGGTTCCGAGACATCGGGTACCAACACATACCCTTTTTCAACTGCCCTAATAGTCCAAAGTGTTCCGGTTGCGTCACTGGTCGTTTTACAGACGGCGAGAAGTGGCTGAATCGGGAGGACTGTCGGCCGTTGTGGTTCAAGTACGTTGGCATGGACTGAGCTCTCTAGTCTGAGTAACGCTGCCACGTATTGCCTACAGCTATGTGCGGCGCACAGTAGTCTTGGAGGTGAGTGACACGATGGTACGCGCTCACCTTACGAGGGTTTTCAGCTGTTGTGGAGTTATTTGGCGCCTGAGTATGTACGGTCTCCATCTCGGAATGACGCATCTACGTGAGCAGATAGTATATATACTAATAGACGTACCGAATTTTTATGATGGCGGTTGTCATCAATTAATGGCCCATCACGCTGGATCCACTAGGTGAAATACATTTCCCGGGTAGATACCCTGTGCCTACGCGCTCGTACACCTTCTTCCCAGCCCGTTCCCTTGGCCCCGTTGCCGCGATGATCAAGATGTAGTGTCTCTGCGTCTGGGGCGAAAGGCTGCCTCTTGCCTTTCCAAGCACAACGCACACCGTGTCTGGTCTCGCAGACCCATTTGGTGTGTCGGAGATCAGTTTCCCCTCGCTCTGTACCGCAGCACCGAGATCATATTCCCGCGCTATGGCGTGAAGTGCTACATTAGCCACTTCGAAGTCTGTGCTGGATACGTTACCAGGGGCCTTGGGTGACCACGGCGATTGTAGGTCCTCCCAATCAAAATTGTTGGATTCAGGCTGTAGGTAGTCGATCCCGCCAGTGTATGCCATCCATGACCATGATGGCACGTTGGAAACGACACTATGTGACGGGAAATGGATGCATGTCAAACTTGGGGTGTCACCCGCATCGTGCAGAGAAGGTGTTTTTGAAGTCCATCAATAGCGGTCGGTCGGTCGTATGGCTGTGATAGACCAAGCCGGGAGTATTCGCAGTAGAGCTCTTGGTAGCGCAAAATCGTCTCGCCTTGAGATGCGTTGTACAGTATGTGTGGAAAATCCGGATCTCCCAGGAAAGCACAAAGTCTGCTGTACTCATCAGTCTGACAGATTCAATCTGTAGAGAATAGCATATCAACTTACTTGCTCAATTTTGTAGAGGTTTCACAACGTACGCCTTTCCCACACTCAGAGTATGTTTAGTGTTCTGTAAAAAAAAAATAGTGTTCGATGAGCCAGAGCATGCTCTTGTAACACCCACCCGCGACTATTCAGCTCGCCATCGAGAACATGGTCCTTGAAGTTGTCGATACTTTCGCATACATAGAAGGGTGTCTGGCCTTTGACTTCGCGGCACAACCCAACATAGCTCCTGCGTTTTCGCTGCTTAAGAAACCCCGAAAAGTGGTCAACTGAACAGCTTACAGGCGATCACACAGTAAGCGCCGCTGTAGACGTCTTTCATTTGTTTTGCCTCAGTGTTGAAGTCGCCACCCGGACCTTGGATAACGCAAAGGGAATCAATGCAGAGGCAGCGACGCCCTAGAGTGCGAGTCACTGTCACTGCATCTCTGAAAGTGGCTGGGAGAGCGCTGAATTCGATGCCACCAAGATGTGAGTGGAGAGTCTCAGGGGTAGTTGAAAGATATTGAAGTCCCCATCGGTGCGAAAGTGCAATCCACTCGCCAGAGTCTTTGAGAGTTGTGGCCCACAGCAGAATTCTCTCATCTCCATGTTTTCCAACGTCGAGCAACCTGGTCTGCATTCGAAGCTTGGCTCCAGCGTCGGCATGCTCGAGCGGCTTGCATGTGTGGTGTCTACCGCAATCACCGAGACAGTACTTGACGACTTCTAGATGTGTAGAGTGATCGGCCTCCGGAAGCCCGACAAATCCCAACTGGAACTCGCTGGTGGGCGGCAGTAATTGTTCGGGATCTTGAACGATAGATAAGACACGAGGATCTGTGCTCTCTGGTCTCAAGAAAGGAGCCGTCCGTTCAAATTTGACGGCCGAAGACTCTAATCGCCCATTCTGAGCGACTTGCCACAGTGAAATGCATAAATCATATCTCTTCTCGCCTGCGGTCGTTCTCAATGCGCTCATGTCATATTAAATGGCGAAACCTGGACTGGAGACCTCATCCCGGAATTGCACGCATCGATCCCAGAGGTGTGATGATATAGCCTGGTTAGAGGGTTCAAGTACATGAGAGCCCTTGAAAGACTTGAACAGATCAGGCGCGAAGTCATTTCCGGGCTGATACTTACAGTCATTCTCGTCGAGTTCTGGCGTCCCGTAATCATTCTAAATAATATCATGTCAGTCAAGCTGACCGTCAAAGCGATCCGGTCTTCATGAACCCACTCCGTTCTGCATTGAGGCTGCAACATCTTGTCCCTGATACCCATTCGCTGGACCGTAATCCGATGGTGCGGATGTCGCACTTGAATATGAGTACGACAGTGAAAAGCCTGCAAGCCTCTGTGGGTCGAGACTTTGCGCGTCGATCAAGAAGAAGACCTCACACGGCAGAGCGCGCTCGAACCGATATCGCCTATATCTCAGTCGCATCACACATGGCCACAACAAGAGGACTGAACCAAGCCGATTTTGTATCTACAGGTCGCCAGGTGAAGTTTGCATTGCGAACAGTCAGCTCATCTGGACCAAGCCAGACTACTATTGCTATCCCATTTACGAAGACATTGAGCAGAAGACTCGCCCTGAACTGGAGAACGATGAAGTAACGGCTTCGCATTAAATGCTTGGTATGTTGATGAGCTGTTCGTTCGTCGCCCATCGTCTTAAGACATAGTGGGGAAGTGGGCCGACAGTACCCGCCGTAGGCAAGCATCAACGCCAGGCAACAGCTTACCGACATAAGGCAAGGAAGGGGACGACAGATCGAGCACTCATCGTATGAACGAAATAAAGTTCATGAAACGTCAATCATAACTCATTGGACCATCCTCCACCAACTGCTACGCTAAATTCGGCCCTTATTTCAGCCACCATGACTTTCACCGTCCTCTCCGACGCCAACATACAATCTCTGCTCCACAACATCTCTCCATCCGACGTTCAAACTCTAGCATCAGCACTCAATCAAGCCCTTGCCGAATACTCATGTAACGATGAAGTTCCCTACCAACCACACCGCGCGCATGTCGCGCGACCCAACGGCCAAGTCAGCCTCTTCATGCCCGCAACAACACCATCATCCATTGGTGTGAAGATAGTCGGTGTGGCACCTTCTCAAGCTCCTCAACCAGGAGAGAAGCCCAAGCCTGCACTGCGAAGTGTCCTTACGATTTGCGATGAGCTAGGTCAGGCGATAGGCGTGTTGAATGCGGCAGAGTTGACGGCGTTCAGAACAGCGCTGGGAAGTATGCTACTGTATCGGCACCGGAAGAAGACCGAGAACATCGTTGTTTTTGGAGCTGGCAAGCAGGCAGAGTGGCATATTCGCCTTGCTGTCCTCCTGAAAGGGGATGGTATCCGGAAGATTACGGTTGTCAACCGGTCAAGTGCAAGAGCGAGGGAATTACTTGATTCACTCGCACAATCGAAAGTCGGCGAACATGTCAAGATGGAGCTTCTCGATGACAAGGAAGACGCGCTGAAAGGCTTGGTCACAGAAGCAGATGTCATGTTTTGCACAACGCCCAGCACGTCTCCCCTGTTCCCGGCTTCCTATCTCACATCGGACGCTGGCCTTGCTAAGTCTCGTTATATCTCCGCAATTGGTTCTTACCGTCTAGACATGCAAGAGATTGATCCAGAGCTACTAAAGCATATTGGTAACCCCTCCGGTCCCTTCGCCTCCGAAGTCTACCAAGCGTTCATCACTGTTGATAGCATCAAGGGATGTATGGACGAGGCTGGTGAGCTAGTAGCAGCGGGACTGAAACCGGAGCAGATGCTTGAGGTGGGGAAGGTGGATGGGCTGAGGAAGGATCAAGGCGTGCAGGAATGGCTTGAAGAGGGGTTTGTTGTTTATAAGAGTGTTGGGGTGGGTGTTATGGATATCGCGATTGGCAAGGCTTTGATGGAGTTGGCCGCGGAGAAGGGGGTTGGCGTGCATTTGGATAGTTTTTGAAACATTCAGATAGCTGAAGGTATCGAGTAGTATGGAAATGGTATCGCTGATACACGTAAGAACGGGTTTCATGTTCCCGAACTTTGAGATCCGCCCGTCATGGTTGGACAGCATACCGCTGCGGTGTCGGGCTATATCAAAAACCGGTGCAATCACCGTCAGACTTCGTATGTTCCGGCGGCGGATCCGAAGCGAAGAAAATGCAGAGCAAGCCATGAACTACATCCTCATAGTATAGTTGGAATAAGCAGGAAATTCAACGGCCACGTTGTGTCCGCATATGCTGAGAAGACGGCCTTTGGTTGAGCATAAGTCCGGATGGTGCTAGGATGCGAGGCTGCCTCTGTACCTGGCTACCAACACGAAACCTTTGCACCTTGATGGCGAATCGCTCAATAGCTTCGTTGCATCGGAGTTGGAACGTAGCTGTTGGACCTAAAGTGTATGATAGTCGCGGCGCGGAAAAGAGCAAGGATTCGACGGCAGTGACGCGCGCCGATTTTTTTTTGTAAAGTTCCCCCTCCCCCGCCATGTGAACGCGCCCGCGCCCGCTCTGGTCTTCGGACACCCGCGATTACGATTCCCAGAAAGCGACTCGGCGTCACACACGATGGCGTCTAACGAGGACCCCTATCTCATCCTGCCGGGCTCGTCGGCCTTCTCTGAGTTCCGTCTGCAGCGCCTCGCCCAGGCCATTGGCGCGAAGGAAGTGCGCTCGCTGTGGGTGCACTTTGTCAACCCTCTCAAGCAACTCGACGACGACGAGTTGAAGACGCTGCAGCAGATCCTGCACTACGGCGAATACCCCAGCAGCGATGACCGCCTCGCCCAGGTCCTCATCGACGCTGTCAACCGCGGCGGCGAGCCTCGCGACGACAAGACGGCCCTCTTCTACGTCTGCCCACGCGCCGGCACGATATCGCCATGGAGCTCCCTCGCCTCCATGATCGCACGCACCTGCACGCTCGAAGGTGCAGTCAAGCGCATCGAGCGCGGCATGGTCATCGCCGCCACCTTCGACCGCACCCTCGAAGTCGACGAGATCCCCAACCGCGACCATCTCTACGACCGCATGACGCAGACGATCAGCCGCACCGCCCCGAACCTCGACGCCATCTTCGGCCAGGGCGAGCCTGCGCAGGCGACGACCATCAAATTCGACGAGTACCACAGCGCCCATGCCGCCCTCGACCACGCCAACCGGGAGCTGGGCCTGGCCATGGACAAGTCGGAGATTGAGTACCTCGTCGAGGCATACACACAAGAACTCAAGAGGGGCCCAGTCGATGTCGAGCTGTTCATGTTCGCCCAGGTCAACTCGGAGCACTGCCGACACAAGCAGTTCAACGCCGAGTTCACCATTGACGGTATGCGCAAGCCCATGTCGCTGTTTGGCATGATCCGCAACACCCACCAGAAGAACCCCAAGCACGTCGTCAGCGCGTACAGCGACAACGCTGCTGTCCTGAACGGCGAGGAGGCTAGCTTCTGGGCACCCAACGACCTGACGGGCGAATGGCACGGCACCAAAGAGACGGTACACATCCTCTGCAAGGTCGAGACGCACAACCATCCGACTGCGGTATCGCCCTTCCCAGGAGCCGCCACGGGCTCTGGCGGCGAGATCCGTGACGAGGGAGCCGTCGGACGTGGATCCAAGCCAAAGGCTGGATTGGCGGGCTTCACTGTCTCCGACCTGAACATCGAGGGCTTCGAACGCCCATGGGAGCTGAAGGACGTCGGAAAGCCTGCGCACATCGCCAGCAGCCAGGACATCATGCTCGAGGCACCCATCGGAAGCGCCCAGTTCAATAACGAGTTCGGTCGCCCATGCACCACCGGTTACTTCCGCACTATGCTCATGCGCGTCTTTACAAACGAGAAAGAGTCGGAGCTACGGGGCTACCACAAACCTATCATGCTAGCAGGTGGTGTGGGCACAGTCAGGCCGCAGCACGCGCTCAAGGACCCTGACGTTGTACCGGCTGGCTCGCACCTCCTCGTTATCGGTGGACCTGCCATGCTTATCGGTCTTGGTGGCGGAGCAGCTTCCAGTATCCAGTCCGGTGAAGGAAAGGTCGATCTTGACTTTGCCAGTGTGCAGAGAGGCAACCCCGAAGTGCAGAGGCGCGCGCAGGAAGTCATTGACGCGTGTCGCTCTATGGGCGACAAAAACCCTATCCTCTTCATTCACGACGTCGGAGCTGGCGGTCTGTCTAACGCGCTGCCTGAGCTTGTTCACGACTCTGGTCTCGGCGCCATCTTCGAGTTACGCGAGATAGACAATGTCGACAAGAGCATGAGCCCACTGCAAATATGGTGTTGCGAGGCTCAAGAGCGCTATGTGCTTGCAGTCAGCCCTGACCAACTAGACTTGTTCAAGCGCATCTGCCACCGTGAGCGATGCGGTTACTCCGTCGTTGGCAAGGCTACCAAGGAGCAGCGGTTAGTGTTGAACGACAGGGACTCCAAGGAGAACCCTACACCCATCGATCTTCCAATGGCCACGCTTTTCGGAAAGCCACCAAAGATGTCCCGCATCGTCGAGAGCCGCAAGTTGAGGCTCCCTGCCTTTGACAGCAGCTTGTCAATGTACATTCCCGACACACCCAAGGATGGCTTGATCGCCGAAGCCGTAGACCGAGTTCTCACCCTACCAGCCGTAGGCTCCAAGTCCTTCTTGATCACCATCGGAGACCGCACCGTCGGCGGTCTTACTGTCCGCGACCAGATGGTTGGAAAATGGCAGGTCCCAGTAGCTGATGTATCGGTAACAGCTACGTCGCTACTGGCTGGTGTCAGAACTGGCGAGGCTATGACTATGGGCGAGAAGCCTACTCTGGCGCTCATCTCGCCGGCCGCATCTGCTAGGATGGCAGTGGCAGAGTCTCTGATGAACATTGCTGCAGCAAGCCTCTTCGATAGGCTATCTAGAGTCCGACTCTCGGCCAACTGGATGTCTGCAAGCAGTCATCCCGGAGAGGGCGCAGCCTTGTACGAGGCCGTCGAAGCTATCGGCATGGACCTCTGCCCTAAGCTTGGCATATCTATCCCTGTCGGCAAGGACTCGATGAGCATGAAGATGAAGTGGTCTGACAACGGCGAGGCCAAGGAAGTCACAGCACCCATGTCGCTCGTCATCACGGCCTTCGCACCCGTTAACCGCACTGATCGAACATGGACACCCGCTCTGGAGAGAGTGGAGGATGTCGGTGAAACTGTCCTGATGTTCGTCGATCTCGCAGCAGGCAAGAAACACATGGGCGGTTCTGCCCTGGCACAAACATTCAGGCAGATCGGCGATGAAGCACCCGATGTCTACGACGCCGATATCATCAAGGACTACTTTGATGCGATTGAACAACTTCATGAGTCGGATATTGTACTTGCATACCATGACAGGTCTGACGGTGGTCTCTTCACAACCCTTGTCGAGATGGCCTTTGCCGGCCGATGTGGTATCGAGGTCATGCTTGACGGCATCGCGGCGTCAAGCGAACCCAAGAATGTTCTGGAAACGCTATTCAACGAAGAGCTCGGAGCTGTCTTCCAGATCAGGAAGAAGGATGAAGTTGCCTTCAACCGCTGCTTCGCCACCTGCGGGCCGCCTCCAGGTATGATCAAGAAGATCGGTCGCGTGCCTGAGGCGTCAAAACAAGACATCTCCTTCTACGTCGGTACCCAAAATGTCTACCGTAGCACGCGCCAGAAGCTCCAGCAGCGCTGGGCAGAGACCTCATACCGCATGCAGAAGCTCCGAGACAACCCTGCTTGCGCCGACGCCGAGTTCAAGAACATCCTCGACGACAAAGACCCAGGCCTGTCGTACAACCTCAACTTCAAGCCTGCCGAAAACATTCTGCCCTTCATGTCCAACCTCAAGTCACCTTTCACCGCCAAGCCCCGCGTAGCCATTCTTCGCGAGGAAGGTGTGAACGGCCAAGCCGAGATGGCATTTGCTTTCCACCAGGCCGGTTTTACTGCCATTGATGTACACATGACCGATATTATCTCTTCGCGCGTATCGCTCGCTGGCTTTGTAGGTATAGCTGCGTGCGGTGGTTTCTCCTACGGTGACGTGCTTGGCGCAGGCCAAGGATGGGCAAAGTCTGTCCTCTTGCACCCCAACACCCGCAAGGAATTCCAGACGTTCTTCGCGCGCCCAGACACTTTTGCCCTTGGTGTCTGCAATGGTTGCCAGTTCATGAGTAAGCTGAAGGAGTTGATCCCTGGTGCGGAGCTATGGCCAAGCTTTGAGCGCAACGCGTCTGAGCAATACGAAGCGCGTGTCTGCATGGTTGAGGTGCTCGATCCCAAGGGACCCAACACACCACCGTCTGTCTTCCTGCACGGCATGGCTGGATCTAAACTTCCGATCGTCACCGCGCACGGCGAGGGACGCGCTCACTTCTCCAACTCGGCTTCCTCGATTTCGAGCCCACAGGCGCTATACAACGAAAATCTTGTGTCAATCCGCTACGTCGACAACTACGGAAAGCAAACCGAGACATACCCATACAACCCGAACGGCAGCCCAATGGGTATCGCCGGTGTGAGGAGTACTGATGGACGGGTGTTGGCACTTATGCCGCACCCCGAGCGCACTATCTTGAAGGAGGTTGGAAGCTACATCCCGCGGGATGTAGAAGGCTGGGGCGAACTTGGCCCATGGTCGCGCATGTTCAAGAGTGCTAGGCGATGGGTTGGCTAAAGCAGATGTTTAACGAGAGACGCGATTAAGTATGCATGGGATGGTTGGCGTTTATGGAGGGTTATTATAGGCATTTACGATATGGAAATGATAGATTTACAGCATCCAAACCATTGTTTGCCAGAGGTGAGGTGTGTTGTCGGTTCGCCTATCGTGTTGGGCATCCACTTTGCCAAGGAAATGCACAACAGGGAGTTCTCCATTCCCGTGCAACAAGCAGATCTGCAATCAGATGTCTCAGTCAATACATCTGAGTCAAAATGGGTGGAGTCCTCTCAGTTCTGCAAAACACAGCCAAGACTCTCATCGCAGCAGCTTCTCTCTTGAGAGCTTTGTCAACCGAGTTCGATCAAGCTCTGAAGCGGGCATCACAGTCCCCGGGTCTTCCGGTCCCTAAGCCATCCCAAACGTACTGGCTCAACGACCCTCCACACCCTGCACTATGCGACGCAAACTCGTCCAAATTGCCCGAAACTGTGGATGTGGCCATTATCGGTTCGGGAATCGCAGGCGCTGCTGTCGCGCGTTCATTATTGCACGAGCGACGCCGTCGCAACATCCGCACTGATGAGAAAGTGGTCGTTCTCGAAGCTCGACAGCTGTGCAGCGGGGCAACTGCTCGAAATGGCGGCCACATCAAGCCTTCAGTGTACGAAAGCTTTTCTCGATTCAGCAAGCTTTTACCAAAAAATCGTGCTGCTGCCCTGGCGCGTTTCCAGCTTTTGCACATCAAGTACTTGACAGAGTTATGTGAAAGCGAAGGCATTAAGTCTGCCGAAGCTCGAAAGGTCGACACTGTCGACTTTTTCTTGGATAGCGAGAGTTTCTCCAAGGCTGTAGCCGATGTTGAGGAGTTGAAGAAATGGTTACCTGAGGTTGAGATTGCGGTATGGAAGGGTGATGAAGTACAGAAGGTTTGAAGATTCCTTGATCCACCCATCTAGAAGAGTCAAGATGCTGACGAATGTAGAAATTCGGTGTCAACAACAGCGTTGCCGGTGCTTTGTCCTACCAAGCAGGTGCGATCTGGGCGTACCGATTCGTTGCATCTATCTGGAACGGTCTTCTTAACGACTTCCCTGATACCCTCTCTATCGAGACAAACACTCCCGTAGAATCGATAAGCGTCTCAGAAGCGGCCCCAGAAGGTTTCCCATACGCTATAAAAACTACCTGGGGAACCATATTTGCCCGCCATATAGTCCACGCCACCAACAGTTTCGCAAGCCATCTTGTCCCCGGTCTACGCAGCAAGATCGTAGGCGCACGAGCCCATATGTCTGCACAACGACCAGGAGATCTGTTCCCATACGCTGACGGTATGCACTCGTGGAGTGTAGTCTACGGCGAGGGTTTCGACTACGTCACACAACGGCCACCAGCCACAAGTGGTTCCAAAGGAGATTTGATGATTGGAGGCGGTTTCGTGCGATCGCTGAAGCAAGGTATTGATCAAGTGGGCCGGTATGACGACGGCCCTCTTCTCGACCCTTTGACCGCGGCACACATCACGGGTGTCTTTCCGGCGGTTTTCCATCCCAAATGGGGTGCAGGTGCAGAGCTGAAGCAAATGTGGTCTGGCATCATTGGTTTGACTGGCGATTACCTGCCCTTCGTGGGTCGCTTGGACGCAAAGTTGACCGGGCGAGATACTAAAGGCAGTAAACTCGCGTTGTCTGACAAGGACTCATGTGGAGAGTGGATTGCGGCAGGCTTTTCGGGAGAAGGTATGGTGTGGGCTTGGCTTTCGGGTGCTGCTCTTGGTATCATGATTGCTGGGAGTGAAGATGAGAACTTACCAGAAACTCCAGGAAGGCCAGGTGGGAAACTATCGAAGTGGTTTCCAAAGGAACTTCTGGTATCGCGGGAGAGGATGCGCAGTTCTGATGTTAGTAATTTGGCTAATTAGTCGTAAGAGGCAAGGATTCGAATTGTCTATTTGTTTTCATGGATTTGCTAAAAGTCATTATACAACGATTGGTTGTCTACCAGATTGTATGATGCTATATTAGACTGTCTTCTAGTTACAATTTCTCTATCCTAAACGCCATCGATTGCTTCAGTTTCATGTATTCCAGCTGCATGGTGCTTCACATCAAGCAGCCTCCTTCTCTACGTCTTTTGACGCTTGTTTTGCTGGCTTCCCCGCACCTTCGTTGATGCTCCTCCACTCTACCATCAATGCTCCAATGATCGTGCAAGCGCTGAGTGCTGCGGCTAACAGGAACGTCCGAGTGATCGAGTAGCTGTACGCCGATACCACCGTGTCGATCTCGTTCGCCGGTACCACTTTCCGGAGATCTGTTGCACCGGTGTTGATGATGAGTTCGGTATCGAGGTTGGAGTTACCCGATAGTTGCTTTACAAGCTGGGTCGAGAACAGATTCTGCCCAACAGCAAGGAAGATAGCACCGCCCTGTTGATTCAGGAAAAACACTGTATAAAGTCAGTGGATTTCTCACATGTAGTTCGTAGAGAGAAACTTACTCATCGCCATGCCTAGAGGAACGTCTGAACGCGGCAACACCGTCTGCGGCACCAAGTTTACCGTTTGCGCTCCGAAGCCAAGTCCGCACGCGTAGAAGATTTGGTAACCAATCCATTTACTGGCGCTCGAGTCCGGCGTCAGTGTAGAAAGGAGGCCACTGGCGATTGATGCGATTATGGGCGAAAGGAGCAAAGCAGGAACATAGTATCCGATCTTCTGAGTCATCACCGCGGTGAAGATGCCGAAGACAATAAGCGATGTGCATAACGGTATTGTGCGCACGCCGGCCTGCATGGCAGAATGGCCCTGGGCTGCCTGAAACCAAATGGCGAGATAGTATACAGCATTCATCATGCCCCCAGCGAGGAGAAAGATGAACAGCATGGCCCCACCGACTGAGCGGTTCAAGACGACACGGGGTGGAGCCATGGCTGTGTCCGGCATCGTAAACTCCACAACCAAGAATGCGATGAAAGTGACGGCGAATGTGACGAGCAGGCCGATGATTCTCGGTGCTGACCAGGGATCGGTCGAGCCTCCCCACTGAAGAGCGAGGATGAGGCATACCATGGATGGTACGAAGAATAGAAGGCCTATGGGGTCGAGACGCTTGAGCTGAGCGAGAATGGATAGCTTCTCTTTAGGCGCGGAAGGGAGATGCAGGAAGAGGAATACGCAGATGAAGGTCAAGGCGCCGATGGGGAGGTTTATGTAGAAGCACCATCTCCATGTCAAGGTCCTATTTGCGTGTTAACCGTGTTTCATGAAAGAGGCTGATAGACTTACGGGTTGTCCGTGAAGGTGCCTCCAATGAAGGGTCCTAATACAGATGACACTCCAAATGCGAGACCGAGAAAGGAAGTGAAGACAGGTCGCCTTCGCAATGGTACGAGAGGCACGATGATCATTACCGCACCAGATTGAAGCCCAGCTGCTCCGATACCAGCGATTGCGCGACCGACAATGACTTCAATGAGGGTTAGCGAGTGTATCATCTAGGGACTTGGTGGATTACTCACGAACAACAGAAGTAGGTGCGGCCCCACACAATGCACTGCCAACTTCGAATAGGAATATGGACACCAGAAACGTGCATTTAGTATCGTAAAGCTGGTATATTTTGCCGAAGAGTGGATTGAAGATCGCGCACGTAAGCATATAGCCACTACCATACCAGCCTATATCCGCGATAGTTCCGTATGTGTTTGTGATTGCCGGTATAGCAGTAGCTAAGGAGTGTCAGTGAGGACTGACGACAGAAGAAGTTTACATACCAATGATCATGCGATCGAGAGCGACAAGGAAAAAGGCCAGATAGATCGAGATGATGACGAGCCAAAATTTGAGCGTTTTGGGCTTATAGTTCTCCTCGGAATCTGCGTACTCGTTGCCTGCAGAGGCTGAAGGTGAGGAATCTTTTTCAAGACCTTCGTGCAAACTAGCGGGCTGAGCCACTGTTGTAGTCTCAGCTTGAGATGCTGTAGTCATGGCGAAAACTTCGGAATAGGCGCAGTGGAATTCGAAAGGAAAATTGAGATTGGATACACTGAGACACTGTCAAGAGAAGCTTGGCTGTTATATGTGCATTCGGTATGTGCAACATCCCGAATGGTGTTTTGCCATACAATCCCGTTCGGGGAGTAGAAATGTCCGACATGGAGGCAGTCTACGCAGAGCGAACCTCGACCTGTTGCAAGGTAATGAGTGATTCAGGAAGGCTCGGGAATACCAGAGTTTCCCCGAACGTACAACAAAGATTCGATGTGTTGTGACAATTCAATGTCCTGAAGGCCCAGAGTTGGTGTTGGAGCGGAGAGAGAGCACGTGATGGGCTCGGGGATTAGATCTGACCGAGAGGCCTGCCGCACCTTACTGAGGCGTCGGTGCGCGTGGTTAAACGCGAAGATTGCGGAAATATTACAATCGATGCCATGGCGCCACTGCTGTAACGAGAGAAAGGAGCGGATGTGGTCGATGAACGCGACTGAAGCTTGGAAGTGCGCTTTACGTAAGCCTCACGCGTCGTAATGGTGGTGACGAGCCTGGGCACCCTCTTGCGCCTGCCTGGCTGTCTGGCTGCCTGCTATCCTGCGGGTCGCCCTCTGCGTCGCAAGGACCCTTTTTTCCCACATGAAGCCACAATGCTCTTTCGCGCGCAGCCCGGAGATAAGCAGAGTCCAGGCGAGCGGCTCGCGCCTGGTTGCCTGGTTGCCTGGCTGCCTGCCTAGTTAGTGCCTACCTCGCCACCTACTCTGAGGTGGCCTCTTCCACTCTGCACTCGCATACCTGATCAATACCGCTGTCACGTTGGACAGCTCGTTCCCTTGACATGTCGTCTGATCTACCCACACCTGAACTCAGTGCTGATGCACTGTCCCCATTGACGCATGCAAGCAAGTCACAGCGCGTGCTTTCGTGCGTGCTATGCGCGCACAGAAAGGTCAGATGTGACCGGAATTTTCCTTGCTCAAACTGCAACAAGGCAGGCGTTCAATGCATTTCCGCAGCGACGCAACCACGGCAACGGCGTCGCAGATTTGCCGAACGGGACCTACTTGAGCGTCTTCGCCACTACGAGGACCTCTTGAAGACGAACGGCATTGCCTTCCAACCCTTGCATGCGTCTTCCAACTTATCCACAGGGTCCCACGAAAGTAACGCCGGTCGTGGTCGGGAGATATCCAGAGCTCAGCCGTCTACCATACCCGATACCGAGAATTCTCAACCCAAGTACACAAAAGCTGTACCACTTGGAAGAGCCACTGCTGACCATGCTAGGAGCTTTTGGCATGCTTTAAATCGACGAGCATACGATGCTGATGCTGATGATGACGGCAGCGACGACGATTCCGAACACAGTGGCTCTTCGCAACACGCATTACGGCAAGCCCAGATTGTGCAAGCTTGGGATCATCTCTATGCGCATACACTGCACCTTAGCGAAGACCTCCTGTTCTGCTCGCGTAGCACGAGTGTCAGTTTGTCAGTTTTACATCCCCCGCAAAGCCAGATCTTCAAACTTTGGCAACTGTACCTTGAGAACGTCGACCCGTTGTTAAAGCTCACTCACACGCCCACGCTTCAGCCACGCATCATTGATGCCGCTAGCGACGTCTCCCATATCGATCCCAATTTGGAGGCTCTAATGTTCTCCATCTACTGTACGGCTATCTTCAGCCTCAATCAGGGGCATTGCCAATCATTGTTCGGCAGGCCTAAGCCGGACTTGATCAGATCCTACCAGTTGGGTGCAAGAGAGGCGCTGCTGAACTGTAAATTTTTGAAGTCCAGTGATCGAGAGTGCCTGACAGCCCTCCATCTCTACCTGATCTCGCTCAAACCAGACACAGACCCACGGTCCATGTCGTCCATGCTAGGGGCTGCTGTTCGCATTGCTCAGCGCATGGGTATTGACACCGAATCTACCAATTCTAGGCATTGCGTGCTAGAGGCCGAACTGCGCAGAAGACTATGGTGGTCTCTCACACTTTTCGACAACAGAATGTCGGAAATGACCGAGAGCAAATCCACCACTTTGATTCCCACATGGGATTGCAAAGTCCCTCTCAACGTCAACGATTTCAGTCTACGGGTCGAGATGAAGACCGCGCCTGCTGAGTCTGGTATCATTTCCGAAGCCTTATTTGCAGTCGTTCGCAGTCAAATTGGCGAGTTCATTCGCCAAAGCCCGTCCCATCTGGACTTCATCAATCCGGCCCTGAAGTGCTTCTCGAAAAAGGCGTTCGACTCTTCACATTCTGGGGCTGACGAGCTTACCGCATTTGAGTCGATGATAGAGCAAAAGTATCTTACGCATTGCGATGCCCAAAACCCACTGCATTTTCTGACCATATGGACGGCGCGCGCGTCACTCGCAAAGATCGGATTTGCAAATTACCTATCAACCAACTCAAAGGGGCTTGCGCAGGAAAGTGAGGAGCAGCGCGACGTTGGTCTTGCATTTGCACGCCGCATGCTTGAGTGCGATACGATGCTCATGACCTCACCTCTCCTGATTAGCTTTCGCTGGATCGTCTACCTGCATTTTCCATTCCCTGTCTATGTTCACCTCGTCCAAGAGCTAAAAATACGGCCACTAGGCCAACTTGCAGACCGATTGTGGCAGGCAATGAGCGACAACTGCGCCGCTCGTTTGATGGACCTTGAGAAAAAGGACAGTCCAATAGAAACCAAGCCCCATAATCCTTTCTTCACAATCTTTGGGGGGCTCGTGCTACAGGCTTGGTCGGCACGTGAAGCAGTAACGTCCGAACAATTGGATACACCTGCCATTGTGACGCAAATCAGACAAAAGATGGCTCTCAGGGACAAACTAGCGGCTGAGTTGCAATTCCAGCCACCAGGTTCCGATAGTGGCAACCCACAAGAGTCCGAGCTTATTGGTTTGGATAGTCTCGGCTCCCAATCAGGCGTCACCCGTGGCATGAATATGAGCAGTGTAGCTTTTCCCATGGAACAAGCTTCGATAAGCTATAGTAGCAGTCCATGGGATTGGCCAATCCCTGCTTGGGCTGCAATGCCCGGTCAAGGCTGGTGAACCTGCCGTGTTTACGCATAGGACCTTACGTTCGATGAGTACAGACGACACGTGATCGGTGCCATGGAAGTCATCGCCAAGACGGAATGCTCGTTACATCAATAGACTGACTCGAACTTTAACAACCAGGGTGTCTGAGCTGCCACGACAGATTCACCGAGCCTCCTTTCAGTTCCGTGTCAAAGATCCAGTGCAAACGCCGCCATTGTCTCGGCTGACCTAGCCGCATTCACACCAGGATACCCCAATCGCCTCCTGCACTCCGGCCGTTGTGCCGACAGCCGTAACTTTTCACTTTTCAACGTCGCGTATCGCAGCTACGATAGATTGCGTTACTGAGATCTAACGCACTTTATTAAGCCGGCTTTAAGTCGTGTGGATCCGCCACGATACCTCCGATAGAGCTGTTCCTGCAATTCCCATGCGCTGGGAACAGGGGCGGAGTTTTGACGGTGGTTATTCACATGAAGTTCTTTTTTTGTAGATAACGTCTCCCTGATGGGCGCAGGGGTGGGGTGGAGCGTTGGCCTTGGCGTTTCAAGCAGCCTGACAAGGAATCAATAATTGCCAGCTGGCGCGTGTAGAAACATCGCCGCAATCCTTTAGCAGGTCCTTCAGGATGTATACATTGTTGTCAGGTAGAGCGTTTTGGCAGAGGAAAAGGCATATGTCCCCATGGAAATGTGGAGAATGGGGTTATCGCATCAGAATAACAACTCATTACAGCAATGCGACACTCCACATCACGACCCAGGAGCCGAGATCCATTCGATCTTTTGCTTGAGGCGCAGTCAACAGCATGACTCCAGGAACACCGAGCATACCGATAGTGGCATCATCGCTAACCTGCCTAGGTGTCCCGGCCCGCTACCGTTGACATGAACCCCCTGTCCGGTCCGGATCTGGTGCCATTAGCGCTATCGAACATACTAAAATACGATATATAGGTGAACATATACAGGGTAGCTACTCACGAACGGTTCCCATCTTGGCAGTACGCTATCCTCTTCGATGTTAGGTCTACAATCCCCTCGTTCGTTTCACTGATATCCATTTTTGCAAACTCCTATGCGGGTCACCGATATAGGGTCGTGGCTGGGACGGGTATATAGGTAGTTGACGCCAGTCCTCCGATTCCTGCCTCAGGCCAGTTGTCTGATTTCACATCCAAGATGCAGGTCCGCACTCTTTTCGCCGTGCTTTCGGCAGCCACTCTTTTACAATTCACCCACGGTCTTAATGCTTGCCCTGGCAACGACGATATCTTTACTGGAGCGGAAGGCATCAGATATCGAGTTTGCCCTGGCACCGACCTCACTGGACCTACGACATCGATCAAGCGCGTTGCTTCGGTTACAGCATGTGCAAAACTCTGCGACAAGAGTATGGACTGCTTCAAGGCAGTGTTTGATACCAAGACAAAAGACTGCCACTTCAAGGATCTTGCCGGACTGAACTGGGTTGCCAACGATCGCTTCCAGGTCATCCAAGCAGAGCAAGTAAACATTGCTCGCTGCCCTAATGGGGAATGGACGTATCATAGGAACAGGGTAAGTCTGCTCCCCAGTAGCTTGAGAGACAAGCGGAATATTAACATTGCACCGCTAGAAACAATACAGCATCTGCCCCGGCACTGACATCCGCGGACCAAGCGAGAAGGTATGGCAAGGCGTGAACACATTCGATACCTGTGCCTACCTTTGCGCAAACTGGGCAACATGTACCGCCGCTGTCTACGACTCTGCCAAGAAGGCTTGCCACATCAAAGCCGACTCGCGCAGTAACACTTTGATCTGGTCAACCGACAAACGCTTCGATGTAATGCGTCTCAACGTAGCACCTGCGCCTGCGAAGGACGGTGAATGGTCAGATCTTATCCGCCTGCCTGTCATCCCTGTTGCTGCATATGTCGTCCCGGAATACCCTGTCTCGGAACGTCTTCTCGTATTCTCGAGTTGGGGTGCTGATGCTTTCGGAGGCGCTGGTGGACGCACTCAATTTGCGGACTACAATTTCAACACGTAAGTCATTCTGGTCAAGTATCATCAACGCACGCTAACATTCTCTCAGTGGTGCTGTTTCAGCTCGTACAGTGAGCAACACTCATCACGACATGTTCTGTCCCGCAATGAGCAGTCTTCAGGACGGGAAGCTTCTGATTCAAGGAGGATCTGACGCTTCCGCGGCCAGTCTTTATGATCCAGCATCGAATGGATTCACTCGTGCGCCCGACATGTTAGCCTATCCTAGCTCAATAATATGAACTTCATACTGATTGTACTTAGGAAAATGGCCCGCGGCTACCAATCATCCACGACGACATCGGATAATCGCGTTTTCACCATCGGAGGTGCATACTCTGGTCCACGCAAGGGCAAAGACGGCGAAGTGTACGATCCTGTCACCAACACCTGGACAGCACTGCCAAACGCGAAGATGAAGGCTATGCTCACGACCGACCATGAAGGCATCTGGCGTGAAGACAACCATGCATGGTTGTTCGGTTGGAAGAACGCCTCCGTTTTCCAGGCCGGTCCAAGCAAGGCCATGAACTGGTACGGTACCAAGGGAACCGGATCCCAAGTCGCTGCTGGTATTCGTGACCCCATCGATGATGCCATGTGTGGAATCTTTGTCATGTACGATGCCACTGCTGGCAAGATCTTGAGTGCTGGCGGCGCGCCTGACTACACCAACTCAGACGCCAACGCTCGGGCCCACATCACTACAATCGGCGAGCCGAACACCCCTGCCAAGGTTGAGCGAGTCGCGGACATGGCCTACCCTCGCGGTTTTTCCAACGCGGTCGTTCTGCCTGACGGAAAAGTTCTCGTAAGCGGTGGTCAAAAACGCTCATTGGTCTTCACCGATACGGACGGAGCTCTCTACCCAGAACTGTTCGACCCAGCCACCAAATCTTGGAAGACTCTAGCACCACAAGCTGTCCCGCGCAATTACCACTCGGTCAGCATTCTGCTAGCCGATGGACGCGTTTTCTCTGGTGGCGGTGGTCTCTGCTACGTCGCGCAGGGAGTCGGCCGCAGCTCCGCCAACTGCAACAAACTCGTCGACCATGCCGATGGCCAGATCTTTTCCCCACCATATCTCTTCAACACCGACGGCACCCCCGCAACCCGACCAGTCATCAGCTCTTTGAGCGCAGAGAGTGTCAAAGTTGGAGGTAAACTGACCATCCAAGTCGAGACGTCTACGCCAGGCCTCAAGTTCGCCTTGGTCCGCATCGGCAGCGTCACACACTCTGTCAACACCGATCAGCGCCGCGTGCCCCTGACGAACGTCAAGGGTGACGGATGCAGCTACACTGCTACACTGCCTAACGACAGTGGTATTCTCATCCCAGGTGCCTACTACGTCTTTGTCATGTCAAAGGAGGGAGTTCCTAGCATCGCCCAGACTGTACAGATCGTACTCCCATGAGTTTACCGTGGCGCGGGTAGAACCACATACTGGATGTCGCAACGCTCTTTACGCACCACTCGCTTTCATACGTCATCATCACTTTAGCCTAACCCACAAGTCTCTCATTTCCCTACATAGTTAGTATATAATGTATATTACAAGATAATGTATTTTATGAGTACAGAGGATGAACAATCAGAACACTATCCTCATGCCAAAAGTTCTTCGTACAGATGAGTAATTTTCCCTACCAAGTTTGCCTGACTTTGCACATCCCGGTAGTTCAACATCCCCCAAGTATCTCAACTTCATCGCATCTTTCGGCTAATATCCTGCAAGCAATCAGATTGTACTGACCGTATTACCCGTTACAGATGACACATGTGCTGTCAACATGGGAACATAGGCTCTAGTCGGGCTAGGTTATAGATTTTGGTGACACCATGCCGGCCGTTAGGTGCCTGACGCCGCTCACGAACTGTGTACGCCGAAATTTGTCAGCCCTTTTACCTACATACAATCACACGTGAATCAATTGCGTGCTCCCAGCAAACCGCAATTCCCAGTTGTCACTAGACGCTCTAGCCCCACTTACTGTCACTATTCCTCGGACTCTGAGGCCTGCTAGCGGACTCGACATCTATGACCACGAAATGACACTGTGAGACATACAAACTCAAGAGCTACTGCTTACTAGGCCAAATGTGTTTACGATCAGTTTTACATAGAGTGTTGGCGTTCCATGTGGAAAAGGGCTATGCGAAATGTAGGAGAAGGTGACACTCACGATGCGCCGAAGCAGAAAGGCGTCACAACATCGATCAGCACGGACAAGACTTTCACGCTCGCAGGACTATCGACTTGAAACGTTCCCTATACCCATCGTAAGCGTTGCCAACATCTCACACATGTCTCGAAGGACCTTTGCCGCTGGGGTTGTCACTAGAGACATGGTAAGCTATGTGTATATAATACGAAGCCTCAACTTTCACCAGGAGCTCTAATCAAAGCAGTTTCAGAACGTCGTAACTTGGGTCCTCACATTGCAAGAGAGCCATCATGCACTTCTCTACCCTCCTCTTCAGCCTCAGCGCTCTGGTCGCAACATCCACGGCCAATCCGGCACCCGCACTACTGACAGAAGCACTGCCAGTAGTAGATGCAGTGACAGGCGAACTAGGCCGCGACGCACTATCCGGCAGTCTGCCCAAAAACCTTGCCAAGATTTGGATCTTCAGCAACCGCGAGTGCGACCAAAACGACGGTCCTGCTTGGAACATCTACGTACTTCCCGGTCAGGAAAGATGCATTCCATATCAAAATGTAGGGTCGATCTTCGCGTGGTACGAGTCTGATATTGGGTACGTTTTCAGATTCAACTTTAAAGTAGATGGACTGACTTGTGGTCTTGTTATTGTAGGTATTGCACGACTACGATCCATAGCGGCAGTAACTGCAGAGGCAGCAGTGCGACGCCGCTCAACAAGCAATGCACTAGTGACTTGTTTGCGTCCGTCAGCATCTCTTGCCCTAGGGTGTAAGAGCATCGGTCGCGTTACTCCCCACTTTGCAAGCGCATCAAGAGGTGTGTGCCCTCATGGGAAGATGCCGTAGAAGTGATGGTTGCGATGAGGAGCGGGTTTCTTTCAAGTGTGTTTTCGTTTCTACACCAGAAAATCATTCATTAAGCCTCACTATTGTACCAAACAATTTGATTTGGCTTTACGGTACTATGCTAGCCGTGACCCATACCCATCAGTGGAAAAGTTTCCATCTACAATTCGCAAACCACTGCGCGTGATAGGAGGATTCATGAATGGGATGCATGACTAAGCATCTCAAACTGCTCTAGCCCTCAGGGCCGCCCCAAAAGAACCCACCATCCTTGTCGTAAGGCTCGTCAAACTCAGAGGAGGAGTCATAGTCCGATACATGACGGCATCGGTAACAGAGCTGTTCAGACTGCTCGAAGGGGATTCCATCCCGGTATGCTGCTGCGCAATCATGGCACACGGTGTTCCTGATCCTGTCCATGCAAACGGCGCACTGGGTCCTGTAGAATTCAGATGGCTTATCGGACGCCTTCTTGCAGGTCACTATGCAGCCATGCTGCTCCTTGACTGGGCGTTCGTGCCAAACGATCCTGTCTTTTCCGCTGTTGGCGACCGTGGCAGTGGCCAAGAGGGCCACGGCGGCGACGACGGAGAGCAGTAGACGCATATTTGGTAAGGGTCTGGGAGAATTAGTTAGTGTTAGCAGGCAAGAGGGCTAGGGAGGCAGTACGAGAGTGGTATCGTTTCGAAACTATGATTTATTAGCCGGTTGTTATAGGCAAGGAGGAAGCTGCTCGTACATTTGCGTGAGGTTATTCTTCTCGAGACTCGATTGACTTGTGTTGGAACTGGAAGCTACTGCTATACGGTGAGAGGAAGGGAAAATAAGAGGTGGGATGAGAAGGTTCTTATATGAAGACGAGTCGAATAGAGATTTCTAGACGATTGGCAAATTAACGAAAATTCTCCATCGCATTGTTGCAGAACCATGCATCTACATGGACAGAATTAGCACAACCGGGATTTCATAGGAGAACGAAGACGGTTTGCAAGTGGTCTCAGGTCATGAGGATCACCAGCCAGTCGTGCGTGTGGCGTCGCAAATTCCGGTGAGTTACCCAGTGACCTTCAAGATGTGAATCTGGTCGACCCAGGCAACGAGAAAATGTGCTTGGGGTAGTCGACAAAGGCTCATTGTATGCTGCATACGTGTGAGGCTCTCGTGATAGAGAACCCTTTTTTTTTGTTCGTACCTTGGCTCGGGTATCTGGCACCAGATTTCATTGCTTTCACAATTGCTTCGATCTGAAGGTAACTTTTGGCATGGACGTGGTTTGGAATAGGCAGGCTTTGAGTGGCTCGTTGGTACCGGTTATCGCAGAACCAGTGGGCCTGGCACAGAACATTATCTGGAACACACTCGCTGGAACGCATACATTCATTCTTAGGGGGCAAAAGACCGCTTATACTTGCATGGCGCGATTCAGTGATGAGATACGGCCTCGAGATATGAGCTTCATCATATGCGCCATGCTCCTAGCTATGCACTATTCTGGTGTCACGTTTGCAGTTCCGAGGCAACCGAAAGCACGTACGGTATAGTCGCAGTTCGACATGATGCACCGCTCCTCATTTCATGTACCAAACCTGGGACAAGAGAAGTATCGAGCATCTCCGTCGAAAGATGGGCATCGTAGCCAAACCACCAAAGTCATGATGCCTACGCTGTCGTAACGCCTGACACCGGGTATGAATTAGCAAGATAAAACTCAGAGAGCGGAATGATAACGGAAGCGCTCTACGAAAGAGTGATATCGCTACCTTCCCCATTCTGCTCCATCGTGGTATCGTCCCCATCGCCGCCTGCCAGGACCTTGGTCTGAGGCCGGTATCCGTCTGGCGGGCCTACACCAGGCGTGCACGCTGCAACGTTGCCATCCTCGTCTACGAATTCAAAGTTGTAACGGGAGAGCAAATGAGGGATCGCTGAAAGTTGTGGTCCGTAGCGCGCGGTGTTATCGTAAAGCTCGAATAAAGGAACGGCGAGGAGTTTCATGTTCTTCGGAACGCTGAGAACCTCTGCGAAGTATTAGCAATTGTACATATTGTGAGAAACAGGCGACTCGAGTCGACTTACTGCTACGGGGAAGCTGGATGAAGTACAGCTTCTTGCATTCCTTTGGCCTGGTGACATGGGCAGGAATGAAAGGGTACATGAAGGTCTCGAAGTTGGGCCGCCACCACTGGGCCAGCGTATCGCCAACTACCCACTCGTCGTTTACGCCTTCGCCTGTGAACTGTGTGCCCACTGGTGCGAGGCGCTCGTTCAGCCTCGCCTTGAAGCCCTCAATCTCATCATCTTCGGCGCGGAGGTAATCGCCAGGTCTGCATGACGTCAGTGAGGATGCAAGATCGAGGATGCGAACACGTACAGCTTGAAGAAGGCGTTTGCGATCTGCAACATGAGGATGTGCGGGTGGTTGTGCTCATGGCAGACCAAGATGCCTTCGCAGGTCCGTCGCATGCCGTGCTCCGAGTAGTGCTCTTCTAATCGCTTGAGCCGGGCAAGGACGGACGGATCCTCTTCGGGCTGGCCATCCTTGGTGCCAAATGTGTAGTTGCTTAGAGGGAACAAGCGGATGGTCTTTGGCTGGTTGCCGTTGAAGTCTTTGGGAATGACGGGGCTGCTTCAATTAGCTAATGCAATGAACACGGCTTGTCAGACGTACGGGTATGAGCTCTGGGAAGCTTCCTTTACTATGGTGGACATGGTGGGTGCGAATGGGTCGTGTAAGCGGTGGGTTGCTTGTTGCGTCGCGACAATCGAACAGTCGCGGCGAGCTTGCAGGGATTCAGGGTCTCGCTAGCACGTGATGCTGCGCGGACCTGGGGGTGCACACCTGGGCAGGTGCCCCACGGGAGCTGCTACAATGCACCACGCTGTCGTCATCATCGCTTGATCGACTGATCCAAACTAAACTTCTGCAAAGAATCCTTGACTGCGCATGGTACCAGTATGGCACGGACAGCATTGATCACCGGTGGTAAATAGCCTCCACGAATGTGTTACTGCTAGCTGACCGCGGAGCGAAGCTAGTGGTCTGCTCGGCCGTCAAGTGCAGCGAGAGTTCTTGTTAGATGGCTGGAAGTCTATCGGCACTGGTCTGCATCGCACCACTGCTCCAGGTGTGGTGAAACTGGACATTTTGGATTCTAAGGAGATCTTCAGGGTGCTTAATGAAGTCAAACCGAAAGTCGTCGTCCACTGTGCTGCCAACCGCTTCCCGGACTCTTGTACTAAAGACCCAGAAGCAGCCAGGAAATTGAACGTAGACGCAAGTCGAGCGCTGGTTGAGGCTACCATCTCTCGGGGTATCTTCCTCATATACATCTCGACAGACTACGTGTTTGGAGGTAGACCTGGAGAGGCTCCCTACAAGACGGATTCGACGCCGAGCCCACCGAATACGTAAGTCTTGATATACCGCACCATAGTCGTAGCAGAGTCTTGTTCATTCATGTCTTCCGAGCCTGCTCCAGAAACAACGCCATCCCAGGATAATGCTGGGCGAGGTGTCTGATCACGGCTGACAGCCTTCATCAGGTATGGCCAAACCAAGCTGGAAGGCGAACAGGCTGTTCTTGAGGTTGCTGCTAAGACTGGCGCAAAGAACAAAGTCGTCGTTCTTCGAGTACCGGTCCTCTACGGATCCTGCGATGAGCCCAAAGACAGTGCAGTCAATGTCCTCATGTCGCAATTGTGGAACGCCCAACAGATAGAGCATGGTCAACCCAAAATTCAAGTCGACGACTACGCGCTTCGATACCCTACCAATACCCAAGACGTTGGCCGAGTGTGCCGCGACATAGCGAAGCTGTATCTTGATCCCGCGAGCGCGTAAGCCAAATTCACATCTTCGCCTGATGAAATGTTTCGGTCATACAGTGCTAACGGCCTGTTGTAGGAACCGCGAGCTACCCAATGTTCTTCACTTCAGTTCCGAAGATCGGATGACTAAATGGCAGATTTGCCAGACATTTTCCGAAATCATGGGGTTACCACTCGACAACATGGAGTCCTTCAAGCCTGATGAAGAACCAAAAGACGGCACTATCAGGCCTTACGACTGCCATCTGGACACTAGCGCGCTACGGGACCTGGGTATCGATGTATCGACTGTTGACTTCCGCACATGGTGGTAAGTACTACGCGTTATCGCTTTTCACCGCTCACAATCTTGCAGGAGGCGAGAAGTTGGGGCTTTCCGCTAAGGATTACCCCGGTTGACAACACACAAACGCCTATTAGCAGATCATCAGCAAAGCCTCCAGAAAGTAATGACCTTGTGCTCCTGCTGCACAATGGTCAGGTGTCTCAATATTGCTTGTCGCGAAGCGAAGATTGCGACAACGGTAGATCTCCGCGACGTGTCCCAAGTATAGCTATTCGTACCTGTGTTTTTACTCCTATAGGAAAGTCTGAATCCACTTACCGCACATCTCGGGTATCGTATTGGACGGTCCAGCGACTACCCGCAATCGTCGCGTTCCGAGGTTGTGGTTCTTGCCCGGATCGGGCTTGCGGTCGCTAAATGATTGGGCGGTAGCCATCTTTGCGGCGCAGTCTCGCGCCTTGAGTTTTGGGGGCGCTTATGCTCCACGATAATGCTGTTAAGTATCTATCCTCTCAACGTGTAGAATGCCTGAATCTACTTCCGTTGCTTTGCATTCCTTGCGTCGCGCTTCTTTTTCGTTTGCTCGTCGTGTATTCTTTTCTTCGCGATGGATGCCAGTCTAGCGCCTGTGGCGCGATCAAGCTTCCCGGATACTATTGGACCTAAGAAATCAAACACTATCATTTCAATCTTTGCGCGCGATCCAGAGCACCAGAGTATGTTAGAGCCCTAAAACCGCTCAGAGCGATCAAAGATATTAATGTGTACAAGTAGCTGCCAAGACATGGAAACCATCAGCGCTGCGCGCACCAGTCCTTCTTTTGACCATCACGATTTGCTGGTCCCTGATCGCCGTCCTGCAGGTGTTACTAGTGAGAAGCCAGCGGGACGATGGTATCATTTTCGCACCCCGGATTAGCGACCTTCCCCTGAGTAGAAGTTTTCTCTACTTATATTTCCCGACCATCGTTGCAGTCATCTTCAGCATATATTGGGCATGGATCGATCTAGAGACGAAACGCATGGAACCTTACTATCAACTCAGTAAAGAACAGGGTGCTCTGGGGAAGGACTCACTACTCCTACACTATCCTTTCGACTTCATACCCTTGGTCCCACTGAAGGCTGCTAGAGACAGACACTGGCCCGTATTCTGGGCGTCTCTTGCTGTTGTCCTGGTGACTTTGGGTCTGGTACCTACCCAGGCCGGTATCTTTTCTACGCAAACCATCACTCGAAATGTCACACTTCCATTCGATCGGTCAACGGCTTTTTTACCTGCCAAAGATCAGGCATCGAATCTGACACTACGATTTGCCCAATCGACATTCGCAATTGCGGCTCTCAACGAAACTCTTACTCAGTACATGGCGCGCAACTATACACTTGCACCGATTCGGCCAAAACCTTTGTCTTCTGACGCATCTATACCTCACGGAAACTGGTCCGCCCCAACAACGCTGTATAGTGTAGATTTGTACTGCGAACCTGCCACTATTATTACGAAACCAGGACGTGCAGGGTTTGCCATCAATAGCACGAACGGGTGCTCCTTCTCTCAGGGCTTGAATGGCAATATCACTATGGGTGCCAACAAGGCCTGGCCAGGCAGGCCAGTACTCAACAACAAAGAATTCACTGCCATGTATGTGGGGTACTGGAATCCTTTTGGGTTTGCCGATTACTCTCTCGACGGTTACTGCCCATCCACCAGTAACACTACTTTCTACGCTGCCATTGGGCGCAACAAAGCCAGAGATATCGATGCAGTACAGAATGTCACCTCCATCTACTGTTGGCCAACTTACTACCAACAAGCAGTAATGGCAACTGTGGATGCGGTCACCCTGGAGCCTTCCATGGTCAAAATTACTGGTGACAAGGAACCTTTAGCATCACACTTGTTCAACACTACCCGCCTGGAGCAGTTGATGAGCGCAAAATCCCTTGGGGATGAAGTAAGAGGGGATTTGCTACCGAGTAAATCTGTCCCGGATTACATTGACTCCATCGGACGAACAAACCTGAGCCTGAGTAGTGGACCTAACGGCGCTGGTATGGTGCAGCCAATGGTTGGACTAGCCTTAGCTGTCAGCAATCTGCCTTTGGAAGACTACTTGGACTGGAAGGTGCTGGCCAAATCCTACGCAGATGGATACCGGTTGATGTTTGCTCGAGCGATGCGAGACGTTCTAGATCAAGGCTTCCAGTCCTCCGAAGATGTTACTGGTTGGGTGACGGACACCACGGAAGCTGTAGTTCTTGAACCCGTGTTTGTTTACATTGTAGAGGGATTCTTGGGCGCCGTATCTATTGCGACCATAGCATTACTATACCTTTCGGTCACACGCACGAAAAACCTCCGCTCAAATCCTAGCACTATCGCAGCTATTATGGCAATAGTGGCTGATAACGAGCCACTGCTGGCTGATATCCAGGGACTGGACTGTTGCACGATGGAGGAGATCGAGGAACACCTTGGACACAAGCGCTACAAGCTCGTTGACGACGGCGCATCAGTAGGGTAAGTTTGATTATATTCAAGGGCTGTAATATTGTCAAGCTAATAATCGTGTCAGAATCGTCGAACTCGATCAGTCCCCCGAGATCATCGGAGAAGACAACTGGTCGATGCCAACGACGCGACGTCGCAATATACCAACCGATATCGCGAAGCCAGTGCGGCCCGTCGAATTCAGCTTATGGGTAGCTGGCCCTTTCGTCAGTGTATTGATTGCGCTAGCAATAGTCCTGAGCGTGCTATTCGCTAAAGCACATATGCAAGGTGCGACACATTCGATCGCGCTCAGCACTTGTGAATATTGACTAATGAAACAGGTTTACCACTTCCTTCAAAGAACACGCTTGTACAAAACATTCTCGAAAACTACATCCCTACGGCCGTAGCTACACTTATTGAACCAATCTGGGTTCTGTTCAATCGTATGCTCTGCATGCTACAGCCTATTGAGGAGCTGCAAAGCTGTAACGCGCGAGCCAAGAAGTCTACTGATCTCGACTATGCTTCTCTACCACCACAGCTGGTTATTCTCAAGGCTCTAAGATCAAAGCATCTCGTACTTGCTGCGGTTTGTACCATGGCATTGTTGGCAAACCTCCTGGCAGTGAGTCTTGCGGGGCTGTTCAATCAGACCACCATCGACATGCAACACACGATTTCGATGAAGCAAACTTTGCAGCTCAAGTTTGTTCTGGTAAACGGAACTATAGGCCCAGTAGGCGGTCAAAGCTTCGGTTCTGATGTGGCATCTGGTGCTTACCAAGGCAGCAACGGAGAAGAGCAATTCTTGGTTGCCGATTCTTTCCTCAGACAAGGCATACCGCTGCCAGCGTGGACTGACCAGAGTATGTTCTACCTTCCATTTGCTCCACGGACGAACACCACAACGGGGAATGAATTTGAAGCTAGAACTAAGGCATTTGGTGCAAAGCTTGAATGTGCTACCCCCAGATTTGACGGAAACTTCAAAGCCGGTATCATTAAACCGATATCGACGAGCGAAGCTATTTACCCGTCGGTCAACATCACAGTGACCACCAATACTGGGAGGAGTGTCCAGTGCACCAAGACCGGAAGTTACATGCGTCAAGGTCCGATCTCCACGACTGAAAATTCTTGCGTTTCGGGACCGAGCGCAGCTGAGTTCGTCCTTGTACTCGAACCGACGCTGAATGCTACCCAGGCTGATGCGGAGGTTTGCATGGGATCTATCGTCATGGGATGGCTTCGAAATCCCACTGGTTCCTGCGGAGAGATCAAACCGATACTTCTGAACGAGAAGAATTCTGCGTTTGTACATTGCCGGCCGAAGTTGATCACCGGCTTTGCAACGGTTCGGGTAGACTCTAGCGGCCGACTCCAAAAGAAAGCAAGCATTCTTACCCTGGACGATGACCAGCCCAAGGAAGTCTTCAGCAACGGTCCGGTGAATCTCATTGGACAGTCCAACCGATACTTGTTCAAAGCCGATAGCCCCGGCTGGCACAATGATAGCTTTGCCGACGATTTCATGAACTACTTTGCTAGCCATACGGCGAACAGTAGTCGGCTAGTCGATCCTCGTCAAAACCTCCCAACGCTCGAGGAAATTGAAGCACCTTTGAACAAAGCTTACTCGCTTTTGTTTGCAATTTGGATGGGGATCAACAAAGACAAATTGCTCATACCGGAGGAAGCACAGAGCCCACACTCGCTCGAAGGCCAACGCATAGAGCCAGAGAAGCGTCTCTTTATTTCCACGTCCATGTTTGCAATCTCCGAGGCTATCTTCTGCATTTATGCCGTTGTTGCGATCATGGTCTACATACGCCGGCCTGGCCAGTATCTCGCACGGATGCCTACATCGATTGCATCTGTGGTCGCCCTGGTCGCCGCCAGTAGCGCCGTACTAGACATGCGAGGGACGTCTTATCTGGACAGAAAAAGCCGCGCGCAGCATTTGGAGAGAATAGACGCGAGGTATGGGTACGGAAGCTTTATTGGTGGTGGAGACGGGCGCGTTCATATCGGCATTGAGAAAACACCATTTGTACGGACTAGGTCCAAAACCACTTGGCTGGAGAGGAAGGTTGGTTCTTGGCGTAAAGGATCAATCAGTTGATGTCAATCGCTAGAGGAACGTTCATAAGAATGCTTCGCAGCTGTAATTTAGCGGCCGTCCAATGAGAAGTCGGATATACAACTCTTCGAAATCTTCGCTTCCACTCCACATTGTTGTAGTGAAAATTAATGCTCGCTGTACGACAAAAGAGTGCAGGAATGAAGACAAGCTTGATCTTGCGGCTGAGTCATGGAGTCTATGCAGAATAGCTGAGTAGATGAAGCTTGGTCAGAGCCGCATAGAGACAATGGTGGAGATTGGAGCCGAGCAGCATGCGATGCAATCACGTGTCCTTCCCCAATCCGATTCGTTGGCAGATCCATTACCTACTACGACGATCATGGCGGCGAACGAATCTCTGCACAGCTGTAGGCAAAATACGTGCATAAGTTGGAACCAGAAGGATCTTCCGGACGTTGCTCACTAACATTCTGTGTCCAGTATAGAACTTCAACAAAAGTAATACGGCTTCCGTAAAATGTTGAGGTGGAAACGACCCGACACTGCTTTGGCGAAATGCAACTCTAACGCACTGACCAAGCGATACAGATCTAAGGCTTGAAGAACATGTAATATCAGGCTACCAATAGATCCTTCGCGCTGCAGGAATTGTGGGACAAGTGGCTCTTGCGGTCTCGCTTGCTATTGATCGAGACTGCACCTAGGCAATATTGTAATAAAGTTGGTCGAGTAGTATCAGGAATGAGCCAGACGAGAAGCAAGTCACGTAGACATGATCCTGCACTTGAGCACTGTTCATGTCGAACCTGCAGCTGGTGCTAGATGGTAGCTGCCACGAGCGCAAGATCAGCAAAGACGAACTCATGGTTTCGTGTAGTATTGATCCTAGCTTGTGCAATGAAAACATTGGCGAGGGGACGGCAAATCCGGCACTGTAGCGGCGACGCTGGCAGGTGTTCTGTACCGGAGAACCTTAGGAAAGTGCTAAGATGGAAACAGCGCACCGATCTAGTCAGATTAGAAGCGACCTTGGGCGATTTAGTAACGTTTGCCGCTGGTTACTGTTCAACAACGACAATACTAAGTCGAGGTTTTGCTGTAACATCATTCTGGCGTCCTACGAGTGGCCGTAGCGGAGATGATGACCATCTTGGACTTGGTATGTGCGAAAATTGCCATCCTCGAGGATTGCGACTTGATTGTTAGCCTGATCTTACGATTGATGATCGTCCGAGCCGTGCGAAAGGAGATTTGGACTCGATCAGGTGTGGAGTAAGGTGACGTGTAGTCATGTTCGTGCGTTCGGAGAAGACTACTGGAAATGGTGAGGATGCGTTCTCATGGGACAATTGCGAGTATAGGTAATCAGTGACGTGTTTGACAAAAGGCAATTGCGAAGAAGGAATCTGTTTTGGCTGTGTTTCGTGAAAGGCGTGGGTGGTCACCTATCACGTGCTAGAATCGACGAGGCCAAGGAGCTCTTGCCTAAACTCTTTCCCCGCGAATACTACGCTTTACCGTTGGGATGGCAGGAGTGGGGCTGTCATCGCTCATTTCTGCATGTCTCACTCAGAAGTCGTATTCAAGTTATAGGTTCGCAAAATCTTCGATTCCTGGCACCAACCGCGCTGTTTCACTTTCGTTGGGCAGCAGCAACAACAAAATGAGTAGGACGTAATCACAACGGGGGTCTGCTATTGTTTTGTCTCGCGCTGTTGGCGTCACTAACTTGCAGCTGGTGGTAGACGGTCCAATGTCAGTAGTCGACGGCGCATCCGAAACGAGGCCCCGCTAGCCTTTTTCGATCCCCACTGATCAGCTTTCAGGAGGAAAGGGAGGCCCAGTAGTGTTGGCTGCCCGCCGCCCTTCTACCATGTGCGGGCTGTTTGCGCGTAAGTGATTTAATGAAACAAGCCGCGGTTGGTAGACAGCCAATCGGTCATTGGAGCGATGAAGGCCTGAAGGCAACGACGCTTTCCCATCACGAGCTGATGTCGACGACAGGCTGGTAGCGAGGCCCACGGGTCGCTACGCCGGGTCGTGACCTGCACGAGACCAGACGCCGCAGCCACACTCACCTTATGCCCGGATCCGCCCTACCTGCGACCTTCGTCGACACCGACGCTCCGACGCCGAGGGCAACTCGCCCACGTTGTGGCGCAGCCAGCTGAACACGAGGCCACGACAGTTGCATTGGGTCGATCTCCAAGATTAGCAGCGTTCGCCGTCAGGAACCATGCATAGACCGAGGGCTGTCAACAATCAGGGTCTAATATTGTCGAGAGTAACAGAAGTGACGGCTAAAAGGTGGAGGCCCAGTAAAAGACCTTGCGCATGAGGGATACCCAGGATGCGACGCATGAAGTTCGATGACATCGACGCGGCCGGTCGCCCACAAGGCCTGCAATCAAAGACCTCTTTGTCATTCTGGTCGGCCCGCTACTGTTCAGACTCCAGAACTTCAGTCTGGCGCCCGTATCGCAAACATGGCGGTAAGTATCCTTTGCGTTACCTGCGAAGAGTCGCGATTGTGCAACCTGGTTTGCTGTCGGACAAGCCATGGGCGCACGCCCGGTGTGCGTCGAGATGAGCACGTCTGCCAATGGGAGGCTCCGCAGCGGCTTTCGCGAAGGATGCTGATCGTTTCAGCTTTAGCAGGCGATCGCCACTCCACACCATGGCTAGCTCTTCCAGCTATAGAGTTATCGATAGGCTAGGATTCGGCATTCCCCTGCATAGTACACAGACCATCGGCACAAACTTCAAACCTGACGTTGGCCCCCTGGCCATAGCCTCGCACCAATGCCTTCCCCTCTGAGTCGCTCTCCGCTTTTTTGTTTCAAGGACAATGCTCTTGTCATGACCACATGGCCAATGGTATCGGTATCGTGCCTGCCGAGAGCTCAGGACTTTGACGTTACACCACTTATCCTGCGCTCGTCCCCCTGCCGCTAAACCGGGAGGGGGACGCCAGCCGAAAGAAGCCCGTCAACCGTTGCAAGAGAAGCCTTGCTCCGTCGAATAGCCTATGCTTCTTCACGATGATCCGCCGGGCATAGGCTCCTGAGTCCTTGCACTGCTGTACGAGCCCGTCCCGACCGCCACAGGCTAGCCATGTGGGTAGACATGAGCCTCCGTATATAATTGAACTGTGTTTCGTCTGCTTTTCCTTCTCATCCCAGGCTATTCACAGCAGTACCAAACTCTTCTCTGTTTCTTTTGCTTTTGCACATCTTGCCTGTGGCAGATCACATTCTTTACCATTGCTGTGCGTCAACGAAGAGCTAGACTCAACAACACATCTCCCGCCTATATCAAGTATCACTTGCTCTTCGAACCTCGAACCACCACAGTCATCACATTCATTCCATCGCTCAGCAGGTCTAGCGATATCCAAACGAGAATACCTACTTCTCATAACACTCCTTCAAACATCAACATGTTCTTTTCGACCCCCCTACTTGTGGCATTCGCCGCCACTGCCTCAGCGCACATGAGGATGAACAACCCCAAGCCCTACGGCTTTGACACTCTCACCAGTTCACCATTGGAGCCAGCCGACTTCCCATGCAAGCAACGACCTGGTGTCTACGACGTTACACAGATGAACCAGTGGAATGCCGGCGAGACTCAGACAGTTTCCTTCCTTGGTTCCGCTGTTCATGGTGGTGGATCATGCCAGTTCTCTATCACCACTGATCAGCAGCCATCTGAATCCTCCCAATGGAAGGTTATTCACAGCGTTGTTGGCGGCTGCCCATCCAACGCTACTGGTAACCTAGTCGAGAACCCGGACGGCACTCAGGCTGCTACCTTCCCAGTTACCATGCCTGACAACGTTCCTGATGGCCAATACACCTTCGCGTGGACTTGGTTGAACAAGGTCGGCAACCGTGAGTTCTACATGAACTGCGCGCCTATTCAAGTTGGAAGCGGCACTGGCAAGGCATCAACTGCAAGTGCTTCCGAGGCTCTTTCGTCTCTGCCCGACATGTTCGTCGCCAATCTGCCTGCCACTTCGTGCAGCACCGCCGAGAACGAGGATTTCAACTACCCCAACGCCGGCCAAAGCATTGCTGAGGGTAACGGCGCTTCTCTTGGAGATACACTCACTGGTGCCGGATGTGACAAGATGACCAAGATGGGCGCTGGCAACGGACAGATGGGAACACCGTCCCAGCCTGAGGCTTCTCAGCCCGCATCAAGCGAGGCTCCGGCCGCTACTTCTGGTTACGCCGCACTTCCATCCAACGGCGGTGGTGTCTTCGCCCCTGGTGCTTCTTCCGCTCCCGCTGCCGAGCCCACTCCTGCCGAGCCCACTGCCCCTGTCGCTACACCTACTCCTACCTATGTTGCTGAGCAGCCTAGCAGCGCTCCCGAGCAGCCTGCGTACAGCGCGCCTCCTCAGGTGCCCGACAACAGCACTCCCAGCGCACCGTCCAGCGGCAGTGACTGCACCCCCTGTGACAACGATGGAGCTGTTGTATGCATCGGATCCAATATGTTTGGTCTTTGCAACCGCGGATGCGCTGTTGCCCAGCCTCTCGCAAACGGCATGTCCTGCTCTGGCGGTGCTGTCGTTGCTTCCGTCAAGCGATCCGCCAAGTTCCCTCGCGCCCACCTCCACCGCCGCCACGGCTCGTCTCTCTTCAACTAAGAGACTCACGGACATTCCTACATATCCTCAACAGCCGTCGGCTACGAAATGCAATATTTGGAGTTTGGGATACGGATGGGGACACCCACGGACTGGGTCGTCATACAGGATGGGTTGGGTTTTGGGTCTCTTGTTCATATACCTCTCACGATGTGCGGATACCACTTGGGTCTGGCTCGTGAGTTTTTCTTGCGCTTTACTGTTGTTACATTCATTCATGACCGGCTCTAGATTGAGCCGGCATGCCCTGTTATCTATCTTGGAGAGAAGCACTGTGATCAACCTCGTGTCTACGAGCGCACCATACTCTGTACCTACTGTACAAAATCATATAAAACGCTTGTTGGTTCTACCCTACTTTGCCCACATGCTAGTCGTGACGCTTCCTTCCTTACTCCTTCGTTTGAAATCTTCTATTCCCAGATCCAATGGATACAACAAAGTAAAACTATCCAATTGCGCATCTGCTGCACTATTCAACCATGGTATCCCCATGACTGTATTCAGTTCTGGCGGTAGCTACAAATATAGCCAAGCAAAACCACGAGGCTATTCACCGGTTTATGACGTTCATCGGTTGGCCGGCTTTTGATAGGCCAGCCTCTCAGGGAACAGCCAAGGGGACCAACTTCCCCTCTGATTCCCACTTTCAGCCCTAAGCTCCTGTCGCCAGCGCACACCCGAGCACGCGACGAGCCAAACGACAAATCCCCCTACAGCCAGTCGACTACTATTATTTCGTGCTGTCAGGCCCCAGAATTCTAACCGCGCCGAGGCCTTCGTTTCGTACGCTGCCGCCACTCAAGCTTAGGCGGTCATTGCGTTCGCCCCACTACTTCGCTGCCTTCACCTCCACCGTCTTCTCGTGCTCACTCCCTACGGCTTGCTGTTCAAACCGCCCAACATGGAGAACCAACCGCAGGACGCCGACCAGTCCAAGTACATTGACAATGCTATTCGCGCCGTCCGCGAGAAGAAGCCGCTCCCTGAGATTGACTTCACCCTGCATACTATGGAGGATGGAAACCAAGTGAGCACCCAGGAACGTGTTTGCAAAGGTATGCTCATTCCACATGTCGTGGCATGGTCTTCGGCCAGCTTGTTCGCGGTTGCGACGTTTTCGAGGCACACAGTCAGCTAACTGTGCCGTGTTCGCCAGACGTACAAGCACCCGCCTTCCACCCACCCACCGACGAGCAATTCTTCTCCCCGCAAGATCGCACAAAGCCCAACATCCAATTCCTGAAGCAGCACTTCTACCGAGAAGGTCGCTTGACCGAACAACAGGCGCTATGGATTATAAAGAAGGGTACAGAGATCCTCAAGTCGGAGCCCAACATGTTGGAGATGGACGCACCCATTACCGTGTGCGGTGATGTTCACGGGCAATACTACGATCTCATGAAGCTCTTTGAAGTCGGTGGCGACCCAGCAGAGACGCGCTACCTCTTTTTGGGAGATTACGTCGATCGCGGCTATTTCAGTATAGAGGTAAGACGGCAGGAAAGCAACCGCTGTGCATTGGCTGACACTCGCAGTGCGTTCTGTACCTCTGGTCCCTCAAGATCTGGTACCCCAACACCCTCTGGCTCCTCCGGGGAAACCACGAGTGCCGCCATTTGACCGACTACTTTACATTCAAACTCGAGTGCAAGCACAAGTACTCCGAGGCCGTGTACGAAGCCTGCATGGACTCGTTCTGCGCACTTCCCTTAGCCGCTGTTATGAACAAGCAGTTCTTGTGTATACACGGTGGATTGAGTCCCGAGCTTCACACTCTGGATGACTTGAAGAGCGTACGTGGAACCATGTCTCCGCCGACGCCATTGCTGACCTTGTTAGATTGATCGTTTCCGCGAGCCACCCACGCACGGCCTCATGTGCGATATTCTCTGGGCTGACCCCCTCGAGGAATTCGGTCAAGAGAAGACCAACGACTTCTTTGTTCACAACCACGTCCGCGGATGCTCGTACTTCTTTTCGTACCCCGCTGCGTGCGCTTTCCTTGAGAAAAACAACCTTCTGTCGATCATCCGCGCACACGAGGCGCAAGATGCTGGATACCGAATGTATAGGAAAACACGGACGACTGGTTTCCCCAGTGTCATGACAATCTTCAGCGCGCCGAACTACCTCGACGTATACAACAACAAGGCTGCGGTTCTGAAGTACGAGAACAACGTCATGAACATCCGACAGTTCAACTGCACACCGCATCCATACTGGCTGCCTAACTTTATGGACGTCTTCACATGGTCATTGCCATTTGTTGGCGAAAAGAGTGAGCAGACGTACCAATGCACATCGAAGTACCAGACTAACAATCTATAGTTACTGACATGCTCATTGCTATCCTAAATACCTGTTCGAAGGAGGAGCTCGAAGAGGAGACGCCCAGCTCTCTGGCTTCCGGCCCATCATCCCCACCTCTCTCCAGTCTCGACCCAGATTCGACCGAGTTCAAGCGACGTGCGATCAAAAACAAAATCCTGGCGATTGGTCGCCTCTCTCGTGTATTCCAAGTGCTGCGCGAGGAGTCTGAGCGTGTCACTGAGCTCAAGACTGCATCGGGTGGTCGACTTCCCGCGGGTACGCTCATGCTCGGTGCGGAGGGAATCAAGCAGGCGATCCACAGCTTCGAGGACGCACGCAAGGTCGATTTGCAGAACGAGAGGCTCCCGCCGAGCCACGAGGAGGTACGAAAGTCTCAGGAGGTCAGCCGAGAGCAGGCTCTCGAGAAGGCCACCAAAGAAGCCGACAACGACCAAGGCCTCGCGACTGTCGCAAGACGCATCAGCATGTAAGCATTGATCCTACTTGACTTGTCGTGCAGCAACTAATGAATGTAGGTCATCTGGCTCTGGACGCAGCCGGAGAAGCTAGGCGCGATTCAAGCGCTCGCGATCCGAGAGCGAAGCTGATATACGAGCTATGACATTGCAGGATGTTTAGGTTCTTGATTTCTGTATTGGCGGGCCACCAAATGTCATCAGTATACCACGTAGGCGTATTCGGGCCAGCGTAACCTAGAGGGCATCACCTTACGAAGCACGGTAGTAATTTGTCGGTTGACTGCTCAAGTTTAAGGGCATCGACCTCTCATTGAATCACATAAAATCAAATTCCTATGACACCAGTGTACATCGACCTGCTCAGTGCCACAGTGCGAAGGTGTGAGCAGAGCGCGCACGGACCCGGGCCGAAGCTAGCTTTGCCGACCTACGTCAACATGGACATTTCAACAGCAATGCTCAACTTCAAGCCCGATGCCTCCATGGGTGGCCTCAGTGCCGCGACTGACGATCTTTCGCAAGACAGGACCGACTGATCGACTCCCGCTTGCGCGTCGCTGTCGCAATGTCCTTACTTCACGCCCGACCACCAGCCTCCGCGTGCGCTCCGCATCCACGCATGTCTCGCCGACCGCGATAAATCTGCGCCCGCACATCCCACCGCGGAACAAGGAGCTGTACGATGCACTGTCGGCGCTTAGTGGGGCCGCCGAAACTTATGTCAATATAAGCAGACTGCAATTGGCATTGCGGGGTCTGGCGGCGCAGGATGCTGTAACAAGAGTCGCTGGTACGGAACGCGCAGTTGCATTTGAGGACTAGGGGCTGACGATGGACAGTTCTCGGTTTGAACAGCCAATTGAGTGCGCAGCAGCTTGCACGGCTACTACTCGCAGATCCGCTCAGTGCTGAGGAGCAGTGGGAGAGGGAACTCGTGAAATCAGGCGACAGCAACGAGAGAGCGGTATTGCTAAAGTATGTGCTTGATCTGCCATACTGGATATTGCATCAGCTAACATGATTGTTGTACAGATACGGCGACGATGCCGATGCACATGCGCCTTCGCCCCTCTACAGGGTCCTCTCCATACCCTCACGAACCTTGCTATCGCATAACCTGGAGGTTCTCGTCTCTACCATCAACGTCAATGTCGCGAAGTCCCTACCTCATATGGTAACAGAGAGCTCCACCGAATCGTTGCTGGTTCCCAAGCTCCAGGCCACTTCCGCACGAGGATTGCCCGTCCCATACCCGGTGCACAAGACTCTAGTATTAGGAGAAGGACTGGACAGCGCCATAGCATTTGGCAGATTCTCGGCGGATGGTCTGAACGAGGTGGATGACGTAGTAAAGATGGCCGTTGACCTCCCCGCCCCATCGGACGAAGTCAAACCAGATACCCACGCCGCAAGCGCTCCCATCAATCTCCAAGTCGGTACAAAAGCGCTCGACAGCTTCCGCGAGTCGATTCAAAATTCCATCATCTATGAGCGAGGGTGGTTCAAAAGTGGTTTGCCAACGCTGTCCGAGTGGCTGGTCCAAGACCTTCAGGCCACAGACGCTATCAAGCCCCCGATGAAGACGCTGGTAGCTTCTATAGCCGACGACGTAGACGCGAGCATCACCAAACAAGACGCAGCTCGATTGCAAGAGCTCGCTTCAGTCCAGACACAATCAGACGTCACAACCTCCATCGTTGGTCATCTCGAGACCTGGGCCGAGAAGTCTCATGCGGAGCTCCGTGACGAGCTTGATGAAGCCTTCACGGCTCGAAACTGGCACAAGTTGGCTTGGTGGAAGCTCCTCTGGCGTGTGGACGACGTCACGATGATAAGCTCGGAGATCCTCGAGCGGCGATGGCTCGTCTCAGCGGAGAAGAACAGCATTTACCTCGCCGGTCGCATGAACCAAGCTGGTTTCCCAGATGACGTTCAACACCTCGCCGTTACCGACATCCCGGAAGTGACAACGCAGGATACAGCGCCGACAGCAGAGAACCCGCGAACAGATCTATCCACCAACGTCCGGAAACCAATACCATGGCCCGAACACATCGCGGCTGCTCGCACAGAACTCATCAATGACACCGTGCCACCTCTGCAGGCACTCGCTCAACGCCTTCTCCTACAGACCTTCAGCACAACATCCCTCTCGTCCGCTGCCTCAGCACTGCTCTACGCCTCCATGTCTACCTTCTCCGTCTTCGAAGCTTCGGCCGTCGCGGCACTCGGTCTCACATTTTCTCTTCGCCGCATGCAGAAACTATGGGAGGGTGCTAGAGAATCATGGGAGGGCACCCTGAGAGAAGAGGGTAGACGCACGTTGAAGGGTACAGAGGAGAGAGTCAGATTTATCATCAAGAATGGAGGCAAGGAGTACGTTGAGGATGAAAGTGTAGCTGAGAGGAGAGCAGCGAGGGAAGCTGTAGCAAAGGTCAGAGACGCACTTGAGCGGATGGACGGTGGAGATGGCAAGGGAAGTGTATGATAGATATGTATGAACTTGATTCTGTGTCGCATCGGATGGTCTTCCATTGTAGTCGAATCAGAATGAGTGATTTTCTAGTTTTTGTTCTCTCTCCTCAAGTATTCTGTAGTTGAGGAGTTGATTGTGTTGCAATGTCTAGGTAAAGTAGAGTGACAAGTTCTTGGCGCAACTTGCCTGCAAAATGCACATTCACTGCGACTTGCTAACACCATGACCATTCTCTATAGTTGAATCCAGGCTGAATCCGCGCGAACCGGCGCAGATTTGGCGTGAATCCGCGTGGAATCCTCCTCAATTCACTGACTTTCAGCAACGTACTCTCTGAACAGTAGGAGACAGGCAATCGTGCTGTTGCCTAAAACACGTCACGGTACCTGAATACGCAGCATCGTCTACTGTCCTCGCCCTGTCTGCTCTACGCTTCTAAGCAAGGCGCTGTCTGTGTACAGACAGCGCCTGCGAGGTTATGCTCTAGACAGCATCTAGTATTATATAGAGGGAGAAGAACATGCACCTACACTTTTTAGAATGCAGCACATTTAGGCGGCAGAGATATAAAAGGTAAAGGTAAGCACTTTCGACTATTTTTACATAAGGCTAGGTGCTCGCAGAGGTAGATCTCGACCTAGAAGACAAGCCGACTACCAAGGAAGGCGGCTTAATAGTAGAATATGTAGGGAGAGGAATAGTCATCTGTCAGGCTTAACGGGAGGGAAGCCAACTTAAGATTGTTGGAAAATTAATCGCTAAAAAAACAGAAAGGGCCAGGGCACGCCAAACCAACGCAAGGAAGGAATTCCAACCTTTTGTCTCCAATGTAGGTTCTGGGTTGCATCTTGACCAGTATCCTGATATGAGTAATAGTGGTGTGTGGCCGATAAAACTTAGTAGAGTCGCAAAGTGAAATGCAAACTATAAGAAGAGAGGTAGAGGATAACTGTTTACGTGGTTAGCAATAGTAAAGGTAAAGAGGATGTAGAAACAGGAGAAGGGACACAGTACTTACTGTGGACGAAAGTCGAAGTAAACTACCCATTACTTCTTCTTTGGCTTCGACGTAAATCCTGGCATCTTGGCCTCAAGGAAATTCTTAAACACATTGCTGTGTTGTCTTCGCTCCTTGAGCGGCATCTTAGTCTACTGCACGAACAGTCGACGATTACGCGGGATTGATTCTTTACGAACGTTAATTCTCTTAGTACTAGTCTTTGACGAGCTGCAGAGAATAAACTAACGTTCGCTTCTAGCTGCATCTAGATCGTAGTCGTATGTATAGACAGCCTTTCCTTTTGTTAGTAACAAAGATGGCTGATGAATAAAAATGTAATACGTACCTCTAACTCTGCTTTTGTCTTTCTAGCTTTGGCTACTTTAGTAGCTCTCTTATTTCTTGCATCTGATTCCTCTTCTTCCTCCTTGGCAACGGCGGGATTTCCTTGTCTTGATAAGCCCTGGTCTGGCACGATATCAAGCGCGGCTCTTCCCTTCTGAGTGGCGGTTACTGACGCGCGGTTGAGGGGGTCCTTCGTGGGAGTGAAGAAGTCTTTGATGGACCTTGGCTTTGGCTTTGGCTTTGGCTTGAGATCTGTCAGTTTCTGCATCGCTCCGACAGATATTGGTATTTTGCTTACCTGAACAGCCCTTGCCGGAAGCATTTCATCTGTTAGAGAAGACGGGGCTTGAGCTTGAGGAGGCTGCACGGTTGTTGAGGGTATTCGGACCTCCACGCTCTGGCCCTGCTCATGTAATGTCAGTACTTCCCTACGTTGGACGAACTCTTCTTGACTACTCACCTTGCGACGATGGAGAGAGACGCTAGGCTCCATTCTTCTTCGCTTCGGCGAAGACGGTACAGATGGGTCATCCTCATCCTCGCTGTCTGATGTTTCCGCGCCTGGATCGTAACTGCGGCTTTCATCGACGGGTTCGTATCGGCGTCCTCGTTCGTCAATGTAGGGCGCGTAGGCCATGGCTCCATGTGACGGCTTTGTCGTTCTTGATGAGCGTGAGGAAGACATTTAACTGTCGAGGGATGAATTGAAAAGTGTATAGAGCTGAAGGATCGAATAGTAGAAGTCGTGCTGGTGGTGATGATAGCAGGATGTAAGAAACCAGTCCCCAACCCAACAAAGATATAATTATATAGTACGTACTGTCCTGCCTACGAGCGGTCAAATCACCGGGCATCTGTCTCTCACCCCAAGTGTGGTAGTTGCGTCACCTACCCCGCCTTCAAAAAGAGGGGATGGCAAGCTATAGGTGAAGGCAAAGGGCGGTATGTTGTGAGCAACAAGAGCTAGCCGGCGGTGTCTGAGGAACAGACAGCAAGTGGCTGGCGCTGTGGGAGAGCAGCGTTTGACACGAGCGGAAATGAACAGGCAAACAAACACAGACGCCAAAGCCTTAGGAACGGTGGTGGGAGGGCTGATGTTGAGAGGAAGTGGATAATACGCAGCCTCAGCCACAACTCGGCTACCCAATTTGAACAGAAGGATGAGCACACAGGATCACAAGTGTGGCAAGAGTCAAAGAGATAAAGTGTATGATTTGAAGTTAACTTTGATTATGACCTGAATAAACACCAAACAAACCGAACCGCTAGCTAGACAACGTAGTGACTGTGCAGTAACGCTGTACAAAATACCAATTGAGTACACTCGCAAAACATCGAACAGAATACTACTGTGTACGGACACTTCATCGCAGAGCCACTCAGAAGATCTCGCCAAGCCGAGGCTTTCCACCCTTCCAGTCATCGCGCTCGTAGTATCGGAAGACAAGATCGTAGCCATCCAAGTCATGTACAATACGGTCGACGCGACGGTATCCCGCAATCGTCTCCATCCTCTTCGCCTTTTCAATGTTCTTGGCGGGCATCTCATCAGCAGTAGGCTTGGCCTCGAAAAGAGTGACGCTGAATCTGCCAGGCTTGAAGATGCCGACAACATGCTCGACCACGTCAGCCGTCTCTCTACCAGTCTGGCGGGCAGGTACATTGGTCTCGAACGAGGCGTAGGAGCACTGGGGCTCAGGTGTGACGTGCACGGTGAAGTAGTGCGTGGCATCAGAACCCTTCTTGGAGCCGTTGGGGGCACCACCTGGAGCGGGAATAACACCGTTGGCAGAGAAGCCACAGGGCGTGAACAGGTAGGCGTCGATACGGGCGTCGGGGTACTTGGAGGTAGGGTAAACATCAGCCAAACCACAGTGCTCAGAAACAACCGTGCCGAGCGTGTGACCCTCGGTGGTCAACTCTTCGGGGAAGGTAAGCTCCTCGTCAGAGTTGAAACCAGAGTGGTCGGAAGAAGTCTGCTCGAACACGTCGAAGCTGTCATCAGAGGTGTGGGTGTTAGCAGCGGAGTTGAGGACAGTGGAGCCGCCGAGACTCTCGCTGTGGCCATTCTCTTCCGCAATGGTACCTAGGGACTGGATGGCGTTCTTGCGAGCCTCACGGGCCCTCTGAATGTAGCGACCTTCCGCAACCGCACTTGCGTCCTCTAGATAGAACTGACGGGCGTTCTTCTCATCGAGGTCGGTCATCAGGATCTCCAGAGTCTCGTCCTCTTCTTCGTCGGTGGCCTGCTCACGCAACATGCGTTGAGGGTGGCTCACGAACTTGGTCTCGGTGTCAGGCGCGAGCTTCTCCTCACCAGGGCTGGGAGGTGGAGTGAGGCTGGTGTCTGGACCGGTGATGTAGAGGTACCAATGTTCGCCGTTCATCTTGCCAATCATATAGGCACTGCCACCCTGGAAGCGGTCGTCAAGGTAGCGAACCTCATCACGCCAGCTGCGGTGGGGTCCACGCTGCTGATCGGGGTAGAGGTAGTTCTTCCTGCTGTAGAACACGCGGTACGGTGTGGCGGCTGGCGCGACGCCTGATGCCTTGGGGGCAACGTAGGGGAAGCCAACTCCTGCAGCAATCTCTAGCATGCGGGTGAGGCCCCAAAGGAGGGTTGTAGTTCCGCAAGTCTTGAGCACGACCTTGTGGGGAAAGACGAACATGCTCGACTCGGACAGTAGATAAGCGTCGACATGTTCAGACTCAATGACAGAGAGAACCTTGCAGTTGACAAGATCGAGCATGTCTTTCCAGACCTCTGCGGAGACCGTCTTCAGTCCGGTTGGACCCGCTTGTCCGGGCAACTCGGTAGCGGAAGCGCTAAACCATACTTCCAGGAGCTTCTCAGGACCCTCAAACGAGTTGGTCGAGTCGAGATCGATGGTAGCCTCCTTGTTGATGGTCAAATGAGGGGTGCCAATGTGCGACGAAGGCGAGGCAGTGTAGTGCTGAGGGATCTCAGTAGCGACCATCTCTTGACTGTGTGGCTGTCGCGCGCACGAACAGGTATGATAGGTGTATTTGGTGGCCGTGTGTGTGTGTACGGAAGCTTGGAGAGGTGGCTAGCTAGGAAGCTATGTGCAGCACAACCTCGCTCAGACAAGCAATGCGGTGCTCGCCTGAGAAGAATTGGCCCACGGGTCGCAAAGAGTAGGCGAGGCTGGCGTGTGCCAGCAGCAGTTTATGGAGGAGAGGGTAACCGACCGTAGTCGATGTTAGGGAGGTCGGGCGTTGAGGGGAATAAACGAGGCCTTTCGCCGGGAAATGGTGGCAGTGGTTGGGGTCCTCGCGATACCAGATTCCGATACCCTGGGGAAGTATCGGGTCCAGCAGACGAGGAGATCTGCTTTAAATGGGTACGATGGTGGGTGGTGAATGAAGGGGCGTGGCGGGTGTTATCGAGGCCTGTGAAGGGTCAGCGCTGGCCGTTTGGATGTCTTGCACACTGCTTCTCGCGGAGACAACGACTCACTTCGCAGGCTTGGACAGAAAGCGTACCAGGTCCTCGCGACGCATAGAAGAGCCGAGGTGGGCGGCGATAGACGGTCTGCGGGCTACTGAAGCCTAGGCAGTGGTGGAGAGGGAGGAGAGTAGGTCTGCCAGCGTGCCGATGTAGGTTTGGTGGGGGAGCGTTGAGCAGAGAGTCAATGCAATGGCGTTGGGCGCTGATAGAATCTGCGTGAATGAGCCGGCGGACGTGACGAGATTATATTCCCACACGGCAGGCGGGAGAGAGACGGGCGTGTGGAGAGTGTCAGGAGAGCGACGTACTGTGCGCAGTGGATGCAAACTTCACTAGGGGAATTTGACGTGTGTGGTGCTGGGCGACGTCGTGGAAGCTTCGGGCCTTCACGCGACAGCGATTTTTCACGAGTGCGGTGTTTTCGCATCAGGACGTCACCGCCCGTCCCAGTTGGCTGGAGCGCCCCGCCGTCTGCCATTTCACCCGACTCGGCCAAGGCGTTTGCGGGTATTCCATCCGCCATGTGCCTGACACAAGACGTGAATAGGTCCGACTGCACTGCTGCCATGATCGGCTGCTGCTATGTACATCAGGGAACATGCTACCTCTGCCACTTTACACTACGCCTAGCTGGGCTTAGCAGCACATGATCACGGCTTTACACGCAAGTACCAATGGTACCTGATCTCACCAGCACAGCCTTACGCCATCAATCAGAACCCGATGGGCATGTAGTCTATGCTCCTTCGCAATCTCCTTCGTCAAAGTATCCCAATTCTAACGCAGCTGCTCTACATCACTGCGCACGACCACCTCTCACAACCAGGGCGAAGACTCACATCATCCAATATAGCCAGGTTGATTGTATTGCCCAGAATAATAATCGCACAAACTGCGTATACATGTATAACACCTCGCCATAAGAACACCAGGCCCTATGGCACCAGCACAGCCCCTGCAACAAGCAAGCATACTCCTGGTACTCGTTAGTACGGGCCGAAACCCCAGGCGCACCCATCCGTCTTTGTTCCAGCTTAATCGCATACAACAAACCTGATATATCTATATCTTGAATCAACACTTCTTACCACCTAACCTTCCCTTTCAGGCATCTTCAACTTCAGCTTCCCTCTATCGATCATCATCCCGAAACATTCCCTCAGGTCCAATACCAGCGCATCTGGTGCCTCAAAGCCTGGTAGCATCGCAGGGCAACCGGCATGGCGCTTCACCCAGGATATATCCCAGGAGTGTGCACCCCACATCAGTGGTGTTGCCGTAGTGCTGTTAGGATGGAGGAACGTGGAAATGCCAAGGGGAGTGGATGTAAAGGGTTGGTAAGAGGGGGGTTGCATGTCGATGTGTGCGCGGCGGAGCCAGCGGAGGGCCTATTTGTCGTCAGATGTCACCGGTGAGGAACTTTAGACGAATAGCTCAAGGGTAGACCAAGATGGGCCTCAGCAGATCTTCAGGTGGCAAAGAGTACGTCACAAACAGCGGCGAGTACCTCTCGACCTCCTCATAACAAGCGCGTCAGACATATGAAAAGGTAACGTACCGCTTCAGGCCCTGGTAACCATTGCAACATTGCAAAATTCAGCACCTCCGTTGGACTCCATGTGTAACTCCTCCCATCGCCGTCCACTCTGTCTAGACTCGTCGCACCTCCAGGTTGTGCCGTAGATGTCGAACGGACATCCTCCTCTTCCTCTTGCTCTTCCTCACCACGCTGCATCTCTAGTTCAATCGGTGAAAGAAAAGGACTCCTCGGCCGCGACGAGAGCGGACGCGGTAGTACATCTCTCGTATGTATGACATCGAGTAAGGCGGCAAGCAATCCCACAGGTGAGTCGCATAAAGAGAAGGCCAATGTCTGCGGCCGAAGCGAGTAGAGACGATGTAGCGTGGGTCCCAGCGGCTCACCGCCATAAACCGCATCCAACGTTGCCGGATCTTTCCTATTCAGACCTTTCGACAGTGTCTGCACTTCATTCGGCATATATCCAAAGCTCAACAATGGCACCTTTGCCCGCGTGAGCTTAGCAACCCGATACTTGAGAAACCGCACTGGCCCGTTCTTCAACTTCGGCTTGTCAAACGACGGATTCGTAGTATGCACCGCCAGACAAGTCTCTGGATGTCTTAATGCCAAAGCGCGACATATTCCAAACCCCCTAGTAAAACTCGTCAGCAAAACGTAACCCGAGCTAAGACCACGGAAACATCTCACTTACCACCCCGTTCCATGAGTAACAAACTGCGTATACTCCAACCTCCCCATCAACCTTTGGAATACGTCCGCTGTCCCATGAAGCCCAAAATCTTCTTCCATACTCGCATCACTAAACCCAAACCCCGGTATGCTCGGCGCCACAACATGGAAAGCCTGTTGTGCACTGTTGGCATGACCTGGCAGAGAGTGTGGATCTGTCAGGCCGTCGATGACGCGTTGGACCTCGATGAACGACGACGGCCATGTGTGACAGAGAAGCAATGGAATGGCGTTGGGATGCTTGGATCGCTTGTGTACGAAGTGTATGCGTAGGGATTGCGTGGTTCCAGGAGAGGTAACGGAGGGTAGGGTGATGGTGGTTCGGTATTGAGGGAGAGTCGAGTTGAAGCGCGATTCCGCGGCGCGCCAGTCGTAACCTTCGAGCCTGCTTGGATGTTAGGGTTTGTGAAGGTCGAGTGCAGAGGAAAGAAGAAATATACCAGAAGTCCAAGAGCGGCTCAAGCACACTCTTTGGTGTTCCTTGCTCCCATCTCCTCTCATCCGGCAACTCTAGTTCACGTGGTAGACGCGTCATTTCTAGCTTCTTCTTGGTGAGTTCGAGGTATTTAGCTGAGACCTGCTTTGCAGTTAGACTTCTCGGCTAGGTAATGGGGGATAGTGAGGGGATACGCACGTGCATGCTATACGTAGTGATGGCTTCATCGTCGTGAGGTACGGGTGTGACCATGATTGCAGACTTGGGTTAGGTATCGGGGTGAGTCTTTTCCGTCTGTTAATGCCAATCACAGGGCTGGTATGGTAGAGCGCAACTGTAAAGACCTGTCATGCATGTCCTGTCTCTGTCAAAACGTCGCGTCTGTACACAGCGGCCTTAGAATATTCACGAAGAGTTCGCTACCAAAATATCAAGACGCGGAGATTAATGCAAGAAAGTATAATGTACACTATTGGGTTGCGGGCGCACTACATAATCATGGGGTACCTCCACTTGACGATTTCGTCCGTCGCGAACGCACATTAAGATAAGATCGTCCTGAGGCACGTCAGAGAAGCCCAGGGCTTGCGCGTTTCGCTTCATTGTCGAGCCATGAAACGAATCCAGGATCGCTTGTAGACGTCCCTCCATTGTTGTTGGCTGTCTATCTCTAGCGCACCAAGATGTGGCGAGTGTTGTGGCTGTGCAGTCGAGCCAGAATGATCGGCAAACGTCAGGGTCTAATTAGGATAGAAGGGCTAACCCGCATGCCAGGCACACCAATGAGCATTCGCGATGCCATAATATTTCTCGAACACGATGGAAGTGGTGGCCAACATTTGCCATGTGGCTGAAATAACCTTGTCGTGACATTTGTTACACGTCTCTAACTGTGTTGGCGCCGGCATTACCGCTGCTCGTTGGGGAGCGTTGCGCGCCTTGGGTTGCAACTCCGCGTAGATTGAGGGAGCCAATTCGCTGCACGAGATTAGTCCCGACTGCATCTACAGCCCCTCTTGGCTGCAGGAGTGAAGGCGCTGTTGCCGCAGCTTCTTGGACCTTGAACAACCTTATGCTAGTGTTGTTCCACACTCCGGCAGTACCCTTGGCTACGACCATCTCGGCTGCGAAGACGAATCCCCAGAGTAGCGATTCATACCAACCCAGAGATAACGCCGACCACTCGAAGAGGTGCACTCTGATAGGCGAAGGCTCAATTCCGCGCACCTCGGTCTCGCGTATAGTCTTCAACGCTGCGGCCGTGTCATTGGCGCTGCCTGAGCTAGGCATCTTGGGACCGAGTTCCGATATTAGCATGAGAATAGTATGCATCGGTAGTTCTGAAAGCCATCCTTCCAACTACAGGGGTCAGTAAAGCTTGTGGTCTGTACAGCGCAAACTTACCCATGGGACGGAGGGAGTAAAGAACTCATTAGTGGCTAAGGCTGGGCCCGCCAGACTATGGAGACTGGTCATACTGTTTTGTCGAGAGAAGGCAGGCTGGCCCACTGGCATCTTGCCCCTTGCCTTCTCCGACATGCCCCTTACCTGAAGCGGCACAGAGTCGTCTATAGACGAGGCTATGGACGCGCTTCTCGACGCGCTTCTGGAAGCGCCTGACTGTGACGGGACGGGGGATCTTGATGGCTCTGAGGGACGGGTTTCTTCTGCATCCGAGTCATCGTCATCGCCAATAGCGAAAGCACTATCCTCTTCCGGTACATTGCCTAGGGTAGGTGTGCGAGCGACCGTAGGACTTCTAAGACTGTCGATGGAATCAGTCCGTGTAAGATCTTCGCCGCCTTCTTTACGTTGCTGGTTCTGACGCTCAATTTCTTCTTGTCCACTCTCCAACGTGAAGTCTCTCAGTGCCTGGAACCTCTTCCGCGATCTCACGATAGCGTACACCAGGTTTGGGTTGTCTAAAGACAGTTAGAACAAGTAAAAGAGGGCTGAGGTTGCTATTCTTACGCGGGTATTGATGCTCAATCATAGCGTTGAGAACTTCCAGCAATGATTGCAGAAGAGTGTGATTGTTTTCGTTGGCAAATAGGAAGCTAGGAGATGACATGGACGCAAAGAGTTGGAGCAATTTAGAGCTCGAGGCGCGTCCAATGCTCTGAACGTAAGCTGCTATATTGTTGAGGATTGCGAGCAAAGCAGGGTATATGGCGTCTAGCCTGCCTTTACCAGTGGTGAGTAGGGTATAGATTGACTGACGTAATCAGCACATGTATTGAACCTCATGGTGATACATACTGTGATGACATAGTCGGCGTATGTGCCGTGAAAGTTGGGTATGCGTATGCTAGCTGGAAGCGACTCTTGCCCCTCAAACGTCTTGTTAAGGCTCTTGCCAAACTGCGGCTCGACACTCAAGGTCTGGAGCACGAAGATGCACATGCGCACAAGGCCCTGCTTTGACAGATCGTTCCGCTGATCGATGGCATAGTAGAGCACCAAGACGACGAAGTCGTGGGCTCTGTCGGTGTCAATGATGAAGGAGCGGAAGCGCTTGTTGCACTGCAGAGCCTCCCAAAAGAGCATAATCATTTCGGGTGCCCAGGTCAGTGACTTGTGGCTACCCGGGAGGTAGGAGGTGTTGGCTTGAAGCTAGTCTATATCAGCGAGAGATTACAGTGTATTGGATATTTTGCGTACCGGCTGATTCAGTACTCTCGTCATACCATCCACCAGAAATTGGAAGTCTTGAGGACGGTGTAGACGACCGAGGAAATGGCGGAAGAAGTTCTTGGGCGCCGGACCATTGCCAGACTCGGGTATGGGGTACAGAACGAGGACGAGAAGTAGCTGCAAGCAATAGGTAACCAGGACCTGTCGCTGGTCCTTGAAGACGACGTGGTCGTACGGCACGCGCCATGTTGCAGGGTTGTATTTGAGGGTCTGGGATAATCAGTAGTGCACAACACAGCATATGGAGGCACTCACAGTATTGAGCAGCGAGCAGAGGACGGACAGAACGACCTGCTTGTCGGGACACGTCGCAATGTAGGTGATGGCCTTTATGCCCTTGACTGGTAGCACGCCCGCGGACATGTACATGGACTTGCTAGCCAGGGTAAGCAACAAACGCAGGATCTCGGTCCTGTTGCTCTCAAACTCCTTGGTCGAGGCGACGGGGGTGTTGCATCCGACGCCGCTCTGCCATATCGCATACGAGACCTTGTTCTTGCCAGCCGCGACTTTGGGGAGGGTGAAGTCGGAGAAGAAGAGCAGGTCAATCAGCGTGTCGATGATCTCCTCAGCCAGCGGCTTGGCTTTCTCGAACTCAGGCTCCTTCTCGGTGGGTGTCTGCTCTGGGTCGGCCTCGTCGAAGATGATCTCGCTTCGTACCAGCTGGCCCCGCCGACTGCGCTTCCGCCGCGCGGCCCAAAAGAATTGGTCCTCCCATGTCTCGAGGTGGTCGGCTTCATACAAGAAGGGAAGCAGTCGCGTGAGGACCCGTATGCAGTTGAGGGCGTCGCGCTCCGGGGCCAGCTCAGGGTCAGGGAAGGAGGGGTGGTTGCGCAGGACTATGAGACGCGAGGTGATGGCGAGTATGAGGGTTTCGAGATTGGCGAGGTTGTTGTCGCGGGTGCGGCGAATGTCTGCGGGCGAGAAGAGCGAGAAGACATCTTCCGTCGACTCGGGCAGCTCCCAGAACTGGCGCCGTCGTCAGTACAGCAACAGCACAGAGAGCAGAGGGCAGAGCATAGCATACGCCAGTCCAATAAGCGTCGTCGGCGGGGATCTGCTTGGGCTCAGACAGGCGGAAGACGCCCTGCTTGAAGGACAGTTTCGAGTCGGATGCACCCATTGGCAAGCATGTCACGGCGTCATGTGCGCATTCCAAGTGCGGTAGATTGACACAGTAGATGTGGTGAGAGCAGCCTCGCCGAGAGTGACGTCGGCAGCGCCCCCGAACAAACGCCGGCTATTCACATGCTTTCGCGTCTGGGCGCGTTACCAGTTCAGACTCACCACCTGGCCGAGTCTATCTTCGTCGTCTTCTCCCCAGACCGGCACAGTCATCGTCTGCTTCACGCTCAGGAACCGTCCAGAGGTTCTATTTGGGTCCAGACGCGGATGCAGGTGCCATACGTCATTACATAATCACCGCGGCGCCTTCCTCTGCCTGTGTCTGCTGCCTCCGCCACCGACACTTCGCCCTCGACCGCTGCACATCCATACCACCCGTCGATACATTGTCGCTCCCGCCACTCGCATATTCTCGCACCCGTACACTACAGAGATATACAAGGAGGCTCCGCCTTTCAGCAGCAGGCGGCCGCCACGATGCCACCCAAACGCAAGCTCGCGCAGACGGCAGCAGACGCAGAGGCCGAGGATGGCTGGGACGACAACGATGAGGGCCCCATGAGTGACCAGGAGACGTTCGACCAGCTCAAAGAGGAGTTCGACGTCAAGGCCATGACAAAGCGAGCGCGCGCTGGTAGGGTCAGAGACGCCGCAGCCGATCTCTTCAGGAAGTCGGACCAGTGGAGTGCGATGCTGAAGCCCGACCATCACAATCGCCCGCTCTGGGTCAACGACGCGGGCGGCATCATCCTCGAGTCCTTCCACCCCCTCTTCGATGAGGCCCAGGACTTTTTGATCAACATCGCCGAGCCGCAGTCGCGTGTCTCCAAGATGCATGAGTACCAGCTTACCACCCACAGCCTCTTCGCCGCCGTTAGTGTCGGCCATTCCAAGCAGGAGATTATAGAAAAACTCGACCGCTACTCCAAGACAGCTCTGTCCGCCGCCATCACACAGTTTGTCGAGAAGTCCACCTCCGCCTTCGGCAAGGCCAAGATCGTGCTGAAGAAGACACTGTCGTACATTGAGAGTGAGGACCCTGCCATACTACAGAAGCTTTTACGCGATCCTGTAGTCGCCGAGTGTCGCGCAGATTCAACAGACGGTCTCATCAAGGAGGCCGCCCCTAAGATTGGTCAGATGGCTATTCCGGGTACCAAGCTCGCTGCTGGTGCGAACAACATGGCACAGCAGCAACAGCCAGAAGCTGTACAGAATCCGCCACCAAGTGACATGGTTTCCACGCTTCGAGAAGACGATGACGATGACGAAGTTGCCCAAGTCCACTCGTTTCAGATCAGAAGCGAAGAGCGCGAAAAGGTCGTCAAGCGTTGTCGGAGCATCGGTCTGCCGCTCACGGAGGAATACGACTTCAACAACGACGATACCAACCCGAACCTCGAAATCGATCTCAAACCCCATGCGCAGATTAGATACTACCAGGAAAAGGCTCTGAGTAAGATGTTCTCCAACTCTAGAGCGCGATCGGGCATCATCGTGCTGCCTTGTGGTGCAGGTAAGACTTTGGTTGGCATCACAGCTGCCTGTGGTGTCAAGAAATCCGTCATCGTCCTATGCACGAGCGCCATGTCTGTTGTGCAATGGCGAGCCGAGTTCATCAAATGGTCCAACATCAACCCAGAAGATGTTGCTGTCTTCACTGCGGATAACAAGACCAGGTTTCCCCGCCAGGCCGGTATCATCATCAGCACCTATTCTATGATCAGTAACGCTAGGAAGCGTTCGCATGATGCTGAAAAGGTCATGCAGTTTATCCGTGAGCGAGAATGGGGTCTACTGATTGCCGACGAGGTGCACGTTGTACCCGCCAACATCTTCAAGAAGGTCACATATGAGATCGCATCTCACGCCAAACTCGGTCTTACTGCTACACTGCTGCGGGAAGACGACAAGATCGATGACCTTAACTTTTTGATTGGACCCAAATTGTACGAAGCTAACTGGCAAGAGCTTTCGGAGCAAGGTCATATCGCCAAGGTCCAGTGCGCCGAAGTCTGGTGCCAGATGACACCCGAGTTTTACACAGAGTGGCTCAAGCCATCGTCCCTGCAAAAACGTGCACTACTTTCCATCATGAACCCCAAGAAGTTCCAAGCCTGCCAGTTCCTGATCAATTACCATGAGTCCCGAGGCGACAAGATCATTGTCTTCTCTGATAATGTCTACGCACTAGAGAAGTACTCACGAAAACTGGGCAAGGCATACATCTACGGCGCAACACCTCAACAAGAACGTCTCCGTATTTTGGAGAACTTTCAACATAATGAGCTTGTCAACACTATTTTCCTATCCAAGATTGGTGACACCAGTCTCGATCTACCTGAGGCGACATGTCTCATTCAAATCTCTTCCCACTACGGTTCCCGTCGTCAAGAAGCGCAGCGCTTGGGCAGAATCTTGAGGGCGAAGCGTAGGAACGATGAAGGCTTCAATGCCTTCTTCTATTCCCTTGTTTCAAAAGACACAGACGAGATGTACTATTCGTCCAAGCGACAAGCCTTCCTTGTCGATCAAGGATATGCCTTCAAGGTCATCACCCGTCTTGAAGGATTAGAGAACTTCTCACAACTGGCGTTTGCAACACCGCAAGAGCGTCGAGAGCTACTGATGGATGTCCTCCTTGCCCGTGAAGAAGATGCAAAGGAGGAGAGGATCGAGGGTGATGCTTTCGGCACTAAGTACGCCTCCAACAAGGGCAATAGGAAGAAGAATGGTGTGAGGCGGGCAGCAGGCACGCTATCCGAGTTGTCTGGTGGCCAGACCATGGCCTACATGGAAGTGAACAAGAGCAGAAATAAGGAGCTCAAGGGGACCAAGGGTGTTCAGAATGCCTTTATGCGGAAGCTGGCTAGGTCGGGAGCTAAGAAATAGTGTGTATGATAATATCGTACGTGTATATCGCGTCTTGCATTGCTACGGCGTTGTCATTATGGGATACTCTTTTCAGGATCGTCCAATCGGGTGGTGTTTGCGGTTGGAAAGTAGATTCGTCGGAGTACTATCCATTGAAAGTAACTATCGAGCTCTACATAGCTCCGCCCTGGAGGGGCACGTTTGAAATAACACCCGTGTCAGGCGAGCAATTCACATACTCAAACATAGCGTCGCCCTCAGTGATGACACATACCTCGTGCCATGTTCGAAATCTCCTCTCATCTCCAAAAGCTTTGTAATGTGCAAGTGCACCACCATAGATCTTCAGATGCGACGCGTGGCTTTTGGCCCAGTGCTCCAGATCTGCGAGGTTGGCGAAGAAACCCGCGCCACACGATTCCTTCCGCTCTTCCTTATTACCACAAGGGGATTGTACATCCTCATTACGAAGATATTGGATACTAAGAGCCCCAGTCTCCGTTGAATTCTCATGCAAATATTTGAGACCTTGCTGCAGAGTCGGTTCGAGCTTCTGCTCATACGAATCCGCTTCTTCCTCGCCACAATTTTCCCAATATTGCCCAGAGCGAATGTGGACCATGTTCTCGTGATTTGTGCCAGTCAGATGCTGACCTATACCACTTGGAACTGAATTCGGACGCGACACATCAGTGGATCGAGGGAAAAGATCGTATGCGGAGTCTGGAATGCGATCTCGAGCTGCTCCCCAGTACGTGCTTAGGTTGTGTTCTTCAGTATTGGCTCCAGGTAGCCTCGCTAGTCCGGGGAGATAGTCAAGACCAGAATAGTTGGTTTCGAGGCGTGATACCGATGTCTTGAAGCCTTCGTGCCATAGCCCGATGAGTGGGCGCCCAGCGGTGGATATGTTCTGATGCATGCTTCTTAGGTTTAATGATTTGATCGAACGATTGCGTCTTGCTTCATCGCTCCAATAGCACACCCACACAGTTCCTTCGATGCGACTGTAATTGTCTAGCGTAGTGAATGCTTCTACTGCTTCTGGTGCATCGACTTGTCCGAGCCATTGCTGAACAGCGCAGATGCCTTCTTCTTTTGCCTGAGCAGCTACAGCGCTGTCCTCAAGCTGCTCGATACCAACGTATGATGTGAATACTTGTTCGACGCTGGTGGGCAGGCTGAGTTTCCATCGAGGGATGGGAGCGTGATGGTTTCGAGGTTTGCGCAATGGGTACAGGCGAGCGGGGCAAGACATTTGGCCTGTTTCAAAATGCCGATTGATATGATACAGGGTATCTTGAAGGAGTCCGGCCTGGATTCTTTCAAGGTTCTTTTCTAAAGACGGGTTGTGGCGCGACCCCGCATCCTCAGCCTTATCTCAGCATTAGCTTTCACAAAGTAGTCTTTACGTACTCTAGTCCGTGTTTTCAACGTCCCTTAGTCCACCTGGCTCCGGCGACGCGGATACCTGGAGGCAGTGTCCTCGAGAAAGTAGCCGCCTGTAGTGCCTGCATGTGATAGCAGAATATCTACACAGGAGACAAAGAACTGTTGCGCTTTGTAACGCTCGACAGTTAGCATGATAGAGCGAGACAGCCAAGCTTGAGCGTTGAGCGAATCGTGGCGTCGATGCCGTGGCGCGCCTCCCCGCACTTTCGGACTTTCAGCGCTTGGCACTCACGGACATTCGGACTTCTCAATCCTAACGTTTTTTGTGAAGTTCCCCAGCGACTCGAAACGCCTTAAACCCCATAACGCGTCAGGCACCACGCCAGGCGCACGTCCAAAGACCCAGATCAATGCCAGTTTGGGGACGACTTAAGTAGGGCTCACGCGTATTGTTCTCGAAATGTTTGTGAGACCCCTCTGCGACATGTCGCAGCGTCACGAACGGCCGAGTTATGCCTAACCCAACCTGGCGGATGCGTAACGTGTTTGCCAATCGTGAAAAACGTCCGGCTGGGCAGTGCACGATATGGTGATGGATATATATCATGGTGGTTAACGATTTGTATTTTGCTCTGTAGACTGGTTCTCGACTTCTCTTTCACCTCTCTCTACTTGCACTTTTTTTTTCGCTTCGTCGCCTGCTGGTATTGGCAAACCGCTGGACGGCATTTCTTCTTCTATTTTCTACCTTTCGCATTCGATCCTCAAGAGACGCGGGCCGTCCCTTCCGCATTAACTCCATCTGAATATCAAAGCCGGTCATCATGGGTTGGGGTGTATTGGAAAGCAAGCGGTCAGCATTTCCTCGGGGTACCTCTAGATTAGGGGTTAAAGATGCGAGCGACGACAAGGTACCCGAACTTGATACCTCCAAGAGAAATGGAGGCATCGTCCTCTCCCCACAACCGTCCGATGACCCAAATGACCCTCTGAACTGGAGTTTGAAGTGGAAATGCATCCATCTGCTCATCCTCGCTTTCGGTTCTGCAGTCACGAACGCGTAAGTCTCTCTCATACGGAATGGACTAGCAAATACTTACGCTCATCTGTCATAGAACCACGACTATGCTTACCCCAGGCTTGGAGCCTCTCACTGAGAAAATTCAAAGCAATGAGGGCGACGTGTCGACATGGCTTCTTACAGCACCAACATTCTGGACTTCAGCCGCAGCTTTCGTCGCGGTTGCGGGGACGGATGTCTGGGGGCGAAGACCGTTCTACATCTGGAGCGTCGTCCTGCTTGCTCTGGCCAACTTCGCAGCTTACCTTTCTTCAACATTCCCCATGCTAGCCGTCGCTCGAACAGCTGGCGGCCTCTTCTCTGCACCTTTGTTCACCCTCCTTACCGCAACAATCAGCGACATATTCTTCGTTCACCAACGAGGTCGATCTATCGCGGTGTGGAATCTTATGCTGAACTCTGGAGCTCAAGTTGGGTGAGTTATAAGAGTAACCCGTGATCTCTCTAGCTGCTAACAAAACCTCCTTTCAGTCAAATCATCGCCGGTTTCGTCACCGACACGTTCGGTGTTTCCGCCAACTTCCTCATCACCGCCCTCATCTACTCAGCTCTGATCCCCGTATTCTACCTCACTATCTTTGAGTCGGCCTACTTCAACCGTAAGACGGACGACGTCACAACAATCCACGTGCCCGCCGATAAGCTAAGCGCAGAATGGGACGAGGAAGATCTCAAGGCCTCTGTTCGACCTCCAAGGCAAACATACAACGAGAAGCTAGCTTTATCCCGTGGTCGGCTTTCGGAGAAGTCATTCTTCAAGGGCATCATCAAACCCCTCGGCCTCATCTCTTCACCCATCGTCTTCTACAGCTGCTTTCTCAACACCACAGTATTTCTCTTCCTTGCTGGCATGTCCACCTTCATGTCAATTCTATTGTCGTCTCCTCCATACGATTTGACACCCAGTCAGATTGGTCTGACCAATTTGCCTCTATTTGTGGTCGGTCTACTGTCTGGGCCATTCTTTGGCTGGATGTCTGACGCTTCGGTTGGCCTGATGGCGCGCCACAACGGTACCACGAAAGGCATGGTCGAGCCTGAATTCCGTCTCGTACTCCTCTTGCTCTCGACCCCAATCACCATGGTCGGCTTGATTGGTCTGGGTGCTTCCTTCCAGAACAGTCTCCCCCTAGTCTGGATTCTCGTCTGGATGACAGTCACCAACGTGGGTAGTGTCGCTGGCGTGCAGATTGCCATCGCCTATGTCATCGACTGTCACCCTGAGCATTCTGCTCAAGCTTTCTCCTCCATCAACATGATCTCCGCCGGTGCTGTCACTGTTGGTATCACTCCGATGATTGGCTGGCTTGATACCGCTGGACCTATGGCTGTGTTCGGAACGCTGTCATCGGCCGCTGCCATTGTTACCGGAGCTGCACTTCCACTCTATGTCTTCGGGAAAAGGATTCGCGCTTGGTATGAGAGTGCAGCCTGGGCCCAGAAGCTTCTTGACTAAAGGCAAAGACAAAAGGAAGCAGAGAATTTCAGCATACTGTAGGAAGCGGAAAGTAGACAGCAGTCATTACCAAAGATTACACCTTTATCGCAAGGAGACAAAATCCTGTCACTCACTCGTACTCGGCAATATACCTCTCCAAGCATACCACCATTCATTTCACCCCATGTATTACTTAGAAGCATGTAACCCAGCACTAGACACGCCATGAAGCCACATGACATCAATGCACTTTCTCATTTTCGTTCATTTCTGAACACTAGGTTTATGCAACGATACACTTTTCATGGGATACAGCCACTCCTAATTTGCAGCATTCCGCACCTTCGCATCTTCGACCGCTTTATCCCAGCTTGTTCGCCATATGAATACACCTTCAATGGCGGCCACTATGCCAAGAGCAATCGCAGGTCCCTGTGAGACGTTAGCAGATTTTCAATTAGGTGTCAGCAGCGGAACTTACACTCCAAAGCCCATACAGACCCCAATGTGGTGATCCAAATCCGGTGCCGAAGCTGATCGGGATACCAACGATATAGTAGGCGAACAATCCAACGTAGCCTCCGATCTCCTGCCTGCCCAAGCCACGCAAGATACCGTTACAGTTGGCGGCTAACGCGTCAAAGACCTGGAAAGTCGCGCATAGCGGTAGGAGCTTTGCGACCATGTCTATGACTTCTTCGTCAGGTGTGAAGAGACGGGGAATAGCCTCACGAAGAAGCGAAAGGAGTAGTAGGTTGAAGATGCCGACAAGAACCGAGGCAAAGACGGCCACCTTGGCTGCTGTCTTCGCTGGAACTGCCAGAGTAGCGCCAATGAGATTAGCGATCCGCGTGGACGCTGCCACGCTCATTGGAAACGGTATCTGGAAGGTGATGCCGGTGATCGAGCCAAGCACAGATTGCGCCGCAAGTTCAGTTGGGCCGAGCCACGATGAGCTCAACGTCAGAATCTCAAAAGCCAGGAACTCGGCAAGCACCATGATCAAGCCGGGAAGCGCAAGCTTCACCATCGGCATCCAGTTCCTGAGCGCTCGTCGATCGAAACCACCCCAGCATTGGTATCCGTCGATGAATCTGACGTAGAGAAACAATAGCAGAGGAAGGACGTTCTCTGTTATGGAGACAGCAATGGGTGCGCCGATGAATCCCCAGCCAAGATGCCACACCATGAACCAGTTGAGGAAAGCGTTTAGTGGCGCGCAAATGAGGAGGATATACATAGTTGCGCTGAAGATACCCTGCGCTTGTACATAGCGTTTTCCGCTTTCGAAGGCCGCATAGCCGGGCGCTCCGAAGATAAGAACCTTCAAGTAAAGTCCTGCTAAGCGTGCCGTTTCCTTCTCTGGAACGATGAGCGAGAGGATTTGTGTGCCAAAGGCCCATATGAGCGATATTGGAATGGTGATCAAGAGAAGGAAGTACAACATGCGTTGCAGTTGCAAACCAACGAGATGGGGACGCCCCGAGCCATATGCTTGTGCACAGAGCGTATCGAGCGAAGTTGCTAGACCCTGGTATACTGCATAGCCCGTTATCGACGCAGTCATACTCGCCAGACTCACAGCTCCTAGTTCAGTTTTGCCAATATGCCCGACGGTGAAGATACTCGCTACCGGCAAGCTGTATTGAAGTAGGAACGTCAAGATTAACGGTGCGGAGCTCTTGGTCAAGACTTTAGCTTCTCGCTGCCAGCTCGTGTTGATCTTCCCTGCTGCAACCGCCTCATTCCATTTCTTGTTGATCGTCTTCGGTGAGTCCAAACCCCCGTATGGTTGGCTTGGATCACCTTCAGATGCACCCAATAGCGCTGTTCGCTCAGAGGGAGATTCCACTGCGCTTTCCTCGTCTGGCGTGCTCTTGACTTTTCGCAGTCCTGAAATTGACATCCTAGATCGCACTCGATCAAATGGTCCCTCGCTTCCAGCTCTTGGGTGCTTGGGCGGAATCAGATGGTTGTCACGGAGCAGACTCCGCTCTTCGTCCCGCATGGTCTCCCTCTCTTTCTTCGACAGATGACTGTGCTTCTTCCATGACGTTGGTAGATGACTCCTTTCGGGTACGCTGGAAGATATTATCGCGGTGGATCGTGATCCTGGGTTGACCCAGGAAGGCCGGCGATAAGAATTTATCATGGAATATTGCTGCCGGATTGTGTCCGAACCCGAGGAAGAATCATCTTCATCCTCTGATGCAGACTCGTCTTCCTCGCGATCTCGTGCAATTGCCTCTTCTGCTATACCCTGTGACTGAGTGAAACCCTCCATTTGAGACGCGACGTCGTTTGCGAAATCATTGACGGAATGTTCAGCTGGTATTGTTGGTGGGGCCATTGCTGATGATTTTGAAGCGCGAATTCAAGACCCGACGTGTCGCCCACTGGCATAAATATGTTGGTGAAAGAAGAACGAAGAAATATAGAGGGCAGGTCTACCAGAAAGTCAAAGAGTGGGGAATGACTGATATGGGCCCTCACATATGGCTATTGCATTGGCTGACAGAATTCGCATGCATGGTCTAATGCGGAAGCTGCAAGCGAAAATAGTGTTAGCTTCCGCCCTGGCTTAGATACATGACAAGCGGCAGTAAAGGGCGCACGTCGTGACTCTAAGCTGCACGATTGTGACTATTCGGCGGCTGCTGCAGGTTCAATGCCGACTGGTCTTTGCAGGATATCATCGGCTGAGGCTGATTTTCGTGACCTAGCGCGTGCACAGAGTCAACCAAAGGTGGAATGTCATCATCGGCTGTTACTACTCCGGACCCGATCACGTCACCAAATGTTCAATCATTCAGTGCTAAGCCTCAGGTAAGAAACGTAAAGAACGGCTTCCGAATACAACCACAACAAAAAAAAGTACGGACTTGATTAGAAGTAGTCACAAATCATTTGCTAGTCTTGTAGAATGATTGCTAAGGGGTATGGTGTGCTGCAAAAATAACGCTAAACGACAACTCTTCTCAAACCTTCAGTGCCACCGAGTATTCTCCTCCCAGTGATGGCATCTCTTCCTTTCCCGCTCTCCCATCTTCCCTCTCGGCTTCCTTCTTCCCTACCCCAGCCCTCATCTTCTGCTTCTCCATCGTCACCCGTTCGAAATCCTGCAGCACCCTCCATGAAGGCGACCTGGCGGTCGTGATCACCCCCAACCCATCTGTGTATGCAAGTGTAGCAATAGACATATCCTGTAGGCGAAGCCGTGGGTGTAATAATGGGTGTTACGCAGATGGGACATAACGTTGATGAGGGTGGTATGGGTACAGTGAGGATTGGGAGGAGGGTGGTTGAGGATATCGGAGGGTCGATACGTTGAGGTTGGTCCGACAAAGACGATGTCGGACGTGCCTTCTCGGAAGACTCTGCCTGCTTCGAAGGTTGCTGCTTCGCGGATGGCGGTAACGAAGGTAATATTGGCGGCGGTAGGTCGATGTTCTCAGCGGCTTTTCTCGACAGCTGTCGGGCGAAGTCTGAAGCATGCCACCATTCCAGGAACTTGAGCGCGAAGATACTGGTTGGAAGAAGAATCTTCAGCGAGCTCAGCAAGCGCGGCTCTATGCTCCTCGCAATGTTCCTCGGCGAGAAGATAGATCCGCCTTCTCCAGGCCGCGCCGGACCAACCTTCCTCGGCGCCGTAGCAATCTCAATCGCTCTATGATCCGCCTCTCCCAGTCGTCGTATACGCGAGCCGATTAACCACATGAACGGCGAATGATACTTGGTCCCATCAAAAAGGTATGCCATGTTGAATGCCAACAATGAGAAGTAATAGGCGGCATTTACACTTGGGTATATGTTGCGTAGAAACCACTTGTAGTAGTGCATTAGCCTCTCTTTCACGCTTGCCCCTGTTCTTAGTCCTTCTCTGTCACGGTTGTACCCAGGACCCAGGAGATTGGCATGCGCGGCATGGACATCGTAGCCCTCATCAAACTTCCTCTTTAGCCATGGTAAGCCCACCAAGACGGCGAGGTTCTTCCATATATCACCACTACCCAGCTTGACAGCCTCTCGTACGCTGTCCGATGCGCCTAATTGTGCGCGAGGTATTTCACCTCCTCGCACTTTCAGCACCCGGGCGCGCTTTAGCCCGTAGAAGTTCTCGGTGAACGATCCGCCGTAGGTGCGAAGGAAATGGCGCTCCACGAGCAGCATCAGCAGCGCGTAAACTTCATCGAATGAATTGAGTATGGGAAGCAGGTAGCGTGGATATCGGGGTGTTGTGATGGCGAGGAGGTAGCGCAGCGACGGGGGCAGGAGCGATGCGAGCTGTTGCTCGGAAAGGAGTTCGAAGAGCGAGGGCTTGAGGTCGTCTATGCCATGCTGGAGGGCGGGAAGGAACTCCATATCGGCCGGTGAGAGGGATTGGGAGATCGGATGATCATGGGGTTGGGGTTGATGAGTGTTGTGGCATCGTCGGCTTCGCGATAGTTGATGCGGAAGGTACGCGCAGCCGAGGCAGGAGCGCTCGGGGCTAGCCGTCGCCTCCGCGTCCGCTCGACGCGTCCGCTCCTTCCTACGTCACATGCTTCCCCCAGGCGGCGACTGACACCGTTGCGCTTCAGTCATAGCAAATGTAGCAACAAGACGCCCTCGTGTACAACCATCTACTCTGCCATGATGTATTCAGACGATCCAAGATGTACCGAGCTCGCGTATCCCGATCTGGTCAACTTTGGCGTCTCCGTGTAAGCCAGCCCTGTTCGTCGCGTGTAAACACAGCTAATCACCGTTGCGTAGCTTCATAGTCCTCGGGATACTCGTGTCCTATCTTCCGCAGCACTATAAGATCATATCGCGTCGGTCATCGCGTGGTCTGAGCCCCATGTTTGTCCTCCTAGGGACTGTGTCGGGAACCGCTAGCATCGCGAACATCTTGACCCTGCCGGAAAGCACGAGGGATATGGGATGCTGTAAGGAGATCGGGAGCTTCCCATGCGCAGCAGCTATGCTTGGGATAGTGCAGATCGGGGTGCAGTGGAGTTGTTTCTTCTTCATGTATGGCACTCTCAACCATCGAGCACACTGGACACTAACGACTGACAGCATGCTACTTTTCCTCATCTTCTTTCCTCGAGGTAGCTCACCAGCTGTTGAAGAAGAACAAGATACCGACATGCCCACATGGAAAGAGGCCGTCCTCGTCTTAGGTGTCTCGCTCGCCTTCTTCGTCGTCGCATTCATCGGCTCAGTCGTCTTCGTATACGCGCTTCCCTCACACATTCGCGGATGGGCAAACTTCCTCGGCTTGCTTGCTACGGTCCTTGCCGCCATACAATACATACCACAGATTTTCATGACCTGGAGACTGCAGGAAACCGGAAGTCTCTCCATCCCTATGATGTGCATTCAGACACCGGGGAGCTTTGTCTTTGCCGCAAGTCTATATGCGAGACTAGGACCTGGAGGTTGGAGTGCTTGGGGCTTGTTCATCTTCACGGGCATCCTCCAGGGTTTTCTACTCGCCATGGGTTTGTCTTTCGTCCTGAGAGATAGAAAGATGCAGAGAGACCAGCGGCTCGATGATGCCAACGGGACCGGCGTTGCTGATGATAGCGAGCGAGCGCCATTGCTGCATGGTGAAAGATGATATCTTAATCCTTGATACTGTTGATATCCAATCTCGCCTAATAATTCTAATAGTTTCATATCTGTCTTCGATGCAGACTTCTTATCAAGTACGCTTCTCAAATATACTCTCTCCATGGGCTTGGAAGCGCCCAGAGGCGGGCCTTGACATCGAGGTACTCGCGTCCTTCGCGAGCTATATATGCTGGCTTCGCCTCACTAAGCTCAAGATTAGATACATTGCATTCCTCGCAATTGTGGGATCTAACGCAGCCGCATGGGATTACCAAAAGCATCCCAATCGCATTCTCTAGTATCATGAATCTTAGTGGCGTATTCATATTCAGTTCGCCGCTCGTACACACCAACACCATCAATACCCAGGACGCATGGCACGGAACGCACTCATCGGTGAAGCTTGCATCACTTTCGATCGGTCAACCAGAGACCGTTCGGATGTCTCGACTTCTCTGGCCACCTCAGGATAGAAGAGATTGGATTCGTGATGATGGTAACCTTCTCGCCAAGCCAATCTATCGCCCTTTGGGCAGGTATCAATGTCTGCCCCTTGGCAACTTGGCAAAGACCGATCTACTCTCTTGTGACCTTCTTTTCCGGACACAGCACCTGCAAGAAGATGATAAGAGTGGGCCAGGCACGGTGTTCCGCGCTCAAATAAGCTGCATTTACCCAGGAAGCCGGAACCTCTAGTGGCGGGAAAGATGTGTATATGAGCTCAGCGCCGCCACCTGAACATGGCCGACGTTACTCGCACTTCGTTACATCTGGGTACTGGAAGAGCTAGCCAATTAAAGTGACAAAATGAAGGTTTCCAGTGCTATCGTCCTTGCGGGCGCTGCGCAAGCATTCGCTGCTGTGCGACCCCGGCCTATGGTATCATCTGGACCAATCCAGGCCGAGATCAAGACTGAGAAGTATGAACGTTTATCAGTTGGTTTCGACGGCACACTGACTTCCCTAGGTTGATGGGTAACCTCAAAGCTTTTGACTCTATCGCAAAAGCGAATGGTGGCAACCGCGCTTTCGGTCTTCCGGGCTACGCTGCATCTGTTGACTACATGCTCGCCAAAACGCAGAACACACATTTCAAGACATGGACCCAAGATTTCCCTGCCCTTTTCAACAAGATTGAATCCATCGAGTTCAGTGTGAGCAACAGCTCTTACCGTGTCATTGGGTTGTCCTACTCGCCATCGACCATTCCTGAAGGATTGACGCTGCCGCTTGTACTGGGTGCTTCTGGACCCGAAGGTTGCACAAACGAAGCCTACGACAACTTGGATGTTGAGGGCAAGATCGTCTTGGTGCAAAGAGGAGCATGCCCTGATGGTACTACCCTCGCTGGGCGCATGAAGCCTGCCGCTGCCGCTGGTGCTTCTGCAGTAATTATCTACGCAAGCGACACTGCGAACGTTACAGGTGGCACCTTGTCCAACCCTAACCCCGAATACGTGTCAACCGGCTACATTAACCTCGCCGACGCTGAGCCCCTCGTTGCACGCCTCAAAGCTGGTGAAGCTATCGAAGCGTACTTCCAGCAAACCCAAACCGTGGAAACACGCATAACACAGAACGTCTTCACCGAGACCAAAGACGGTGACCCAACCAATGTCATCATGCTCGGTGCGCATCTCGACAGTGTACAAGCCGGCGCTGGTATCAACGACGACGGCTCAGGCAGCACACTCATCCTCGAGATTGCCAAGGCGCTCAGGAGGTTCAACGTCAAGAACAAGGTCCGATTCGCATGGTGGGGCGCGGAAGAGAACGGTCTGCTTGGATCCAAGTACTACACACAGAACCTGAACGCTACAGAAGCGAACAACATCCTCACATACCTCAACTTCGACATGGTTTCCCGCGGCTACTTTGGTGTTTTCGATGGTGATGGCAGCACTTTCAACCTCACGGGTGCGCCAGGATCAGCAGCCATTGAGAAGCTCTTCGTTGAGCATTTCCAGAAGGAGGGTGTGAACGTAACTGCCGCACGCTTCACTGGTGGAAGTGACTACCAATCTTTCATGAACATTGGTAAGCCTGTCGGAGGCCTCCACACTGGAACGGGTGTCGAACAAGATCCTTGCTATCATCAAGCTTGCGATACTATTGATAACCCCAACCCGGAAACGCTTTTCATCAACGCCAAGGTAAGCACAAGGAAACCATATTACACAGTCAAAACGTTTGCTAATAGACACAGGCTGCTGCACATGTACTTTCTATCCTTGCGACCACCGGTGAACAGATTATTCCCAAGAGCCCTGTGAACGCTAGCATGATCACTGAGCGAGGTATCATCGGTGTTGAGCCGAGATGGACGCTGCCCGCGGAAGGAGAAATGCATCTTTCGACTTGCGGACATGAAGTCTAATCGTCTAGATTAAAAGACATGTATATAGAAAGGGTCACAGTCAAGGCCAAAAAAAGATCATGAAACGCATTGAATGAACACATATCATGCCACTCTTTTGGGTTTCTGGTTACTGATGTTCCTAATGTCTCTACACTCATAGCTATGACAAACGAAATGGTACTGTGTTACGCTGTACTCTGGCTCTTTCCTCTAAAGCCAGACATTCACCCATTTTTTCCACCCACTCTCGCAAGCATCCTTGACAAGATGTTCCCTTTCCTGCGATCATGATGGTTCAAGTACCTTGCCTCATCAACACTGAGCTTCAGGGCGATCGCTCTCTTCGCCACCTCCGTAGCTTCAACAACGAGGTGCTGACCTTTTATTGCAGGCGGTTGACTTTGTGGCAGTGTCTCGTAGCGTATGCTCCTGACGGAGCAAGCTGTGTTGTGGGTCATCTGTAACCGGCGTTCGATGGCCTTTGCACTTTTTCTGTAGTTTTTCTGACGTGCGACAGGCATGGGCTTCTCGGCGGGTAGGACAGCGCCACATCGTGCGTGCTTATATGCGTCAGGTAGCTCTATTTTCGTTGGGTATTGAGACTTCAAGTCTGGTGTTGTTGCGTTTGCGTGACGGTAGACTGCAAGGCTAATGGATGACTTGCATCCTGCAACCAGCTCGTCCATGGCTCTTGAGCTTGCATGCGGCCGTTCTTTCCTCTTCTTCGATCGCCCCTCCTCTGGTGCAGGAACCTCGAATGTGAGTTTATGCGTGATCTCGGAAGGCGCATTTACTCTGGGCTCAGGATCGGATGATACGAGTTCTTTGCTGGTCCGTGTCTTTGATCCGACAGCTCCCGAAAACCTTGCGCTGCCGCTGTGGTGTACATAAGGTGCTGAAGGGTCGGGGTCGTAATCCTGATCTTCATGGGGACCAATGGTCATTGCATCCTCGTTGAGTTCGATTGACGGTCGGGCCACCGGGCATGTGTTTTTCTTTCCATCGTAATCCTGGTAACCCCGTTCCTGTACACTGATATCAGGGGTGTTATCGCCCGCGCATGTATCTGCTTCAGACATCGCGTCGTCCAGCACAACCTCACGATGCAACAGCATGCTGCTTTCGTGTCGGACACATTCCCTGATCTTGTCTCTCAGTCGATTCTCGAAGTATATTTCGTTTCCTTCGCCATCTTTTCCTTTGATGGGACAAAGGTCCAACAATCCATCTTCTGCTGCACATTGGGCCTTGAAATACCCTCCATGCCCATACCAACCTTCCACCGTTGCCATTATTGCTGCAGAGCACTCATGGCCTATACCCCATCCTGTGCGAGTGAGCACATCGTACAAATACTGGCGCACGACAGTGAATCCATCGTTCTCGTTCGGCAAGGCGTGTGTGGGCGTATCATCGCGAGTATCCACGCGAATAGAACTGTCGGAAGACGGTACTTGGAATAGGCTCCAGCTCAAGGCTCGATATCGGTCTCGCGCGAGCTTCTGGGTCTTGACAAGACTGATCGAGGTGATGGGATCTGAGGATGGGCAGCGCTCGAGGTGGCGCATTGTGACGGTGGGAATTTATCGAGGCGGGAACTTGTGTTGCGGCGATCCAGACCTTAGAGGATATATATCTATGGGCTGAAGTGGCAATTTCGAGACTACTACTTTAGAGATCAATGGACATAGCGTAAGTTTGATTCTTGCAACAACTCTTCAATGGAAAGGTCAGATTCAGGCAGACGCTGAATTACAGTTAGGAGTTTATGTGTGTTTTGTTTAGCTGCTTAAGTTTGTTACATCAAAACTTCAATGTAGTCCTACCGAAGGGATGTTGGTAAATTAAATTTTCTGGGTCGTGTATGGCCCTAGTGGAGCCAATCATGGGCGTCCGCAATCTCATGACCGTGAAAGTTGGGAGCGCGATTCAGCAATTCTCCAGAATATAGTACCATCATACACTCCTCGGATATCATGCTTGTGCATCCTTCCGTCTTGTGGCCATAGCAAGATGTACATGGCTATCCCTGTTAGATGTCAGTACTGTATGCTCAGTCCGTGAGGTGATGAGCCACGACTCACATTCCAAAGCCCCCGCAAACCATCCGAAGAAATCATTCGCGCAACATTGGCCTGCCCAAACGTCGTATAGATCTCGCCCGGTCAGGTAGTCCTTGCCCCCGGCATATTCCTCGAATATCGCATCAAAACGTCGCGTGTCCAGCTCGGCGTCTAAGTCGTACGCGCCAGTGGTGCTTCCATGTCTGTTGCGGTTGACATGATCAAGGTAGATGGCAAAGAGCGGATGCGGCAGGAAAGAACTCTGGGTGCTGTAAGATGAGCAGACAGCCATGGTGACCGCTGCCCATAGACATAGAGCGATGTTGAAACCGAGTTTGCGGAAGCCTATGAATATGTCCCATGGGTAGATCACTCCGTCCTGATCGGCGTCCCAGAAGTCGCAGTGCCGGCGGAGCGCACTACGTCGAGTGTTGGGCCTGCCCTGAACATTACGATGCGTGATTACTCTCGTATTCTTTCTCGTTTCTATGCTATGCTTATTGTCGTAAGATTTGGGTATGCCGTTAGTCTCGCCGGTTTCTCTTGAGGTGCCGTTGCATATGTCCCCAACTCCAGCTAGCCAGTTGATCGTCTTGAACGCGACGACCTCTTCGTGTTCATCTACGAAAGTCTTATTAGAAGCCGACAGCGACTGGTCCCGAGATTTATCGTCACCATCTTGTGCACTAACGACTTCTGGGAATTTGAGGTCGTTAGTTGCCGAATTGTTGCTCGTGAAGTTGAAAGTTGCCTTGGCGGAGAAGATATTGAGCTGGACAGTCATTGTGTACTCGGCTTGTAGGCAAGGACGTTGACGACCTAGGATCGCGCAAGCAAAAGAAGCAGAAGACATGCGACTCTTGTATGCTTCTCAAGGTAACATATCGCAAGTACCTTGCCTCCTGCGAATTACCGTCATCTGACGTATGTCTTGGCGTTCAATTTTGGATGCGATACCCATCCGTTCTTACCCTTTGTGTGACCCTTGCATCCTTCTGAGGCTGGACCTTGTCTTGTTCGTCGTCCACCGCCTGCGCGGTCTCTCGTCATCTCTATCGCTACGCAAGCCCAGGGTTGGCGCAAACCATCCAAGTAGATGTTTGTAGCGTCGCCTCGGTAGAGACGCGTGTTTGTGGCGTGACAAAGACGCGTCTCGATGGATCTGAGACGTGTTAAGGATTTGCTGCACACAAGTCATGCTTCGACCAGCGACAGCATACCGGCTCGATGCAAGAGCATTCGATGGGCTTCTGGGGATCGAAGTAATTTAGACGATGTAGCATCGAGTGCAGACGATGCTTACCGAGAGCATGTGGGATGACCAGCTTGTCCACGAGCTCCGCGTTTCGGCTAAGCCGCGCTTCACACATCAGCGACCCCGCTCGCCGCACACTAGAGCGTTGGACCTTGGACATTAGTGTAGGACTGCTGACCCAAAAATTGCATCTAACGATATAATTTTTATTTTGGGCAATTTTGTCATCAAACAATAGTAACACGGTTGTGTAGTGTACGTTTTCTCCAACCCTGTTCTCATGAAGTCTGTCTAACCGCCAATACAGGTAGTGGTTATCACTCCAGATTTTGACTTCTATCAAACTTTCTGGTAACCCCGGTTCGAACCCGGGCACGACCTTTCAAAACATTCTTTTTGTCTTTGCGTTTGATTCTTATGTGGGGCAAACCATCATCATCTTTTTACTGCTTGGCTGTAACACTCCTTGACACCCTCTCAACTCTTTATTTCCTGTGAATTTTGATCTTAACATTATCGCTAGCTCACTGCTAGTAATGTAATAATAAACATACATATAGCAAGTGCAACAGAGTCTAGGGTACACAGACTTTTTGAGCGAAGATAAGTAACAAATACATCGGTAGCTATCATACAATCACTTGCTAAAGACATCCGACCGCATTGTGTTTTACATAGCTGTTGGAAAGATGGTTTGATTACTAGGCACGTGCGAAAGAATAGAAGCATTATCGCCAACTCATGCAAGACAAAACCACCCTCAAACCAACGCAGCCTTATGGCCATGACGATAACCATTTCTCTCGTCCTGCCGGTCCATGAGTCGTTATTCTCGCATAGTGCCACTTCGGAGATGTGTTCCTTCCCCTCTTAGAAGAGGCGCTGTATCACCGGACGGCTGGCGCGAGCAAATGACCACCTCGGCTGAGCTACTGAACTTAGCCCGGATTCGATCTCGGAGGCGTCTTCGATAGCCCCTGTGACCCTTCGACTCCGCCGTGGTCATGCCTGCAGATAGATCAGAGAGGATATACCGTGGGTCTCCCTGTGGTGCAGGTGACGGCTGCGTCTCAGAGATGCTAGCACTGTATTCGTATCGGGCATCCTCGAAAGGATTCAATTGTGCCTGCGGACGAGGAGTTGACGAAGAGCTTTTGCCTGTCATCTCGGCCGGTCCCGAGGGCATGTATACTCCAGAGTCTTCTCGCGGGTAGATATAATGGCGTCTCCTAGGCAATGCTTCGTTTGACGTGGCTGGAAGACATGTTGGACGGTCGTTGCGTTCGGCGGGGAGACGTTTTCCGACACCCCGTACAAGACCGAAGAAAGAAGGGGCGGAATTGCGATCTGAAGACATGGCGGAATCTCTTATGGCGGAGTGAGCGTATCGAGTCATGTTGAACACGAAGGCGGATTGGAGGGAATTGTATTTCGAGCGGACCTAGCGTTCTTAGCATCGAATTGTGAGCGTGAACACCGGTACATACGCAGTATTGATGCAAGAGAGCAATGTTGATAATATATTGAAGCGGTATGATGTGGTGTGGTGAACGTGATGATAGAATGATGGGAGGCGACTTAGATGATGCCTGAGCGATACCCACCCATGTCGACATTGGAAGAAAGTTCGTCCCATGCGGAGGCATCGCGACCGCGCAGCCAACGCGCTTTCCGCCGTTACCACATTGGTGATCATGCAGTGCCAAGGGTCAACAAGGATCGCGAAGATAGTGGTCCCTGAAACCGTTTGACGAGGACAGAGCCATGTACGTTAAAGATCGATCAAGTCCTCAGTCTCCTCTTCTTCGTCCTCGCCGCTCCAGTCCAGCTTCATCAAAAGACGGTCGATACCTCCTACTCTCAATGGTTCATAGGCACCTTCCTCCATCGTCGCTCCAATCGATGTACCAGGTGCAGAAGCTCCAATCCGCTCGCTATCAATCTCACGAAGCCGCTCTACGAGTGTCTTGAGGTCGCTGTCTAGCCTCCTCCTTGCCCGGTCCATTTCCTGGCTAACCTCGCACTCTTCTTTCTTGTAGTTTTGCGCATAGTCTTCCACACCTTCGTCTTCTTCCAGATCCAGGTTCTGCTGGATCTTTGTAAGACGTTTGATGTATGCCACTAACTCGTCTACGTGGGTGCATAAAGTACGCAGCGCTTTTGTGAAGGCTTGGTCGGTAAGCAGAAGCGAGTACGCAACCGAAGACAGAAAGCGGCGATGTGCTGAGGCCAATGCTTCTGGATCATGCTGTTGCCGCAGGCTTCCTTCTGTCGTCGACCTGCGGAAGCCAGTGGTACCTAAATGTTCGGAAGCTGCTGGCAACGATTCCGCGGTTGAAGGAACTTGAGGACCGGTAACCCATGTTATGAAATGACCGAAAGATTGTTGTACGACCGCACCATGAAAGTAAGCTTCGCTCTCCGCAAAGAAGAAGATAGCGGCTGCGCATGTCGCCCATATCTTCCGCATATCCTGCGCCCGTTTCGTAGTGCGTTGCCGTCGCCGCTTCAGCATTGCTTTACCATGCGCGGAATTGCTGTATTGATATCCAGGCGGACAAGGATGGTCTCTTCGTATTGAACTGTATCGCCATAATTCTGCTAAATGCAGATGGGCTCTCCGGACTGCGAGAAGGGAAGCATTGATCGATGAGTAAACGTCAAGGTCTGCTTTTGTTATGAAGAGGTCAAGTGGTGAACGGATGTCCATCGTTAAAGACGTTGGTACAGACAGCAGTAGGTCGTCGAAAGACATGCTGGCAAGTTGTGGAAGCATTGAGTCCGCATCCTTAGCGCGACCCGGTGTTCCAGGGCGGTTATTAGACGAGCCGTTAACGCTGAGATGTAGGAGCTGAGTTGCAACGTCCAGGATATCATCTGTGTGTTCGTCTTCGCTAGATAAGGTCGACAGGACGGAGAAGGAGCGTGCGAGGACCTGGTTGATCTCCGCTTCCTTGATCACAACCGCCTTGACAGATTGGCCAGACTTGATGGCCTGCGAGCCTTTATGTCGAGATGAGATCTTGTCATCTGCCTCTGCAATCAGTGTCAGGGCGAACTCTCCTCTTCCTATCAAGAAGAATTGATGTAGAACCGTCAATGTCTCAACAATCTTCTCACGTGGTAACAAGTGTTGTAGAAGATTCCGAGATAGAGAGAGGCGGATGTTGGCGATTGCCTCGGAGAGCATGGCCGTTGACACTGGTGCACTCACTCGAGAGAGTTGTTGTACGTGCTTGGGAAGCAGATCAAGTTCCGAGACCGAATTGGATGTGTCTAATGCCTTCACGGCTGACGGCAATGCGCGGATCTGATTTAGTGATCGTCCGACGAACAGGATGGAGAGAGCCGTTTGCCTTGTGACAAACTTTGGTAACAGCTTGTTTTGAAGGACAAAGACTTGCTCATCTGCGTCCTCGTCACCTTGCTGGATAAAGAAGTCGGAACGACCAAACGATGGAAGGCGACCGTATAGCAGCCAGGTTGATAGCTGCCGTAGCCACGATGTCTCTGCGACTTTGCTCAGACCCCGGGCAGTCTCTTCAATGTCTGGATAGCCTGTCTGTGCCTCGCTTCGCAGCTTGTCAATGACGGCAGCTCCAGAGGCAGCCTTTCCGATCATCATTTCGAACTTCGCAGGAACATCCGAGGGCAACATATAGTTGCTGATGTCCCGTAGCCATTCCATCACCCTGGTCCATTCCGAGAACTCGCTCACTATTCCAGCCAGTGGTACGATATTGTACGCACCCACGATAGAAGCGTCTTGTTTCAAGACACGGCTTTCGACTTCCAGTACCTTGCATTGGAACCGTTCGAGATGGTAAGAGGTAATCGAAGTAGCGACCGCCCTGCAGATGACTGAGGGATGTGACGCAGCAATTCTAGCGACATGATCGCGTGTGCTTCGATGCAGACGTGACAGATGACCGATCGAAGATAGTAGCTCGGCTTCGGGCGCTGACAGTAGGCGACGCGCGGTTGCTGTCACGTGGTCCGGGGCATCGAACAGCGCCGATGGGTGTCCCGAGAGCGAGAGGAGGATTTCGTGGAGCATGGTCGCGGCGCTGACAGGTCGCTGGGTGCGCGGAACCGTTTCTTCCGTGCCGCCAGACGCTCGAAAAAAACAATGATCAAGCTCAAAAGCTCGAAGCGACACATTGAACGCGTCGCGCTGCGCGCATTGCTCGATGCGGAGGGAATGAGTGGGCTCGGATTATCAACAAGTGCCCGCGCTAGCGGGAGGCTCATGCACCGGGCGTGAACCAACCTATGCGGGGAGGGGTGATCCGACTCTTCAACAAACAATACAATGTCATGCATCTACTGACTGCACGCCGATATTGACCACCATTTCCCGAGCGCAGAATGAATAAAGAGTAAATTTGACTCATCTGGCGAAGCTGCCCTCGGCTGTCTGGCAGCACCAGTGCATCGCTGCTGTCCGGTGGATTCATCTCGTCTCTCAAATTGGGCTCTTCAGGCATACACAAGATGGGTCGTACCACCACAAGTGCCCATACATATCTTACTACAGGCGACGTAACCAATTGATTTCCTAGGAGCTCAGGAGTCTGATCTCCACCGAAACATTTCTAGCCTCCATCAGTGAGTTCTACACAAAGGCAGTCTTATAGCCGTGCCATACATTTGACTATTAGTTCTAGGAGACTGTTGTGCATTGATGCTGTTGTTGTGACAGGAGCTTCGACAAGAACCCAGGGGATTAACTCAAGAAGGAATACGGTTCACACATCTCCTAGTGCATCAGTCTGCTTCTGATCCATCACATCGCAACATCACAATTGTTCAGACAATGGGTTCACTTCCGATAGGTTATTTCTTCACGGGTGCAACAAGGCGATGCACTGCTACACCCGTTTGGTGCGAGTACCATTGGTGTGACCTTTTTATCCGACGATCGATGTTAACAGTCACGATATCAGGGCGCGCTGGCAAAGTCTCTGCTTGAACTCTTCTCTAATTCTCTATCTTCTCGAAGCTCTTTTTGATCATCCGGCAGGATGAACGCTCTCGATTTCCTAGTCGACTTTGCAGCCAGTGTTAGCACATCAGAAGCTTCAAGACCAGGTTCTGATGGGGGAAATGTCAACCATAAAATCGATACTACGCGCATGAAAGTACAATCCGCATCAGAAATGTGCATTCCCATCTCGGAGGAATCCTTTCCTGTCGACGGAAGGCGACCTGTCGAGACGATCCAACTCCAGTCCAGCATGGCACCATCTTCATCGCAGCAGACCTTCCCAGCCCACATGGTAGACCACCCCTCCTTGACCGCTCACTGTCACAACACATACGAGGGGTCCTTCGCAATTTCTCCAGAGCCCCACATGATTCCATCTTTCGACCAATTCCTCTATGAGCATGCGCGCCTTGGGCTTCCTCGAGTAACTCCCACCGAGCTGGGTTACTACGATTGCGACTGCGAGAGACTCCACGATTGGGGCTTAGGCTATGAGACGAGTTATTCGCTACCTGTGGAGCCAACGTCATGGCTTCACGTTCAGCCACAATATCACCTACCGAATCACGATGCACGGTATTTGGAGACACATTACACGCTACTAGCGCAAGAAGTTTCGACGCAGCCATCGCAGTGCATAGCCGCGACTTGCCATTACGAACATCCTCAGCCACATAATCATGTTGTTGGCAATATCCGCGCGTTCGCAACGCACATCTGGGGGCCCCATGCATCTGTTCACGATAAGAACATCTCGAAAGACGATGATGAGTGGCTGTGGGTAAGCGCTGGAAGAGATCACGAGATGAGCCGGATCTAATGACTATGAATCAAGCAACCGCAGTGCAGCTACCCTGATTCTGGTTGCACTTTTGGATTTAATGTAGCTTAAGTATGTAGTTGCGTAGTAGGGACCGTTAATAGCCTGTGGCAACGGAATTTATTGACATCGTTTTACGATGCTGTTTTTGTCTGTCATGTATTATGGTATCTCTCCAGAGGCACTTCATGTGATTTCACTTCGGGCTTTGAGCTATTGTTCCAGAGACGTCATGTGACTTTGCAAGATCGCCTGTTTGTTTTAAAAACAGGGTATTACGCGATGTCGCATCGCGAAGTCAGGGTCTTGTACACGTCTCGTAGCGTAAAAGCTGACATCGCCCCCCTCCCCTTCAATCCGAACCCATCCATCTCTTCCCATCATGACACACGATCAGATCACGCTCGACGTATCCGGTCGCAAATTCCGTACGTCCAAATCAGTTCTTGAGGTCGCGCCTTATTTCAAGAATCTACTCGATCGCTGGGAAGACGGCCCGGACCTCCAGACCGACGGCTCGTACTACGTGGACGCGGATGCGGATACATTCGGACATCTACTCAGCTTCATGCGTCGGCCTTCCAGGTTCCCGCTTTACTGGACGAGAAAAGACGGCTTCGACTATGCTCTCTACGGCCGGGTCGAGGCAGAGGCAGACTACTTCATGTTGGAGGGGCTACGGGACTGGATCAAGCAACGCAAATACCTCAAAGCAATATCCGCAGTCTTACGTACTGGCAGTGCTGTAAAATACGAGAGACTAGACGGCGATGTAGTTATCGAGAAACATGTTGTCAGGAAGGCTGGTTATCCTCTCTGCCCATTGGCGTTCCATCAGGATGTTGAACGTGATTGCTGGTGGAGCGAGGACTGCAAAAAAGCAATGGTAGCCAATGGATTGCAATTGAGTAGTGCAAAAGACGAGCTCCTCGTGGCCGTTACAGAGTTCCACTTCAATAACGAGATTCTGGTCAACGACACGCTATAAAGCTACTGAACTTGGGGCGGTGCAGTATCGAAGTACTTGAGGTCAAGGGATTGTACCCTGATATTCATCTCTCTCAACCAATCTGCCAGCTTTCTGGGTTGAGTGAGCTTCATTAGTTCTCTACTAGCGGACTACACAAGTGGCAACTCGCGTCAAGATGAAGCCTTCATTATGACGTCGACAGGCCAATCCCTGCATAAAACCTTGAACCACGATCATTTTTCTGAGTGGTAGAAGAATGCGCAGAGTTTTGCTAAACATGTTTCTGTTCATGTTAAATACTGACCAATCAGTGTACTTTGTGGATCCTCCGGATGTAGTCTTTCCCATGCATAATGATGTACAAGCGCCACATGTTAGCGTCAACGATATCGATCGATACATGAACGGTCAAGTATCTACCCTCAGCCTCCATCTACATCCTGCTATAGCAATTTACACATAAGTTTACGCAGAATCAGCAGGGCATCTCCAAAGAATACTCTGTTCACCTAATAACATGGCGACCCAATCCGCAATTAACTGGCCATCGCACTTCCTCCCGGGCACAACCGACAACTTCGTATCCAACGAGCGCATCGCCAAAGACCTAACCAGCACACAAATCTGGGCTCTACTAGCCAACATCTCAAAATGGGAATCCTACTACAAGAACTGCGCTCAAATAACTCCTCCATCATCCGACGGCACCTTCCTGCACAAAGGCGACGTCTTCAAATTCAGCACTTTCGGATTCCCGCCACTGACTTGCACGGTCGAGGAGTCAGAGCCGCCAGAGAGTAACGGGCGCGCCGGTAGGTTGGCATGGAGCTCCAAAACACCGGATGGGCTGGAGATTTATCATGCGTGGGTTGTGGAGGATCTTGAGGGCCAGCGGGTGAGGATTTTGACGCAGGAGAGTCAAATTGGTCAGGTTTTCAAGGATTGGGAGGAGCAGAAGCCGAACAAGATGCTTCTAGGACACCAAGATTGGTTGGACGGGCTGATCACTGCGGCGAGTGGCAAGCAAGTTGGAGGAACGAATCTTGAAGCCATCAACTTTCCGGTGAGGCAATTAGAAGCAAAAGAAAAGTAGTTCGTCATCACGAGAACAACATGATACAGCAGTATGAAGTTTCAGAAATATTATTAGCAGTACACGAGTCCTCTATCATCATCCCAGTTCCGCATCCACGAGGTCATGGCCCGTCGTAGCTGTCAATACCCATACTCGCGTCCTGACGCCGGTCATGGCAAGAGGAGATGAACGAAGGTCTAAGGAAAGAAAAACATGCAGACCCGAAAGTGAAGTCGCGCCGAAGCAAGAAAGACGGACTTGGAGTCCAGTGGAAGAAAGACCGGGAGTACACTGCCTCCCAAGAAAAGCGACCCTGTGGTCCACTCAAACCGTTGTGGTACAAGATGCCGCGATATATACTGCTGTTGAAGGGGAAGAAGAGTGAAATGGTGTGCTGTGATGAGAACAGTACGTAGAGTGATCAGGTGAAGCACTTCAAAGAGCTGACAGATAGTCCTATACATGTGCTGCGACAGTGCTCTAACGAGAAGAACATGCCTTGTAGCAGTAGTTGGAGGTAGCGGGGAGACTGTGGACGACACTTAGGCCGTCGCAACCTTAGCCCAAGTTGTAGCTGTGTGAGCTGGGGATGAGCGAGGAGCATTGTTGTTGCTGGTAGACCAAGTCTTAGGAGCAGACGGGCGCGAAGTGTTGTTGTTGTTGTAAGACCGATCTGTCTGACTTTGATGCGAGGGCTTGCGCAGGCGATCCTTCGCACTATTGTTAGAAGTGGTGCTCGGCGTACCAGTCGCTTTGGGTTTGGGTTGCCGGTTGAGCTTGGGACCGTAGTGCTTCCTCTGTACTGACTTGGTCACAGGCTCGCGCATGTTTGCAAGGCGCACAACGACGTCGAACTTGGTCTTGTTCTGTGTCGTCTTCTCAATGTCGAATGCCTCCAGGCGGCGAATGGTGAACGGGTTCTCGAACTTCTTGTGCTTTGGATGCTGCTCATCTCTAGGCGCAGCCTTGGGTGGTTGATTGGCTGCGAGATGCGGAACCTTGGACAGTTTGACAGTGGGCAGCGAACCGAATTCCCTGTCTTCGAACAGAACCTCAGTATCACTGCGAGTGACAGCGTCTGCGCCACGATCGTCTGCAAAGACTCTCGTTTGGGACGCGCTGGGCAATGACACAGTTGCAGGACCAGTATTTCCTCGAACGTCCAGCGAGGCCTTGGACAAGGCAGCCGGAGCGACTGCACCTTGCTGTGGAGTAGCGACTGGCAGCATTGGAGACGTTGATGAACGGTTGGAACCTGGCTTGTCAAGGAGCTTATTAAATCTTGCCTGCCACTCTGGGTTCATTGCGAGAGGTCTGGCACCTAGAGCTTGGCCACGCGACGGCATGTTTACGTGAGAAGCAGCGGACGCTCCGTTACCAGCTGCCGACGGTGGAAGTCGCACAACAGGCGAGGGCTTCGGAAGCCTCACCAATGGGTGAGCGGCCTCACTGCTGAAAGCAGGGTGTGTCTCTGTCTCGGGAGGTGGAGGGGGCGAGTCTGCTTTGCTTGACACAAAGGTCGACGGAGATGCCGTCGCCTCTGTTGAGGTCTCAGTCGGACGAGGGAAGAAGCGCGATGAGCGAGGACCAGTAGCCTGCTGAAGAGGACCTTGAGTCAGACCTTGCTGAGGCGATGAGCCTTCAACCAAAGGCTTCGTGGTATCGTCCTTCTTCAATGACTCGGCAAGAGCCAGTTCGGCAGCGACTTTGTCATGCAGTGTCACCTGTGCTTGACCTCGCTGATCTTTGTATACCTCTCGAAGCTCCGGACGGAATTCACCCTGGCGCTCTCGATCTTGAGCGTTCTTCGCTGCGAGGTCCTGGTCATCCTTTTTGATAAGGTCTCCAAATGTATCCCAACCGCCGCCAGTGACGTTCCTTGGGGGTGCTCTAGCCGCCCGAGCTGCCGCAGCGTTTTGGGCGCGCGAAGATCGCTGGGAGTACATGGGTTGTGACGGAGGCATCTGTCTTGCCGGGTGTGATGTCAAGGCCTGAGGAGCTAGGCCTGTGCCAATGGGAGCTGTCGCGGTAGGTGGCTGAACAGGAAGTTGCTGCTGGGCACCAGGGCGAGACTGGCCTCGGTAATCGGAGTCGAAGGTACCGTTACCAAGAGCTCGATCTTTTGCGCCGGGAGGACCCCAAACTTGTGATGTCCAAGGTCTGGGTTGAGGTGCTGTAGAAGAAGACTGCGACCAGGTCGGAGGTGCCTGCGGCCTAGGCCCAGAAGGGATAGCGCCGTCTGATTGGTGAGCGATCGCTTGAGATTGTTCAGTTGACAGCCGAGATTTTTCGTTGTCACGAGTGAAGGCATCAAACGGCGGTGTCGATTGCTGTTTAAGTGATGAAGATGCAGTCGCCGGCGAGGGATTTACTGCAGAGTGTGCTTGCGGTGCAGATCCCGAGACTTGAGCATGGCTTGCCTGAGGCGACCTTTTGACCGGGTGAGACTGATGGACCTTCATCATACCATACTGTGTAACCTCGCCCTCGGCAGTCGGAACGGGTGGCTTTGGGGGTGATTGCAACGGCGCAGGAGCAGTCTTGTCTTTCTGTGGGGACTGCTCTGGACGTGTGGGCGACTGATCCTTGTTTTTTGACTTGGGTTCAGGCGGTCCCATAGCGGCCAGCTTCTTAGCAAGACGCTCTTTCCTCTCTGCCTCTGCCCGCTTCTCGGCTTCCGCATCCTGTTGTTTCTTGAGACGAGCGCGCTCGATCTTCTCGGCCATGAGACGTTTCTGTACCTCGACTGGATTCTCTGCCGGTGGTGCCGGTGTAGGCGCCGGTGCATCTTGTATAGCTGAGGTTACTGAGCCATAAGGTGAAGCCGGGTGTGCATGAGGAACGTTCGGAGACTTCATCTGCTGGAATGGCGATTGTCTGGAAGCTGCAGGATCCGAAGGGTCCACGCCGTTGACCGAGTGTGATTCGCGTCGCTCCATGTTCATGGGACCGGTAGGCGTGTCTGCTCCCCGTGGGTCCATCGACATGCGCCTAGGCATAGTTCCACTGACGTTGGACGAGTTCCTCCTCCTGCCCCAAGTAGGACCATCCGCGCTTGCCCTTGAAGTCTGGAACGCCGCTGAGGGCTCTGCTGGGCCGCCGTCCTGAGAAGGTCTCTGTAACACGGCGGACGGCTGCTGCCGGTAGCCACCACCACCACCACCACCACCATCTCGTCCAGAACCCCGCCGCATGTCATTGTGTACAGGCTCGTAACGGCCACTCTGTGAATTGTACAATTCCCGACCGTCTCGAGTATCTCGGCCGCCGCTTTCGTTGCGCCAGTTGCGATTAAAGTCATCGGGGGCGATCTCCTTCGCAGGGGGTGGGGGCATGGAGTCGTAACCGTAGGAGTCACGCTGTGAGTAGCGCTGTGGGGGTGGTTGCTGCGCAGGGGGATTGATTTGGATCGGCGACACCTTCTCGACTGGAGGCAGAGGCGCCCATGGTGACTTCTTCTCAGTCGCTGATGGCTTGGCCACTAGAGTTGGTCTTTCTGGCTGACCCTTGAGGACCAGACTTGACTTTCCAGTAGTGGGCTGCGTGTGTGCACCAGGCTTCAAGATAGTTTTGGCACCACCAGTGACGCTCAGTTTGGGCGCGTTGGTAGCTGGAGCTGGGGACGTAGTAGGCTTGGGTGTTTCGGCGGGCGTCTCGGGCTTGAGAATAGTCTTAGGCTCTTCGGCGGGTGGTGGCTGCGTCTCTGGTGGCACTGCAACTGAGGACTTGGTTCCATCCATCCATTGCACTGCTTCAGGGGTCCAGTCTTCCTCGTCATCGTCAATGTCTGCCCATTTGGCCTCCTTGCCTCCTTCATCTGCCTGTAGGCGTGTTGCAAGGTGAATACCGTACTGTTGCTTCAGTTCTTCGTCGGTGAAGGTTTTGGGCGGAGGCGTTGGAACGGGCTGGTTCTTATTCCAGACTTTGCTCGCATCTGGACCTGCACCCGCGCCATTGGTTTGTCCCAGCGCACGCGGGGTGTTGCCAGCGCCGGATTTCGCTACGAGGCGGGGCTTCGCGGTGAGAATCGACGTCTTGGGCGGGGCTGCCGGGGCTGCTTTCTCCCCCGGTCGTGCAGCAGGCGTGGACGGAACGGTCTTGGCTAGAAAGCTCTTGGTCACAGATACTGACTTGAACGGCTGTTTCTTGGCTGCTGAGTTAGTCCGCACGTGAACTCCGTCGCGCTTAGACTGGTCGACGCTTCCTGGACGGCTGATGTCGGTATCTGAGCCACCACTCGCATCTGCTACAGCTTGCGACTCCGCCGCCAGATGTTCGCTCGAGAGGCCATTGAGGTGGGGCTGTTTGGAGTCGTGCCGTGATGCATCCAACTGCTTGTTCTCGCCCTGCTACTATTAACACCACGTCCGGATGCCTCTTCCTCTCTACTTACAGCTGCCGCATCTCCATCGGCCTTTTCTGACACGTGTGCACTGCCAGGAGCGGGTGCACCTGTGCCATTCACAGTAAGTTTCGTAGGAGACGCTTCTCGTGGGGTCGGTTTCGTGGTCGCTGTGCCCGAGGGCGGTTCGCCGTTGACGGCGGGGGTGTTGGTAGTTGACGCAGAGTCGTCGATGGGCGCAGAACGACCCACCGACTGTGCTTCCTTTACCACATCGTTGGCAACCTGCTCTGCCATAACAGTTTCCGGAACTGAAGTGGCGCAAGACTCAATGTCAGAAGGGTGTTCTTGGTCTGATCCAAACAAAGACGTGGGCGTAAGCGGCGCCGACTGCTGCGAGTCGAGCCCGGCCGGACGCCCGATGTCCTCCACATGCGACATGAGAGCTAAGAAAAGTTGGGGATAATCACCTAATGTCAGATGCTACAAGTCGCCACGGATGTCAAGTCGGCGCTTCCGCAGAGTTGCTATCTGCAAGTTGCTGAGGTGACGCGGCGAGTGCGGAGGTTTCGGAGTGTTTCGCTGGATCGTTGCGCGGGCTGGAGGCAGTCGCGAACACGTGCTGGGTCGCGCTGGTTCACCGAACGGCGTGGAGTCGCGCTCGGGAGGGGGCGGCGTGGAAGAAGGGGCCCTTTCGTGGTGGGGCGGACTGCGGGTGTGGATGGGTGTATAGGAGGTTGAGGCGGGTAGCTTGAGTAGCCACGATGGTGAGAGGCGCTAGTCTTGGCACACGCCTGGGGTCTCTTTGTATCGATTCTGACATCTGGAATGCCCCGGGAGCCTATGCGTCACAGGGCTGCGGCGACAATCACGATCACGCCTGAACTGCCGGGGTGCCAGCCAGACGATGCCTGCTGGGAAGACTGGCCGACAGGCAGCTACTGACACATGCTCATACCATGCACGTGAGGTTCTTTGACAGGTGTATTTCTAGAAACGAGACGATAAGACCCACTACATTTCCACAGCACTGCACATGATGTACTACCTTATCCTCGCTCAGAATGATTTTGCCGGCCCCATGAGAGCTGTCCGGGCCTCCGCCGCCGCACACGTGTGGATGTTGACAAAAAAGAGGGCAGTGTCATTTGCATGATAGGAGAACAGACTGTCTTGGCTAGATGTTTGATTCACCAACTACACTTTACATATACACATCCGGTCTATTCGCCCGTGACGATGCAGCGCATCCAGAGGACCCGCTTAGTGCTCGTTGTTCTTGTGGTGGCCTGCAAGTGGTGAGTCACATCATCTCGTCAGCGCATCTGGTTCGACTTACGTAGATGGAAATAGTAGTTCTGCGCGTAGCCGATGGCGATCAAGAAGCCAATGACGTGAACGAGGGCTGTACAGGGTCAGTTTGGTGTTCCCATGCGATCTCGCAGGCTCAAAGACAGCGCCCGCATAGTCTCCTGTCCCGCCGGGTGGACTCACGCCTTGCTGAAGGGTTCTTGCCCATGTACTTCTTCTGGTAGCGTCCGAGAAGACCCTTGGCCTCGGGCTCGGGAGCTGGGCCACGAGGCAGCTTCTCGTAGAAGCTCACGACCTTCTGCATGCGGACAGCATTAGGGGAGGAGCCGATAGCCTGTTTCGTATATCAGCCCTGGTCTGGAAACGCCTGTTTGAGAGTCGGCGGAGTGCGACAAAGTTCGCAGTTGGGGCGCTGCGACTGTGGAGGCGTTTGCGGTGGGCCGAAAGTTGCGCGTATGCGATTGCGGGGGGTTCGAAGGCGTGCTAGGATGGCGATTGGAGGGCTCTTACATTGGGGGAAGCAATCTAGAGAGCATTGTCAGTGCCATGCGCGGTCCGAGGGGCAGACAGAAAGCCGTACCTTGGGGGGGATGAGGGTCGAGAGACCGCGCTTTTGCATGAAGCTCATCTTGACGGCTGCGGGTCAGTTAGCATCAATTGCACTCTCTCTGCGTGGCGGATCGGCTCGGGTGACGTACCAGGGCGGGCAAGACGATGGAGTGGAGATGGAGGTCGTGCGGTCGGTGGTGAGGTTCGAGGAAGAAAGCTGCAGGACGGATTATGCCGGCGCCTTCGCCAAGCAACCACCCCAGCTTCATCCCATTGCATCGACATCACCAGCGTTCCCACCCGCCACGCCGACGACACAACTACCATGTCTGCCCTACCGAGGACAATTGCATCGCGACTGCTCGCCCCCGCCCTGCGGCCCTCCGCGACGAGGGCCATCGCCCCCTCCTTCCGCGCCTATGCGACCAACGAGCCCACTCCCCACGGCCACAAGACGAGCTCCGAAGACGCGCCCGCCGTCAAGCTCACGAGCGAGTCAACTCAGATCCGCGAGGAAAACGCCGCCGAGGGAATGAGGCACCAGCCAGACTACAATGTCGCCATCGACTACCGGACTTCGTGCGTCGACCGTGGATTAGGATAAGGCGGCATATGGCTAACATGTCCCCAGCAACTTTTCCCCGGTTCCCAAGCGTGTCATGGACGGCAGCGAGCCCGGTGACAGTGTTGCCGCAGCCGTTCTTTCTGGTGCCCCAACCGATCTCCAGGCGCGTACTGTTCGGTACAAGACACCCTTCACCCGACGTCGGCCTTGATACTAATTATTGCCAGCATCTACAAGCCCTCCAAGACAGCCACACAATCCGGCGACTGGAACGCCTCGCACTGGCTGATGGACTGGGACGTTCTTCCCAAGGGTCACCGATGGGAGAACCCCCTCATGGGCTGGCAGTCGTCTGCCGACTTTATGAACGGCCACCGGATACAGTTCAAGTCCAAGGAGGATGCCATCAAATTCGCTAACAAGCAAGGCTACGAGTACTTTGTCCAGGAACCCAACAAGCGGAAGACTGCCCCCAAGGCATATGCCAACTTGTTCACTCACAGCCCAAAGAAGCTCAAGATCATAACGACCAAGTAAGAGTTGGATTTGGTTAGGCGCGAAATAGCATGTGTACGTACTGCATTGAATTACATTTTCAAGACATTTTCCTCCTGAATGTCCCGTATGATGATGTTGATGTTCGAGCGTCCCTGCATGTTGCCTGGCCGCCGCAACACCGCTCTTCCTGACGCGTTTGCAATTTCCTTATCCTCTGACAACCACACCGGGCCGTCGTAATCCCCATTGACGGCGACTTTAACGAGGCAAACGCACATAGCCGCTAGCCATATATCAATCTTCTCTGCCCCTCCGCCTCTGTCTCTCCTTCATGAACCTCTCCACCACCGCCGAACCTCTTTGCGCTGCCATGTCTTCTTCACCGGGACTCGAGGTGAAGGGCAGCAGCCCCAAACTGCCCTTCACCTTTGCACTAACAAAAGCTAGAAGCTATATACACACTTTTGAGCTTTCGTTTTGGTCCTCTAACCACCAAACTCTCATCGCCCGTTAGTACATTGTATGTCTTCAGAGTGTCTTTTGCTAATGGCGATCAGCCATCACAGACGTCACCAAAACATTCCATCAATCAGCCAACCAGCCAGTGAAAATGGGTCGAGCAGGGTACGAAACTACTTATGTCTGCAACGACAAGGACTCTGCGGCGGCAGACGCAATTCAGATGCACGAAGTCAAGAGGGCAGAAGCGGCCGTAAGTGCATGAACATCCCCTGACACTACCATGACACTAACATACAGCAGGACATCGCGACCATCGAGGCTGCTGAGGCTGCAGAAGCCAAGCTCGTCAGGAGCAAGAAATCCCGCGGGATTATGGCCGCCCGCAAGGCCGCAAAGGACCAAGCCACCGCGCAGGCGGGTACCTATGAGTCGGAGGGCGACTCAGACAATACCACAAAGCCCTGACGACCTCCGCGCACTATCAAGACACCTGCGGATAGTCGTCCTCGAGCTCATTATATCCGTCTGGTGGTAGTATCAAAGTTGGAACCTGAATTTTGAAAGAAAGATACGTAAGCTTGAAAAAAGCTGGTGGCATCCGTCTGGCGGCGTATCACAGTCGAAACTTGATTTTAAGAGTAAGGAATGGCACACCAAGATACCCAGGCTTATTCAAGTAGAATGAAAAGTCATAAATTCGTTACTGTCTACCCCATCATTGCATTCTAGTCTAGTAGTCTCCTCTCAACTATGCTCTGCCTCTTCGCCTTGACCGCAGCAGCTCCCTTGATTGCTGTCCTCGTGGCGTCGAAGAACTTGTTCGCCATCTTCTGTACACCGGTCTGCAAGTTGGGGTGTTCACCATCATCTGTATCCTTGACTGCGTCGAAGTCGGCAAAGTTGTCCACGAAGTAGACCGGGCTCTTTGCATTGCTCTTCTTCGGCATATGCGTAGCCATGTAAGCGTTGAGGTCTTTGATACCTTGAACGGCCTGGGCATTGAAGCGCGCGGGGTCCAAAGGAAGTAGGTTGGAGACGACGATCTGCATGTTGGGATTCTTCTTCCGCATCTGTGCGATAAGAATGTCGTACGAGGCGATGATGTCGTTGATAGGCCTCTTGCCGATAAGAACGTCGTTGGTGCCGAGGAGCATGAGAACAACATCCGGGGGGTTGGCGTCGAGCCAGCCAGGCAATTGACTGTTCTTAACGATGTCGGCGGCTTGGAATCCGGGGTGACCTTCGTGATCCTGGTCGACGTTGGTCCCACTGCAGGTGCTCTTCTGGCCACCGACAAAGTCAAAGTTCGTCACACCTGCGTCCCTAAGCTTTGTTTGGAGGTTGGCGCGCCAGCATCGCTTGATAGAGAGTCAGTGGATAGAAACTTGGGTTGAGGAAGGCAGAATACGTACCGAGACAATGGAAGCACCAAATGGCATGACTTTGACTGTCTTTTGAGCGCAGACTTCGCTGGCGAGGGTGAGGAGCCCGAGGGCGAGGGCGGAGATCTTGACCATCTTGTATATGGATAATGTATAGAAGTGGTGAACTTGTTGTGGGGATTACGTCGCGGTTGACTGAGTAGTTGACCAGTAACTAAGAAACCAAGAAGAAGAAGAAGAAGACCTCGGTATTATGTATTAATAGTAGCGTGCAGTCGAGCCGTCGGTTGTGAAATTCGTGCGCGTGAGAACCCCCTCGTGCGGTGTCCCGTTTGTTATCGCGATTCCCGGTAAGATCCAGAGCGTAAGGCGGCAGGAGCTTTGCGTGACCCGTGAAATGAGGATAATGTATTTAGCAATCACCGAGTCCAAAGGGCCGTTGTGATTGATTTCGCAAACGTGTAGATATTTATTCCGAAAAAGTATAGTGAATCAGGGGGCGAACCAATATAAGTTATGAATAGTCCGTAGCAGTAGTAGCAAAATAAACCTTGAATGTTGCTTGCTTGTGATATCAACATCCAGGGATGTGAACTGACACCTTATATCTCATTCCCAGACACAGTACGGTGCACGCTAGACGTGATCAGACGACTGACGGCGGAGTAGACTGGCCGCTGTTTCCAGGCCTAAGCCCCACCCACCCCGCCCTTGCTCATCGTCGCCTAGAGTGAAGAAACAAAAGGCCGGGTGCGGCGTACATGTGCTGGCCGCCGTGGAAGGAGGAAGCGGCTGTGCCTGGCTCAGGAAGGCTGGCTGTCCCACCCCTGTCAAGACCGTATCGGGAATAGATGACGCTAGAGTAGTCAGAACGCTTGGTCGCTTTGGGGAGACGGGAGACTAGATTGTGAGTCCAGATTACACCGTGCCGCTCGCGGGGCTTTGCGTATTGTTGATGCGGTGAACGGTGTGCGTCTCCCCATGCTATATGCTCAGTATCGAAAGACGTGAAGTCAGGCATGAACAGCAACAACAACAACAAAGACAACACGCCGCAATCACCCACGCCACAGCCAGTAGCAAGACCTGTTCGCAACAACTTTCGCGAGGTCTTCCAAATTGAGCCTACAGGGTCTCAGAGGTCTAGCCTCTGCCGTCATAGAACCCTGCCGCGCGTGGAGCTTCTTAGCAATCTAACCATACGAGAAAGCTTGTCGGCAGATGAGCTTAAGATAGCTGCAGGGCCCATGAGCGTGCGAAATAAACGGAGCACAAGCGCAACACTTCGCGAAGATGTGTTCAAGGGTATGGTCGAGGGAATTCCTCCCATTGGCCTTTGCGACGTTGCGCCGCTACCACTTCGCTGAAAACGAAAGAGCAAGGGTGGACTTGGAACGCTTCTGCGGTCAACAGGAAACGTGCGTGACACTGTCCGTGACAGAACGGCCGCTCCGCGATGCGATGGCGGGGGTGGAAACCTACAATGACAGCTGATGACGGACTAGATTCCTCGAGACCGAATCCTCGAGGCAGGATTGCATCCAAGCGCCACCGTATTGAAGCAAGCTACTCACGTTCTCGACGTCGCGCTGCAGGACAATGTGTCTCACGAGACTGTCGTACCATCAAGTTGGGAGCCATGTCGCAGACAACTCCGCGGGAAAGGACACTTCAATGTCCGGCCAGCATCATCGGCGGCGTACGGCATCGTGGTGTTGGTCGGTCCTTGGTGGAAGAAGAGGATGTGGTGTGTCTGACCGGAACAAGATCAACTTCCGTGGCTTACGCCCTCTCGCTAAACCACTGACTCAAGTGCTGCAACATCTCCCCTATACCTGAACGGGACGCAAGCCATCTACACGTGCTACGACCTGCAGGTTCGCGCAGAGGGGCAAAAGGCCGCATTATCGGCGTTGGACAGAAGATTGTACCGTCAGCACTATGCCTGCACGCATTGTGGTGTGGTAGCGCGAGTTCTCCCGAGGTTGATCTCTCACGAACCTGCAGCAATCCGCATCATACTCGGTATCTAGCTTCGCTCTCCTCCGCAGCTCCGCCTCTCTGCTCGAACAACACCAACACCAAGATCGTCTTCAGCCAGCCTTGCGCTTGGATCGCAGCGTAGATCGCATCCAGAACAACGCTAGACGGCCGCTTCACTGGCGATAGCGCGCTGTCGCTTAAACCTGGTGACCTGGCATCTGGGCTCGCCCGGACGATCAATTATAGAAGCTACGCTTCGCTTTCTTATACAAGCCTAAGTTTGGTTAGATATCGGCGCATTGCAGTTGTTAACTGTATTCCCCAAGTCTCGTGGACAGGCAGTATATGCAGGGACTATGAAGTGCGTCTATACTGCTGCAGTGATGCATTAGCACCGAGCTCGAACACTTGCATGTGCACAGGGTACGTGCTGGCGGGCCATAGCCGAGCGGGATCGAGGGTCAAATCGCGAATCGAAGCCGACTGAGCAGAAGATCTTCAGTGTAGAAAACGTCATCGGAAATTAAGGTTTGGTAGTCTACATCCACTGAAGAGCTCACATTGAATATCGATGATGTTCAGCGGGCGAAAGTAGGTTCAGGTAAACCGTCTTCTCCCAATTATCAGCATATTAGCATTACAAGCATAGCCAGGCCGCGGGGCTTGCGACCGCAAGGCGACCCATGGTCCGACCGCAATCCTACACAGTACAACTTAGGCTATCAATGCAGTCCTTCAAATCTAACACAACTGCGCCTCAACGGCTGGCGCAAAGCTGCCATCACAGCCTATATTTTTTGTGAACACAGACCGAGAATAGGAGTAATACCATACGTTGTTTTCGGGGAGATTGCAACCATCTACCAATGACGTTCCATTAAGGAGTGATCAACGTATAGCTGAAACAGCCCAATCTTGTTGCTCCCACTCCAACATAATAGACTACCCTTCAAGATCGTCACGAAGAAACACGGCATTCACAACGCACTACCGCTCTACTATGACGACAAAACGAGATGAAGCAAGTTTGTAGATGTAGCAGATTCGTACGGGATATCGATGCGAGATATGAAGCGTCCATGTTTCAGTCTTCGGTACAAAGTTTAGCTTAGAAGGAGACTCTGGTGTAGTGACATAGAGGGGAACAAACGTATCGGAATGTCTCGGCCGGCGACCTTTTCCGTTACGACTATCTAGGGCAGGTATGACGAGAGTGTTCACAATCTTGGGCCTTGATTATATCGACGACTGCATAGGTATACATCAAACATACTCGGTAAAGTTTGTGCTGTAAAAGACTGAAAGACTTGTTTGCACTTCTGCATACGCTATTTTGTCGTACATTGCATACATTCGAGATGAACATGCCCATATATTGGGGTGTTCGAACTTCGCCATGTCCCTGCAACAAGCTACATATAAATCATCGTACTTGATAACCTCATGCCCCCCGTACTGTCATGGGTTGGACTTGAATATAAAGGAACATATCTCAACCCTAGGATCATGCATAGTTGCAACGAGTTGCAGGTATGCAATGACACTTCACGGAAGAGAACGCCCATCCATAGGGCGATTGCAGAAGACTGGCGAAAATAGTAACGATGTAGCCCCTTATGCGTATGCCCGTATAATCATAGCGAATGTCTATAGACGGGAGTCAGTAAGGCTGATGAAGAGACATCCAATAAACTCTGACCAATCAGGTTGACGTACGTGATAATCAACTCACAAATCGGACACTGGAATATCGCTGATCAGGCTGGGACCAAGCACCGAGTCCTGCGTCTCAGTCTGCGCTTCGGGTTGAGTCTGATCCGGAGGCAAACATTGTCCAGATGCCAGTATGTCCATGCCGTCAAAGAGGTCATTCTGGTGAGATTCGTGGATATTGTCAGTCCCGTCTAAGCCATACGTCTGCGGAGGTTGGTCGGAGTAAAGAGCGCTGGAGACGAGGGAGTGTCGGTCCGCCAGCTGTTCTCCGGCGCTCGACTGTCGATATTGCGCAACCGGTATGACGGACATCCCTTCATGCTCCTCGATGAGCGGCTCGAGGCCTGTGTTGCTGGAGTTTTCCTTATTATCATGCTCATAGTTCAGTGGTGATGCTTCCATTGCTTCGCGCGCTAGCTGGTCTTCAAGTTTCTCTTGAAAGATTTCGAAGGCCTCGCCTGGGAGGATAGGCCAATAGTCTCGATCGTGGTTGAGGTATCTCTTTCCTGGAGGATAGTGCCAGACATCCATACCTTCCCGTCGTCGGATGCCATGGCCAGTAGTATCAGCGATATACAGCAAGCGCGGGGGTGTGAGGGCGACAGTAGCTGTATGCTGTCAGTAAGTCTTAATGTCGAGGGGAAGCTGACCACCTACGAGCGCTGGGCTCGATGTCGTTGCGAACCTCCACACTAGCGAATACGGGCGCACCACTGGAGTCCAAGTCCAACGCATCGGACGTATCGCAGTCGGCGGGGTGCGACCGCCTCCCATGGACTGCTTTAGACCTCTTGGCGCCTTTGGGATTGGATGTTGTTTCATATCCGGGGTTCGCACGCTTACGCGAGAGCTTCTTGTGTTTGTTGCTTGAGGTTGGTCTGTCGTCATCATCGCTGGATATGACGAGATACTTGTCCTGAGGGTGTATACCCATATCATACAATGCCTTGATACCCGAGATGTTGCGTGTAGACCGTCTCGTACCCTCGGTAGGTACTGGTCGCGACTTGGTCTGCTTGCGTGCCTTGCTCTTCGTCCTTCGCTTCGGTATCTCCTCCTCCTCCTCTTCTTCTCCCTCGCTTTGTGCATCGTCCGACTCGGTCTCATCAGCGTCAGTATCGATGAAGCTAGAAGCCTCGCTTGAATCGCCAGACTCGGGGACTGGCTTTTCTCCATGCGCCGAGCGACGTTTGGCAGCCTGAGAGGGTCGAACGGCATCGTCCATGGGATGGTACTTCACGTCGTACACGAGCTTGCTCCGTGTTCGGCTGCGCAAGCTATAAGACGAGGCGGGTACGGTAGAACCAGGTGGTATCATCAGTGACTTTTTGGGTTCGACGACATTCTCAATGCCAGCACTAGGCGGATGACTGGTGCTACTATCCCTGTTTTCAGAAGATAGTGTGGTTTGCTGTATACATCAATCAGACTATACCACAGAACGAGGAACAGACTTACCGGTGTCTTCACAGGGTGGGGAACAAATTGTCCGCTCTCATCTGGGTGGAGAAAGATAGTCTTGCCACTGCTGATTGTGTCGCTAGAATGGCTGGAAATAGGTCGTTCGGGAGCTTCTTCGGACGCAATCGAGAATTTGCTATTGTCATCGAGCTCTTCGCTAGCCTGACGCGATCTAATGGCGGTTTCTTCTCGACTGATGCTTGTATCTGCTCGGACAAAGAACTGTGTCGCATTAGTGTAGCCTACACAGGAAGTGAGTGATTCACTCACAGCGCCACCTTCTTTTGTAGTCTCACTCGTCACTTGAGAGTCATCTTCTATGAACGAGGAGAAACTAATCGAATCAGCCGTACTCGCTTGCGTCGAAGCCATTGGGGTAGTTGAGGGTAGTGATGGTAGAGAAAGTTAGCGAAGCCCATGCGAGTGGAGATCAGGGGAGAAACCGAAATACGATAACGCGTGGTGAGAGACCAGGCATCGCACGGCAGGTGCGCTGAACGCGTCGGACACGCGCTCCTCCAGCGTTCCTTCCCTGTTTTGCGCTCTTGGGGTTCACGAGGAAGGAGCGAGTGAAAACATGGCCCCGGAGAGATGCGAGGTTTCACTGAGCACAACTTTGAAGGACGTATCTGACGCAAGGCCACACGTGTACAGAACAATGACTCTGATCAAAGCCGGTATGACGTGGAGCAATCGGTCATATTAGTCGTACAGCAGTAGTGATGACAATGCATTACGAACATTTCAAAAGTCACCTGACGAACGCGGATTGTCTTTGCGACAGAATGCATGGATAACTTGGAGATAGATTGAATACGCTGGAAGATAGCAGCAACGATGCCTCGCTGTAAGACGCCGACACCCAAAAGATGTTTAGTGATGCATGTGGATATAAGCCCCCGCCTTCCATTTTCGTCCCCAACATGATGCGTGAAACACGCATGCGCCCGTAATGCATTCGAAACGCCGTGATGAGAGCAATAGCTGAGATGGAAATCGCTTGAACGCTTGAAATAAAAAAACAAATGGATGGGGTTACGTAGATCAACCCCGACGGTTCAGTCGCGACGTTAGCCGGACAGGCGGCAGTACGAAGTCATCATCATCGTCGTCTTCGTCAACCTCAATGTTGACGATCTTCAGTGGTTGTGGAGTAGTCACAGGCTGTGTTGCCAATGTGGTCTTGGGTTGAGTATCGAGTTCGGGTGGTGGTGGTACGGATTGCGGAGTGTCTTTCCGGTATATCATCTCGGGCTCCAGGGAAGACACAGACGTGTCGGAGGTCTCGTGCGCCTGTAATTCAGGTGGATCTTGTGCCTTGCGTGCATTGCACTTCTCCACCTCGACCTTTGCCGTCTCCAATACAGTCTCAAAGTTCCTTCGCACTCCCTCCAGCTCTGTTCTACAATCGCCGTCACGTAACGTGAGATGCGCCGACTTCTCGCACAGCTCTTGAGCTTGCTCTAAGGTCTTGTCCGAGGTATCGAATAGCACGGCAGGTGTCTCTACGCCACTGCTGACGCCTAATCGGCCGCTTCTCCTGGCTGCGGATCTTGCGCGTAAAGATGACATGCGGGCTCGGTAGTTGATTTTAGATAGGTCAATCTCTTCGTCGTCGTCGTCCACGTCATCCTCCTCTGCACTTGACTCTGCCTGGGTGGCCATCTCATTCATTCTGGCCTCCATCTTAGCCTTACGTAACATGTTGCGTCCAGTCCCTATTGCCCGCACGAGCAGTTCAAACGACTTCTGCACGTCTCCATCGTAGTTGACAACCACCATGGTTCGAGGGCGATGGCGGGCGGTGCCAGGTTCGCGGCCGGACGAGGCGGAGAGCGACTTGCGTTTGCGACCTGCGACGGCGTCTGTAGGTGTTGCGTTGGAAGGCGCTGCGTCCTCTGCGATGGCGTCTAGTGCGGGTCGTATGGACGCGGTGGAGTCGGTCCGCTTCCCGAACGGTGACTGCGATACGGGCACTTTCGTATTATCGGCTTGCATGGCCGCGACCTTCTCTTGGATGCTGGCAATGTCCTGCAGCCATTGCGGTAGGTTGTCCTGGAGGAACACGAACGACTTCTCAATGTCGGACATGGTGGGCGAGGGTCGGGGTTTCGGGGTTAAGCGGCACGACTGGTGGTGATGGCAGAGACGGATGCAGACGGGTTATGGCATAGAGCGGCGACGGCGACAGTGACGGCGACGAAATCGACGGGAGTGTCGACCAGCGAGCAGTGAGGCGGTGGATTAGGGGAGCAAAAAGGGCGTGGTCGGGGTACGTGTGCAGCGTTGGGCGGAGAAATAGTGGCAGACGATCAGCGATTACTTATGGGGAGAGACGGCTGACGGGCAGGGAGTGCGTCTGCTATGAGATGCGATCAACGGGGCCAGACTCACAGACCCAACGGAGTCGTGTCTCCCGGCATGCGAGTGGGACGATGGTGGTACAAGTCCACGGCGGTGCATTGCATCAAGAAGAAAGAGGGGGCAGCCAGAAAGCAACGAGACGGCCTTGCATGGGCGCGGGTGCAAGGTCTGGGGTACCGCAGCAACGGTTCGTCGACCCTTGGCGGTGATCGAACAGGGCGCTCGGCCTTATTGCAGGCAAGTCGCCAGATTACAAGATTCAATTGCCTCACTCCTTGCGCGCCGAGTGCGTCGTTGCGCTGCCACATGGTCGACGCCGTACAAGATCGATCCCACTGTCACCGTGTTTCGCATGGCTTCACGATAACGCACCTACACAATCCATTTGTCGCAATCTAATAGCCGGCAGGGGCACCGCTTCTTGACTTGGCTCGCATGCACATGATCCCCTCCAGTTGCGATGACAGCTCGAAACATCCATCTCGGAGCACACCCGCCGCCGGTCTAACGGTGCCAGCTCACCCCCATTCATCGACCTTGGCGATAGCGCGCATATGACTTCCGCCCGGCGGCAATTGCCTCCAGTAAGCACGATTGCGGCGCGTCCTACACCCGTGCCGCAGCGCCTCAGCCGAAGCGAAAACAGGGTGCCCTTTGGATTCTTTGCAACTCTGCGAATTGCATACTAAATGTGGTAGTCGCAACGAGCATCCCACATGTCTGTAACGTCGTCCGTACCCATCCGTTCTTCCCAAAGTGTCCACGCACATGACGCAGATACCGTCCATGATCTTGGTCCTGTGTAAAATGATGACTTGCTGTGCACAGTCCAGTGACCGACCTGCTTGTGCTCGCGAACGATGCCCGGCTAGGAAGGCGGGTACGCGCACCTGACCTGTTGAAATGCGTACCAATACCGTTAAACTGCTAACCGTTGAAGCTTACCACACAAGTAGCTGTGCGCCTGAACGTCAACGCACACATCATTATTTAGATTGGCCGCCTAGGTTGATCCCAGGCAGTTGACAACTACGCACCGCATCGATTACTCCTTCAGGCAACCTGGCGACTGAAATAGCGCACCCTTGTCATGCGGATAAGGGGCCTGCTCAACACGCGTTTCGTTTCGCACGTCTGCTTTTTGATGTCATCAGCCCGGGGACTTGCGATGAACAAATCTCTTACCCAAGTTTCACCTCTAATCGAGGAAGAAGAACATTCTTGTTATGTGTATTGCCCGACTGAATTGCAGGCAGCCCCTCTCGGCAAGCAATTCTAAACTACGCTCAACAGATTTGACATCTGTGGGCGACAATCCAAATCAACAAGGGCAATGTTCGTGGTCGCCGACCTGAGCCACATTGTGGGGAAGACTGCATCGGAACCACGCATGTGCATTCAGCAAGGGTCCACGGTCTCTGACAAACGATTTACACAGCACAACATACGCTCGGCCCGATCAAGGCACCGAATAATGCCTGGGAACTCGTGGTATTGTTTCGAACATTCGAAATACTAGAACTTTTTCGAAACCATATTCATGCGTGCCGTTCAATAGCGCTTCTACGGCCAGAGCTCCTCAGTCCTCCATCCAGCGTTGGCCTTTGCGCTCTCGTCGAATGTATATCTAAATCTCCGTGCCTTTGCAGGGTCGCTGAGATCGGTCTGCTCTACCGAGTCCGGAACAATCACCACAAGGCGGAAGTTCTTGCGTGCCACAGGGTCTTGTAAATCATCGACCTTTGAGCCAAGGGCAAGGTTCTTGTCGTCGAATGGTTTGGAGGTTGGCTGGCCGGGTGGAGGATTCTTGAATGAGCCTGAAATAACTTGTTAGCTATGTGCAAAGTACAAAAGACGGCGGCCTTCCTTACCCTTGATGCCAGGACTTTGGTTACCAAAGAAACCAGTCAGCTCCCTCTGCCAGCTAAAGTCGCCTTCCTTGCCCTCATCGACGATCCTCATTCTCTTTCCCAGCTCGCTCTTGACAGTCCTCACACCACTGCTCTCGTCATCACCCTCAATATCGGGTGCAATGATGAATGCCCTTCCCTTGATCCGCCATTGTGTACCAGTATCAGCATTCCAGTACACAGCCTCTACAGGGCCTCCACCACCACTGCCCTGCACTTGTTCGCTGCTTTCAGCGTGCCCCGCACTTGTCGCGAATATCTGTCCGACCTTCTCCATGCGAACATCCGTTGTAAATGTTGGACAATCGCTCTGGTAGACTTGTGGATTGCGCTCCGCATCGTTGTGCTTGTTCTCTGGTAGCTCAGCCCAGAAACCGCGGTGGATGCAGTATCGCACGCGGGGCATGAAGGGTGTAGGCGAGCCCTTGGGCGCTGCATCGAGCGTTCCCAACACGAATTCAGGCGACTTCATCTTGGAAATGTGCTCGCTGAACAGGGACTTCCATGGCGCAGGCGGGAGGGCCGATGCTGAGGGTGCGGTGGTAGACATGGTGCGTAGAAAGCGCGAAAGGCGGCGGGATGCTGTGCGTGAAGCTATGATGGCTATTATGGGTAGATGTTACTGTGTTAGTCGTGATGATAGAAGTCAATTGAGTTCTGAAGCTACAGACTATTTGATGTTGTCGGAGAATGATGTCGTCATCACCTAGATCGGTGCCTGCGCAATCGTGCAGATTCAATGAGGTCAGTAGCCTATGTCTAGTCTAGTGCAAGTACCTGTGCGGCTCTTCGACATGTATTTCGTAGAAAGATAAGTAAGAACGATGGTGTCTGTGAAACACCGAAAACACGCCATGTACGACAGAGCTGTATGCTGGCAAATAATCGCTTCCGTGGGGTTGCGGGGCATCCGACTAAGACCGCGTCCGTCATCAGCAACAACGCCAATCCAGAAGATGGGAAGTCCCATTTTCTCACCTTTGCAACAGAAACGCATTCAAGCTCCAGTATTGAATCTGTACTCAAATCTGCATGCTTGTCTTTAGGAAGAATTACTCTCGAGCACATGCTAATCATGTCATACAGCATCACGATAGCCATAGACAGTTCAACAAGTCAAGATCTGTGTACAACATTGTACAGTGGGCGTCTGGGGCACCACAAGTCGGCGACCTGGTGAACGTCGCTTCGCCAAACTGGCAGGAGTTTGCTGCTCAAGTGGTAGGACAATCTGCCCTTGCGAGATGGACGAAACATTTCGGCGGGTACGAGCGATATATTGGTCATTCCAAATACACGGTTATGACCCGAATGACTTGTACACTATGATCGACTATTGTGCTGTTTGGTTGAAGCTGTAGTAACGCTGTCCGTTTTCACATCTGTAGATATCTCAGGCCTTCTTGAAGAAACTGGCTATGCTTCCTTGGCCTTTCTTGCCAGCATTCTTCGCTTTTGCCGAGCTCGTTGGCTTAGCTGGCACCGGCTTAGCCTTCTTTGATGCAGGTTCTTCTTCCGAGAAGGACTCCCAGACGGCCTCTTCCCTGGTCACTATGCACAGTCAGTGGGAGGGCAACCAGAGTGCACTGGTTACTTACCAAGATAGCCATCCTCGTCCTTGACCTTTTTCTTCTTCATCACTCGTCTCCGGCCGCGCCTGCGACCGTTCTCCACTGTGACTGTAGCTTCGCCCTCGGTTGGCTCTGTGGTATCCGTCGCCGCTGTTGAAGGAGCCTCAGACTGAGATTCTGCTGTGGCTGGTGCATCCGGCATTTCCTCATCTACATACGTCAGGCGATGCGATCATAACCAGCTCGAAAGACTTACCGTCATCTTCCATCATCTTGCGCAATCGTTCGGCTCGCTCCTCTCGAACTTTGCGGGCTGCCTCATTCTTCTCCTCGTCGATCTTGATCTCGGGCTCATCATCGGGATCACCTTCATCCTCAGACATACCTTCCATTGGTTCTAGCCAAGTTAGTCGTGTAGCCACAAAAGATTGCATGTGTACGTACCGTCTTCAACCGGCGCTGGTGTGGACTCCTGGGACTTTCCCGCTTCTTTCGCCTTCGGTTTAGCCTTTGCAAAAGACTTGAAGAGGTCACTTGTCGCCTTGTCTTTCTTCGCCCCGGACTTCGAATCGCTCCTCTTCAGTGTAGTAGACCCCGCAGAGGGTTGTGGCGTTGAGCGTCCGGATGTATTGTCTTCGGACGCGCTTCCTCTCCTCGCAGGCGCGGAGGTCTCTTTGTCCTTCATTGCGAAAGCGAAAGTGCCCTTTGCGGCAGGCTTCGTGATGGTCTTCGCAGCGGGCTTCGATGTAGCAGTAGAAGGAGCATACTTTGCAGTTCTTCGCTACAACGATGTTAGCGCGCCCGTGTAGCTGTAGCCATGTCCTTACCTTGATGTATTCGTTTCGAATCGAACCATACGTTCTCCATCGCTCCAGAGGATCTTCGTCTGCATACTCTGTTACAACCTCATGGTTGCACAAAGACAGTACGCCGACAGCCTGTATGCCTTAGTATTGGACCTGAAGCCTCCCAGGATCTCGTACCTTGAGCGGGCCGGGTTCCACACTGTAAATGTGAGCCGTAGATCCATCTTCAAACTCTGACCTAGTCTCTAGTAAACCCGTCAGCTAGGTCCTGCCAATAGCATATGCCAAACGTACTTTCCAAGTCTTCTTCTCCTACCAATACAATCTTGGTTTCTTTCACACCTTCAGGTGCAGGTGTATCTTCGTCATCGGAGTCGCTAGTGTAATCAGAGTCTTCGGGCTCTTCTCGTTCTGGCATGGAGCTCATAAAGGGCGAGCTGCGCATGTCGGCGTCCTCACGCTTCTGACGGTGGGCGCCATTGGGGTTTCCGGTTCGTTTGGGTGTACCAGTCACGAGGTAGGTGGCGTGGACCGACTGGGGTTTCCGCGCATTCTGGTTCTTTTGGAACTCGAAGAGCATCCTGTATCATGTGAGCCGGCATTCAGATGCTGGCAAGAGCTGTACGAACCGTTTCGCTATGTTGACATTGGTGCTGGTCGCTCTACTGAGCAGCCTGTAGGTGACAGGCCTCTGCTCGGTAATCACCCGCGCAACGAGAAAGTCGTTGTAGTCTTCGCCCGCCATTGTGTGTTGTCGTGGCTGACGTAGTCGTCGCAGTGGTGATGGTGGAAGAAGTAGCGAAAGCGCGTCGCGGGGTTGACTCAGAATCACGCGTCGTGCTTGCTAGAACTGACTCGGCAGACAAGGCATACATCGTCGCCAGCAAAGTGCATCACAACTCCACCTTACTCCATGATGAGCGCCGGAGAGGACGACGACCTGAAATTACAGCGAGCATCTACATCGCTCCTGTCTGACTTCGAGAGGCTGCTACCGCGACTACTGCGGAAACGGCAGCATGGCTCTGCCCTTGGTCCCGTCCGCCAACATGTTCGAACAACAGACATGTACAAGGCATGCAGCTTGGTATGAACCCTATAGTTTCATGTTCTGAATGGCTGTCTGACCTTTGCTAGATAGAGCCATTCCAGGAGGACCCCCAGATTCTAGACACCCACCTCAAAACCTTCATACCTCCACTAGTCGCCGCCTATCTAGAAGCAATATCGGCGAGCGCCAGAGAAGAACCGAAACCAGGATTTGTGACTCTTGCATACGCCATATGCTCCGTCTTGAATACATTTTGTAAGGTGCGAGGCGAAAAGGTTGTCAAAGGGTTCTTCAACAACGAACCGCGTTATCTCGAAGCAATTTTGGGCGAGTTAGAAGCGATTGTGGTTGTCAAATCTAAGAATGCCGATGCATTGCAGCAGGAGACAGCTCGGCCCTGGATACAGCGCTACGTGCTGCTACTATGGCTCTCACAGTTGCTACTGGCGCCCTTTCCCCTGGAGTCTATGTCCGGGTTGCAAGTTTCTGCAGAAACACCTGTAGCTCTTGGGCTGAAGCTCCCAGCTGAACTTCCTGGTGTCACTCTTCGGGTACTTTCTCTTTGCATGTCAGGACTTCGATCCCCTACAAAGGAAAGAAGCGCCGCTGCAAGTCTCCTGGTGAGGACGTGTGTGCGACCAGATATGCAAAAGCTAGGTTTGCTGGATGCCATGGTCCAATGGTCGCTGGCTTTCTTCACAGACATATCTGAAGAGAAGACCGACATACACCAATGTCTTGGGGTCCTTTCATTCTTGTCAGGGCTACTGGCCTCCGCTACGAATGAAGAGCTTGGCCCTTTCCTCGCTGCCATATACCTGTCCTGCAAGAAGATTTTGGATCAGGAGAGTCTCACTTTTGTAAAGTCATCAGCTGTGGCTCGAAAGCTGGTTGTGAAAAGCTTGCGCAATGTCGTTTTGCATTGCCTACAGGCGACGTCAACCCTTCCTGGACTCGATTCAACGGTGGTATTGGAAGAAGTCATCGAATTTCTCCTTGAAGCACTCGCGGATGGCGACACGCCAGTCAGATATGGTGCTAGCAAGGCGCTCAGCATCATCACTCTCAAATTGGACACGGAGATGGCCAGCGAGGTTGTCGAAGCAATACTTGGCTCGCTCACAGAGAACATCTACTGGCAGGGGTCCAAGCGCAATTTGAACAGCGTAAACCCACTCCGATGGCACGGTTTGACTTTGACGCTAGCTCAGCTTCTCTATCGTAAAGCAATTTCTACCAGCCATTTGGCGGACGTTCTCAACGCTCTCCTACTTTCCCTCGGCTTTGAGCAACGGTCGCCTACTGGAGGGTCCATCGGTACGAACGTACGCGATGCAGCTTGCTTCGGTATATGGGCGCTCTCTCGCCGCTACCCCACGGCTGACCTCCTTGCGGTGGAAACCGCAACAATAAGAGCTTCTGAGCACCTCAGATCGTTACACGTTCCTCAGGTACTGGCAATCGAATTAGTAGTTGCTGCTTGTCTCGATCCAGCAGGCAACATCAGAAGAGGATCATCTGCTGCGCTCCAAGAACTTATAGGTCGCCACCCCAATACAATAGAAGAGGGCATACCGCTCGTACAGATAGTCGACTTTCACGCTGTCGGGCTCCGACAGCGAGCAATGTGCGACGTGGCAATCAAGGCAGGAGATTTACAGTCTTTGTACTGGGAGGCCCTGTTCGGTGGTCTTCTAGATTGGAGAGGAACCGGCTCGTTGGATTCAGACTCACGTCTATTTGCAGCTGAGGCCATCGGGTCTCTTTCCAAGGCTCGGTCTCCTGCGGTAGTGCAGAAGATGTCTGGTCAAGTCCGCGATAAGCTCGCGGCGTTGCGACCTCGCGAGGTTGAAGAGCGTCAAGGGTTAGTAACTGCTCTTGCGACCCTCGTTGACATGACAGTGGCTTTGCATTTGGACCAAGCGCCCGAAAATCCATATGCGTCCTTGATGGCCCTTTGGACGTTATTCTCAAGAGAATTAGAGCTTGAAGACAAGGCATTCACTTCGCCAGCATTGCGACCCCAGTTCACCGCATCATCAGTATGTACATTTATCGGAGCAATCTCGAGACTCACCAATGGATCTCTCAGTAAGCTCTGGCCTCCAAACCTACCTGTGGCACAGGTTTGTAATTTATTGGACCTTTGTCTCGCGCGTCATGAGGAGTCGGTCCTCGATGCTATTGCTGCCGCAATTCCTGCAGTAGTCTCATTATTACCTAGGTTACCGGGGTCTGACACATTTGGTGTCGTAATGTCATGGCTGCTGCGTTTGGAAAATGAAGCATCGTACAATGGGTCGCGATGTTCCGGACATGCGATCGCCCTGGGAGCTGCGCATGGCAGCTTGAATAGCCTGGCATCCGACACTGAAAGGGACGTCCTCCAGCGGCGGATCGTGAAGGTACTTACGTTCAGGTGCACATCAGCTGTGGCAATCGAGGCCCGAACGGTAGCATTGCGTGCTCTGCGTTGTTTGCTCGGAAGCAAGAGCCCTGAATCAACTCAGCTTGCTGCCGACGTAGAAGACCAGATCGCGAGCGCCTTGCACATTGCATTTAACGACTATACCATTACAGAACGGGGAGATGTCGGGTCACTTGTCCGACTCGAGGCCTTGAATACTATTCGCTTGGCTTGGGCAAATGGAATACTCACCGAGAAACGCAATGAGCGCGAGTACGATATCTACGCCGACATCGTTCGGTTATCTCTCGAAAAGCTTGATAAGATGCGCATGAACGCCGCTCAAGTCCTCCAGCTAAGAGAAGCCGGCGCCGCGACCGCAGACGAGGTCTCCTCTCGGACTTACTTCCTGAACGCACTGATGTCGTTACAAACAGCGAAAACCCTCACGATCAGAGAAGCTATCTGTGTTGGTTTTGTCAGCTCCGCGGGAATGGGCTCCGAATCTGTGGTGCAGAACTCACGAGCAGCCTTGCTGGACTTTGTCGATATCCTACAAGACGAAGATACATCTGACGTTGCGCAGTTTGCCTTAATTGACTTTGCAAACTGCGTTGTGACACTCCTGAAGAACAACATCACCAACGATAGGGTTCTGCTCCCGCTACTAGAGGTCGTAGCCTTCTTGTTTGACATGCAGGTCATGCAACGTCTGCAGTCGACGTCTTTCAAGTAAGGATAACTTTTGTATTCATGTATGCGCATTAACTGACCTCTTAGTTTCCGATTACTTCTTTCATATACGCAAAAAGCACACTTTAAGTCCACGCATATGCAAAAGCTTCATCTTGCGCTGGACGTGTATCGGGGCTTAGGCGTTATAATAGTAGCCAGAGCCGATACACTCGCTAAAGTCATGAGCATGCTTTTACACCCGTTTCCTAAGGTATATATCCGCAACAACGTATTGTTGACCATGGTGCTAATCTTTACTTAGGTTCGCATTACGGCAGCGGAAACTCTATGGTTCCTCGCACACCTAGATGGCTTGAAGCGACATGACTGGAGCCTGCCTTCGAAGAGCTTGAAACCTGCTGTTGATAGCATCAAGGTGATGTTGACTGCGACCGAGATTTAGTAACCGTCGCTCTATCCAATGAATGCGCCGCTGAGCGTGAACGCACATTACCATCTGAGATCATCTGTTGACTGTTATTCCTTTATCATGTTGTCCTTGGATTGTACGTTGCTTCTCTGCTACTCGCCACAATCTGACCGTCATTATGCTTGATGCGTGCATTTAAACTATTTGGGTACAGCGTTGGACGTTGCTACTGGCTAGGCTAAATCGCGCGGCAGTATTGCTGGGCCTCTCATTTCTGCCTGCGACAGTAGTGACGCGCGCCACGCCCTGTAATGCAGTGGGGGCTCGCATAGTAACACAGTCAGCCAGGCGGCTACACTGGGCCGGCAGCCCCTCAACTCTGCATCTCAGCCCCGCGCACACTTGACATATCGCCCACAACGCAGACGGCGCTTTCTGTCATGGCAGGTAAAGACCGACTCATGGACTACAGCCTTTCTCGCAAGGTGGATGAGAAGGAGTATATCACCACCATCGACCTGACTGACACCACGTTGGAGCAGAGAAGGCTGGCAGCAAACCGAACAACTACATTTGGTCTTAAGACTTTTGGCGAACCGCAGAGTGGAGAGTTTGTCATCGCCGCCGCTGACTTGCATAGATCCGGCTTCAAAGATGAGCATCTTCGGATCATCACTATCAAATGGCCCTGCAATGAATCATGGCCCCGAGCATCTCATTCCTGGGTCCGGCCGCACTTCACTTAAATCGAACGACCACGACGACGGAAATCTACATCAAGACTTGCCGCGGCGACTGGAAGAATGCACATTGTCACCCACTAGGGTAGCGAAAGAAGATCTTGAAATCGAAACATTACTGGAATTTGAAATCCCTTACGAATACGATCAGAGCGATCCCAGTCATCTCATTCTTCCGTCAACGGACTCTGAAGTCTTACAAGCCTTACTTTTTTACACAGCTCAATTACGATCAGCTCGGAAGGAGGAAGAAATGGAGAGTTCTCAATTCAACGTCCCACCTTTTTTAGTTTGGCCGACAAGTATCGTGGACAAATCATCGGACTCGATTGAAGATCCAGATCATCAATCGCCTCGAAATCAATCCAGTTCAGGCTACCTCCTTGAACACTCGCTTTATGCCATAGAAGAGCACATGACTAGAGCGAGATCAAAACTAGCGACGTCGCCGATCGATTCAGAACACCCGTATATGTTCTTTTACAGGAAAGGGGTTGCTTTTATCGAGGTGCGGGAAGTTGATACTCACGATCTCGTACTGAACTTAATGAACTCCAATCGAGCGGTCATCTGCGATATCGCGCATTCATCAGACATAATTGAATTCGAGATCTTGACTTGGCTGATGGATAGCACGCATGTTCTATCCAAGGAAGCTACAGAAGAGCTGAAGCTAGATGGATTGGATATCCAGAGGCTTCTGGAGTCTACGTGCTGCACTGCTAGGCGCTCGACGCAATGGCAAATGACGTTGATGCTCGAGTATTTGAGGCTCATTGTGCTTTCAGCCATAGCTGTGGTAGATCAGTCTGTACCGAAGGATTATCCGCATACCTTGCTACCTAGATGCCGGGGTTCTCTCGAAGCAATAGTCAAGGTAAGTTCCCAGATTCGACAGAGGAACAATGTCACACTACGTCTGATATATCACTAAGGCTATTACTCTGATATGTAGGATGAACCATGCGCACCAACAGAAGGACTACGGCCCGGAATGTTTGAGTGTATTTGTGATACAAGATGTGCCCAACAAAGAGTATGCGGGGCTCTATAGACTGGAAAACCTGGTCGATTCACTCGATCGTTGCAGTATGTGCAAGCAGAAAACTCACTACACCAGTGTCGACGAAGCTGTGCAGCATCTCATACAGTTTCACGTGTCGAAAAGTGATCAGAAACTGGAACTCATTCGCGAGAAGTTGACCCATTGAGTGGTTTCGGCATCGGGAGCTGATCTCGAAGATTCCTATTAACTTGTGATCCGATATCTCGACACAGTCATGCAGCAGATTGAGATGTTGCGAACAAAGTTCGTCGATCTTCGCAACAGCGTAGCGAATGAGCACGACGAAAAGCCCGAAGGTTACCTCCTCTCATCAGCACTCGTCAAGGCTGCCGAGAAGTTCTTTCAGATACTTTTCACGTCTCAGTATAGTGTCAAAAGTCTGTGTGCAGGCTTGTCATACAACCACAATACCCACATGGAGCGAGTGGTATCGCAAAAGAAATCGAGACCCACATTACCCTAATAGAGCATTTCGGCTCGAGGGCCAGTACTGAATTATCGAGCGCACGTCATGCATTACTGCTAATGGCTGATATAGGAACTGTCTGTAATTCTGTTGTTAGCATCCATAGTCCTCCGGAGTTGACACTACTGCTTTGTTGTATACAGCTCTCCAAAAGACCTATCGATGGGGAGCTCTCATTGGAGGCCTATCTCTGCTCATCGCCTACCGGGGTACGCAAATATGGGATTGGCTCAGGAACCAGAGCCATACTGTACATGCCAACGTTGCAGGTACGATACTTGATCACAGGGCATACGTCAAAGGGAGGAAGCAATGGGCTAGGGATGAGGAGGTACTGGCCGGGGATGACGAGGAACTTGTAGAGAGATGGATGCGTGGTCTACGTACAAAGCGAAGGACAAGAATGCAGAGGTAGCCTGAAATGGAACAGTCTTGAGGTTCTATCCAGGTTTCAGCCATGAGACTAGCAGAGCTGGGGTGTTCTTTTCGATAGGTCGGTGTCCGTTTTCACATGATTGATAGGTAAAATTTGTAAATCCTCATTTTTTGCACGACTAGAGCTTGGCTTTTATCCCGTGTCCATTCAAGATATCCAAGACCTGCTTCTCAGCTTCCCACGCACTTCCCCAGCCGCTTTGGTACCCATAACCAGCATGTCCATAGCTATGCACTACTTCAACTCCATCAATCTTCTCTCTCTCCACCCTTGGACCTCCAGTCCTCATAGGGCGCAGGCCAACACCATGTCTAATGACACTGAGCTCAGTTACCTTCCCAGTCTTCGGTACTAGCGACGGACATAGATCGATGGAGCGTTGCATAATGCGCTGTGCGAGGTTGGGGTCAGGTTGCGATTCCCAAGAGTGGTGTTGAAGACAGCCTCCGAGGATTGTCCCACCACCAACTGCACGTTGCATGATATACGTAGCTTCTTCACTGCCATCGTCGGTTCCGCTTACCGTCACCATGACACCAGGCTCGTTCCGCACTAGGACAATTTGACCACGTCCAGGGTACACGTTACTGTCCATTACGCCTCCGAGTGTGGAGGCTAGAAGACCAGTACAGTTCACGACGACGTTTGCATGTCCCGAAGTATGGAAGCTGCCTGCTTCGGAGATATGCGAGAGTATACCGCGTTTGATGGTCACACCAGCCTTCACGCACTGTCCCACGATCCAGGGAAGATAGACAGCAGTGTTTATGCATACTGAGGTGAACTCCGTGCCCCTGTCACAGCCTTCTGGAAGTTCAGATTTGGACAGTACGCGGAACTAACCAGCATCAGCATGACTTCACGCAAGCAAGGTAGATGAATGTATGGAAGCCGAGTTGGGATAGGCACTACATACATTGGGTACAACGTCCTTGAACCATGCGTCTTCTTTGGTCAACTCCTCAAACCACTGCCCCGTAGCAGTGCCTGCATCTTTCTCTCGCCCATAGACCCTCGTCGCCTGGTAATGGATGCCTGCTTCCGGCACTTCGCGACAAATCCGATCGAGCTCACTCCAAGTAGCTTTCTCGAATTTCTGCAGATTGGAGCCTGGCTTGCCGACAGGAAAGTAGTTTGCTCCAGCCCAGGGTGATGCATATTCTATGTCGTAGTCGCCGGGCATGTGCTTGGCTACAACGGTAATGCTGAGGTCCTTGTGCTTGGAGAGCACGAGGGCTGTGGAGAGGCCGATGACGCCTGCTCTGGGGTGGTGTTAGTGCGGTCTTGAGATTGCCGCCCAAGACGGATTAGACATGTTGGAGAGTCATAGGCGACAGGCTGAGTATTACTACTACGGGACGTGGAGGGGCAACACAAAATATGATGACAGCACTGACAGGCGAGCTTACCCGACGACTACGACACTCTTCTGGTTGGCCATGCTGGCAGCTCAGAGTCAGAACGATGGCTGCCTTGACGCACCTGTAATGTGCCGTGGGGTGACAGAACAGGACTGGCTATCGTCCGTGGATGCGGAGCCTGATGAGGATGGCGGGGTCATGCCTTGTATCCCCTGCTCGCCTATTGGCTCCTTCCCGCACACGAGACAAAACGCGTGCGCACATGCGAGCTTTGTTTACTGACCAGATGGCCTGCGTACCATTGTAAAGCTATTATAACGCTCGCCTCGGCCCCCTTCACTTTTGTGCTATTGCCCAGACTATTGAGCAAACTCGGTTTTCGCCCATTTGCACGCGCTTTTTGCCCTTCACCGCCGATATATCGCGAAAAACAGTCGGGCCTGCCCCATCGGCTAGCTGGGGGAGCTCTGTGGTCCGTGACATCATTGCAGGCTCCGAGGTATGTAGGCCGAAGATTTTTCCGTACCATCTGGAGCTTTAGTTTCTGTCGTTTGAAAAGGTACAAGAAGTCGCTGTCCCTGTGTCTGGTTGGCTGACGTCTGATTGTACCTCTCCAGGCTCCTGAGCGCGAGCTGTCCTGACTCGGGGCGGAGATCGTTGTTCCTGCGACTCGCCAAGCTGAGCCATCCCTGTCGCCGTGTCCCTTCGAGAGCCTCAAAGAGTTCGGGCGCGTCACAAAGATATTCATCATTCACGTTCACCGGCCACGACCTTCACCAACTTGGCGTGGCCGGCCCAGCCCTCTCTACAATAGCAACTGTCGCACCTAAGCTCAACCCTCATCCATGACCCCGTCACCTCACTCCTGTGCCTTCCTCTTTGCATTACACCGACTTCTCCTGTCCAACACGCACGCTTGATACACCACCTGGCAGTATGGCTACCCGGAGACAGCGGGCCAACTCGCCTGAATTCCCCATACTCGAGGCCAATGCCCTGTATGCCAGCCAGATCCGTGGCGATGGTGAGCTTAATTACCCCATATTCCCATGTTCAAGGCTGACTTTGCCCAAGGCAACTGCCTCTTCAACGCCCTGTCTGACCAGCTCTACGGCAACCAAGATATGCACGAGGTGCTGCGCACCACCACCATAGAGCACATGAAGGATAGTGCAGACTTCTACCGCCAGTACATGGCTTGCAACACCGTGCGAAGAAACCCCAAGCGCAAGACTGCAGCAGCTGCCGCCAACCGCCTCGATACCACACGCTACACCGAAGAGCAGCTGCAACAGCAGTTTGAAGAGCACGTCGAGAAGATGGGCCAGCCCGGCGAGTGGGCCGACAACATGGAAGTCTCAGCATTTGCCTCCGCCCTCAACGTCAATGTCCGCCTCTGGCAGGCTGACTACACCTACCTCTTCTCGCCCCGCACATGCTACACGTTGAACGAGGATCTGGCTGCTGAGGACACCCGCCAGACACTTCACATTGCCTATCACGTAAGTCATGCCACCACTGACTACCCCACTGGCACAGTACTGAAGTATCAATTAGACTTGGGAGCATTACTCTTCCGTCCGCAACATCGCCGGACCTCACAGTGGCCCCCCTGACGTCAACATCGTACCCCAGGTCATCTCCAAGAAGCGGCCTAGTCCTAGTGTCGACGGTGACGATGATGACCAGCGCCGCCGCTCACGAAAGCGTCGCTCGCCCCTGCCGCTCTTCGACTCCGACTCTACACCAGAGGGCACCGAGAGCTCGTCAGATGAATCAAACGGATTCGCGGCGTCGCAGCGGTCCAACACTGAGATTCCTCAACCAGAGCCCGTGAAGCCAGTTAGGCTCACCATCAAGCTCCGCGGTCTTCGCACCTCAGATACTTCCTCCCCTGCTCCATCCTGCACCACATCTCGTGCGCCTACGCCCGCACCACCTCCCACACAAACCCCATCAGAGCCCAAGAAGACGGCTCACGCAGCACCCGAGAGTGTTGCCGTGGCAGAGACCACACCCGCCGCTACCGCCTAGTAGGCTTGGTAGTATGATGGCCTTACGACGACGGACACCGATTCACGGTTCATGTTGATGACGCTGATGATGATACCCCAGCATAACATTGGGCGCTTATTCTTCCCGAGTTATTTTCTTTTTCCTTCTTTGCATAGCATACGAGCATTGGCAGGGGCTGTCTGTTACACATCGTTGCATATGCCAGCATGACGGACGGGTGCCAAAGTGCTTGGGCCGCGCTCTGTTCACTGGTTTTGGCGTTTGGGGGTTACGCTTGCGTTTCCACATGGATGATGATGGCTCATCTCTTGGGATATGACTGAACCTAGAAATGAGAAACCATTACTGATGTTGACGTGTCGCTGCTTGATTTGTGTGTGTGTGTGTGTGATGTTTAGCATGCGTGAAGTCATGGATGAGTACGTCTTGATCGTCATGAGCATTATCCATGTCTACCGTCTATTCAAAGCCCTCACCTTTGGCATCTACCTCACCCTTTGGTCTCTCAAGCGCTGGACTCAAAGGCCCCGCCATATCAGCAGGTGGCACCTGAACCCCAATTAAGCTCTTCCTATGCAACCGCGGGCTCTTATCCAACGTCTCGGCTTCCTCTTCCACCTCCGGACTCTGCCTACCGTCCTCATCGCCCTCTCCACGCTCACTACCATAGCCCTGATTTGCCAGCCTCAAGCCCATGATCTGCTGTCTCAACTCATCCACAAATCGCTGCATGTCCTCGAATGGCAGTCTGACCGCTCCTCCATCGGCGTTCTCAGCTTGGGTGTTGTATAGCCTGAGCGCTGTGTCGAGAGCGCGTTCCGCTTGCTGCGACTTGTCCAGCCTGTACCAGTTCTCGCTGGCAAGCACTGCCCAAAGCGCTGCCTTCCGACGTCGGCTTCCTAATTTGTACATGCCCACGCCAGTACGCACAGCATAGCAAGCTGAGATGCGTTCGGTGATGAGTGCGTGACCTATCGAGCCTACAAGACCCGTTTCCAAAATGCGGGTTGCCCATCGTGCGGCGTCGTCTGCGGCCGAGGAGCCACGGAGGCGCAGGAGCTCGAAGCTAAGGGCGAGGGTGCGGAGAGCGTAGTACGGCGCTGCGCTGCGTTGGCGGTCGGTATACGAGTACGATGCAGCTTCTATCCACGCATCGATGTTCTCGGCGCGGGATTTCGATGATAGTGGTGTAGGTGCCATGAGAGCCGACAAAGCGGCCATTTCAGCAGCACCAGCGTAATGCCGCCATGCTTTGTCGTTTTGAAAGTCTGTCCTTAGGATGTCATAAGTGCTCAATGCCAGTTTCCAATCACGCAGCATAAAGCAGTAGTCTGCTAGCCGTCGCATGATGGCTTCCGGGGCGTCGGGGCGGTAGAATCCCTGTAGGCTGTCATAGTTGGAGTTTCCTGATGCAGTCGAGGATGATGAGGAGGTTCTTGAGCCGCCAAAGGGTGTCCAACGTTTCGATAGAGACATGAAGCGGCCAGACAGACCGCGGCGTCGGGACAGGATCTGCTCGTTCCAGGTTGAGACGCTGCGCTCCATGTTGGGTATTATGGATTGTGTGACTAGTTCACGGATGAAGGTTCGCAAGCTGCTGATGTCGGAGTCGGGGAAGTAGGGTGTTGGGTCTGTTATATCGTCTGTGGTTTCTGTATGTATAGTAAGCACGCAGGGTTGATATCAGGTTTGCACTGTCAGAATTACCTCGCCTCTGAATTTCTGCTAGCTCTTCTCCTGCAGACATCCATTCGCACGTCGGCAAACGCACGCTGTCATCGTCTGAAGCTATACATTGCTGACTCTTCAGTCGCAGTAAGTGGCAGTGCAAACCAAAATGACGTTTCATCGAATCGAATGTCTGGTTGGACTTGGCGATGTCCCCTGTCTCTTCATCATGTATCAAGACGTAATATCGTAAGAAGTCGTTCTCTACCCATTGCGGAAAACGAAGATCGCCGTCATGCTGCCGATTGTAAAGTCTCCGCAGCTCTTCTATAGGGTGTGGATTCCGTGATGAGATGGCTATTATGCCAGCCACGGGGTGGGAGAAGGTTTCGTGAGGTACTACCGGTAATCCTGATAACAGCCTCCGTAGGTAGAGAGTATGAAATGGTGAAGCGGTGCCGTCTGTCTGCGTGGCTGTTGCGTCGCCCTTGCTCATGTAGTCGGACACGGGGGATTGTCTGTTGAACTCGGAGTACTGCAGATGTCTGTCGACTAGCTCTTCGATTTGTGACACATCGCCTCCTGACCGTCGTGGTCGCCGTGTAGAGCTCGAAGATGTCCGTTGACCACCTGTGTCCACGCGCAAGTCTGGATATGCATCGTCGACGCCTATGAAGCGCACACCAAAGTCCTCCCAGCTCTTGCTTGCCCCATTGCTATCTCGAATCGTGACCTTGCCGGGTACTGCCTCTCCAAATGGCCGCAGCAGTTGTAGTAGCCCGCCCTCCAACCCCTTGCCCTGAATCAGCTCTTCCGTCTCTGCATCCGCAAGCACTGCGACGCATGGCACAAACGCCCGTTGTATAAGGGCACGGTACTCGTCCGATACTCCCGGCGGCAGGCTGTTCGGCGTCCCTGTCCCACTCAGTCGTGAGCCAGGCGAGAAGACGGAGCCCTGTACGGTGCTTTGGGTGGGGGTTGCGGTGCCGGAATTGGGGCGCGATGTGGATATGCTCGTGGTGGACTCGAACAGCTTGGAGAGGCTTGGGTTGGAGCGGCGGTAGGGGAGGCTTGCGAGAGAGGAAGCCGGGGATGCGCGCTGTTTGGGCAGTATCATCGACGCCTCCACATCGGCTGGGTACTTTGGGGGTTTCGGCGTGGCATCCTGAGGCGGCGTCATGAGAGGCTAGGGCGCTGCGCCCGCGGGGTTCTGGATGCGCGCGGAAGTTCTGAGGCAGTCGGCATGTATTCTGATTGTCGTGTGCTGGACTTGGCAGCAGTGAAGCTCTCCTTTACTCAGCCGGCCGTTTGTAGCTGCGCGAGTGTGACGACGTTGGGTGGTGCATCATCGCGGTTGCGGCCGCTGAGCTTTGTGACTGGACGAAATGCGGCATCTCCATCAGCACACAACCGGTCTTCATCGTCTCACATGTGTCTGCAAACATAGCGCACAACGCACACTTCCACCTTCTTGTCTGTCCTTACGGCCCTTTGCGAGCTAGAAACTCATCGCAGCAATCCTTCTGACTCACATGCATGTCGTTGATGAGTCGAGCCTCCATCTGTTCAACGCGGACATTTTCACTACTGTACAAACGTGACTTCCCTGCACCCACACTTCGGCCACTCTCACGATCGCTTCTGGTTTCCAGAACCTTCTCTGCTCTTACTCTACAACCAACTCGTATGTCCCGGACCAGCTCACCATCCGAATACCAACAACCAAACGCTAAACGGCGCAAAATTGGCCGGCCCCCACCCAAATTCATTCACCCCTACAGAACTATGGCGTCGACAAACAAACCTGAATCAACCCAGTTAGAGCTCACCGAAATCGAATCAAAGCTTAGACAGCTTCTACTGGATGTGGCTGCTTACATAGATGAAGCACCCTCAAGCGGCGATGTCACTGGTGTGCAGGTTCCAGAAGAGCTAGTGAAGGAAAAGATTGTATTGCGTTGGACTGGCGGATGGGTGCGCGACAAGCTCCTCAAACTTGGCAGTCATGACATCGACGTTGCCATCAATAAGATGACTGGCGAGCATTTCGGCTTGAAGATGCAAGAGTATCTCGAGATACCAGGCAATGCTGAAAAGCACGGTCTAATCGACGAAAATGACGCCCTCAGTGGACGCGACAAGACGAAGAAGATTGCACCGGGGCTGCACAAGATTGAGGCGAATCCCGAAAAGTCAAAGAACCTCGAGACCGCAACCACCAAGATCATGGGTATCGACTTGGACCTTGTCAATCTGAGGAAGGAGACATATAACGAAGTCTCTCGTAACCCAGAGATGGAATTTGGTACAGCGGAAGAAGACGCTATGCGGCGCGACGCTACCGTCAATGCCATGTTCTATAATCTTCACACTTGTCAGGTCGAAGACTTCACTGGACGGGGACACGAAGACATGGCTTCCAGGATCATCCGCACTCCACTCGAGCCTTACCAGACCTTCAAGGATGACCCGCTCCGGGTACTGCGGCTGATACGCTTTGCTAGTCGCCTCGATTACACGATTGAGCCGGAGACAGCAAAGGCTATGGGCAACGCAGAGATACAAGACGTCTTGAAGATCAAAATCAGTCGTGAAAGAGTCGGGATAGAGCTCGAGAAGATGTTGAAGGGTCCCAGACCACGTATGGCTCTAGAGCTGATCGATCAATTTGGCCTTTACAGGACAGTCTTCACAGATCCTACCCGCGAGCTACCTTCTGAACCGGACACAGCCTACTTCAAGCCAGCATACAACTTTGTTGAGTCGTTCATCGAGAGAAACGCCGATATACCAGCTGCTATTCCAGATACCCTACTGAGAAGTGAGGACGAGAGGTATCTAGCTTGGGTTTGCGCAACCATGGTGCCCTGGGTGGATGCACCCACAATACCTCATCAGAAGCCACTACAGCGACCCTATTTCGCTGCTTATCTAGTAGCTCGCGAAGGCTTCAAAGCCCCGAATAAGGTCTGCGATGTCATTGCTTCTTCTTTGAGCAACAGCGAGGAGATCCGCAGCGTCGTCGCTCGGTGCGCCAAGGGCCTTCGGAGACCGGATACCATCAACCCGACAGATGATGCTACTGCCAGGGATACTTTGGGCATGGCTATCCGTCGTTGGGGCTCGACCTGGAGGACGCAAGTCTTTATGAACCTCGTCTACGAGCTTGTGCTTGGACGAGTGTCAAAAGATGGTATGTGTTTGCTAATTTGCCGACTTGAACACTGCTAATTATCTCTAGAAATTCTTCGATCATATGATAGCTTCCTTGCCCGTGTTACCGAGCTCAATATTCTTGATGTCGATACGTTCAGGCCTCTTCTCAAAGGTACAGATCTTGCCAAGGCACTCGGTACCAAGCCCGGCCCTTGGATGAAGGACGCTCTTGACGTTGTTATGGCCTGGCAGCTACGCAATCCTGACAAGACTGATCCGGCCGCCGCCATCGAGGCCGTAAAGGCTTCTAGGGACGGAAAAACTGATAGTGAGCTTTCCCTTCGCCTGGCACATCACTTTCTTCAGCTTACCATCCCACCTCTCTTTCCGCAGAATAAGCCCACGTCGAATGCGCTGGAAGCCTCGCGGCAACCGGCCCCTTGGAAAGACACTGTGAACCAGTATGCCTTGGACTTGCTAGAGTGGGCGATCAGCACACTCGACCGGAAGACGATAGAAGCGAAATGGCATTTGCTGATGCCTCCAATACTGAAGATGATGGATGACTTTGATATAAAATGGAAAGCGAGAGGGTGCCGCATGCTCAGTCTGCTGCTCGAGAATCTGCACCAGAAGAGCGGGATGGACCATGCGAAGAAGCCACCGATAGCCATGCAGAGTTCCACAAGCTTCCTGCAACGCACTGGGTATCACAACATCTTTACTGAGGCTCTGTTCCCCATGTTCACCTACATCCCTTCCATCACACCGGAAAGCGAATCTGTCACCCTTTTCAGAGAAGTGTTCCCCGCTATCATCCCACTCGCCCAGCTCCTTCCGACAGACACCAGCAAAGCCCACTTCCGAGAACGCTTCTTGGACAAAATCTTGCGTGAAGGGGTCCTCTCTCCTCTTGCACATTTCCCTACACCCTCGTCGTACCCGGAATTGGCCACCTTGATCATGTCATACGTTCCCGTATTATTAGGCCACATGGGCATTGATTGCGTCAAGCACCTTCGCGACCTTTTGCCTCTGATCTCGGCTATACTGCAGGAGCCATTCGCACTTAGTCACAAGCCCCTTCTTCTTTCAGCATTGAAAGGGTTGCAAAGCGTACTGCTTAATGCGTGGCCTAGGCTACCGGGATATAGGGGATTAGTCATGATGGGCATATGTTTGCTATGGGCTCGGTGTGTAGAAGAACGGAAGAAGGCTGGTAGTCAGGACGTCGAGGAAATCACAAGCCAAATACAGGAATCGGTCGCTATGCTGGACTCGATTATGCAAGCTACTGAGACGGACGGACTAGCGGAAGCCTGGGCGAAGGAAAAGCAGGATGTGATGCAGGCCTCGTCTGGATTTGAAGAGTTGTTTGACGAGTGTGTGACCGAACAAGAGTAAGTCCTCTGCGCGTCAATGAGTAGTATCTTAGCAGCCAAAAGAAGCTGCATTCATTTCGTCCTTTTACGGTATGATGTGCAGTATGTTAGGCAGTAACAGAATCATGCAAAGTTAGCGCGTTCGAACCAGCAAAGCAGGATGGGTTTTGTGTGGTGATCAAGTTCTTCACATCCTTGTACAGCATGGTTGCTGCACAGTGACGACAGGCACATGGGTACCGCCTGCAGCGATTGATTCAGATGGCCCACATGCAGGCTAACGGTTTTCGCCATGCATCGAGTGTCAAAAACAGGAAGCTGTTCTATCCTCGGAAGACAATGCCGCACACGTCGAGCGTATGAGTGGGCATTCGCGAATAGTTGCATCAGGCGACAACGTCAAGTCTGCCTGCGTTGCCGTGGGGTCCGTGGCTATGCGGGGCGACAGCTTGGCGTGTAATCGGTGTTTACACAGCCCAGATGTCAGGTCAGATACGAACTCGGGTCCTAACTGCTGCACCGATGCTGTGCAGAGAAATGTAACCATCCCCATGCTACTGACGGGCAGAGGGCCGCTTGAAACTGCGCGCGGTGTTCTTGAAAGTGGTTCCTGGGCGCTGGCTACTGTACTCGAGTCAATAGCGGCCCGCACACCCCTGCCGGAGACGAGGATACCATTGGACGCCTTTTTTCGACGAACGCGCGTCTCACGCTCAATAAGACGATGCTGGGGATATGTGATCTCAGTATGATGGCGAAGAAGTCCGGAGCAAAAAGAGGTGTTGCTTGGCAGCATGGGCTTGGAGTGGGCCACTGTCGCATGCACATCAAGCAGTGCACTCCAAGTAAGCGCGAGTGCGGTGTTGCTGCGATGGATGATTATAGACGGAGGCGCAACCGTATGACGGACATATACTCTGGAGGCGTGGGTGAAACGCGGGGCCAATGAAGAAGGCGCAATCTGACTATTCTGGATCATTTCGCTAGTGCAGGTGGCGCTTGCTCGAAATCTGCCTGAGCAACTTCACGATGCTCGACGGCAAGTGACTACGTCGCCGAGAAGGGGGCGTAACTATGGATGCATGAGTGGTTCGCGACAGAGGCGCACGAATGAATTCGCGTAAATACTAAACCCGACGCGTCTGGCGCATGCAGAGTCTCGACGTAAAGCCGATCGGCAGCGCTCAACAAGCGTGGGCGGGACTCAGCCTCGTTAAGGTGGTTGCTTAGGGCTAGGGGGCATGTCACGGCCACTTCTTCCCGCCGCGTCCATTGCACCTCGTCCTGCTCCGACACATGTCCTCTGCTCTGGGCCCGCCGTGACTCTCTACTCTCCGTCGCGGCACATCTCCACGGCGACATTAGCAGCTCGAGGGGTGCGCGCCGCCCAGCAGCCACGCCTGTGCCGACACCTCTCCCAAGATCATGGCCAGAGCTTACTTCGCGTCCAATCCCTCCACATCCACCACGACGACCTGTCTTGTTAGCTCTGCCCAGACTTGCACTACTACCACGACCCTACCCTCCACCTCGTCGCCGCCCCCGCCAACTCCCTACAACTTCGCGCGCCTCGTCGGCTCCTCCTCTTCGTACCCCAAGGCCGAGGACTACGGCGACTCCAGGTTCAAGAGGTTGCCAATGCCTCTAGAGCTCGCCATCTCGTCGCGGGCGCATTGGCTCAGTCGGGTCCGGTCATGTCTCCGCCTGCTCATCATCGTCCTGAGCGGCGCAGTCGTCTGCATGCTCATGCACACGTTTGAAATCTACCGCGGCAATCGCTACATCGACCTGCGCAAAGGCGAACTGCCCATGGTCTGGCCTGCCCATACCAACCTCGCGCCTACCATCATCCTCTTCGCCATTGCCGCCG